TAACACCCTAACACCCTAACACCCTAACACCCTAACACCCTAACACCCTAACACCCTAACACCCTAACACCCTAACACCCTAACACCCTAACACCCTAACACCCTAACACCCTAACACCCTAACACCCTAACACCCTAACACCCTAACACCCTAACACCCTAACACCCTAACACCCTAACACCCTAACACCCTAACACCCTAACACCCTAACACCCTAACACCCTAACACCCTAACACCCTAACACCCTAACACCCTAACACCCTAACACCCTAACACCCTAACACCCTAACACCCTAACACCCTAACACCCTAACACCCTAACACCCTAACACCCTAACACCCTAACACCCTAACACCCTAACACCCTAACACCCTAACACCCTAACACCCTAACACCCTAACACCCTAACACCCTAACACCCTAACACCCTAACACCCTAACACCCTAACACCCTAACACCCTAACACCCTAACACCCTAACACCCTAACACCCTAACACCCTAACACCCTAACACCCTAACACCCTAACACCCTAACACCCTAACACCCTAACACCCTAACACCTAACACCCTAACACCCTAACACCCTAACACCCTAACACCCTAACACCCTAACACCCTAACACCCTAACACCCTAACACCCTAACACCCTAACACCCTAACACCCTAACACCCTAACACCCTAACACCCTAACACCCTAACACCCTAACACCCTAACACCCTAACACCCTAACACCCTAACACCCTAACACCCTAACACCCTAACACCCTAACACCCTAACACCCTAACACCCTAACACCCTAACACCCTAACACCCTAACACCCTAACACCCTAACACCCTAACACCCTAACACCCTAACACCCTAACACCCTAACACCCTAACACCCTAACACCCTAACACCCTAACACCCTAACACCCTAACACCCTAACACCCTAACACCCTAACACCCTAACACCCTAACACCCTAACACCCTAACACCCTAACACCCTAACACCCTAACACCCTAACACCCTAACACCCTAACACCCCTAACACCCTAACACCCTAACACCCTAACACCCCTAACACCCTAACACCCTAACACCCTAACACCACCCTAACACCCTAACACCCTAACACCCTAACACCCTAACACCCTAACACCCTAACACCCTAACACCCTAACACCCTGTCATAATTAACATGATCACCTTAAATCATACATTTAATTATTACTCATCTTGAATTAATTCAATAGCTTCATTTGTCAAATTAATTTTGTTATCCAAAACTCTATCTAGCATCGGTGATCCGAAAATTAAATGATAAAAATTCGAGCCAATAACATCCACCATAGTTTTCTCCATAATTTCAAGGGCACAAAGGATTTTCCTTAGAAGTTCCTCCAGGAAGAACGAAAAGGTAAACTTTCACAAGGAAATTAAATACCAGAATTGACGCAAAAAAGACTTAAGGAACTAAATTGGAGTTATGCCATGGTCGAAAAGGGGGCAGATATTCAGACACTAGAAGAGACAAAAGATGAAAGGCATGGACAAATGAGAACTTAGAATGGTAAAATGCGAAAAATTTTTGTGAAGGGTGATGTGAAAGAGAGATATTGTGAAAAAAGAAGGAAACTTTAAAACAAAAGTATATATGGTATAAGTGGACAGAAAGATAGTGTGACATATGATTCTTAAAGCATGCCTTTAAGTGCAGAGGAGTCATTATCTATAGAAACGTCCCACTATAACATAAGGAAATTGAAGAAATCTTTAAAACAACTTACAACACCAAATTGAAGACTTTTTTAGCAGGGATTGTAGGAGAGAAAAGCCTCTTATCAAGGACATATCTGGTGATTAAATTTTCAAGTTAAGAGGGACGATCTAAAACTTTTAAAAAATGTCAAAAACATGATTTCATGTTATAAACAAACTAGTAAATAATCAATTTATAATTTCTAAGTAAATGCACTCATGATCTATTTGTCAATTGCAATTTAAATCATTAATTAAATGAAATAAAAATTCTAATTCGATATTTCACAAACATAAATTATTGATTAACATGTCCCATCTTTAACTGATTTCACTTTTAAAATTTAACGAAATTTATAAACATTTAAAACTAAATCTCTCAATTACAGTTATTGAAATCTCAAAATACCTGAAGAAGCTGTTTCAAAACGTTCAACAAAAATCATATCAAAACATCACTAACTATGCTGTTATAATTTTTAAACATAAAACAACTGATATCGTGATTGCAAGAAATACTTGATAAAATAAAAACATATAAAAGATAAGATTTATTTTGATGTTCACACTCGCTTAGCGTTTAAAATGCTTTGTTAAAAATTTGTAAGAAGTAAATTGATAGAAATGAAATTTTGATTCGAAAGTTATGTTGGCTATAAAATGATAGGATCAGATTTAACTTTTAGCCCTTTAGCTTTAATATTGAAATGCTGCTAAAAGATTTTGACCTCATAATTTGATTAGAGGATGATTTATAAAGTGATATGCATGTGACTCAAAAAAAAATTAAAAGAGGCCAAAACTTTTCAAAGAGATGAAATATTTTAGAAGCTTATAAAACTAATTTTATATAAAATGAGAAAAATTATAACGCTTGGAAGCTAACTATCTGCTCCCTGTTTTAATAAAATTGGAGATTTTAAAAATAGGACAGGCATGACATCAATAAAAATCTTAAATAATAAAAAAATATGTTTTATGGCCTCTTAAGGTAAGCAGTTTTGTCTTCCTTTTAAGGAACCACACGATTGGACTCCATTAAATTTATTAGCCTATTTTGCCATCTAAATTTAAGGTCAGATACCGACAGTTTGGGGCAAAGACTTACTTATAAGCTTGTTTAGGATTTTCCTTGAAATTTAATAGATTTTATCAAAATATAAATAGAACAGGCAATTTCCTATTTTTTTTTTGATGGTTTAAGTTTAGCAGATGACTACGAATTAACTCTTAGCCGTCTCTCAATTCCATCAAACTCCTTGAATGATGAAAGTTTTGATAGATTTTATGATTTAAATAACTTGGCAAGGATTGATAACTAGCAAAATAAAGGAAAAGTATTTCTTGCCAGTTGCTGATAAAATAATAGCCTTTTACTTATAACTGTAACAGATTCCAGAATAAGAAAATCATTATTGATGGAAATCTTCTTAATTCTACCTTCAAAAACTCAGAAAATCTATACAACTATTTAGTTGCAAAATTAAATAGAATCAGACCTCCTGAAAAAAATTATATGCTTATAATTCTTAAATGATAATATATGAAGAATATAGTCTGGCTCCCCCCTCCATGAGTAAACAAAAAATTTTGATTGCTCGCGAAGGGGGTTAATTTGCTTTTAAAAAAATTTATATATAAATTTATAAAAATTTGAAAAATATTAATTAGATTTTTAAAATTTATGTTTTAAAACGCAATTTGTTTAAAATTAAACAGAATTAGCTCGAGATTTCATTATACTAATTATCACTTATATATCAATTTTGTTTTTCATAAAGATATTTTTCTATTAAAAAAATTTTTGTTCGGAGGGTGGATTTTTCTAATGGTTTTGCTCACTCATAAATAAAATTCCATGAGGGAGAGAAAATTAGCGAAGCTAATTTCTCTCGAACCGAATGCCATTTTATTTATGGGGTTAGGTTTTCACTCGAGAAACTTCTGGACAGCAATAGCGGTTTAACTTTGGGGATAACCAAAGGAACTGCTCCTCAGTCCTCTCAAGATTTCGGGCTTTTACCTCTCAGCACATCTCCAAGGGAAGATGACCCTCAGGCGGAACACGCGCAGGAGCTGAGTCGAGACAAGGGCGACGGCAACGCGCCGGGTGAGACGTGCAGCAAGGCTGGTGAAGCAGGAGTTGATAGAATGGCTTGGGCAGGGCTGACCTGTTCCAAGATGGCTCGCCTACGTCACTAGTTTTGCCATAGGTCCATTTTGGGCTGCGGCACTAGACACCTTAAACACCAGATAATTAAGTTAAGTTAAGTTAAGGTTTTGCTCACTCACGAAGGGGGAGTAGGGGAATGGAGATAATACAAATTCTAACAAAAAATTCATATGGTTTCTCTAAACAACTTCCTCAAAAAATATTTTACATTTTAGAAAGAAATCGAACTACTGAAAGCTTTGTTGACAAGACTCTACCAAACGTCTTAAATTGGGCAAGCTATCAAAGTAATAATCTACTTTCTTATTTGCAAATAATTATTGATGACGCTCGCTTTGAACTAGAAGAGAAGGAGACAGCAGAAAAACTAGCCAACGCATTAAATGCTCTAATCGAAGTGTTCGGCTCTGAACCAGTCTTAAGAGAATTTTCAATATACTCAAAGGGTGTCGGAGTTTTTATTGATAAAATCTCTTAGTTAAATATTTTTGTTACAGTTTCCTCTAGTATTAGAAATTTATAAAAGTGGCTATGCAAACTTCATCAGCAGCAACGAAAAGTTTTTTTTTTATTTATGGTAAATATTTTCAGTAATGCTCTTCTATCACTTATCAAGTATAATCATCCTGAGGAAAATGTTGTTATACACTCTACAACAGGTATGTAGAAGTATCTATGTTATCGTTTCATTTGAGTTTCCTCTTCTAAAATTTCTTCAAAAAGGCTAAATTTGATTTAGCAAGTATATTGTTATCCAAGTTTTTAAATTTTTTTGAACTGGTGCTCAATAGCAGTGCATTTCACAAAATTATAGTGTGTGATGCTTCTTTCGTTTTTGGATTTTTTGCTCCTATCTTGCAAATCCATCCAGCATTATTTAAATAAAAACAGTGAAATTTTTTATCAAGTATAAAAATGCTATAAATAAAAAAGATAAAGCAATTTTATAACTTTTCTGAGTCGTTTTGTGTTTTATTATAGCTCATCTGCTAAGAATAATGAGGCTCTGCGTTTTTAACGATAATTTCTAAGTTGAATAATAAATGGAAAATACAGAAAACAACTGAATTATTTGAAGGTTTTTATTTCCTTGTCCAAAATCAAAATATTCTTTGTCAATCTGTTTCTTACAAATAAGTGAATCAGAATTTTAAAGGTAAGGGCATTTTAACATCTGAATAAAGTTTAGATTGAGTATTGCTTTGCTTTTGAGGATGCAAATTGTAAGTCAATATTTCATTTTGGCGATCTTTATAAATTTTAATAGCTTAGAAATATATTGCTTTTGCACAGATCGTTATAAATCTTTTGTAGCGTCTTTTATTTATAATTTGGCTTTAAGTGCTGTTAAAACTAATCGTTTTTGTTTTAAATGTTTATAAATTCCGTTAATTTTTATTAAGGAAATTTTTATGAAGTAAAATAAAGATTATAATCAAAATTAAAATTGCTTTATTTATTTTATTTTGAAATTATATTAATCTTAGAGCTAAGCAGTATTTTAGAATTCTTGATTTTAAAATTACGAATTTTACCTTTCACACTTCAGTCAATTTTATAATAATATATGACCAGGATTAAATAAAGGTAAGAATTATAACAATAATTAGTATTTAATAAAATTCTAGCTTCTTGAGACATCAGCGGATATTGTGATCTAATTATTTTGATTATGATTAAAAAATTTTACCCCTACACTTTCTTAATAATCTCTTCACAACTATTTGCATACCTTCTAGTCTTAAATAAATTTTAATTTTTTTTATCTCAATATAAAATCTATCTAAGCTGCTTATTTTTTTATTAAATATTCGTATCACTTTTATACTTCCTAAAATTCACTCCTTTAAATCATAAATATCATAATTAAATACTCACATTAGAATATCGCTTCATTTTACGCACCAAATTATCCTATTTTTTAAAGTATTATGGAGAGGTACAAAGTCATCAAAAACCTTGGCGATGGCACATATGGAAGTGTAAGCAAAGCTGTAATAAAAGACACTGGTGAAATAGTTGCTATTAAGAAGATGAAAAAGAAATTTTATAGCTGAGAGGAGTGTCTTGAGTTAAGAGAAATCAAAGTCCTCAGAAAAATTACACATCCAAACATAGTGAGACTTAAAGAAGTTATCCGCGCTAATGATGAACTTCATCTTGTGTTCGAATACTGTGAGAAAAACATATAGAAAATTTTCCTTGAATTGCCTATTGAGAATTTAAAGATAGTTTTAAATGGAAAAATTATACAAAAAAGGTAAATACAGATGATGAATGAACTTTCTTCACCAATGACAGAATTACAGATAAAGGATCTTATTTTACAAGTACTCAATGGATTATCTGAGCTACATAGGAAAGGATTTTTTCATAGAGATATGAAGCCTGATAATATTTTGGTGAATGAAGGCACATATAAAATCGCTGATTTTGGGCTGGCAAGAGAAATCAGATCTCAGCCTCCATATACAGATTATGTAGCTACTCGCTGATATAGAGCTCCAGAAATTTTGCTTCACAGCAGAAGATATAAAGTTTTTCCTTAATATGCCCATTAGAAATTCCAAATAAATTGTCTATAAAAAATCTAAAGACAACTTTATATAATTATCAAGTTGATTTATTTGCTGTTGGCTGCATAATGGCAGAGCTTTATCTTATGAGACCTCTATTTCCCGGTGCAAATGAAGCTGACCAGCTTAACCGCATATGCTCTGTCCTAGGTACTCCTACTGACTGAGGCGAAGGCCAGAGACTTGCTGTATTAATGAATTACAGTTTTCCTCAATACGTAAAAATTCCTTTGCAAAATATTATTCCTAACGCCTCTCCAGATGCAATTAATTTTATTGAATCTTTATTACTGTGAGACTCATCTTTAAGATCAAATGCAGAGCAGTGTTTACAGCATCCGTTTTTTGGAATAATTAAAAGTCCACCATCACCTACTATGAGAATGGACAGTTTAAGCCCAGTGAGGCCTGCGAAGCTTGCAAATAATGAAAGTCCTGTTAATGAAAGATCATTTATAAGATTGGAAAGTATGAGCCAGAACAATGATAGCAGAATATCTCCACTGTCATTTGGCAGAGGAAAAACAAATGGAGAGAACTTAAGGCAGGTTGGGGCGAATTTAATTTCTAGGCCTATTGGGAACATCGGGAATATTGGGATGGGAAGACATAGATTTTAATTTGATGAAAAATATATTGTAATTAGCATTATTTTATATAAATTTATTTAGTCAAATTCATCGAATTAATGATTTTTTATTAAGACTCTTGAACCAAAGGACTGTATTGTCTATTTCTCGTAAGGACCCCCCCCTCATTTGTCCAATTTTCTAGTCTTTTATCATTTGCCCATTTTTCTAGTTTTTTTTATAGGAAAAAAAAATTTTTTTTTAGGACCTCATTTGTCCAATTTTCTAGTCAAAATTTTTGATAGAGAAAAAAAAATTTTCAGGACCTCAATTCTCTCATTTTCTAGTTTTTTTAAAGTAAAAAACTAGAATTTATGGCATTCGAAAAAATGCAAGAAAGACTAGAAAATTGGACAAATCATTTTTTACTAGATTTTGGGACAAATGAGGTCCTGAAAAAAAAATTCTTATAAAAAAAAGACTAGAAAATTCGACAAATGAGGGGGGGGTCCTTAGATAACGCAGAAACCTCAATGCTTCCTGATGAAACTGATGCCACATTTCTCACATCTGTCATCTCATACTGCAGCTCTTGCTTGACCTTCTTGAATTTTCTATAAAAGTAAATAGCTGTAAACACAGACCCTAGCAGTATCAATGCAGCTCCCCAGAAAATTATTTGTCCAATCCCATGATTCCTTCTCCTAGTCAACACGATTTGTGTAGGATCATACACCACCATCCCCAGCATCATATTTTTAGCTCCTTGTGCCACTGCAATCACATTAATAAATCCAATATTACTAGGCAGCTCCACTTCAAGCTCATTAGCCTCACTTCCATACAAAGACCCTACATATTTAGCTCTTCCTGCATTAGCAGCAGCATGCATCCCACAAGCTGTCATCATTTGTACGTCCTCATCATCTGTAAATATTACATGATACTCTACAGTTTTTGGTGTCTCATATGGTCTGCCGCCTTCATATTCAATAGGACTCCATATGACTTTTATTTTTCGGCCATCTTTTCTTTCCCATTTCAAAAGTCCATCATGCCCTGGGGCTAGATTTTTAGGTGCTTGGTCTCCTGCTTTGGTGAAAACGGTTGTCATTTGATAAGTTGCGTTTTTAAGGCTTTCTACGAGCGAAACTGTGATGTAATAAGTCCCGAGTGCGTTATTGATGCTTCCTTGAATCCTGCCGTCAGTGAGGCTTCCTACAAATACATCAGGGACTTCTTGGCTTATTAAGGTCCAGTTAGAAGAAATTTCAAGCTTGAGTTTTCCTTCACATGGGATTACATATATGTCTTAGTCTTTTTAATATTATTGCGGATAGGGCTTCGCTCTAATGCTAACGCAATCTCCAAGGATCCTTGTCATCCTGGGGAAACTCTCTATGTGCTCTGCTCCAGTAAGTCGCCAGCAAGTCTCGATACCCTACCTTTTTAGCTCCTCTAGTTACTGATGCCGGCACAGCTAGAGTCAGGGTTCCTTTGAGCTCCTCCTATCAACTGGAGTGATATACGGTGAGAGCGGCAGACTATTGTTCTTCAGCTCTGATTAGAGCTCTTGAGTAGTAGCTTGATTCAACTAGAGTTTGCTCTGGTGCTGAAATGTCTTCCTTCAATAGCTATAAAAGAAAGAATAATCCCGAGCCCAGAGGTCTACTGCTGGTTCCTGGAAGGAGAATGATCTATGTCTCTAAGGATGCTGCAGATCGTCTCCAATTCTAATCACAGGAGCTAAGCAAAAACTTGCTGGGTACACACAATCCAATATGGATTCTGGACTAATTCCTCGCCAATTTAACTTAGCCATGAGGTCGAGGAGATTGCATCAATAGATCGGGTACGCTTAGTTGCCATTTTTATGTATATGATCACATAAACGTCAAGTTTCCCTTTTTCGTTGACAGTAAGCTCAAATCTCTTCCTTGTGATAGGACTTGATAAATAGTCGTATCTGTCTGTTCCTACTTTTAATGTGACCATTTCCATGCTAGATGAGCAAAATAGGCCATATTCTTATTAGCTTACTAACTTTATATTTAATGAGCCGTTTTCTTTCTTAAAACGGTCGCCTTCCCTGTTAACTTCAACTTTGATATCACAGACTTTTCTTCCCTGACCCTTTTATATCATGCTTCTAATAAATCATATATGATGAAGCTCTGACTGGTGAGAAGGCTTCATAGGACGCGTTACTTCATTCTTGACTAGACTCTGCCCGCGTTCTGTGTTAGGGTTTTCTCTCTTCATGAGTGCCAAGCAATGAAATCCTATATCGTTTAATTTTCAAGTACAAGACGATTTAGCCACTATAATGATAAATATGAAGAGATAAAAAGCTTTTGGAAAAAATTATTCTAACTATAGCCATTTTATTATTAATAAGCAAAATAGGTCAAATTGGCCAAAATCGGAGCCTGAATGATCCCCATTGTCGCTTCCAAAAACAGCCAGATTGAGGCTTCCAAAGCCAGTCTCATTGAAAGCCATTTGTAATTCTCCATACAAAGGATCGTACTGCTCCATCTCAAATTTATATTTCGAATTGAATTGGTTAGGGAAATCTTTACGCTGCCCTGAAGGCTGGAAATCTGCATAAACTCTTGGCCAAAAGTCAGCACTTAAAGGAGTCAATGTACAGAAAACTGGCCCATGGAAATAAAGATGGTTTCCGAACTGGAAATACACCTTTTGGCTTCTGCTATATTCGAGTCCATATGTGATTGGCCAGCCATCTACCAGAGTTGCATATGTGTTCCTTGTATGAACGGTCACAGAATAAGTGGATTCTAAAGCGCAGCTGATTCCAATATAATAAGTCCCTACGATGAAATTAGGGTCACTTGTTTTGATTCCGATAAAGTCAATTTTTTGGCTAGAAAACGCAAACCATAGAGAGTTTTCGTAATTAACAGTCTTATTAGTAGACACATAAGCATCAATATCGCCACTGAAGGAGGTGAACAAAATATCAAAGTCTGTTCTCTCATTGATTTCAAAGGAATAAAACTGCCACCTTTGAGGTACGATGTTAGACCTGAAAGGAATCCCGTTCTGCAAAACAGTGATAGTTTGGTTATTGTTCGCTGTTATACTATAGGTGCAGTTCGAGTCTGTTGTATTTACAGCAATTAAGATATTGCAATACCAGCAAAAATATGGATCATTGGTTGGGATATAGATCACATATTCCATTTATAAAGAATTTTATTTTATTTATTATAGAAATATAAATATAAGTTTATATATATATGCATATCTGTTATTTGCAGTAACTGAAGACCAAATGTAATTGTCTAATGTAGGCAGCCGCTCATAGAATTGGTCATCATATCCATAATCATAGCTTGCTAGAAGGACTGGGGTGCCAGTTGTAGGGACTAAGCTTATGACGATGTCGACATTGAGCACATTAAAGAAAGAATAATAAGCAACTGAGTTTTTCGCAAGTCTTCCTTGTTGGGGGATACCTGAATATAATCTGGTGACTGGAGTTATATGATTGTTTATTGTCAATGTGAAAGAGCCTGAAATCACTCCTAAAACTCCAATTATATATGTGCCTCTCATAGTAAGCTTGTCGTGGAAAAAAGGGTTTTCTTTGCTAATAAGCAACGATTCTCCTAACCAATTTTGTGAAGCCCAATCCCATCTATCGCGTGTTGGCTTCGCAGCTCTTCCCATTGAGACAAATAAATCAGGATCCCCATTACTGAGTGGAGTTACAGTAATTAAGAAATCAGTTTCATCTTTATCGCAATAATAGGAATAATACACATATTGGTTTTCGTCAGCATACCCATATGTCGGAACATTTTCATAAATAATCGTAATTTCTTCTTGCTGCACATTTAAGCTGTACATACAGGAATCACTAAAGCAGTAGACTCCTATAAGTGCTAAACAGTTTCCGCTAGGGCAAGCTATCAATAAATCTTCAGAGGAAATGTCAATTTCGTCAGTCATCACTGTAGATTGCGACCAATAGCTCGAATTTGTCCTTGAAGGAAGCTGCCATTTGGTAATGTCATAGCCAGCCTTTATTACATCAAAAATGTTCATAAAGAGGTCAGGGTCACCTTGAAGAGGCTGAGAAGTTACTGATAATGGAAGAAATGCATTGATAGTCACATAGTAATAGTCCTCTTGAGTCTTATTTACCTGGTGGATTTCTGGAGTTCCTATCATAAGAGGAGAAGGAAGATTCCTACGAGGATGGACCTTAATTGTGTAAGTTGAAGCAGAAAACCCATAAACAGCAATATAAAGGTTACAATTAGTAGGACTGCCATGGGTATATTGGTCTGGAAGGGTTGGACACTTAGGCTGGATGTCTGCCCATGTGATTGTCAGGACTTCGCTTCCGAAGTTGTTTGAACGGAATTCGTTGTCAGATTTAGAAGGTTGTGGTTTTTGAGGACTAGCAGTAATATAGAGATCTGGATCCCCAGATAAAGCTGTGACTGTAATAGTAATGTCTTCATGGTTATAAAAAACAGGGAATCTGTAATAGTCGTATTTCTTTTCTTCAACTTGGCCATTGTATGGAATGTCTTCAGATAATATCACTACTCCTTCTCCGATTGAGTAAACAATTGAATAAGTAGCTGAGTCGTCAGAAAATTGCTCAGCAATGACTAAAACTAACTTCCCCCCCCGTGAGTGAACAAAAAAATTTTGTCACTCACGGAGGGGGGTTAATTTTTTGTTTTAAAAGATTTATATATAAATTTTATAAAAAAATTTTTTTTTCAAAATTTAAAAAAAATCCTAATTTGCAGCAAATATTAAATTAATTTATAAATTTATGTTTTTAAAAAACAATTTGTTTAAAATTAAACAGAATTAGCTCTAGATTTCATTATAGGAATTATCATTAATATATCAAATTTTTTTTCCATAAAAAATTTTTCTATTAAAAAAATTTATATGTTCACTCACGGAGTGTGTTTTTGGCCAAAAAATAGTGATTTTTCTAATGGTTTGGTCACTCACGGAGGGGGGGGAGTAAGTAAGTTGTGGTCAACAGATAGGCTGGATCATTGGTTTCTATCGTAATAGTGTTAGTTATATCAGTAGAATTAGAGTCACTTCTCCAGTTATAGTAAAATATTTCTGTATTCCAATCTAGGCTTGCAAGAGAGTTTGCAGCGTAAATTGAGTATTTTCCTGTGATTGGCGTAAGGGTAATTCTGAAAGGCTGCTTGGTTTCAGCTGTATAATGAGCTGTGAAGTAATAAATTCGGTAGTCTCCATCAGTTACATTATATACAGTATCTTTTTGAGGATGGCCAGGGTAGAGCTGGATTGTGGTGTTTTTTATTGGAAGCGTTTCTTTACTCCAGCTTCCCCTTCATGGAGAAAATATTTGGAAAATTCTATTTTTTTTGGCCAAAACCCCATAGCAATCAACAATTTTTCTAGTATTAAATTTTTTTATAAAAGCATATATTGAGTGTAATTAATAATTATTATAATAAAAATCTCTAGTTAAATCTGTTTACTTAAAATAGTTTGCATTTTAAAAAATAAATTTCGCATATTATATTAATTTTCGTATTTCAAAAAAAAATTAACCCCCTCTTATCAAACAAATTTTTTGTTCGCTCGCGGATGAGGATTTAGCAACAATGGAAAATGTGGTTGTAGATGCAGAATACACAGCTACATGATAAGATCCTATTAAGTCTTGTTTGCCGTCTTCACCTCTGACATATGAGACAGAATCAATTTCAGTTGCAGCTTTATTTGATGACTTCTCAAAGAAAGTAATATTTGGCTTACCAATACTAGACACATATAAATCAGGATTCCCTATTATTGGGGTCAGTGAAAAATCAACCTGAGTCGCTGTAATATTAAAAACATCATACACAAAATATTTATATCCCGACCCTTGTATACTCCCCGACGTAGGCCTTCCATCTTGAAGTCTCAGCTCTGAACTAAGATCAAGTAAGGCAACTACTGTAAAATAGCTAGTCTGGACACTAGCCCCTGCGACCCCAATAATATACTTACACGTCTGTGCCTTGTTGCATTTGTTTGACCTATGAGCAATATTAATAGTATCACTTCCGGTCGAATGGTTTGAATAGTGAATATCCAGTCCTGGATTAGTAATATCTTCTTTCTTAAAAACGCACTCGTAAATATCACCACTTGTACAAAGCTTTGCATACAAATCAGGATTTCCTTCTAGCGCTGTGACCTGTACAGTAATGTTGTAGTTTACGTTAATTTGAAGCTCAAAGTAGAATAAATCTACATCAAGGTAATTCACATACCCAGTCTTGGGGCTTGCCATGAAAAACGTTGTGAATAGATTATGCATTTTTCTAGTAAAAATACGTTAATTTTTTCATAGGTTTTTTATAAAAAATTCCTATGACTTTTAGGAAAAAAAATTTGCTTTAGTTTTTTTTTATTACCCAGTCTCTGGGACTCCAGCTGTCAAAGGAGTAAAGCTGTTTTGATTGATAGACACAGTCAATGAATAGGTAGAATCCATAAACCCACATATAGAAATATAATAAAATCCAGTTGGGCTTCCTAAAGACTGTCTCATTTCTTTGTCTATAATAAGTGTATCATTCCCATACTTTCTCGCTGCAAAATCGAACTCAGTTATAGAAGGAACCTTTCCAGCACTTACATATATATCGGCATCGCCTGAGAATGGGGTCAAGTTAATAACTAAAGTCTCATTTGGATCATCCACTGCGATAAAATATGCGTTACATTGTCCACCTCCTACAGTTCCTCTAACAGGCACTGACGCTTGCAAAGATTGGATGTTGTTGCTTGGAGTAGTCGCTGTTATGGTATATTGGGTATCAGTAAGCGCCACAATGACTGCTCTATATGTTTCGTCATTTTTAAGACTTTCAGTATAAAAATCTTGACCTGAATGCCAGTTGTGCTCGATTGGCAAAGTATTGTCTGCGGTCGGAACAGTATCCCCTTTGTTTACAAAAAGCTGAAATTCCCCAAAAGTCGCTGAGGCCGCAATTTCTAGGAAATTCCAATTGTTTTCTGTCACAATTTTATATACGGCTTGTCGGCCTGCTGTGAGATTTCCGGATATTGGCATCCCTGAAATCAGAATAATTTCGTTTGTATAGGCCACTGTAAGAGCATATCTGCAATAAGTATAGCATGAAACCAGAATAAAGTAATCTGTGTCATTCTTTAGCTCTGAAGGGGAGATCAAAATTGAGCCTATTCCAAATGCAACGCTAGCCCAGTTAAAATTAGTTACAGTTGGAATTTCGCCTACTTTTACGTACATATCTGGGTCTGACCAATCTGAAAATGTTGTAAGGGAGATTGCGAGATCTTCCTCTGGGATGAGACTAGAAATATGGAACTTGTATACTTTGGTGCCACCAGCTATATTCGTAACATTGTTTGTCACAGTTCTCCCATCTTCGATGTCTATTGCATTCTGAGCAGAAGAAAGGCTGAAGACTGCAATCAGCCATAATGGAAACATTATTATTATTCACCTAATGGTTGCTATGTTTTTATATCATATGGATTGTCTATATTTCTTTGTATACCCTTTATAGGGAATTTTACGATTTTTTAAATGTCAATTTTTATAAGCGTCATATTTAAAGATTAAGAAATTTTGAGAAATAAGTTTAATAGCCAATTACTTGAATTCCTGACCCGCCAACCTTGCCTAGACAAGTTCCAAGGTAAAACCCGAAATCCTTCCATCTTTTGGCTTCAAAGAATTTCATAGCTTGGTCTAGATACCAGTGAATTTCTCTTTCATTGACTTTAAGGCTTTTATTTTCAGCAAAACTAAAGGTAAGAGGGTTTTGGAATACATTTAAAGAGTGATACACCCTTGATAAGTCTCTTTCTACAGGGTTGCAATCAAGGAATCTTGGGAATTGATTTAAGGCTGCAGCAAGGTATTTAAGGGTTTGGGTTGCAGATTCTGCAGTAGAAAGTTTATAGCTAGATATAGCCAAGGAGAAATTTTCTGAAATTTTGTCGGTCCCTGATATGCAATCTTTGATTTCAGGGTATTGAGCTTCTGTTGGAAGGCCTTCAAGTAAACCTGAAATTATTTGATGGACTTCAAGGTCATTTGGACTTGTGGATTCAGCTCTGACTCTTCTAGCTGAGAAGCCTGAGTTGAAATCTAGGACAGCTCCAATCAAAAATGCGAGAAAGAGTGCTCTCATTTTATTATTTCACCACAAATATGAGTTTTTATTAAGAGTGAGAAGTTTTTAGGTTTAAAAGAATTTAATTAAGATAATTAAGAAAATGCTTGTAGACCTGTAATTCCTTTTCCAATGATAAGTGAATGTATATCTGCGGTTCCCTCATAAGTATTAACTGCTTCTAGATTCATAGCATGCCTCAAAACATCGTACTCATCCACAATTCCATTCCCTCCCAACATATCTCTAGCTTCTCTAGCAATCTGTAACGACTTTTGGCACGCATTTCTTTTTAAAATCGAGACCATTTGAGGAGTTATTTTGCCTTCATCCTTTAATTTAGACACATGATACGCAGCTAATAATCCTAGAGATATTTCGGTAGCCATATCAGCTAGTTTTTTCTGGATTAATTGGGTTTGTGCCAAAGGTCTCCCAAATTGTTTTCGTTCTAATGTATAATTTCTAGCAATTTTATAGCAAGCTTCAGCAGCTCCAAATGATGACCAAGCGATCCCAAACCTAGCTTCCCCAAGACATGATAAAGGCCCTTTCATCCCTCTTACTTGCAGCATATTTTCTTCATCTAGCTCTACGTCATGAAAGCTGACGATACCTGTTGAGCTTGCTCGTAAAGAAAGCTTTCCTTGGATTTTTGTTACTGAAAGTCCCGGGGTATCTTTTTCTAGCGCAAAACCTATGACGTCTCCAGTTTGGTCTTTCGCCCAGACTACAAAAACATCAGCAATAGGAGAGTTTGAGATTCATATTTTAGAGCCGTTTAGAACATATTTTGAGCCCTTTTTTTGAGCTCTTGTTTCCATGGCCTCAGGGTTAGACCCATGGTTTGCCTCCGTTAAGCAAAAGCAGCCAACATAATCCCCAGACTCCAACTTAGGGACATATTTTTCTTTAATGGAATTTTTAGCATAACTCCTTAATGGGAATAACACAAGTCCATTTTGGACACTTAAAGAAGTTCTGTAGCCACTGTCTACAGCGTCTAGTTCTTTATTAATAAGTCCATAAGCAACATTGCCAATGGGTTCATCATGGAAGTATCCTTGTTCGCCAAGGAGTTTAATTATATCTCTCTCCCCAGATTCAGTTCTAAAATCTTGCAAGATTTTAGGCTTTAGTTTTTGCTGAGCAAAATGTCGGGCGCTATCTCTTATTAATTTTTCTTCTTCTGTTAATAAGCTTTCAAGATTTAAAGGATCTTCCCATGAAAAGGATATGCTTCTTTGAGCTACTCTTCTTATCGAACGAATCATGGCTGGATTAAAATTTTACATAAAATATGGACAGTTTAAAACAATGATGGGAATTTAATGTTAAATTTTATTTAAGGTAACAAATCTTTGGCTGAAGATTAAAACCAAAAACTAGGAAATAAACGAAAAATTAAAATTTTTTAAGATTAATAGTTCGGGAAGGACTATCCCTATTAAAGTTTTAAGTATTGGAAACTGTTTTAATTAAACAAAAAATTAATTGCTATTCACCTTCACTTTAATTATGTGAAATTCTTTTTAACTAAAGTTCTAGTTTGCTATGATTTAAACTTGGTATTTTCGCTTTTATATTTTCATAAGAAAACTGCATGTTATTTGATTATAAGATTGAATAAATATTTCTTTGAGCTGCTCTTCATATCGAACACATTCTAGCAGGAATGAAAAAATTTTACAACAAGGACAGCTTAAACAATAATACAATAATTCTTTGGTTGGAGGTTTAAACAAAAAGGATAAAAGAAAATAAATTATTTATAATTATGAGGGCTTGGGACGTACATAAAGCTTGGAAAGAGTGTAATCCCAACTAAATCTAAAACTAAGAATGCTATTTTTTATCAAGCAAATAAATTTACGAAAGCACTCAACTAGTATGATCAAATTTTTCTAATTAAAGAATTTCTTAAATCTCCAGAAATTGATCAATTAAAACATCACTAATATCAGGTTGAAAATTAATGCTACTGTGATCTTTTTCGTTTATAATTCCTATTTACTTTTTTCCAATTATGGTTCAGCTTTTCTTTGCTTATCTTGGAGATGTATTCCTGTAGAAAATGCTAAATTTCTCATTTATATCCCTGCTAGAAATGCTAATAATATCTCGATACTGTTTTTGAAAGGCTTGATTCATATCTTAACTTTTTTGCTAATTTTTTAATTGTGATTATCTCTTTTATGCCTCTATTTATTATCCTCTTTTAATTTTTTAGCTTCTTCTTTATTTTTCTTATATTTATATTTATTCAAATCCTTCTCTTACTCCCAGATCTGTGAGTGAACAAAAATAGTTTGTTACTCATAGAGGATTAATTTTTTTAAATTTAATATAGAATTTTATAGTTCGAAATTTAAAAAAAATTCCAAATTCACAAGAAATGGAAAGCAAAAATTAGTTTAATTTGTAAAGTTTATATTTTAAAATGCAAATGGTTTAAATTTCAACAGGCTTAGCTTTATCTCATTATAATAATTATCACTTATATATCAAAATATTTTTTCTTAAAAAATTTTTTGTTCTCCCGCTGAGGCTGAGTTTCGGTCAAAATGCATATTTTTCTAACTCCCCCCTCCGTGAGTGTGAACAAAACCATTACTCCCCCCCCCCTCCGTGAGTGAACAAAACCATTAGAAAAATCGCTATTTTTTGCCCAAAAAACCCACCTCCGTGAGTGAACAAAAATTTTTTATGGAAAAAAAAATTGATATATAAATGATAATTAGTATAATGAAATCTAGAGCTAATTCTGTTTAATTTTAAACGAATTGCGTTTTAAAACATAAATTTTATAAATTAAATTAATATTTGCTTTCCAATTTTTTGCGAATCAGGATTTTTTTAAATTTCGAAAAAAAATATTTTTTATAATTTTTATATATAAATTTTTTTAAAAAAAAAAATTACCCCCCTCCGTGAGTGAACACAAAATTTTTTTGTTCACTCATGAAGGGGGGGGAGTAATGATTTTTTTCTCACACAGAGGGGAGTTAGTATTTGGTAAAACCTGGCTGAGTCTACCTGGCTTACGGCTCTAGTGTTTTGGAATGATAAAAATTATTACTTCAAAAACCTAGGTAATTTACTGTGGTAGAGCCAAGTGGAGTCAGGTAGAGCTAAGTGGAGCCAGGTAGAGCCAGGCAGAGTCAGGTAGAGCAGGTAGAGCAGGTAGAGCCAGGCAGGTTTGGCCAAGCATGTAGCTTCTTCTTTAAACTCTTCCCTTATCTGGATTACTCGAAAAATATTGTGATTCTATTCCCTAACTCTCTTGAATTGACACTGAAAGCATTAACAGCCTTTTAAAATGAAATTAATCAGATGGTTCAACCATGATTATATTAATTTTTGTTTTCAAGCAATTTTGCGTTTTCATGTAAGAAGATATAAGAAAAAGTTGCTATCATTTGGAAACAGTAAGTAATTATATTTCAAATATAATATGCATAATTGCCACACTTTTCGATACTCCCAAATTTTCTCTGTCTATTTTTATTATTGATCTCATTGAATATGGGTGCATTTTATTTCTTATTGCACAATCAAGACCATTTCATTATAATAAATGGAATCTAGAAGGCTTCAGAAAGAGTTCGAAGAGCTTTTCAAGCTGAGCGCTCCAGGCACCCAGAGCATTGTATCAGCTCACATGGTTGGTAATGATATGCATCATTTAAAAGGAATAATCAAAGGACCAGTAAGATTTTATATCAGTAGCCAGACACACCTTATAGTGGCGGAACCTTTATCGTAGACATCACCATTCCTCCAGATTATCCTTACAAGCCACCAAAAATGAAGTTCGATACCAAAATTTGGCATCCAAACATTTCATCTCAGACTGGAGCTATCTGTTTAGACATCCTTAAGGATGAATGAAGCCCTGCCTTGACCATCAGAACTGCCCTACTCAGTTTACAAGCTTTATTGTGCGCTCCAGAGCCTGACGACCCTCAAGATGCTGTTGTTGCAAGCCAATATAAAAACCATCCTCAAGAATGGGCAAGAACAGCAAGACAATGGACCCAAGAATACGCCAAGGATATTGAACAGGTCCATAGGGAACAGATTCAAAGACTAATGGAAATGGGATTCGAAGAAGAAGTGGTAAGAAAAGCTTTAGAAAGTGCAGGATGGGATGAAGAAGCTGTCGTGAATTCTTTATTAGGCTAATAAATAATTTATTATCTAAAACTGCTTATGGAATTCACGTCAGTTATAAAGAGAATTTTCATAATTTTTTAAACATTTTACAATGAATGACCAAGAGATTATGGCCCTTCCTCCTGAGGAGAGGCTAAAACTGTATGTGGAGCAGCTTCAAGAATCCCGCAGAAAACACCAGCAGGAAAAAGAAGAAGCCAAAGCTAAGAAAATTGAAGAAAAAAAGCGTGAGAAATTCTTAAAAAAGCAAAAGGAGGACAAGTTCACGATAAATCCAAAGTCAAGGCCTGTTTTTAAGCTCGGAGAGCGATGTACCCCAGAAGCATTTGACAATAAAACTGCGACTTATTTACCTAGATCTGATTTGACTGCAACTGAGCTTTATCATACAGCTCATTTTATTCCAAGGTCTTATAAATATCCTGAAGTCCCATTCAGATTGACATGCAACAATGGTGACGAGTTCGGACACCCGAAATCAAGCTTACTTACTAATTCAGGGAAACAGTTGGTTCAGACTAATATTGCGAAGTTTGAAAAAGAAGTTGAACATCGTCGTGAAGAAGAAATGAAACCAAAAATAGTTCATTTTGGACCAAGATGGGAGCCAAGTAAAACTCATGGAGGCAGTTTTAGCGTTCCCCCAACAGATGATTATCATCTTTATGCCCAAAACATAAAGCCTAAATATTTTCAAAGCAAGCCAATGCTCCGAACATCTCGATACGGTGGTCTTTTTTCATATCCTTAACAATTCTAATACTCAAAATCTATTATTAAAGCTAATTAGTTCAGAAATCGGTTAATTTTATGCTCTTAACCATTGCATTATAGTTTGGTCATACCCACCAGCACTAAAAATGCGTCTATCATCATGACTCCACTTCACGTTCATCACATGCTCTGAGTGTCCTCTAAAGGCTTGTGACTTTGCTCCAGCATTATTCGGGAACCCAAATATTTCTACCAAACCCCAGTCATTCCCTACAGCTACCATTTCTCCATTGTGGCTTCTATCAACTCTATTCACATGGGTATAATCCACGACCCCTCCAAAAATGCCTTGAACTGGCCATCCGAAATGAGTGCTCCAAGTTGCCCAGTTTTCGTCCTGGTACCTGGTGCAGCCATCTGGGACTTGTTGACCAGTGGTAATATCCCAGAAAAGCAGCTCATAAGCTCCACAAGTAGAATGCATAGCACTTCCGTCAACGCTCCAGTCAATTGCTGTGATATATGAGGAATGCTTATTAAGCTTATGGATCAGCTTATAGTTCTGGGCTACATTGTAAATGTAGACTGCGTTATCATGAGACCCTACTGCAAGTTTGCTGCCGTCTGGGCTGTATCTGATAGCTTCGCTCCATTCTTTAGGGTCTTTTAAGGTGAATACAACAGTGTCCAAAGCTCTGACTCCTTGTCTGATGGTCACTTTTCCATCATTGTGGGTTACAGCTACATGTCCATTTTGAGGGTGTATTGCAATTCCACGTGCTTGTTGATTTGGAGTGGTGGTTGCTAAGGTGCTGGCTCCTGCGCCTGCTTTGCGCTCAACTCCTCTTGCGTTATCAAGAGTGCCTGAAGAAATGCATTTTCTTTGAGCAGTGTCCCAAGCTTTTACTTTATTGTCGTCTCCTACAGTCACAATGACGTTATTATTGCTTGGGTCATTGGCAACGCCCCAGATTTCTCCATCAGAATGGGATTCCATCAGGACTGTGGCGCTTCCGCTTGAGCTGAATTCTTTGATTGAGCCGTCTCTTAACCCTGCCAAAATATTGCTGCCACTCATATCAAGGGATTTTGGACAAGACCCAGCATTAATTTCTTTGGTTTTCTGGAAATTTTTGTCGAGGATGATGATTTTGTTGTCTTTGCCTCCTGAAATGATAGTGTCGTTTACTATAGAAAGAGCGTGGATGCATTGGTTTGGTCCATGGACTTGGACTGTTTTTCTGAGTTCTCTATCTTGCCAATGATAAAGCATGCCATTTTGGCCACCAGTCACAGCTGTACCATCTCCGAACCATTGGGCAGAAGTCATATTAGTAGCTTCCCCTTGTGAGCCGAATAATCCTTTATTGTTGGTTAGAGTGCCATTATCTAAAGTCCAGAAATAAATATGTTTAATTCCAGCTGTGCAGAATTTCAGCTCAGTTTTGCTCCAGCAGACGTCTAAAATTTTGTCTGGACCTCCTTTTTGTTCAGCAACTTTTCGGCCAGTTGAAACTTCCCATACGCTGACGTAGTGATCATTATGCATGTCACAGGCTGCTAAATATCGCCCATCAAAGCTGAAGCCTAAGCAGCTGACTGCTCTGCGACCTCTACCCAGTTTTACGTCAACTCTTGGGCCAGCTTCTGGATTGCTGACACTCCAAACACAAATTTTAGGATTTTGGCCAACTTCTCCAGTAGCGACCAAATCTCTGTTTGTGGTGACTGCAAGGGCTGTTATGCCAAGCTATAAAGCCTAAAACTGATTAAATTATATAAAAAATCAAAAAATTCTTACTCCCCCCCCCCCTCCGTGAGCGAACAAAAAAATTTTGTTCGCTCACGGAGGGGGGTTAATTTTTTTTTTTAAAAAAAAATTTATATATAAATTTTTATAAAAAAAATATTTTTTTCGAAATTTAAAAAAAATCCTAATTTGCAAAAATTGGGAAGCAAATATTAATTTAATTTGCAAAATTTATGTTTTAAAACGCAATTTGTTTAAAATTAAACAGAATTAGCTCTAGATTTCATTATACTAATTATCACTTATATATCAAAATTTTTTTCCATTAAAATTTTTTCTATTAAAAAAATTTTTGTTCACTCACGGAGGGTGGGTTTTTGGTCAAAAAATGGCGATTTTTCTAATGGTTTTGTTCGCTCACGGAGGGGGGGGGGGGGGGGGAGTTAGTCAATGTCTTTGCAATTAGATATATATCATCACTGTGGCCATTAGCTTGCTTTACATTGCCAGCTCCAAAGAATTTTTGGGTGTTGTTAGACTTGTCAAGGACAACACCTAGGGCTGCAGTCATATAGACAACTTGGTTTGGGTTGCTGGTATAGAACAAGTTTTGTCTAGAATCAAAACATCTGTACCCATAGGCGTACTCAAGCCTCATATTTATGTTTGGTGGCTGGTTTTGGAACGCAGGTGCGTTAGAAGGCGCTTTAATTGCTCCAAGCCATGGTTTAACAGCTAAAGCTTGTTCTCCTGCTCCAGCTTCTTCCATTTCAAAGAGCCCGACCATTGCTTGGTTGTCTTCAGGACGCTGCTCTGATCTGTCATAAATTGAGATTTGGTTGCCTTTTTTATCAGTTCTTGTCCCACTGATTTCAATCATCAAATCATGGTCTTCAGCTGAAGTCTGATTTGCTGAAGGTTTTACCTGAGCTGAGCTGCCTTGGTTGCTAGACCCTGTAGTTGGAGCTTTTGCTTCGTTTTTTGATCCTCCACACCCCATGTTATTTATTATAAGTTATCGTATAACTGCCATGATGTATGGGAAATTTGACGAATAAATCGCGAGAAGTGTAACGGACTTGTGAAGGAATAATGTACAAATATGTGGATTTAGCAAGAGTGCTCACTCTGTTTATATGATAATAATTTCTTATAAAGAATTTTGAATATTTAAATACAATTAAAATTAATTATTATATGGAGAGTTAGTAATTTAGTATCATTGAAATATTGTGCAGCTTTATTAGATAACGTTTATAATTATAATTTTAGTATTTTTTACCCTGTTATGCTTAAAAGTTTAAACTCTACACACGTATGAGCTGGCTTGGGTGACATATCGTACCCATCTGTATGGGGAAGGGACTTTTCCTTGGTCTGCTATCCTCAAATATTTCACTTGCATATTTGATGCGTTATACATGGGGATTTCAAAGGCTAACGGGGATTGCTTAAATTATAGTAAAAGGTAGTTTTTAGTGAACAATGACAGAGGAATTCTGTAAACTAAGCGAAGCGGTATCTTTGTAAACTATCAAGGCAGAAACTCAAAAATTTATTTTATATTGAATTTAACGGTAATTTTTTAAAAAAAATTCGGAAAAATCTAAATTATCAAAAGAGGATGTTTGCTAAACTAAGTCAGAACAGCCTTTTAAAAGAAACATAAGCAAAGTATTTTACCAAATTCTAGAGAAGATAATTTAAATAAATTATGGATGTGGAACCTGCAATTTTTAATAAAAGCTTACTCAGTTATTGACTTAAATTCCAGATAGAGTAGTTATCCGAATTACGTTGAGCTACATTTTTATGAATTTTACTATATTTATGCCTTTTTTGTGAGATAATTTTAAAATATATAACTAACCTCTATATATATTGACTGCTAACTAAATATTTGGAAAAATATAAACATATAAATAAGATAAATTCAACATGATTTTTGCGTGAATTTATCACAACTACTATACACTTTAACGCCATTCAAAAATATCAAAAAATCTTAAATAAATTACTTAAGGAGGACTTAATTAACTTTCGTTGCTAGGTTCTTTTCGAATTATTGGTAAAAACCCACTATAAATCCCGACTAGGAGAGACGTAAAAAAAAATTATTTTTATAATAATTTTACTATATTTCAAAAGGAATAATCTATAAATAGCCAAACTAACTAAAATTATCCACTTTTAAGTCTTACATAAAGGCTTTCTTAACGTTTTGTTCCACTGTGCAATAAGAGCTACTGGAAGTAAATAGCATAGTTTTTCAAGATCCTCTTCATTACTTGCACCAAAACCTTTTTTAAACATCATAAAAAAATTTTAAAAATAAATTTTTTACATCTCTCCTAGTCAGCATTTTTAGTGGATTTTTACCAATAATTCTTAAAGGACCTAACAAACAAATTTAATTAAGTCCTCTTTAAGTAAAATTATTATAAAAATAATTTTTTTTTACGTATCTCCTAGTCGGGATTTATAGTGGGTTTTTACCAATAATTCGAAAAGAACCTAGCAACGAAAGTTAATTAAGTCCTCCTTAAGTAATTTATTTAAGATTTTTTGATATTTTGAATGGCGTCAAAGTGTATAGTAGTTGTGATAAATTCACGCAAAAATCATGTTGAATTTATCTTATTTATATGTTTATATTTTCCAAATATTTAGTTAGCAGCCAGCATATATAGAGGTTAGTTATATATTTTAAAATTATCTCACAAAAAAGGCATAAATATAGTAAAATTCATAAAATGTAGCTCAACGTAATTCGGATAACTACTCTATCTGGAATTTAAGTCAATAACTGAGTAAGCTTTTATTAAAAATTGCAGGTTCCACATCCATAATTTATTTAAATTATCTTCTCTAGAATTTGGAAAAAAAAAACTTTGCTTATGTTTCTTTTTAAAAGGCTGTTCTGACTTAGTTTAGCAAACGCCCTCTTTCGATAATTTAGATATTTCCGAATTTTTTTTTTTAAAAAATTACCGTTAAATTCAATATAGAATTAAATTTTTGAGTTTCTGCCTTGATAGTTTACAAAGATACCGCTTTGCTTAGTTTACAGAATTCCTCTGTCATTGTTCTCTAAAAACTACCTTTTACTATAATTTAAGTAATCCCCGCTAGCCGATTTCAAATTGCATTGAAATAGGGCCTATTTCTTTTGATGAAGCAGAGGCACTTAAGCTGATTTTAGCTTTGATAGCATGCTCAGCGTTTCCAGGGAATTTTTTAATATTTCATTCAGCGAGCTTTTCTTGGTCTCTATATTCTGATTGCTGTCCGCTGAGTCCTTTTGGCATTTCAAACATGACGGATGTTGTCGTCTTAGGCAAGTTAAATTTCACTGATACATTTGACCCGAATTGGCTTTCTGGGAAGCATGATTTAATTTTTACCAAAATCTCCACTTTATAAGGCGTTAAATTTTCCACGAATGGGAAAATCCTAAACGGGGTCTGATAGTCTCCTCTGATTCTGTAGTTCATTGCAATGAATTCTCCATCAGGAGGATTAATTGTCAGAATCTTAAATTCATTAAATTCACTTGAGCTTACACATTCGTGGAAATTACAATCATCTAGCACGACGCTCCCATAATTTCCGCTTCCTCTTCCAATAACTAAATCTTCATTTAATGCTAGCCTGAGCTGAGGATTTCCATATAAATATACAATTTACCTTTAGTTGCCCATTATTTCTGTTATAATTTTTTCATTTTGCTATGGGAAATTAAAAGGAAAAGGTTATATGATTTCATCTGAATGCATCCGTCTATTGACGAATTCAATATATATCCATTAGAATTGAACAGTACTGACACTTTTTCTAAAATATCCACAAAAATCTCATTCTTTTGCTTCTTCGAAAGTGGCTTCTGAGCTGCAATATGAGGGACTGTATTAGAAAAAGGGTTCGACTTAAGTAAAGATGTAGACTGGTCTATTGCAACTGGATCGTTCACGATAAAAGGCCTGACTTGTTCAGCTGAAGTACTCTGAGGGTACCCATAGTCAATTATTTCATCAATTATCTCATATACCAGCACAAAATTTTTTCTTATGCTTTCTTCAGTCAAAATTCCACAGAAGTCTTTAATTACTGTGACTAGCCTATAAAGCAAGTCAAATGCATATGATGGGGATACGTTGTGAAGGGTCGTAACGACTAGGTAAAGCCCATTTCTTTTTATGTGGAGAAAATTAATTCCTTCAATGTTAAATGCTGGGGGTGGGTCGCCTTTCCAAAACTTTGCTTTCCTGAAGAATATTTCATTGGTTCCACGGGCGAGATCGCCTCGAAAATCACGAGTAATTATGGTATCACCTCTTGCTGAAAGAATAAAAAGCTGAGAAAGCATTTATTCTAACACAATTTTGATGTATTTCATAATAGGGATGCTAACTCACCCACGTGAGCGAGCAAAACCATTGGAAAAATCCTTATGCTTTGGTAAAAACCCACCCTCCGTGAGTGAACAAAAAGTTTTGATATATAAGTGATAATTAGTATTATGAAATCTGGAGCTAATTCTGTTTAATTATAAAAGTTTGCATTTTTAAACATAAATTTTAGAAATTAATTCAATATTAGCTTAAAATTGGGATTTTTTTAAATTTTTAATAAAATATTAACATCTCATAAACAACAAAATTTTTTTGTTCGCTCACTGAAGGGGGAGTGATAAAATTCAGATTATTTATAAATCATAATTAGAGCTATTTTAATGAAACTTTTAAAAAATTTTGCGCTAATTTTTAAAGGTTCAGGTTTATTAGTTACTAAAGCTGACTTATTTATTTTCTATTAAATTATTTATATGTATTTTCATGCAATTTTATCTAAATTCATTTTACAGCAATAAGCCAAATTTACACAAAGCTTAAAAATAAAAGATAATCATTAGATAAATTTCAGGAAAATCCCATTTAAGAACATTAATGAATATCAGTTGCAAATATGGAGACAATAAATCGTATCTGGATAGAACTTGAGAGCCAAAAGTATCAAAAACTTTACACCCCACTTGAAGAAGAAATAATAATCCCTAACCCTTTTTCTCAAAACGAATATATCCTGACTCACTCATTTGTGCACTCAAACAATAACTTTATAGCAAAAGATCTAGATGGATACATTTTTCACATAAAAATTTTTTCTTGTTCTTCTTATGAAGATCTGAAGTTAATTCACCTTAATCTTAAGATTATCCGAGAGCATACTGAAAGTCTAAACTTAGTGCAGATAGTGGACGTATTTGAATACAAGGAGAGAAACTCATGGATCGTCATTTGTGTATTAGAAATGCTGGATGGGCTCACTATAGAACAATTTAGAGAGCTTGTGGATGAGCTGAATTTATTAGATAAGCTGTCTAAAGAGTTTTGTATTTCTATATTTTTAAAAATTATAGAATTGATTGAAGAATCGCATAATAGAGGAGTCTTAATAGGCAATCTTATGCCAAATACAATTTATATTTATAGAGATTATGAAGAGGAAGGATTCGCTTCATATAAAATAAAGGTTGCTGTTACAACAAAAGAGCCGAGCAAATCTTCAAAATTTTTGCATCTTTATTATCCTGAAAATAAAAAAAAGCAACTTAAATATAAAATTTGGGGAGCTGGGATTTCTTTATATAATTTAATTGGGCAGAAAAATCTTAGCGAAATCTCATATCAAGAAATAGAAGAGAGTGCTAATCCAGATTTACCTCTGAGGTTTAAGGACAATGCTTTAATATCTCTTCTCACAAAATGCCTAAAAGGTGACATCTCACAATCCATTTTTCAAGATCCCTTTATTACTTCCTGAAAATATCTATTCGAAAACGACCAATCTTTAATGCAAAAAATTCAAGTCAGCGAAATGCCTGTGCTTGCTTCCGGTCTATCATTTGAGCTTGACCTCAGCAAAGAAAAATGCACCAAAAGAATCTTAGAGCTTGCCCTTGAAAATACTTCAGAAGTCGCTCTATATCTCAAAGAAAAAGAAACAATTTGCACTTTTATCAAAACCAGCATCCATCTCTGTTTAAGTTCGTACTCGAATCATCTTATTACACCTTTACTTGTCATTTTATATAGAAAAATTGAAAGCAAAAAGCTAAAAAAATGGCTCGTAAAGTCAGGTTTTTATTCCTTAATTCAATCTCCTATGATTTTTTTAGCAAATATTAATTTACTTTGCAATTTTTCTAGTAAATTTTTAAAAAAAAATACATTGACTTTGCTTCAAATTTTTGCAGACAATGGATTTTTAGATATGGCATTTGAGGTGGATTCTAGAGGAGGTGGGGGAGAGCTGCATGATTTTCTGGACTCAACTTTGCCATATTATGGGCCAAATGCTATAAACCTTATAGAAAATGCTTATAATTCAGCAAAAACGACAACTCCATTGAAAGCATTGAAACTCAAAGCTATGCAGAGGCTTAGTGAGGTACCTTATCATTTTAGAATTGAGCACTGTCAAGTGACATTGAATTTCATTAATAAAATGATTTCTGCAAAGTCTAAATTTCACAGAGCAAAAGGTATTTCTATTGATTTGCTTGATATCATTATAGATATCTTTATTGAAACTTTAGTTTTTCATGATCAAATCCAAGATCATTATAACAGAGGAACTTGCATATGGTCATGAATAAAACCCCATCCTCTCTATACCAAACTATATAATTTGATAATAAGAAATATATAAGAGATATCGAAGTATTTTCGCTCTTACTCTATAAAACGATTTATGGCTTAATTACACATAATGCAAAAATTTTATAGGGAAGAAATTTTTAGACTAATAAATAAGAGGGTTAATAGAGAAATACGCTGGATTTTGCTTCCTAATTGCATTTAATATTAATTCAGCAGAATTTTGCTTTAAAATCGATAAATAAAAATAATTAATTCAAGCATAATGATATATTTTAGACACATGCAAATTTTAGCATTGATAGCGCTAAATTAATGCATTTTGACAGATTTCATCTGTTTAAATAGCTTATTTTACCTATAAAAAATTTAAAATCTCATTTAAATTTAATACAGAAATACGAGCAAAACTTGCAAACATATAAAAGTTTTGTATATTTTAGAGATATGAAATAAAGTATTAAATATATATGTAAAAATGCTATAAATCGTGTTTTACAAGAGAAAAAGTGCAAACATTGAAATAAATCTAATGTTTCTTATTTTCAAGACTAGATAGTTCGCCATGAGGGGTGGGTTTCATGCTTGACCGTGCATAAGCCACTCAAAATCAGAAAAGTTATCTTTTAAAGCAAAAAATCCTATATTAGTTACCTGCTGTGAATGCCAAAATGTTGCATTATGCACTGTTTGCCGGGCTGTAAAGCATTCAGGCCACAGTAAAAGTCAAATGTTTTTGCATTATTATCAAGAAATTACTAGATGCAATTGCAAAGATGAGCATAAAGATTATGAATTAGGTGGAATACGCTTTATCCTTCCTAAATTCAGCCAAAATTTTGCTTTTAAGCTGCAAAATGACAGTATCCAAGAATCGAATATTTTTGAAGGAGACGGAGAAACACGTATAACCACTGAAAATTCTATATCATTGGCCCAACAGTCTGCAAATCAAGATATTCATGCCTATTTCGAAGTAAAAATATACAAAGCAGGGTCTCTCGAAGATATTACTATAGGACTTGAAGGGACAGGAATTTCATATTGTGGAAACACAGGAGGGATTTATTTAAATGCATTAAAAGTAGAAACTGGCCCTAGGTTTGGATCGTATGATACAATTGGGATGGGACTTACAATGACCTCTAAAGTTTTTATTTCTTATAATGGAGTTGTTATATATCCTTTAATTGACTCAGAAATAAAAAGAGAAATAAAGCCATTTGTAGTAGCCAAAGGGGATAAGTGGAAAATTGAAATAAAATTTGACGAATGGATGCTGAAAAGCACAGGTGCTTCAATGCTAAGGGGAGAAATTCTGATGTCAAGCCAAGAAATAATTCAAAAATTAAACAAAAGGATCAAAGAAGTCAAGAAAAAGGAAAAAAATGATTGCAGAGAATTGACTGATAAATTTCAATTTTTAAGAGAAGAAATAGAAAGAACTATAAGGTAATAATTAATTGGTGATAAAAAATCAATACAAGTAATAATGAAATACTTATGCTAAGAACATAATTTAAATTGAAATAATAGACAACAAATAATTAATCCTATTGATTATCAATAAAATATTTTTATGATTCATGTTATCTATTGAGTTTAAATAAATGTGATCTTAAACTTAAACTTATAGGGAGGCGTCTGCCATATTGGTTACGCAGTCACCAAGGACCTACCCATACGGGTGGTTCATCCGCTTTGCGCCGTCTTCAGCTTCGCCTTGATCGAATTGGGGCAATGAATCGCTGGGCAAGTGTTCAGCTCTGACACCACCTTTCTTCTTCTTCAGCGCCTGATGCCATGGCACCCCTGAAGTGTAGTTCTGCTTCGGACGTCTCCTCCTCCCCTTTCGGGTCCAGTGTTGAGTGGGCGGACTATGGACTTCTGCGGCTGCTGCATGTGTCACGAGGTTGACCATCCAAAAATTCCAAAAAATGGAATTTCTGTTCGGCCTTTCGGCAAAAAGGAAAATCTGGATCCGGGACGTAACGCCCGGTTTCACGCTAGGCAGTTGCCCGATTGGTCTGGGTATTACCTGCAGACTCCGCTGGGCTTGCCCTTTCCAAATCCAAACCCTCCTTACCCTCGAGGTAAAACCCAACCTTGAAATCGACTGAGGGCTAGGCTCTGTTCATTACCAGAATTGCTTACCTAGCATTGCTGTCCATTTCTGGATTGGTAAAACCTTGCCGGATATAATTAAAATATGTGTCGAGGCTGCATGGCCGGGAGGCCATGCCCAGACGAAGACGCCATATTTTAATTATTAAATAAATGTGATCATATTTTGAATTGTTAGATATAATTTATTCTAATCTGATATGAACAATCGACCAGCACAAGACCAGCTGCAACAAGCAGAACAAAGGAATCTCGAAGCTCTAGGAAACATCCTACGGGTTGCAAAAGAAACTGAAGAAATCGGCAACGCAACCAGTAAAGAACTTTACATACAAGAGCAGCAAATTGATAGAATCGGCAACAAGTCGAATACAATATCTTCAAATCTCGATAAATCTGGAAAAATCGTCAAAAGCATGGGAAGCTTCATGGGCAGAGTAAAAGGCTGGTTCTCTAAAAATTCAAAAGAAAAGGAACCAGAAATTCAATACCCTAATAATGAACCAATACCACAGCAAAATAATAGAAGTTTAAGAAATCAAGAGCCAGTTCTGGTGGTTCAACCGAAAAAACAGGTGGGATATAATGAAAAAGAAGATGAGCTTCTTGATGAAATAAGCCAATCCGTTGCAAATACGTTAATTTCCGCAAATTCCATTTCTGACGCCCTTGATAGGCAGAATAAGAAACTTGATGTCATACACGAGATATTCTAATTGCCCGAGGATGGCGCTATCTTGCGCCATCCTCGGGCAATTTAAAAAATGGCCCCACACCGGGAATCGAACCCACGTGTGGGGCCATTTTTGGTGCGTGGAAGTCGATGTTCTCCACTAACCAAAAATGGCCCCACACGTGGGTTCAATTCCCCGGTGTGGGGGCCATTTTTGAATTGCCCGAGGATGGTGCAAGATAGCGCCATCCTCGGACAATTACTATAACTGATAGAAACAATAAAAAACTGGAAAACCTGAATGAAAAAACTTTAATGCTTTTAAGATAGAATTTATTATTAAATTTGAAAGAGTTCTATTTACTATAATAAAATATAAAAAAGCCGATAAATTATAAAACCCCTATAGATTTTTTTATATATAGTGATAAATTAGTTTCTTTAAAAATATGATAAATGGATTCAGTCGAAATCTCCAAGGATAATGAAAGACCTTCAAAGTCATATTGAATGGAACAAAACCTCTGCTATATCGCCTGCAAAAAACTACGTGAGATTTTTATTCCTGGATCTCATAATTCTGGGGCATACCGATCTTCAAATAAAATTGTTTCACCTTGGGTGAAGTGCCAATCAAAATCTTTCCTTAACTTCCCATCCTTAATAGACGATATTATTGAAAATTTTATGAAATTAACCCTATACTTGGTCTATACACTTAACATGAAGTCCACTCCCTACACTGCCATAAATCTAGATAATAATGATTATTAAAGATATTGCTGTATAATCACTTATAATCAATTCTAATGCGATTTATAGAATATTTGATATTTGATCTATTAAAAATAAAATGGCTAAGTACGAAAGTGGTTGTCTCCGAGTATCCTTCCTCCTCTGCGATATTTATTATTATGAGATTCAGTTTTCCAAATGGACTTTATCCACAATGTCAATACGAAATTACAGTATAGGGCAAATCAAGAAAGGAGGCATATGGTTTTTACTGTTTCACACCCCGAAGAGGTGACCTTCAAGTGGAATAAGCACTGAAGTCAGATTCTGCGGATAAAAGCGCAGCTCGTGAAGACTTTAGCCTTTTAGTGCGACTTCTGGAATGCTTGCTAAAATCAGATGGCTGCTGACGTAACAACTTGGGAGTCAAAAAAGTGGTTTTCAGTCTAAAAAATCCTGCTAAAGAAAGAAAACGCATTAAAATCTCACTAAATAAGTAAGCATACTTTATCTCTTGGACAGCGAATAAAATATTTTATATTTGGGAAATTTTTTTCTTATATTTTTAAGGTCATCTTTGATCAATGATAACGATCGATTTGATTAAGGATAGAGGGTGTAAGCAGCTTAACGCCGGAGTCCGCTATTTTGACTGTAGGCTTGAATATAGGACTGATTAGAGTAAATGAGATTAACCCTGGCTTATAGTCCCATCTTTCACGAATGGTATTCTGTGCGACATTAGTCACCTGGTTTCACAGCCGAATTGGGGCTCCTACCTCTGGCAGCTCCAAGCCTAGGGCGAGACCCCTGGTTTCTCAGTAGTGGCATTGCTCTGTTGATTCGAAACCTTTGTTGGGCACAACCATTTCCAACTTGGTCCCTTAGACCGCTTAGTGCTGCTGGCAAAAGAATTTTCAAAAAAACTGTCATTTATGTTGTGCTTGGAGGATACCAGATATTATTGGGCCAATTCAAAACTCCAAAAATCATGCCCAGATATACATGGCTACAGTCACATGAGAGGATGGGTCGGACTTCATCGCCAATTTATGTATATAATATAGGACTGATAAAGGTCAAGATCATCTATGGTTTCATCATGGAAAATATGACTGTGACGTTTCTATATTAGCTTTACTAGATGCAGTCACTCAGTTTCTCTCAAGAAGCCCCAAAGAAATAATCATCCTAGACTTCAGCCATTTCCGAAAATTCAAAAAAACTGCCTTTGATGAGCTAAATCAATACTTCACTATTCTCTCAGATGTGCTAATTCTAAAAGATGAAGCAGAACTAACAGTAATCGAGCTCTTAGAACTCGACAAAAGAGTAATGATCCTTACTGATAAGCATGAGTTTGGAAATCATCTCTTTGGAGAATCTATTAATAAATGCCACTCATGGCCTGATACATCTGAAATTAAACAGTTAAAAAAATTTCTGACTCCCCCCCCCTTTAAATTGAAACAAAAAATTTTGTTTCAATTTAAAGGGGGGTTAAGAAAATTTTTTTTATAAAAAAATTTATATATAAAAATTTTTTCAGAGATAAAATTTTATAGAAAATAAATTATATAAATTTAAAGAATTTCATGAAAAATTAATTCATAAATTTCTCAATCTCAAAGTGTAAACTTGCTGAAATGGTATTCTTCTAGCTCTCCCCATAACAATTGGACAAAATAGAGTCTAATTTCTAAATCTTATATGTTTGAAGCATATTAAATAGGGTATTAACGTATTTACATATAAAATAATGATTTTTACCTATAAAAATTTTCTATTATAATAAAATTTTGTTTCAATTTAAAGGGGGGGTAATTTCCCAAAAAAGTAGGAATTTTACCTATATTTTGTTTCAATTTAAAGGGGGGGGGAGTGAAGAAAAAAATAGCCCCTAAGCAAGAACTGTGGCTGTGTCAATGTGTGCTTACTCCAAAGCTATCTACTTGCAAGATGCTTGCAAAGAAATTAAAGCCATATTTGGAGAAATGGTTTGATAGTGTATGGATGGATTATGTAAATATTGTATTTACAGATTTCTCACATGACAATAATATAGTCGATATAGCGATTCGAGCAAACCAAAGAAGAGGGATGTTAAATTAGTTTAATACCAGTGGTATTTTATTAAAAACTATACATATTCTATTGAAAATTATCACTAAAATTCATTATAATTAGCACATAAATTCCCATTTTTGCCTATAGGAAATTCCCGATGATGGCATCTACAGTAAAGGGTCCATACGGGAAATGGGTTCCACGTGTGGAGCCCTTTTTGGCACGTGGAGAATCCTCACTTTCAAGCGCCAAAAAGGGCTCCACATGTGGAACCCATTTCCGGTGTCGACCCTTTACTGTAGTTGCCCGATGATGGCCTATTGAGCGCCATCATCATCGGGCAACTTGTATATCTATGATAAAATTCTCTTATATATAAACATTCATGAAGAAATGGGCCGAAGAACTTGTAGACGCATTCCAGAGCTGCGACAAAACTAAAATCCGCGAAATTTTCAACTGTGGTTTTCCACACAGTGCAGTTTTACATGTAAAAAATTCAGAAGGAGAAATTTTGATTAGCAGAACCTATCCTATTCATTTCGCTGCAGAGTACGGATATCTTGACATTTTGCAAGAACTTGTAACCGCAGGCGCAGATATAAACGCAATTGATTCTTACCAGAGAACTCCTGTAATGGTTAGCTGCGGCATGGGGCATCTAGACATAGTGCGTTATTTAGTAGAAGAAGCTGATGCAAATGTGGTAGGTTTTGACTACAACGGAAACACAGTCCTCCACATTGCCTCCTTAGCAGGCCAATATCATATTTTACGCTACTTAGTCGAAGATTTACAGATTCCTATAAACCTGCCTAATAAATCCAAACAAACTGCTTTATCTCTCTGCCAAAAAACTCAAGAAAAAACAACTGGGGAATTATCATGAAAATTAGAAAGAGTAATTGGCTATCTTGCTTCTCATCAAAATAAGCATACCCCTGCTTTCTTTACGCCCTTAAGGCCTAAACAACATGAGCCAGTTCGACATAGCTGCCATTCAAATTGTATCAGCCGATATAATCAAACTTTATGAGCTGACTCTGTAGGGATCGAAGTCCAGTCATTCCATTCTCCGAAACTGGACCGATTTGCTTTTAGTAAATTTGCACATAATAATTTGAATTCAAGCAGAAAATTTTCATCAGATATTCCATCAGTTGATAGAATGATCAGAAACAAGTGTAATTTAATATATGATAAATATATGAGCAGCCACCAACTTATGGTAAGTGTGAAAGAAAAATCATCAAATCAAAGCTTAATGCCACTGTATAGAAAGTCGTCAGCGCCTTCTTTTAGCGGATTGTCGACATCGAAGTCAAATAAAACAGATTTTCTGTGAAGGACTAATATATATGGTGATATAATAAGCTTAGCTTTAGCATTTTTGCTTGATTTATATATTGCTGGCTATTAGCTGACAGTAAATAATTCAAAATTAATATAAAATATAATAGATTAATTATAAAAATAAAAAAAAGTGAGCTGGTTTGTAGATAACTACTGTAACTTTCTTGCTTTTTATCTTCTCCGGTATAAAAGAAAACAAATCTTCCATTTCTATCATTTGCAAGCCTGTTGTTTCCATTGCCATTTGCAAATGATTTATTTTTAGACCATTTACTTTCAAAAAAATCCAGATCTTTTTGGCTTATTGGCTGAGGCTTTGACCAAACTATCCATCTGACCCCTTCAGTGCATGGAGGGATATTATTTGAGCCTACATAAAGGTAAAAATTGTCTATAACCTGTATATCCCCAAAAGCATCCATTAGGTCTATACTTGCAGGCTGATCAACTGATTTAAGGACTTGGGAGAAAAATGGGGTATTTCCTTTAATTGAGGTATCTAAAGAGTATAATATTGAGAATTTATAAGGGGTAAGAGAATCATCATAATGTAAAATCTGCATTTCTAAGTCATAAGTTTGGTCGTTTAGGGTATGCTCAGCTGGAGAGTGAAATTCAATCTGCACTGCTTTGGCGAGACTAGCGTCATTCGTTGAGTTTGTGCTAATACCGTAGCCCCATGATCCTTTTAATATGTAAGAGTAACTGTTGAAATAGCCTTGTATGCTTAGTTTTACATAGCTGAGATAAATTTGAATTGAGAGATCAGATCTGAAAGGAATTGAAATCGCGATTTCTTTGCTAAGATCTATAGGAGATTGAAAGAATCCTGTTTGGCAGGTGCCTGGCCAGTCGTTTCCATTATAATAGTAGTCAAAATATTGAGTTTGAGCTATAACATATGAGATGCAAAAAAGAGTTGATAATTTTAGAATTGATGCCATTTTCAATTAAATTATGAGAATTATTTATTTAATTTATAATTGAGAACAAAAAACAATTTAATTAATTCTAAACAATTTTTATTTAAAATATTAAGAAGCTATTAAATTTTCTAACAAATAATCACTCAGCATCTTTGGTGCATTTGCAACCATTTCTTTATGAGGTATCAGTGATATAGAAGGTATAGTCCCATCTTTTCTTACTTTAAAAAGCACCGCATAATAAACGTCCCCTGACAGCTTCCTGCACCCCAAAATTTTTGCAGGCTCAGAATTGCTAAAGTCGCCTTTATCATTTTCTATCTCAAACTTATATGTGAATTCTTTGGCTTTTTGGATATTTTCGTCAGGATTTTTATTTTCATCTCCTTCATTTTTTGACATGTTTAATTCTTCTTCAAAGTCTACTTTTTCTTCTTCAGGATTTTTCTGAGTTTCTTCTTGGCTGGAGTTTTCATTTTCCATGCCTGATTTTTCGTTTTGAAATGGGGATTTTGAGCCTTCACTTTTTTCAGGAGAATCTGGTGGAGAATTGTTAACAAGCTCTTTTAGGTCTTTAGGGGGATCAGCTTTTTTTCGCTTTCTAGGCTCTCCTTCATCAAGAGTAGTTTGAATTTTCCCTGGAGTTTCAGCTTTGCGCTTTTCTTGACGCCGTTGTCGTTGCTTTGCGAGTCTTTCAAGCTTTTTCTTTTGTTGCTCTTTAAGTTTTTCTTCCTTTTTTTCCCATTCCGCATTAAATCGGTCTAGAAGTCCAGGCACAGATCTTAAGTTTTCTTCAGGCTCCCAGGTGTTTTCTTCAGAGGAGAAGCCTTCCCATTTGATTTGGTAGGTTCAGCAGTTGAGGCTTGTGGAAAATTTTTTCTCAACAATTGATTCAATTATGTAAAGGGTTTCTTGGTCCCCCATTTAAATTTATTATAAGTTATAAATAAAAATTTTAAATTATTTTGGAATAGTTTTAATGATAAAAAGAATAATTTTTTTTCCTTAAGTTTGTAGATGAAAAGAGTAAGGTTAATTTATAACTATGGCTTAGTTATTTAAAAAATTCTAAAATCTAATTAATAAGCACTATAATGCAAGCTACCCATAATTAATTTAATTAATATTTAACTTTAAAATCAGATTAGATTAAGTCATATCGAGATATTTAGTTATTTAACAATTTTTCCACTATCCCACTCAGCTTTTGACGATTTTCCATTGTCATTAGTAGAGTATCCTGGTCCATGCTTTTTCCCATCTCTCCATTCTCCAGCATACTTTTTCCCATCAGCCCAAGTAAACACCCCAAATCCATTTTTCTTTCCATTTTCCCATTCCCCAATATATTCACGTCCATCAGTCCACGAGTATTTTCCTAACCCATGGAATACATTATTTTTCCACTCCCCAGCATATTTGGTCCCATCAATCCACGTATATTCCCCAACCCCTTCCTTTAAGTTATCTTTATATCCTCCTGTATATACAGTTCCATCAACCCATAGGTTTCTTCCTATCCCATTTTGTTTATCATTTATCCATTGCCCAGCATATGTGTCTCCATTATCCCATATACACCTACCTCTCCCTTCCCTCACATTTCCCTTAAGCTCTCCAAAATACTTTAAATTCCCTGGATACGTCTTTTCTTTAAACTTCCTGCTGAATTTGTCATCAAATAATGTTTCAACAAACTCCTTATGCTCTTGCAAATTTTCTAATAATTTTTGGTAATTTTTTTCGATATTTTTAAGCTTTATTAAGTGGGCATCGGAGTATCTTGGGCCGCTTTTGGCTTCTTTACACTTTTTGTATAGTCAGACTAATTATTTCTTACGATAACCATCAGGTGAAGAATTGTTTTTTGATCTGGCATGGGCGTAAGGACTTATCCACTCGCCTTCATAGATGTCTTCACCTTTATATATGAATGTTCCGGCTCCAAATGGGTACCCATAGCTTCATTCTCCTTCATATTTTGATCCATCGACCCAGTTCATGATGCCATACCCATCTCTAAATCCACCTACCCAGTCACCTTTATAAGTGGCTCCGTTATCATATGTGTAAGGCTTTTTCTTTTTCCTCTTTAATATTCCAGCTGCTGGAGAAACAGTTTCTTTGTTGTACTCATAAGAAAAGTAGTCATGATTAGATTTCCTGTAGCTTCTGAATTGCAGATATTGATTGACATTATAATAGATTCTCCAGGCATTTTGAATTTTTCGGGCTAAGTTCTCATGCTCTTGCTTTAAATTTATATGAATTACAGCATAAATTAATTTTTAGTCTGGAAAATATTTTATATATAGCTCATAAATACGCAGCTTGGCAAGATAAAGTAAATTTTGGCTTGACGAAAATCATAAAAACTATGTCAGTGATAATATCAAAGCTTTCGTCTTTGGATTCAGGGATCGTTGATTCTGATTGCTGATTGATTTGGTGTGCTTGTTGAGGCTTTATTTCTGACTTATTAAATAGCTGTTGAGTTTCTATGCTTTTTTTCGGGAGAGCAAATGATTGGACAATTGAACGCTTTAGGTCAAGTTCTGTGCTCCTTTCTGTGTTTTGGCAAAATTGTGAGCAGTTTAAGTTTCCCATTCAAAATATAAATTATAAAGAAATTCTAGATTAACCTATCAGAAATATTTTGTTTAAATTTAGTCTAATACTGAGTTTTATTTGACCTAGAGAAAAAATATCAAATTAAGCATTATAGTCTGATTGGAAAATTTTTCCACCTGAAGCCATTTTTATAAGTTAAATAGGAAATTATATGAAGGGACAGGCCTATTTTTCTAAAATAGTAATAACAGATGCTGATGTTTTTAAATTTATTACAAATAAATGATTTAACAGCTCTATTAAATAGAAAAATATTTAAAAGTGGCAATGAGTAAAATATCAGTTGAAAGAAATTATGAGTAAAATGAGATGATGATAAGATTTAATTTCAAATTTAAACAAGAGGAAAGCCTGCTTTATTATATAGTAAATTAATTAAATATACTACTTATTTTATAAACTCCGATTCTAATTTTAAAAACAATCTCAAGTATTCCATACTTAATTCAAAGTTTTTAATTTAGCTTATAGTAAGGTCAAGCATGAGCTATTAAATTTACGTTTTTGCTTTCTATTATAATGGCGAAAAAGATTATCATTGCCGTAGTTATAGGTTTTGCCTCTATCAAACTATTTTCTTTTATCCGTCGAAAATCAATTGCATATCGCCACCACAAAAGAGCCCAACAAAAGCGATCTGAAAGAGACTCCAAAACAATCACTCTCCCTGAAGTCGAAAAATCCAAGCAAGATTATATTCTTTCTCTTCACGCTTATGAGCTTGCAGATGCTATAAAATCCGGCAAAGTCACAGCAGTAGAAGCGACATCCACTTATATTTACAGAGCTTACACCCTAGGCCGAAAATTTGGACTCACAACTGAAGAGCCCTATGAAGCGGCCTTAGAGCTTGCTTATCAGCGTGACCAGCAGCTAAAAGAAAGCCCAGAGACATGTGGAATTCTCCATGGGGTTCCTATCAGTCTCAAAGATATTTTTTCTCAAAAAGGATGCTGCAGTACCGCTGGACTTGCATGCAAACTTAGCAAAATGGACACTGAAGACTGCTATTTATTAGAAATATTAAAAGAAGAAGGAGCTATTCCTTTTGCAAGATCTAATATTCCTCAAGCTTTAATGTGGATGGAAACTGATAATGATATTTATGGGAGAGCTGATAACCCATGAAATCCTGAATTTTCTACTGGAGGAAGCTCTGGAGGAGAAGGTGGGCTGCTGGCTTGTAGAGCGTCTCCACTTGGAATTGGAAGCGATATTGGCGGCTCTATTAGGATCCCTTCATCATTTTGCGGGGTTTATGGCTTTAAAACGACAGCTGGCCGAGTTTCTACTAAAAATGTCATGGTATCTCACCCTTCTGGCGTAAACCCTTTCGCGTTTGTAGTAAAAAGTGTTTCAGGTCCTATGGCAAGATGTGTAAAAGATATGGAACTTGTGCTAAAAGCTTGGTGGCAAGAAAAATATTTCGCAAAAGATTTTGCTTTGTGCCCATTGGCATTTAACGAAGAAATGTATACAAATGCATATAAAAGCAAGAGCTTGAGAATTGGGTATTTCTTTGACTTACTCCCCCACTGTGAGTTAACGAAATCATTAGAAAAATCCTATTGTTTTAGAAAAAATCCACCCTCCATGAGCAACAAATAATTTTTTTATATATAATTAATAATTAATATTATGAAATTTTTAGTTAATTCTGTTGAATTTCTATTTTAAAACATAAATTTTCAAAAAAATATTTAGTATAAATCATTTGTGAACAAACAAAATTTTTTGTTCTCTCTCAGGAGGGGATTTAGACAACTTTGAATGTTGCCCAGCGATAAGAAGAGGGGTTAGAGAATGCAGGGATGCTCTTAAGAAATTGGGACATACCTTGGTAGAATTTCATTTTCCTAATTCAAAAAAAGCTCTAAATCTTTATATGAGAAATGTTTCTGCATGCAGCAATCGGGTTCTATTAGATGCTATGCAAGGAGAAGAGCCGGCAAAGTTTTATAAGCCAGGGTTCTTCTTAGTAGAACACCCATGGATCAAGAAAATTATTATGCAAATTTTGCAGATGACTAATAACCAAAGACTCTACGATTTATTGAATATAAGCCAAAATCTCACACCTGCTGAATATATCGAACTTTTTAGAGAAATCAACGACTATGTTCAAGAATTTACAAATTATTGGCAATCTCTACAGCTAGACGTAGTAATCAGTCCTGCTTATGGAACAGTGGCTACTCCTCATGCTGAAGGCTTTAAAGTTGCATCTTCTTTGATATACAGCACTGTTTGGAATATATTAGGATATCCTGCAGGAGTAATACCAGTTGGAATTGTAAAGGAAAATGAAACTGAGTACATAAGCAAGGTCAATGATTTAATCACAAAAAATGCTAAAGCAATCACAAAGAATTCGTCTGGATTACCTATTGGTGTACATGTGGCAAGTTTGCCTTATAGAGATGAAGTAGCTCTTGGCGTTATGAAGCAAATTGAAGATGAGATTAATTTCCATCAATTTGCATTTTAAATAATTAGAAGCAATAACTATAAATTTTTGCATGCAATTTGTAAATGGAAGAAAGAAAAGAAGCTTGTGAAGCGTGCGAAGCCAAACAAGAGCATATTCAGGCACTGCAGGATGCATTAGGAGAAATTGTGGACCAGAATGAAGCTTTTAGGCTGAGAGTTGTGGAATTGGAAGCATGGGTAAATAAAGCAAATGATAAATTGGAAAATAGAGAAAAGCGGGTTGATTCGTTGAGAGAGGAAATTAAGCAAGCAATAGAAAAAAAGGAAGAAGGGAATAAAAGTGAAAATCGTGAATTTTAAACCGGATAATTAATTTGTGAAATTAGATAGTTTAATTTTTGGTATTCCTAACAAATCGAACTGCTTTATTATTTCTTAGCTATTAGGAAGCCAATAATTGTGCATAGAGTAAGGATATTTTTCAATATTTTAAAATAGTTAAAACAATAATTATAAAATTATGAAAATTTCTCTTTATTTCAAGCCCCATAAAGTTCAATAATGACAACAAGTTATTATGATCCAGGAGATGTTATCGAATACTGCTTACTTACAAACTGATATAAACCGCGGCCAGATCACCTCCAATTTGACTCAAAAAATCTCAAAGATTGCATGATTTATCTCAAAACATCCAAATTCAGAAAATACCTTCCATTTCTAATCAACGATTTATACATAAAAGATCCAACAATATTATCCCAGCTTTCTATTTCCAGGAACCTCTTTAACCTCTTAAACGAGCCTAGTAACCGCCCTCTAGACGATGAGGATACCATTTGTTTTCTCTGCGGAAATAAAGAATATGCAAAGCTTATTATACATTTGAGGATTTATCATAAATTAAGCAAAGAGATGGTTAAGGATTATTTTGCAATGTATGAGAATGAGTATAAAGCGATTGGCTCAAAAATTGATTATTATGAAGACAAAAGCACTGTAATATGTGATTTATGTAAGAAACCGTATTGCAGTCTTTATTATAGAAAACATATTTTCGTGCATTTTAATCTCAGATTTATACCTTGTCCGATTTGTGGAAAATTAAGATCGAAACAGAATTTGAAGGGGCATATTTATAGAGCACATGAGAGGCCCGGGGGATTGTTAAGAGATGATAAATAGATATAATTTATTCAATAGAAATTATAATTAATTATATTATTGCTCTAATTTCAATATCTAATGAAAGTATAGGCTTTGCCTGAGAGTAGTCCGGCAGCTCTCCATGTATAAGCCAATATGGGCTACTTATAGGTAAAGCCTATATAAATTATTAGGTATAAGAATTTTTTATAAATATTAATTCGCTTAAACTGATATATTATTTTCAAAATCATTTTTAAATTCTCCTAAATTTTGCTACGGTCACTTATGCTCGACATTGATCATCTATTTTGATTTGAATTATTTGTTGGCGAGGCAGCCGGCAATTTATTTACGTTTAAGTATTGTAACTCATAAGGTATAATCGTTTTCCCATCCTTACTATAAGCTTGGCTCGATATTTCACTGTCACTCAAGGTGTAATTTGTTTTAAAATTAAGTTCCATTTTTTTAACAGCGTCAATGAGTTTTTTTGTTTTCTGTTGATTTTTCGACCTCTCTACAGCTGCTTTAGTACCTTTTTCTATTTTTTGCATGAAAAACCCTCCCATATCAATTATTCCGCTAACAGAGCCTATTAAAGCACTTATAAACAGCAGAAACGTAGTGTTTATGCTTCTCACAGTTAGGAAGCCAATTGTATTGACATCTAAATTAATAACAATTTTTAATGACCTTGTCAATATCATTTTATAAACTGTCGAGCTATCTCCTGGCGTATAATTTTCGCTAACTGAAACCATAAATCCTGTCTGGTTTGTCGGCCAAGAGCTTGATTGAGAAATAAAAAGCTAAATATCAATTACAGATGGCGTCATATCAAAATGAACATATGACGGATTATTTCCTATGAAAACTTCATCTTTTGGAGGAGATACATAAAGATTTAGAGAACTTTTTTCTCCGGGTATAGAAGAATCAGCCGAAACGTTTGCAGAAAAATAGCTGCAGTAACTAGTTGTTTCTGACAGCAATAAATAAAGGTAAGCTCCTGTATCAAGTGAGCATGATTTGCAAGTAATCTCCACAAAGCAGTTTTTGTTCTGCTTAATACAATTAATTTTGCTAAAATCCCCTTGAATATTTTCAAAGCTTAAAATTATGTTTTCATTGCAAGAATCATTTTCAACGCATGTTCCTCCGTAATTATAAATCCCAATTACAATAAACAAATCACCTTTAATTCTTCCAGCTTGTTTTATTAAATTTTCAATTGGAATTAAGGATTTTGATTCTGCGATGTTGTTCCAACGATACTGCACAAAGGAGATGGAAACGAGATAAGCAGCAATTATAAGGGAAATTATGGAAAAAACTCCTCCAATACTTGTTTTTCTTGATCACATAGGCTGATCGTCTTCATTGTGCTTGTCGTCGTATAAATCTCATCGGATAATTGATTGTCTGAATTGTTTTTTTAGGGCTATTGCTAAAAGGAAAGTACTCAATATGATTGCAAAAAAAATGCCACTATAGGTTGTGTACTCTTGAATTAAATCATATTTCGGGTCAAAATCATCAGGCTGGCTTGATGATTTTGAAGAATAAAAAACTGCATCAGTCGGCTCTGTGCTGCCTACATTGCATGTTTTATCCCCAGGGCATTTTTTGCACATCCCAGTTCCATTTGTGTTTGAGTATGTTCCATAAGGGCAAGGAAGGCAAAAAATGCTTGAAGCAGATCCAGTATAAGAATTTTGAGTCCCAAATGGGCACTCTAAACATTCAGTTGAATTTATATTTTCATTATATGTACCTGGTGAACATCATATACATTCAGATTCAAAAAAATATGTTCCTTTGCTGCAAGGACTATCTATAGTGCTGTTAATTCCAACTTTATACAAAGACGCAGAAGGTAGCAAATTGATAATATTTGTCTTAGAAACGCCTCCTCCAAATATATATAAATCATTTTTAACATATACAGTTTGGTGTCCAAAAATATTGAAGTCTAATATATAATAACTATCAATTGTGTAAGTTTCCAAATTCAAAAAAATCACAGATCCAGTTGAATAGGTCCCTTGAAGCTCTCCTCCTAAAATTATCAAATGCTTAGAAAATAGCACGATTGAAGACTCACTTACTGACCCTGAAATAAAATTCAAATTTTTTACTAATTCTCATTGATTAGTCCTTAAGCTGTATTTATAAGCATTTTGATTGAGCTGATATTCATCAGTTTCTCCCATAATTGCATAAAATTCGATATCGTTATTTTTTACCATTGTATAGCACTTATGTCAAACTAATGGAGGAACTTCGATTCCTGTTGATGATATTGATGTTCATAATAAAACTGTTGTATCGTATATAGTTAGATAGGATGACTGGAGTGGGGCTTTTTTGGCTTGCCGGCAAGCCAAAAAAGCCCTGCTCCAATCATCCTATAAACTATATTCAAAAATCATTGGTTATCCCTGAATCAGTTAAACCTCCGAATAAGAAGATATAAGGAGGTGTAAAAGCCATGCAGGCACCTTTTGTGGGTGAGGGGACTGTGTCAGAATTTTTAACTGCTTCTTCTCATGTCCCTGAAGCTATAGAATAGATATAAAAATCGTTAAGCAGTCCAGTGATGCTTTCGCCGCCAAAAATTATCATTCCATATCCGATCCCAACACTTGCATGCCCGGATCTTGCAGATGGTGAATTATCAATTCTCTGCAGTTCCCACTTCTCATTTTCTATATCAAATAGTCATAAGTCATTATATCTATATATAATTTACAATTCGTCGTTTACGCCTATTCCGCCTCATACAGCTAAATAATTGTTTACTACATGCATAGAAAACCTTATTCTTGCTGCTGGAGAATTTCAAATAGGAGAAAGCGTTTTATATTTTGGATGGTTTACAGATAAATCGATGTAAAGGAGGTCGTTCTGAAATGATGAGCCGCTGAATTGGTAGATGGTTGAATTAATCAAAATATTTGCAGATTCACATGAAATTTCTTTTTTTGTGCCTTTATTTCCCATGTTTCAATTTGTAGATTAATAATCTTTTTTTAGTTTTATAAATAAAATAATAATTTAAACACATATCTTTGATGCCTAATTTAATGCGCCAAAATCGAAGATTTACCTTTAGCTTTTGTATTTTAAAGTTTGCAATTAAAACGAATGCTATATAAACAGAGTTAGCATTTTTAATCAATTTTGCATATAATATTTTCCAAAAATAATTGATTTCCTTTTAAAATCTAAGAGCCATTTTTGTTCAAATTTAAAAGGATTAGTTAGAAAACTCAACTTGCTGTCATTCAGACAATGTTGATAGATTTATTTTCCAAATATCTTGAAGGTTTGCAGCTTTTATGTAATTAAATCCTGGGGTTATATAAAAATAGCCAGAAATCACAGCTGTATGATGCCATGATCTTCCAGTCGGGGAAGAGGAAAAATTATATTTAATTCATTTTTGCGAATCTAAATTATATCGGTATAAGTTAGGATCATATCCAACCCCAAAAGCATATCCTCCTCAAACATACAAAGAATTATCATAAAATGACATTCTTGAGCCTGCTGTTGACACAGGAATATCTCCATTATTTGGCATAATAGTGCAATTCAGAGAATTTGCATCAATTCTGATATAAAATTTACAAATATAATGAATTTTGGGAATTTTTTTCAGAAACACCTCCAAAAATCCCATAATAAATATTACCATTTCATTCAAAAATATCTGAAGCTGCATCAAATAAAGGATTTAATTTAGTTCCATTCAAACTTATTTTTTCTCATTCAAAATACTCTAAATTAAAGCTTCAAACATCAGCAATAGATCCGCCTGTGGTTTTTCCTGCAATTAAAATAAGGCTATTTCTTTGTTTGTTAAAAAGTAGTATAGACCCAACCCTTGGATCAGGTAAAATTGATGATACAGGATTAAGTTGTCTTCATATATGAGACGACAAATTGAAGCTTCAAAGATCATTTTTGTATAATCTTTTATCGGTTGATCCTCCAAATATAATTATGCGATTTTCTATGTAATCGTATGTGGAAGCTGCTGAAATTCTGGAATCTGGAGGGGCATCTGTTTCTGGGATTAGAGTTGTGGGTAGAGCAAAAATTTGTTGAAAAGCTACAAGAAATAAAATACTGTTTAAAGTGCGCATTATAATAGCTTTTATTTGTATGAATTATTAATTATACGTTGTAGAATTTTTTGGTAATTTAAAGTAACTAATTTTAACTCTAGTTTAAAAAAATATAAGTTTTTGGAAATAGCATCTGGTTTTTTTTTTCATATTTATATATTTATTAAAACAATTAAATGTTTTTTATAATCAATAATGATAATTGAAATCTACCTCCGAAGATAGACAGCATTCTTTTTACTGTGAAAATCTTACTTTAGGTGAGAAAATGTTATACTTTGCCAATTTAGGTAAAATTGGTACAAAGAGCTAAATGTTTTTAACTCTCAATTAAGTATATTTTTAAGAATTTGCTCAAATTATCTACGATATAAAGGTTATTAATTTGTCGTAATTATTCTTTTAATTTACAGTTTTATTCAAATGCAATTTATCTCAATAACGAAGTTGTTGATACTCTATAGAGTCGTCATAGAGTTCTTTAGCTGTATTCATTTCTTCTTTCATGTGGCAATCTATCAAAGTAAGTCTTCGAATATTAAATGGGAAATTATCTTGTATTTTAATATTCTCGTTGATAATTTTTTCATGGCTTATTTTGAGACTGCGCCTTTCATTAATTTTTTTAATTTTATCTTCAACTTTTTCCATAAGAAATCCACCTGCACTGATAATTCCACTAATAGACCCCATCAAGGTACTAATAAAAAATAAAAATGTGTTATTACTCCCCTCTCTTCATAAGGAACACTAGATAGCAAAAATTCAGGAAATTAGATTATTTAAAGAGAAAAGTTTCGTTTAAAAATTTTGGCATATCAATTTATATACCGTAATAGACGATTTTAATTAAAGATCAATGAAGGTGATTTTATTTTAGACAGATTGAATTCTAAAGCATAAAGTTTATAAATTAAGGTAGCGGTTCTTTAGAACTATGCTTAAAAGTTCAATAAGCAAATCCAATTAAAAATCCCGAACAATCAAAATAATCCTTTCCTGAAGGAGCAAAACAATTTGCTTGCTCTAGGTCTTTTGGGATTAAGGCTTCTTATTGTTAAAACACCAATAGTATCTATATCCAAAGTCACCACAATCCCAAGTGTTCTAGTCAAAGTCATTTGAGTAACTGATGCACTAAATCCTTGTGTTGATTCTTGGCTTGACGAAACTAAAAATCCAGTTTGATTCGTTTGTCACTTACTTTCCCATTTAATAGCAGTAAGATAATTTTTATAGAATCTTTCTCAATAATAATTATACTCAAAATTTATTTTGCTGCAATTATAATGCTTATCTCTTTTAGAAGCATAATTTTGTTTTATCAATTTATAAAACCTCAATCTCAGTAAACCAATATAGATCCCTGCTTTGGGTTGGACTATATGCTTTAGAAAAAAAAATTTTAAAAAAATAACATCAGCTGCCATAGTGCTTTTAAATATGCTATTTTAAAAAACTTTTAGTTTAATTTATTCCGATGTTTAAATCGCGAAATTCATTTTTATTTTCATCTAATTAATGCTTACTCCCCTCCGTGAGAGAACAAAAAATTTGTTCGCTCATGGAGTTTTTTTTTTAAAAAAAAAAATTATATAAATTTTTTTTTCAAAATTTAAAAACATTCTAATTTGTAAAAATGAGAAGCAAAATTTAATTTAATTTACAAAATTTATGTTTTAAAATGAAAGTTGTTTAAAATTAAGCAGAATTAGCTAGAGATTTCATTATAATAGTTATTAGTTATATATCAAAGGCTTTTTTTTTCATAAAAAAATTTTTGTTTTCTGGCGGAGGATGGATTTTGGTCAAAAAATAGTATTTTTTCCAATGGTTTTGTTCACTCAAGGAGGGGGCGGGGGGAGTTAAATAATTTTTAACTTTTCATATAAGATTATATAATTTTCTTTTATAAATTTATTAGTTATACCCCCAATTAATAGTAAAAGCAAATGCTATTAAATGGGTGAAATTTAGAAACATCTGAGATAAATAGCTAAATAACTATTACTGATGGAATCATATTCTTAATCTTAATCTTAATTACGGCGGTTAGAATCCGCTTTGTTAACTCGGTTACCAAGGATCCCTCCAGGGGATTCATCCGCTTTGCGGGGACATCTACTTCCGATCGCCGGAAAGGCGGGTTGCCTGGCCGTCCTCCTCCTCCTTGCCACTTCTAGGCGGCTCCAGTGTTGAGTGGGCAGACTATGGGTTCCCGGGGCCTTGCTTCAGGCTCCGTCTACAAGGTTGCCTATTCCGAAAATTCGAAGCGCGAATTTTCTGGTAAGGCTCTCGGCTAAGATGGAAATCCAAAGCCCGGGACGTAACGCCCGGTTTCACGCTAGGGAGTTGCCCGATTGACCAAGTGGGTGTCCTTGGCACTGCTGAGCTTCCCCTTCCAACTTTGGTTCTCCACTTTCCTTGAGGCAAAAGACTTGATTTCAGAATGAGCTGCGGTCGACCTAATTCGACATTGCGCTCCACTGCATCAAGCCAAAACCCAGCCGGATACACTTTACCGAGCTCTTTTCCCTTCCACAAGGTCCCCGCCAGCCTGTGTGGGCGTGCGGCTACAGGTGTTGAGAAAAAGGGCTGGTCCGTCGACGCCATTTTAATATGTATGATGGAATCATATTCAACTAGTTTAATTTAGATTTATGCACGTTTAGCCTCCCTAATGCATAGCCTACATGGTTTTTGTCCCTGATTCAGGATTCTCTGTCCGCAACGTGTTGTGTACGCTTGGCATCAGCCTGAATACTCCTTCGGCTTCGAGTATAGGAATTTCGACAGCTATTCTCCAGGTTCACAGGTTTGAATGTGAGCTGTATGCAGAGAGAAATAAAAAGATTTGATTTTTTAGTCGACAGACTGCAAAAGGACTCCAGATGCAGCTCCTCCTTTATTGCGCTGGAATATTTCTCAAATGGTCCAAAGGGTATTACATGGATCTGCCTTTCCAACTCAAGGCCTCTATTACCCACGAAGTAAAATCGAGCTATGAATTCGGACTTGGACTATGCTCCGAGTGGCGTTTCCAAGTTGAGAAAGCCTTGATGGATATAATTGAATATTCGCTCGAAGTTGCATTATCAGAGGCCATAGCCGGCTGAAGCATCATATTAAATTATGATCGAATCATATTAAAATGCATATATGAAGGATTGACACCTATGAAAACCTGGCCAGAAGGAGGAGAAAGATAGAGATCATGAGAACTTTTTTCATTAGGAATTGAAGAGTCTGCAGTTACATTTGCATATAAGTAGCTCGCATAGCTTGTTGGCTCTGCAAAAGATATGTAAAAATAAGCTCCAGTTCCGAGATTGCATGAATTGAATGTTGCTTGCACAAAGCAATTTTTTTGATCTTTAAAGCATTCTACTACAACTGATTTACTGATAATATTGTATTGATATCAAGATATATGCTCGTTAAATTATTTAAAAAAATTATTTTATAATTTTTTCCTATTTTATATTTAAATCGGGGCATTCATCATGAATTATAAATTTGTAAATTCTATAAGCAGCTATACCCTTTTATAATAAAATTAGGCTTCAATTCTATTTTTATTTTATATAGTGGAAGGGAAAAACTAATCATTCCAAAATTTCTATTCATAATAAACGGGCATATATACTCATTGCAAGCGCTGCCCGTAACACATGAACCTCCATAATTATAAGCTCCAACTATAATTGTGATGTCACTGTCAAAATTTTCAGCTTGCTTAATAAGAGTTTCATACGGAAGCAAAGTCTTTGATTCTATCACGTTGTTATATCAGTACTCAAGATTAGATAAAGTAAAAATGTATATCACTCCAATAAATGCTAAAGCAGAGAAAAAACCACCAATGCTTGTTCGTTTCAGGTACATAGGCTTGCCTTCTTCATTATGTTTATCATTATATATATCAAATTTCGTGAATTTTTCAAAATTTTTACTATTTCAAGCCAAAATACTTATCCCCCCCTCCGTGAGTAAACAAAAAAATTTTGTTCACCCACAGAGGGGGACTAATTTTTTTTTCGAAATTTAAAAAAATCTCATTTTTATAAAAATTGGAAGGCAAATAGTAATTTAATTTGTAAAATTTATGTTTTAAAATGCAATTTGTTTTAAAAAATTAAACAGAATTAGCTCAATATTTCATTATACTAATTATCACTTATATATCAAAAGCTTTTTCCATAAAATTTTTTTCTATTAAAAACATTTTTGTTTCACTTACAGAGGGTGGGTTTTTAGGCAATTTTTCCAATGGCTTTGTTCACTCAGGGAGGGGGAGCTATCCAAAAAAACCAAAAATATGGCAAGCCCAACGCCAAGCCATAGAGTGACTTTTTGAATAACACTTAACTCAGGTGAGTACTGGTCAGGTTGGTCTGTCTCTTCAGCGTTATTATGAAGTAAAACAATTGGTTCTGTAGATCCAACAGGACATGCCATACCTGCAGGGCATTTTTTGCACATCCCAGACCCAGGAACATCATTATATGTCCCTAACTCACAAGGAACACACACAAACTGGCTTGCTCCTCCTTGATATTCATTTATTGTTCCTATTGGGCATGGGTTGCATTTATCTATGCTTGAATCTTCTGATCAGGTTCCAATAGGGCATCAAATACACTCTAAACCTGATTTATAAGCTCCTTCACTACATGGGCCATCCTCTAAAGACAATTTAATGAAATCAGATGTAGGAATATTGTTTATTCTAAGTGAGCTTGATCTAGTGCCAGCAAAAATGTAAATATCATTTTTCATATAAATTGACCGGTGGCTAAATAAATTTGTACTTAAGCCTAGAACTGCATCAACTGAATAGTTTTGTCCGTTAACTCCCTCCATAAGCGAATAAAAGTATTGGAAAAATCCCTATTTTTTGCCCAAAAAACCACCTTTGTGAACAACATAAATGTTTTTAATGTAACAATTTTTTATGAAAAAAAAAATTATATGTAAATGATAATTATTATAATGAAATCTGTTTAATTTTAAACAGCTCGCATTTTAAAACATAAATTTTGAAATTAAATTTAATTTTGCTTCTCAATTTTACAGATTGGGAATGTTTTTAAATTTCTAAAAAATATTTTCTAGAATTATATATTAATAAAAAACATTAACCACCGCTGTGAGCGAACAAAAGTTTTTTTTGTTCGCTCACTGAGGAGGGAGTAAGAAAAATAGCAACATTTGATGAAAAAATATTCTTAAACTCTCCGCCAATAGTGATTATGAATGAAGATGACAAAATTATGTTTGATGCTTCACTTAATGAAAACTGCAAATAATCAATAGTTTGGACGATTTCCCATGAATTTTGTTTTAAACTGAATCTATATATACTTTTATTCGGCAGATTATTATCTGTTTCTCCCATAAAAACATAAAACAAGAAGTCATCATCCTCGTGATCAGCGTAGCATTGGTGCCATGCTAATGGAGGGATAGTATCTCCTAGAGGGATTTTTTGGACTCAACCTAAAATTGTTATATCATATTGATATAAAATATTACTAACTCCCCATTTCCGTGAGCGAACAAAAAAATTTTGTTCGTCAAGCCTTTTAAAAATTTCTCTATAAATTTTATAGTCGAAAATAAAAAAAATCTCACTTCGCAAAAATTGGAAAGCAAATGTTAATTTAATTTGTAAAATTTATTTCTTAAACCCAATCTGTTTAAATTAAACAGAATTAGCTAGAAATTTCGTTATATTAATTATCACTTATATTTCAAAGTTTTTTTTTCATAAAAATTTTTGTCCGCTCATGGAGGTGGATTTTTGGACAAAAAATAAGGATTTTCCAATGGTTTGTTCGCTCACGGAAGGGGGAGTAAGTCCTGAACTTGTTACGCCACCATATAGAAAAATATAAGGAATTGCAGCATCTATGCATGCACCTTTTGCTGGAAGAGGGCTTTTTCCTGTAGAAGTAATTATTTGAGATCAGCTCTTAGAAGTTGCAGAATAAATATAAAAATCATTGAGTAGGCCAGTTGAATCTTCTCCTCCAAAAATAACCATTCCATAGCCAATACCTGTATGAGCATGGCCATATCTTGCAGATGGTTCATATAAAGGATTTTCTTGCACCCATTCATTATTGTCAACGCTGTATACCCAAAAATCATCTAACCTATATTAAATATTACAGATTCCCATTTCTTCCTTGTCCTCCAAATATAGCAATTTTGTCATTTATTTGCTCCATTGCAAACCTCATTCTTGGAGGAGGCGAAACTCAATTAGAGGTCAATGTTGAAAACTTTGGATTTTCATAAGAAATATTAATATAAATCAAATCATTTGTATAAGTAGATCCACTGTATTGAAATAAAGTTGAGTTGACAAAAGTATTCCCAGCCTGACTTCTAAGCTGAGTGTTTTTGTCTATATCAAAATCAACTTGTATTCACTGATCTAAATCGTTAAGGTTGATTTTTCAAATATCATTTATTCCCGCGTCGTAATTATAATCAAATCCTGGAAAAATATACAAAAATTCAGAATATATTGCTATGTAATGCCACATTCTCCCAATAGGGGATTTATTAAAAATGTGTTTCGTTCAGACTTGGTTTTGTAAGTCATATATATAAAGATTATTATCATATACATATTCTGTTGTAAGTCCACCTCAGATATATAGTTTTCCATCAGAAAATGCAATTTTTGCGCTGTGAATCAAAGTAGGCCCATCCCCTGTATTTGGCATGATGATACAATTTAAACTCCCTGAATCAATCCTATAGTAAGTCTTACAAATAAATTAAATTTGAAAATCCAGAATCAATAGCTCCTCCAAAAATCACATAATAAATATTATAGCCATATATATATTAATCTCTTCTCATTCAATAACGAAAACTTTTTGTTTCTCATTAATTGGGTATAATTTTTTTTTAATTGAAAGTTTCCTAACTCATCCATCCGTTAGCTAATAAAAAAAGATTTGTTCGCCCGAGGAGGGTTAATATCTTTTTCTAAAAAAATATCTATAAGTTTTATATCATCTGCTTCACATATTTCTTACTGTGTAGCAGATATAGTAATTTATTTCGAAAATTAAAAAAATCCCAAATTGCAAAGCAAATATTAATTTAATTTGTAAAATTTATGTTTTAAAATGCAAATCGTTTTAAAATTAAACAGAATTAGCTAGAGATTTCATTAAACTAATTATTATTTATATGTCAATTTTTTTTAATAAAAAATGTTTATATTAAACAAAATTTGGTTTTGTTCTTTCACAGAGGAGTAAGTTTCTATTTTTAATAAATAGTTCAGATTTATATTTTTTAAAAGATATTAAATAGATAAATTGCAAAGCAAATAAATAATTATATCAATATATTTTAATAAAATCATAAAAATATTTCTAAATAAATTATAAAAGTTTTCTATTGCTTTTTAAATATTTTAAATATTTACATTTTAGAATAGTATTGATTTAATAGATTTTAAAGAATTTAGAAGAAAACAGAATATTTTTAAAAAATCATAATTAGATTCGTTAAGAAATTTTCCGACGCATTATATAAAGGGGAGTTAATGGTCATAATATCAAAATAAAGAAATCAATTCAATTTCAAATAAATTATTTTCAAATATAATTATAATAAATCCAATTTTTAATCCAGCTCATCATACCTTTTCATTTAAAAGCTTCATATGCCACTGACGAGAGAGAATTTAATTTGCAGTTTTGCAGTTCTAATTCTTTCCAAACTAGTAAGTCTAAATCAAAGCTTCATATATCAGTTATGGCTCCAAGTTCGGTTTTGCCTGCCATGATTATTAGTGAATTTTCTGCTTCATTGAAAAATGATGCTGATTCTTTCCTTGCATCTGGAACTTTTGATGATGAAGGGCATAATTCTTGCCATTGATTATTGTTAAAATTGAAGGCTCATACATCATTATAATAAACATTTTCTGCTGAAGCCCCACCGAATAACAGGAGTCTGTTTGCGTTAGTGTCATAAACTGAAGATGGCAATGATCTTGCAGTTGGAGGGCAGCCTGTTTCGGGTATTTTGCTTTCTTTGATAGCTGAAGTTGCGAATATTACTGAGATAATTAGTAATAGGGCAAGCATTGCCATATATTTGATTTAATTAGTAATTTTAACATCAAGAAAGAAATATGAAAATTTGATTTTAAGAGATATTTAAAGAATTATTTATCCTTTATAAACAGCTTTGCATACAATCTATTTAAAAGAACAAATATATATCCAAAATGTTTGTAAATTATATAATAAATGTTTGCAATAAACTCAATTTTTTAAAAATAAAAAAAATAAAACTAAAAATAATAAAGAGAGAGAGCTAGTGATTAAGAGAATAAATAAAATCAATAAAAAACTTCTTCCATTAATATTTAAATGGCCTTTTTGTCTCATGTTCTTAGAAATAAATTTCTTTTATCTCAGAAATTTGATTATTATTGACTTTAAACTTTAAAAACCCAGATAATGAAGTAATATCCATATTTATGAGTATCTAATTATTGTAAAAAAAGAATAGATAGAATTATAATTTAACTATCTTCAGACTTTCTCTTCTTTTTAAGTTTTGATGAGTCTTCTTTGTGTTTTCTTTTAACAGGTAGGGATTGGGATTAGATTATTAAAGTCAGGCGCTAGCCATATTGGTGACGCAGTCACCAAAGACCTCCTGTACGGGAGATTCTACCGCTTTTCGACTCCAGCCAAGAGGGTCTATCCCTCTTGCGAGTGCCCTTCTGGTACCTTCTGTCTCCTCCTTGCCTTGAGGCTTCAGCCTTGAGTGGGCAGCTTATGAATTTCTGCGACTCTGCTACGGGCAATTGGAGTAGCTTGATTCCAAGGATCCTTGGAGTCTATCGGGTATCGAAGTGCCTTTTTTCGACAACTGCAGGGAAAAGACTGTTCTCCTGTGGCCTGGGCCGAAACCCCCAGTTTCTCGGTAGAGGAATGCCCATGGGTCCTCGGATCCAAAGGACTCTTTTTGAGCACCTCCATTTTCAACCACAGGAAAGCAGCCAAACCTACCGGATACAGACTTCTTGAGCCTACACTAGATTCTCAGCTCGGAGTCCGTCCCAGTTCGCCGTAGGACTGCTGCGCCAAGAGGGCAGGTTGGCACGTGTCGCCATTTAATGTATATTTTTAACAGGAAGGGATTCTTCATTTTCATTATCTTCTTCCACTTCATGTGTTTTTTCGGCTTTAGCTTTTCCTTTCTTTGTTTTTTTCTTTTCAATTACCTCTTCATCTGAAATTTCTTGTTCTTTTTCAACAGATTTTTTTCCTTTTGGCTTTGATAGCTCCTCCTCTTTTGGTTTTTTGATTTCTTTTGCTTCGTTTTTGTTCTTCTTTGATTTCTTTTCAGCATTTTTGTCTCCAATATTAATATCTAGATCCCCAAAGCTCTGTTTATCTGATTTCTCTTCTTTTACCTCTTTTTCATGCTTTTTATCTTTTTTCTCTTTTTTATTTCTTTTTTCTTTCTTACTCTTTTCTTTAAGATCATGTACCAGATTTTCTAACTCTTCATTCTCATATGTATTTTCCATCAGCTTTTTCCTCTTTGCATCTTTTTTGTCTTTTTCTTTTTGCTTCTTCTCTTGACTCCATTGTTCATTTTCCTCTTCAATTTCTACTTTTTCCTCCTCTATCTCCATATCACTGTCCTCTGTCTTTTGCTTTTTTGCTTTTTCTCTTTTTTCTCCGCTATGCGGCTTGCTAGCTTCTTGTGGTATTTCATTATCATATTTCTTTAGCTTGCATACAAAGAACCCTTCCATGTTGTAAACGTGAGGATAAATTCTCTTACATTTGGTCATTGATGGGTGGAATATTTTTCCTTTGAATTTTGGAAGCCCAGGTTCTCCAATAGTTAGCCCAGTATCAACAATTTTTACATGTCGATTTTTCAAGGCATAGCTGATGACTTCTTCATTTTCTTCGATAGAAATTGAACAAGTTGAATACACAATATATCCTCCTGTGCTGGATCTAGCATTTACTACATCAATTGCTTCTAATAATAGCTCTTTTTGTATATGGGAATTTTTCTTGATATCTTCAGTTGTCCTCAGAATTATCAAAATGGCGTGATCTGACGTGGACTCCTGACAACCCGTGAGTTGATCCGGGCCAGGAAAGGCGAACCACATGGCGATAGTTTTCGGGGTGGGTTTTTGGTCTAAGGGATAACCTTAGATCTTTTTTCCTTACCTGCAGAAGTCCCTATCGGCGCAAAGTCCCGATGCTACTCCATGGGGAGCAATCTTGAACCTGCGATATGGTTCTGACAGGCCATGGAGTAGGCAAAAGACGGTTCACCCGTACTCTGAGCCCTGTCAGAGGTTAAGGGAGTCTTTTAGCTGAATTTTGGGACCAAGAAAGGCTCGGCCGAACGGTAGGGTTTTCTCCCCGACAGACCTCTGACGTCACCATTTTAGGGTGACATCAGTGGGGGAAAAGGTGGTGTGAGGATAGCGCTTAGCGCCAACGCGAAGCTATCCGTTGGACGGAGAGGGGCTGAAATAAACCCCGACGACCCCCTATAATTTTAATCTAATCTAATCAGTTGTCCTCATTGCTTTTACTGATTGGTCTTTCCATATAACTCCAAGCCCAGAGCATGGGGCGTCTAATAAGACTCTGTCAAATCCGTTTAAAACTTTTCCAATTTTTCTTCCGTCATAGTTTGTGATAATACAGTTGGTTATACCCAACCTGTGGACATTCCCTTTAATTGATATAAGTCTGTCCTTATTCATCTCATTAGCAACCAAAACGCCTGTGTTTTTCATTAGCTGGCCAATGTGTGTGGTTTTTCCTCCTGGAGCAGCACACATATCCAGTATTCTTTCACCTGGCTTAGGTGCCAAAGCCATCACAGGCAGAAATGAGCTAGCTGACTGAAGCATATAATGTCCAGCCAAATACTCACTCCCTACTCTTGATTAGTGAGTAATATGTATACCCATTTACTATATTTTAATTTTAAAATTTGCATTGAAATAAAATCTAATTTATTTATAAATTTATATCCTGGAAAAATAGCTGTTTAAATTTATTACAATTTGCTTGGAATTTCTTTCTATAATCATTAATTACGCATTAAAATATATTTATACCCAAAATTTATATTAAAAAAGATTATCAAGGGATGAGTTTTTTCAAAAATAAAGATTTTTCAACGATTTATTCGATAGCAAATAAGGGAATTAGTAGTTGCTCCTATCGGGACTTGACTTTCGATAATTTTCAGTCCAACCTTGCTTCATTCGCCTACTGGGTCAAGATTTACACCTTTTTGTATCAGTGATTGGGCAAGCTCCCTTCGCTTAGTTTTCAATGTATTTGTGCGGATTACCATAGGACGTGGAGTTTGGTTTGCTTCTAAGAATTCGACAAGTTCAGCTGGTGGGAAAAATGATGCGAGGTAGGCTGCGAGGTCTCGATTGTACTCATAATAAATGATGATATTGTCCACAAGTTCATCGAGATATTCAGATCGTGTTTTTTCTCTGGGTTCATCTTTATATCGAACGAGAGTTTGAACAAGCTCTTGAATTTTCATGTGAACTAATCCAAGATCTGACTTCATGTGTGTGTCATTTCCTTCGGATACATGGACAGCTAATTGAAAAACTTTATTTTAAGATATTAGGTATTCATAGAATTTCCTCTTAATTTGAGTGAATAACTTTTCTAGGATTAAGCAGATTTTAATGAGAAAATTCAAAGAAAAATGAGGAAAAAATCATTTGTTAGTAAACAAAACTACGTAAGCGGGACAGATATCTCTTCACTCATTGAAATTAATATGGATTATTAAAAAGACTTATTTATACATTACTTAAGGCTATCAAAATATTTAAGCTTTGGTAAAGAAATTGTGATAATTTATGATGCTAAATATCTCAAATGCCTAAATACTGTGAATCGTATCTGGCCAATAAGCTCCATCAAATTGCAGCTTTGACATCCTTGGCATTAGGCATATAAGCAAGCTTTGAGTCCCAAAAACTGTCTCAAGGTTCTTCCTCCAGCTTCCTCTCGAAAAATCATAAATTCTTTTAAGTTCTGGAGCTCCAATAATTCCAAAAAGTTCAATAGTAGTCCTTCCTCTTAATGCAAGAAACCAATGCCACCCTCCAAATCCAGCTATAACCACCGAAAAAACAGCAGAAAGCACAAACGACAACTGTAAAGTCGCAATTCTTGGCCTTGCCCCTAAACAAGGATAACTAACTCCTACATAAAATAAGCACCCAAGGGTTATATAAGTCAAAAACAGCAAAAAATACCTATGATTTTTATGTCCCATGCAGTTATGAATCCATGGGCAATGGTGATCCATCTTCAATACACACTTTTTACAGATTGAGCAATGGTGTGCTCGGGGTGGCTTTGCCTTTTTGCAATATTTACATTTAGGGAAGCCAGGAAGGTCTTCAGGGTTTCCAGGGCCAATTATTACACACATAATATAATTGAATAGGATATTGAATAAAAATCATAAGCCTAGGGAGGTTAGAATGAGAGATTGGTAAATTCCGTAAAAGGGTGCAATCCGTGGTAGCACATCATTGAAATATGAATATGTCACTGTTCCGACAAGGAGAAATAAAGCAACTATGAGGATAGGCCCTAGGATTCGCATGATAATGTTGGAGATTTTTTCGGAGTTGATGCGGATCCAATCCAAATCTAATTATTGAAATTGCCCACACCGGGAATTGAACCCACGTGTGGGGCCATTTTTGGTTCGTGGAAGTCAATATTCTCCGCATACCAAAAATGGCCCCACACGTGGGTTCAATTCCCGGTGTGGGGCAATTACTATATTTATATAAGCTTATTTGCTTAAAGTCCATTACCAGATTGCTAATTCTACGACTACCTCTAAAACTGTTCTGAGTCATTCACGCTATCTTCCTCGGCCCGCAAAAGCGTGGCCACCTTACTTTGTTTCAAGGAGTTTGGCCTTCGACAACTCTTCTTTGAGCTAAAGCTACCTACTTGGGCCAAGCAGGAACCCTAAGGTTTAAGTTTCCACCGTCCGGGGTAGATAGAACCCTTCTGGAAGCATTGATTCATTAAGGCTCATATTTAAATTATGCAAGAGATGAATTTTTTGTCGGGAGAACAGAGAATTTGAGCGTCGCCTTATTTAATTATGAGTTGATACGGATAAGCCCTGCTAGGTGGACAGCTAATGGCATTTTAAGTTATTTTATGGCCTATAGCTTATAGCCCAGGAGCGATTTTTGATCACCCTGGGCTAGGATAAGGGTCAGAAACTCCCCGAGTTGGTTTTTCAACTCGAGCTGACAAACCAACTCGCGGAGTTGGCAAATACCTTATATAAGAGGCATTTGTCAACTCCCCTAGTTGGTTTGTCAACTTGAGTTGAAAAACCAACTCGGGGAGTTTCTGACCCTTATCGTAGCCCAGGGCGATCAAAAATCGCTCCTGGGCTATAAAAGATCATATATTTGGGTATTATGATATTTCAAAAGAAATTAAAATAATTATTCAGCTAATAAATTATGAAAACTTTGGAATTGCTATTCTTTTTAATGAATTTCTATTAAATTTAATTTGGTTCTCCTATAAAATAAGCTTAGCTATAAATGCCATTTATCACAAATACAGCCCAATCCAAAAGGAATCTCGGACTATATATTAATAAAATAAATGCTAGGATTTAGGCTTTTCAGATCTTTTGTAACGAAAGAAGAGCTATTTCCAATGATCAAAAATATACTTATTGAGAAAAACCAGGTACCAGAAAGCCAAATAACTCTCAATTCAACATTTTCAGAGTTAGGGCTCACTGAATTTGAAGGTGCTGATGTAGTGATGTCATTATGTGTTCGATCCAAATTTAGGGTTGATCCAAGTTATGCTAGTGAGATTGCAGGAATTAAATCAATTTCTCAATTACAGGAATTTGCAGAGAAATTTATTCCTAAATAAGAATTCTTTGATGAAATTGTAATTTAATTAAAATTCGTATTATTCTGTCAATATAATTTGAAATATAAACTTAAAGAAAAATTATAACAAATGAACTAATAAGCTTAAAAACCCTAGCGTTTTGATCATTGAAGAGTCCACAATAAAATTAAGATTCAGAATGTACTCTGGAAACAAATTTTCAGCACAGAAAGGCGCTGAGTATAAAGTAATGTAGTTGTCCACCGTATAATTTCACAGCAGCATATCCCTATAATACATCTGCCCATCATGATTTGAGCACACAGTCCAAAAATCCTCATACAGCTCAGAGCTTTTATCAGCATAGCAATACTTATTTCCATCCATTCCACACAAGCAGTCTGCATAATCCCCATCTTTAAGCTTGCAGTCGTCTGTGGTATTGCATGTTTTCGGAAAAGTTCCATTGACTAAATCTCTATTCGCCGTTCTTGTTTCACACTTCACATAATAATCCAATTGAATCTTATTATTTTCTGTCTCTTCTCCCACAAAGCATGGCAAATTAATTGTATCTCCTGTGGCTTGGCTTTTTACGACTGCATCTTCTACATATGTATGGTTGCATGTCAAATAGGAGCATCCTTTATCATTAAGAGTTACCGTATTCTGGCTACCATACACAATGGCACATACTAAATCATCAAGAGTATCACAAGTAAACGTATAGCAGTCCTGACAATTAGAAGCCACAAGCAAGAGCCCAAGTATTACTAAATGGGGTAACTTCATTATGTTAAAAATTGTAATATGGATTCAGCGTGCGAAAGCACCACAGCTGATAGAAATATCAATGAAGTGGATGTGCCAAAATATATTTTTGAGTTAACCGATGAGGCGTTTAGGTGCATTATGAATGGGCAATTTGATGAAGCTTTAATAGGGTTGATTAAATGTGAGGAAATGATTGAGGCAGTTGTAAATAAAAAAGGATATGTGGATCCAGATGTAGCTGTTATGGTTTTGCATAATATAGCAGTTTGCTATCAGAATTTAGGAAGCCTTGAAGAATGTGTAGATTATCTGGAAAATTGTCTCCTTAATCGGAATTCTAAGAAAATTCAAAATTCCAATAATCGAATCCAAACTCTTGAAACTCAAGTGAGCGATAAAATTAAAAAAGAAACCTACCAATGCAAATCAAATCTCAATCTATGTGCTATTTCTTCTCAATTATCAAGGCATGAAATAGCTCTCCTTTATGCAAGGAGAGCTGCTGGAAATATTTATGAAATTCTTCAAGATTGCTTCAAACTTTGTACAAGCTTCATTTTGAGGCTTAAAAAAGCACGAATCCACAACAATATAAAAAATTATTTTGGGAGTTCTAATACTTATATTGAAGAAAAATACAGAGAGATTATTGATAAAAATTATCCCATAGTAGCTTCCTTAAATCAAATAGTAGCTGAAAAAGAGCAAAAGCAGCAGCAAAATTCAAAAATGCTAAAGCTATAACACTTTGAATGAATAAGGAAAGCTGTTTTTAATTTAGCGTGGCTATTATTTTATTTATGATTAATATAAATAGAATAAATATTAAATCAGCAGCTAGCATCCAAAATATTGGAGAAAAATTTTTTTATTTAAAACTCGAAGAAGCTATTGCTGCAAAACCTTTAGCTTATAGAGACCTTAAATCCTCTTCTAATCTAATTGCTGAAATTTCAAAAGAGAGGTTATATGAGAAAATTTGTTTGCTTGTCATCTCATATTTTTTCATATCTACTGAATTATGATTTCTTAATAAACAAGAAAACTCAGAGACTAAATTTTCAGAATCAAAAAAATGGCACTATAAATCTCTAGAAATTGCAGAAAAATTAATGCCTTATAGTTCACCTATCTTGCAAAATATTAAAGATAGCTATTATGATCGCTATCCACTAAATATGGTTCAAAATATTTTCATCAAAAATACAGAATTTTCTTTAAGTCAAACCAAAATGAGTGATAAGAAACAAAAACTGAAAAAAGTTTATGGAAGATCTTCTTCAGTTAAGCCAAATATAAAAAATTTCTCGAAAACATTAGACAAATTCCAATCCAGGAATAAAACTCCTCTGCTAATAACAACTAAACAAGGATCATCTAGATCATCTAAATCACCATCAAGGCTTAAAAGAAAATCTATAACAGACCGAGACAAAATTGAGAATATTGACAAATTTAATAAAACAGTTGAAAATACAAAGCAGAAGAAAGAAGAAATAAATTTTGAAAATACCTCAAATAATAAAATAACAAATAATTTGATGAATTTGATGAAAACTTATGATCTATCTGATGATTCAAGTGGAAGCTCTGAGTCTTCTTTTGATGAAGAATATTTTAGACAAAATTTTATATTGACATCAAATGACTTATATGGAAATTTTGATAAAGAAACTAATGAAAATAAGAAAAAGAATAGTACAAGTAAGCGCAGACTTATTAAAATAGACACAAAAACCTCTGAAATGAGCAATGAAGATGAGTTCATGCCTGCTATAAGACTAATAAATCCAAACAAAGAAAGTAACTATGAGTTTGTACATAATTAATTCTTGAATTATTTTTAGTATCAAAATTAAATAATTATTTTAAATTAATAAATAAAACTAGATTATAGAGAAATTCGCATGTAAATTTTCATTAATTATAACTTGCTTCTTACAAAAAAGAACAAAGGTATAGATAATCCACAAGCGCTTAAAATAGGCTTTAAATAAATCATTTTGCTTGCTGTGTCTCTAAAGTTGAGCTCATCATATAAGAGCAGTCTATTCATAATTTTATATGGTCCTCTTATGCTAAAATAACTCCAGTCTCTTATAGTTGTGTTTCTTTCTTCTTCAGGGAGTAGAAATACTAGGCTTTTTACTCTTCGAAAAGTGATCCCTCATAGATGATACTCTGTGGTACGGTCTGGAGGATTTTTCTCATTATAAGTATATGAGTCAATGCTGGGTGTTTTAGGTAGAACTACACCTGCTGTGTGACCATTGACGTTTATTTGCAGCCCAATTGATTTTATGAGTGTAATATTTTTGGAAAACTCGATTGGTTTATATATTTCTGAATACATTTTACCTTTAAATTTGTGGGTGAAATTATCAAAAGATACCCACCTATAGGAATGAACTTCATTGGGGCTGAGATTAATTAGATGGTTTTCTGGAGTAAGCTGTATAAATAAACTAAAGCCCGTTAAAATCACTATAAATCTATTTAAATAAAACAAATACATTATAGCTCGTAAGTTATCCAAGCCTTATTCATTTGATATACTAAATATTAAATACCATAAAGACCAAGAAGCATATTTCGATGATAATAAGGGAAAATTTCTTTCATAGCCCCAACATAGGCAAACTTATTTTGATCCGATAAATCCAGGCCAATCTCTTCATAGGTTTCTCGGACTGCAGCTTGATAAGGAGTTTCCCCTTTTTCAACTTTTCCACCCGGAAATGCAACTTGCCCTGAATGCTTGTCTTTAATCCCACTCCCTTAAATTTGAACAAAAAATCAGGCTCCAATCCAAATGGTGTGTGGAATTTTTTTTTAACTTTATATGAAATTTATCTCTATAAAGATTAAAATTATATATTGAGGGTAATATTTTTGAATTTTAATTTAATTTCATAAAGAATTAATAAAATAGTTTTATCAATTCACTGTGAAATCATCTAAATAATATTCTACTTGCACTTCTTTCATTAAATTAGGTCTACATTTTTTTAACAATAAAATTTATCGCCTATTGAGCCTTTTTGTGCACCAGTAAACTTGCTTACTGGTTGCAATCAGTCTGCTATTCAGCTGGGAAATAGTAGGCTGATCGCAGCCAGTAAACTATTTACTAGTGCGCAAAAAGGCTATATTATTTGAAATTAAAAATTTCAATCAACTTAAAGAGGGGTTAATGAAACCAAAAAGTGTAAATTTTACTGATATTTTGTTCCAGTTTAAAGGGGGGAGTTAGGGTGTTGAGTTCTTTTAATAAATAGTAATTGCAAGTCTCCATCATTTACCCAAGGTTGGTTTTCAAAATATTGCTTCAGCTGATCTTGATTTGTGATTTGAAAATTTTGAGTATTTGATGGAATAAAACTAGAAGGAATTTTTGGAACAATTTTAAAAATAGCGGCTATGCTTGCTCTGCGGCCAATGTAATCGTTTTCTTTGATAGAATCTGCTGCAAGCTTTTCTGCGAGCTTTAGGAATCTGTGTAATGGCATTAATTATAGTTATGCTTATTTAATGTAAATTGACTCTTCACAAATTTATTGCATAACTTGAGTAAAATTTCAAAAAATCCTTATAAATTATGTCAGATAAGTTAAATCCTAATTTTTCAAGAACCAAGGGTAAAAAGCCATGTATGCTTGATAAAGAATTGAATTTGAAACTTGATTTAAAGGAATTTTCCAATCCATCATCTTCTAGAGGATTTACGTCTAAAAAAGGAGTAAACTATATATCATGCCATACAGACAGATGCTCTTCAAGCTCAAGAAATCAATATGATCCAAAATGCCACTTAGGCTCTTTAACAAAAACTTCTTGAAGGTCTAAAGGACCAATCATAAAGGCACAAGAAGATTTTGACAATTTTTATAACAGTATAACCCCTTCTTTACGTTGAAAGCTAAACAAACAAGAAACCCCAGAAATTTTGAATTTTGGCCATAAACCGTCGATACTAAATCCAAATTTTATCCCTTCCGAACCCAGCGCATCTTCTAAACTAAAAGAATTATTACCGTTTGGCACACTAAAGAAAATCAAAAATATAATAAAAATAAACGAAATCAATGAAGATGAAGAGTAATTATTATTCAGTTATATCCAAGAATTAAAAGATTTTGCTTTTGAGGTGCTGTCCCAAACAACGAAAAAAGATATGAAAAAAGATTAATGTAGATTCAGTAATGATTTTAATTATTCTTTTAACTAAATTACTTTATGTATGATATATTTTTGCAATTATTTATATTTTTCAAAATTAAGAGGATAAATTATGATGAGTAAATATTTATCTCTTTTATTGAAATAATATTAAATTCAACATATAAGATAACTAATTCTTCTTATATTAATAAAAATGAATGAGCAGAAGTGAAATGAAAGGTTTGAAGAAATGATGCAAAAAAAGCGCAAAACACAAGAAAAGCTAAAAATGCTTCAAGCTCAAAAACTTCTAGATGAAATGAAAGAGGTCACTGGCGTCCCCAAAATCAACGAAGTAAGCAGAAAAGTTGCAAATGAGCTTGCAAAAATTGAAGCTGAAAAAGCAGCAAATTCAGAATCCAATAACTATAAAGAAGCAACCCCTATTTCAAACGCTTCTAAAGGTGACAATCAAGCTCAACCAAACAAATCATTCTCTAGAAGTGCTGCAAAATACCTCAAAAACGACGACCTTGAATCAAAGCGGCTTCCTCCACCAACCGAAATTGTATTTCCTCCTAAAAAATCTGACACTTTGCCTAGCAAAGAGTTCAAAGACCTTCAAGAAACTTATATAAGAGCTCAAACCCTTCATTGCCAGCAGCAGAACTCTCAAGCTCTTTCACCAAGATGCCATATAGACTTGCAGTCTGGACAAGCATCTGAGCAATATATAAATTTAAGGGCTCCAAAGAATGGAAAAGTGAGCAACACAATGGGAGTGAGCCAAGCAGAAACACTGAGAAGGGATTTTCTTCAGACTGAAGAGAATAGTAAAGAGAAGCTTGATACGTATATGAAAAATATTAAATGGGTACAAAAGAGAGAAGAAAAACTTAAAGAGCAGAGATGGGATAGACAAGTGTCAGAAATCACGCCTTGCACGTTTAAGCCTGCTCTTACTAAATCTCAAAGCTTAAGAAACAGCTTTTCAGGACCTCATGAGGATAAAGACAATAACTACCTTGATATGCATTATAGAAGAAAGAATCTGCAAGAGAGCTTAGAGAAACAAGAAGTAAAGCTAAAAAAAGCAGAAAGTGTAAGAAGCGCTGAGGCTGATTCTGTTGAAGAATCTCAAGTTCAAAGTTTGAAGGACAAGCCTTTTACTTATTCAGCACTAGCTCCTATGGGATCTAGAGTCAAGTATAAAGAAGGGTTCAATGTTAAGAAATTTACGAATACTGCCAAGCCTATGGTCAGTTATAAACGACTAGAATAAATAAATTAAAGTAGTTAATTAGAAAGTTGTTGTACTATAACTTTATTTTAAAATAATTTTCTTATTCGATTAAGCTTTTTGATTTTGTTTATAATAAAATATAAACTCACAATTATAAACGGAAAATTGATTCCCTGAGCTTATATTAGCTGTTTTATGCTAATTAAGGAAAATACACTTACAGAGTTTTACATTTATAAACTCAGTTTCTTTATAAAGTAATGAAACTTTCAGCAAGGGTTTTAATTATGCTAATTAAAATAGCCTAATAGCTCAAGTTTAATTTTAATGGCCAATTGATATAAGCTGTTTTAGTATTTAGCAGGTAAAAATGGCAGCTTGGTATTCTAATCTCTCAATTAGTGAACTAAAAGACACAGTCCTACATGGAAACATCAAAAACCGTTTTATTCTCTGAAAAATCTTTCTTGGCATTCTCCAAGGCCCATATGAAGATTGGCTTTCCACAAATTCAAAACTCCGTGAAGACTACAACCACATGAAATCAGCCCTTACCCCTTCTATCAACCTCAAGCAAGCAGGCACCTTAAATAACCCCCTTTCCACAAACTCAGATGTATTTTATAATTAGAGTCCTTGATTTACACATTTTAAATACCAAGAAGAAAGAAGAGTGATAAGAATTGACGTGGATAGGACATTTCAAAAATATCAGATATTCCAGGATGAGCAGAATAAAAATATTTTGGAAAATATCTTATTTGTATGAAGCATGACACATTCTATAGGGTACAACCAAGGACTCAACGAAATTTGTGCAGTCATCATGTACGCTCTTTTAAATGAGCCAGAAAGTGAAGATGGATTAGCAAGCTGAGAATATATAGAAGCTGATTGCTATTGGATTTTTAGTAAAATAATGGAACTTAATATAGAAGAGTTGTTTGTCCATGAGATTGAACAATCGAAAATAGGAAATACGTTAGATGACGTCGCATGTTATGATAGATCGATATTAAGAGAAACCCCAGAAATGGTGAGAAGAAGCCACTATATTTTTCATAGAATTTTAAGTGTAACAGACCAAGAACTGTATTTACATATCCAAAAAAGCAAATACGATCCTCAGCTTTTTTTCGTCAGGTGGCTTAGATGCCTAATAAGCCGCGAATTTACATTAAACCAAACTCTCTTGATTTGGGACGCAATGCTAGCCTGCCACAGCATAAACAATAAGGAGCTCGAACTTTTAAACTATATTTGTGCAGCAATGCTCTCCGCAGATCGTGAAAACTGTAAGACATAAATAGTGCTTCATACACCTTGTGGAGATTTGCTGCAACTATTAATGAATCCGTTGACTATAAATGATATCCCGTTTGTGATAAATTCTGCTGTTATGTTTTATGAAGAACAAATAGACAAGAAGAAGACAGTTCTTATGAGGACTGATGGGGGAGAAGGAACCTTAACTTCTTCACTGAAAATGCTCTATAAAATGGTTTCAAATAAAGCTGAGCATTTAAAAAAGAAAACGAAAAATAAAAAGCAAAAGGGAGCAACGCTTGAGTCAATGCTCTTGTATGTAAGCCAATCTAAACTTATGATCGAAGAACAACTGCAAGCGTAAGAATAATGTAGAAAAAGCTTACTCCCCCCCCCCCTCCGTGAGCGAACAAAACCATTAGAAAAATCGCCATTTTTTGACCAAAAACCCACCCTCCGTGAGTGAACAAAAATTTTTTTAATAGAAAAAATTTTAATGGAAAAAAATTTTGATATATAAGTGATAATTAGTATAATGAAATCTAGAGCTAATTCTGTTTAATTTTAAACAAATTGCGTTTTAAAACATAAATTTTGCAAATTAAATTAATATTTGCTTCCCAATTTTTGCAAATTAGGATTTTTTTAAATTTCGAAAAAAATATTTTTTATAAAAATTTATATATAAATTTTTTTTTAAAAAAAAAAATTAACCCCCCTCCGTGAGCGAACAAAAATTTTTTTGTTCGCTCACGGAGGGGGGGGGGGAGTTAGATAAAGACAAAACAAAGAAAACGATAAAAAAACTGAAATATTTGCTTGATTACCCGAAATAAATAATTAAATTATAAGTTGCTTACTCCTTATAAAAAATTAAAGCGCAAACTTATAGCGATAATGCAAATAATGCAGCTTCGACGCTGCTTCAACAGCTACAGAGCTTGCGTACACACTTTCCCGAATCACTGATTTCTGCCATATATGTGCAGGTACCAGAGGTCTAACTTTTTCAATAAGAGCAGCTAAATGTTCAATAAAGTTTTTTCCTGAAATAACCACAACTGCAGGTCCAAATACAGACAGCAGCGTAGAAATAGCAGCTATTGGATCTTGAATATTCAATCTTGATACATCACCTAAGCATTCTCCATCTTCTGACAATAAAATTCTTCCTTTATGAACAACACAACTTCTAAGACCGTCATCATTAACCACTGAAATCAGTGTGTGTGAATGCAAACTTTGTTCGCTGAATAAGGCAACTGCGTCTACATCTCTCGCAACTGCAACAGCACCTAAGGTATCTAGTCCTTCTCTTTTTTTGGCTGATTTTTCAACAATTCCGATTTTTTTGATCGGGTAGAGTTCAGGGGAGTTTTTGGTAACTTTTTCAATAAATTGTGAAATAAGACTGTGAAGGTCTGTGTCTTCGCTGAAAAGAGATTCTTCTCTTATGTTGTGGGAAAGCATTAATATTTGGTTTTGGGAGATGTGGACTCCGATTTCTAAGACTTCTATTGAAGGGGTTGAGTAGCAGAGGTCTCCCATTTTGTCTGGATGTGTGATTGTGATAAGTTGTTGGATTTCTTTGTGGTCTTGTACATTATTTTTTGTGATTGTGGTTGGCTTTATTAAAGATACTTTGAATCTTAAATGCTTGCTTCTAAACCAAGAATATTCATTATTCCATATAAATCTGTATAGTCCAGGAGAATGAAGCAGCCTGACCCCTAAGCAAGGAGCTTGATCGCAGCTAACTTTTTCCTCTTCTATAATAATCTGAGGCTGAGGGAGATCTACCCTTGATAATGAATAAGAAATATCATAATACTCAGTTGCAAAACCCCACACCAAAATAGAGTTTGGCTCCTGCACCTCAATCACCCTTTGAACTTTTTCCCCACTTGGAATCTGTACACTCAGCGGAAACCCAATATGTGCTTGAATGTGGTCTATATCCACTGATTCTTCTGCTTCAAAAACTCCTTCTATTGATTTTTCATCATATTTATCATGCTTAAATAAATTTTCAATTTCTACTTCTGTTTCTAATCTTCCTTTAAATTCACCATCCACATCAGTAGAATGCAGAATCACATATAAAAACTTTGCAGAATTCCCTTTGATCGTTTCATCCACTGATGATGAAGATTTTTTAAAGTGCTCTATAAGAAGATCATACATAGACGGTCTATGCTTTGGGTAATTTTCCCATAATCTTCTTATAAGGACCCCTAAAGTGAGATTTTGGCCTTTATCAAAAGATTGAAGCATCTGTACAAATTTAAGGGAAGTGTAAAATATGTCGTCGTGAATATATAGAAGACGAGTATCAGAACATTTATAGATGTGATTATATGATGATCCGTCTTCAAAACCTCCAAGTTTTACATTGTAATGGACTCTGAAAATAAAGTTTTCGAGAAGCCGTGAAAATTTTTTGAGCATTTCTTCATTAGCATTTAAAGCTAAAGCATCGAGAACAGGCTCAAGTTGAGTGCCATAGCATAAAAATTGTTCTTTAAGTGTAGGAATAGAGCTATTCTATGTACAATTAAATATATGCCATTATTAATAGCTTCTTAATAAAGAATTGTTTCTATTGCATTCAGCCCAATAAAGCATAAACATATCCATTAGCCTATTAATTGCGAAAATATTTTTATCCTGTATATCTTGAATTACAGGCTTTAACGCTTCTTCATAATTAACTGCTGTTTTTTTATCAAGCAGCTGCTGGACTATTTCAAGTTGCTCTTTTTCTAATCCTCCATGTTGAATTAAATGAACTAAAATTTCTTTAACCCCAGCCTCTAGTTCTTCAGCGATTTCTGTGCCTTTTAAGTTCTCACAAAGCAAAAAAATATCATTTGAGAGATCTAATAACAAGTGAGGGTCATTTCTGGGCGCCAAGCTACAAATTTTATTGTAAAGTTTAGCGGCGAATCTGACAATCTGGAAATCAAAGTGAAGCACTATCTTTTTCAGGCACGCAATTACTTTTAAGTCTATTGAGCCTAGCGAAGAATCTAATAAGGCTTCTGCTTCTCGAAGATGCCCGATAGCCTCTGTTATTGTCTTAGATTTCAGAGCATGATTGAACGTGTCAAAAATGGGGTTTTCTGACATATTTTTACTATTTATAATGAATTATTTATGATTTTAAAGCTGTTTAGCATTACTTATCCTTTAAATAGCAAAAATCTTTAGCCTTGAACTCTGGTTTTGTTAAATTTGCCTAACACTGACTATTTTATATGAGCAGATTTAATAGTCACATATGACTAATTTTATATTAGTCTACGATTAAAGTTTATTTGAATATGTCATTCTTATCAAAATCATACATACTTCCAAACCCGCCTACACTGAAATCTTGGAAGGCATCCATGCCATTCCCAAACATATTCCACGCAGGCTGAACCGGCTGATTATATGGATTTTGGAACATCTGCTGAGACTGCACTTCGTTATTCGTGGGCATCGGCAGTTCTTCTTCGTCTTCACTGCTGCTTGATGATGAGCTTTCAGAGCTGGACTCTCCAGCAGGAGCAGCTGGTTGTGGAGGAAGATTGTCAGGCTTTTTGTTCTGTGAAAGCTGTTCTAATTGTTGATCTAAGTCTTTAAGCCTTGATGACGTCATTTCTTGAATTGACTTCATGCCATCAATATTAATAGGCTTGGTCTTCTTTTTGGACTGGGCCTTATTTAAATAAAATTAAGATCAAAATTCAGGAAATTTATAGTAAAAAATCGTGATAAATAGAGGCAAACAGAAAATAAATAATAAGCTAAGCTAAGACTGGGCCCTGCCTGCATTTGTCAAACACTGCTTCACATATTTTTCCAGCTCTCTACACACGTTAGAAGGCAATTTGTCGATGTCAAACTCCAGCTCTTCTCCTTGGACGTTCATGCATTCTTGAACAATATCTAAAACTCCTTTCAAATATTTCGGGTCAAGTTTTTTTATATTTGTGCACAGATTTTTTTTCTCATGCAAAGTCATCGGTTTTTCTATTTGTGGCTTGGCTGGCATTTTTACAACTGCTGCAGATGACGTGGACGCTGCTTGAGGATTTGCTTTGTTAGCCTGGATTTCTCGCATTCCTTTGGACAGCTTTTCGATTTTTTGATACAAGTCTTGCATGACGTCTTGCTTGTCAGCGAGCATCAGATTTTCGTTTCCTTTCATGAGGCTTTCAAAATGGGAGCTGAGCTCCATTGTCATGGCGTAGAGGTCGGAGTTTTTTGCGTTATATTGGAAAGAATTGCTCCAAATCAAGCGCATGTCCATTGCAAATTGATAGCCGTTCTCATATTCGCCAGCCCGGAGCTTTTTTTCAACAGTACTTAAATCCATGGGCTCTTTGATTACTGAGTGATAATCAGGGACAAGCTTGGGGTTTACTGGCTCTAGAAAAGGCTCAGAAAAGTCATGTCTCTTAATAGATTGGAGTATTTTTTATACTAAATTTATTAAAATATTGAATTTATAGCATAAAATAATAGTATAGAGTCATTTATTATAATAGAGGTTATATATTTTCTTGAAAGATTCACTTTGTTTGGGCATTGTGTCAAAACTGTCATTTGATACTTGGCGCTTTACCCTAGTTGGACGCAATTCCTTTTCCCTAGGAATATAAATATTATTAAAATCTAAGTTTTCAAGCTCTGATTTTCTATGCTTATTTTTCGACTCTTTTTTGACTAGAGGGTTAATTTTGAAGCCAGCTGGTAGTTTGGCATTTATTGCCGAAAGTTGAGAGCTTGTCAACTCCATATTATAATGGCCTCATATTTTTGATTTTATAGCTTGGGGTTATCTGCGACCGAATATATTAATTTTGATTAATTCATAATAACTCTTTCTATATACATATATTCTAGATAAGATCAGATTAAATAGCTATATTTCCTCTATAATTATTAAAAAAAATAAAATTTATTTTTTTCCATTGTCGTCAAATAAAGCGTTTTTTTTTTTTAATAAAAAATTTTATAATATTAAATTAATTCTTTTTCTGATAGAGTAAGACATTTCCATTTTAACAGCCAGCATGACAAATAACTCAAAACTCCCATCCCTTTTATAAATCTAAGCTAAATCTTTTCCTCCTTCTCCTATCCTTTTCATCATGCAAAATTTTCCCTTTTATCCCAATTCTTATCCTTCTTTGAATTCCCATATATAAAAATGAGTCTTGAGCTCCAGTCTTGCTTATCCTGCAACTGCGGCCCAGTGAGCACAGTCGATAAGGAGATCATCGCCTACATGGCTGCCAACAGTGTGGTATTATGGAACATCTCTTCCAACAGAAAGGATTTCATATGGCATGAGTCTCTCGGAATCACAACATGCGCGGCAAGTTCCCGAGCCAACCAAATCGCTGTAGGAGAAGAAGGCGCCAACCCTTGCGTCGCAATCTACTCATGGCCTTACAAAAGTCTACTTACTCCCCCCCTCGAAGTTCGACCAAGATATAGGGAAAATTCCTATTTTTTTGGAAAATTAACCCCCCTCAAAGTTCGACCAAGACCTATATAAATTTACTAGGAAAATAAGCAATTTTTCAAAAATTTTAAACTATGTGGGGGTGAGCTTGCGATTTTTGTATTCAAGTTCTAAAAAAGTGTTACAAAACCATCTTGCACTATTTTTTCTAACCCTTACACCCATACAGAAGAATATGATAAAATTTTTTTTTTTTTAACTACTAAATTATATAAAAAAAATTTTCTTAACCCCCTCGAAGTTCGACAAAAAATCTTGGTCGAACTTCGAGGGGGGGAGTTAGAAAAATCCATGCAGGTGCGGCAGTTATGTACACCGCACTTGCGTTTAATAAAACTGGAGACCAGCTAATAACAGTTGCTGACTATCCTGACTACACTTTAAAGGTCTGGGAAGGCGACAGAGAGCTGGTAAGCCTTGATTTAGGAAGAGAACCTCTCAAAATTATGGCCCATTACTCAATATTGATCCTTCTTAAGCATGAAGTAAAAATTCTGACAATTCATAACTCCTATGAGCTGCCTTCAGGGATAGAAGAAGATTTATTTGAAAGAAACCGATATACACTTAAGACGTACTCACTAGCTGAAATTGTGCCACTAGACGCCACTTGGGATAAGTACGGGAATATTTATTTGTCAACTAATGCAGGAGAACTTTTGGTGATAAAGCCAAATTTAAAGGAGACTTTGGCTATTGTGAGGTATGATTTTAATATTTTATCAATGGTGCTCACCCATAGATATCTTGTGATTGCTACTTCAGAAAATAAAATACAGTGGCTGAACATTTATATACCAAAAGAAGAAAACGATCCAAGACTAGGGAAAAATTTAAATTTGAAGCCGCATAAGGAGTTGCCATTGGAAGACCCTCAGGATATCATTCAGTTATTATATACAGGAGATATGTCAAAACTAGTCATGATTGGCGCACAAGGGAAAATACAAGTTCTGCATCAGCCAGCTGAGCCAGGATTCGAAGTAGAAGATGAAGAAGAAGACAAAGAAGAGGAAGACGATCTAGGAGAAGAAGATGAAGATGAAGAAGCTGTCAGGAAACCTAAACTGATCAATGCAACTCCACAGGTTTTGGGGCAATTTCATATAGGCTGCGTTAAATCAGTTGTAGGATTAGGGGATTCAACACAGTGTGCAACGATTGCGGAAGATTTCAGAATATGGGAAGTCGTGACTGGAGAAAATTTAATGCAGTATTCTAGTCCTGGGGATTCTGAATATACTTCAATTGATGCAAATTTAGCTGGAAATCTAGTTGCAATAGGCAGCAGCTTAGGCGCTATAAGGATTTTTGATGTTTTCAGCAGAATGGTGCCAAGGCTGCTTATTTTCCACAGGCTTATTAATTCTCCTATTACTTGGGTACAATTTAGTCCAAGCCAAAGACTGATTGCATGCTCATCCAATAAAAGCAATCAAATCTATTTCATCGAGGCGAGCATTAATTCCTTATTCCGCGTCATTGGCTTCATTGAGCTAACCAGCAACATCAAAACTTTGACTTGGTACAAAAAATCCATAATCGCTCTATTAGAAAACCAGCTTTTAGTGCAATTTGACGAGCCTCGTGCAGACACCCCTTCATCTCTTACTCCAATAGAGGCTACTTTTAAATATCGGCACGTAGCAGACGGTCTTAGCATAGGTGTCAACAACAATATGGTCCATCTAGCAGGCTCAAGCAAAGATATTTTAATATATCAGCTTCCTGAGCAGAACCTCAATGACATTGATTTACGAAAACTCCCGCCTGATCCTAATGAAATTTATCCAGTCCAACAGATCCAGGCTACAGTTTTATCATTTTCGCCTGATCAAAGATTTCTGGCTGCTGGCTGTGCAGATGGTCTTATACAAATATAGCTCTTTCCCTTGAATAGCCCGATAACGGGGTGAAGCCAGCCTGTTATCGGGCTATTCAAGGGAAAGTGCTATAGGTGACCTTTCTACTAGTGATAATGATTTTAGATCAGTCCATGGCCCTTCTGGTGTCCAATGTTTAAGCTTTTCTGTAGATTCTTCATTATTGTTCAGCACTGGAAGTGAAAGAGATTTCTTTGTGTGGAGCATTACAGGAAGAGTTATAGACCGTCCTGTAGCTAGTACAATGGTGGAAGACCCACAAATAGACGCTCTTGATAATGTCGACGACAAAGCTGACGCTGAAATCCAATTTTTTAGCGAGATTTTGACAGAAGCGAAAAATAAAGCAGAAACTAAAGAAGTGGAGAAAGTTAAGTCAAAATTAAAAGCAAGGGTTCAAGAAATACAGGATAAACTGCAAGCAATGCTGAGCGTTAATGAAAAATGCCCAGAGCTGGAAAGATTGGATAGAGATGAATTCGTACTTGATTTGGCAGGAAAACAAAAAATTGAAGAAGAGGGCAAAAAAGCGGCTCAGGTTTTGAGGGAACAAGCCAAAAAAGAGAATTTAGCCCAAGAGTTACTTAAAGAAAGAATTAAAATGAAGACTATAGACAGCATGGAAGTAAACTCCAGGGTGATTTCAAGTATGCAAAGAGACCAAATTGTGTATAACTATACAATCAGAAAACTCGCCTTATCTGAACAATCATTGTTCAGGAAAATCAAATGCTATCGCATGATTGAGCTGCGTGAAGCCACATTAAGAAAAGAAAAAGGGCTCGATGAGATCATTGAATATGAAAATTTCGCAGTAGATTGGATTATTGGAAAAAAGCCAGAAGATTGGAAAAATCATCCACTGCTTCAAGCATTAGAAAAGAAAAGAGCTTCATCAAGAAAAGAAGGAGACCCTGAGCAGACAAATGAATGGGAATTACTATATCCTGCACCTTTAATCTACACTCCTGCCCGCAAAAGGACTCAAATATATCTCCTCTACATGCTATGCAGAGCTCTCAAAGAAGGGTTTAACGTCGAATTCGAAAAACTTATCCAATTCAAAGAAAAACAAGTCGACTTAATTGAAGAAAAAAATCAGTTGATCCAAGAAAAACAAAAAGAACTCAACGTGGCCACAAATGTTTTTGTCCCTCCAGTGCATCTATTAGAAGACCCTAATGAAATGCTTAAGATCAAAGACTCAGACTTCACCGTCGAAAAATACCTAACAAAAGAAGAAAGAGAGGCTTTAGAAGAAAAAAAGCGAAAAGAAGAAGAAAGGCTAAGACTGCTTAATGCTGACGACTCAAAAAAGAAAGCCTTAAACCAAATGATGTATGGGACTATTGAAAATAAAAAAAATAATTACTCAAAATTGACTGATAACTTGCAAAGAGAAGAATGGATGGACAAATTGACGCTGCAAGAAATGACTGAGGAGCAAAGACAGAAATTGAAGGAGTTTGAAGAAAAGGATAAAAAACTGCAAGAAGAAAAAGACAAGCTTAGAAAAATCATTGAAGGGGAGCTTAAGAAACTGCAAGGAGAAGTCAATGAAATCTGCAAAATTTTTGACCAAAAGGTCAGAGAATTGTTCTTGCTGAGGCTTGACACTGATTATGAGATTTATCAAATGGAATTTATGATAGCAAGACTTGTCAGGTCAATTATGGCTGACATGAAAAGAAAAGTTGAGCTTGAAGAACTGAGAAAAGAAAATGGAAAATTAGATGAAGAGGTCAATAAAAGAAAAGAAGAGATCAATGAGTTTGGCCATCATATCGAATTTTTGCAAGCAAAAATCAAAAGATGCCAGGATGATTCTAAAGCTGTTGATGCGCATTTTAAGACAATTGTTGAAAAAGAACAGAATATAAATACACATGACCAGAAGAAAATTAAAGATTTGTTGAAAAATGGGCCTGAAAGAAAACAACAGCCAAAGGCTCCTCTTTCGCCTGACGTGGAAGACTTACTTGCCACTTTAAATGCTCTGGATCCATTTACTCCACAAGAAAAAGAAAAAATAATCAGCAACCTTCCTCTTCCACAGCCAAAAGAAATTGAAGATAAAGATCTTGTAGGAATCCCTGAGCAAATCCATGAAATCTTATAAATCATTATTACTTAAAATCAGTTTTTTCGACCTTTTAGGTTTGTTTTTCATAAAGAACTATACCTAATTTTTTAATTTATTTTTAAGTATCATTTATATGGTATAAAAAACAATCGCAAAAAGAAATTAAATTACGAAAAACAAATCCCACAGCTTCAAAAGCATATCAAAGACGTCGAAGTCCACAAAAAGTGGCTGGAAAAGAAATACCAAAAATCTCTAGAAAAATCATCACGAGTTAGAGAAGAGTTGCAAAGAAAAGAAGACGAAAATATTAAGCAGAGATTTAATACAGAATTATTGCTCAAAATGAAGCAAGCTGTTGTAGAAGTCCCTCAGCAGCCTGTTGTTACTGATTATGCAGACGCAATTTTAATATACAGAGATGTAGTTGAAAGCAAAAACCGCAGAATCAGAGAAATCGGAAATGAAAAAGTCAAAGTTCTGCAAGAAATCGCAGATTTCAAGATTGCTTTAGCCAAGGTTAAATGGAGAGAAGAGCTTTTAGAGCTGGAAACTGAAGATTTCAAGGAAAGTGAAGGTGACTTAAAGATGCTTACTCCTATCATTGGCTAATTAGTAAATAAATCCCTATACCTCGGAAAATCCCTATTTATAACTAGCAAAATTTTTCAATTTAAACTTCTTTTCTCGAAATCTTTTTTACATGTGATTATAATGAGAGCCTTTTAATACTGTAAAATTTTAAATATCATGATCTCTAAACACAAACTTTATAAATTTTTGATTTCAATATCTACAAGGTGGTGTTTTAAAACCGAAAAAACAATATTGTGAAAGAATTTTAAACATAATGTTTATAAGAAAATGAGTCAAAACCCTCCTTTAGTGGATAAAAAAACTTTTCGCTTGCTAAGAGGGAAGCTAGGATTGACAAAAGGCTCCAAAACATTCTAGCAGGGCGTGGGCTTGATGAAAATCAGCAAATGCAAGAAAGAATCAGAAATCAAATAGAGCATCTAAACATAAACACAGAAAAAAGAGTGAAACAAATTTATGAGAAAAAAGAAATAATTGTAAAATCTATCATGGAACTTACCAGAGATAACGAAGTATTAGAAAATGAAGTCTCAGAAATGGAAAAGCAAGATTAAGATTGCCCAAGAGATTATTGCAGACCCTCATCATCCCACGGATTACTTCGCGTTAGCGCTCGGAGCTATCCTCACACCTGCCCTTTTCACTACTGAACTCATCAAAAAATGGTGACGTAGGAGGTCTCTCCAGAAGATCGCCCGATCCATCTCCTTGGTCCCAGAAGATGACAAAGATTCCCTCAATCTCCACAGTGCTCGGGTTTGATCCACCTGCATGATCGGTAATGCTCTTATCGCACCGAGGGACATTGCGCCAGTAGGTGCGTCTGCAAGTCAGGAAAAAAATTGAGGTTAACCCCAAACCAAAAACCAGCCCAGGAGAACTAACTATGTGACTTTCTCCTCTGGGTCAGGATCAGCTCTTGTATCACTAGAGGCCATATCAGATCACCCCATTTTAATAATTCTGGAAAAACAAGAAGAAAACAGAGAGCAGCTGTTAAAATTAAGAGCCACCATTTCAGACCAAGCAAGAGATGACCCAGCAGGAAAATTCAGACAGATTTCTGAAAGACGAAGAATGATGGACAAAATTGAGCAATACAGAGAAGAAATTGAATTCCTAAACGACGAACTTGACAGACTTCGTGCCAAGACTTTTCCATCATTCGCCCACCTTCAGGCGCATGTTGACTTCCCAGACGAATATTAATAAGCTTATAAAGAATAAATTAATTTCTACATTTAGTAAGCCTAGCTCTATGACGAGTAACGCGCATAGTTTCTGCCTTTTCGACGCATTCAGCGCAGAACCAGTCTCCTACAGGGATTTCATCAAGATCTGCACAACCTTGATGAGCAACTTTGGGGCATCCGTCACAGCATACCATAAGTCCTGGTTCTCCACAGACGTAGCAGGTTTGGTCTTGGTTGCGGAATTCTTCTTCTATTTGGTGAAGCTTTCGGAGTCGCTCGAGTCGATAAGATCTTCTTGCCAAATTGTAAGAAGTCTCCTCTGGAGGGATTTCCGGCTTGTGTGTGTCTAAATATTTGTAGAGGACTGCTGCAAAAATGTGGTAGCATAGATAAAGTTCCTGGGATTTCTCGACGCCGACGAGATATTGAGACCAAAATTGGAGCAAATCTCCATGGTCTTCTCATATAAAAACTTCGCTTTTTGATTTTTTGACAGGCTCGTCTTCAAATGTTGGCTCTTTAGGGATGGATCCAGTGCAGTTTGATAGAGCAATAAAAGCTTCTTTTAGGTCAAAAACAGTATTTGATGCCTCAATTTGATCCATTACTTCAGAATTCCCAATTCCTAAAGTGTTAAGTGTGGCAGTATATGCTTCTTTCATTTTTTGTTTTAAATTATCAAGGGTATATGCTGTGTTTTCTAATAGCGCGCTTTTGTCAATTTCTCCAAGTTCAGCTTCACTAGATGTGGACTCTTCAGGATTTGTCGGAGGAATTAATTCTGATAAATATTTTTCTAAGCCAAATGAGAGCTTGGTTTCTCTGATTCCTTTTAAGCACAGACAATTCTTAAGAGATTCAATCTCTTCTTTGGAATTATAGTAGTACCAATACCCAGATTCAGACTCTTTTCCTTTGCCTCCGATTGGCTTATAGCGCTTCACAAACAAAAATCGCTTTTCTCAAGGAAATACGTAATACTCACTATAATTCCTATCTTTCCCTATGCATTCTGATCTAGTCCTAATACCTTTCATTTCGGCCAAAATTTCTTCTAATCTTTCGTTGATTTCTCCAGCTTCTTCACTGGTGAGGCTACCTTTTTTGCCTTTTTGAAAACTCTTTAGTTGCATGTGAATATCATCTTTTTCTTTGCGAAGAATTTCTCGTTTTTCTATTCTTTTAGTGATTTCTTGATATAATCTTTTACAATGGTAACCGCAAAATAGTATCATTACTGGGCTATTTATGGTAAAATAGTATAAAACTGAAGAGAGTCGAGGGTCATGCTGATAAGTAAGGAAATCATTTGGATTTTTTCTTGAAGAGTGTATTTTTCGTAATAAGTAGTTGAAATGGGAAAATATTCGAATTTCTGTATAAGCTGCTCGGAGTCTTCAATAAATTCATTCCATAATCCTGATGAAAATATATAGAGGTTTCCTCTATATAGCGCTAAAAGCGCAGACATTTTCCCAGGAGCTTTCCAAGTTCGTCGGACCAAATCGCTTTTTGGTCCGACAAGGTATTGATTTGGTGCAACCTACCGATAAATTCCGATCAGAATTTATCGGCCTTACAGCGCCAAACATAGGAAACTTCTATACTTTCCATAAGTATCAAGTAAGATGAATCCATTATTTCTTCTAAATTTGCTATTTTCTGTGCTCTGCATAGCAAATAGCTCAGTCCTCTATCAAGTTTTTTATCAGAATTTTCCTTCCTGATCATTTTTGCCACAAGTGGTCTGAGCAGCCCAATGTGTAATTCCTTGACAATTTTGTTTTCATGCTGTGTATTCAATGCATTGTATAATAGATCAATTCCTATTTTCTGTGTCTGAAGTAAGTCCTTAAATGTGAACAAAAAATCGCTAATAAAAAGTACGTCTCCAAGAACTTCAGGATGTATGTGGTAAACTTTTGGTAATGGCATATCATTTTCCTCGACCTCATGCAATTCAGGATTTTTCCACAGAAGTGTATCATTTATTGGGTAAAAGATTTTCCCTCCTTTCACCAAATCAGGATGTTTCTTTTTAAATCTCTTCATAAGCGTATCAGCTTCTGTCCTCATAAGTTTATGATAGAGTTTCTTGTCTCTCGTCTCTTTATCAGTTTTTTGGCTTTTCACAAGTCTTATCTCTTCTTCTCTGATGCGTTTTTCGAAATTATCGGTACAGTCAGCACATACCCAATGCGAGAATGATACCTCTGATTCAGATAACCCTAAGCAGGTAAGATGATACGCTTGTGAGCAGATATTGCAAGGCAGCAAAATACCTTTCTCCTTACAGCAAATGCAAGAGCGGGAAACGCGAGATTTACGTGCAGTGGGGGCATTAGAAGTCCGTCGAGAATTCAGTTTGCGAGAATCTTGTTTATTTTTACCCTTTTCTCGTTGTTTGCTTGGTTTGGTATTTTTGACCATTCTGAATGCGATGGAATAATAATGGATGAAAAGCTGTAGACTGGAGGAAAATTGTATATTGGAAAATAAGGTTTATTATAGGAAAAATGGATTTTGGCAAAGTGGAGGGATGAAGGGTCGGTGGGATGGACTTTTGAGGGAAAGGAAAGAAAAAAAAATAAAGAGGAAAGTAGGTGAACTGGGAAATTTAGTGTAAAGGAAAGTTTAGTGAAAAAGGTAAATATGGATATTCAATTTTGAAATTTATAAAATGGTGGGTTACATCAAAATATTGATAGACCGAATAAGGAGAATTTTAATGGGGTTTTGCTTTTTAAAAAGCTAATCAATAAGAGTTATTTGTGAAATTGAATAGTGGAAAATGAAGACCAAAATTTTGGTTCTGCCAAAATAATTTTGATTAGATTTTATCTAAAAAATGTAATATATTTTTCTGATGTGAAAATTGTTGATATAAATGCTATTTAATGATTAATTTTATTTCTTTCTAGCAGTTGTCTCTTCTCTTGCCTCTTCCATTATCTGATCTTGATTCTCAATGGTTTTATTAACTTGTTTTTTACTTGTCTCAATCATATACCCTCCAGCTATCATTTCATCCAAAATATAGTATGCTCATTTACAATTATAAATAAATTTACTAAAGCAAGCCAAAATTAATTCTCACAAAAATTAAATGTCAATTTTTTTTTAAAAATATTTGTCTCTATAAATATTTATAAGCCTTATGAAAATTGAAAATGATATCCAACTCACAAACATTCTTAAAATACTTATCCAGAACTTCCACAAAGAAGTGCATAATGTCCAGTGCTATAAGCTCGTTATCTTCCCTATCTATGCAAAATACGAAGTATAAGCTTGCATATCGTTTTGCTACCAATGTGAATTCCTTGAATTCTAAAAAGTTGCAAAGCTTGCTGTTTCTTCCTATAACTAAGGGTTTGACTTCTTTAAGAATTGACTCTCTCTCTTTTTGAGAATATGTGCTGAACCATTTACCTAGCCTGATCTTGCCATGCCTGCTTATTAGAAGAATAAAATGAATCATATTTTTGTATAAGTAATGTGAAGTCGATTATAAAGCTTAGCGAATAAACAAAGAAATGGGCATTTGCAGACCATTTTAAATGATATTTGCTTATTTTATTATGCTGGTTATAAAATTGAAAGGAGAAAGAGTGATTATTATTGTGCAAGAGTATGATGATAAAAATAAAGGAAATTGCTTACTGAACAGAATTGGAAAATGATGATACTAACTCCCCCCCTCCGTGAGTGAACAAAATTTTTTTTGTTCACTCACGGAGGGGGTTAATTTTTTTTTTTTAAAAACAATGTAATAGAAATTTTATAGAAAATTTTTTTTTTCGAAATTTAAAAAAATCCTAATTCGCAAAAATTTGAAAGCAAATATTAATTTAATTTATAAAATTTATGTTTTAAAAAGCAATTCGTTTAAAAGTAAACAGAATTAGCTCTAGATTTCATTATACTAGTTATCACTTATATATAAAATTTTTTTTCCTTAAAAAAATTTTTGTTCAAAAATGGCGATTTTTCTAATGGTTTTGTTCACTCACGGAGGGGGGGGAGTAAGAATAAAATATTTGGCTTCGTCTCTCTTCAGATTATATGAGAAAGACTGATAATTTTGCGAAATCATCAACACTTAGAGGCACCTAAATCCTTAAAAACAATTGTTTCAAAGTGCTTTTTTGTAAAATGGCCTTTGATTTTTCATCAGTTCTCCAGTAAAAGTGATGGGACTGCTTTGTAGTTATTTTATTAATGATGCTACTAGCTTTACGAATCAAAGCTAAAATGAGTTACAAAATTTATTCAGAAAAAAATTAAAGAAAACCAGTGAAGAAAAAAAACTCAGAATTTTTACGAAGAATCAGAAGCTTGAAAACCTTGACTTTATAATAGCCATCAGCACCATCTAATAAAATTTTGGTTCAAAACTCCTTAATTATCGTTGATTCTTCATATACATAAAATGGCGGACGGCGACCGACCCATCCTCTCAGTGGTGGTTACCCATATATCCGGGCGTGGTTTTTGGAGCCAGGAGTTAGCCCAAAAACGTCTGGGACCTCAAAGCGAGAGGCCTAAGCACAAAAGCCGCTGTTTTTGTGACCAGACCCATGGGCAGTTACTCGTGACTTCTTTTTGCCAGCAGCGCTCAGCCCAGTGAGTGCCCGAAATGAGGCAGGGCGACTTACCTGCCAAGCTGCTTTTGTGGCTCGCCCCGAATGGCGAAAGCTGTTGAGTTCTTTCTCGGGATGGCCGGAAAAGAGGGGAAGGCGAGCTAGACAACTATACGGGGGTCTCTCCAGTTTAAAAGGTGCCCTTCAATAGGCAGATCTGGCGGACGACGCGGCAGTGTTGGCGTAAACTTAGGTGACGATCCAAGTTGGAAATGGAGGCGGTCAGCAAAGCCGGTATGAGACGGCCCTAGACATCACCTCTACCGAGAAACCGGGGTTTCGTCCCGGGCTTGGTGAACGCTCTGTCACCATACGGGAAACCGTAGAATGCTTCCTCGGACGTAGTAGGGACCTTAAATACATAGCGGGGTCCTTTAGCCCTTACAATATAAGGGATCTAGGTACAATAAAAGATCATTTTTTCACTGTTATCCGAATCAGGTTCATCATAGAAAAAAAGATTAATTTGCACCTGGCATCACGCAATCTACTGAGTAAATTTACAGTCAAATTTGACGGTAAATTTTTTTTTTATTTATAATAAAAAGAATTCAAGAACTCAACAACAAAAGAATCCATTCTTTAATTAAGATATAAATCTGTTCAGATAGTAAAATAGAGAAACCCTAGCTTTTCACATCAAAGCGAATTCAGGAACTAAGTTGATTGCAAATACCGGCTCACAGTATGCGGAAACTAATGAATGGTTCTCTAATAGCAATGCGCAACGCTTTATGTAATTGATATGACAACTACTGTCTACATTAGAATAAAGAACTAAATTCGTTTCTTCATGAGAGAACTGTTTATCATATAACAGAAAAATCGGTAAAAGTCATATATCTGTGCGCATTTAGATACCTATATTTGCTGCATAGGTATGCAACGCAGAGTGTAGCAAATCAGATAATTTTGGTGCACATTTGAGCTATATACTTTATCCTATTTTCGTATTATACTGACATATAAATACAAAACTAATATGACCATAAATTCACGAAACAATTTCTTTCATAGAAATAAGAATTAAATATTTCATTATCTTTACTGTGAAATGGTTCTCATTAGAAAAAAAAAAAATTTTTACGCAAAAAATATCAGCAACATTTTGATTAATCTACTGTACTATGTTTATGAAAATTTGCCTTATTGTCTTTATAATGTTTCAGAATGCGAGAGTTAGACATAATTAGTAATTTTTTCTGTATAATTGTGCACTAAACTAATAGATACAGTAATATTTATGATTAAAACTTATTTAAAAAATTTATAATACCTAAATAATATATATAATAGCACTTATTTAATCTAAATTATATCTTTTAATGTGTGCTAAATTCATTCACTGTTGTATTTAATAGTTTATTACGCATTTTATATGCATAAGTAGCTCAAATTTCGCGCTTAATTATAAAAATGGCGCAAATATACAGTATAACTTTAAAATAAAAGAGTTAAAAAGTACAATTTATATATAGAAACCTGATTAATTTTTTTAAATATTATTGAGTTTAAAATATAGTAATTTAATTATTAAGATTCTCCTGTATGCTCATCCTTACTTTGGAACCTTTGCAGAAATATGTGAGAGTGAACGCTTAGCAATTGGCTTATGCAGAGCTGTTGGCATAATCCCATCAAGAAACTGCGATATTTGTGGGAATCAATGCTATGAATACCTTCAAGAAGATCGTACTGTTTTGAGATGCAATGAACGCAAAATAACGCTTTCAATAGTGCGAAACTCGATATTTAGCAGGTTGAAGCTAGATATAAAATGTCATGGTGATGCTAATCTTTCAATATTTTGCAAAAAGAAGAAAAGCAAATTACTGCTGCAGAAGAGTTACATATCAATCCTATAACAGTTTCTAAATTATGCAAAAAAATCAGAAAAGTCATTCGAATAAGTATTGAAAACTCTTATTATACTGAAGATCAACTTGGATTTGACAATGAGCCAGGTGAAGATCATCCAACTGTTGATATAGATGAAACTAAAGTCATATAACTATTTAAAATAAATATAAATATTGCTGCCGCCAGGCATCAATATTTATATTTATTTTAAATAGTTATATCATTAAATGGCGAAACCATGTGAATTTTTAGGGTTATTGATCGTGCAACTAATAAATTCAGGCTTTTTTTTGCTGGAAACGATCGAACTTGGGATCAATTGAGTGCTTTCATTCAATTAGCAGTTTACAACAATCCTTTAAACCCTACTGAAATATTTTCAGATGGGTGAGCAGCTTATGCAAGAATTCCATCCTTAGGCTATCGGCATAGCATCGTATTGCACAAATCGTGATTTTGGACATGGGAGATTCACAACAAATCGTATCGAAAGCCTTTGATCCAGGTTAAAGCGTCTGCCCACTTATGTGAGACATTTTAGAGTAACTGATTTAGAGGCATTGGAAGATTACGTAATGCTATTTCAATGGTTGCTTACGCATACAACTAAACTATCAAGAATTTTCTCACTAATTCAAATACTAAATATTAATAACTTTCATTAAGAGAGTCTATGTACAGTAAAATACCATATATAGGAGTTTTGTATAAGCTATTTTTTTGCGTAAAAATTTTTTTTTTCTAATGAGAACCATTTCACAGTAAAGATAATGAAATATTTAATTCTTATTTCTATGAAAGAATTGTTTCGTGAATTACGGTCATCTTAGTTTTGTATTTATATGTCAGTATAATACGAAAATAGGATAAAGTATATAGCTCAAATGTGCACCAAAATTATCTGATTTGCTACACTCTGCGTTGCATACCTATGCAGCAAATATAGGTATCTAAATGCGCACAGATATATGACTTTTACCCGATTTTTCTGTTATATGATAAACAGTTCTCTCATGAAGAAACGAATTTAGTTCTTTATTCTAATGTAGACAGTAGTTGTCATATCAATTACATAAGCGTTGCGCATTGCTATTAGAGAACCATTCATTAGTTTCCGCATACTGTGAGCCGTATTTGCAATCAACTTAGTTCCTGAATTCGCTTTGATGTGAAAAGCTAGGGTTCTCTATTTTACTATCTGAACAGATTTATATCTTAATTAAAGAATGGATTCTTTTGTTGTTGAGTTCTTGAATTCTTTTTATTATAAATAAAAAAAAAAAATTTACCGTCAAATTTGACTGTAAATTTACTCAGTAGATTGCGTGATGCCAGGTGCAAATTAATCTTTTTTTCTATGATGAACCTGATTCGGATAACAGTGAAAAAATGATCTTTTATTGTACCTAGATCCCTTATCTCGTACGGCCTGAAAGAGCGACATAGCGTTAATCTAATCTAATTATCGTTGATTCTTCAAAAATTATTCAATAATGCACTAAGCTTCACTAGCAGTAATAGCAAGAAATCCTAAGTATCAAAAGAGTTCCAGCTTTATAATGCTAAATTTTAAAATAGCTTAATTGATAAATTAAAATAATTGCTAAATCCCCATTCCATCTGTGAGCAAATAAAAATTTTGTTTCGTTAATTTTAATTTAATATAATATTATAGTAAATTTTTTTTCGGAATTAAAAGCAATCCCAATACACAAAAATTGTGAAGCAAAAACTAATCTAATCAGTAAAATTTATATTTTACAATGCAAAACTGTTTAAAATTAAAAAGAATTAGCTTAAGATATTATTATAATAATTACCACTTATATGTTAAATTTCCTTTTAATAAAAATTTTTATATCAAAAAATTTTTGTTCACTCGCGGTGGCTTTTTCCCAAAAATAGGGATTTTTCCAACAGTTTTTTATTTCTCAAACAAAGGTAGAGGAGTAACTAATTAATCCTGAAGACTTCCTACAAATCATTTGGCAAGAAATACATATTTTCTTAAAATTTTCTAATATGGGAGTTTGCTGCACTGCAGAACACAAGTTGCGTAGTCCATCATCTGGCACTTTGATTCCAAAATCAGAAATTTCACAACTAACACGACTTGATAGTAATAATCAACTAGGCATCGCAAAACATTATGAATTTTTAAAAGTCCTTGGGTACGGACAGTTTGGAACAGTGCGAGAAGCTTATAAAATTGAAAGAAGCCCTATGCATAATGATAATGACTCAACTAAATTCAAGAGATATGCTGTTAAATCAATAAATAAGGATCGAGTCAAAAAAGGGATCAATATGCTGAAACGCGAGTTAGAAACTTTACAAATATTAGACCATCCCAATATAGTAAAACTCTATGAAATTTACGAAGACAGTAAGTATATTCACTTGGTTATGGAGCTATGCACAGGAGGAGATTTATTTGATCATTTGATATCTAAAGGGTATTTAATTGAATCGGAAGTTGCACAAATCATGAGAAAAATGCTTTCAGCAGTAAACTATTTGCATAGCCTACACATCTGCCACAGAGATATTAAGCCAGAAAACTTTCTATTTACAGCACAAGATGATCTTTCTGAAGTAAAATTAGTTGATTTTGGGATGTCAGTTAAATTTGGAGATGACGGGATGGATACAATGCTAGGAACACCTTATTATCTTGCTCCTGAAATATTAAAAGGTAGATACGGCAAAGAATGTGATGTATGATCATTTGGAGTCGTAATGTATTATTTATTGAGTGGGAAACAGCCATTTAAAGGTGCCAATATACAAGAATTATTCCAAAACATAAGGGTTGGAAAATATGCTTTCGATGACGACAGATGGAATAATATTTCAATAGCAGCAAGGCAGCTTATCTCAAAAATGCTCACAGTAAACCCTGAAGCCAGGATCTCCATTTCCAATGCCCTTAAGCATGAATGGTTTACTTCATATTCTCAGGACCAACAGACAGGCATAAAAATTGAGCTTTTTAACTCAATTAAAACATTTAAACGGCAAAGCAAGCTTTGAAGAGAAGCTATGAAAGTTTTCGTAAGGAATTTAAGTGAAGAACAGCTAGAAGAGCTTCATCATGCATTTGATGAAATTGATAGATCTAAAACAGGAGTCATTACCCCTTCAGATATAGAATGTGCAATGAGGAGAAATGGCTATGTCATTGCTATGGATGAGTTCCAAAAATTAACAAGCACAATCCAAGACATCGGACAAGGCCGGCTAAACTATACACAATTTTTAATTGCTGCAATGGATAGAAAACGACTGATGAACGAAGAAGGCATGTGAGATGTCTTTAGGCATTTTGACCTTGATGGAAATGGGGAAATCACTGTTAAAGAGCTGAAATATGCTTTGGAAAAAGCAGGCTGCTGCGTAAGTGATAATGATTTTCAAGAAATTATTGAGGAGTTTCACTTAAAAGGAGGGGATAGTATGGGGTTCGATAAATTCAAGGAAATTATGATGTGTAAATTTTATTTAGGCTTTTCAGAAGAAAATACACCAGCTGGGACTGAGCATGAAGAAGAATATGGGGAAAGAAGAGTCACGAGAAGGCTGTCAATGAGAAGAATTACGATCAGAAGGAATAGTTTGTTGACAGAACAGAATCCTTCAAAGATATAGAGAGATTTTTTTAATTTTATGTCATATCTAAGATGCAATATCTTTATTTTTAATAATGATGCTTTGAATGAAGTATTATTTAATAGTTAAGACTTTATAAGGGTTCAATATTCCAGCTGGATCATAGGCTTTCTTTATTCTTCTCTAAATATTATTTACCATTATTTCAATTTCTTCAGAAGTCCTTGCATACTTTAATTTGTCCTTTTTTTGAAGCCCAATACCATGCTCTGCGCTGACGCTTCCAGATATTTTCTGTAAATATTCAAATAAAAAATTATTGACGCGCTCTCCGACATTTTTTGCTATTTCTTTAGGAACTGCTATATTTATATGCAAATTGCAATCTGCAATATGTCCAAAGCCGATAGTTATTCCATCATCCCCTACAATTTCTCTAACATCTTCAACAGTTTTATAATATAAGGCATGAGGAGTGCTGATATCAAACTTAAAACACTATATAATCTTTACATATCCAGCCCTTGCTGCAGCAGGCCCACAGTTTTCTCTAATATTCCATAGATCCAGCATTTGTTTTAAATCTCTACAAACTATCCCATCCAACGCACACATTTTCATGCAATTTTCAATGAAGATTTCCATTTTTTCTTTATCATGAGTCTGATTTATTCCTAAAGTTTCAACAAGCACATAAAAGCCATAAGATTTCTCAAAAGGCTTTTTAAATCTTGGGATATATGCTGAAACCAAATTGTAAGACTGCTTGTCCATCATTTCAAAAGCAGACAAAATTTCTCCTAAAAATTTTCTGGCTAAGCCAAGAATTTTCAAAATATCATCAAAATTATTGCAAGCCAAAAATGCTACATTTTGAGACGTAGGCTTGGGGGAAAGCTGGATTTTAGCTGCAGTTATGACACCTAAAGTGCCTTCTGAGCCTATAAATAAATGATGGAAATCAATCGCAGCCTTTTTTCTGCTTGGATAGTCCATTGTGTTTAAAATGTCACCATTTCCTGTCACTACTTCTAACCCAATAGTAGTCTCATGTAAAGACTTGTATCTGATAAACCTATTCCCTCCAGCATTTGTTGAAATATTTCCGCCAATAAAGCAGGATCCTTTAGCGCCCAAATCTAAAGGTACCACAAATCCTCTTTCTTCTGCATAATTTGATAAGGCATCCAAAATAGTGCCACTTTGGCAAGCAACGATTCCTTGGTTTTCGTCAAAATCGAATATGTTATTCATTTGTGAAGTATTTAAAATAATTTCGTCAAATACAGGCACACTTCCCCCTACAAGTCCAGTATTTCCACCCTGAGGGCAAATAGGAAGCCTTTCTTGTTTGCAGTATTTAATAATCGCTTGCACTTGCTCTACATTTGTTGGTTTTAGCATAAGCGTGCTTTCTCCCTTAAAAATCCCTATATAATCAGTATTATGAGAGCTTAGATCTGCTTGGATTATTCCAGACTTAGGGAGAATTGACTCAAAATAAGATAAATCTGCTGCAGAAAGTGATTTGTGGTTGAGTTTATCAGCAGGTGTATAAAGCGATGCAAATTTTCTGGATAATTTGATTAGTTTGTGCATAATAAATTGATATTCATTATTATTTATGATAAATCTTACACACAAGCTCCTTACTCCCCCCTCCATGAGCGAACTAAACCATTGGAAAAATCCCTATTTTTTACCCAAGATGACCCCTCTGTGAGCAAACAAAATTTTTTATCAAAAAATATTTTTATATATAAATGATAATTATTATAATAAAATCTCAAGCTTTCTCTGTTTAGGGTGCAGGCCAAATGACTTTACCTTTTTGATAGTGTCTATTTCACCGAAAAATTTTTGGCCGAAAATTTTTGATAGTGAGACATTTGACCGAAAAAAACAGTTAATTTTCGGCCAAATGTCCGCACTATCAAAAATTTTCGACCAAATGGATTTCGAAGAAAATTAGACTGTCAAAAATCCACGGTCATTTGACATGGAGCCCTCTGTTTTAATTTTAAATAGCATAAATTTCGCAAATTAAATTAAGTTTTTGCTTCTCAATTTTTTACAGATTGAAATTTTTTTTTTAAATTTTTTAAAAAACATAATTTTATATATTTATAAAATCTTAAAAAAACACAATTAACTCATCCCTATGAACGAACCAAATTTTTTAGTTCGCTCACGGAGAGGAAGCTAGAAGATATGAAGGCAGTCTCATGCCTAAAGATGTTGTAATAAAAAGATTCCAGCTGAAAACTGCCACAGCTCATGTTTTTGGTGTGGAGAGGTGAAATGGTGCCCACGCATTATGGCTTAATGACGCTCTAGGTGCAATTTCCCCTAAATGCATTATAACACAATTACCGGCAGATTTACCATGATTCATCAAAGCAGATGAAAACGTGAATCTTGAATGGACAAATTTTCTGAAGACAGGGAAAGGAAGATTTTTATGCAGCCCAAGGCCAAAATATTTACAAGATATTATATTAAATGCTGAAAGACTATCACATTTTATGATAGGAGCTGTTCTCAATTCTCCAGAAGAACTCACCAATATAAAAAGCATAATGTATACGAATACTCATGATAGCTTTATACCTGAAGAAAGTGACCCAATGAAACCAGATAGTTTTACTACAACTTTATTATGGGCAGCCAGCAACCCTTCAAGACTTGACTGTTTAATTCCTTTTGATTTACCTGAACTTATATATAGAGACCAAATAGCTAGAACTATCGATCTAAATACTCTTAGAGAAGCTTTAAAAACCTTACTAGGAGAATTTGAAAATGAGAAAAAATATGACCTGAGGTTTGTAAACCCCCAAATCTTTATAAACAACAAAGTAAATTATATGGCAGAAATCATAAAGCAAACATTAATAACATACCAAGATAACACAATAGTGGTGGCAGTTGAAAATAAATTAGTCGATCCACTAACTGAGGCATGAAAAAATGTCCCATATGATTCTGTTTCTTTTGACGAATTTTTAACTATTCCTAAAATGGACAAAGATACGACTTTTTCTAATTACATAGAAAAGCACGTCCTGCTTGACATTCTCCTTGGTACATATATAAGCCAATTTTATATCAAAAACAAATTATTCCCTTATTCAGCACATGGAGCTGTTGGGTCTGAAGGACAAAGTTATAGTACAGCTCTTGAGTTTTGGAAAAATTTTTTTATGCAGCATTCTGAGGAATTGAAAAAAACTTTGGCGATTTATAGAAAAATTGATAACTCTGATATGGGAAGGAAATTTAAAAAGATGGAAAAGAAAATTAGAGAAGAAAAGATTAGGGATGTTGAAATAGAAAAAGAAGCCAAGAAATACTCGAAGATAACTTCAGATGAAGAAGTAGATGTTAACGAGCCACAATATCAGAGGAAAATGAAAGAATATATAAAAAGATCGAAGCGTGAGCAAGAAGAAAGCGATTAATTTATGTGAGGATTATTAAAAGTTTAGGGTAGTTAATTATTATTTTGTTTTTACTTATAAAAATGAGATTAATAACAATTGAATTTATTTGAAAGATAATTTATCTAACAATGCAATCCATAAAGAACCAATATTATTATAATTATCAATTGAGATCTGAAATTTTCTTATGCCAAAATTATCCTACAATGCTAAATTTATTTGGTTCGACAAATTTATACGAAACTGTCAGAAGTCGACTTAAAGAACCTGATCTAAGTAGTGTTAAGACAAACCGTTTAAAGTCGATTATGCGAATAATATAAGAGTAGCGATAATCAATTTTTTGACATAAATTAAATAGTAATTTTTTATTTTTTGCAGTCTGTTAAGAACAAAAATAGGGAAGTCGGTTATAAGAAATAGAGTGAAGTCGTTTAAATAGTAATTGATCGAGTCGAATAAAAGAAATCGTTTGAAGTCGTCTTTGTGAAATATAATCAAGTCGAGTAGTGCAAACATAAGAAAAACATGATAAATGCCTTCAAGTCTGGATTGTGAAATCTATAGAGGTCGACTATAAGAAATATCATAAAGTCGATTATAAGAAATAAATTCATTCTCTCGACTTGACAGCTTTCATCATCTGATAGTGAAGAAAAACGATAAACCCTTTGAAGTCTAGGCAAAAATCTAAGTCGTTTTTATGAAACCGTTAGAAGTCAGGTTAACGAAACTCAAGAAGTAGGTTATAGACAAAAGCAGTCAAGTCGATTAATTTTTACCATTATGATAAAAATAGGCAAGTCGGTTATAGCAAATTTTAATATTACGAGTAATACTAATCTTAAATAATAAAAACTTTAAATATTGTTAAAAGAAATTATTAGAAATTATTAAAATTAAGTATTTCTATCAAAAGATCAATTCTTTCAGGAACAGACCTATGCTTCAAAAGCCAGTAGAAATATAGAGCATAATCTTCAAGTTCCTTATCATTTCTTGGGTGGAATCCGTTTTTTTATAAGCTCTGAGCCTCTTCATTCTGCTTCATAAATTCTCGATATTATTGGTTGTGAACCTTCCCGTGCCAAAGTCTCTATTATGGTAGACAATTGAATGCAGATATCCAATTGCTGGCAGTTGATTGTAGGCTGCTCAGCCATCACTAAAAATTTCAGTTGGATTTGCTGGATCATTACAAACTGAATTTATAATATATCCTTCTAAATTTTCCCAGCTTCTATCATTTCCAACATAATATACTTTTGAAATCTTCAGTTCCTCTGTCATAGAGACCAAATAACCATTTAGTATCGCCATCTATTGTTGCCAAATGAGTTTCGTCGACTTCAACCGTTGGATGACCTTCGCCAGCTTCATTCTCTATGCCAAGTTGAGTATCTGTGAAATATTCTTCTGTTACTTTTTCTTTAATCAAAGCTCTTATTTTCTTGAAGAGCTTTATCACTGAATCTCTTGAAATCTCTGAGTCTTCAACTATAGTAATGAGAGGATGCTCTCTAACGAAACAACGAAAAATTAACAGCACGATTTGCCTTATTTGTAGCCTGGATCTGTAAAATATAGAGCTTCTTCTGACAGATAAGCTTATGTTGCAATTTAAACAACGGAGAAAAGGACTTTCATTGCGCAAATACATAACACAATTTCCATGGCATAAGTCACATATGTTTTGGCTTGAGGATTCCAACTTCTTGGCACCAGGCGATTGCACTTTCTTCTGATCTTAAAATTTCTTGGAAGTGTCCATAGATGGGATGCATAAACCGTTCAGCCATTATTATTATTACTTAATAAGAGAATTTAATAAGCCCCTTAAATAATAATTAGAAATTATAATTACGCTAAATTACTTCAGCCTTCTAGGAGGCTGTCCTAATCCTTAAATAGGATTAATTATTTAATAAAAATATCATAAAGCAATTATTTTAAAAAAAAATTAATATATATTAAAATTTGCTATAACCGACTTGCCTATTTTTATCATAATGGTAAAAATTAATCGACTTGACTGCTTTTGTCTATAACCTACTTCTTGAGTTTCGTTAACCTGACTTCTAACGGTTTCATAAAAACGACTTAGATTTTTGCCTAGACTTCAAAGGGTTTATCGTTTTTCTTCACTATCAGATGATGAAAGCTGTCAAGTCGAGAGAATGAATTTATTTCTTATAATCGACTTTATGATATTTCTTATAGTCGACCTCTATAGATTTCACAATCCAGACTTGAAGGCATTTATCATGTTTTTCTTATGTTTGCACTACTCGACTTGATTATATTTCACAAAGACGACTTCAAACGATTTCTTTTATTCGACTCGATCAATTACTATTTAAACGACTTCACTCTATTTCTTATAACCGACTTCCCTATTTTTGTTCTTAACAGACTGCAAAAAATAAAAAATTACTATTTAATTTATGTCAAAAAATTGATTATCGCTACTCTTATATTATTCGCATAATCGACTTTAAACGGTTTGTCTTAACACTACTTAGATCAGGTTCTTTAAGTCGACTTCTGACAGTTTCGTATAAATTTGTCGAAACAATTTTTTTATTTGCTATACTTTAAGTTATGCTAAGAAATGATATATGAAAGCCAATTAAATTAATTACCTTCAACTTCATAGCAAAAATTTATGCACCTGAAGAAATTGGTCTCTTTGTCCTTATATGGTCAGTTCTCGATTTAACGTTCTGGAACTTTTTCATTTTGAACTCTGATCTCTGGGTTTGCTCTTGTGATGATTTAATAGCAGCGGCCATCTTATCAAACCCTCTTGTGCTTCTTGGTTGCCAATTTTTCTTTTTTATACTAGGATTGTAGCTATATTCTTGATTTTTTATTTCTACAGCCACAGTTCCAAAATAATTTTCCAATACTGCGCCTATCGGAGTGCTCGGTCTATTTGGTTGTCCAAATACAATATCCGGGATTTTTAATTCTTTAAGGCGTCTTCCAGCTGTAAGCTGAATTCTTGGATCCATAGTTTTTCTAAAAGTCCTTTGATCAGATGCTTTTGTGAATCCCCCAGTTACGCTCATTGCATTAAGCTTTTTAAAATCTCTATCATTTGGCACGTCTTTGGTTGGGTTATGGATTTTTCATGAAGAAACTAGTTTCCCTGCGCCTTCATCATCTGCTCCTACTTTTTTCCCATATGTGAAATCAGTAGGTGGAAGTGTCCTTGTGCTTGGCTTGGATTTTCCGACATCGTCTTTTACCAGGAGGTAATTGTTGGTATTTTTAATCATCGCATAGTAATTGTGTTGTAGGGCTTCCATAACTGTAATTTATATGGATGAGTTTTATGATTAATTAAATCTTATTTATAGTTTGGATAAGATGATTCAATTTAACTGGAATTAAATATCGCGTCTCATTACTTCGCGGTCGGCTAGGCCAACTTCCTTTGAACACGTATATAATTATATCTGGCAAGACTTTGCCAATACAGAAATGGATATGTAGGTAAGCAATTCTCGTAATGTACAGGGCCTAGCCTTAGTCAGCTTTCAGAGCTAGATTTTACCTTGAGGGAAAAGGAAGGTTCAGAGTTAAAAAGGGAAAGCCCAGCAGCGTCTAAGGGCAATGCCTAGACTAGGAAACTTCCTAGTGTGAAACTGGGAGATACATTCATTTTTGCCCGTAGCCCACTAGAAATTCCATTTTTTGATATTTTTGTGTGGTCAACCTTCATCAACCCAAGCAGCATGCCACAGAGTTCATATCCCTTCCCACTCAGCACTGGGCTGACAAGGCGAGGAGGAGATGGAGACACAGAATTATCCTGTTTTATTGGTGTTATGTCTTCAGGTGGTGCAAGAACCGTAGCTTGCCCAGTGAGTCATCTAACTCAAAGAAGCTCTCCCTGTCACCATCTCAAAGAGGGTAAATTCTCGAGGGGATCTTTGGTGACTGCGTTAACAATAGCCGAAGCGGCAATTTAAGTTAAGTTAAGTATTCAATCTAGCTATATAATAATCTTTGTTTATATATATTAAAAATACTCAATTAAAAATTTATGGCAACGGTTAAGATCTGCCTGAGCTTTTAGCTCTTCTAAGTTTAGCTGGAGAAGGGCTTTTTGACTCAATATTCCTAGATTCGATTGCAATACTTTGATTGACCTGCTTCTTGGCTGAAGCTAGCTTTTCACTTGCTAAGAAAGTCTTAGGTTCTCTTACAGGGGCTTTTGGATATTTAATATCATTTAATGTCTGTTTTTTCTCTTCAAGCTTTTTCTTTATATAGCTTAATGTACTCTCTGCATTTCTTTTTGCAGTTTCTTCCCTCTCAAGTGCTTCTCTGAAATTATCTACAGTCACTTGCACTTGACCTCTTTTCAAGCTAAGCTCTTCTTTTATATGCATTTCTATATAAAATTTACTTTCTTTTTCCATCAGTTTATAAGCTGCAACTTCATTTGCAATTTTATCTCCCCATTCATTAACTTGCTTATCGCCATGCATTTTTTCTTTCTATATAATTTTTACATTTATTTCTAGCTCTCCAGCTCATATCTCGTCAGCTCACACCGAGAGGATTATTTTTTAAATTTTATAGTAAATTTTTGTTAAAAATCCCAATTTGAATATAGAAAATAAAAACTTAATAATTTCATTAATAAAAATATAAGCATCTAAAATTTAATTGGATTAGTGGATGCTTAATTATAATAATTATTTATCATAGAAAAAATATTTTTAATAAATTTTTTTATATTTGGACATTACACAGGAGGCATTAATTCTCAAAAAAGCAGAGCTTTCACAATTGTTTTTGCTTGCAAAAGTCGAGAGTAAATGGAAACAATCCAAGCTTTTGCTGAGCTCGATATTCACATCTCTGTATTTTTGTAGCTCGTCTGATAGCTCAAGAAATCTTTGATTTTCTGCGTATTTTACTTCTTCATATTTTTCATTTATTTTTAAAAGTTTATTTTGCATTTCATCTTTTTCGCGTTTTTTTGATTCAATTTTTCCTTTAATTTCATCAATGACCCCTTCATCAAACTGTAAATTGTCAAGCTTTTCCTTAAGCTTAGGGACCAAACTCTTTTGGTGGAGCCTTTTATTATGTCTTAAATTCTGCTTAACATCGTTCAAATATTTAAAATTGATTGGGTTCATATCTAGATTTAGCCTCAAAATGTTTGAATTATATCTTGATACTTCGCTAAGAAGCTGCCCTGCAATATCTTTTATATTATTTTCCTTCAAATTCAGTTCTTCAAGCGTTTGATTAATTTTAAAAGCATTTGCTAGTGCAACGCCTCCTCTGTTTTTTATTCTATTTCCACTTAAATCTAGTATCTTCAGGGTCTGGTTTCTTGCTAATCCATTCGCTATAAGTTCAGTCCCAACATCATCAATTTCATTTAAGCTTAAATTCAATACTTTTAGCCCATGATTTTTTGCAAGCCCATCACACAGCATATTGATTCCTTCTGATCTAAGCTCACAACCTGATAGATTTAGAGAATTCAATTGAGTATTATCAGCTAAAAACTGTTGACAAGATGAAGAAAGCCCTGAGGAAAACTGATTCTTTTCTAAATTCAAGGACCGTAGCTGTGTATTTCCTCTTAACGCTGCAAATAGTCTTAATAATCCTTTCGTTGTGATTTCGTTTTTTGATAAATCTAAACTTTCCAGTGGGCAGCTTCCATCATATCCTCCTGCAAGCAAATTCGCAAATAACTCGCACCCATCGTATCCGAGTTTGTTTTGAGATAAGCCTAGAGATCTTAAAGAAGAGGACACTATAGACAAAGAAAGTTCTTCTAACTCTCTCCGTCTGTTAGCGAACAAAGCCACTGGAAAAATCACTATTTTTTGCCTAAAAAAATTTTTATGAAAAAAAATATTTTTATATATGAGTGATAATTATTATGATGAAATCTCTCACTAATAATTTAATTAGCTGTATTTTAAACATAAATTTTACAAATTTAATTAATATTTGCTTTCGATTAAATTTTGAAAAAATAATTTACTATAAAAATTAAATATAAATTTTCTAAAAAAAATAGCCTCCATTAGCGAACAAAATTTTTTTTGTTAGGGGGAGAGTAAGCACTCGGTTCCTAATCCATTATTAGAAAGATTTAAGGAAACTAGAGAATGATTTCCTTTTAATCCTTCAATAATGTAAGATACCCCATCATTTCCTATAGAAGTTCCACTTATATTGATAAACCCAAGAGTGCTATTAGTCTGCAAAGCTTTTTGAATTGCAATTGCTCCTGGGACTCCCAACCTATTTCTATGCAGTCCTTCATGTGAAGACAAGTTCAAGCTCACAAGACTAGGATGGCTTGCTGCTATAGTAATAATCATAGCTGCTCCTTCAGGAGTTATATCGTTACTGCTCACATCTAAATGCACCAAATACATATAGAGGTTTCCTCTATATAGCGCTGAAAGTGCAGACATTTTCCCAGGAGCTTTCCAAGTTCGTCGGACCAAATCGCTTTTTGGTCCGGCCAAGGCATTGATTTGGTGCAACCAACCGATAAATTCCGATCAGAATTTATCGGCCTTACAGCGCCAAACATAGGAAACTTCTATATTCTTACACAGCATTTTCGCTAAAGCAACCACTCCCTCATCACCCATCATATTTTTCTGCAGTTCTAAGTATGCAAAATTACTATTGTGAGCCAAAACCTCTCCAATAGCTTTAGCAGCCTCAATTCCTATCCCAGACTCATTCAGTTCAAACTTTCTATTCATAAAATGCTTTGAGCAAAAGCTAAAAAAGTTCCTTTCCTGGTCCAATAATACCGGTATATGGAGATCGTGGCATTTTGCTTCATAAATGCGGTGCAGTTGAAAAGTTGTGAGCCCAGTCGTTGAGAATTTTTCTGGAGAACTAAAAGCGCGTGGATATAGAGAAGATATAGAAACAGTTGAAGGGCGACAGGGTGGGGTATCTCGTGTTTCAGTTGTTTTCATTCTTCGTCCGAAAGGAGATTGGTTGCCAGATCGGCTTGTGCTTTTGGTGTTAAAATCTGATACAAAGTAGGGAATTTTTCGACGTTTAGAGATGTCTGTACTTTTTGGTCGAGATTGACGGGAAAAAGAGTGGTCGGTGCCTCGGGTTGAGAAAATATTTTCTATACTAATTATAATGAATATAAGCATACTTACTGGCAAAAGATATCCCTATTTCATATATGAAATAGGATAAAGGCTAACTAGCATGAATCTTTATATTCATTGCAAATAGGTATAGTTTGTTTCAGGAAGACTCGATTGTATCTTTGCGCTTGTAGGAATCGTCAAGTTGGGAGTTAAATGAACTCATTAGATTATTTTTTAAATGGAAAGTAAAGAAAGAACGATAAAAGGGTAATAATTTATTGGCTATTTAACAATTCCATTTTATGCATTAGGCTTGGATAAACTTAAATTTAAGATGCTTATTTGCCTCCACAACTTTCAATCAGCACCACCTGTTTTTCAAGAAAGAAAGAAAATTTATTTTACCCCTACCCTACTAGTAATAGTAAAAGCAAAACCAAAAGCTTAACCAAGAGGAAATTCAGCCTCTATTTGAAGGAGCCTCCTCTAGCGGCAGAGCTTCAACTGCAACCAAAGAGTGTCAGCAGGTCAGAAAGATTCTTCCATCGTTTTGCCACTAGAAGCTATAAAGTCACTTATTACCTGATGCTTTTATCTGCCACCGCGATGAGTGGTTGCACTAGACAAACGGAACCTTGACCTCTGGAGCAGGTAGGAAATAGAACTATGATAAGTCATCCAGATAACTAATATCAATCATGGAGTCTTTGCCAACTAGCTCTCAAGATCTGTTCGCCTCATACAGCCGCTTAAAAACAATCTAAGGTTTGCTTTGATAAAGGCAGGATAATACTAACAGCTTTAGATTTTTTGTACATTTATATAAAAAGATAGATCTTATCTTATACTATTTATAACACTTAACGTCCAATACGGGTCTACCGCTCACCTTCGTCGCATCGGGCCTACAAGTCGCTGGCCGACCTGTTTTGATCACCAAGGTGCTCCTAGGACAAGTGTTGCATATATGGGTTGCTTTTCCGAAAATCCAAAAAAATGGATGGTCAGCTATCGGCAAAAAGGAAAAACACGTAGCCTGGGACGTAACGCCCAGTTCACGCTAGGGAGTTGCCCGAATGGTCCAGAGGACTCTGCTGAGCTTCCCCTTTCCAACTTCCGTGTCCTCCTTCCCCACGAGGAAAAATCCATCTCGAGACCAAACTTGGGCTAGGCTCTGTACACAACCAGAACTGCCTACCTAGCATTGCTGTAATCTCTAACATGGTAAAACCTTGCCGATATAATTAAAATATGAGTCTAGACTGCATGGCCGGGAGGCGATGCCCAGTCGAAGACGCCATATTTTAATTATATTAAAAGATAGATCAATTGATATTCCTGAAGTAGTGCTTCAATAAAATGACAAAGAAGCAGTTTACTGCTTAATTCTTACCAAACTAAATTTCCTTTAAAAATTGATTTAGGCATATCTATTGCATAATTTTAATTTAAATTTTGAGAAAGGCTCATGATATTCTGCTCTTATAATGCTACGATTTAAATTTTAACCATTTTTAATATTTTTTATGACTCCAATTAAAATCATTGTATTCTTCCTATCAAAGTAGAATAATGAAAATTATTTTTATCCTTATTTTATATCTATAATCGCCTTCAAAAACTATATTTCTGATCCTTAATTTTTTGCAAATAATAATTAAAAATTTAAAGTTAAATTTCGCTCAGATTTTTTCAGTTTTGAAATAGCTCGCTTGAATGATAATACAGAAATTTTTATTTAAAATTGATTTGATTGGGTCTTTTTCATCAAATTGCTGGGTAAGATTATAGAATAAGAAACTTCATTTCTAACAATATAGGAAATCCCCAATAAAAACTTATTTTCTTCTGGACTTGATAAAATCTCTTACTTTCCTCTTTAAATCGAAGCAAATATATGGTAAAAATTTGTTTAGTAAATTAGTTGATATATAAATTAGAACAAAATTGCAATTTTTACTAGTGAAATAATAATTATATGCAAATAGCTTTGCCTAATTAATGTGGCTAAATCAAAAATTAACGATAACTTGTTTAGTCATAATTGGGTATAGTGAATTCTATTAGATGGCGCATTGCGCGCCATCTATAGGAAGGCGCTATATGGAAGTTAAATACTATTTAAACAAAGTTAGTACTTTAATCGATAAATTTTATAATGTTTTTTTTGTTTAAATTTTAAAATATTTTGAAAACAAGAATATGACCTTAAATTGCAAAGTTTTTGTTTCAATTTAAATGGAGGATGAGACAGGTATAAAAAATACTATAATGGCACATTGATTGCATTTTCTGGTTATATGGTGCTCAATATATGAGCTTTCATGATTATCAAATTTTCATATTGATTTCATCAGCAATCATCCAGAAAAGTCCTGATATGAAGTTTATTTAACTCATTGATTTGTCTCAATGACTCCGGTTTTGAATGTCATAAAAATATCCAATATATACACAATGGAATTATCGATGAAATAACACTTTGCTTGCAAACAGCAATATCAGTTCCAAACTTATTTGAATTTTTACTAATCACCTTTAAATCGTTTACATTTATTTCTTCTTCTAACCTCATCGTCTCAGAGCTCAAGGACTCGTAGATTTCTCGAACTTTAGGATACGAGATGATCAAGCATGAAACTCAAATCCGCCCCCTCAATTCCAAACTACATAGTCTTAATAATAAGAGATATTAGAAAATATATTTAATACTTTATTTCATATTCTTATTATAAACAGAATTTTTATATGGCTATACTATATTTTATAATAAAAATAATATATTTAAACAGCAATATATATAACTATCTATAACGTAATTCAGTGATTTATAGAGAAATAAACTGCTGATAAATTCTGAAAAAGATTTAATATTCAAAATAAATCGTATTATTATGTTAATCGTAAACAAGATCATAATAAATTATTATGATTTATCCAAAAGCTATATACTTGCAATCATTGATAAAATAAAGTTATTTATCATCAAATACATTTTAAAATGTTTAAAATGATGCACCTAATTAAATAAATTTTAAATTATAAGAAATAAAGATATAAAGCTTTAGAAAAAAGTTTAGCCATATAAAAGAAGAGGTTTATTTCGTACTTTGAATGAAAATTTCATTAATTCTTTAAAATTTAGCAATACATATTTGTTGATTCAATATAAATATTCAAAAATCTCTAAATAACTTTGATTCTACTAATTAAAATACTCAATTAATTTGAATAACTTATTTTCTAAGCATGCTTCTAAAAGATAATATCAATTTCAATATTTTTAATATAGTTTATTTATATTGATAAAATATTTTTTTATATTATAAATTGCTTTAACTTTGCTAATATATGCTTATTAGTTTAAATATTGCAAAATCACTCATATAACTGAAGATAGAAAATGTAGAATTTGCAGGGAAAATAAGAGAATAGGATAGAGTTTATTTTTAATATCATATATAGCTCAGAGCCTGCTTTGGATCGCTAATTGTTGCAGTCTTAACCTTTGGGGTTGCAAGTGGCAGTATATTTTTCACTTGTCAACGCACAGATTAGGGTGGTAACGTGCTACCAGGGCGATCCAAAGCAGGCCCTGGGCTATAGAGCCAGGTTGAGCCGGACTACCAGGTGTAGCCAGACTGCCGATTATAGCCGTAGAGCCCGGCAGGCCCAGACAGATTTGACCAGGGGGTTTTATCCTTGACTAGCACGAGATCTCCATTGTTTGCATCTTTTAGGATATGGAATATTTTTTATCATATTCATACTCAACTTTATTTTCCCTTATTTTGCTGACTATCCAGATTTTCTTCATAAAGATTGCTTTCATTTGTGTACAGTTATTGCATATTCTTCTTCATTTTCATTAATATATTCTTCATTTGAAGTTGCTAAATAAATATTTGTAAATTTTTCTTCTACTTCTTTCTTATATAATACTATATGTTTTTATACACAATTTTTTATTAATAATAATAATATTATTCTAAATTCCTCCTTTTAATTGGAACAAAAATCATATTCCTATTTAAAGGGGGTTATTTTTTTTAAGTTTTAAAAATAAAAAATATAAATTGAACGCAATATTTTTTAATTATTTCATTAGGAAATAACCACTTTATCCATTGAATACTACTTTATCCATTAAATTAAGTTAAAACTATTTTTTAAAAAAAATAAGTATTTTTGCCTCTCAAACTTTTCTATTGAAAAAAGATCGTTCCAATTCAAAAGGAGGAGTGAACAAAAAAAATGGTTTAAATTAACTAGCCATCCTTTATTTATTGTCTCAAACAGTTTATTATTCCATCGGATTTTTAATTTGTTCACTCTTTCTTGATCCAAAATACCCCATCTACTGAAAATAAATAATTAGGTATCTTAAATAATCCAAAAATGGAAAGAACGGTGCCCATTAGAGCTCGCGTCAATGATCAGCTGATAACAATTGAAAAACTTCCTACATCATGGGAAGAATTGTTGAATGCTATTCACTTCCTTGGGCACGCGTACAATTTTACCGTCTTTTGGAATGACCATCCAATCACCTCTACCAGAGAGCTAGTCTTGTCTTACCTCAATAACAAAGCTGAGGAGATCGTTTTTGAAGCCAGACAAAACCCAAATCCAATGACAACTATGGATGAATCTGTAAAAGCTGACTATGAAAACATGATTTCTCAGTTTACTAAATTTTCTACCAGCGACGAAGCTCCTGTAGAGCCTTTAACAACCACAAACGGAGTTTTATCAAAGGAAGACTTGCTTTTGGTCATAAGAAACCTCACATTAAAAGCAAAAGATAAGCTTTTTGAAAGTGGAAAAAAATTCATTGCAAAAAGACAAGAGTTTTACGGAAATGATGAGGAAAAATACAGAGAAGTTGTGATGGAGCAGCTTCAGTTCCAAGAACTTCTGATTATGACTTGCTCAGCTGAAGCTATACAAAAGCATGGAATTTCTAATGAAATTTTCGAAAATTCAATAAGAAAATACGGAAGTGATGGAGAAATTAAAGAAGCCCTTGAAAACATGTCAATTGAAGCAATTCAAGGAGCTGGGGACGTTCCTGAAGATTTATCTGAAGATAAACTAAAAGAGATGCTGCTTTATTCGTGTGACTTCATCACAGGATATATAACTGAGCATCCACAAATAAATCCTATGGAAGTGATGATCCTAAAATCAAGAGAGTCAGATGAGGTTATGAAAAGATTTGGTTATGATGAATTATCCTATATTAAATAAATACTCAAACATCTATTATTCATCCATTAATAGCCTTCTAATTATATATTGCATACAAATTTCTGCAGCAATGACAAAATATCAAATCGAAACAAACCCTAATTTCGGAGAAATAAGAACCAAATTGAATGAAGTCACTGTTAAGCTTTTTGGCTTCAACCCTATGGAAATGCAGAGATAAATTAAAAAAATAATCAGTAAATAAGTCCATAAATATGAGATCGAAAAGCACCAGTTTAAGCCAAATCGCGATGCATGGAAACGAAAAACCAGTTTCAAAAACGATAAATATAAATCAAATGCATTTAAATTCTTATCAAAGCGTAGGAGTGATAAGTTAAGTTTTAAGCTATTCTGGCCATAATTGATCAATCCAATAGCCTTCCCATCTGTGAGGTGCCCTAGTCTGATAAGGAGAAACCATGCGGAGGACAAAACCTGTCTAACCTAACCAGGGACAGAAAACCTTGGGGAGAAACAAAGCATCCTGTTTCAGCTAGGCTTCCCAAAACCTGAAGGGCCTACTTCAAAAGGGACAGATAGCCTGCTTTCAGCCTCATCATGATGAGTCCTATCTGCTCGATAGTAAGTGCACTTCGAAATCCAATTACCGTCAACGTCAGCATTTTATTTATATGTAGGAGTGATAGGAATTGATGATATGAGAAATTTCAAAAATTTTGAGGTGCGCTATTTTCCTAAAATTATGTCTCAGAATTCGACTCCTACATGGCCTTACATTATGCCAAGGCCTAATTTACTGCAAAATAATGCAGATAACTTACCCATTCAGCTTGCTGTTAGTAAAAGCGAGCAAGCGGTTTCATTATTCAAATCAAGTAAAAAGAATAGAAAAATCAGCTTACCAAACATAAAATCAAAAGGATCATTATTTAAAGAAATGTTTAATGAAGAAAATAAAGCCATAGAGAGATCACTCTACTTCTCGAGAAAACCAAGATTTGTTGATTTTAAACCTTATGGTTTAGATTAGATTAAATTACAGCGATCGCTGGGGTTTATTTCAGCTTCTCTCCGTTTTACCACTAGCTTATGCCAGAGTGGTTCTAAGCACCGGTGTCACACCACACTCTTTTCTTGCGACATCACCAAAAGATAGTGACTTCAGCAGTCTTTCACCGAGCATGTTGGGTCTTACTCTACTGCTGCTGAGAATTTTCTTAGCCCTGATAGTGCTCGGGACAGAAGAAAATGCCCACTGCCTACTTCTAGACTACTCTACCTCGATCAGGCATCAATCTGGTTTCCATAAGTTTGAGTAGTTTTGCACCTTCGGTTTGATCGTCTGTTGGGCAAGGAAAATAGCATGTCCGGTAACCCAACCATGCAAAAAACCCTCTCCTGGCATTCCAAAATAATAGGATCCACCTACCTGAGACTGGGATCAACTCTTTAAAAAGTTATGGTTTAGAAGACTTCAAAAAAATTTCACAAAAAAACTGTAAGATGCTTGGAGGACTTGGGCCAGTAAATGTTGGTAGAGATGATTGAATAAAAAGCACTAAAAAAATGAAAATTGTAAGAGACTATAGTAAATCTGTGCGTGATCTAAATATAAACGGCGATATTGACAATATAAATAATTAAAATCTTATAATATTAGAGTAAAAAATAATTGTTTTTTAATTATGCGAAATCTTATGTAATAAAATTTAGTAGTAAGAATATTTAAAAATACTTACTCCCCCCCCTCCGTGAGTGAACAAAAAAATTTTGTTCACTCACGGAGGGGGGTTAAATTTTTTTTCGAAAATTAAAAAATCCTAATTCGCAAAAATTGGAAAGCAAATATTAATTTAATTTATAAAATTTATGTTTTAAAAAGCAATTCGTTAAAAAATTAAACAGAATTAGCTCTAGATTTCATTATACTAATTATCATTTATATATTCAATTTTTTTTCCATAAAAAATTTTTCTATTAAAAAATTTTTGTTCACTCACGGAGGGGTTTTTTTGGCAAAAATAGGGATTTTTTCTAATGGTTTTGTTCACTCACGGAGGGGGGGGGAGTTAAAGAAATTGATATCAATCGAGTTAATTCAAATTTAATAATTTCTTAATGCTTTGGAATTCATATAAAGATTTACAGATTAGTGCTAATATTATTAAGAAGCTCTCAGCATACAACGAGGCTGCGATAGCTTCTACCTTGCTTCATCCTCAATTATCTTGGCGATTCCGATCCGGAGGGAAGAACCAGATCCGATGGATAACCCATTAACTTAGTGGACTGCTCTCAGCCGTGCTTAATAATAGCCAGGACTAAAGCGATCTGAATCACTGTGTCGCACTTCTGACTTTGGTTGCAAACCTATGGAAATTGAAGACCCCAACGATGCGCATGGCATCACGCAAAGGAAAGTGCATGAATGCGCTAATTATATGTAAGGTTTATGCAGGACTACCCTTTTCTCTAAACATAATTAGAAATTCTTAACTAGATTGCTGTTCATTTCTAAGCAAAATCTTGCCAGATATAATTAAATATGTGTTCGAAGCTGCCGAGCCTGGAGGGCAGGACGGGCTGAGACATCATACTTAATTAATTCAGATAAAGAAACCTGAACAGAAACAGGCTCCGATCCACTTCCTAAAGTGATTTTTCCAATAGTCCCTTGTGATGCATCTTTATTGAAGGCTGATGCTCCTAATCCACCACTTTCACTTGTTACAAAGTTCGTAATGCTCTCTAAAGCTTTTCTTGCATTATATGTCAAATCATCAAGAGTTTCTTTGCTTTTCCTATATATCGCTTACAATAATTTTTCTTCTTTCATGCTATCTGATAAATCAATGACCCTTAGCTTTGAAATTTCTTTTTTAAGCTTTGCCTGAGATGAATAAATTGTTTCCAATTTTGATTTTAATGGGTTTTGCGGAATCTGAGGAAGTTTTGGCAGCTCTCTTATCTGGGCTCTCAATATGCTGGAGTTCAGTTGTCTATGTTGTAGCTGATAATGATCAATAACAGATCTGAAAGTTTCTATTTCATCTTGGCCAGCAGATGCGCCGTGTCTAGTAATACTTCCTCCTCTCCACATATTAATCAATCCTCCAGTATCTGTTGGTACAAGTGATTGGTTTGACCTGAATTTATTTATTTCGTCATCTTCTTCTTTCAAAGATTTAATTTCATCTTCGAGCTGCTTATTTTTTTCCTGCAGTTTTTCCATTTCTACATTCACAGCTTCCAAAGACTCTTCAAAATACTTCTCTCTGTCTTGCAGACGCTTCTTTTCAATTTCTAATTGTGCAAGCCTCTGAGATTTCGCATTAGCATCTGCTAATCTTACTTCTAAATTCCCTTTGGCGATTTTCATTTCATTGAATTCTTTTTCAGTTTTCAGTAGTTTTATGGAGGAAACTTTTAAGCTGTTTTTGGTTTCTTCAAGCTCTTTGCAAGTTCCCTCAAAATTTGCAAGTCTATCTTTGATTTGGCCTGTAATTGTCGACCAAGAGCCTTTGTCTTCATTAATTTCTGCTTTTCTGTATCCGTTAAGTAAGACAATGCTTCTGCTGTCTTTATCACTTTCTATAAAGAACTCATTCCAATTGTAAGAGGAATAGTCAATAATTTCTGTATCCATTAGTACTTGCCTGACCGCATTATATCGCGCTATAAGAATTTCGCCAACATTTCTCATTTGTTGAGAGTCTTCATCTCCTGAGAGTTCCAGCAGTTTGCAAGTGATATTATTGAATTTGTTTATAAGATCTTTATAGTCGATTGCAGCAGCAATTGAGTCGTCCAGCCCATACATCTGAATTAAATTATGAATTGCAACTGTAATAAGGAAAGTTCCTCTTGCCAAAGATACTCTTGATGGGTTTAAAGATATATTTTGAGCCCTAAAATGATGGATTGCTTCTAAAGACAAAATGTATGGCTCTAGTGAAATTGATGGAGATAAGCCTCCTTCTTTTATTAATTTTAAATAGTAGTCAATTGATTGGCTGATTGATAAAACTTGCCCCCATTCAATATGTTTCATTAATTCTTGATACTCATTCAGCGGGATTTTTCTTAAATGCTCTTCAATTAAAGCTAAATCTATCACAATCCCTACAGTTTGGAAGGACAATTCTGATATCCAGCGAATTAAAGGTCTTTCATTAGGCACATCTAATGTTTCATTAATGAGCTCAGAAACAAGTAAAATTCCTTTTGATTTCACACACATCAGCACTGAGAATTTTTCGAAAGTTGCCAAGTCCATTGACTCTAAAATACTGTCAGGAATTGCTTCAAGAACAAAAGTAATTTTTCTGCCTAAAATGATATTTTGGATTTCACTGATTTTTCCGTTTATGTGGTTTCCCATCATTTCTCTGATTTTATTGATTAAAATCGTGTTTCTTTCCATAAGGGTTTGCATTTTCTTCATTTTCTCTTCTTCACCAGTGTCAGCTAATTGATCTTCTAAGCTTTGAATATCATTTTGCAGCTCACAAACTTTAACTCTGAATTGGTTAGCTGTTTTTTCATAGTCTAATCTTTGGGCTTCCAACTTCTGAAGTTCTATTTTCAAGTCCTGGATTTCAATTTCTTTATTATAAATTTCATTCGTTAGATTCTTTTCAATTTCTGCTTGTTCTTCAGTTATTTGTTCATCCATTTCATGAAGTTCTTGCAATTCTTGAATTTGCTCTTCTAAGTTCTGAATTTTTTCGCTTAATTTTAAATTGGTATCTGTCAAATTTTCAACCATATCATTTAATCCTGAAGATTCTTCAAGTGCATCATTTACTCCCCCCTTTGAATCGGAAAAAAAATCTGTTCCGATTTAAAGAGAGCTAATTTTCTTTTAAAAAAAATTTAAAAAAATAAAAAAAATAATTGTTAATTTAATTTAATTTTATGAATAATTAAATTAAAATATTAATCAATTCTGTTTTAGAGTGTTTATGTAAAAATCTACTTGCCCTCCTTCCATTAAATTAAGTCAAACAGTTTTAGAAGAGTTTAAATACATTTTCCAATGCTAAAGTACAAAAAATGGAAATTTTACCTAATTTAAAGGAGGGTGAGTTAGTGCATCTATGTCTGCTTGCTTGGACTCTAACTGTGATTTAAGATCAACTATTTGTTTTTGGGTTTCTTCTGCATTCGGCAGTGATCCTAGTTCATTTTCCAGTAGATTTATACGCTCTTCATACTCTGCTTTGGAGTTCTGATAATCTGAATATAGTTTTTTCAAAGCCAATTTTAATTGGGAGACTTCAACTTCACTGCTTTCGCCTCCTTGGCTCGACTGAATCTCTTCCATTTCGAGATTTCTTACTCCCCCCCATCCTTGATCGAACGACTCGCCATCGTTCGATCAAGGATGGGGGTAAAAAAAATTTTTTATATATAAAATGAAAAAGATATATATAGAGATTTTTTTTATTTACTTTAAATAAGAGGGTTAAGAGTATTTAATAATTATTTTTACAGCAAAAAATTGAATTAATTTCATAAAAATACCAATTTTTAATATTTTGATTTATTAGTTACCCTTTTAAACTGTATAAATTTTATTTTAAATTAAATATTTTTTTAAAATTTTAAAGAATCTCTATTTTATTAGATTATTGAGCTTTTAAGCCTAGGTTGATGTCTAAATCACTTCGGATGGTTGATTTCGCAGCTTTCTGTCGTCTCAAAGCTCTGAAAACAACTTCATTAGGCACATCTTCCAAAGCGTTTGATAACTAATTTTTTTATATATATAAAAATTTGCATGATATGAAAATCGTTCGATCAAGGATGGGGGTTTAATTTCCCCAATTTTTAGGAATTTTTACAGTCAATCGTTCGATCAAGGATGGGGGGGGGAGTTAGCTCAATTTCTTCTTTTAGAGCTTCGTTTTCTTCTTTTAGCTCTTCAATTTCTTTTTGCAAAACTTTTTCATTTTCCTCTGCTAGCTCTTTCTCTAATGTTAAGTTTTCAATGATTTCATGGAGAGAAACTTCTTCTTTTGCTCCTTTTTTGCCTTTGGTTTTGCTTTCAAGCTCTTTAACTTTTTTGGTAAGTTCATCTATGATTTTGTCTTTTTCTTTTGATTCTGCTGATGCTTTCTTTAATGATTCTACTTGTTTTTTGTACTCAGAAATATCAGCCTTCAATTTTTTGACTTCTTCAGTACTAACAGGTATGTCTGGATTTTTCTTGTCTTCTGTATCTTCTTTCTTTTTGAGCTCTTCTTTAGCTTTCTTTTCAGCAATTTGCTTTTTTTCTTGGATTTTTGCTTTGGCTTCTTCTCTTATTTGTTTTAATGCTGACTCTTCGACTTCTTCAGTTTTTTCTTCTACATCTTCAGGATCGTCAGGATTGTCAGCTTTCTTTTTGGTTGTTCGAATTCCACTGCCGATAAAAGCAGTCACGGCTCTTTTGTTCTTTTTTTCTTCTTCTTCAATGGGTTTTACTTGATTTATTCGCACAAAAATACCATGATTGAGGTTTGCTTCAAAATATTTAACTCCATTAAGAGTTCCATTATTTTTGCCCAGAGGGTTATCAAGATTTATGCCGTACCAGTTCCCGGTTGTTCCTTTTAATTGGCCGTAATATCGCAATTCCCCAGTTAGCTCACTGTTTTGTGTTGTCACAACAACACGAGTACCTAACTTAATAGGAGGACTCGATCTATCCTCAAGCCTTTTAGGCTCCATATTAGAAATTTGTTACAAAATAGTGCAGATATTGATAATTATTATAGACAAGCTTTTAAAAGCAAATACAACTATCCCTTGCACTCAGAATTTCGTTAATTTGCAAATTTTAATGTAAATGCTCTTCAATTTAATTAAATTCCAATTTTTAAATAAAATGCATAAAAGCAGATGCTTGCTCAATAGTAAATTTAAAATTTACAATTTTCAATTAAAACTTTTTTACGCAATGCATGGCTGTAATTCCGTGTTTTCTCCTTTCCATTTTGATTATCTTTTACAGCACTTATTAAACTCCAATTTAACATATTTTATTAAGCCAGAGAATATTAAATTTTCTTCAAAATTATTATTTATTTCCTATCCTTTAAATTCGCTTTTTAAATTCAAAATCCTTTAAAATATATTAACTTTTATTTTCAAATACCGTCAAAAAGTAAAATGAAACAATCTCCTCCCTGATAAATGGGAGGAAAATTAAGCCTATTCGATGTATGTAAAGGTATCACAAAAACTTGCAAGCCAAGATCTACAGAGCCTAATTCTCCAGCCCTCATGCTATGTGCATCAGGGCCATCAGCTGACCAGATACTAAACCCGAGTGGTTATAGATATTTTGATGACGAAGAAGAAGATTTTTATGACAGTCTTCTAGCTAAAGAAGAAAAAATCCACAATGAAGTCATAGCCCCAAAACATGTACAAACAAGCGAAATTTTGGGGCAGGGCAGCTTTGGAAGAGTTTTGTTTGGAGCAAACATGGATACTGGACAACTCATGGCAATAAAACAAATTCCTATCATAGGTTTCTCATATGAGACTGCTCATGAGCACTTTAAAGAAATTCACGAAGAAGTGGAAATTTTATGTCTAATTAGATTAATTGGCTTTAGATTAATAAATTGTCTTTTAATTATTAAAGTACTGGCTCCCAAAACATTAATAACATTTAGGTATAAGTGGGCTTAGACATAAAAATATTGTCGGATATCTTGGTATAAATAGGGACGAACAATTTTTGAATATTTATCTAGAATATGTAGCTGGTGGATCTATAGCTTCACTGCTGAATAAGTATGGGAAATTTAACGAAACTCTTATTAGAGTGTATACCAAACAAATTTTGGAAGGGCTTGAATACTTGCATTATCATAAGATTATACATAGGGATATTAAAGGTGCAAATGTATTAGTAACAAATGATGGAGTCTGTAAATTATCTGATTTCGGTGCTTCTAAGCGAATTATTGGGTTAATTGACCAAACACAATTTAAATCCTTACTCCCCCCTCCATGAGTGAAAAAAAAGTTTGTTCACTCACGGAGGGGGATTAAATTTTTTTTTAAAAAAAATTTATGCCAAAGTTTATAGAAAAATTTTTGTTTGAAATTAAAAAAATCCTAATTTGCAAAAATTGGAAAGCAAATATTATTTTAATTTGTAAAATTTATGTTTTAAAATGAAATTTGTTTAAAATTAAACAGAATTAGCTCGAGATTTCATTATAATAATTATCATTTATATATCATTTTTTTTTTTTTCATAAAACTTTTTTTCTATTAAAAAAAATTTTTGTTCACTCACGAAGGGGTTTTTTTTGGCAAAAAAAAGGATTTTTCCAATGTTTTTTGTTCACTCACGGAGGGGGGAGTTAAGAGGAACTGTTAACTGAATGGCACCAGAAGTTATGAAAGAAGAAGGCCACGGAAGATATGCCGACATCTGAAGCCTCGGCTGCTTAGTTGTTGAAATGGCGACTGGAAAACCACCTTGGTATTATAAAACAAACCCAATAGCTGTATTAATGCATGTCTGCACCACAAATACTCTTCCAGAGTTGCCGCCTGAATTATCAGATGCAGCCAAAGATTTTGTGTATTCTTGCTTCAGAAGAAATCCATGTGAAAGGCTAAATGTCCACAAACTACTAAATCATCCTTTTGTGCAGGGAATTATAATTATTCCTCATTTTATCAGCTATCATCAAGCTGAAGAAGTCGTTTTTGGGTCTGGAAGCACGAAATTTACCTCTGAAGAAAAAGGAGTTTTTCTTTCAGGAAGTCTCGCAAACAGTACGTTTAGAGAAGAAAGCAAAGAAGAGGAAACACCGAAAAGGTTGTCAGACGAAATCAATGATACCAGCCTTGATCCTTCACATAATGTCAAAGCGCCTTTTGGGAATATCATCACTATTAAGAAGTTTACTGCAGCTCCTGAAGGTCAGGACGAAGAAATAATACTTACTCCTTCCTTAGCAAATCAAAAGGAATTAAAATATACAAAAAATAATTATATAAAGTTTCCAATAAAAGCAAAACATAATCAGATGGGAGTTAGAAGACCTAGCACTTTGAGTGAGGAAAATGAAGAGGGCTCAGAAGAGGAGGAAGATGAAGAAGAAGAAGAGGAAGAGGAAGAAGAAGAAGAAGAGGAAGAGGAAGAAATAGGAAACCAAAACAAAATTGAAAGCCAGAAAAGTGAAGATAAAACTCATGTATCTACTAGCTCAAATATCATTCCAAACCACATGAGCAAATGCAACGAAAACTTAGAGATAAAAATGTCTTTTCCAGCAAAAGAAGTGGATGTATAATAATATCTAAATTCTCAATTACTATTAGTAAGCTCATAAATGCTTTCATTTTTAGTTTAAAAAAATTCTGAAGGATATAAATGTTAAATAGCTCAGAAAGAGAAACCAACGAGTCATTATTAACTCATTGGATATATTGATAAAGAATTGCTCGATTAAAATATTTAGAAAAAAAAGTCTTATTATGTATTGCATGAATTTTGGATTATGCATGGCATGTGGAGAAATTCCCCACACACTAGAAAAATTCCCATATGTGAAAGACATGCATAAAGGCAGGCTTCACATATGGGAATTTTTTTAGCACGAGGGGAATTTCTCCACTCGTCATGCATAATCCAAAATTCATGCAATAGACTATATTTAAAATAGAGGTATTTTTTCAATTAATTAAATATGATATTTTCATTAGTTGGAAACTAAAATCTCACGAAAGTAAGATTAAGATTAATAGGCTTAAAGTCTTGCAGATTTGATGTTTCCATACGCTAGCGAGCCTTGTTTTAGGCTATAAAGCGACTTTTGGGTCCAAATTGGTGCTTGTCGTGAAGGACATATTTCATCGCCACCACCATATTAACTATTTACGAAAGTAAGGAAATCAAGGAGTGGCTCACTTTTTCAAACAGACAACAGTTGATCTATAAAAAAGCAAGAGCTTGAAAATAGCCTAAAAACTCTCTCAATGGAAAAGCAAGATTTGCTCTTCCGCAAAGAATCAGTAGAAAAAATGAGATCAAAAGCTCTAAGAATTACTCAAAAAGATGCCTCAATTGAAGAATTGAGAATGCTTCTAGAAATAAGTCACGAGCAAAGCAAGGATTACTCAAATGCACTTACATTTGAACGAAAATCCAAACAAGAAATGGAAGAATACTTGCAATCAGTAAAAAACCGATATGATGAGCTTGAAAAATTCAATAAATCTTTGTCCACAAGGATTAGCAATAAAGATAAACACATTAGCTATTGTGTATCTGATCTATATAAGCTTAAATCAAAAATCGAAAAAATTGGAAATTCCGCTATTAGCACAAACATTCAAATGGAGATTGAAGGAATCATTGAAAAATTGTCCACAGATGATTATTTTAATTTTGAAGAAAAAAAAACTTTAAAAACGCCTACAAAATCTGCAGGGAAAAGCTTTATACATTCTACATTATATTTGCGGGGCCTAATAAACTAAAGTACTCCAAAATAAAAAAAGGGCTAATTAGTAATGGTAACATGATATAGTATAATTTTGGAGATTCAAATATTTCCAACATGTCTATGTCCAGTAATACCGAATCCAACGCAAAATTGACTGAAGAAATTTCTTCTCTCAGAAGATTTACGAACTTAAAGTTTGGAACATTCTACGTCCGTTATAGTTCGTAGCCTAACAGGGCACACTTCAAATGACGTTGCCGACCTCGATAGCTCATAAATGAGTAATTCCTCGTTACTTCCTTGATATTGCTCCTCCCCTGCCTCAAGGCGAAAGTAGATTAAGTAGAGGCCTTTTATCTTTTCCTAGGTCTGGTAAGAGGGCAGCTCCAAGTTGCGTACCAGTCATTGCTAACATAGAACTCCCATGTTATACCAAGTCTCATAATATAAAATACAAAACGAATGGTATCTATGTGCAGATCGGTACCTAGCAATGTCACCGTTTTTTAATTATCCTCCTCTTAGAAGACAGCTACAAGAAACTCAAGAGCTTTATCACATTGTATCCGAGCAGTTGCGAGAAAGAAATGACAAAGGAATCCGCTATGATGAAGAAATTTCTGTTCTTCGTAACAAATTGCAAGAAGCCCGGCGAGAATATGACACCTTAACCTCTCAGCTCGTAAAACAGTCAACTGATAGAGATTTTCAGCATAAAAATTTATTAATCGAAATAGAAGAACTAAAAAAAAAGAGAAACGAGCAAGAAATTGAGGTGAAAAAGCTAGAAACAAACTATAAAACCAACATTTCTGAGCTTGAAACTTCTTTATCAACTTCTAGAGAAAGGTTTTTACAACTATTAGAGGACAAGTCAAAGCTTGAATCTGATTCTTTACAAATGAGAGCAGAAAAAAAAGAATTAATAAACCAGCTTCAAATAAAAGAAATGAAAATTAATGAGTTGTCAGCTTCTATCCAAGGGTTAAGCCAAGAGCTGGGATTGCTGAAAAAACACTTAAACTTAGATGACGTTGATATAGGACAGCTCCGAAATCTAAGCCAAAAAACACAAAATTTAGAAGAGCAGCTTGAGCAAGCAAAACAAGCTTTAAGTGCATCGAAATCTAGGGAAGAACTGATGATGCAAGAAATTGATGATTTGAGTGAAAAACTTGAAATTTATGAATCATGTCCAACTATTAATAGTGAGTCAGTGCTAAAACAACTATCGCAACAAATTTCAAGTATTATTCTATCAAAAGATAAAGCATTTGCGATAGACCCGAAAATAAAATCTTTATTAAAGCAGGTTTTCGGTGAAAATTGTGTAAGACTTATGGATAACTATGAAGAAATCGTCAAATCAGTCCATCAAGACAAAAATCAGCTAAAAGACAGGCTTTTATATGAGATTGAACTGAGGGCGCAATGCTTAATTGAAACACAAAAGTCTTTTGATATGATACTTGAATATAAAGGAAGAGATAAAGATATTGAAAATAAAAGAAAACAAATCACTGAAGAGCTAAAGCATATTGAAAAACAAATATCTATTGAAGAAAGTGCTCAAAATATGTATAAAGTAGACAGCCCAACTCAGAATAAACAAAGAAATGATTTTAAATTAAAGGATGAGGTTGAAAATCTGAAAGGAGAAAATGAGAAACTAAAATCTGATATAAATAGTTATGAAAAAGAGCAATCACAGCTAAACGAAGAATTAAACAAGAGCACAATCTTAATAGAACAACTCAAAAAGAAAATTTCCAAAGCTATGGTCAATGTAAACAAAGATGATTTGGTTGGATTTTTACAGTGTGAAGCAGCTGCGTTAGAAGAAACATTGACTGGCAATCAGAATTATTTTGGAAATGAAAGCTTTGCAGAACTTTAATGTAAATTGTGCTTAATTATCATAAGAGTATTAATTATAATTCACTTTATTGCTAATTGCAAAATAATTTCTTTTACTATATTTTACGAAACCCCAATCAAAAAATATACACAATTTCAAATTAAAATTACTCTTAATGAAAATAGTTTACTCCACCCCTTTAGATTGGAACAAAATATCCATATTTTATTTACTTTAACCCCCTTTAAATTGGAAAAAAAATTTAACTGAAAAATTTTTATAAAATAGGTTTTAACCTAATTTAATGAGAAAAATGCAAGTAGAATATTATTTAAATAGTTTCAAACTGAATCGTTTATTTTTTTGTCATAAATAATTTAAATTCAAATATAGTGTGTTCAATTTATATAATTTTAATTCTTAAATATTTTAGAAAAATGTTAATATAATTCTTTATCGAAAAAACTAACCCCTTTAAATTTGAATAGGATTTGGTTCTAATTTAAAGTGGAGGGAGTTAATTAAAGAAATTTAGATTTAACTAATTATTATGAAAATAAAATAAAAAATGCAATCAGTCATCGGTGACTTCTTTATAAACCGAGAAAGTGAAGTCTCCTTTGCAGAAGTAGAGCGTAACCAAGTAGTCTGCTTATTTTTCACAGCAAATTGGTGCCCTCCTTGTCGAACATTTACACCTATATTGGTTGAATTTTATAATGATGTGAATTATCCTGATAAGAGATTAGAAATTATTCAAATAAGCTCTGATAAAGACGAGCAGTCATTTTCTGAATATTTTAGCAGATTGCCATGGCTAGCAATTCCTTTTGGTGATAGCAGGATAAAATCATTAAAAATGAAATTCAAGGTCCAAGGGATACCACTTTTAATGTTATTAAATAAAGACGGAACAATGGCTTATGGATTAGGAAGAGCTGACGTACAAACAGAAGGCCCTGCATGTTTTGATAAATGGTATAACTTAGTGAACTAAATTATTTTCTATAACAGTTAGCATATCTCCATTTTGGACGTTTCCCATAGTCTTAGTTTTTAAGAACTTGACAGTTTATTTTATTTTATCAGGCTTTTGGATTATCAGAAAACATTTTTCTGAGGGCATATTCTACCCGTTCCAAATAAATCTCTGCATGTTTGGCTTCGAATGTTAAGCATGGCCTTAATCTTATACTTCGGCACCCACAAGTTCCACAATTAACGCCAGCTTTAATCATTTCATCTACCAGAGCTTCAGCAGTTTTTCCATCATCTAAGTCAAATGCCATAAAGCTTCCTAATCCTCTTATATTAGAAATTGGGAATCTTCGCTGCAATTCCATAAGTCCATTCTTCAAAACACTTCCAGTGCTCCTCGACAAAGCCAATAAATCTTCATCCTCCATGACCTCAACCACTGTCTTCAAATTCAGCAGTCTTATTGGGTCTCCATGCCAAGAATTATAAATGGAATATGCCCTATCTGCCCTTAAATGAGGTTTATAAAAAATCCCAGAAATTTGCATCCTTTTTGCAAAGGTCACAATATCTGGATCCGCATGTGATCCCCAATGCTCATGTCCCCAGAATTTCCCTGTAGCTCCGACCCCAGTCTGTACTTCGTCTGCAATCACTAACGCTCCATTCTGATGTACAATATCTTGAAGTCTTATATAAAATTCAGGAGATGCATATTTATCGCCTCCTTCTCCTAGTATTGGTTCTACAACTACCCCAGCGATCTGCTTACTAGAAGTTTTAAAAGCCATTTCTAGCTCGGCCAATGCGCGGTTTTCTTCAGCCTTATTATGAGTTTCGTTTTCTGCATAAGGATGCTTTATATCAGGAAACTGTATTGATGGCCAGTCAAAGGTGGGGAGACCAAGCTTATGGATTGGTTTACTTTGGGTTGTTGTGAGAGCTCCAAAGGTTCTTCCATGAAATGAACTTTTAAATGACAAAATCGCAAGATCGTTACCTTTATTGTGAAGAGCATCTTCAAGCTCTTGAATCGATGGGGATGCTCCGTTGCGATTCTTTTTCATTGCATGAGCAAATGCAAGCTTATAAGCGTATTCGTTAGCGCCGGCACCACACCCACAGCTTGGGATTACTTCAGTTAATCCTTTTGGTGCGATTGGGATCAGTATCTCTTGTATCATTGTTGGCCAGTTTTTATCTGGCATTTCAGTGGTTTGGCGCTGTGACAGATATTTTCTATATTCTGGGGATCTTGCGGCCTAAGTAACCCTTACTCGTAGAAGTGCGGGATGGTTATATCCAATAGGGAGGGATGCGACTTGCGAATAAGTTTCTAATAGTACATTTCCATCAGCGTCTACAGCGTAATTTCCTTTAGATCGCTTAAAATCAATGAAAAGTTTTATCTGAATAAAGAGTACGGTTCGAGGGTCCTGGCTGAAATTATTTAAGGTAGATAAAAGGACCTTGGATCTAGGACCTGGGATATCAGTTAGGACTTGAGGTCCAGCTGGTTCTTCAGCGAGAATAGGGCTGTAGTTTTTCAAACTGTTGATTGCTTTGGTTATAGCTCTCATTTTAATTATAAGTGTGAGCCATATCAGAAATCAAATTTAAAAGAGCCACATGAAGTAAAGAAAAAATTTTTGGTAAAATTATCAGGAAAAAAGTGGAAAAAATATAAATAGACGAATAGACTAGTAAAAATAATTGTTCTTCAGTATTAAGATTGATATCAGTAATTACTAATTCTGATATTATGCTGACCAGAATATGGAATGCCATGCGTAAATGAAATGACCGGAAAATTCAAGGTAGTTTTAAAGTGAAAAACTGCAAGAAGGTTAAATAGCTTTTCTTTGATTATGAATATAGATTTGATAAATTAAAGTGAGTTCAAAGCAATGAAATCATTAAAAAATTTAAAAAGCAGAGAATTCAAGCCAATATAATTTGAAAAGGGATTTCTGAAGAAAATTCTTAATTAAATAGCTGGCTAAAAATAACAAGCAATTACTAGTTAAAGTCAACTCAACCAAATCAAAATAATAGAAGGAAATTGAATAAAAAAATCTTGATAACTTTATAATAGCTAAGTTGTGAAACCTTTTAGGGGAGATTATTTTAAGATAAAAGTGAGTAAGAAAACGAGTATTTAAAGAGTATTTACTGCTCTTATACACTCTTAAAAGTTATTTAACTATTTAGACAGTAAGGCTAACGAATTAAAATTTTTATTATTTATAAAGGAAAAGGTATTGTACCCACCTAAAAATCGTACTGCTTCTTGAATTTCTAATTCATTCGGCACTAGATGAGAATCAAAGATTACTGTTGCAATCTTCAATGCAATATCTGCAGAAAAGGATAGTCAAATAAAATGGTATACACTTATTAAAAATCAAACAAGAAGTTTTTTTTAACTCTTTTCAACAATAGATTTTCGTAATTATTTCAAATCCTTGAATGTCCAGGATGAAAATATTAAACATCACAAATAGATTAAGTAGTATAAGCAACTACTTGAAAGTAATTTATTAATTAAGGCCTAAAAATCGATTTATTAATAAATTTTGCAAATTTAATGATAAATAAAATTTATAACATTGCTTTATCAAGCATTAGATTCCATTATATTTCATTCCCATAATATCAAATTTAAGAAAATTCTATCATGAAATTCACAAGAGATTTCTTTAATCTGCATATAATAAAATTCCTACTTATTGGATTTATAATAAATAAGAAGCTTAATCAGAAAATGAGAGTTATGCGCTTCTTTTCACATGCAAAACACAAAATATCTGTGAAGAACTCTATAGTAGAGCTAGACGGGGATGAAATGGCAAGAATCATGTGGGGATTAATTAAAGAAAAATTGGTATTCCCATTTCTTGATATTGATATCAAATATTATGATCTGAGTATCCAAAATCGAAATTCTACCGATGATCGCATAACTTTAGAAGCTGCACAAGCAATTGCTCAGCATAAGGTAGGCGTTAAATGTGCTACAATCACTCCTGATGAAGAAAGAGTAAAAGAATTTGGTCTAAAGAAAATGTGAAAAAGCCCTAATGGGACTATTAGAAACTATTTAAATGGCACCATCTTTAGGGAACCAATAGTAGTGAATTCAATACCTCGACCTGTTCCAGGGTGAATAAAGCCAATAGTGATTGCAAGGCACAGCAATGCTGACCAATACAGTGCTTCAGATCATAAAATTCCTAAGCCTGGCAAAGTTGAGCTTGTTTACACTCCAGAAGATGGTTCTCCAAAAGAGAAATGGCTCGTGTACGACTATAAATCTCCAGGCGTAGCAATGGGAATGTATAACACAGATGCTTCTATCGCAGAATTTGCCAGATCTTGTTTTATATTCTCCTTAGAAAAGAACTACAACATGTTTTTCAGTTCAAAAAATACGATTCTTAAAGCATATGATGGAAGATTCAAAGATATAATGCAAGAAATCTATGAAAATCATTTTAAAGCTGAATTCCAAGCTAAAAATCTCACATATGAGCATAGACTAATTGATGATATGGTAGCTCAGTGCTTGAAAAGCAAAGGAGGATTTTTATGGGCTTGCAAAAATTATGATGGAGATGTTCAAAGTGATATTGTGGCTCAAGGATTCGGGTCGCTAGGACTAATGACTAGTGAATTAAGGACTTCTGGAGATATTTGTATGGCAGAAGCTGCTCATGGAACTGTTACGAGGCATTATAGAGTCCACCAAGCAGGAGGAGAAACATCGTCTAATTCTATAGCCAGCATTTTTGCGTGGACTAGAGGAATTCAGCATAGAGCTAAGCTTGATAAAAACGAGGAACTTTTAAGATGGGCAAATTCATTAGAAGAAGTTGTGATTGAAAGAGTAGAAAAAGGAGAAATGACAAAAGACTTAGCATTGATGGTACATGGGCCAAATGTGGAAAGAAAGCATTGGCTAAACACTCAAGACTTTATTCAGAACATCGCTGATCATTTTGAAAGGAAATTAAATAAGTAAGAATATCAATTCAATTTGGTAATGCTCGTTTAAAACCTAGATCTAGTTTATTTATAATAAGAATCTTGATGCTTATAGAATAAAGCTTCATAAAATAATAAAGTATAATTGGTAGAGATTAAAATATGGAAAAATTTTCTGTACAAATACTCAAAGAAGAATCCGAAAAATCCCAAAATTATCAGCCACATATGATTTCAGATGACTTTTGCGGCTGGGATGGTAAACCAATGGCCTTGCCTAACATTAAATTAAAAAGCCCATATAGAAGATCTAGTTTATATGAAAAATTGAAGTTGGACTCTCTTGCAATAGCCCAGCAGAATCTGCCTCATCCAAAAACAGTAAAACAAAAAGCCAAGCCACGTGTAGATACAGTTATAACTTATAGCATACCTACAAGCATAAAAATACTCAAAGCTAAACAAACGCCTAAACATCTTCGAAATTATTCGCAAAACGTAAATTCAAATAGAGAAAGTCCTATAAGTCCAAGAATAACTGTTATCAAATATGAAGACTCTGGCGCCGATGCATCAACCAGTAGAAGATTTTCAAATACTTCTCACAGAGATCGTAATGAAATAAGGAAAATCCCATTAAAAATCCGAAATTTCCATCATGTAGAAAAAGAAATAAATACGCCATATAAAATTAAGCCAAGCCAGCAGGTAATCTCAGAGCTCCGATATTTTATGAATGAAAGCACAGTAACCTCGCCAAGATCCGCACCTCGATCACCGATATCATTAAAATCTGAATTTTTGAAATTTGCAAATATTTCGCATAAATAAAATGGCATTCGGTTCGAGAGAAATTAGCTTTGCTAATTTTCTCTCCCTCATGGAATTTTATTTATGGGGTTAGGTTTCTCTCGAGAACTTCTGCGCAGCAATAGAACGTTTAACTCTGGGGGATAACCAGAGGAACGCCTCCTCAGCGCATCAAGAGGCTCAGAGTTTTACCTCTCAGCACATCCCCACGGGAGGATGACCCTTAGGCGGAGCACGCGCAGGAGCTGAGTCAGGGCGAGGCATCGGCAACGCGCCGGGTGAGAAGTGCAGCAAAACTGGCGACGAAGCTTTGATAGAAGGCTTGGGCCTGGGCTGACCAAGTTAATCCAAGATGGCTCGGTAACATCACAAGTTTTTGCCAAAAGCCCTTTTTTATAGGGGCTGCGTCACCGGACACCTAAAGACTGAATTTATTAAGTAAGTAAGTAAGTAAGTAAGTAAGTAAGTAAGTAAGTAAGTAAGTAAGTAAGTAAGTAAGTAAGTAAGTAAGTAAGTAAGTAAGTAAGTAAGTAAGTAAGTAAGTAAGTAAGTAAGTAAGTAAGCAAGTAAGCAAATATTTCGCAGACACTTGAAGAATTTTTGGCTAAAACAAAGCTAAGTAACGATCGATCTAAGACACCTTTAAATAAACCAAGAAATTTGTTTAATCTCCACCCTTTCCTTTAATTAGAGAAAACATCGGTAAAATTTCCATTTTTTAGATGCCTTAAACTGGAACAGTTTTTATAGATGAAAAATAGGTATTTTATAAAATAAGTTTTAATCTAATTTAATGGAAAAAAATACAAGTAGAATCTAATAATTTATATATATAATTAAAATTTTAAATATATTGATATTTTTTTCACTTTTCAAATTTCAATAAAAATTTTTTTATATTAAAACATTTAATACAATTTTTTTCAAAAAAAAATAACCCCTTAAACTTGAACAGGATTTTTTGTTCAATTTAAAGGGGGAGTTAATTAAAAAAATTAAACGAGATATATCCATGTGTCTTACACTTATGTGTTTTGTGCAATTAAATATAAAAGGAACATTTGCGGTATCAAAAAGCATTAAATCTAAATTTTGGATATTATAATAATTTAATCTTTTGTATTTATACCTTTTCCTCGATTTAAGACATGCCATAGTACCATTCCAGTGCAAAAAAGCACAGAAGTTATGTAAAATAAATTTATAATCATCAATGGGTATTTTCTTTGTTCGCATGCTTCTTCACTCCCACAGACATTAGTCGCTAAGCAGCAATAATCACAACCAAGTTCTTCACAGCTAATATTTTCACTCTCTCTTATATCGATTTTACTTGTGTATCTCTCTAATGAATTTACTAACGTTAAAATTAGTAAAAATATTTTCATCTTTTATTAGTTATTTAAGAAGCCTAAACAAAATGTTATCGTTGAGTAAATAAGAATGCATTATTTATTACTGAAATAATAAGATTTACTGAGGAAGTAAATATTAATAAATGGGGTCAAAACTCTGCACCACAGCCCAAAAAGAAGATCCTATGGAAATGATAAGGCAAGACTTAGAAGCCAAAATTGAAGCTTGTCCTAAAAACTCATTTTTAGATGAATCGGCAAATATTGATGAAGGATCTCGTGAAATTAATTTACCGAAAGCTAGTACTCATTAGATTAGAAGAATTTCACATATTTTTATTAAATAATATAAATTAATTTAAAATTATAAATTACTCATTCATCGCCTTCAAGCAAGCCAAGCTATGAAATTGAACAAATAAAGGCTAAAAAAAAATTAGCAAAAGATAATTTCATCTCAGAGCTCAGCACGAACAATGAAATCATATATGAAGGAGAGCTCTTTCGTTACAAACCATCTGCCAAAGATAGATTTATTTCAAGATGATGTGAGCTAACACATGAATCATTTCACTACTATAAAAGTCATGTAGCAAATATAAACGGTTGCAAGCCATTATTAACAATTCCTTTGTATATTCTCTCTATATCAATTAGTATATTTTAAGATAACTAAAATATATTTTAAGAAAAATAATAATTAGATGTATTTTCTCTCAGAAAGAATACCAAATTTTGAAAATTGAAAAGTAAACGCCATTTAGGATTCAAAACATATCAAATTATTTCTGCATGGAAATTCTCACCATAGATAACAAAGCTGTAACCTTTAATTCAAGAAGTTCTTCACCTTTTTCCATTAGCGTATCCATGTCCCATACAGGATTTTTCGCTCCGGATTCTCCAGGGGTAGAAAAAGGTCATCTCATGAAAAAACCTTTTCAGCTCGCACCTAAATATAGAGAACAATCACCAACCGAAAGGCATTTAATGACCATAACCCCGCCAAATTTTCGAAAATTTTACTCAGGAAAAGTCAACGAAAGAAAAAATTCCTGAACAGTCCGAGAAAAAGAAATGTATATGGCAGAAGAGCGTCTAATTTTGTGCCACAACAACCTCAACGATCTTCAGAAGTGGAAGTGGATCATTAAGCATGCAATGATAGAAAAAAATGTTTAACTATAAATAAAAATCATTTTAAACGTTATTAAGTCGTGATTATATTATCTCTTTTAACCTCCAAAAGTTTTGTTAGGGCAGATCTCACATATAAATCTTTAAAATCAGTGGCCAGCGGTCTTTCAAAATACTGCATCACCACGCTATCAGGAACTTCAAATACACTTTTATAGCTCCATTTAGGGTTTTTATCTTTGTCTACTAGTGCTGCTCTGACTCCTTCGTATACATCAGTTCCAGCTACAAAATTCATTGATAATCTGTATTCCATTGTAAACGCTTCTTCTAAGTTCATCTGCAGCCCTCTTCTCATCTGTTCAAATGTAACTTTCTGTGACAGAGGGTTCAATTTCTGCAATTCTTGATAAATCTTTTTACCAAAACTTGACTGAGAAGCGGCACATCTTGTATGGATTTCTTCAACACTTGATGCTCCTCCAAAGTGCTTTTCGACTTCTTCATAAAAGCTTGTATTTGGTTCGACTTTTTCAGAGAATTTTTCAACAATTTTACTGACCCCGACGACGTTTGTATGTGGGTTGATTTTTTCTTTGAGTTGCTCAATAAGGTCGCCTATCCGAGCTTGTGGAACATAATGAGTGGCAACTCCAGCTTGAACTAATTCAGTGGAAGACAGCCTACTGCCAGTGACTGCTAGATATAGCCCTAAGCTTCCTGGGAGTCTAGATAGGAAATAGCTAGACCCCACATCTGGATATAAGCCGATGCCACACTCAGGCATCGCAAAGACAGATTTTTCTGTAGCAATTCTTATTGGTGAATGCATTGATATCCCCGCACCTCCGCCCATTGTAATCCCATTCCATATGCTGATCTGGATTGGCCTCATTCTGGCAAACCCATAATCAGTGACATACTCCTTTCTAAAGAAAATTGTTGGAAGGGTTGATGAAGGGTCTTTTTTCTTGGCCTCGTAGAGGGCTTTGATATCTCCGCCTGCTGAAAAAGCTTTGTCTCCTTCCCCAGTCATAAGGACGGCGCAGGTGTCCATATCTTGATTCCAATCTTTTAGATTTAACATCAGATGGTCAAACATTTCTACGTTCAAAGAGTTCAGGACTTTAGGCCTGTTAAGCTTGACGTGACATAGATGTCTAGTATACTTGCTTAAAACTGGTACATCTGCAGTGAAGAAGCGCTTGGAAATATGATGTATCATTATTTTAATAAAGATTTTGGTTAAGCATTTTAGAATATTATAAAGTTATCAGAAATTGGTAAATCCTAAAAGTATTTTAGCCTATTTTCTATTTCAGAAATTGGAATTAATTTTTAAGAAATACTTGTTAATCCTTATAGCATTTATTAAATCAAAATAAAATTTATATTCAATTTTCAGTCGCATTATTATATATATCCCCTTAACCTAAAACCCAATAAATGTTAACTTTAAAACAACATGGCATTATTCGATTTTATAAATAATTTAAAAATTCTGATAGAAATTTCATTTTAACTTTGATAATATTTTAATTCTTAATAGCCTAGTTCATTAATTCTGGTGGCCCTCAGCGCAATTATTATTATTTCCATCAAATAATAAAGCCTTTTTCACTTGAAAATTCTTTAAAATGATCATAATAAGGTCATAATGTTTATATTTGAACCTAAAGAATTAAAATAATACCGATATTTTAATCTTCAGCACAATTTCCATTTTTATCAAATCATATGAGTTCCACATCAAAGCAAGGGCCACCAAAATTGCTTCTTACAAGAGACGAGTGCATTAGAGCTCAAGGTCTCCTGAAAGCACTCAGCAGACAGCCAGGAGCTCATTGGTTTCGCTTACCTGTTGACTTTGTCGGGCTAGGCCTCACAGATTATCCAGAAATTATCAAGGAGCCTATGGACTTATCAACAGTCAGAAAACGTCTCGTGAATAACGAATACCAAAATTTAGACGAGTTCATTTTTGACGTCCAATTAATCTGGGACAACTGTAAAACTTATAATCCAGCTGGATCAGTATTTTTTAAACTAGGTTGTTGCTGAAGAAGCATCAAAATGCGAGCAGTTCATGCATGACTATTGCACAGAACACAATATCCCTCAGCCTTCCCCTATAAGAAGACCAAGAGAGCCAGTGATTCCTGTCGAAGAAAAAACTGAGCTTTCTGAGCTGGTTAAAAAAGTAAGCCATGATGCATTGGCGCATATCGTGACCATTGTGGAAAATGAATGCCCTCAAGCTTATACACAGTTGGATAAAGAAAGAGTAATGATTTCTCTTGACATGATAAATAAAGCTACGTTTGATAAACTGAAAGAGTAAGACTTATGAAGGGTAATACACACAGACGTTGGGATGCCGAACAAAAAACAAAAAATTGAAGAGTAAATAATAAAGATAAGTAACGAGTAATGAAACTTGCAATGTGGGTGATGATAAGTATAAAGTAAGAATTAAAATAGTCGGTCTCTAATAAATTGATGGATCTTTAGGAGATTTCATAAATAATTGGTAGCGCCATTGTTTGAGAGCATAGAGTATGATATTCCATTATTCCGCTTAAAAAATAGAATTTATGAGAGTCCATAAAAACCATAAATAAAAATAAAGGAAAATTATATGAAAGCTTGAAAATTAGCTCACTAAATTTTTCAACACTCTGCATTAGATCAAATAGCATAGTTACTGCATTGAGCCGATATTTGCCATATGTAAATCGCTGAAGCGTGCTGAAAGTTATTTAAAACAGAGTTCAAGCTATTTTGCAATTTTTAACGAGAATTTAAATTATGTTTCATAACGTTAAGGTTTTATTTACTCAAATAATGAAATTAAGAAGTCATAACCAATTTTTATAAAATCAGTAGATTTCTTTACTCCGTTAGTGAACAAAAAAACTTCGTGCAATTTTTTTTTTTTCTAAAATTAGCAAAAATTGGAAAGCAAATATATTTTTTAAAAAATAAATTAGTTAAAATTTAAACAAAATTGGCTAGAGATTTCATTATACTGATTATCACTTATATATCAAATTATTTTTCATAAAAATTTTTATATCAAAAAAAATTTTTCAGTCAGGGAGGGTGAGTATTTGGGTAAAAAAATAAGGATTTTCAAATTGTTTTTGTTTGCTTATGGAGGGGTGAGTTAGAATTCTAATGAGATAAATGGTTTAGAGGCTATAATAAAAATGTCGGGTATTGCGGCTACAATATGCTTTTATGGATGCTTTTACGGATGCTTAGTTTGCTGTGATGCATGCATTTTATGATCTTGACTAAAGTCTAACCAAAATTTTCTAAAGTCATTGCTTAGATTTTTTGTGTGACTTATTATAAACTACTATATTTTTAGGTTTTTTGGCTGAAATGAATATATATTCAATTTTTTTGAAATAGTGGGAATTTCAGATGAAGTAGTGGAACTTGAATCCTCAGTTTCAAATTTTTTGGTCATAAGTTAAGTGCTATAAGACCATAAAGCTGATAGACTTAAGCCTGCCTACCTGGATTTAACCCTATCAAACCTTAGGATTATCTCCCTAGGTCAGAGCCACCTCCTGCAGAAGTCCGCTAATCCCGATGAGCAAATACTTAGTGAAAGGCAAAATCTTTCTAGCCATCTAGCTGGGGCATGTAAAACCTTCGGAGAGAAAAAAAATCCTTTTCTGCAAGCATCCCCAAGCACAAAGACTTACTTCAAAACGTGGTGGGGCACTATTTAACTTCTTCCTGACGTCCTGCCTGCTCCATAGCGAGTGTGTGGTTTAGATCAATCTTCCATCGGTATCACCATTTGTTTATTTTGTTATAAGGTATGCAATGAAAATATACGAAATATTATCTTACGTAGGGTATTGGCACTCAACTTATAATTGAAGCTTAATAGTCCCAATTTTACTCTGGATCAATCCACTGCAAACCATAGGTGACAAAGCATCTAGTGTTTGCTTACTGCTAAACTGAAATATTTTATATATTTACTCTGCGACTCTTGACGAAAACTCTCAATATGGAAAAATATTTCCTTCTATATACCCAATTTTACATATATTAGCATCTTATTGGATCTATTGAAAAAGATATTCTTTATTGAGTTCGTCAAATAAATCAAATATAAATTGAGGCATAGGCATAAATCAACTTTTAGTATTTGCTTCATGAGTTTTCCTATTTTCTAAGATATATTATGGAAGCTTATCAGCTGGAATCCTTGAAATCATAAAGTTATTATTTTGGATATTTACTGAATATATTGTTCTCTATCTCGTTCTTGTGATTTATGTCCTACTATTCACCCGTTTTGGAGATGAAGTTTATGAAAATTCATATGCCTGTAAGGTCAAAGGCAAAAACCTTCAACAAATTGGGAATTTTGCACTATCAGAGCTATTTGGATTCTTTGTGCTTATTATCTTGACTATATTTTTATATTGAACTTAGATTTAATTGCATTAATTTAGAGTGCTTAAGGTGTCTAACGATACATCCTAAAGATGGGAGAAAGCCAAAATGGTGGTTCGAGCATTTCTGATCAAAATGATCGGACAATCCCAAATAAACCATCAACCCGGCACTATGCCATCCCCCTTTCTCCATTTAATTCATGTGCTTGCTCTAACTAAGCTCATCCCCTCGGATGTGCTGAGTAGTAAAATTCTGAGCCTCTTGATGACTGTAGAGCAATTCCTCTTGCTATCCCAAAGTTAAACCGCTGTTGTTGTGCAGAAGTTCTCGAGGGAAAATCAAACCCCATAATAAAAGTCCATGAGAATAGAAAATTAGAAGAGCTAATTTCTCTCGAACCGAATGCCATTTTATTTATATTGAACTTACTATATTTTAGATATTCTTTTTAATTCTCCTTGGATACTAACTGAAGGATTTGTGTTTATGCTAGCATATATTGCTACTTTATGAATGTCATTTTCATCGTCATTTGGCTCTATTAGAAACAGTGATGTGTGAACTTGGAACTTTGCTGCATTTTATATGGAACTTACACTGGTTAGATTTCTTTTTATTTAAGTTATTATTGAAAAATTAAAAACATTATCTCTCGTTTCACTAATCTATAAGATAGCTAAATAAATCAACTGTAATCATGAATAACTGAAATTTTATATTTTAGACATATAAACATAATAATCTGAATGAAATATGTATGCACATCTAGAATATTTAGAAAAATTTAAAAGACATAAGATATTATGAGAACCAAAATGGCTTCTGCTTCAGCTATTTCTTGGAGAGATAGCGCAAATGAAAATCATATCAGAATTTATTACTTTAGAAATGGAAATATTGAAGAAAAATGCTGGGACGGCTACTGATATCCAGGAGCATTTGCTTTTCCAGGAGAGACTATATCAGCTACTTCATGAAGTATGGGAGATAGAATTTGCATTAGAGTTTATGTAGGAAATGGCTCGCTTATTAATGAATATTGCTGGGATGGAGAAGAATGATATCAAGGATCATTTACTGCAGAAGGGGTTTCTTCGACAGCTGTTAGCTGGCTAGATGACGGAATTCCAAAAATTAAAGTTTATGTGAGTGATGAGGACAGAACAATATCAGAGTATTCTTATGAGAATGGATGGGAACTGAGCAATGATTTAGGGGTTTAATTTGGTTTTTGCTTATTTAATCTAAATAATTTTATTTGAAGAGAAATTTTATTGAAGTGTTTTAATAAAAATTATTTGGCAAGGCAATGCATTTTTAGCAATTAATGATATAGATATTGTTTTGTATAAAGGATAGCTCTCCCTAAAAATTTAATGAGCATTACTACTTTTGAAAATAACCCCTTATGCAGCAAGCAAGAAATTTTTTTATAAAGCATTTTTATATAATTATTATAACGAAATGCCCAGCAATTGCATTTTAACATTTAAACTTTTGCAATTGAAAATGTAGAAATTTAAATGAATATATAAAAATTTCAAATAAAAATGTTTATAAAATTTAATTAGAATATAAAAACTAACCTGTTCGTTAAGCAAACTAATTTGCTAGGTAGGAAAAGGTATTTAAAGTTAATAAATTTTTTAAAACGTTTAAAGTTAAGACTTAGAAATTTAAGAATCTGAAATATATAGTTAGAGTATATGCCAAATTATTAATAATAAAAACTTAATCTCTATGCCATAATATGTCATTATGTATTATATATAAGTCAATAATAATATAAATGCATTGAATTTATATAAATCGAAGATTAAAATCCAAAAATTATGAATTGAAAAAAGGCTAAACATAGAATTTCAATCAAAGGATCCTAGCAATTAATTCATTTCAAAAATATGAATATCAAAATAAGATTATTTTGTATTTATAATAATTATTCATTTTATTTTCTTTATTTATAAAGCCTATAAAAGTTTTAGAATTTCAGTATTTAAACATAAAAAAATGCATAAAGATTTGGTAATTTATAGACTCAATTTTCTTAAAATTTTATCAACTTCCATCCTTTATATTGGACTAACTCCCTATCCTTTATATTGGACAAAGCATCCTTAAAATTTCCAAGGTAAAATATAATCACCTTTATTTAATAATATAATTTATTCTTAAAGCTCTAAATATACTCTTTTTCATACAACCAAAATCGAAAATTCACCTATAACTTATGGACTTTAAATGTTTTGATACAATAAATTTTATAAATTAATCTTATGAAACATTTAATTTGAACTATGATAAATTAGCCCCTTTTATTGAGACAGCTATTTTTGTTTCAATTAAACAAGGAAGTAAGTTTTTGTAATATAATCGATTTTCAAATGATTTCTACCCATAGAACAAAAGATTCTCTTTAAGTATTTATAATTCCAATATCCTTCAATAGAGAAGCAATAAAAAGGAAATTTCTAAATAGTTTTTTTATTCAAACAATAAGAAATTTAACACAATCATCAAAAATCATTAAAAGTATTATATTCCTTCATAATTACCACAAAACGCTTAATTGACAAAGCACTCCATCATTTTATTCTAATCGCTTAATTCTTCCAAAACGGCTAGATTTAAGCCATATTTAGTAAGAAAATTTTATAAAATAAAAATGCAAAAGAAGTGACTTCTATTGTTGATGTTAACATCTATCAGTCTCTCTCTCAGAACTAGAAACGACCAACCCTCAATTAACGCAATTGATATAGCTCAAAATACAGCATTTACTCAAATGGAGCAAAGCACGACAAGCACAGGGGGATCATCTGATAGCAATGCACCTATAGAAATTGAAAGTTCAAGTACTTCAACGACAATTACTCATAGTACTAAACCAGATTGGCCTGTAGAAGTAGAAGTTGAGGTAAGCGGAGGCGTACAAGAAGATAACGATCGTTATGTATCTCTTACCATCACTGTAGAAGTTGATGTTGATGGGCCTGGAAATGATTCCGAAGAGCCTGAAGATACAACTGAGCAAGAGGAAGCTGCTGCAGAGACCTCAACTGAAGAAACCGAGCAGGATCAGGAAGTAGAGGAAGAAGAAGAATATGTAGAAGAAGCTGCTGAAGAAGCTGAAGAAGAGGCCGAAGAGGTTGAAGAAGAAGCTGAAGAAGAGGCCGAAGAGGCTGAAGAAGAAGCAGAAGAAGAGGCAGAAGAGGCAGAAGAAGAAGCAGAAGAAGCAGAGGAAGAAGCAGAAGAGGCAGAAGAAGAAGCAGAAGAAGAAGCAGAAGAGGCAGAAGAAGAAGCAGAAGAAGAAGTAGAGACTGTTGCTGAAGAAGAAAGTACTGATGAAGAAGAGGAAATTAACTGCCCTGACAGTGATGTTGCCGTTACTGCCTGGAAAGATATGACCTCAAAACATATCAGAGTTTACAGATCTGCTGATGGACAAGTTACTGAAGAATGCAACGATGACGCCTATTGGTATACTGGCTCTTTCAGTGTTGAAGGTCAAACAGTATCTGCCACATCTTGGGAAGGAGGCTCCATCAGAGTTTATATAGGAAATGAAGGCTACCTCTCTGAGTGGTGTTGGGATGGCAACGGATGGTATGAAGGTGACTTCATAGCTGAAGGCTGCATAACAGACGTTTACAGTGAAAAAAATCTTGGAAGAGTTATTATAAAGGTCTATGTTTTAGACTTAGAAGGAAAATTATCTGAATACACTTGGGATGATGGATGGTCTGAGACCTTTGATTTTTCTAAGGATCGACCTCAGAGACTTCAATTAGACCCTCCTCCTCTTCCTTCAACATCTGAATCAGCAAGTGGCTCAGGTGAAGACTGCCGTGAAAATGATGTTGCCGTTACCTACTGGAATGGTCTTTTAGGAGAAGACCATATCAGAGTTTATAAATCTGATAATGGAAAAGTCGTCGAAGAATGCTTTGATGGACTTGGCTGGTATGAAGGATCGTTTAATTTCGATGGACAAACTGTGTCTGCCACATCTTGGGAAGGACACATCAGAGTTTTTGTTGGATTTAAAGGATTGATCTCTGAATATCAATTCGATGGACTAGGATGGCATGAAACTGACTTCGAAGCTGAGGGTTGCGTGTCTGATGTATTCAGTCATGAATTCTTAGGCAGATATATGATGAAACTCTATGTGATTAACTTACTTCTAATTGTGAGTGGGAAGAATATTTGAAAAATCCCTATTTTTCTTGCAAAATCCCACAGTATTTAATATAAAAACTTTATTGAAATTTAAACAGCTTCTTAAAATATTTACTTTATAAATTAAATAACTTTTTTTCTTTTCAACTTTCAAATTGGGATTTTTTTAATAATAAAAAATTTAAAAAACAAAACATTAAGCCCTCCTTAAAGAACAAAAAAATTTTCACATTTCGGAAGCTGAGTTAGAAGGAAAGCTAATTGAATATACTTGGGATAGAGATTGGGAAGTAACTACTGAATTTGATGAAGACGAAGAAGTCGAAGTTACCTCAACTGAGGCGACAGATAGTGAAGAGAGCTCAGATTCTGATGAAAGCAGCGACATCGATATTAGCATTAAGTTAGCTTATCGAGAAGTTTCCATAGTACCGGCTATGTGCATCTCCACTTGCTTAGTTGAACCGTCTACAGCCGCTCCATCAGGGGTTAACTCTTCTTCGCCTGACGCTCACTTCTAACAGACTATGAAGTGGACTGGGTAACTGTGCCGTATGCCAGACGAGGCTTCCTTCACAAAATTCAAAAAAATGAAATTACTGGCTGGCTGTCAGCAAAATTAAAAACTTGTAAGCCTAGAATGCTCGCTGAGCTTCCCCCACTTTCCCTTGGGTTTAAATTCAACTCTGAAAGTAAATTAGGCTAGGCCCTTAGTGAATTAGGATTGCTTAGAGAAATTGCTGTCCATTCCTGGACTGGTAAAACCTTACAAGTATAATTAAAATATGTGCTCGAAGCTGCGTTCCGGAGACCATGCCCAGGCTGAGATACCATATTTTAATTATGATAAAAGTAGCGAAACTGATGAAAGCTCTGAAACAGAGACAGAAGAAACTTCTGAAACTACATCAGTATCTGAAGAAACCACAACAACTACAGTCACTACAACTACTACAACCACCACTGAAAGTGAGTCCACAACCGAAGAAACTGATGAGGACACTTCTGATGAAACTTCTGAAGCTGCCCCACAGGAAGCCCAAACAGAAGAAACTGATGAAGACGCTTCTGATGAAACTTCTGAAGCTGCCCCACAGGAAGCCCAAACAGAAGAAACTGATGAAGACGCTTCTGATGAAACTTCTGAAGCTGCCCCACAGGAAGCTCAAACATCAGAAACAATCAGTGAGTCAGAAACCACCAGTGAATCAGAAAGCTCAACTGAAGACTCTCAAGAAGCAACCCCAGAGACTTCCACAACTGAAGAATCTGAAGAAGCATCAGAAAGTTCATCTGAAAGTGACTCGACAACTACTGATACCGAAGTCACAACAACAGAAACTACCACAACTGAAAGCGAAACCACTAGTAGTGATAGCGACGAATCTGAAAGTGACGATTCCTCAGTATGCGCCACAATTTCTATGTCTGCAACAGCTTGGGAAACTCCTTTGCAGAGACATATAAGAGTCTATCAAGTTATAGACGGAGAAATCATTGAAAAATGCAAAGACGGAAGCCCTGAATGGTACATAGGAGATTTTTCAGCTGAAGGAAATACAGTCTCTGCAACTTCTTGGGATGGAGGAATAAGGGTTTATGTGGGATCTGAAGGGAATATCATAGAGCATGTTTGGAATGGATTTGAGTGGACTATAGGAGCTTTTACTGCTAGAGGCTGTCTTACTGATGCAGTCAGTTGGACAGAACCACTCGGTCCTATAATTAAAGTTTACGTCGCGGACTCTGAAGGAAGATTAACAGAATATACAGGAAATGGGCTTGGACATTGGAATGCGAATGTTGTCTCAACAGATTAAATTAATTTATTATACATCTTTAATGTATCAATAGTGCCATATAATTAAGAAACCCTATTAAAAGCTTTTTGAGTATAATAACGCATTATAAATTGCAAATGAAAGGAATCAATTGTTTTTATTCTATAGGAAAGCAAATTTCAGGGAATAATTTAACTGGGCTAAAGGTAGCTGAAACATTGTATAGCCTTTCAAAGTGCAAAGACAGCGACTCATTTTTCTATAAAGACGAAGAATGATTTAAGTCGCTATTTTCTTACACAAAATCTGCAATTCGAAGAATAGATGCTAACCACCTTGCAGCAATTACATACTACTCGGCCTTGATAAAATACTTTGAAGCTGATTTATGATATGTTTTAGAAATGCAGATCGCAAGAACTGATATCACATCACTAATGAATCCAATTGGACTAATTAGAACTTCTCAAGGTTTTGCATTAGTCCCTGAAAGTTTGCCAATTTCCCACCAAGAAGTATTTCAGCATATAGAAGCCCAGTTTGTAGACAGAATTGACGCATATTTCAAGAAAACAGAAAAACATGCACTTATTCCTGTAGAAGAACTTGGGAATTTGATAGAGACTTTTGCAAGTATGAATGAAGGGAATAAAAATTTTTATTCACATGTAGAGAGATTAGCTGATGAATTAATGATGAAAAATCGATGAAATCTGGAAGATTATAGCAAAATCTTATGGGGATATAGTTTTTTCTCTAGAATAGCGCGATAAGGCGCTGTGATAGGCTGGACTGGAGGAGTTCATCATATGAAGAACAGCGTTTCAGATTTTTATGAGTAAGGAACTAGTGAGACTGAGGCTTTGGCCTTAATTCAGTCTTCAGAGCTTGAGGAATTTCTATTTGTTTATTACATAATTGACACGCTATTTTTGGAGACATTTTAGGGACGGCAAAAATATGGCAAGGCGTGGCAAAAAAAAAGCAAAGCCAGTAAAAAAAAGCAAAAGCAGGCAAAAAAAAACGGCAAAGCAGGGCAAAATTTTTGCAATATTTGCAAAAACACCCGAAAAAAGCGCAAATAATTTATAAAAAAGGCAAAGCAAAGCAAAATGTTGCAAAAAATGAAAAATTTAGCAAAGCTTAGAAAATTTGACAGTGAAAATTTAATAATTTATAGGAAGTATACAACAATGTTAAATTATTTAAACAACATATAATATAGAATAAATAGAAGTCAACTTCGTGATATAAATGCTAGAGTCTAATACAAAATATCTTTTAAAGAATTTTACAAAAACATAACTTAAAAATTTTAAAAATTTGGAAAATTTAAATTTGGCAAAATTTTAATTGAGATCCAGACAAAGTATATATATAATATATGCTCACAATATAAATATAAAATATTTTGGTATTTCATCCGCTCTAAAACTCCAGTAAAAAATTTTTATTATCATTGTATAATTATTTTGTGATTCGATAATAAAAGAGACATAAACTTAGTGAAGAAAATAAAATATATAATAAATTAATACAAAGAACGCTATATTGCCTACTTAAATCTATCAGAACATATACTAAAATGTATATAGTTATAAAGAGCAATAATTACAAAATTGTGCTTTTAAAAACTAAATTTTTAAAATCGCAGCCCAAAAATTGTCAAAAAGTCTTCAACGTAAAGATTTAAATCATATTCAGTCTAATAAACAATTTGAAAGCAGAAAAACTTTATTTCTCATATAAAATTATAACAAAACTAAAAATTAAAAAATGACATAAAAATGACATAAAAAAATTAAATAATGTAAAAAACACAAAACTAGTTAAATTTATAGCAAAAAAACAAAGCAAACACAATTTTTATTAAATGGAAAAATACCCCATTACCAAAAAAATCAAAAAATTTCATAAAATCTTGAGGAGAGTAAGTAAAATGAATAAATTTAAAAATTCATAATAAAACTCATCCATTTATCATATTTTAGCGCCACAATACGGCCAATACTAATGTAAAAATACTATAATCCGTTGATAAAAATTTTTATGGACGTTATACGCGCCATTTTCATATGAAATTTCTAATTATGAATTTCCCGCACTTAAATCAGGGTTTTAAACACATATTTGGTTTTTACATTCCAAATTCAAAATGACTTACATATGCATGATAAGAAATTATTGCAATACATAATACTATAAAAATACTACCTTAATTTTATAAATATATAATAAATGATGATAATAAATATATGGAAAGTGAAGAATTAGAAGAAATTAAATTGAAATTTAAACAGAAGATTCATCAAGATGTTCACCTGTAGCAACTTACTCAAGTTATGAAGATGAAGCGTCTGAAGATAAAATTTCTAATTGAAATAAACGAATTCAATAGAAAAGATAATAGGCCTTCATCACCCATATCCAAATCTTCTTGATCGACTTAAATTACACTATTGAAATTTATTTAGGGGCCATTTTGGTCGAAAGAATTTATTATTGAAATAGTTAAGGAGTCGAACGCTTATGTAAAAGTTATGACAAAAGCATTAAAAAAATAATATTGTGTCAATGCTGCTCAAGAGCTTGAAAAATGGATTGGGATACAATTATGATGGGTCTAATAAAAAGCTCCCAAGCAAACAGATTATTGATTTACAGTCCCTCTTTACCAAAATCAGGCAATATCTGAAGCCATGACATCTAGAAATTCCAACCATAATTCGTATGCTACATTTATCTTCTCCATAAGACTTAAAATAAATAGATTATCCAAGCTAGAAAAAATATATTTGCGATTGTGAAAGATGCAACAGCAACTATTCTATTGGTATATAAAATTCAAAGGAAGACACCAAGTAGTGCAATATATGACAGCTAAACTAATAAAATGAGGTTTTAAAGTCTTTGTATTCTGCGATTCTGCCACTGGATATATATGAAATTTTGATATTTATTGCTGAAAACTACAAATAATAAGCATTCTGAAATAAGAGTTGTGCATAAATTAATTGAAAATCTCCCGAAATCCACATAGATTACTTATTTAATGAGCGCTGGTGTTAAAGCATTGAACTATTCACTTCTCTTTCCAGCCTTGGCTTTTTTGTAACTAATTCAATTAAAGGACTTCCAAAAGCTCATATTAGTAGAAAATTGAAGAGTGCAGGTTTTTTTGAGAATCACTTAGAGAAATGAATTCAAAGTTGATATGCAGTTATTTTAGGGGAACTTCTTAATCTGTAAGCAAACGAAGGAGCAAGATCGAATAATGCCATTGCTATCGCAAGAAGTCACTTCATTCATAAAAAAAATCGGCCAAACAATGTGTTAAACTTATTTTATCTTACTAGCTCTCCTCAAGATTTTATGAAATTTGTTGTAAAGCATGGAAGTATTTTTGGTAGTGGGATATTTTTCCATTTAATAAAAATTGTGTTTGCTTTGTTTTTTGCTATAAATTTAACTAGTTTTGGTGTTTTTTTACACTATTTAATTTTTTTATGTCATTTTTATGTCATTTTTTTAATTTTTAGTTTTGTTATAATTTTATATGAGAAATAAAGTGTTCCTGCTTTCAAATTGTTTATTAGACTGAATATGATTTAAATCTTTACGTTGAAGACTTTTTGACATATTGTGGGCTGCGATTTTAAAAATTTAGTTTTTAAAAGCACAATTTTGTAATTATTGCTCTTTATAACTATATACATTTTAGTATATGTTCTGATAGATTTAAGTAGGCAATATAGCGTTCTTTGTATTAATTTATTATATATTTTTATTTTCTTCACTAAGTTTATGTCTCTTTTATTATCGAATCACAAAATAATTATACAATGATAATAAAATTTTTTACTGGAGTTTTATAGTAGATGAAATACCAAAATATTTTATATTTATGTTTGTGAGCATATATTATGTATATACTTTGTCTGGATCTCAATTTAAAATTTTGCCAAATTTTTAAAATTTTTAAGTTATGTTTTTGTAAAATTCTTTAAAAGATATTTGTATTAGACTCTAGCATTTATATCACGAAGTTGACTTCTATTTATTCTATATCATATGTTGTTCAAATAATTTAACATTGTTGTATACTTCCTATAAATTATTAAATTTCACTGTCAAATTTTCTAAGCGTGATTTTGCCATTTTTCGCAACTTTTTGCCATTTTGCAAAAAATTTTGTATGCTTTGCTAAATTTTTCATTTTTTTGCAACATTTTGCTTTGCTTTGCCTTTTTTATAAATTATTTGCGCTTTTTTCGGGTGTTTTTTGCAAATCTTGCAAAAATTTTGCCTGCTTTGCCGTTTTTTTTGCCTGCTTTTGCTTTTTTTTACTGGCTTTGCTTTTTTTTGCCACGCCTTGCCATATTTTTGCCGTCCCTAAAATGTCTCCGCTATTTTTGCTCCTTATTCTTGTTTTATTATTTTTGCTCCTTATTCTTATTCTTTATTTTTGCTCCTTTATCTTGCTCGTTATTCTTGCTCATTATTCTTGCTCATTATTCTTACTCCTTATTTATGCTCCTTAATATTGATCCTTATGGCTGCTCCTTATTCTTGCTCCTTATATTGCTCTGTATTTTTGTCCAATTTTGCTCTTTACTCTTGCTTCTTATTTTTTGCTCCTTATTTTTGCTCTTTGTTCTTGCTCCTTATGCTTGCATCTATTCTTGTTTCTTATTTTTTCTTCTTGCTCCTTATTCTTGCACCTTTATTTTTTTATGTATGTTTTTTATTGCTGCTCCTTATTTATTCCTTAGGTGTCGCAGTGGGAGGAGCTTTATTTTTATTTCTTTTTTGGTATGGGGTCAGATTCCATATACACCATTTTTAGGGCATTTTTTAGGCTAAAAGAAATAGGCAATAGGGAGATAATTCTAATAGGCTTTGTTTGATCCAAAAATAAAATGAAATGAGGCCTATTTTGGATACTGATGGCTATATCAAACAATAGGTTCAATAAGTCTCAAAAAGTTATGATGCTTTGACCCGACTTGGACAGTAGGTTGATGATAAAACGATCTTTATTCAAATATAGTTTTCGTGTTGTGAGTAGCTTTAGCTTAGCTAGATTTTGGGCTTTAATTCGAATTTCCCCGCACCTGTTTTCGACCCCTTTTGCTAAGGCGAAAATCAATAGGGCAATAAGAAGGAACTCTTAGTTTATATATCAGATTTTTCCTATGCATCTATCAATTATTAAGAAGCAACTTATACAACATTTGCAATCTTAATTTAAGTTGTCTAATTCTTTACAATTCTAATTATCCAAATAATCAGGAATAAAGCGCTTCTTTATTTCAGGTGCTGGCCAGAATTGGCTCATCAGAACTATTTTTAAAAGACAAAAAATATAAAATTAAAACTTTGCAAGAAATCAAAGTTCCACAATCCCCAAGTATCTCAATCCCAATAGTTGCCTCTCCAATTTCTCATATGACTAAACTCCTCATTCCAGTCTAGGGCAGCTTCTTATCGCGCTATTCTAGAGAAATGCCTATATGTAATGATGAATGCCAATTTAAGTAAGAGAATAAGAAAAGTGGCTGAGAAAATAGATGAAAGTGATTTGCAAAATTTGCCTTTTCAGGCTAGGAACAAACTGAAATGGGCGCTAGGGCAAATTAATGTAAAAAATAAATAATCGATTATTTAAATACACTTTAATTTTGATTTTCTTGATTTTCTTGTTTTTCGAGTTTTATACTAAAATCGTTCGCTGCCACAGAGAAATAGTCATCAACAATCCTTTTAGGAGACATATCAGGCGATACAGTCCCTCTTCTATTTCCAACTAGCCTTCTTCTTATCAATCTCGACATATCTCTAATAGCTGCCGTTTTATTTTCGATTTGTCTTTGAACCCCAATACTACTTGAAGCTTCCAGCAGTCTCGATTCATTTATAACGCTTTTTAATTTCCCTTCAATATCATACAAATCTACAAGTGCAATATCAGCCAAGTTCATTATAATATCATTATCTGTCTCACCGACTTCTCTTGATTTTTTCACAAGAACTTTCATATGATGCAGGCTTGCTTTCATCTCTTTATACAGGCTGAATTTTCTATTATATTTGGAGTCTCCCAAAGCTGCTTGGTCATTTGGGACTTCTACTCCTTTATAAACGACTCTTGGATTTGGCTTGATCGGGGAAACACAAGAGCCTCCTCATTTAATATGAAGCATATATAAAGTAAATGCTTTTCTAATAGCGAGAGCTGCAGCTTTTTTTACATCTTCAGCAATCTCTTTTCTTGTTATCCATGCATATGCTAAATGCTGCTCTTTCGAATGCTCCAACTCTTTCCTTAAGCTTACAACAAGCATTCCTAAATACACGTTTCCTATGATACAAGCAATGACAGCGATACATCTTCCAGGATGGGTTACGGGGAAAATGTCTCCATAACCGACTGTTGTGGTTGTTACAAAAACCAGCCAGAGGTTGTCAGCTAAGGTTACAAGGCGGCTCTCCACGTCTGGAGTGTTCGAATAAATTCTGTTATTTCTTTCAGCCAGTCTCATTAATAATGCCCAGTAAAGAGAAATAATAATAAATACAAGTGCAATACCAAAATGAGAGGCATCTTGCATAAAGCATTTTAGCGCAAATAGCGAAGAGGCTTGTTCTCCGTTCATTTCGCAGACTCTTTCAGCTTTAGGTTTTGTGTAGAAACTATAGTGTCCAAAAAGTCTTATGCACAAATACATTCTGAGGAGGATAATGAAGGCGAAAACAGAGTTCCAAGAATAGGTCATATCGTAACCCATCATTGAGACTGTGAATGATCTATCATATCCAGGAGGAGAAAACCATATATTAATCATCATTTCAATTATCATGGGTTTGGCTAGGGATGATGATAGCAGTGTAGTATATATGGATTCTTCAAAGGTCACTATCTTTATCGTTAAGACATTATAGTATCGCCTGGCAATTCACATGACGCTGAATAATGCCATGGCCATCTCCATAACTCTTAAATACGTGCACAAGTAAGTACTTTTATTTCCATTTGCAAAAAAAATTTCGTTCTCCATATATGAGATCATAATTATCGCGACCCCTATGAGTGCTAGAATCGTATCATCAAATTTCAGTTCTTTTTTGGCCAAATTCAAGAGATCTCTATTTATGTTGCTGACTTGAAATGATTTAGGGTCGATTTCCTTATGTTTTGGATTTTTAGTGGTATTTGGAGTTTCTCTTCGTCTAGATATCATTATATTAGGAATTGATGGAAGTTCTGTAAACAGAGTTTCTTGATTGCTTGATGACCGTCTAGTTCGGTCATAATTTAAGGAAACTCCTACTTTTTTCGATCGTCTTTTCGGCCGGAGTTCTGTAATTTCCATATTAAAAGTTGTTGAAATTTAAACTTTATTAAAATGTCATCAATTATCTTATAAACTCTTATTTCTTATCATTTTTTATATAATATCAAACTAATTATTATAAAACGTCTCATATTTTGATTATTTCAATCATTTTTTAATTAATTTTCGAGTCCTAAATGAAAATGCCATATGCGATTATTATACAAAAAATTAGTTATATATGAATCTTTTCAATTGCTTGGTTGCTATTTTCAAACTTCTCGCACAGATTTTCGTCATTTTCTTTGATATTTGCATATCGTCTATTCTTATCTTATCTTATGGTATTTATATCGCTTAATGTCCACTACGGGGTTACGACCCAGGTTTATCACTCGCCTTTCGTCGCATCGGGCCCACCAGTCCGCTGGGGACAGACTCGCTTTGATCTCCAAGGTGCTTCTAGGGCAAATGTCCACGTCTTCGACGGCGCATATCGTCTATTCACTTTTAGAATATCTTTGCTTTGTGTAGTTTTAAGTGTCGATCTTCTCAGCTTAGTGCTTCTTTCTTGAGTGCTTCCTCTGTCTTTTACAGCAACTGTCCTTCTTCTCGAGAAGTGTGCAGGTGTTATTGGAACTAATTTTGGCTTCAGCAATTTTGTATCAAATACAAAAGGGTTCGGTAAAGGGTTTATTTTCGAAAAAGTTTTTCTCCAAGATATTTCTTCGGTAGAATTAAAAATCTGTCTAAACGTCTGTGTTGATAATAAATTTGTGTTATTTGCACTTTCATGTATAGATTCGTTGAAATCGGAAGGTAAAGAGCTTACCGACGATCTGAGATCGAAAGTTCTCATTCAGTTATTTTTCGAAATTATCCCACTGCGATCTAAAGCTTGTGGTTCAAATGCATCGCCTTTCTTAATAGCAATGCTTGGCATGTGTGATGCTGGCTTATTGAGATCAGCTAACTCCCCCCCCCCCCCCCTCCGTGAGCGAACAAAACCATTAGAAAAATCGCCATTTTTTGACAAAAACCCACCCTCCGTGAGTGAACAAAAATTTTTTTAATAGAAAAAATTTTAATGGAAAAAAATTTTGATATATAAGTGATAATTAGTATAATGAAATCTAGAGCTAATTCTGTTTAATTTTAAACAAATTGCGTTTTAAAACATAAATTTTGCAAATTAAATTAATATTTGCTTCCCAATTTTTGCAAATAGGATTTTTTTAAATTTCGAAAAAAAAAATTTTTTATAAAAATTTATATATAAATTTTTTTTAAAAAAAAAAATTAACCCCCCTCCGTGAGCGAACAAAATTTTTTTGTTCGCTCACGGGGGGGGGGGGGGGAGTAAGCTTTGTGTGGAAGCCCGCAAGTTTTGGGGCAAGGAGTGAGTGGTTTGAATACTGGGATTTTGGCTGATTATCTCTTGAGAATTGTGTAAAGATGCATGATTATCAGCACTTATAGCATTTCTATGCGACTTGGATTTGCAGCACCTGAAAAATGAAGTAAAACACCCTGAAGAGTGGTTGGACATTTATATTTAAATCGGCCAGCTGAAGATTTATTATTAAATTTCTTGATGAATGAAAGTCGTTGAAGTTAAGGTAATTTATTGCCATTTTAGTAAGGTGCATTTATTTCATTTTGAATTAAATTTATCATCTTATTTAACTGATTTTTAATAGGCTAATTTAAATAAAATTTAAACATTATTAAGAATTTTAGGTTCCTATAATATATTTAAATTATTTCTTATAATTTAGAATGATTTTACTATGAAATAGCTATAAAATAGCACAAAGTAATTTAAATAATTTCTAAATCTTCAGAAAAATCAATCATTATGGCTTTTTTATACTAGTCTACATTTTTACCATCTCTTAATTTGACAATGAGACTCTGATTATTTTGATTTATTTTCTCAATCATTTAATTTAAAATAAACCTGTTTTTATTTGCAATAATCCATAAATGCGGGCTTTTCAAATTCTCTTTATCTCTGTCGCTTTAGCAGCTGAATTAAACACTACTTGTCCTCACTCAACTGAATATTTCGATACATCTTTAATGGAATGCGCTTCTTGCGGTACAAATCAGGTCGCAACCTCAGATGGTTTAGGCTGTGAATGCTCCCCTGGCTACTCAAAAACTTCTGCGACCCGCGATTACCCCGTTTTCGAATGTGTCTCATGTGGCTCCAGTGCCCCTGCTGAAAATGACTATCAATGCATAGCATGCCCCTCCGGGATCAGCACTTCAACTGGAGATTGCCAATGCTCAGCTGCATCCTTACAAGTAATAAATGAAATAAGTGCAGACGGCTCCTATTTGCCAACAAAAGAGTGTGTTGCCTGTGCAACAAATTATTATCCAGGTCCAGGAACTTATAAATGTGAGGGATGCTCTGATATAACAGCAATGACAAGAAATTCTCAAACTTATAAATGCGAATGTATAAGCACTGGATATACGCAATCAGGAGATTATTGCGTGTCTGCTGCACAGGCAGGTGCATTGCCAAGTGGGCTGACTGGAGAAGACTCTTATACTGTAGTTTATAATTATGTTGAGTCCAAATCAGGAATTGGCACAGTCTCATTAACCCAAAGCGATACTTTTAGCTATTTCTATTTGCATTCAGCTAGAGACTGCCAGAATGGCTATATAAAAGCTTGCCAAGCCCTAGCAAACTTGTGTGTGCTACAGATGTATAACTTGAAGACCAATGTTTGTCAGATGTATCAACAATTGGGGAAAGGCAAAGAGCAGATGCCTTCAGACTCAGGCTGGATAAAAGAAGTAGGCTGGCTTTATTATGGAAGAACTGCATCAAATGTCCTTAAAGACAGCAGTGTAAATATAAAGGTTACTTTTGACACAGGTGACGATACGAAGTTTCACAAGCTTACTTTTAAAGCTGCTCAATATAAACTCGATGGCACTTTTCTAGGCTTTGAGACATTAGCAGACCAACTATTAATTTGTCCTCACTCTTCACAGGACTCAATCACATATAGAGAATTTGGGACTAATACAGAATATGACTGTAGTTTTGACTTAACTCCTTACTTAACCAGCGACGAAACTATTTTTTATGATCCTTATATACTTAATTCTGATGGAAATCTGATAGAAGTTCCTGTTTTAATAAAAAATTTCAGAGATAAGGATGATGCGTCCCCTAATGAAGGGTCAAGCAAATCCCAATGGCAGCTATTTAGAAGATTTTTTATATATGATAACGTAAGTGGGAAGGTTGGTACCAATGCCTACGCAAATGGAGAAGTCACTAATGTCCTCTCTTATTTGAAAAGTGCAAAGCTAGTCGTTACATTAAGAGCTGACCATGATGAAATGATATATATTCCTTATTTAGTTTTGGAGTACAGGCAAAGACAATATGATTATTTGCAAAGCAATAAAAAAGCTTCTATTGATTTTGTAAGCGAATATACAATGGATACTACTGATTACTGAAAAGTTACTGAAGGAGTTTATATTGCAGCAAATGTGGTTGCAATTGTCGCTTGGATAACTCGGCTGTATGTGTGGAGCAAAAATAACCCATCTATACATTCTAGAGAAACTTATACACTTTGGATACTTGGAAAAGCTTTGGTTTATTTTATTAGCACTTGGGCTTTTTTCAATTTTTGGTTTATTTTTGTAAGTTCTGCGTATTGGTTTGTATTTTATAAAATGCAGTATCAAGTTTATGTGCTGGTCCCACCGAATAATACATGGCATGATAATTATTTGGCTTTTGAAATTGTGTTTGGACTTGTGGTTTCTTGCCAACTGCTTACAGTTTTTGATATCATTCGAAGCCAGTCTAAAATTGATATTTTATTTATTGATTGGGAAACTCCTAATCGTGTAATAAAGCCAGGGCATGACGAAATAAATGCTCTCTATAATGAAGCAAGGCTTGAGAATATAAGCTCAGATTACTACAAGTTAAGCACAAGTGCTTGAAGATCTTTATTTATAGCTAATGAGTTTAACGAACTGCAAGCAAAAAGATATATTAACTTGGAATTTACACTTATTTTTATGCTGTTCTTCTTAGGAGGCTTAGGATGGGAGCAGCTTGGTGATGCCAAGCCTAATATGCATGTAAATGTAAATCATGAAACAAATAGTCCAACAAATATGGTTCTGCGCTTTTTTGTAGTAACTTTTGTATTATTAGTAATTGGCTATGCACAGTATCTCATAAAAAAAATTTTCAGCCTTTGGTTCCCAACTGCCATTCAAAATTTTGTTGATTTATGCTCAGTCTCCAATGTATCTATTTTCATTCTTGATCAAAGCTTGCATGGATATTATATTCATGGAGTTTCTCCAACAGGAATGGCTGATGTAGGCTTAAGCGACCTTATCAAAGCTTTATCCCAAGAAGAAGCTGGGAAAGCGAGGCCAAGGGGAATTTTACCTGAAGAATCGTCTGGGCTGCAGACATACGAAATTTATATCCCATGAAAAATGAGGCAAACTTATGATAATTTAGGCACAGACCCTGTCGAAGCAGAAGTTGGGGAGTATAAAAAATCAAAAATCCAAAGCCAAGCATCTAAATTGTGGGTCAAAACTCCTGCAATTCCAAAGGAAATTGATTTTGAAAGACTGGAAGATGTGAGATCAGAGCTGAATAATAGGTTCAAAACTTATATATCAACAGTTATAAAGGACTGTAAAACGAATATTTTGAACAAAAGTGCTTTGCAGAGATTTTTAAATATTCCACCAACTAGAATGGATACACTTGAAGGCTCACCATTTTTTTATAAAGACCCTGGGATGAATTTTGAAAGCATATTTTTTATGGGAAAAGAGTTTTCAATACTTTTAATGGATGTACTGGTTTTTAATCTTATTGACTTTCGACACAATAATCTTTATTTAGCAGCATTTATCACATATATTTTTTCGAAAATGGTATCATATGCAAGAGCATCATTAGGGGAATATAACTTGTCAAGAAAAACTTTGGTGGATAAAAGGTTCTTGATATAATTAGCAAAATAAATAATCATTTTATAGTAAATTTTATTAGCCATATTAGATTTTAAAAATCTTATAACTAATTATTAAATACAAAGCCATTTCCACTTGCAGGCTGTTATTAGATGCTATATAGATTTAAAATACAAATTGCTGAATTATTTCTCAGTTCGTATATAAGACATTAAAATGGTCAAATAACAAAAATTTAGAATTCTAGAAAATTAATGGATTTTACAATAATTCTCCAATGTATATGAACTTTTAAATTCACGTAAATTTGTTCAGTTTTTATTTAACAATAAATTCAGACAGAGTTACTGCTAATTATATGATTTTACAAATCAATGATTATAATTAACTTAAAAAATGTATAATGTAGCAAAATAAAAAATTAAGCAACACACATCGCAATCCTTAAAGGTTGTCCCGAAAGGTTCCTTAGAATTCACAAGTTTTAATGAAAAAGTACAATTTCTTTTAGAAATTCGGGAAAATGCAGCAACTTTTATTCAAGCCCAATACATACTTAGGCGAATGAAAAAGCACACAAAGTTTAATTTAATGGTCTTAAGACTAACCAAGGCTAGAAGAGCAGCCGCAAAAATGATTCAAAAATTTATCAGAGGTTGGCTTGTCCGGAAAGATTTAAAATTTTTAAAAGGAGTTGACCATAAAAAGCTTATAATATGACGACATTGTGGCAAAGATGTCAGGATAATTGGTAATTTTACTATGCCCCCATGAGAGGAAGAAATTCATCTAAGATATACGAAGTATCTTGAAGAATTTATAAGCACTATATTATACGACAGAAAAATAAAAGCTGGTGCATATTGCATTAAATTTATAATAGATGGAGTTATGGTATGCAACGGTGACTTGGCAATTTCACAAGATTCTTTAGGAAATTATAATAATGTAATCGGAATAAGCGACGACAAAAAAAACCTATCAAGATCACTCAGCGTTAGGTCTTTTATAGGTGTAGGAGCTGTTAATGACGAACTTTCAAAACACATAGTAACTCAAGATTCTCAATCTCCAATAATCCTGGCAAGATCTTTAACCGGGAGCTTAGACTCTCCAAGAGCTTTTGGAGTTTTTGATGAAAAAAAACCTAAGTCTCCAATAAGTCTTCTTATGAGTGGGTCCATGGCAGCCAAATCTAAAAAGAAATCAGCACAACTTACTTCTCAAGGCAGTGCTGATGCTTATTTTCTCAATGAAGAAATCCAATCCTTCGGAATTGCAGATGGGGTAGGTGAATGATCTACCTATGGACTTGACGCATCTCGATTTTCCAAAGAGCTTATAAGATACTGTGAGCAAGCTCTCGTTGAAACTTTACAATCAGAATGACCTTTCACAGAGTATTGCGACTTGCTCCAACAAGTAGTATTTGAAGCTTATAGAAGAATAGTCTCCTATGGAAGTAGCACAATTCTTTTAGCAATTTGTAGAGACTCTTTTCTTCATTCTTTATCATTAGGAGATTCAAGCTTTATTGTGCTGAGACCTCGAGATGGCTGCAAGGTATTATCAGCAGTCTATAGATCTGTAGAGCAGCAGCATTCTTTTAATTGCCCTTATCAGTTAGCAAACTTGCCTAAGCAAAGCAAATTTCAAGAGCTTATAGATAAAGGGTTTTCTACTTTAATTGCGTTATTGAAAAGAACTTCACAGAATATGAATGACTCTGTATTTGATGCAGAAAGCGGAATGATACCATTGAAAAATGGAGATATAATAGTTGCTGGAACTGATGGGCTTTTTGATAATATGTATGATAGTGATATCATAAAAATTGCTGAGCAGATTATACAGACTTATGATGAGGCCCAGCAAATTGCAGACGTGCTGTCAAAGACTCTTGTAGAGAGGGCAATCCAAAAAGGATGGGACCAGTCTTATAAATCGCCTTTTGCAAAAAATGCAAGCAAAGCTGGGAAGAAGTATATTGGAGGGAAGCTTGACGATACAACTGTAATAGTTGCTGTTGCATTAAGTCTTTAATTATTGTTACAAAATAATTTTAAACCTTCAAGATTTATATTTATTTAATTTTAATAACAGTTTCTATGCTATAAGAAAGAATTCTGACTAATTATGGCCTTAAATCCCCAAACTATCATATTAAAATAATATTTAGAGACTTAAATCATCAAATTTCCATTTTAATTAAAATGCAATATGAAAAAGTACTCGCAGAAAGCTCAGAGTCTGAAGAACTATTACCTTCGAAACGAAATTCTAAGCTAGATTTAGGCCAGCCGACCAAAAGAATGCACAGCGATAATCCTTTTATTATGGATATTGAATTTTTCTTGAAAGAATTGGATGAGATTTTCACAAATCCAAATAAGCGTGTTGAAATCGCTGACACTCTGCCAGAAATGACAATTGATCAATTAACAAAAATTGAAGACACTTTTAAAATAAAGAAAGGGTCTTCAAAAATTTCCTTAGAAAGAGATGATAATAATGAAATAGCTGCAGATATCAATGATATCAAAAAAATCCAAGAAGAGATCAATTTAAAATTAGAAGAGAACAAGAAAATAGATTTTTCTGAAGTTGTAGATGATGATGTAAAATTGTCTTTCAACAACCTGACTACACCTGAAAAAATTAGAGCTTTGCTTTCACAACAAGATTCATTGATTTTTCCAGAGACAATAGCAAATGCAGACAGTAAAATGAATCAAATGAAGAAAAGCAGTTATGAAAATAGAAGCTCCATTACTGTGAGTCAATCTTTACTAAAACCAAAAGAGATAGATATACTATCTCTCAAAGCACAAATCCCTAAATCCTTACAGCCGACCTTTTCTTTGCCTTACATTATAAAACCTTTAAAAATCTACACAAATTTAAAAGCCATTTCCTACAAAATTTACACAAATTCCATTTAATTAATTTCACTAATTTCTTAAATTGTGCTTAGCTTTTAGAGAACTGTGCTTTATTCACTGAAATATTTCCATCAATAAGTTCATAAATAAATAAAGTTGCTTCATTTCCTTGGAAAGCCATTATAATAAAGCTTGGTTTAACTTCAGCTGTAATAGCTGAATATGCTCCAGTTGCACTTCCTGGATTAATAAAATATTTTCCATCTAAGCTTTCTATAGATAAAGCATGAGTGTGTCCTGATACCAAAATATCGCAATCAAGCTGCCTTTGCAAGTTTCCTAATGCTTCTTTGTCTCCCCATGGAATAACTTGATGCCCATGTATAAGTCCAATTTTCCAGTCCCCGATGCTCACAACTTTGCTTTCCGGTAGTGTAGTTCCTTCATCGAAATCGCCTCTTGTTATATTCACATTGGAAGCTAGCCCTTTAAGCCAATCTGAATACTCACGGCTGCCAATATTCCCAGTACAAAAAATGTGCTGCACTTTTGGTCAAGCATAAGCCCCATCTCTTCAATAAAAATTACCTATTTTTGATAGTAAGAAATATTAGATATTGTAGTTTTTCATATTATAGCTATTAAAACACGATTTATAGCATGTTTACACATATATTTAATACTTTATTTTATATCCCTATTATAAACAAAATTATTTATATGGTAAAAATTTTTAGACTGATAAATAAAAGAGTTAATAGAGAAATGCACCTGATATCGCTTAATTATTGCTTTTAGTTGAACTGGATAGACACCAATAAATTAATTCAAGCACAATTATTTATCATAGGCACATATATAATATCTAGGATTTATTTTGCTAAATTTAATATACTTAAAAGTTTATTTTGCATATAAAACATGACATATCTTATTTGAATTTAATACAAAAATATGAGCTAAATTGCTAGCCATTTAAAAATTCTCTTTATAGTCGGGATATGAAGTAAAATATTAAAAGTATGTGCAAGCATGCTATAAATCGCGTTTTAATAACTTAGAATGAAGAACTACAGTATCTCATATTTTTTACTATCTAGACTAGGTAGTTTGGCATTGAGAGGGAATGGGGTTTATACTTGACCACACTTTGCCTGGCACTAATAGTTCTTTGAATTTTTCAGGTAAGTCCACAGCTCGTTGTGGGATGTGAAGGTCTCCTATAAGCAGCACAAGCTCTCCAAACTGGCTCATATTTATTGATTGGCATAAAAATGCTGTCTAGAAATAGCAAAGTCCTTTATAGAGGTTTTACTTGGGGAGAATATTACCCCAATCGCAATCTTTATGTGGCTGGTGGACATAAATACAACACTCGCTATAAAGACTTCTGGCAGCAGCATCAAACCTATGGGCTAGAAGGCAAAGAGCACACTTATACGCATACTGAAAAAGATTATAAGATTCATAGACCTTGGGACACTGTAATGTTTTGGTTTAAAATCAATATAGCTGGACAGTGGGATTTTTTTACTTATAGGTATTTAAGGGCGATGGACTATTGCACAATGGCACTTGCACCGATTGGGATAGCGACATTTGCCGTATTGGGAGCAGCTGTATTTAAGCCACTTTATATGTATTCTTTGGTGTCAACAGCGGTTCTTTATTATAGACTTAGGGACAAGTGCTCACATCCAGAATTCGATGAATTGGGGATTAAGGATTTGCTGTACAGCAATGAGACGGTGAAGAAATACTTTAATGATCAAAATTCGTACGTAATTGATCAATATCAAGAATATGATATATCAATTAGAGTGAAATGGTCTGATATAATACTGCTACAACAGCCATATTCGATTTGGCAATTAATTAATGATATTTTTGTACGAGAACAGTCAATCATCAAGGCATAAATTTAACATTGATCAATTCCCTGAATATGGAACTAACAAACTAGCAAGATTTTTCAACGTAGACTGCAATACAACTACCGGATTTTTGAAGATGTGCGACCTACAAACCGATGCGAGAATGACTGTCCACTTCAAAACAATGCCTTGGAGCGACCAAAAATATTTCTGCACACATCCTTTCTTATTCTATGACTTATGGGCTGAAATCAACTGCAAAGGTGTGTATGAGAAAATTGTGTTTATTGACCCCAAGAAAGTTAATAAGAAGATATTTATCACTCTTTAACTCCTTTCTTATTTTAAAAAAAAATACAATTTTTCATCTAAAAATTATATTTAAAATATTTTCTATTTAAAAATTTATATTTGGGGGACTAAGAATTCTAAACCACTCTGGTTTTAACCCATAATTAGTATTTAAAAATGAATCCCCTCGTTGAAGCAGAACCCGATCTTCAACAATTAAACCAAGAAGACGAAGAGTGTGCCCAAGAATTCACCCAGATCTTAGGTAACAAAAAAATGATCTATGAATTTTTCACCAAAACTTTAGGCTTATTTTTACCAGAAGCAAAATACATAGACTTAAAATACCTCGTCCAGCTCATGGCAGGTCAAAAAAAAGCTTTAAAGAAAGACAAGGTCGAAGACATTTGTTTTGAGGACGTCGTTTGCATTTCAAAAGACAGGCTGCAGACATACTGCTATGATAATGAAAAACTTAAAGAGTATATGCCAGATGTGCCTGTTAATAGAGATTATACTATGAAAGTCATTGAATATCTAGATAACGGATTTATCAAGAGGCTGATGAATAAATACAATATTAAGGCAAGAAAAGATAATAAAGATTATTGGACTCGCATAAAACTAAATGGGGAATTCGGGAAGTTACTCTTGATGATTCCCACTGATCTTAAAGATAATACTTTTGATATTGAGCCTGAAAAACCTCCAAAGAGGAAAAAGAAAAAAGGTTTCGATGACGAAGAGTTCTTTCATAAGCCAAGGAAGTACACAAGAAGGACAGAAGAAGAAAGGGAAGCAATCAGGCAATCTAAAAATAGAAGTTTGGAGATTAAAGATGAAGCAAAACTGGAGCCGACTGATTAAAATAATTTTTGATATAATTGTATTCTGTTTGATGATATAAATATCTTGAAAAATAATTTGAAGTATAAATTTTACTTCTTAAGCTTATTCTTTAGCTTTTTCTGAAGCAGCCCACAGATCTTTCCAAATATCTTGAGAAATAATGTTGAGACATCTTGAGTTGCATTCTCTCACTCTAGTTTTCCCGATAATTTTGCATTTATCATAGCAACTTTGAGCTGAATTTAATATTGCTTTTTCTTTCTCGCGATGTTCTGTAGTTCCTGCGTGGAGAACTTCTAGTGTCAAAAGCAATTCTCTCTGTTGACGTTTGCATTCTTTTCTAGCACCGCTATCTTCGTCTCTGCAAGTTCCTTGCAAAGCGCTTACTCCTCTCCCCATGAATGAGCGACTTTTAGAAAAATCTCTATTTTTACAATAAAAATTTGTGAGTGTGCTCAAAAATATATATTTATGATGAAATATCTACTTATTGTGTTAAATTTTAAGCAGCTCGAATTAAATTAATTTTTGCTTTCCAACTTTTTCCGTGTTCGAAAAAAAATTTAACATCTCCATGAGCATGCCAAAATTTATTGTTGCTCACTGAGGAGGAGTGTTAGAACTCCTGATAAAGCTGTCGCATAGCTTTCCACCATTTTAATTATTGGTCACTAATACCAAATCTTTATCCTCGTTTTAGTTTGCTTCAACCTTATTGGCATTTAACTTATTTTAAGGATTTCAATATTTTATTTTCTGGAGAATTGATTTGGATAATAATTACTACACATTAAACTTATTCATATTCTATTGAATGAATGCATAAATGGCTCTTGAATTATATTTGAATAGACTGTTCATATGACTGCATTAATTCTTTTAAGATTGCCCTTTCTTATAAAATTCATTTTATAAATATTTTGCATATAAGGAGTTAATTTCATAAAATATATAGTTAAGAGTAACTCTTTAGCTCTGGTCAAAAATGAATTTGAATTACAAATAATAACTTCATTTTTAATTATATTTTCTATCAAAACCTTCATCATAAATTATTAAAATCTATATTATGTTTATACGAATATAAAATCCTTATATTTAATATAATTATCTTCGTTTATTTTCAAAGAATCTAATCTCAATATCAATGGAATAATAAAAAATGTGAAATTAGCTTACCTGTATTGGCAAAATACTTTGAATGGAAATTAAATAAATTAAGCACGAGTTAAAAGTAAAATTATTAATTAAAAATTATGTTGTTTTGATTTATTGAATATCACAATCAGATTCGCATTCGATAATGATAACAGCTTCTGTGTCACATGATTCATCGTTGCAAAGTGTTGCGACTTCTTCTCCATTGATTTCAACGGTAACATCGACATCGCACCCGTCACAATCCCCAGATGATCCTGATCCTGATGTTACAACGGTGTAGCTACCATCGGTTTGAATATTAACATCGGTTGAGGTAGACCCTCCTTGTTGCTGCTGTTGTTGTTGTTCTTCTTCTTCTTCTTCAGCTGGCTGTTGCTGTTGCTCTTCTTCTGCTTGTTGTTCTCCACCAGTTGTGGTTTCTTCTTCAGAATGGGTAGTTTCCTCTGCTTGCTCTTCAGCTGCTTCTTCTTCAGCTGCTTCTTCTTCAGCTGCTTCCTCTTCAGCTGCTTCATTAGCTTCTGCTTCAGCTTGTTCTTCAGGTGTTAATTGTTCATTGATATTGTCAATGGTTTCTTCTTCTTCAGCTTCTTGTTCGGCAACTTCTTCAGCGTTTTGCTCAGCTTCTTGTTGCTCTTCAGGGGTTTGCTCTTCAGCGACTTCTTCAATGTGTTCCTCAGAAGTTTCAGATTCTTCAACTTCTTCAGCATGTTGCTGCTCTTCTTGAGTTTGTTCCTCGACAATTTCTTCTGTTTGCTCGTTTGATTCCTCAGCAACTTCTTCTGCGTGAGTTTGCTCTTCTTCAGTTTGCTCTTCTGCAATAACTTCTTCTGTTGAAGTTTCTTCTTCAGCTGCTGCTTCCTCTTCAGCTGCTGCTTCTTCTTCAGCTGCTGCTTCTTCTTCTTCTTCAGCTGCTGCTTCTTCTTCAGCTGCTGCTTCTTCTTCTTCAGCTGCTGCTTCTTCTTCTTCAGCTGCTTCCTCTTCAGCTGCTTCATTAGCTTCTGCTTCAGCTTCAGCTTGTTCTTCAGGTGTTAATTGTTCATTGATATTGTCAATGGTTTCTTCTTCTTCAGCTTCTTGTTCGGCAACTTCTTCAGCGTTTTGCTCAGCTTCTTGTTGCTCTTCAGGGGTTTGCTCTTCAGCGACTTCTTCAATGTGTTCCTCAGAAGTTTCAGATTCTTCAACTTCTTCAGCGTGTTGCTGCTCTTCTTGAGTTTGTTCCTCGACAATTTCTTCTGTTTGTTCATTTGATTCCTCAGCAACTTCTTCTGCGTGAGTTTGCTCTTCTTCAGTTTGCTCTTCTGCAATAACTTCTTCTGTTGAAGTTTCTTCTTCAGCAGCTTCTTCTTCAGCTGCTGCTTCCTCTTCAGCTGCTGCTTCCTCTTCAGCTGCTGCTTCCTCTTCAGCTGCTTCTTCTTCAGCTGCTTCATTAGCTTCTGCTTCAGCTTGCTCTTCTGGTGTTAATTGTTCATTGATATTGTCAATGGTTTCTTCTTCTTCAGCTTCTTGTTCGGCAACTTCTTCAGCGTTTTGCTCAGCTTCTTGTTGCTCTTCAGGGGTTTGCTCTTCAGCAACTTCTTCGATGTGCTCTCCAGAAGTTTCAGATTCTTCAACTTCTTCAGCATGTTGCTGCTCTTCTTGAGTTTGTTCCTCAACAATTTCTTCTGTTTGCTCGTTTGATTCCTCAGCAACTTCTTCTGCGTGAGTTTGCTCTTCTTCAGTTTGCTCTTCTGCAATAACTTCTTCTGTTGAAGTTTCTTCTTCAGCTGCTGCTTCCTCTTCAGCTGCTGCTTCTTCTTCAGCTGCTGCTTCCTCTTCAGCTGCTTCTTCTTCAGCTGCTTCGTTAGCTTCAGCTTCAGCTTGCTCTTCTGGTGTTAACTGTTCATTGATATTGTCAATGGTTTCTTCTTCTTCAGCTTCTTGTTCGGCAACTTCTTCAGCATTTTGCTCAGCTTCTTGTTGCTCTTCAGGAGTTTGCTCTTCAGCAACTTCTTCGATGTGTTCTTCAGAAGTTTCAGATTCTTCAACTTCTTCAGCGTGCTGCTGCTCTTCTTGAGTTTGCTCCTCAACAATTTCTTCTGTTTGTTCATTTGATTCCTCAGCAACTTCTTCTGCGTGAGTTTGCTCTTCTTCAGTTTGCTCTTCTGCAATAGCTTCTTCTGTAGAAGTTTCTTCTTCTGCTGGAGTCTCTTCTGAAGACTCTTCAGTATGACCTTCTTCTTCTTCTTCTCCTCCTACAACTTCTACAACAACATCAAGCACAGCTTCTCCTGTTGCAATTGCTTCAGCATCTTCAAGTGAGATGCAGCTTGTGCAAACAGTGCCGGTTTCTTGATCAACTGTGACTACAAGTTCTACAGTTTCTGTTTCTGGAGCAGGTGAGATTAACATTTCTTCTGGAGCTTCCGTGGTTGTCATTTCTTCTTCATCAGGGAGAGCTTCAATTGAAACTTCAGGTTCATATACGTAGTCAGTGATAAGATATTCTTCTTCTGAGCTATCACTGGATTCTTCTTCAGGAGCCATTGTATACATAACTTCAGGCTCATATACGTAGTCAGTGACTAAGTATTCTTCTGAGCTCTCACTAGACTCTTCTTCGGATGTTTCTTCAGGAGCAGCTTCTATTGTAGCTTCAGGCTCATATACATAATAAGTGTATGCATATTCTTCCTCTAAGCTATCACTGGATTCTTCTTCGGTAGTTTCTTCAGGAGCAGCATCCAATGTATAATACATAATTTCAGGCTCATATACATAATCAGTGATTAAATATTCTTCTTCTTTGCTATCACTGGATTCTTCTTCGGTAGTTTCTTCAGGAGCAGCTGTAGTGCTTTCTTCTGATTCATCAGATACATAGTAATAGTCTAATGTTGCATATTCATAAGTTGCTTCTTCACTGGATTCTCCAGTGGTTTCAGATTTAGATACTTCATTAGTTGATTCACTTGCTTCAGATGTAGTCACTGATTCTTGACTGGTAGATTCTTCTACAGTTGACTCACTTTCTTCAGATGCGCTCATTGTAGAAGATTCTTCCTCTACGGTTGTTGATGATTCACTTGATGATGGTTCCATCAAATCTTGCTTAGCTGTTGAGCCTAAGCCTAAGCTTAAAGAGACAAGCATGAAGAGTAGAATAACTTTTCTTCCCATGAATTTTATAACTGAGAAATACACTATACGTTTTATCCTTGAAAAAATGGCGGAATTAGCCGTTTTCCAATAAGAGAGTTCAATTTTTTTGTATTATTCTATTTTCTTGAGTGCTTTTAAAGTTATCTTTTCACTAGATGAGCACAAAGGCTACCAGAATCTTGCCTATAAAGAAAAAAATTATCCTTCTTTAAGTTTCATGATTATATTTCCAAATTAAAGGCTATAATTTATTTTAATGGTATTTGCATTATTTACAAGTTTTGACACGCTAAACTTTCTAATCTTCATGATTTCTAGATAGAAAAATGTCTTTAATTAATTTAATTAATCAAAATGAATTTTGCAATACTGGGATGAAAAAAACTTTTTATGACAGGAATTTTGCTTCAAAAAATGTGTGGTTTCTTATATTAAAAAGTAAAAGTGATTTGGCTGCTTTTATTTAGCAAATAATTTTAGCTTGAAGATAAAAACTACTGGCACTCAAATCAAACCATAATCAGCGGAATTAGTGCTGGACATTTTGTCTCAAGGCTAAGTTGGTCTTAGACAGCTTCCTATCCAAAACCATGCCCGGACATACATAAGAATACTCGTCATAGAAAGAATGATTGCTGGTCGCCTGCAATATTCATATGAAAAGCTTGAGGAAAAGTTTTGCAAGTAGGTAAGTTCTAATATAATGCTTAAATTATATAGATTTGGGATATTTAAAAAACGCATCCTTGGCTGTTTTTCTTGCTTTGGATAATTGATGTGGAATCGTGAAATAGTTTTCGTAACTTTGCTAAGAAGAGATATAGGATCATTCATAAATTTCGAAGTATATGATTTTGATAAAATTTTGAAGTAACTCGTGTATTGGTTTATATCTAATTAAGGGCTTTAACTAATATTCATATTGACTTTATAATGCCTCAATCTTCTCTAAAGCAGATATTTCGAGGCACCTATTAAAGACCCACATGATATAAAAGGTAATCTAATTATAAGCTTAGTCATAGGTATTTCTTTTATTAGTTATATTTAACCCAACTAATAATAAGATTTAGACCCCGTATTCAAAAAATAAGAGTATTCTACTTTTATGAACAAAGTCTAGAATAGCTTTGATAATCGCAAGGATAAATACTTATAAATCTAAATTGCTTTGCATTAGCTATTTCCATAAAAGTGATACCAATATTATTAATAAGATTATAAAAATTCTAGAGAAGACCCTATTTTTATCTTATGAAAAATAATTTTTTTATATGACATTTATTTTAATAAAAGCAATTATTAAGGGTCTTGCTCGTTTAATATTTCCATCACTCTTTGAGAAAAATTGCCTTCGCTTCCTTCAAAAATCTCATTACCTATCACTTCATACAGTTTTTTGATTAGTTTTTTGTTTTCAACCTTTACGTCTTCTTTAGGATCATCCATTAGTTTCAATCCTAGCGGCGCTATATATTTAATTAATATTTCTGGTCTTATTTTATGTGTACTCGGTATTGCTTCAATAATGAAATTTATCATTGCCACTTTTGCCCTCGGATTCCCGCTAGAAATCTGATTAGCTAAAGGCAGAATTATAGCATAGTGCTCACAATTCTTAAAAATCAAGTTCACGGCATCCTTTGCAATTTCTCTAATAGAGCTATTCGCAGACCCAAGTGCTGCAATCAACGACTGCATAATTATTTCTAAGTGAGGCTCCAAAATTCTTTTCAAGCTCGGAATTATTTTGATCAGGGCATTTAATGAATGTATTTGAACCTTTAGATTCTGATCACACAATCCTTTAGATAAGATTCCCACAATACTCGTTAAATTATATATATTTGCAGTCATAAACTCTAATAGATCAGGGATCTTCCCTATAGCATCATATCTTGATTTTCATTCTTTTTGGTTTATTTCTTCTGAGAGTCTGAGAATCTCTATTGGGGTGTCAGGCTCTGAAATTTCATTTTCAATTTGATAAATTTCTTGTGGAATCGAAGGGGTAATGACTTCTAGCTCAGAATTCGTTTTAAATTCGCCTTGAGTTTTTCTCTTGGTAAACGGTGACTCAGCCCTATCTCGAGCTTTTCCAGGCTCTTTAAGTTTTTTTTGAATATTTTCAGATAAGCTTCTGGATAAAATCTTTTCTCTTTCGACTTGGCTTGGAACTGATAATTCAAAACTTGTAAAGGCTCGCCTAGCTGAGTCTCTTACATCTGGAGATGCATCTACAATTAAATTCCCAAGAGCTTGGACTATTTTATCAATATCTCTCATTCTGATCAATGAGCTTTTGGCTTTTTCAAAAATATATCCAAAGCATAAAGCAATCGTAGCTCTTTCTATTGGATTTTTAGCAGTTTGTAGCTTTAATAATAAAGCTTGTGATAATTTATTTTCATTTGAAAATTTACACATCAAAAATATCGAATTTTGCGCCTGTTCTGACAAAAATGAATTTGTATCAAGTGCTTTTTTAAATAGGATTTTAAGAAGTTCTGGCAGTTCATTATCCATATTTTTGCCAAGAAATTCACACATTTCTCCTAATACAATTAGCCCATTTTTTGACAAAGAGGATCTTAGCGATTCTGCTAGCTTTATAACTTCTAGAAATACATTATGAAGCGTTACTTGGCTGAGAAAGAGCTCTGGGTTGTATTTTATTATTGATCTAAGTTTCGTTAAACCTTCAAATTGTGAAGATCAATCATCGGTTCTTGTTGACATCGAAAATTCTTTTAATGCATTTTCCGGGTCTGCGAGGGGCTCAATGTCTTCATGAGCAGAATAACTCATATCTGAATTTCCAAAATCTTTTATAATAAACCCTCTTGTTTTAAGTAAAAGAGGTGACGATCTTGAAGCACTATTTATTTCTTCACTCTGAGAATTCTCTCGTTTATGGGCTCTTAATGGCTTTATTGGGGAGACATCAAAATTCGCTCTCAAATTTTGCCTTTCAGGAAAATTTAATTTTACAGGCTTTATTTGAGTTTCAGGCATTGTATTAAAAATTTTTCTCGGGTTCTTTTTGGCATGGAAGGAGTCATCAAAGCTGACAGTATTCGAAATATTTGGCAATCTTTCATCTATTTCAGAGCTAGATCTCAACCTTTTAATGCTTTGATTTGAAATCCTTGGTATTTCTCTGGGAATTAACGGTGAGTGTATATCGCTTTCGAAAATTCGTTGGCTTGCAGGAACTTGCTTAAATTCTGAATGCCTCAAGTAAGGACTAGAAATTAAAGGTGCAGAACTAGGAACGGTTCTTGGATATTCTATATAGTCATCCCTTACTATTGGTAAAGCTTTATGTTTATATCTCTTATGTAATGAATCAAGTGCGATATTATCTACGATTGGCTCTAAATGGCTATCAATTTCATCAATTCCGTATTTTTGGGCTAAAACCGCAAAAACTTCCATTGTGACAAAGCGGATTTTTGTTTTAGGGTCATCTAAAAGTTTTGCTAGAGGTTGAATTATTGATAAAAAATCATAGTCATAGTTTTCTTTTGCTAATAAAATTGATGCAATAATAACGTTTAAAGTTTCATGGCGCACATGCCAATTATTACTGCCTAACGCATCAATCAGCTGAGGAAACAGCACACGGGGTTTGATCTCTTTAGTTAAGGCTTTGAAAACTTTAAAAGCACCTTGACGAATCGCAATTTTGTTGTCGCCAAGCTTTTTTATGCAGCTTGGGATTATTTGGGATGTATTTGCATGCTGTGAAATTCCTGGAATTGAGACTATATGTACTTATAATAATTAATGCGATAATTTTAAAATATTATTCGAGTTATATTAACATTTATTTAACAGATTATAATAAATAATTGTTAAAGCGGAAAGCATCACCTTAAAATTTGAGTCTTCTAATAAATTATTCAAAAATCGAAAAAATACTGCAATGTAAGGATAAACGTCTGAATAGTTCTGCAAAGAACTAACTAAATTTTCAATTTCATGAATCGCGTTGACTCTTGCTCTCCAATTTTCTGTATCTTCGAGCTGAGCAATTAAATTAGGTGGAATAAATCCATATATTAAGCCATTTTTGGTACTTTCTTTTAAAAAATTGGAACTATTGGCGCTTGTAAGTGAATTCGTAATCGAAGAAATCGTAAAATTACTAAACGCATATGTACTTGTACGTTTCTCTGGACGTTCTAGTATTGATTTTATAGGAGAAATCGATGATCTATGCATAGCTGGGTCATTACTTATAACTTCTCCACATTTTTCTCTATAAACTTGCTGAACCCCATGCGAAAGTTTCGAAAAAACATTTGGAAAGTCAAAAATAATTTTTTTCAATTCCTTACAAATTTCTGCAGAAGTTTCTGCAACAATTGACGATGAGTCTTTTAACAGCGAAATTATTTTTTCAAATAACTTTTTCATTTCGGGTATATTTGCAGTGTAGCTTAAATCTAATCTTAGTAGTAGAGGAATATACTGTAAGGTTTGGTTTTTTAGTTTCCAATCATCATGGCTTAACCCATGCCTAATTATATAGCTCATAGTTGTTTCTAAATTCCTGGTTGTTGTCGCATAAGTGCATATTACTTTAAAAGCAAGCTTTGATATTCCAGGTCGTTGATCATGGAACAGCAAAATCAATCCAGGAAAAAGAGTAGCGAAATTTGATTCTAAATCAGGCCCAAATTCCTATATGAAAAATACTGGAATCATGATATCAATTAATTGAAGAACTTGCTGGGTGATTAAAGGATCATCATCTGATAATCTGTCTTTTAAGATCGAAAAGAATCTTGTGGGGTTTGGAACTAAAAAAGCTACATTAGTTTTGGTTGACTCGTTTAGGAGTTGATTCAGAGCACTTTTGCGGTGGTTTAATATAGGGCTTGCAAGAAATTCTACGATTGCATCCATTTAAGGTAATTTCCAATAATTAAGTAATTCAAAAGATCAAAGGAGTTAATAATAAATAATTTAATTCTTATAATAAGAGTCTTTGAATCTTTATACAATAGGTCACATTTTCATACTTTCTTATAATAGCCATATTCTGCCAAAATGGGTAGAAGTAAGTGCCAGAAGTAGGAAAGGTTTTTCTGGATGCTTGCAGGAGTTTAAACCTTATTGACAATTATTTGAGAAAGCCATGCTATAAAATAGAACAGTGAAATAGATCAATTGCTAATTGATTACATCAGCTGCACATTATAGTTATCAAATTAAACGAACAATAGAACTAAAGGAAGATAGCGGTCTAGTTTAAATTTAGCTGAAATGAGTTTCCTTTCATCAAGATTCATTTTCATAATGCTTACTCCCCCCCCCCCCCCTCCGTGAGCGAACAAAACCATTAGAAAAATCGCCATTTTTTGACCAAAAACCCACCCTCCGTGAGTGAACAAAAATTTTTTTAATAGAAAAAATTTTAATGGAAAAAAATTTTGATATATAAGTGATAATTAGTATAATGAAATCTAGAGCTAATTCTGTTTAATTTTAAACAAATTGCGTTTTAAAACATAAATTTTTGCAAATTAAATTAATATTTGCTTCCCAATTTTTGCAAATTAGGATTTTTTTAAATTTCGAAAAAAATATTTTTTATAAAATTTATATATAAAATTTTTTTAAAAAAACAAATTAACCCCCCTCCGTGAGCGAACAAAATTTTTTTTGTTCGCTCACGGAGGGGGGGGGGGGGAGTTAGTTTAGATTTTCTGTGCGAAAATTAAAAAATAAAATTATATTTTTATTACTTAAATCAAAATAGTTTTAAAAATATAATTTTTATATACATTCAAATGCAAAAATTTTAAATTATAATTTATATAAATGGAAAATTATTGATTTGAGGCTTTTTAAGATTGCTTAAGCTAATATAAAACTCATCAATTGCGCATCTTTAGTCATTTTGCCTCATTCCATTTAAATTTTCTTTTAAGGAGTATTTATTATTTTTATAGAGCTCCTTATTTAATTAATTCAGAATATTATCATCTTTATTATATTTTTTCTTATTTCTTTCATATTCATCTCTAAATAAATATTTTTCCAAAAAATTGCCTAAAAGCATATGGCTTTTTTAAACTCACTTTTAAAAGTATCTTAAATAAAAAATCCCATAATTCTTTATAATAATTTAATGGAAAACGAAGGCGGTACATGCGGTATTTCCTAGCCAGGCATTTGTTTCGAAAAAGTCCTAAGCTCAGGCAAAATCAATTCTTGCTCTCATCACTTTCATTTCAAATGCATTCTCAGATGGTCAAAAATTTCCAATCATTGTCCAACATGCAGGGAGCCATTCCGAGAGATAAAGTATTACAAAGGCACTAAATTCGTCAAAAAGGTACTGGTCAGAGCCCGATCAAATGCCGATGATAGTTTTTCAGAAAACGAATACAGCGATGGAGATTATGGGGTCGTATGCCTAATTTGTGGTATCAATGAAAGAGAAGAAGAATTAATTATGTGCGATGGGCTAGAAGGAGAATGTGATAAAGTCTACCATTTCTCTTGCTTGGGTCTTCCAGAAAAGCCGAGAACTTGGCTTTGCCCAGAATGCCAATCAATGGAAGAAGAAAAAGCTGGCTATGACTCTGGAAGCGTCTGCTCGTCAGAAGACTTCGAAGAAGAGCCAGAATATGAAGAAAGTGAAGAGCTTTCAAGCTCAAGCGCCTCTGAAGAAGAACAGGTCGAATCAGAAACTAGTGAAAGCGCCGAAGAATATGAAGAAGATTTAGTAAGTGACCCAGACGCTGAATATGAGCCTCAAAGCGACCATGAAGAAGAAGTCTTAAAAAACAGGTTTATAGAGACCATGAACTCAAATGAAAGGAAAAAGTTCATCAAAGAGTTCCTTAAGCCAGATTACTCTGGAGAAGACTCACAAGAAGAAGCATGGATGATCTTTGGAAGCATGCCCAAAAAGCGGCAGAGAGAAAGCCCAAATCATGCTTCGGTCCCGAGGAAAAGACTGAGGAAACTAAACACAAAAGAAAACGAAGTCGCAATTACCCAACCTTGCAGTCCTGAATTGAAGAGTTTTGTAGAGAAACTTGTAAATACAGAAATGGATGAGTTTCTTATGAGCGCAAAACAAGAAAACGCGATAAATGAAAATACAATAAAACGCCGAATTATTAAATTGATACTGGACAACCCACGCTTGAGAAGCTATACAGACATGAGAACTGTGCAAAAGATGAAAGCTCTTGTAAAGAATCATGCTGTAGGCTTGTTTAGTTAAGAATATTCTATTTTAAATATAAATTATAATAATCTGGCTTTAAAAATTGTATATAGCTTTTTTGAGTTAATAACAGAATTATCGAAAAAAATTAAGGTTGCTGACCCTTTTAATTTAAATATAAAGGGCAACTATTCAAATATAGATCATTAGATTTTAATTATTCTTTTTTTGTAATTTCAACTGGCTTCCAATATGCAATGAGTCCTATGAGACATATTACATAAACAAACCCAGTTGTAACAATATCAAATAAATACTTGCTCCTCCTCCGTGAGTGAAAAAGCAGGTTTGCTAGAGAGATATTAATTTTTTTAAAATATATATATATATAAATTTATAGTAAATGTTTTATTTCGAAATTTAAAAATATCCCAAAAACAAAAATTTATTCTTAAAATGCAATTATATCTAAAATTAAACAAAATAGCTAGATATTTTTTAAACTAATTATCACTTATATTTTAAAATTTTTATATTAAAAAATTTTGGTTCGCTCACAGAGAGTGGGCTTTTTGGGCAAAAAATATGGATTTTTCCAATTTTTTTTTCGCTCACTGAGGGGAGTTAGGAGCGAAAATAGGCCAAACCATCAAATGCCTTCTATTGATAGCTGTGTTTAGTGTCGTCAAAAGCATTGTAACTAGAAAATAGGCTGCTATATATGCTATTGTCTGAAAGGAATTGACTTTTCGTAGCAAAAATACTGAAAAGATACACAAAAAGCTTCCTAATGTGTTTAGAGTTAACAAAGCTCCTGACACATAAATATTGAATATCTCAAAACCTGTGAATGCTGATGCAATTTGCAAAGAAGGAAAGTTGCAGCGATGACCTGTTGCATAAAAGTACTGTGAAGCTGTAAAAGATAAAAAAAGACTTACTAGTGCTGGATTGTTATTTGGGTTTGATTTATAAAACGCGTATATTTGTATATAAAATGTGAGCATTACTATTGGTGAAGAGTATCCCAAAATCAAAATCAGACTTGGAGTGAGTCCACAAATTAGTTTTAATGGATCAGTTGTTATTATACTAATCCCACACAATATATAGCTAAGTCTTGGCAGATAGCTTTTTATAAGAATTGATGGGTCAGGACTAATCAAATTAAAATCTTGCAAAAATCAATAGTAAAGTACAGCAAATAAATTAGCTTCGGTTAAAATCATGCTTATTTTTTTCTCTTTTAACAAAGACCAAAATAGATAAAAGAAAAGAAAAATTGGGATATAAACCATAAACAGAGGGTTCATAATGATATGATCAAAAATCGTGAATTTCATGCTCTATATGGAATTTACCTCTTTTTGAGAAACAATATCTAGAGCAGCAGAAAACCTTATACATACTGCACAAATTGCCAATCACTGTTTATTAGATGACTTCTCATTTGAAAAATAAAGTAAAAATATTTGCAATAAGAATCGAAGAACTTGGTCTTCTTTGACAATATAAGAATTAGAAAATAAGCAATAGCCATGGAGGCATTGGAATAAAAATATTAGCCAAAATTCTTTACTTGGCCTTTTCCAAATTTTGATGTGCGTAGCAAGGTAGCCTAAAAACAAAGCTGCCATAATAATTGGATGAATAAAGCAGCTTAAACTTGATATAGTTATAATAATCTCTATTCTATGCATATCAACATCTTGCGTAACTAATAAAATTATGCAAATGAATGACAAACTAATAATAAAACCTCCAGTTGCCATATACCAAATATCAAATTCAGTTCATATCATCCTACACATCCCAGCAGCGTTATTTATAAATGTGAGAAAGTCGCTAACATTAACTTGCTTTTGGCTTTTAAAGTTAAAATCCAAAATCTCGAAATCATGCAGCAAGTTTTCATAGTACGGCTCTGGCAATTTCTTTATTTTTGTATCATAAATACTCAAGTAATTATTTATTTGTCAAGAATTGATATAGAGTGCATCTACTATACTTTTGCCATTTAAAAATAGCTCAGGGATAATAGCGCCTAAATTATTAAAAGGAATCCCAATTCCCAATAATATACTTAGTGTCGGAACAATATCAATTTGGTTCAGCGTGTTTCTAGGACCAATAGGAAGATCATGTGATCTATAATAAAATGGCTTTTTCGAGTATGCAAAAAGTGCTGAATTTGTCTCTTTTCTTGACGTGCCTCCATGATTTCCATCATCAGTCATTCCATGGTCTCCAAAAACTAGCAATAAAGTATCCTCATCAATATTTTTTATGATTTTCCTAATAAACTCATCAACTTGTTTCAATTTTTGCACCATAGTAGGATGATTTGCATAATAAGTATGTCCAACATGGTCTACTCCCAGCATATGTCCAATTATGAGCGTTCAATCATCATTGTTAAGTTCTTCTAGCAGATGCTTACTCTCTCCCCCTCCGTAAGCAAACAAAACCATCGGAAAAAATCCCTATCTTTCTCCATGAGTGAATAAAAAATTTTAAAAAAAATATTTTAATATATAAGTGGCAATTATTATAATAAATATCTAGCTAATTCTGTTTATTTAAACAACCTGTATTCTTAAACATAAATTTTAAAAATTAAATTAATATTCGCTTTAAAATTATTTCAAACTGGGATTTTTTAAAAATTTTAAACAAATTTTAAAACAATTTTCTATAAAGTTATTTCTTAAAATTAAAATTAACACTACTCCGTGAGATCAAAATTTTTTGTTAACTTAGGAGGGGAGGATTTAATAACTCCTTGATCAACTGTATGCAAGTCTTTGACATTAAAGCTATCAAATGGAAATTCTCTGTGAAAAGCTTTAGGATAAAGCCCAATTCATGTGTCATCTCCCATGAAAATTGATGTTTTATTCTGCAGCTGAATTTGGGTTAGCAGATTATCCTCATCTACATTATTGCTGTGGAAATTATCTCTAAAATCAATAAAAGTTGGCAAAGACCCAGTCGTGATCCCTTTGATCCTTTGCATTGTCACAGTAGGCGGATCAGCAACAAACTCAAAGAGCCAGCTGTTGTTTCTCTGAGATTCCAAAGTATCTTCAAAAACGGTCAGCTGATTAGCGTAATTTGTAGTGACATTTGACTTATAGGCAAAGTCATACCTTAGCGCATCTACTAATAAAAGGACTGCTCTTTTAAATTGCGGGGCTGGCTGCAAGTGATGTTTTGCTGATTTTTCTTTTATTTCATACCTAGTAAGATTAAGTTTAGATTAAATGACTTAAGATCTCCCAGATTTGATGCCTCCGCGCCCTTTCGACTACCGAACCCTTATTTAGAGAGAGACCCTCTGTGCTGCACATCTGGTGGGCGCTATAGAGGTAAAGGTGAGCCCGATGCCCCTATGGATCACCTTAAGGAAGGGTGACACCCAGGGAAAAAAATCAAGGCCCTCTAAAATTGTGAGTAAAATGAACCTGTCGCCCAAAACCATCCGGATATTCAATAGATGGACTGGAATGGCTACTACCTGGCTCCCAGGGTCACCCACTCCATATGGCCGCAGTGCAGCAAGCTTAGGATAGAATCAAAGGGCCTGAACCTTGACTTCGGTTATAAAGCCATTTTGGAGCCCAAAGCGTTGCGTTGCCAGCAAGGATACATTTTGTTGCAACCACCATATTAATTGTATACCTGGTAAGGAAAAATCCCAAGCTGTAATAATAGCAGCCAACTGCAGAAATAAGGCAAATAAATGCCAAAGCAGCAATACTTTTACATTTACCTTCCATTATTATGAAGTAATTACTAGAATTTAAGGAGGAGTGCCTGCAACTGGATAAGAAGGAACCATGTTGACTCCACAAACTCCTTGTCCACTCGTTATTCCAATCCTTATGTACCCTTTTTCACCCCAGTCTGGACCCCATGAGTTTTTAATAATCCAGTAAGGGTTGCTGGTGGTATTAGAATACCCAACTATAAGGACACTGTGGTCCAGTTCTGTTCCACAGTTTCTTGTTACGATCCCTGAGCGGTAATTTTTCCATGCTACTTCATTAGCCTCCACTACAATTGCGACTGGCTGCTTTGCAACAGCTGTTAGCAATGCTGAAGGAGTGTTAGCTTTTACATTAATGAGCTTGGATACGTACACAACAGGATTAGCAATTACTGAAGACTTGCAAGTGCTATTAGTCGCTGTATATGGGTATTTTTGTTCTGCTACTAAGCCATTCTTTATTGCAAAATTAAAAGCAAAATCATTGGCACCTCCAGCACATTGATGGTTTCCGTATGATTTTGAGCAATCGAGTACTTCTTGAGCAGAGCAAGCTATTAATGAGTGTCCTGCTAAAAACCAAGCACTTTCAATAGCGCCAACAGAAGCAAATGCATATCCACTCTCGCATGGTCCTTGGGTTTGAACTGCTGTTACTGCGCCTTTAGTCCTTCAATCAACAGCTGTTGGAATATCAGAAAACTTTTCTTCTTCTATTTCTCTGTTTCTTGTATAGCCATAATAGCTTGACAGGTAAATTTTTTTGAATTCTTCAAAAGTCATGTCTGAAAACTCATTAATTCCTAATGCCCATTCTAGATTTAGGGAATTATGAACCCTTACTAGTTCAGAATTTTGTTTATAAATGATCAATCTTTGTTGATATTCTTCCTCGCTTGCGTAATTTTTATGATATTTTATGATGAAATCTTGGAATTCTTCTTCTAGCAGCTCAAATGCTTGAATTGCGAATTTTGAAGGTTGAGCAGGACGCAAATTGGTAGAAAAAGCAAAAACTCCAGCAATTGTTAGGACTCCAAAAAGACAAACGGCTAATTTTTTTGTGGAGGATTTGTGATAGGTTTGGTGAAAGAATGGGTCTGCCATTTATTAGATAAACTAAAATTTATTAATCAACTTCTTCACATTTCACTTTTACAAAAGAGTCAAAAAATCTATCATTTCCTGAGGAATATCTTCCTTTCAATGGGACTCTTATAGTTCCATACCCATTCATTTGTTTGGAGCTTTCTTTAAGTGATAAGTCTTTGAAGTCGATCTTATTATTGCATGCAAGGTTTAATTGTGGAATTATTTTGGCTTCTTCTTCTTTGTAGGTCATCTTTTTCTTATATTTCATGAATTTCTCATTGAATGAGTTTTTCATGGCAACGAATTTTTCTATTGCGTCTAAAAGCTTATTAAACTCATTCTTGATGTCTACGTTTAATTGAAATTCATCACTTTTAGATTCACTCATAAGCTTTTCTTTGAGCGATTTGAGCATTTTTGCTACTTTTTTGCTTTGCTCTGTGCTTTCTTTTTGCTTTAAAAGCTTTTCTACAGCTTTTTCAGCTGTATTAGTATTCACATGGAGAATTTTTCCTACAATTTCATATAAGTTTTGAGTATCAATATGCTCATGCTTTAGCGTAAATTCCCCTAAATCCAGCAAAACTGGGAAAGCTTCTTTAGGGATCGGTGGATTATTTCCCCTGATATTTTTACATTTTTTTTGCAATTCATTTAAGTACTCATGCACTAAATCATTATGATCACCAAAGCTGACTCTTTTCCTTTTAAACTCGCAATCAAGGACACTTTCTACACTTGAAATCTCTTCTGGATACTCCACGAAGAATCCTTCTTTTACAGCTTTTTCATATAGAGTTTCGTCTTCAAACGAATTATCTTTTATTTCAGAATCATCAATAAACTCATCTTTTAAGTCGTAAAACTGGCTAAGCAGCTCACTTTCTGAACTTGAAGTGTCAGGCTCTCGCTTGGCTTTTTTGCGCTTTTGAACTGTTTTTTCGAACTTGCTAAGATCGCCGAAGTTTTCAAGCCTGTAAAGCATGTTTCTCATCATAGCATGGTAAGAGTATTTTGACTCTGTTGAGGTTGAGCTCGTTTCGCTGATTTTTTGGGTCATGTTAGCTTCAAATAAATCGACATAAGAGACTTCTCGAGTTTTTGTGATGGAAAAATGAAACTTAACTGACTTATTTGTGATCTTTATAGGTGTGACAGCTTTAGAAGAGGGTGCTATATTTCCTTGCATTTATAATATCTTTATACCGCTCTAAAGATGGCTTAGAAAAGCGACTTAATAATAAAATGGCTGAAATTCATTAAAAGATTTAATTAAAGATAGCTAGAATGTAAGTGAAAAAGACGAGTTCAAGCATTGCTGCTCCGTCATCTTGGTCATCATATTTTTTATATAGTTCTTTGTAGGAAACATAGCTTGGATAGAATGTTTTAAGCACACAGTCTTGAGTATCCTGAATTTGTGGATAATAACTCATATATAAATACCAATACATTAATGCATAAATACCTTTTGTATTGCCCCAAAAGTCTAAAATGCACTGGGACTCAAATCTTCTTAATGTGTTACATTGGCTACTTGAAGTACTGAAAAGCCAAGATTTGAGAGCTGCTTCATATTCTATTACAGGCCCATCTCCAGGGATCAAGCTGCAATAAGCAGCTCCAGTAGGATTCAGTCCACATACACAGTCAGGCAAAAAATTAAACTCATGATGAGTAAAGTTACAGTCTGTAGCTTTAGCATTCAGATCACACGGCCATGGAATTATATGGGTATTTTCAAACTTTTCATAGCATTTAAAACCTCCATCTCTCTCACGGCAAAGATTATATTTGCAAAGATTGCTTTGATGCTCCCCACATATAGCAACAAATTCATCATTTTTTATTGACCAGTATTGAACACAAGCGTTCTCGGAAGAATCAGTAGTTGAAGTAATATTGCAGCCAGCATAAGGCACACAATCAAAATCAGCTCGGCAGCCTTTGCTTCCGGCCTGAATTAAAGGGGCACATTTCATAGATCCTGGAGTTCCCTGACAAGACAATCCTGGGTTGCAATAATTGCTATCAGTGCATGCTACGCCTGATGAAAGTCCTACGCAGATTCCATTTGTGCATGCGGTTGAATAAATAGGATTGCAGTCTCCAGTTTGAGTACATTTTTCTCCAGGCCAGCTTAGCTTTGTCTGAGCAGTTTGGCAGGTGTGGTTTCCTGGATTTTCACCTTTCAACATGCATGACTCTGTGGATTGAGCACAAGGATTTACATAATATGTGTAATCTGATTCATCATAATAAGCGCATTGGCTTTGCTCAAAGGTTTGAGAAGATTTTTTGCATGCATATGAAGGGCAAGAGGGAGCAGATGCTTTATTTTCTTCAATATCATAGCGATAGGAGAAAACGGCTTGAGGGAGAATAAGAAGAGCAAAAGCAATTAAGGGAGCAGCCATTATTGTTTTGAATGTATTTAGCAATTTAATGGAAATAACCTGCAAGTAAAAATTATTTAATTATTAATCAATTCTATTAACTTCCATATTAAAGCTATTATCTCTGCTAGTTTGCCCAGCCATAATTGTATTTGTCAATTTTTTCTCTGAGAGCTCTTCATTTTGAAATAATTTATTTACAAATTTGACTCCTCTTATCAAAAAATTTGGGCTCTCATCTTCATATTGACTCACAACCCTATGTGGCTTAAACTGGCAGCTTCCTCTTTCTGATTTCAATCAATATAAAATATTTTTCATACAAGACCCTCTATGATAAGGCCCAAACAGTTTAATCGGCCACAGATTTTTTATTTTTTCATTAGTTGTCATATTGACAAAAAGTAAATATATATGAAAACTATACAGCCCAAAAACAATCCACATTGCAATAAATGCAAAAATAATAACAATAATTGAAGGAATTATTTCGTTGCTAAATTCCCCATTTACTTCTTTTTCCAGGATGTGCGCCAGGCTTACTGCGAAAGAAGAAAAGTCTAGGCAAGTCGCAATAGAAAGGTATGTTATAAAATATTTGTAGTTTCTCTTACCTATGCAATTTCCGATATAAGGGCAGTGATGATCAAATTTCTCCACGCACAAATTGCATAGTGAGCAGTGGGAAGACCTTGGAGGCCTAAAAATCAAGCAAGTGCGACAGAATTTCATCTTAACCATATTCCCATTGTGATGAAAAATAATTGGTTTCGGCATGCCTATAAGCTCGTTTAATGCTGCATTAGTTTTTGAGATATAAGGAGGAATTTGTTTTGGGATATATCCAGGGTCAGAAGTTGCTACTTTAAATTGAGCACAAATTGTCGAGACTAATAATATTATTTGAATTATCATTGGGGCTGGGTTATCGTTTTCAAGAAAAAAGTTGCAAGGGTATATTATGCTGATAATTACCAAAAAAGTGATCAGGGTCGCTGATAGAACACCTCGATATCAGTCTGGACCTAGCATAAGCTTTCCTTTGCAACAAAATTTGTTTTTTCCTTGTCAGGACTTGTAGAGTTCCATTGATTTAAATTTTGAATGGAGTTTTATTATTGCTACTCCTCATCCATGATAAAAAAAAAATTATATATAAACTTTATAATAATTTGTTTTTTTAAAATTAAAAAATTGAAAGTAAAATTAATTTATGATAAAATTAAGAATTAGCTAGAGATTTTATTATAATCATATTATTTATACAATGAAATATTTTATAAAAATTTTTGCTCTGAAAAGAATTTTTTTCTTCCCTAAAATAGGGACTTTCTAATGGTTTCTCGCTTATAGAAGAGATGAGTAAGTGATTGCTATTCGCTTAATAATACTAAAATGGAATCAGGGCAAAATGATGTTGTGATCGAGCACTGGTAACAGTTACTTACTCCCTAGTTATATCTGAAGAGTATTTTTCTCAATATTTGAGTTAAGTAGATATCATGGAAAAGACAATATGTTCGTTTTAAGCTCATGCAATATTTTTTATATAATACTCATACTACTTTTAATAATATTATTTTTCTCACTGAAAAATGTCGATAAATGAAAAAACTGGTCTTATAAGATTCTACACTATTACACAAATAAGTAGTACTCGCAATAAAATATATCTTTATTAACTAACTCTCTCAGTAATAATTAAAGATTGTTTATTTATGGGAGGTTTTAGTACAAAAATTTAAAGTAATAAATTTATTTCCATGGGCATTTTCAAGTAAATGTCAAAAATGCAAATTTTGACATTTACCGTCTAATAATAGGAAAAAATTTTATCTGTTAATATAAAATTTACTTTTGAAAATTTTATGCAAAATATCCACAAATAGCAAGAATTGGTTATTACTAGGATGAGTAAGTAAGTTAGTAAAAATTGTAAGGCCCATGATTGGTGCACAAAGCATGAAGAAGCAAAATATACTTCATTTTATGAGAAGACCAGAGCGGAGATCGAGTCTCAATGTCCAGAAGTTATTGTTCATGAAAACTATGAGCACCCCATGCTACGTCAAATTTTAGAAGCCAGCTCAAAACGAAGCCCTTTTCCAAAGCCTTCATTTCCAAGGATGGGTTCATTTGAAGTTTATTTTCGCGGACAAGTAATTTCATCGAAGCTCCAGTCTGGTGTTTGGCCACACCCAGGGGCAGTTGCAAGCAAAATTCGAGAAATTTTAGATGGTGTCCAGCAACCCCGCCAAGCAAAAACTCAAAACGATTTTAATCCTCGAAAAAATAATGCCTCACCACCAAGAGCTGCTCAAGCAACCCAAAAGCCAAAGCAAGCCCCAGCAAAGCCTGCGCAAGCAAAGCAAACTGCCAGTAGAGGTAATGAAGAAGTGAGGAAAGCAGAAGAGCCTAAGATAGAGCAGCCTAAAAAAATTCATAGTCCTGAGTATGATTACAATTTTGAAAATGACTCAATGCCAAGGTCTCCTGTCCAGCAACCCTACGAAGAGCACGAAGCTCACCCAAAGAAAGAAGAAAAGCATGAAATTATTAAAGAACAGCCTCCACACCATGAAGAGATAAAACATGAAACGAAACCGGCTGAAGCGGCACATGAAGTTCACCAGTCTTTTCATAGTCAGAATTCAGAAGTGCATGAAAATGTCCATCATGAGCCTCATAACCATACTGAACTTCATCAAACCCCCCAAGAAGAGCCTCACTATAGTGAAGCCCAAAGCCGGCAAGACCCATCGTATCAGGAAGAGTCATATCATGAAGAGCACAAGAGTTTCCATGAAAGCCAGCATGAAGATCCTTCTCATCAGCCTTCATACCAGCAAACTCCAACTAACCAGTCATATCATGAAGCTCCTTCTCAAAAGTCATTTGCGCAAGAAGAATCAGCCCATCAGACTCCATCCCACTATAGCCAATCTCATACAGGCTCTGCCCAGCAAACTCCATCACATCATGAAACTCCTGCTAACTTCCCACCTCTGTGAGTTAGCAAAATCATTGGGAAAAATTCCTATATTTTCAATAGTAAAAATCTGCTTTCCGTATCAGAACAAAAAAATTGTTTTTAGAATATTTAATGAAATAATCTATTGATATATAAGTGATAATTATTATAATGAAAACTCTAGCTAATTCTGTTTAATTTTAAACAACTGCATTTTAAAACATAAATTTTACAAATTAAACTAATTCCCGCCAATTTTTGAGAACTGGATTTCTTGAAATTAAAAAAAAATACTCTTCACAATTTTCGAATTTTCGCCATCATTGGCGAATGTCCATTGTCCCAACAGAAGAAAAAGAAACCAGATTCTGAGGCTGAGCACAAAAATCTCGGCCTCAGAGGGCCACGGAGTTGGATGAAGGCGACTTTTCCGGGGTGGGCGGCGGCTTGGGCTGACTGGGCCTCCCCTCGACCCACAGACGAGAAGACCGACGGCGCAATGCCAATCAGGCACTTCTGGAGGAGCATTATGCTGCCTGTAAATGGCGGAGGTAGTTCCAGAAGGAGGCTTTGGACGTTTCCCTCATACCCTGAGCACTACCAGGGGTAAGAGAGTCCTTTGCTGAAAATTTTGGCCCAAGCAGGTTCGGGTGAGTCTCCCCGAAAGATGTCGACGTCACCATTTTTGATGACGTCGACAGAAAAGGGCGTTAGGTGGCTTTAGTGCTTAGTGCCACATGAAGCACGAAGCTGAAGTCCGACTGGCTAGGGGCTGAAAGAATTCCCGCTTAACCTCTCTAACTAATCTCTCTCTCACAATTTTCAGATTAGCACTCTGCATATAATTTTTTTTGACCTGTGAAAGTCTGTAAATTTCAGGTTTTCATGTATCAAAACAATTTTGGCATTTGGAGTGCCAATCAGAAATCTAATATACTATATAATTTTTTTAAAAAATTTTACTCCAATGGAGGGAGTAAGGAGCAGGAAGATCCTTCACGTTCGGAGCACTACACTGAAGAATTCCATGAAAGTGACCGCGGAGAACCCGAAAAGCAGTCTTACTCTGGAGAGTATGAAGAAGGCTCTCAAAAAGGTGAAGAAGCAGAATCTAACCATGAAGAACATCAAGAAAATCCAGAAAATGCTGAAGAAAATTCTTATGAAGTAATTTATATATTAGAATGAAGCCTATGAAGCCGAAAAGCAAGAACCTATCACAGAACCTCCTTATCCTCTAACTAGCAACATTGCTGCAGACATTCTTGTCGGCGAAACCAAGCAGAAGAAAATTTCTATTTCAAACGACTCTGATGAGGAGCAGCAATACCACATCGAAATTACCAATCCTGAGCTAATTGAAATAAAGGAGCAAGATATCTCCCTTCCTCCAAATAGCATATGAATTAAAATGGCGTGGCTAGTCGCATGTCTGCTAACAGCTGAAATTATCTCTTCTCTCAGCCAGGTTTTTTCATTGCAAGGAGGTAGAACTTCAAGCTTGAATGAGGAAGTCAGCACTATCTCGGACATCCATTAGGCCAATCAGGTAAATCCTTAATGCGATTCCAGGAGTTAGGTCAGAGCTTTGAGTTTTAATTTTGTTAGCAACCAACCAGAAAATTTGAATTTCAGGAAGCCAAACCTAGGTGATGTGTTTCATACTAACCCAGAGTCTCTGACTTTATCTAGCAAGTGCAGGTTCTGGTCGGAATAAACAAAAGGTGCACAAGTAGTGAAGCAATTATGGATAGGATTAGTAAACTGCAAACTTGCCTTAGGCTTTTCTATAAGCAATTAATACTAATGCCTCCAAATGGCAAAGGAAAAATCCAATTAGTCTTTAAACCAATTGACGAGCCTTGCCAGAAAACCACCTATTTAATTATCCAGCAGGATGGAGTAGTCAAGGACTGCTATGAGATCAAAATAGATTATATAACCAATAGCTAGAATAAATTAGCCTTTACAGCATGTCGTAATCGTCATCTACACTTTCAACATACTTCGTTACAGGGCTTAGCAGTGTCGCCAAGTTGTACTCGTCAAGGCACTCTTTAGCCATTTCGTTATTGAAATATCTAAAAAGCTCTTCAAAGTTCATCCGCAAAATTTTCCCTCGTTTTAAGGTCAGCATATTGAGGAGAAGGGAATATAGCACCTGCTCGCCTTCATATAGGAACATGTCGATCACTCGCATTGCATTCTGAATTGGTGCCTTGCATCCAAATATTGTAATAAAAAAAGGAGAAAAGCACGTGATTTCCAAGTTTTCTGTCTGCAAGTGGCAGTGCACTTCAGGCAGCAAGGACTGCAGCTTGTTTGAAAAAGAATCAAGCATCCCTACAAGCTTTGGGGTTCCAGTCTTAAAAACTTCTCGCCAATTTTTGTCCCACATGATTGAGACAAAAGTCCAAAAAGTTAGCTCTTCTGATTTTATGTGGATTAATAGAAGACCAACTATAAAAGCCATCCCTTGGCAGTAGCCTATCTCGTTATCGAATTGGGCGTAGGCTCTTAAGATTCTCAGGATCCCAGATTGTCCAATTCCTTTTGTGTCTTTGTACATTTCATGATCGGGAAAAGTCCGAGCAAGGTCTTTTTGAATTAATGGTTCGAAAATTGTGTCCTTTCTTTGAGAAAGAGTTTTGTAGGTTGAAGAGTCCATATGGGTTGCACGAGCCAAGAAAGGCCATATTTGACCTCTTAAGCTATCTGGAATCCCAAATAGCAGGCTTTTATGAATTCGTTTGGGGCATGTGTGGTGTAGATCATTTTTCTCAAGTAAAGAATATACATAAAAATGGTGACGACATACCACCCGACCTCTCGACCCTATTTCTTCAACATCAGTAGGCAACGGCCCAGTGTCGGAGATTTAGGTGGAAAGGGGCCGGTAATCCTTTATGTATTGTCGGGCTGGGGGTTTTTCTTCGAGCCCCCGAGGAGCTAATTCTCGGACTTGGAGTTTTTCCTCCAGGACAACCATTGGAAAGGGCAAGGTCGGCCAATGTTTGAGGGCAATATGACCCTCAAACCCTGAAGACGGTATTTGCCCAACGAGAAACTGGGAGTTTCGACCCAGGTGGTTGGCCCTTAGACTCCAGAAGCCATGGAAGTCAAGACTGGTGGTGCGAATCCCTTGTTTGAGGCAACAAGGAGGGTGTCCGCCGAGGCTCCTCAGGGGCGATGAGCGCGTAGGGGTGAGAATCCCCGGCCCTGCAAGGCAAACGGCTTAATCTAATCTAATCTAATTTTTCTCAAGTAAAGAGATCCAATCTTCTTTTGTGAACTCATTGATTATTGACTCAATTATTACATACTCATCGCTTAAAAGACTTTCTGTTGCCATGTCTATGGAATTTTATGAAGCAATAACCAACATATTTTTTAAAAACAATTCTATCTAACTTAATAATCAATTGTATCTTTCAAGCTGCAAAATAATGCTGGAAAGGAAGCATAAAATTTTGTGTTGAATTAATTTAATATTATAAGAATTTATTGCCTAAAATTTAAGTGACAATTTTCTTATGTTTCAGTGTTTTAAGAAAAGTAAAGACCTATTCTTGAGATTGGAATAATTGTATTAATCTAAGCACAATAGTCTATCATACATGAGAAATATTTTGATCCTTGCATACCGATAATCATCTTCATAAGTATCTAAATTATAATAAAATAGCATTATAGCCAATAATTAAATTATTTTAATTAAATCTTAAAAAGAAATAATTAAAATTTGGCGTCTCCACCTTGCATGGCCTCCGGCCATGCAGCTTCCGAGCACATATTTTAATTATATCCGGCAAGGTTTTATTAACCCAGAAATGGACAGCAATGCTAGGTAAGCAATTCTGGTGCTGTACAGAGCCTAGCCCTCAGTCCAAATTCAGGATTAGGTTTTACCTCGAAGGGAAGGAGGGGTTCAGGTTTGGAAAGGGCAAGCCCAGCTAAGTCTACAGGTAATACCTAGACCAATCGGACAAGTGCCTAGCGTGAAACTGGGAGTTACGCCCCAGGACTTGAATTTTTCCTTTTTGCCGACAGGTCACCAGAAATTCCATTTTTTGGAATTTTTGTGTGGTCAACTTCGTCACTCAAGCAGCTAGCCGCAGAAGTCCATAGCCCGCCCACTCAACACTCAAGCCGCAAGCCGCAAGGAGAGGAGTAGACGTCCAGGGCGAAATCTCACTTCAGAATGCCAGGCCCATCAGGAGCTGAAGAAGAAGAAGAAGAAAGGCAGTGTTCGAGCTGATTCTCTTGGGCCAGCGAACCATTGCCCCAATTCGAACAAGGTGGAACCGAAGACGGCGCAAAGCAGGTGAATCCCACATTGGGGATCCTTGGTGACTGCGTAATCAAAACGGCAGACGCCTTTCTAATTTCTAAGTAAGTAAGTAAGTAAGTAAGTAAGTAAGTAAGTAAGTAAGTAAGTAAGTAAGTAAGTAAGTAAGTAAGCAAGTAAGTAAGTAAGTAAGTAAGTAAGTAAGTAAGTAAGTAAGTAAGTAAGTAAGTAAGTAAGTAAGTAAGTAAGTAAGTAAGTAAGTAAGTAAGTAAGTAAATCTTAAAAAGAAAATTATTTGTCTTTATACTAATGATTAAAAAGAACAATTTATTTATCTTTCAATATTTTAGCATCTAGCATTTCTTCAGCTTCTCTATTGCAGTTTGCAATTGAAGCATTAAGCTCATTCATTTTCTCAAGTATTTCAACTCTATCTTTATTAAGATAATCAGCGCATTCTTTTGAAATTACACTAGGCACAATTGTATTTGTTACATCTCCTAAAACCGCAATCTCGCTTGCAAGCATAGATTGAGTCGGACTTAATCCATTTTTCACATCAAAAAGTGAGCTGGTAAGTGTTGATTTATAATACTTGATAAATTTTTCGATTATCCTCAATTGTAAATCAATGAGAGAACAGTTTTCTCTGAATTTCATTACTGTTTCTTCTTCAACACTTTTTTGCTTCACACTTTTGGACTCATTATATAAATTAGAAATGATTCCAAGAACTCTGGCATTTTCCTGGGGAACTGAAATACTTGTTCTCGATCCTATACAATTCAATTGCATTGTGACGTATAAATGGAGATCTGGCTTCTGAGGAACTGAAATATTTAGAATTTCGCTAAAATAAACGACTTCTCTGAGAGTAGAAAACCCAGAAGAAGGCCTGAAAATTAATTTTTCAAAATTTTCTGATACGAAAATAGTTCTATCTTCGTATTCCTTGTGAAATTTAACTTTGCATTGAACTCCTTGCAAAAGCTCAATATTACGCTGGTTCGTCTCTTTTAACATTTCTAACAAAACTTCTATTTGATAGTTTCTAAGTTCAACAAAATCACGTTCTGATTTATAAGATGCGCTATCAGCAATAGCTTGATCTCTTTTTCAAGCCTCTTCTTCTAATTTATTTGTTTTTTCTTGAATTTCTTTTCTTTCATATTGTAACAGATCTTGGAGATTTTGAATTGTATAAGTTTGTGTGTCAAATTTTTGCTTTTTTGCTTCGAGTTCAACAGCTTTTTCTTGTAGCATTTCAATCTGATTTATTAATGAAGCAACCTCAGGAGATTCATTTTTTTCAGATTTTTGACCGTGTAGAGCAGAGATCATGAGCTCATCTTGATCTAACAGACTTTTTATTTTTTGATATAACTCATTATAAGAATAAATTCCTAACAAATGCGCTAAATTTTCAAGGATTTCTTCAGAGCTCATTGGAGATTTTCCCCCGAATTTCTGTAAAACATCAGATTTATTTAAGGATATATTTTTATGACAGTTTTTTTGTCCAGTTGAGCCTGCAATTACATCATTAATAATTTGAGTCCATATGTCTCTGTCTTCTTTAGATTGTGCCCAAAATGAAACGCTATGCTTATTTGTCTCCAGTTGGAATCCATAGTTCTGATCTTCTTGGAGATCTATTATTTGGTGTATATGATTTATAGAAATCCTATTATATTTGGATTTTGAGCTGGATTTTTTGTTTATCCATCGTAGCTCTTGAGATTTTGGATCTAACCAAACATATCGTTTGGAATCTGAAGAAATATTTTCTTTGTAAAGAGATGAGCCTATGTTATTTGTACCAGATTTTACAAATTCTTCATATGCACTTGATATAACAGATATATCGTGATTAACTGTACCTAACATTTATTTTATGTTCGTTAAATTTCTAAAAACAAATAAAATGGGGATTGAAAGAAAATTTGAGTTTTACTAACCCTCCATAATTAAAAAATTAATTTTTTCTCTTTTGTTGGTTAAGATTTAAAACTAATGATTCAAAGTTAAAATTCAAATCTAAAACATAGATATTCAAGTTGATGTTGCATGCAATTAAGTTTGTTACTTATATTTTAACCTTTATCTTTTATAGCAAATTTTTAAATAATTTTTTAATATACTATTTTGATTTAACTTTAGTCGAGAGTAAGAGTAAAAAGAGGAGAAATCATTTAATCCAAATACTATGAGTCTAAACAAATCACTAAAACTGATTGAGCATAGCATAATTTTTGTAATTAAAGCCTAATTTCAAAGCAATGCTCATGCAATATTTAAATCTAGACAAGAAGATTTAGCATTTAATAAAATCTAAAATTAGATAGACTCATTACTAGAAACTTCCTCTCCTCTTGCAAGCTGATTATATGCATCAATTGCAGCAGTCTTCTTTGCAAGCCACAATGTTTTTGCTTCCCTTTTAAGATATGGCTTACCATTCACAATTACACCGATCCCAAGAGAATTCTTATCTTTATCAACAATTTCTTCAAACTCTATCTTTATTCCGTGATGCTGACCATATTCTATTAGCCTTGAGCATATATTTTTTTTGCATTTGTCTTTATTTTTCACCAAATACATGATAGCTGGTGAAAAAAGCTCCCCAAATACCTCACATGTGATATTCAGTGATCCGCTATCTATAAATACAGCTCCAACTAATGCTTCAAAAACATCATTTAAAATTTTTGGTGGGTCATCAGTGTGAACACCAAAATCTAATAGATCGTCGTCCCAACGAGAACATTCTGCAAACCTTGCAATTTCTTCTGTATATTCCCGAGCGGCTTTGATATGTTTATCAAGGCCAATTGAAATAGCTAGTTTTCCCTAAATCCCCTCTAATGAGAAAAGAAATTTTTACTCAAAGATTAATTTTTTAATTTTATAAAAATTATATTTTAGAATCGAATAATAAAATTTGCACTTTGCGACACAAGATGTCTAAATTTATTAGAATTAGATGGAATTCAATTATAGCATCGTTAATCATATATATATATCAAAATATTCTGTACCAAAAAAATTTATTTACTAATAGATTGCTAATTTTTCTTAAAAATGGTTTTTCAATAAGTTTTGCTCAATAGAAGGGATAAGAATGAATTTCCAACCAAAATGTGCCTAAATGTAGTTAGTTCTTCAGCAGAAAATTGCCCAAAAACAAAAATATTTGAGAGAACTATGAAATCTATGATGGCATCCCCAAGAAACTCTAATCTCTCATAATTCATTTCTGGGTCGATCGATTTGTGGGTAAGCACTTGAGTCAAGAGATCCTTATTATTGAAAAGGTACTGTATTGCTGCTTCTAGGCCATTAATTGTTTTAATTGAATTATCATATAGGATTGGCAGCAACTCACGCAGCTTAAATACTTTTTCACTGAAATAGTTGATGTTTCTGGCTTTCAAAATATTGTAATTATCATTGCTTAAAAGCTTCATGATTTCTCCCGATATTTCTTCATTTGGTAGTATCCCAATTTCATAAATAAATCCAGCAGCATCTCTTAGACCAACTCCTAGGTAAAACGCTCCAATTAAAGCTTCAACGAAGTCAGCAATCATTTTATCACTTATTTTATGCTCAATCTCACAGCTTTCACATTCAAGTATTTTCGATGCATAATAAGGTGGTCTAAATTTCGAAAACTTTAATGAATTTGTTTTAAGATATCTTTGCAGCTCGATTTTCTGTCCTATAGTACTCAGATAGCAGTTGCTGATTTTTCTGCACCTGGCTTTTGTAAGTTGATTTTCATTTGACTTAGGATAACGGTAGAAAATGTGAATGGTTGAAACTACTTTAAGCACAGTGTCTCCCAGATTTTCTAAGTAATCATAATTGTTTACATTATCCAAACAAGGACTTGTGCACGCATCTTTTAAGTATTTAAAGCAGCCTTCATACCTAAAATGATGAGCGAACTCAAAAATATATGATATAGCTTCTAGCTCTACTAAAGAGTTTAGCAAGCTGGTGCATTGAAACCAAGTTGAAGCTTTAAGAGGGTAAAGCTCAACATTTTCTGAGTGTAGAATTGGGGTTCCACTTTTATAGACCTTAGGCTTATCTGAATCGCTGCCATTTTCTAAATGTCTTGCTGATTTCGTTTGTTTTGCAAAAATTAAAGTGGTGTCAGTTGATATCGGATAAATAAGTCCAGAAAAAAAGTGCTTTCTGAATTCATTAACTGATTCAATATTGAATCTGTCGTCAAAAAGCACATCAAGAGCGCTATAAGTATGATAATGATCCTTATATGCTTGCAAGTCAGGATGGTCACTACCAAGGAGTTTTGATAGAAATTCCTCAGCAGGCATGCTGTCATCAAAGCAGCAAATGCTCTGCCAAGTCATATTTTTACCTGTCAAAGATTTTACTATAATATCTTTTCTTTGGCTTGGAGAAAGTTTACGGATTTCGATTGGAGTTTTATTGCTGAGGAGAAAGTCTATAACTTCTCAATCGATTGAATTTTTAAGCAAAGGTACTATTAAGTAGTTTGTATTTGATATGTTTTCTTCTCTGATCTTTGATGTTCTTATTAAGTCTGTCCAAAATTCATGCTGAAAATTCTGAATATCAGATAAGGTATTGAAGCTGAAGCGGCACATACCTAACACCCTCTATCCAACAACGAATAAAGTATTCAATTTTTTTCTCCTTACTTCCCCTATAAAAGCCTACAAGATTTTGCCCACTCTTAAAGTGGGTAAATTTTTTTTTTTAAATTTATATTTAAATTATATATAAGCAATTTTTTTCATTCATGATTTGCAATATATAAATATAAAAAAATATACTTTAATTTATAAAATTTATATTTGAATGCAAGATATCTGGAAATATATGTTTTGTTATAATAATTATTAATTATATATATAAATATTTTATTAAAAAGTTAAAAATTTTTTTGCTCACTCTTAAAGGGAGTAAGTTTCCCATAATCATAATATGTACTTTCTCAATAGTTTTGCTCATTCTTATGATGGGGAGTTAGAACAAATTTACTTAATTTCTTAAAAATTAAAAATTGATTTTACCTATATTTTCGAATAAATCTAAATAGCATATGCATATTATTCTGTTTTTATCACTTTTTTATTTCAGTGCTCTTATAATCCCAATATGTCCAAAATATTTTATAAAAATGTTTTGCAAAAAAATGTTTTTTTAAATATAAAAATCTCTTATTTGATATCTTTAAGTTATATCCATTATCAACAAACAAAGAACTGTTCGTATTAAACGCGGAGACTAAGGGTTCAAGAAGGTGGGATGGAAATGGTAAGGGCATAAAAGGAAGGACGATGCCATAATCAGGGGCTGCACACACTCGATATAAGAAACCGACATTTCTATCATTATCAATATAAAAATTCTGAGACAAAATACTTGAAAAATTTGGATATATTTGAGAGTCCTGAGGTGGAGTTGGCTTGAGTTTCTTCAATATTGGGTGTGAGTCCATAAATTTAATTTAAGGGGGATTTGATTCGAAAAAATATTTTTGCTAACTCTTTCAATTATCAAGAAACTTTATTTATTCTTTATTGATGGCATTTAGCTTTTGAATCTATAAAATTCATCGAAATAATTTTTTTTTTGAATAGTAATTTTTTATGCTTAAATTAATAGAGTAAGAGTTAATATTAAAAGTTGATATTTAGTTACCAGAAGTTTATGCGTTCCCAGAAGAACTGATTAAGCTAGTATGCTTTTGAGATCCATCTTTGCTTGAATAAAATGAGTTCCTCAAAGATTGTCTGATGCTTGACATCCTTGAATTGAGAGGCTTAGGAGGCTCTAACGCTTTCTTTAATACTGTATTTTCCCATCCTTCCAGGTTTCTCACTTCATTTTCTTCTTCGTGCTTCAACTTATCAACAGTTTCGTATCAATGCGTTTTGCTTTTATATGTAATCACAGGAGCAGTCGCAGTCCTCCGATTTTTTGTAAAAAATTTCATTCCTTTTCTAGGGTGAACTGTACAAGGTAGGTCTGTTAATTTTTTTATATTTGCCTCTCTCTGAGGAGGTGGGACGAGCTTGAAGCAAGGTTTCCAATCAGGAAGCACTTTCCCATACCTTGGAGGAAAGTGTCTCTTACTTTTCAGCAGCTCGATCCCAGTAGAAGTTTCTCCCATTATTCCTTTCCCCCACAAGCTGAAATCTGTCTGGTAGCTAGGTTGAAGTGCTTTTATTCCTCCTTTAAACTTTTGTGACCGTTCTCCATCCCATTCTTCAAACATCTTTATATCAGTTATATAGCTATATTAAATAAATATTAACTAGATATTTAAAATTTTATATTGATATTATGAATTCCTATTTAATTAGGCTGATATATTTTATAGCAAACCAAAAGTTTTATAATCTAACAATCTGGCGAGCTTCGAAAGCTGGCTTTACTTCAAATAATTTTAAACTGCTAAATTAATATAAAGCAACATCGTTTAGTGTGCATCCTTATTAAATGAATATTCTTTGCTCGTTACATTAATCCCTATATTTCGCACTGAGATTTTCATCAATATTTCCACTCAACGCATTTTCCAAATCTTCATAAGCATTTCTTTGCATAAACTGCGTATTTTGTAGTCTTTGAATAAGTTCCAATTCTAACTGTTCCATTCTTTCTATTTCCTGCTCTCTTTCAATCCTCGCCTGATTTTCTTCTTCAATTTTCTTCGCAATTTCTTTCTTCAATTTGGCTCTTCTTTCTTCCTCTATAAGTCTTCTTCTCTCTTCAGCCTCTCTTTGCTGTTCCTTTATTTGGTCTCTCAATGACATTTTTTGCATGTTTTCTTCTTTCATCTGAGCTTCTTTTGCTGCTTTTCTTCGTTTATTCACTTCTTTTAAGCTCAGAGCGTCCTGTTTGGCTCTTAACTGCATTTGGTTTCTAAGGGCACTTCTTTTCTTTTTTTCAAACTCCTTTTGTTTCTTGAATTCCTCTGCCTTTTTTTTATTTTCTAGCTCTTTTTCTAGCTGAGCTTGCCTTTGCTGCTGCTGATTTTCTTCATTTTTGGCTCGCGCAGCAAGTATTTCTTGAGCACGCTTTCTAGTCTCTTCGATCTTTTTTAATGCTTTTGCTTCTTCTTGGCGAAGAAGGGAGATTCGATTAGCGAGAAGTCGAGAATCTTCTTCAGCTTGCTTTCTTAGTTGCCTGGCTTCAGAGAGGCCTGAGTGGCTGAAACCATTAATTGAGATGTTAGAATTGGAATTACTATCCATAATTTAAATTTATCCATGAGATGGCATTTATTTAAGTAGAGAGAATATTTTTCTTCTAGAATAGCTTCGCTAATTAATAGAAATCATATAGAAAAAAATATCAATTTGCTTTATTTATCCAACATAATAATAAAATAATCGTCTTAAAGTCGCCAGATGGTAGAGTTCATATAGACTTAATTAAAATTTCCGTTTTGATATATTTTCTGTGATTTTTTGACTTACGAATAGAAATGGTAAAAATTAGATGCAGCAAGAAAGCTTTAGCGCACTCAAAAATGATGTCAATTCCAGAGCTCAGCAGACTATTAACGGTCTCTTAGGCAATAAAGAATACAACCAAGAAGAAGTGCCGCAGTGGACTGCTCATCTTTCTGAGGAGATTGTAAAATCTTTGAAAGAGCTCAGCAGCAATTTCAAGTATTGTGTTTCGTGTGTCATTCTTCAAAAAGGAGACGCTGGAATGCACATGAGTTCCACCTGCTTTTGGGATAGCAATCTTGATGGAAGCGTAGCAATCAAATGGGAAAATAACTCAATGCATTGCATTGTCAATATTTATGGCATTGCATTCTAAACTTAACTTTAAGAGGCTCTTAATCAGGATTTGTGATATTAATCTCTTTTAGTATGGTGAGGCTGTTCTCCTATAAGCAATCTTGACTAGAAAAAGTATAATGCGATATTCTAGAGGGCAGAATATACTTAGTAATAGCTTTATTGTTTTCAATTTTACTATGACTTAAGCTGAGATGTAAATTTAATACATTTAAATTAAATTAAGTGCAAGTTTTCACTGCTATGGTCTTAATTAATTTCTCTTAATTTGATTTATTAATTATCAATTAAAATATTTTATTATCGATTAAAGTTTTAATAAGTCTAGCTTAACTAGGAATGCTTAAATCAAATATAGCTTGAACTGGATAATGATCGCTTGGATAAAACTGTCCATCTTTTATATGTGTGAGAACTCTGCCTTCAACCACATTTAGGTTTTTGAACCAAATGTAATCATAACATCCAACTTCCCCAAACCTTTCCCAGTTTTCTCTACTTCCAAGCATTTCTGTTGGCCATGTTACATCAGGCTCTTTTCCATGCACTTCTTTCATTGAGGATTTAAAGTGTCTACTGAAGAACTCATAAGTTTCAGATTCAGGGACACAATTGAAATCTCCCATCACAATTATGGCAGAATTCATCATAGGTCTAAGCCAATCAATTAGCATCATTGCTTGCTCAAGTCTTTCTTCTTCAGTAATGTGGTCTAAATGTGTGTTGACTACCCATATTTCTCTGCCATTTACCCTTATTTTCATTCTTTGAGCCACCCTTGTGTTTGATTTATAGGTCAAGTATCCTTCTGCAAGGATTTTTATATCATTTTTGATTAGGATGCCATTTCCATCGATTTTTAAGTTTATTGATCCTAGTTCCGTTCACATTAATGGTATTGGTGCTGGGGAGTAAATAAATTTGTAACCTGGATGATTGCAGATATCTTTGTTTCCATTATAATCAATTTCTTGAAGTCCAACAATATCACTATCCATTTCATCAATAGTTCTCTTTATAAGCGGACTTCTATGCTCATAATACAAGCAAGAGTTCAAAATATTAAAAGTGCTGACTTTCAGCATTTTTATTGTAATCATTTAATACATCAAATAAACTTATATCACTTTAAAATAGAATATTATTGGCTCGATATACTCTATAATAAAGTCATAAAAAAAGTTAAAAAATTGAGTTAGTTTATGAATTCTGCTTAGCAAATTTTTAAGCTATTTTTTGATAAAATAACGGAGCATAAATTTTTAAGTTCTAACTAGAATTTGTTTAGTTAAAATTTAATTCGAAAACTGCTTCTAATGGATAGTGGTCGCTAGGACAAATATTACCATCTTTTATATCGGTAATTATGTTTGCGGATTTTACATTGATATTCTTAAACCAAATATAATCGTAACAATCAGCCTCTCCATATTGTCCCCAAACTTCCTTTGATCCTAAAAGCTCTGTTGGCCAGGTCACAGCTGGCTCTTTTCCATGTATTGTTTTCATAGCTGACCTAAAATGCCTTGTCAATAAATTATAAGTTGGTGAATCAGGAATACAATTGAAATCTCCCAATAGAATAATAGGAAATCCCAAGTAATTCCTAATTCATTCCAATAACTGAGAAGCTTGGCTAAGTCTTTCATCCTCGGAAATATGGTCTAAATGAGTGTTCACAATATACATTTCTTTGTTTTCTATGCGAATCTTCATAAGTTGGGCTACACGAATACTTGAGCGGTAGGTGAAATAACTTTCAGATATGATCTTGATGTCAGATTTAATCAAAATTCCATTCCCATCAATGCGAAAGGTTGGATCATTCCAAAACATTGGCTCTGGAAGAGGAGAAAAAATAAAATTAAAACCGGTTCTTGTGTAGATGTTGCGGTTTCCTTCGAAATTTACCTCTTGAAATCCAACTATAGAGCTGCCCATAGAGTCTAAAGCTTGAGTTATTAGACGACTTCTAATTGGATAGGTGAGAAAAGTGTTGAATATGTTAAAGGTACTTACTTTTAGCATATTCATTACTATAAATTAAGAAAAAATTTTCAATTCTTGCTAGACCTAAAGAAACATCATAATAATTTCATGATTTACAAATTCTTTTACTTTTCGCGGCATAAATATATATGAAAGCATATACATGCACAGATGTAAAGATTTTGCTTGCAATGAGATCTATAAATATTAAAATTGACAAAATCATCGCCTTTACTTTATGTACTCCATTCATATTTACTGAATTAAGGCTATAAACGATTTTAGTAAGGATTTATAGTAAAATAGTTAAGCGGATTCGAATAATCTTTTTAAACATCGACAGACTCGAACTCATCAAGCCCAAATCCATGAATTTTGGGTAAATTTAAACTCCTATTACTGTCACGATTCCTCATTATTGATTGCTTCATTTTTTCAACCTGAGGGGACTCATATTTTGAATTCAGCCAACCTCTGTAATTGACAGGTAAAGAGTTTATCGAAAATTCTTCATTTCTCGGTGTTTTATGCGGTCTTGAGCAGCAATCGCAGAGTAAATTCATGATATTTATTTAATATTAGTTACATTTTGGTGAGATTTCACAAATTAACATTAGAATGTTGTAGCAATTGAAATCCAAAACTTTTGCATGGATTTCATTAGATTTTATTGCAGACTAATACTAAATTTTCTATTTAAATATTTAATAAATTATATCAACTTAATTTTTTTTGAGATGATTCTAAATTAATACTTGTTATTTTAAAATCACAAAACTTTATTAAAGGAGTAATTATAAAAATTTTAGATTAGGAAATAATTAGTGAATCCCCGAAATATGGAAAACCGGCAATATCTTTATCAACTCTTCACAGAGCGCGGGTTTTTATCTGTAAGCGGAGCAGCCAAGGCACTCAATATAAGTATTGATATTGCATCAAACTTATTATTAGAAATGCTTCAATTCCCTGAAATATCTGCAATTTACTCTATTTACGACCCATCAGGAATAAAATTAGTAAAAAATCCTTCCGTAATCGAAGGTGCCACATTATTTGCTATTTCTCAGCTAAATCCTCATCAAAGCTCCTTTAATATAGAATATTCTCAGCAAAGACCCTCAATGAGGTCTCCAAATCTTGTTTATCCGCCCTGCAAAATTGGTCCTTATCTGCAAACTAGGAGAGAGTTTGAAAAACCAAGCATAAATATAGAGGTTCAATCATCTCCAGCAGTCTTAGCAAAACCTGTAGAAAAAGCATCAGCAGCGGTAATTCTGAATTCTGAAAGAAATAAGCCAAGTGATCCAATTAAGCCAAGCATCTTTAAGGGTCCATCTCAAAGCCAAATTTCATTTGCAAAGGCCAGTCAATCTTTTGAAACCCCAGAAAAAATAGCCAAGCCTCCTCAGCCAGTCCAGAATAAAATTGATTTCCCCAAAGCCCAAGAGAACCAAGAAGTTATTGAGCAAATCCCTATGAATGTAGAGCCCAAGCCAAAGCCAAAAAAGAAAAGTGGAATTAATGAGATTTTATCAAGCAGTATTTATACAGCTGAAGAAGAAGACCGAATGGATATTGTCGAAGAGCCAAAGCTTGAAACAACGCTAAAGAGGAAGCTAAAAATCGAAGAAAAAGACAATAAAAAAGTAAAAATGGAGCTGCAGCAGCCAACGCCTCCAATCCCAATGCCAGAAGGTCCAAGAGTAAAGCACGTAAAAACAGTGGTTTCAAAGACTTACATAAATGAAAAAGGATACCTCGTCACCGAAGATGTCGTAGAAGATCAAATAGTCACTATAACTGACCCAGAGCCAAGAATAAAGCCAACACAAATACTTGGGTGCAAAAAAGGGACCCAGTCATGTATGCAAGCCTTTTTGGTGAAATCATAAATTTTAATTTATGCTAATTCATTTCCATATTTAAATTACTAACGGATGAGTAGTCCAGCAAGAGATTACCCTCTCTCTCGGTCAAGAATTGAGACTGAGACATATTCACCGATGATTGTTGATGATTTACTAAGCGGCCTCAATGAGTGAAGAAGCGTTCAAGACATCATAAGACTGACTTTCAAAGCATTATCAGATGTAGTTAAAAGCCAAGGTGGCAGTATTAAGGATCTTGAACTCCAAATGCCTTCAAAAGCGTCGAAAGCTGAGCTAAATTCAGGACTGGCTATGAAAGCCAATATTTCTGATATATCTCGCACTTTTTCCGAACTGCGCAGTTCTTTGGACTCAAAAGCAACCATTGATGACGTTTATCCTTTGGTTGAGGACAAGGTCTCTCGCAGTGATCTTCAATACTTGTTAGGCAATAAAGTAAGCTATGAAGAGCTTAGAACTGCACTTGAAGCCAAGGCTGATTTAAGAGAAATTCAATCAGAAGTCCGAGCATTGCGTGCTGCAATGGAAGAAATGCATGAAGAAACGTACCGGAAGCTTCAGCAGTGTGCTAATGTAAGAGATATCCAAAATATCGAAAAGCAGCTAGAAATCAAAGCAAATATTTCAGATGTAAATGAAGCCTTACAAGAAAAAGCCAATAAAGAGTCAGTTGCTAATGCTCTTCACAGGAAAGCGAATAGAGTTGATATTGATGCACTGTTAAGTAAAAAGGCAGAGCTCATTGAGCTGAAAAATTTAGAAAGGGTTGTAGATACAAAAGCAGATATCAGCAACTTTGATTTATTAGCAAGAGAAGTTGAGCTGAAAGGAGATAGAGCTGAAATCACAAAATATATCACCTATGAGCTTTCGAAAAAAGCTGAAAAAACAGATATAGATGGAGTATTAGGAAGTCTAAACAGCTCGAAAAAAGATACAGAGTCAAAAACAAGCCAGAAGTTTTTAGAGGTTGAGCAATATTTGAGCAACCTAAAAGTGGAATATGATAAAATGCAGGCAAGCATTTCTGCTGCTTTAGCAAGAAAAAGTGACGTCAGGGATTTTGAAAAGCTGAGTCAACTGGTTGGGAAAAAATCTGATTCAGAAAATGTTGGAGCAGCATTGGGGAGCCTTAAAGCAGAAGTTTTAGACTTAATAAACGGTCTTCAATCGCAACTTAAGTATGAGAGCCGCAGGATTGAAGAATATTTTACCGATAAAACTGAAAAACTTGGAATGAATGGGAAAATTTTGGAAGAAGAAATTGGAAAAGTGAAGGCCATTTCTCAAACTTCAAGCAGTCAAGGCAAAGCTGATCTCGACGAAAGCATGAAATATGTACAAAATGTGCTAGCTTCTATTAAAAATGAAGATATCAAAGTCCTTAGACATGAAATAGCTGCTGTTCAAAGAGATGTGGAAGAATTGCATGCCAGAAAGTCAGACAAAGCAGAGACTTTGAAATATCTTGAGTCCAAGGCTGATATAAAACAACTTCAAGAGTCTCTTGATAAGCTGTACAAAATTAAGATTAAGATTAAGATTTTTTGATTATAAGCGGGATTCCCACTAGCATAACTACCTAGACTCCATAAAGGAGGACTAATCTTGGTGCTCATAGACCATAGTGCAAATGATGGAAGGTCCAACTAAAATTCCACCTCTTGAATTTTCTGGCCAAACTCACCTAACCTTAGGATCAGCTCCCTAGGCTAGAGCCATCCTCTGTAGGGTGCCCCAATAATTCCAATAGACGGGGACTGTGTGAGAAGCAAACCTGTCTAGCCAATTTGGCAGAGGGAGGAAAATCTTCAGGAGGAACAAAACTTCCCTCTTCGGTAAGGCATCTCTCAACGTCACCATTTTATTTCTATAATCTGTACAAAGTTAAAGTTAAAAATTATAAGGCCATGAGCAGATAGACCCATAGTCTGCCTATCTGGTATAAAAACCCACCTAACCTAAGGATTAGCTCCTTAGGTTGGAGCCACCAATAAGCAAAGACTAAACCTGTCTAGCCAATCAGGCAGGTACAGGTGATGCCTTCAGGGGAGAAGCAAAACTTCCCTCTTCGGCAGGGATCTCCAAAATCAAGGCCTACTTCAAAAAGTGACTAAGGCACTAAATTTAGCTTACCTGTTTCATAGAGAGTTTGCCTCGGAGTCAATCTTCATCGACGTCATCATTTGATTTCTATAAGCTGTACAAGGAATCCATTAGAGAAATCAGAGACAACAAAGACGAGGTGACTAACTTAATTCTCCGCAAGGAAAGAGATCTTGCAGCCTCTATTGACAAAAAGGCTTCTCTAGGTGATGTCAATTCTTTTGTGTATGAAAAATCAGAAAATCTACTCCAAAAAATAAAATCTGAAGATTTAGAGTCACTAAAAACTTACTCACGATCCCAAGGAATAGATTTGGATTCCAAAATAAGAGACCTTCAGAAAGTTATAGATCATATCAGCAAGGAGTTTGTTGCTCGTTCTAACATAAAGGAAATTTATTCTCTATTGGACCTTAAAGCAAACTCGGATGAAGTAAATAAAATTATCCAAGGAATCCATAGAGAATTAGACCTAAAAGCAGCAAACGATGACCTAAACGTCCATATCAATGAGCAGTCAATTCTTAACGAACTACTATGTGCAGAAAATTGTGTAGCAAGGTGGATATGGAAATCTGGAGATCTTAGAGCTGGAAATTCAATACCTTGGGAAATCCAAAGTGTCAATACGTGTCCTGATAATTTCTTGTGGGAAAAAGAAAAGACCAGCGTTTTGACGATAGCGCCAGGACTTTATGAAGTAATTTACGGATTTTTCAGTAGGGTCAGACCAATTGTACAGCTGCTGGTAAACGGTCAGCCTGTGCTTACCGAATGCCAAAACGAAGGGAAAATCTGGGGAAGACACCCAGACGGCAATATTATTGGATACACGATAAAAGATTTTATAGCCTTGCCAGCGAGAGCTCGCATATCTATAGTCTATTCAGGAGATTTAGAAGTCGAAGGGTTTTTAGGATTACGAAAATTATAGATTAAAATAAAGCATCTTGATTTGAAAGCTCTTCTTTCAATTCTTCTACTTCTTTATTTAAACTCTGTATTAATTCATTTTTCTTGTCAATCTTCGCAGACAGCTTTGAACGAGAAGTTATGCGAGATTTTAAAGAAGATAAAATTGAGGTCATAGCATCAAGGTCTTCAGAAATATCACACTCTGTAGAAGTGCTAGAAATTCGGTTTATAACCTCTGAAGACTCATATGAAGAACTTGCAAGGGTTCTTTTAGAAGTTCTTCTGGATTCATTGTGAATGTATCCTATACAAATGATAGAATCATTCGGGTTCAATATGGTTGAGGGAAGGGGGTTGATTAAAATAGCTTCATTTGGCCAGCTGCAGTCTTTTATCAGAGACATTTCTTCTTGCAGCCATTTCCTCGGCGACATTTGGTTGAAAAATAACTGTTTTGTCTGTCAAATGACTAGCGAGAAAAAAATAGGACTCAATGATATCAAGGGAATGTCTACGGAAAAAATCACAACAAAAGACATGCTATACACTTGGCCTGTAATCATGTTGCTGGATCTTTCTTGACATTATTCCAATAGGAATTATTGGAAATTGCAGAGATAAGAGATCAAAAAAGAGGTTCTCATAAGTAGGGACACTTTCATAAAAATAAATGGATGGTATTTTAATTGTGTGGATTTTTGAATTTTCCAAAATTTCACCTTCATTTTGATCTATTGCAGTAATTTTGCTCAAAATGTCAATCAAGTCTTGATTGTAGTAGATTTGGCATATCAAGGAATCCAAATAACAGGAAAAAAAGCATTTTCCTGATAAATGCTGAGGCCACAGTAGATGTGGCAATTCTTGGCACTTACCTTTGGGCCGGTTCCCTAACTTTCCCTATTGCGAGAAAAAACCAAAAATTCATGATCGTTAGTAGTAGTGTTAATTTTAAGATATTATATAAAAAATTTAAAAAAACTAATTTAATAAATAAAGTTTAGATGCAATCTGTTTAAATTATAATATAATAGCTGGAGATCTTTCTTATTCCATTAGTTATTTATTTGCAATGCTTTTTATTTTAAAAAATGTCTTGCTTGTTTGTTAGGGTTAAATTTTCCAAAAATAGAGATTTTTCTAATGATTTTGCTTGCTAATCAAGGGGGAGCATAAGAACCTTATATATGCCTCATCTGAAAGTTCGACATATACATTTATGTGTGGAAAACTCATTTCAATCAATCTTGATACCAAAATGGCATCAGAATCTGGAGAAAAATCGTTTTTATTAGCGGAGGCTAAAATTATAACAGCCTTGCACTCACAAACAGCTGATTTGTACATCTCTTGGTAACTTCTTAAGCTCCCCTTAAAGAAGTAAAGATTCTGATATTGTTCGGTGAGTTTTATTCATTCACTAGAAGGTTCTGCTTCATTTACAAAGCAAATTGGCTGCAGTGAATAAGACCTTAAGGCTCTGATTAGGGTAGAGAGCCCTTCAATTTCTCCAAATATAATGATGTGATTCGAAATCTCACCATTCAAATCATCTTTTCATAAATGATAAACTCTTCCTTTTGTAAGGTTACATTGATATGAGTTATTTATTTGTTGAGCCATAATAAAAGCTTGCTCAATGTGGCTCTGATTTTGTGGAAGGCTGTTTGAATTTTTTTCATTTGAAGCAGAAACATACGTAGTTAACCTATCAGCTGTTTCTTGATCTTCCGCTATCACAAAAAGCTTGTCTCCAGATTGAACTGTATATTGGCAAGGGTTTATTAAAACCAATTTATTTCCAGATTTGGTGTTTGAAGCTTTAACTCCGAGCACTAGAACGCCATGCGAATTTAAGTATACTTCTTTAACTATATCAATAAACAGCTTATTCGCAAAGTCTTTTGGCGCTGCCACACAATAAATTTCTTGGCTGAGTCCTTGAGCTGCAAGTAAAAGCCAGTCATAATTAAAATGGCTGGGGAGCTTAAGATCATTAGTTGTATAAAGCGAAGTTATGAGAGTCGAAAATCCTTGGTTATAAACTGAGAGCCCTAAAATACTCATTTTAATATTTTGAATTGATAAAACAGTGTGCCATGGGGCAAACTTTGCTATTGTATCAGGAAATGGCCTTACTAATTGTAAATAGGTCTGAGTATAAGGTGAAAAATGCTGAGCCATTTTAGTTATAGAAGTTTCTTTTCAATAGCGCGATAAGGCGCATTCCTAGGTTTTACCGGATGATCTTAAACATATGAAAACTTGCTATTCTTTATTCATGGGGGAGAAAAACAGCCTAAATAAAGAATTCTGCCTGATCAATCTCGAGAACAAGAGAGGCTGTGTGAAAAATTTACATTTTGGTTCGTCAAATGAATCTGACGAGCCAATTCTGGCCAGTACTTGAAATGAAAAATGGTAGTTGCCAGAATTTTATTAATTTTTTGATGGTGAGTATAATCAGAGTTTTAAATAAATGGCACAAGATCAGACAACTTATTCCTTTCAAACCGATCTAATAATTCCTTTGGTAATAATTATAACTGCTTAATAAAAGCCAAAGTTTGTGCTAACTCCCCCCCCCCCCTCCGTGAGCGAACAAAAAATTTTTGTTCGCTCACGGAGGGGGGTTAATTTTATTTTTTAAAAAAAATTATATATAAATTTTTAATTGTAAAATAATATTTTTTTATAAGTTGAAAATTATTTTAAAAATATTATGGGGGGAGAGTAAGGGAATTTCCCCAACAAAAAAAAGAATACCATTTGATTAAAGGTAAAACACAGCTTAAATTTTTCAATAATTTAATAATCAATAAACCTATTAGTAATAAATATTTTATATATTTTCTTATTTAATATAATAAGCAAATTCTCTATAAATCATAATAAAAATGTACAAAGGGAAAAGAAAGTACATTGAAATTTGGCAGAAAGTTGAAATTGCTGAATTTTACATTCAACACCAAAATGAGATGAGCATGAGAGATGTTGCTGCAAAGTTTCATGTCAACTCCTTTAGCTCGATTTCCGAATGGGTGAATAAGCTTGATGAGTTGAAGAAATCAGTAAAATCTGATAAAAAATTAAAATTAGAAAGCTTCACTCAATTTCCAGAGCTAGAGAAAGAACTAGTTCATTGGTTTACTGCAATCCGTGAGCAAGGTATTCAGGTTCTCAGATCAACGATTGAGGAGAAAGCAAAAAGTTTTGCGGCAGAAATGGGATTGGCGCGATTCGGCTGTGGAGATAAATGGTGGCAAGGATTTAGGACCAGAAATAATTTATCTTTCAGAAAAATCAATGCCTCAAGCATTAAGCCAATCGAAAAAGAGGCAGAACTTGTCAGGCAATACCTAGATGATTTAGCGTCATTGCTTCCTCAATTCGTTCCATCTAACATTTACAATTTCGATGAAACGAGATTTGATTGAGATGTAAAAAGCAAGTTCACTTATGATTTCAAGGGAACTCAACGAATTCTAGGCGTTCAATCAGCTAAAATGAACCATTTTATCACTGTTATGCTTATGATTAGAGCTGATGGAGAAAAAATGCCTGCTTTGCTCATTTTTCAAGAGAAAAATGGCCAGATCCCGAACCTTGTAAGAGAAAGACTGAATATTCCAGAAAAATGTCATCATAAAAATCAAATAAATCTGGCTAAATTTCTGACCAGATTCTTAATGACTACCTCAGAACAATATTGAGACGAGAAAACCAACTGCTGATTTATGATCAGGCTGGAAGTCATAAAACTATCATGATTTCTAATGCAATTTCAGATTTAGATGCAACCAAAATTGTGATCCCTGGAGGGTGCACAAAGTATTTGCAACCACTTGACGCACTGGTAATTGCAAATTTCAAATCAAAAACAACAGATTTCAGAATCAAATTCCAAACAGAGCAGATTGAAAGAAGATCGAAAAGAACTGGGAAACCTCAAAGCTCTTGATCGCCAGCAACTGATAAACATTGCTTCAAAGGCGTGAGATGCTGTAAGCCCTCAACTTGTCAGAAAATCATTTGAGTTGACGGGTTCTTATGGCGTTAATCATCCAAAGATTTTCAGCCATCAAGTTAATATGAAGAAGTTAATTATCTAATCGATTTCTTCTATTCATTTTTTTGTCTTAAATTTAAAATTGTTAAATTCAACCCTTTTCACTTATGGTATTCTTTTTTTTAACCCTTTGAATAATATATCAAACAAACTTAATAATTATTTTTCAATATTATCCTCTTTATATGTATTAAATATAGATATAATAAACTATATATAAAATTATATGTAAAAAAATTTTTTGTTCGCTCACGGAGGGTGGGTTTTTGACCAAAAAATAGGGATTTTTCTAATGGTTTTGTTCGCTCACGGGGGGGGGGGGGAGTAAGCGCTTGTTGTTCTTTACGAAATTACTAATGACTCATATTGTTTTCGTTAGAAAATTAAAATGGAGTTAATAATTAAAAACTTGTTGATCGAGTTGTGTTTTTGCGGAAGGATAGATTTCTAAACCAATGATGGCAATTTAATTATGATCAACTGCTTTATAAAAGCCAAAGTTTGTGCTAAGCGCTTGCTGTTCTTTACGAACTTACTAACGACTCATATGGTTTTCGTTAGAAAATTAAAATGGAGTTAATAATTAAAAACTTGTTGATCGAGTTGTGTTTTTGCGGAAGGATAGATTTCTTAATAAATGATGGCAATTTAATTATGATCAACTGCTTTATAAAAGCCAAAGTTTGTGCTAAGCGCTTGCTGTTCTTTACGAACTTACTAATGACTAACTTGGTTTTCGTTAGAAAAATTAAAATGGAGTTAATAATTAAAAACTTGTTGATCGAGTTGTGTTTTTTGCGGAAGGATAGATTTTCTAAATAAATGATGATGCCAATTTAATTATGACTAACTGCTTTATAAAAGCCAAAGTTTGTGCTAAGCGCTTGTTGCTCTTTACGAACTTTACTAATGTTATTAAAAATTTTCTTCTTAAATTTCTTTCAAATGTTAAAAAATAAAATTTTAAAAATAATTATATCAATATAAATAAATTTTTTAAAATAAAATAATAATTTTTTAAAATTTATTATATCTTTTATAAAATGGGACTTTAATTTTAACAATATTTTTTAAGTGGGTTGTCTTATCCTGTGCATTTATTAAAATTCTGATCATACTTGCCATCAGAAATTAATAAAATTCTGGCAACTATCATTTATAATTTCAAGTACCGGCCAGAATTGGCTCGCCAGATCCATTTGACGAAACCAAAAGTGTAAATTTGCAAATAGCCTCTCTTTAAGTTCTCGAGATTGATCAGCCAGAACTCTTTATTTTCACTGTATGACTCTCTTACAAAGAAGGAACATCAGATTTTCATGGTCCAAAGACCTTTTAGTCAAACCAGGAAGCACGCCTTATCGCGCTATTGAAGAGAAAGTTCTATATCATGATTGCGCTGATATCTTTGCTTTCAGGGTGCTTATCATGCTGATTTGTTAGAATAAAAATTGAATCCGCCATATAAGCATTAGCTTTTTCTAAGGTTATTGGAAATATTGGATCCCCTTCCAGATATTTAACTTTCCCTTTATATTTCCCTTTAAATAATTTCAGTAGTTCTTCATTTGGATAGCCATTTCCAATAACTACACAATTACTCTTTGTTTTTCCATGGTCCATATGATAGAATTGGCTTAAGAACCTTGACAAGCCTGCAGGGGTATAGTATCCCATTACAATTATATGGTCAGCCAAATTATACTTTGTGTCATATTTCGAATAATTCCCAACCAGCTGTGATAGTTTAGATAGTTGATCACTAATCACATAGAGCATTGTTAAAATCATAAGCACAACAATGATCCTTGAGCTAGTTGCGATAGGATAGACATCTCCGTATCCTACTGTTGCAGTAGTCACAATGGTATAGTAAAAAGCTGTCAGGAAATCAAAATCGCCACTATTCACATAAAATGATTTTTTATCAGTGGCATTTAGAGCATTTAGAAGCCCAGCACCTATAAATAACACGCTAAAAAGCGTGACAACCAGAATTGACAACTGCTTTACAACAGCTGAAAACCCAGTGGTCGAAGATAAAACTTCTATTTCGTTATCTTCATAGTCTCCTCGGAGGACTTTAAAAGCTTGGGTAAATCTAATAATTCTCAGTACTCTCAAAATTCTGAAAAAATTAAAACTGCTTGATAAAGTTCCAAAAATTAAATCTGCATAAATAGGGACAATCGTTAATGCATCAATTAGAGTTGCTGAGGAGACGACGAAATCATATTTTCTTTGTGTATAAAAGAACCTATAAAACCAATCAGCTAAAAAAAAGCTAACTATAATCAAATCTAAAATCCGAAAATCTGAGCGATAATTATCATCATAATATGTTTCCAAAATATACAAAATACATGCGAAAATTGTTAAGCAAATATCAAAGCCAGCTCCAAATAGTCCGAGCACTTTTTTCATGTACTTGTATTTTGCACTTTTTATTGTAAACTCTTTCCTCATGTGCTTTATATGCTTTTTATAAGATTTAATGATTTTTTCGGGAGCATTACAATTGTTGAGCACTTTGCATGTGTAGGGATCGATAAATGGGCCTTTTAATCGATATTTTTCTATTTCATCTCATACCCTCCTCAATCTTTCTTCTGCTTCTTCTTCATTTGCTCGCTTAATCCGCGTGTTGATAATACTCATTTAAATATAGTAACATTTTTACTGCAATTTAATAATGCAAATTATAAGGGTATTCGTTAAAGAAAAATTAATTGATAATCTTCATTTTTGAAGATTGATTGTAAGCTAGTAATAGTGATCCTTTTGTCAAAAAAATAATGCTAATCTTAATTTTCCAACTAGGAATATAAATTTTAATTATCAGAAAAATAAAGAAAATCTTTTAAATTATTAAAATATATTAATGACTTGGATGTTATGTTACTCAATTATATTAAATATAAAGGTAATCAGTTTGTGCATAGTGTTAAATTTTTATTATCAGCTCGGTATTATTTGAATTACTTATAATAAAAAGTTGCTTCACTAACTTCAAATTCGCTTATTTAGCTGTGTTAAGATTAAACACCTGGAGGTTTTGGCACACTCCACCATGCATTGATGGCTTGAACACCTACATATCCTGTCATTGCAATTGGAAAAATTGCCACTGACCTTAGTAAAGGCACCATAGCTACGCTTATTCCTGCTGCATATAGCCCATATTCCTTTGATTTTAAATATGTGACATATCTCACTTCTTTTCAGTATTCTTTTTTGAGCTGCTTCCTTACCTTCCTATCCTCTTCAGCTATATCTCTCTTAGCTCTTTCCCTTATTTCTATTTTTGCTTGCTTATCTAACCTTTCGTCAGACATTTATATATCTATTGAATTAAACTAAGCTGTTTTAAATAAAGACTCTGAGTGAATGTTCTTGAATCTTTCCTCAGCACGGTTTGCATTAGTTTGCAATTTTCTTACTGTATCAACATCCAATGCCTTCAGAGGGAAGCTTCTTCTATTTTTCTCCGCATAAGTTCTCAAAATGAAGTAATATTTCGCATACTCACTCTTTTTAATCCCTACATCATAATCCACAAGGGTCAAAAAGAGCCTCTCCATTGAGTTGATTTCTTTCAAGCTGAACTTTGTGAAAACTTTTGCAAAGTGGATGTTTTCATACGACTCGTCATCCCAAACTTTACTTGCAATGATCAGAGAAATTAATATTAATTTTTTCCAATTTTTCTCATTCACGTAGAGCCCAGACTTATTTATCATTCTTTCAATATATATCAAAGAAATTATTGAGCATTCTTTCTCCATTTTTGATCTAAAAATGATGTTCTTGCAGAAGTAGTAAATATCTTTTTCCAGAGGAGCACGTTTGGATTGGGCTTGAGGGTCGTCAAATTCTTGTCTAAACAGGGCAATTACAGCACCAGGGACCTTAGGTCCTTCGTCAAATCTGGAATTATCGACTGGGACATTTAATTCCTGAAAGAAATTAGGCAGTGAACTTATTGAAAGCTTCAGTGGGGAAATATCCTCGCGGCTTTTAGAAATCTCCAAAGAATGTTCTATATGCAGTCTCAATGCTTTTGACAAGCATCTACACATTTCTTCAATATCTAGATGAGCAAGGGTTGATCTCATACGAAAAGAATCATATGAAACACCTACTTCCTTTCTTCGTATATCAATAGTAGGTAACGGGTCATTTCCCACTGAATCTGCTGCCTGTGGTTTCTTACTGAGTGCTTCCTTTTGCTGGTTTAGTTCATTTGTGAGCTTGTTTATTTTATTTTTGGCCTCTTCCAATTCTCGTTTGAGCTTTATTTGCTTTTCTTCCTCTTTTCTTTCTTGGTCAATTTTATCATTATATTGTTCAATCATATTAGTCAGCTTTCCGTAATCTTCGCTTTGATCTTCGCTTTCTTTTTGCTCAGCAAATGAGTTTCTCCTTTCTCGCTTATGGGATTCTTCAGCACCTTTTATTGTTGAAGTGCTGCGCTTGTGGGTTCTTGTGTTTTCCGGCATCAGAAAGCGCATAATTTCAATCATGTCATTGAATTTCATGGCATCAGCTGGAGTTAGGTTTAAACGATCAGCGATGCTTTGGATTTGCTCTTTTGTGGAGGTTGCAAGAATTTTGAGATCATATGCATAGCCAAGCTCCATTAGCTTCTGAGCGTATTGCTGAAGAGAAAAAGATTGAAGGATACGGAAAAGTGGGACTATTTGCTGAGGAGAATGCTCTGGACGCAGAAATTCCATTTATATATTATAATATTTTGAATTTAAATTACTCATTAATTCTATTATTAGCTTTCATTATATCATAAGCTTGAGCTCCATGTCTGCTGACTCTGTTTTTGTATTATCATACTTTGTTGGATTTGGCATTCCATCACTTTTATCATATAAGTTCAGCATTTCTTGAATTGCATCACCTCTTTCTGAAATATCCGCTCCAGTCATCTTAGTTTCTCTGGCTGATTTCCAACCTTTATAGTTTTTTTCAACAATCCTCATCACCCCACTCACAGCCCCCATGGCTCCAAAAACTGATCCTAAAAGTGCACTTAGCACAGTGAGTCAGCCTTGCTTCTCGAACCTTTGTGTGTAGACGCTATTTAAGTCTTTATTCAGCATAATCATCAGCTTTAAGTTCGAAGTGAAAGGCAAACTATGATAAATATTACTTTTTAATTGCATATTGAGAGCCAGCTTCAGGCGGAGTGTTATAGGAGACATGATAGCCTGTAAGTTTGTCTGGCCAGTCAGATACATAAGACCTAAAAAGTGAAGGAATCATCGAAAAATAAAATTTACTTGGATTAGCTCCTCTGAATACCTGATTTTTTTGTGGCAGTAGCGATTGAGAAATGCTGCTAAATTGATTCGGAATTGAAGAAGATGAATTCAAGCTGACACTTATAGCAGAAGTGTAGCTCTGCTTTTCTTGCAGGTCTAATTCAATATATGCTCCAGTGCTAATAACGCAGCTTGCAAAAGAAAATGAAATGTGGCAATTTCCTTCAGATCGGCTGCACTTCAGCTCCATCCAAGAATACGAGATCTCATGAAGAGTTTTAAGCAGCGAAGACTCACATTTGCCATTATCCACACAGTTTCCTCCATATCTATACAAAACAACCTCTATATTCACGGTTGCAGGAAAATCAGTCAGTTCATTTTCCAAAGCAACAAGTGGCACAAGTGACTTATCTTCATATATATTATTTTTGGCGTACACAATCCATGCATCGCAAATTAAAATAATCGCAGCTACCAGGAAGACTATCGTAAATGTCCCTCCAAGTTTGGTGCTGTGTCTTTTCATGATTTGAAAAAGCTGATAGTTGTGGCCTTCTTTGTAGAGGTCGAGTGCTTTCAGCTTGTCTCTCAAAAAGTTAATTGACACAAATAGAATAAAAATGATGAAGAAAAGCACACAAACTGTAGTTATCATGGCGTTAAAAGCGTCATCTGCGTCCGAGTTATAAGAAGAGGTATCAAATAATGATGGTTGGCTTGATGAATAAGAATTGATTGAGTCAGTCTCTAGAGGTGATGAACTTCCAACGGGGCAGTATTTATTAACAGGGCAGGCCCTGCAAGTAGCTGAGCCTTCAAATGAATTGTAAGAGCTTGAATCGCATGGGTAGCATTGATAAGCTGTATTCGCACCTTTTGTAGGGTTAAATGTCCCTGATGGACAGCTGAAACAAGTTGTGGCACCATAAGAAGGATTGAATGTGCCTGCAGGACATGGCACACAAGCATTGTTTTGAATATAAGTTCCAGGACTACAAGTCCAATGGCATGAAGTATTTGTGGACGTATCGCAAGCAAGCTCAATTTTTATGAAACTGCCTTGTGCCAAAAATGCTCGCATTGCTTCCCCAGCAACTGACCCTCCTCCTTGAATGTAAAAGCTCTTCTTGTAATATAAAGAAGCAGACGAATAAAAATAGTCTTCCATGGAGTTTTGAGAAGTAATTGTATCAGTATCTAAATTAAGAACAAAGATACTAGGCTTTAAATCTGTTCCTCATGCTTGTCCACCTAGGACACCAACTTCATTATATTTATTAAGCTTGACAGCAGCATTGGCTCTTGCATTTTTGCCACTTTCTTCAAGATAGAGATTCACTCAGTGCTGCAGAGTCATATTAAAAACGTCAACATTACCTATAGGCTCCTCTCCATCAGTTGATCCTAGCATTGTATAGAAAAGAATATTCCCATAGGTATCAGCTGCTAACTCACAACTATGCCATACATTAAGATGGCAACACGCATCAGCCTGCCCTTTTGGTTCAACAGTCCGGACCTTATGGCCACAGGGAACTAGGACGGACTACTAGTAAAGAATCAAGTGCAGGTATAGAGATATGCATCCGGGTAAGTTTTGCCTGCTTTCTGTTGTTGAAAATCGAGATGCCCATTAGTATCCTTTTGAAACCCGAGGATCTATGGGCATTCCTCTACCGATAAACTGGGGGTTTCAGCCCAGACCAGAGGAATAGTCTTTTTCCTATAGCGATCGAAGGCACTTCAACACCCTACAAACTCCAAGGAGCTGATCCTTGGAATCAAGCTACTCCAACCGCCCGTATAAGGGCTGCAGAAATCCATAAGCATTCAAGACTGAAGGCTCAAGAAAGCAGTAGACAGAAGGTACCAGGAGTGGCACCAATTTTTGGGATATAAACCCTCTGGGTTGGAGTCGAAAAGCTGATGAACCTCCAGTACGGAAGGTTTTTTTTAGTGACTGCGTCACCAATATGGCTAACGCCTGATTTTAATACCTAACCTAAATCACAACTATGCCCATAAACTGGCAATGGATGATTCCCTAAAGCAACTTCATATAAAAGTTTATAAGAGTTCGTCCCTGTGTTGTACAACCACAAGTCATTTGTAATTCCAGATTCGGTTTTCCCTCCAAAAATGAAAACATAAGGCAAATAAACCTTCATACAAGCTTCAACACGACCTGCAGGTAAATCTATAGAGCTTGGGATGACTTCTTTCCAGCTAGGTTAGGCTATAAAAGAAGGCTGATTCCAAGGATCCTTCGAGTATGTCAGGTGCCGAAGTGCCTTCGACAGCTGCAGGAAAAAGGCTATTCCACTATGGCTTGGGCTGAAATCCCAATTTCTTGGTACAGGAATATCTATGAGTTCTCAGATCCAAAAGGGCCCAGTTGGGCAACTCCATTTTTAAGCCGCAGGAAAGTAGCTTAAACCTACTCGGATACACATATCTTGAGCCTGCAATTGATTCTTGACTCGGAGTCCATCCCAGTTCGTCGTGGCCATAAGGGCTGAACTGTTGCGCCAAGAGGGCTTGTTGGTATGTGTCGCCATTTTAATTTATGATTTGATTCCAGCTATTCGTTATCAGGTTCAAATAATATAAATCATTCAAGTATGAAGTTCCATCGTATCCTCCAAATATGACCACTAGATCTCCTTGAGAATCAGAAGCGTGCCCTGATCTAGGTGATGGAATGTCCCCACTTGTGAGAATTGATTGCCAAGAAGTAGGATTTTCTGGGTCCAGCTCCCATAAGTCATTATAATAGTCATTTCCATTTTGACCTCCGAATAAGTACAGTTTCGCTTCAGAAGAGCACAATGAATGGCTTTTCCTAGGACTAGGGCTTTTAAACTCATAGCTTAAAACTGTATATGTGATTTCTGAGCTAGTTAGATCAAGTTTAATTAAATTGTTCATAATCGTTACATTATAGCTTGAGCTATAGCCTCCAAATATGTACACAGAGCCACTGCTACTGCCAAAAAATGCATAAGAATCTCGACGAATCATGTTTCAATTTTCGTCTTCTATAGCCCCCTAAAATATTTTAGATCATTATTGACATCTATTTTAATTTTCAAAATTAACTTGCTTTTGTCAGCTTTTTTGAAAAGTTAAAACGAAAATGACAAATTTACGTTTATGGTTTTAAGATGCCTAATCAGAATTAAACTGTATAAGGCAGGTGCCTTGGATTATATTTTTCTATCGTTATTCTGCTGGGGTATAGGGTCTATTATGGCGCATAAATTATACTATAGTCACATTGGACCAGCTATAGTTTGACCCAGTTAAACTCACTTTCATTATATTTCCTAGATCTGCTCCTATAAGGTCAGATCAGCCAAAAAGCAAATAAAATTCATCATTATATATAGCGCTCCCAGTAAGATACCTGTAACTATATGGGTTTGAACTGCTAGTTATATCTTCTCACACACTATTGGCCAAGTCGTACCTGAAAAAATTGTGATTGTACTCAGAAGCTGTTCCATGAATTCCTTGCCCGCCGGCAAGGTAAATATATCCATTTCAATATTGGATTGTAGGTGCGTTTAATTTTGGGACTGAAACACCTCCTGAGCTTTTAAGTGACCAAGTTGCGCTTTCCAAGTCAAATCTAATTATCTATTACATGTATAAATTGTTATCATAGCCAGTTGACAAAGTTCCTCCATAGATAGCAAATTTCAACTTATTATCATTTTTGTCTTTATAATGAACATATGCAAAGCGAGACCTAGGAGAAGGAATGGCCCCATTCTGAGATACAATCATTCACTGATAACTCACTAGATCAAACTGCCACATGTCATTTTGAGGCCCATTTGCTGAACTTCCACCAAACACATAGAGATAGTCGTTATTTGAGTCGACGAAGCCTCCAAGATTATACCTTTGTGCTGCTTAGTGCTTACAAGGAGTCATTTGAGAAGAGGCTTGAAGTTCATATCAGCGTGATTCTGACAATGAAAATTTCCAAACATCATTATAAAGTCTTGAAACCCCTTGATTGCCTCCAAATGTGATCAAGGAATTGTCTTTTTCGTATAAATCAAGAATGTGGTATTGTCTTTCACCTGGAGGTGTCCCAGTTGCAGGAATTAGAGTAAATGTTTGAGGAAAAACGGGTCTTAAGAAAAGGAAAAGTCAGATTCTTATCATTAGTTTAAAAATAATAATATTAAATGGATTTTAGTGTTAATAAAAGTACCTTCTCGAACTATTCTCATAAGCTTGTTCAGCCTTTCATTTAATATCAATTTAAGTGGAGTTTTTCTTGGTTTTAATTGATGTTTATAAATAAAATACTGAAATTTATTTTATAATTTAGGACACTTTATGGTTGAAGCGTTTTAAATTAGAATATTTATTAATATTTAAATTACTTGCTATTACGTCGTATCTTAATCTCTATTTAAAATGATATATATTTAAAAATAAACTTATTAGATTTTTAAAAATTTCAGCATATATCAGATTATATACAGTGATTAATAATCTTCTTATAAATATTCTTGCGTAAGAAATTTAAATGTGTAATAAATATAAAAATTTGCCTTTTTAATATCTTCAGAGAGTCCTATTTATATATAAAAAATATATTAGATTTAAAATATCCTTCCCATTTATTTTTCAATCTCTCTAAATAATTTATTCATAAAATTATTTTTTATAATTCTACTCCGCCATCATATTTTAAAAAATTCCCCAAACAATTATTTACTTACAAATTTGTCGTAATTGCTAACTCAAGCAGAAAGCCTATTATTATAAATTTGTTTTGAAATTATTTAATTTAAACTTTTTTACACCAAGTCTAAAAATGTCAATTCTCTCTCATCCAGGTAGCTTGAGATCATTTAAAATAGCGTCTGACCCTGCTTCTAAAACACAAACTCAGCCTGACATCAAAGAACTGAGAGATTTAAAAATCCTTACTCCCCGGCTCCGTGAATAAATAAAAACATTTTGTTAGCTCACGGGATTAATTTATTTTAGAGTAAATTTGTTTTTTTTTTCCAAATTAAAAAATCCCAATTCGTAAAAATTGAGAAGCAAATGTAATTTAATTTGCAAAGCTTATGTTTTAAAATTTAAGCTGCTTAAAATCAAACAGAATTAGCTAGATTTCATTATAATAATTATCGCTTTTATGTCAAAATTTTTTTGTTTTTAATAAAAATTTTTGTTCACTAACGGAGGGTGGATTTTTGTCAAAAAATAGGGATTTTTCCAATGATTTTATTCACTCACAGAGGAGAGTTAGCAAGAAATTTCTTATTCAAAAGCCAACACTTACAAGTCGACTCAATTCAGGGAGGCCAGAAAGTCACAATGTTCCCAGACGCCTTCCAGGAATAATACCTCCAAGAAGTAACCCATCAGTAAAGAGCACTCGAAACATTTCAGAAAGCCGAAAAAGACTTATGAGTGCTGGGAGAAGAGCTCAAAGTATAGCAGATCAGCCGACAATTTTTTCTCGATTAAAAAACTATGTAATTTCATGTACATATAAATCAAGAACTGGAGAAAGAGACGGATCAACTAAATCTCAAAACCAAGACTCTTACATTATAAGGCCGTTTTTGCGAGGCGCCAAAGGCCAATATTTATTTAGTGTATGCGATGGTCATGGTAAAAATGGCCATCTTGTATCAGGATTCATAAAGGAGAAATTTCCTATGCTTATTGAGTCCAACTTACCTTTTTCATTTCCAGACCAAAATCAGATCTCTTTATGCCTGCAGAAATCTATTATTGAGGTTGCAAAATATCTGGAAGAAAGCAAAATTCCAATCGAGTCATCAGGAAGCACTTTGAATTCAATTTTAATAAGTGGTGAAAAGCTCGTCTGTGCCAATTTAGGTGACTCAAGAGCGGTTTTGGGTAGCTTCAAAGATGGGTGAAGGTCAAAAGACCTTTCAAGGGACCATAAGCCAAACCTTCCTGATGAAAAAGCAAGGATACTCAACTCAAACGGCAGGGTTGAGCCAAAATACAGTGCTCATGGTGAAGAACTAGGCCCAGATCGTGTATGAACTGACGATGTTCATGCTTCTGGATTGGCTATGTCGCGATCAATAGGAGATTCTCGAGTGCATAAAGTAGGAGTCATAACCGAACCAGAACTTGTCTACCACCAAATCATGCCTGAAGATAAGTTTGCTATCATTGCATCTGATGGTGTTTGGGAATTCATGTCTAGTGAAGAAGCTGTAGAAATTGTAGGCAAAACATGGCAAGCTGGACGGAGTGATATTTGCTGTGATAATTTAGTCAGCGAAGCTTTGGAAAGGTGGAGACTGAACGAAGATTCAGTAGATGATATTACTGTCATCATCATTTTCTTTAGCTTCTCACATAAAAAATGTTAATTAACCCTGTTTCTAGTTGAAATCGCTTATATCATTATAAAAATAACCCATGCTATCAATACTTATTTCTTAAAATGGATTTGGCTGAATAATATGTGTTCTCTTTATAAGTGTAATGTCAACGTTATCGAACTCAGAGCTATTAAGCGAGTCAGACTCAGAATTTTGGCTTGACCTTGATACACTTCCTAAACTTAAACTTCCTCAATTTCTGACTGACCAAGAAATAACTCCAATGATTTCATCACTTGGCCTTGATGAAGAAGAGAAGAAAATGATTGATGATACGCCGTCAGCGTATTATAAAGAGAGGTTCCAGATCTTAATAGACCGAGTCCGAGCTGCTGCCAAAGTGTCATATCAAAATCTGCTTGACCAAGTTTTAAAAAAGCTTCACAGAGAATATCAAATAAAAATTGAAGAAATCAATCGAAAACAATTGAATGATATCATGGAACTTAAGAAAGAGTTTGATAGGCTTAACCTTGCCCTTATAGGCAAAGACTTAGAATTAGCAAAACTTAGAGAAATGGTTTCAGAGCAGGAGGTTATCATATCTTCACAACGGATACTCAGGATTCCAGCAACTCCTAAGTATGCCCCACAAGATGCACGAGTTCTATCATTAGAAAAAGATTTAAAAGCTGCAAGAGTAAGACACACAGCCCTAAAAGATCTCTCAAAAATGAGCCACCAGCAGACTGACGAAGCCAAAGAGAAGCTGAAAATTGCTCAAGATCTGCTAAAAGCAGAAGAGATCCGTCACAAAGAAGAGGTAGAAGACTTGAACAAAGAATTTGCTGAAAAAGAAAAAGAACTCAACGGCAAGATTAAAGAAATAAAAGAAAAATACTCAGAGTTCAAGAGAGATGTGAACAAAGAACTAGAGATTAGGATGGTGATCAACCGCAAACAAAATGATGTAATTAGCTCTCTGCAAAAAGAATTGAAGTCAGTTAAAACTGTAATGACGTCTCCAAGGCTGCATTATAAGTTTCTCAATAAATCGATGAATGAGGAGAACCTAGCAAAATCAAAGAAAGGAGAAGACGAGCCAAGATTTCTAAAGCAGATACCGAAAAAGCCTAAAAGGCTGTTCAGAAATAGTGAGCTATCAATGGCTGACTATGGAGATAGCACTCAAGCTTCCCCATCTTTTTCGAAATCATCTGACCTGGACTTCAATTTACCTATAGTTAGTCTACTGCCTGAATCCCCGAGGAAGAACTATTAAATCCTGCTAATATTATCATTTACAATTAAACCTTTTCTTCTTCTTGTTTGGGAGACTTCAGCAAGTATCTTTCTTTTTTAGTTCCTTGATTATCTGCGCTTGAAGCAATTTGAGGGCCTTTCTCCAAATATTCTATTCTTTCTGTCAATTTTCTAATGCTTTCGAAAGTGGTCTGCTGTTCACTTTTCAAATTCTCTAAATCTATTTTCAGCTGATTATTTTCTCCTTGGAGACTTGCCAATTTTTCCTCATATTCAATATGCCTATGAACTTTTGAATATTTTTTCACACTTTTTAGCGTCTTTTTAATTTGTTCAAACTCTTTTGACCAAAATCCACGAGTTTTGATTTTTTGCTCACTGCTGCTTTTTTCAATGCGTTTTTCAGTTTTTAGTTTAGTCAGAGTTTCATCTTCGTGCTTCACCCATTGAGGAGATGAGCTTCTATGCCGAGAATTATAAGTTGAGTGCAGGTATCTAGGCTCAAAATTCTTGACACCAACAGTTGACAGTAATCTGTCTACATTATTCATAATTTGAATATATTCATGCCTTATTCTAGCCACTTTGTTTTCGTTTTCACTAATTTCTAGATCTTTACCCTTAATTTTGGAAATTTTTACGAGGACTCTCATGATCCCCGCTTTCAAAGAAGTAATGATATCAGCTAATTTGTATTTTATTTGTGAAGGGATTTCAGCGTCGTCATTGACTTTGTGCTTGCAAAATTTCAGCCCTTTGAGTTCTTCATTCAATGCTTTTTCCCACTGCTCAATTTCTTGAATATCTGTCATTTTGAATAAATATGGAATAATGATTACATTGATTCTTGCATTTATTCCCCTGATTAGTAGCTATCACATAGCTCACAACCTTAGCCCACTTGAAGCTACAGTTAAATGTTCAGCTTATCAATGCGCTCCAAGTTCCTATCCAATGCCTACAAATTATTGCATTCAATCTAACAGTGGCATATTCTATCTCAAGCCATGCACATCTTCAGGGCAATATTGCAATACTGCAACAGGACAATGCTCTCTGAGTCCTTCTACAAATTCTACCAAGTCGTACCCAGGAGAAAGTTGCACTAGTTCATCTGACTGCCTATATGGAAATTGTATATCGAAAGTTTGCAAAGGGTTAAGTGCTGGAGGAGCATGCTTAACAAGTGACCAATGCCAGCCTGGACTTTTTTGCAACACTACAAATATGTGCCAAACCCAGCTCGCAGCTGGGGCTTCAGGATGCAGGAATTCATATGATTGCGTTAACTATGCAAGCTGCAATAAAACTTATAGCACAAATAATGGGGTCTGCGTAAAATATGCTTCTCTCGGATATGGATCAGTTGTCACTGATTGTACGGGAGGATTTTCACAAATGTGCAGCTCTGCATACTGCTCCAACAATAATTGAATGGGCACTATTGGAATATGTTTAAAGCCTCCTGCCAGTGTAAATTCTCTTCCTTATAATTGTACGAGTTCTGTACAATGTCAAGGGTTTAATGGAACAAACATATTTTTGAGTCAATGCCAATGTGCCTATGGCACGACTCAAGCATCTTATTGCCAGCCTTTCATTGGCGATATACTTGGGACAAAATTGATTAATTGATGGGTTTATGCATCTAAAAAATCAAACGGGAAATGCAACACAGTGACAAGAGGATCAGACACCTGCTTGAAAAAGCTGAATTTATACACAGACATCACAGAAGCTACTTGGCAATATTACAACTACTCACAGATTCTCTATAACGATGCATGTGTGAAAGAAATTTATACTGCCCAATATTGGGGGCTTTCACACTCCAAGCTGATTGAGTTAACTATGCTGATAATTTTAATTATTTAAAATACGTTCTTTATATTGCGAATTTCCAGTAGCCGCAGCTGCAACCTACAAGGACTCCTCTTATCATTTCCTGATTTGCAAAGGAAATTTGCGGCATAAACTTGCATCCAGTAGAATAGTGCTGCCTTACAGATTCTCCAATGCTTGAGCAGAAGTCTTCTGTTTGGTAATAAATATTTGTGACTAAATTTACCTGGCAGTTTGTTTCCGTGCAATAATATTGGTGAAGTCCGTTTTCAATGATATGATGCATTATCTTTCCAGTACAAATCAATGTAGGGCATTGCATCATAACATTTTCATATACGCTCTCTGGGTCTTCTCCATTATAATAAAGCTCTTCTTCAGGATTTTGCCTCATTTCTGCTTCCCACTCAGGCTCTGGTCTTTCTATTCCTGCAGCCAGCTGCTTGACTTGGTATTCAGCTTCATTTCTTCTGAGAATTCTTATATAATCTCTTTGACTCTTTGCATTTCTATGCGCTCTTTCAGCTCCTTTCTTTTGCAAGTCGTGATTTGGCAAGTGGTCAATGGGAACCCGCCTATTAATATTCATATTGGCCCCGTACATTTATGTTTACCAAAATTAATTTATAATTGTTATTATGGCAAAGTAAACGAAACTTCGTCTTCGAGATCCCTTCCTGATAAAATAGCAGCATGATCTCCCTGCTCAGTTTCTCCCCGCTGAGCTTCTAGATGCTCATTTACTTGTGGGATAGGAGGCTGCTCCACAGGAAGGAACGGATTGACTTTACAAAGTGGGCATATCGGGGCTTCCCTCCGTTGAAACCAGTCGTCAATGCATTTAACATGAAATAAATGCTTGCATGTAAGTTTCCTCACAGAAGCATCGTCTGCGAAACTGTATAAATTTTACTCTTCAAAGCAAATGCAACACGTGCTTTCGCTCACTTGCACCATTTGCCTGTTAAAAGGAGCTCGTGGAAATCATCTTTCTAGCTCATCTTCAATAATAACTGAGTTTTCAGGAAGCACAGCATAGTTTCTGGCTCTCATGTAGCTGACAAAATATTGATCATATACAAGTCGTTGCCGTTGGGCACTTTTGTACATTTTTCGAAATAAAACTAGGCAGCATCCCATACAAAAGAGGGATACCAGCACAAGGGCAGAGATTGTTAAGGCTTGTCCCATGTCATCTGTCATTCTTAGGTTTATTACTATTTCATTATAAGCATTTTTCCTGAGATAAAGTTAATTAAAAATCTTAGACTTGGTTGATGATGTTGTGATAAGCCAAACCAGTGGCGGAGATGTTGTCACCGAGAGCGGTAACTTGGACAACCTTAGTGCAGGTAGGAACTAGGGCTAAACAGCATCTCATTTCGCCGATTGGGTTTCAGCAGTGAGTTACTTTTCCAGCTCCAAATTCTGCTGTTTGCTGCTTGTTTTCTGAGTGGATGGAAACTGAGCCTTTGAAGAACTTGACTGTGGAAAGCTGGATGTCTGTTGTGTTGCAGGCATATTGACCTGAAAGAAGAGCTGATCTTGCTGCAGAAATGAGAGGTTCTGACCAATCTGAAGTTGAGCAAACTACCTGGGAGTAAACGGTGTGCAAGTGAATTCTGTTGGTTTGAAAGCCTTTTTGCTTTAATACTATAATCAGTCGTTCAAGATCCGGCAAATATACTTCTAAAGTCGCTTTTGATGGGTATCCTCTGAATTTCTCTCCAGTTAAATAGCTCAGCAGCTTCCCTAGTTCCTGTTCATTTAGTCCAATTGAATCAGCCTTGATGAAGATTTTTTGAAGCTCTTCATAGAACTGGTTGTTATGAAAGTCTCCCATTTCCACATGTATCTTAACTTTCTGGCTATTAAGTTTATCAATCACTTTTATCATGCTTTTAATGAACTCTTTTTCATGCTCCGAGCCTTGGATTAGCTGTAGTCCTCCAATTGCCACCAAATTTACCTTTGCTCCTAGATTTTCCAGCCCAGAGAAAGCTTTTGGATGAGTATTTTCAATATCATGGTTTGCATAAAATCTATTACTGCGTGGGGCTGTAAATTTCCCCCATGTTTCTCCTTCAGCATATTCAAACACAATATGATAATCAGACACTTCAATGAGGTCATTTAGCGGTATCAGCCTTGAATGGAAATAATTCGTCATTTCTGCAGTCAATGGACTTGATATAAAGGTTTTGCAGCCTTCTTGAGCCAATCTAATAGCCATCATCATTGCATTCCCTCCTAAATTCCTATGTGAATGAACTTTGTCGATAATTCCTAGGATTTCATCATAAGTTGCTTTGTCTACTCGGAACTCTGCAGCAGTACCATCAGAAAAGCAACTCGCTAATGTCTCCACAAACTCTTGTTTGTTTGCTATTGCAGTGTGATATTTTGCTTGCTGAGGAGGATTTAGAAATTTGACGACTTCACTTAAGCGAACTCTTAAATCAATCATAGATGCAAAGCTTACAGCTACTTGGCAGTTATTTTCATTTGGAGAGTGGAAAGTTTGGCAGCGAGTGTCACTATAACTTAAGAGGTCAGAATCGCATGCTGCCTTGCGGAGGATTTCGAGAGATAGTTGAGAATCTGAGTTGTTTACAATATTTATATTTTCGCTATGAAGTTTAGAGACAGCAATCCCAACAATTGCTATGACAATTGCACTCAGAAAAGTAATTTTGTTGTTCATTTAATTTGTATAGTTAAGTTAAAATGAAGATTTCTATAAGCAGATTAATTTTATTTGTTAAGTGTTTATTGGCAATAATAAAATATAAAGCAATGAAGATATTCTACTTTTTCCCTCTTAAATTGTAATAAAAAATTTGTTCCAATTTATAGGAGGTTAATTCTTTTGAAAAAATATAATGAATTTTTCTCATCGTCCTTTTAATTAGAAACAAAGAATTCTGTCAAATCTAAAGGGCTGTTAATTTTTTATTTTAAATTCTTAAAATTTAATTTTCCATAAATGTATTTATAAATTTTATCAACCCAAAGTGCTAGCTTTTTTAAATAGTGTTTTGCCAAGCAGGAGTGAGAACAGGGACCCCACCTACCCCTATCCCTACCCTATTCCCCAACCCAATTCTCCATCCCCTATTGCACAAATAGAATCACCCCACCCCCACCAATTAAAAAAATAAAAATATAAAGTATACTCCAGCACACAAATTGTTTAACGGACTCCACGTAAAGGAATACCTATATAACTTGAGGTTGGGCCAGACTGCCGGTTAAAGATAGCGATGCTGTCAGACTTCAAAGTAGAGCCCAACTGCCGGACTGCCAGACTGCCAGGTAGTACTAGACTTCCAGGTAGAGCCAAACTTCCAGATATAGTCAGTAAAGCCAGATAGAGCCGGAGTGCCAAACTGGAAGACGGCCGGACTGGCAGGTAGAATAGTATAGTCAGGTAGACCCAGCTAGGTTTGACCAGTATGAAAACGAGTAAAATTTAATATAATTTTTTTATTAACTTTCAAAATAGATATTTTTGATTAATTTATAAATTTAAAACGGAGAGTCAAAAATTTTTTTCGCGAAGTTGGGTAAAAAGATTGCTAATGGATATAGCATTTCCAGCCCCATATATATTTATAATTGCATTTATTATCCTCAAACAAAAATCCAATAAAAACAGCTTCTTATATCATTTGAAATTATCTTATAAGTTTAAGTTAAAAGAGCTTGTAATTTCGATAAAATTAAGCAAATCAACAAAAGCCAGTCTTTTCAAGTTGATATTGATCTTTAGTTCTAAATAGATCACTAACCTTTTGTTTATTATTTATCACTTATATATGCATTTAAAATTTCGCTATAAATAGTCAAAGAATTGTGGCTAGCAATATTATATAAAGTATTTAAATTTCAAGCACATGAATAATCAATAAATGGCAATTATTTATTCTCAATGAAAATTTAATAATAAAAATAGAAAATTTCTTTTAATACTTACATAATATAAAAGAGTAATGAAATATCACGAGATCAAAGATAAGAAATTTCAATATTTTAGAATTTTTTTAATATTTAATCAAATATTGACTGTATTACTAATAAAATTTTTCAAACTTATAGCAACCTAATTGTATAATTTATCCAAATGCTATCAATTTTCAATTTCATCTAATTTAATTATTTTCTAAGTTTTCATTTTGAGTTCTAATTAATATTATAAAAATACAAGCTATGTCATCCTCAGATTCATATCTAAGCAATCCAGAAATCTTTATTATGCCACTACATCTTAAAAAAATAAACAAGCTCATGCCAGTAGGATACAAGCTTGATCCAGATATTTTGAAGCCATCTCATTCAGGCAGTCAAAAGAAAATCAAAAGCAAGCACCATAAAGACTCTCAGGCAGTCAAAAAAAATAAAAATAAAGAAGATGCTTCTTCAGAGTGAACAGACAAGTATCCAGGCTTGAAAACTGGAGGGGCTGCCGCCCAAAGATGCTATGAAATTTTGCAGAACATGAAGAAGCAAAATCTCTGTTCTTCATTTCTCCAGCCAGTAGACCCAGTTGCATTAAACTTGCCTGACTACCTTGAAGTTATCCACGATCCAATCGATTTATCAGCTGTCGAAAGAAATTTAAAAGCAGGGGTTTACGAAAATTCGCAGCAATTTGCAGTTGACATTAGGAGAATATGGCTTAACTCGTTCACTTATAACTCCTGCAACAGTGATATGTTCTACATTACTCTTGAAATGGCTACTTATTTTGAGAAGCAGTTCAAAGATGCTGAAGACCTCCTCTTTGTCCCTGGGGATGAGATCAGAAAAATGAACCGGGATAAATCTATAATCAGAAACTATATGGACAGACCTATGACTTTGAATGAAAAAAAGATACTCGCAGCTAATTTGAGAAGACTTGATAAAGATGATACACTTAGAGCGCAACAAATAATTTCAAAGGGAAAAACTAACACGCCAATAGCTCAATTCAATATTGCAAAATTATCAACAAGAACTCTAATTCCTTCTACCTTGGTTAGCGTGCAAGATAGTTTGTTTCAACAAAAAAAGAGTAATTTTTTAAAAATCTTCTAAAAAGCAAATTTTCGAATATTATAATAATTCACAAAACTTATATTTACTTTTGATGCAAGCCATCTAAAAATTTAATATAATTCGGTTGTGATCGCTATTATAACGATTAACATATATTAAAAATATTTTAGTTAAAAATATTAAAATGATTTTATGCATTAAAAAGAATTGAAATCTTCAAAAAACATATATTTTAAATGGCTTTGCTTGCCAATTAAGAAGGAATAAGAGAACTTGAAAAGCTGGTAAAGCTTTCTTATCAAGCTGAAATTCATAGCAATAGACACTTAAAATATCCAAGAAAGCAAGCTCATTTGGATTCAGAAGACTTGGAAGCCCCTGAAAAGCGAGTTAAAAGAGTCCATTATAATAATGAGATGGAATACTAATAAAAATTAACAATTTGACACATTCATTCTAAAAGTAGAACTTGTAAAGTCTTCACTCAAAAATGACCTTCCTTTTCTCCTATTAGAAACTGGCCGACTTTTATTTGCCAAGCCATTTTTGTTTGATTGGAGAATTCATGGATGATTTAAAGCTTCTTCAGGAGTCATTCTTACCTCAGGATCTCATTGCAGACTTCTTTCTAAAAACTCTAAAAATCCGTTGTCATGAAGCCCAATTCTTGATTGCAGTGGAGTTGCTCCAGGATACCTCACTTTTCCTTTTGAGTTAGGAACAATGTATGGATCGCCTTCTTCATCGAAAAATATTCCTTTTCGAGAAGATAGTTCTAACCTCTTAAATTAAAAAAGAGAAAATATTATAAAATTTCAAAGGTTTTTGCTGAAAAAAAACTATTTATAATAATATTTTAGTTGAAAATTATTTTAATGGAATTATATAAAAAATGAAAGTGAAATAGAGATAGGTAAGAGATTTTGAGGTGGGAGCCCTAAAACTTCCATGATTCTTGCCATTTGTTCGTGCTCACTTTCTCCAGGAAAGAGCGGATGCCCTGTATAAAGCTCAGCTATGATACACCCAAAGCTTCACATATCAATTCCATGAGTATATGGAATTCCAAGCATAATTTCAGGCGCTCTGTAGAATCTTGATTGGATATAAGTATAAATTCGTTCATTCGCCAGACATGAGGAGCCAAAGTCAATCAACTTTATAGCTGACTGAGTTGGACTTTTAAGGAGAATATTTTCTGGTTTTAAATCACAGTGAATTACGGATAATGATTTGATGTATTTAAGTGACTCCAAAATCTGGATTGCAAATCTTCTCACAAGTGAAGAAGATAGGCCTTCTAAGGAATTTAATTTGAGGAACTCATACAAATTAAGTGAAAGCAGCTCAAAAGTGAGACACAAATGACTCCTAAATGAAAACGAATCCTTCATCCTCACAATGTTTGCATTGTCTTCCTTGTCATGAATATTCAATAAATTCAAAACTTTAACTTCCACTAGTCCTTGTGCTTTGAATCTTTTTTTATTTTTAATTATTTTTAGTGCTATAATTTCTCCAGACTTGTGATCTATGCATTTTATTACTTGTCCAAAGGACCCTTTTCCTAGTCTTTCTATAATTTCATATCTATAGGCAATGTGGTCTCCTATAGAGATTTTGTAGTTTCCTTTTTCGTCATCGTATTTCTTGTTAAAATTTTTCAGCTTGGAAACTTCATCTCCAACATAATAAATTTCTTGATATTCAAGGATCTCTGCCCTTTCTTGATCAGTTAAGAACTGGCTTAAAAGCTTGAGACATTCATGTGCAGATATTGGAAAATTTATATCTTGCATTGAAATCTTAAAGGCTCTCTGAGTTGAAAACCCATTTTTCTTCAAAGTACCTGATGAGTTAGTAGGGGTATTGAAAGAAATATTTATTGGTTTGCTCGCACGGTGAGATAGTAAACTTTCAAAAACCCTTTTTGATGAGGATGATAAGTTCATAGATTGGTTAGTTAAATCTTTGATTGGAAGTTCTGGAATCTGAGCTAAGGGAGGCTTTCGATTTGATACTTGCTTGAAGTTACGCTTTGGAGAAAGCTGATTTTTTTGCTTACTCCCCTCCCTCCGTGAGCTAACAAGATTAGAAAAACCTTTTTTTTCCCTAAAAACCCACCCTCAGTGAGTGAACAAAATTTTTGATATATAAGTGATAATTAGTACAATGAAATCTCTATCTAATTCTGTATAATTTTGAACAAATTGTATTTTAAAACATTAATTTTATAAATTAAATAACTAATTTTTGTGAATTGAGATGCTTTTAAATTAAAATTTTACTATAAAATTAATATAGAATTTTTTTTAAAAAATCAGCCTCCCTCTAAGAACGAGAAAAATTTTTTTTGTTCTCTCGCGGGGGCTTAAATCCATGTAGATTTTTTGACGGGTATTAAAAGGAACACGTTTTGAGGAGCTTTGAAAAGTAATATTTTGATTGATTCCATACGCAGCTATTAGCCGTTGAGTCCTTGACGTTGGATAAGAATCAAAAGACATATTCTGATTTTTACACTTCACTATTAAAAATAATTAAGAAAATTAATTTCTTTAATCAAAGGAAGGAATTATTTTATAACTAATTTTGTTTAATTATAATATTAGTTATAATACTTTAAACACAAATTATCGATCTAATGTTAAAAACAGGCATTTAAGACATAAATTTAAGAAAATTTTTTTGTGAATTATTCGAATTCAAAAAATAAAATGATTAAATAAATTTCAGATTATTTGCTGCGAGCAAATTAGTGGAAATTACAAAAATTAAAAGCATGGAAATATGTACGATTTTTTTAAAATATCTAAAATGTGAAGTTTTATGAATCCCATATAGCCCGATAATTATGAAATATTTTGTTAAATAAATAATTAATTAATCTTGCTTATGATTAATTAATTACTTAAGAATGCGCGAATCATAACTATTTATTTATAAAAACATTTCTTAGAGAGTATTAAATTTTAGCTTTAATAATATGCGACTAGAAAAAACTTTTATATAAAATAATTTTAATTAAATTTCCTGCTATAGTTGTCCATTTTATATTTTCAAGCCTATCCAATGCTCAACTAGGAGGATTATTTATTTTCAACTTATAAAAATATCTGATTGCTAATGGTAATAGCATATGCTCTTGATTCTTTTGATACAGAAAAAGTGTCAGTTATTGGAGAAGTTACTCGATACGTTGTTCTTGCGCTTTTCACAATCATGTTTTTAGCTTCAGTCGGCACAGTAAACCGAGGAGGGAGCCTTTACAGTCTCTGATATTCTCTTACATACGTTCAATTTTTGAGATACATTCCTGTTATCGACCTCAACCAATCTGACGTATTTACTTCATTTTTCAGCGAAATATTCGAAATTTATAATATTTATACATTCATTCCAGAATCAACTAACTCAAGTATTTCTCAAAAAAGATTTCTGCAACTTGGGTTTAAAGGAGCAATTTTCTTGAATAATGCTGAAGAAATGCTGTGAGCGTGAGGCTCCAGCATAATTTCTCTGCTTATTCTTATGGCTTTTGGGCTATGCATGAACTCTCAGGTCATGAGAAGCGTTTTAGGTTACGCGAAATATTCCTTACTCCCCCCCCTCCGTGAGCGAACAAAAAGTTTTTATGGGAAAAAATTTTGATATATAAATGATAACTAGTATCATGAAATCTCAAGCTAATTCTGTTTAATTTTAAACAAATTGCGCTCTTAAAACATAAATTTTACAAATTAAATTAATATTTGCCTTCCAATTTTCGAGAAGTGGGATTTTTTTTTAAATTCCAAAAAATTTTTTTTCTTTATATAAATTGTTTTAAAAAAAAAAATATTAACCCCCTCAATGAGTGAACAAAATTTTTTTTGTTCGCTCAAGGAGGGGGAGTTAGTGATTCGTGTATCTTTGATTGTGTTTTTTGACATTATGACTTGCGCAATACTGCAAGTTTATTATGCAGAATTTCAAGGGACCATACCATTTGTAAGTATGTTAACATCACTTATGTTTCTTACTATAAGTGCTGTTTTTGTAATCTTTGTTCCTACAATAATCAAGCTCAGGCTGAAAATGACTAACGAGCTGCCACCTGAGAAATGCTTGGAATTGATTATTACTTTGGTTGGCGAATTTTATGGAAATACGGAAATGTCTAAATACTTATTTTATCCTCTTTTGCTAGCAATGCGCGCACTGGCTGCTCTAACTTTGGTGATATTATGACAATACCCTCTTGCTCAAGTAGGCGCACTCAGCTCTTTTCAAATTGTTATTTTGGTGTATATAGTATGAGTCAAGCCTTTTAAATATAATTTGGATAATTGGTTTGTGTTTGCAGCTGAAATCTTCACTTTACTATTAATTGGAGTTCCTGCAATTTATTTGCTCACTGATAAATACTTTGATTATTCTCCTTATTTGGATATTGCTTGTATTTGTATAGCGTGAATTGGTATCTTAATCTGCTTAACAAGATACATATTTGCTGCTGCTGTAAATGGCTCCTGGAATGAGCTGAGAACAGTTATCAAAGTTAAAAATTTAGTTTCTGAGCCTACTCTTGATACAACTGTGGATTTTAAAGATCAGGAATTTAAAAGCAGTGGAAAGCCTAAGAAAAAGGTCTTAAACACAATAGAAACTGAAATAAGATCACAGCTGCCAAATGAGCCGTATGAAAATCTCTATAGAGAAACAGGCGTTGAGCAGGGCAATCCTGTAGAAAAGAACATAAGCTACTTTAAAGAAACCAATGGAGAAAGCTGAAAAATAGTAGAGCTAAAAGACCCGAGAGAAGTACGAGCAAACCGAAGGGATGACAATGGAATACGCACAAATTACCAAACTCCAACTGTTGCAAGGAATAGTTCATATGGAGAAGGCATAACATTTTATCCGCGAATAGCTGCAAAGTACCAGAAGTACAATTTGGATAATCGTAAGGAGGAATAATGAATCTATATAATTTATCCTAGTTATACCTGCTAAATTTAATAGAAGAATCGAATCAGCTTAACGCTAAATTTAAAAAGGGGCTTTGGCTTCAATTATTTATTAAATCTTTGCTCCTATATATCATTTTTAGCATATTTTTTATAGTTTAAATCAGTATTCGTTTTTCATAATTTTAATGTCCATATCTGAAATAAAAGAATACCTGAGTAGAGGAGAAGATTCTGAAGAACTAGGTTCCAAAATAAACGATTTAGTCTTCCAAATTACAGAACACACCGCAACCACAATAGCTCCAGAGGCGGCCAACGAACTTTTAAATACAATATCAGAATGGATTTTGCAGCATTCCAGCTCCAAACGGCTCGAAAACCTCCTCAAATTGATTTTTGTAATTTACCAAAACCAAGGCCTTTCTGAAGAATTCAATTTTCTAGGGATGGACGAAGCTGAGGTGAAAATTGCAGCTTGTCCAAATTTAGTGTCCTGCATTCTCTCACTTTTAAACTCTGTATTAAAAAGTAACCAAGCCGAAAAGTATATGAGGATCCTGACATTATTGCTGAGAATTTCTGCCATGATTGTGCAGCAGAAGACAGTCCCGAATTTCTTTCGAAGGAAAGGAAGTCTAAAAATGCTAATCGCTCTATATAGAAACCTTGTAAAGGCATCTGCAAGAAGTGAAGGGTCAATCAAAATTCTTACGTTGATTTGTGAAGTAATGGCTAACATGGCTGTCAAAAATGAAAAAGCAAGAGAGTATTTGACGAGAAAAGCAGTGATTCAAGCCTCATGTGCATTGATAACCAACCCAAACTATACAAGCGATAATAAACTTATGAGCAAAGCTTTATATCTTTTAGGAAGCACTGCTGGGAGCAGCGATCAACAGTTATTGATATGGGTTTCTGGAGGAATTTCTCAAGCTCTACAGTGCGTCCAAAACCCGAAACTTTCTCCGTCAGCTTCATTTTTGTTGTGAAGGGCATGTATTGATAATGAAGAAATCCAGCAAGAAATATTTTCCTCAAATTTTCATTTGCAAGCTTTGGAGGCAATAAGAAATGGAGGCGATATTGAAAAAATCACTTATTTGATAGGAATCATAAGAAGAATTGTGGTTAATGCAAAATTCAGAGACCAACTGGCAGGTTTGGTTGCAGAGCCACTTTTATTGGAGCTTAAGCAGCTTACCAGAGGCGAGTTTTCTTTACCTTTAAAAGAAATTTCAGCAGCTCTTGGAACAATATCAACTGATCCAGCGATTGCACAAATAATTGTCCAAGCAGCTGGCATTGAAATCATAACAGAAGTCGCTTTAAGAAACCTTACAAAATCAAAGCTTGTGAAGACTTGTATTGGAGCGCTCGTAAATTTATCATTGCAAGAAGGAATGGTGGACAGGATAGGCAACAACTTACGATTTTATGAATTAATTAGAGCTATCATAGCTTCTTACCCAAGCTCTTCTTATATGATGGAATATACGCTTAGACTCATTTTAAATGCCTTGCAAAGCAACAACTGTTTGTACCATCTTTCTGAAGTTTCCTTTGTGACTGATCTGAGAAATCTTTTTGAGAGGTGGCAAAATGAAGAAGATCTCCTGCTGTATGTGCTCTATATTTTTAGAAGCCTTGTTTCGCATAAAAAAGGGATCGAAGCCTTTTCAGAGGCAATTCCAGAAGGGTTTATAGATCAGCTTCTTGGAGTTTTTCAGCATTATATTTCAAATGTCAAAGTTCTTACTGAAATTATTCTGCTGATTTCAGCATTGAGCCAGCAAGAAGGAATTTTCCTGGATACGTTGAAAAGGTCAGATATGCTTTCAACAAGAATAAAAGAATGCTTACTCCCCCTCCGTGAGCGAACAAAACTTTGCTCACTTAAGGAGATGGTTAATATTTTTTAAAAATTTATATATAAATTTTATAGGAAATTTTTCTAAAATATTCTAATTGGAAAGCTAAAATTAGTTTTTTAAGTTTATTTTTTCAAATCCAAGGTGTAGCTAAAAATTTCATTATACTAATTATCACCCACATATCAAAATATTTTTCCATAAAACAAATTGTTTTGTTCGCTTACAGAGGATGGCTTTTTTACCCAATTTTTTTTTCGCTTATGGAGGATGGGGGAGTTAGAAATTCATTCGAAGGACCAGAATAAAACAATGCTACTGACAGAATGTATTGCAAACTTACCCGTTGAGGAGTTGAACATTATTATATAAAATTAACAAAGTTAACAAATAAATATCTTTTTCAATATCTGTATAAAGATTAGTAATTATAACTTTATTTTAACTCACATTCGTTAGTAAGTAAGATTTTTTTGCCATTAGCCAAAGAGTTTAATTTTTAAATTTTATATATTAGATTTATAATGATTAATCTTACTAGAATTAGCTGGAGTTTAATTATTACCATTAATCATTATATTAAACTGTTATCTTTAAAATAGATTATTTTTTAAATATATTTTAAGATATAAATAGTGACCATATCTCAAACAAACTATAATAAATTTTAAACATCTTGCTTCTAAAACATATATTTTATATTAAATTTTACAAATTTTAATTCAAAAGGGTGGTGAATTTATCAAAATGGAAATTTATCGATATTTTTTCTCAAGATAAAGGTAAATTTAAGGAAATTTAGCATTGCTAAAAGAGGTTAAGATTAAATTAAAAATATAAACTAATTACTTCCCTTTAGTTAAATTGCTTACTCAGCGGGCAAAATTATTAGAAAAATCCTTGCTTTTGGAAAAATTAACCTCTCTTTGTCAGATAACTAGCAAAAGATTGTTAATATAATCATTTGGAATAAAAGTTATTTTTAAAAATATATTTATTTATTATCATAATTAAATCTCAAGTAAGTTATATTAAATTTTAGAGAGTATTTAAAAAAAAAATATATAAATTGCAAATTCAATTTTTTTTTAAATCTGAAATTTTTTTTTATATATAATATTATAAAATTTTAATCCACCAAGCAAAATATATTGCTAAAAAGTTAATATATTTCTATTATGAGATCTTGAAAAATCAATGAAAGGTCCCTTTGGATAGATTCTTGATGGATTCAAATTGTTGAATGAATAGTAATATCCTTTCTTTATGATATCAATATTAGTTAATTCTGCCATTTCTGGCATTTGATACAGCTCCCTCACAAAATTGGAGAGATTTTCATAGGATTCCAGCGTTCTCAAATTGCATTTCATCAAGCCATAATGCACTGCATCAAATCTGACTAAGGTCACGTATAATCTTCAGTCCGCAATCGTAATTTGATCACCTAAAAGGTATCTTTGCCTTTCCAAAATTGCCTCAGCCCTATCAAGAGCTTCAAAAAGCGCGTCCACTTGGCTTTCATAATCCTGTTGAGTCTTGGCTCCACCAGTTCTGTATACTCCAAAGTTAATTTTCAGCAGAAATTGATTCATTTCATCAATGCTAGACCTTAAATGAGCAGGATAAAAGTCAGCATTATTCCCCTGCTCAAAGGAATCATTAAGCATTATCATAATATCTCCAGAGTCATTACTTACTATAGTATTTGTTTGGCTGTCCCATAAACAAGGGACTGAGACTGCCCCTGTAAAGCGAGGACTTGACATCTGGTATAATTGATAAAGGTGCTCGAAATGATGAAGAGTGTCAGGATATTCTTCGGAAAAGCCCCAGCCTTGATCACCTTTTAATGGGCTTGCGAATACAACTCCTATCACATTATCAAGGTCTTTAAGCTTGCGCATGATCAAAGTTCTATGAGAGAAAGGACATACTAATGAAAGATAAAGATAATATCGCCCAGGCTCGGCTTTGTACCCACTGCTACCGTCTTTTGTGATGGTTCCTTTAAATCCACTTGCATCAGGATGGCTGTCTGCTTCATGCCACTCACCGTTTACTAGCATGCCCATGATTTTATTATAACAAAAAGCTAGTAGAACATGGAACTGGAAACTTAATAATTATGCCACATATTTTTTTTGCACAAAAGAACTCAAAGGAGATCCTTAAAAATGCAAAGAAATAATATTATCTTGGCTGAAAGGAATCATTTTTGCAATTTTTAATCCTTAATCACAATCATTTAAATTTATCTTTACCCAGTGTGCATAATTTTAATATTATATGAGGGGTGAATTTATAACAACATAGGTATTGAATTCTTTAAAAAGATAGAATGAATTATAGGCAATTTTTGTGTAAATTTGATTAATGTAATCAATACATCAAGATAATTCGAATTGGAATAAATTAGTTACTAAATTATAATGGATAATCTTAAGGATACTTTCTACGCTTTAATTTTGTTCGTGATTGATAAACTTTAGAATAAATTAATTTTTATCACCATGAGAATCTTTTGCTGCTTGAAGGTAGCATTCTTCATTAGCAATGATTTTTTTTATCAGTATTTCTTTAAAGTTTGTTTTATAGAAATTAATTGTACTAATTCTTGAAATAAAATTTAAAATAAATAACGATTTATCAATAATAAATCAACACTCATTTCTCCATGGGATCATATCTGTCATCTGGAGGAAGTGCAATTTTGAATTTCCGAAGGCCAGTAGACTTTTTGGCCAGCATGCTAACTAAATGTAAACTCTACTCAGGAACCAAAGAAGAAATCCTCCAAGCTTTTCACAAATTTACTAGCATTCAAAAACCTGGAGACTTCATCACAAATATCGGTGGACTTCGAATTATTTTCAGATCAACAAACGCTGAAGGAATGGAGTTTGAAATTTTGAGACTATTCAGCAATAAAGGAAAAATCAATGTCATGGAAGTTATGGCTGTCATTGTCATCTATGCAGCTATCTCATGGAAGGAAAAAGTCAAAATAGCCCTTTTTATGTTTGACTTCGATGGTAATAAAGTTATTTCAAGGGATGAAATGGATGTGCTGTGTCGATCCTTCCTAAGGGGTGTAGCTTGTGTAACTAAAAGTCCATATGCAACTAATCAAGAAATTGAGGATATTTCAGCTCATGTTTTTACATGGGCAGACAGGTTTTCCAACAATAAAATTTCTTGTGAAGATCTTATAGCTTGAGTTGGGATGAACCAAGAAATCCAAGAGTTATTGCAAACGAATGAGCCTCCTCACTCATTAAGGAGCAACACTATGAAGCCAATGTCTAATATTTCAAAAAACCCAAAGACTGAAAGTCATAAATCACCTCACAGGCCAAGACAAAGTGCATCATTTGACATTTCAGAAAAAATAAGACTGAAAAGTATCAATACTTACTTAGGTATTTAAGGTGTTGACTTCTTCAGCAGGATGATTTAGGCATAGCCCATCCTTTTAACTCCTTGAACTAGTGACGTCACCAAGCCATCTTGGATCGGTCAGCCCTACCAAGCCTTCTGTAAAGTTTCGTCTCTAGCCAGGCCAGAAGTTTCCGCACCGGCAGCGTTGCCTCGCCCGAACTTGACTCCTGCGCGTGTTCCGCCTAAGGGTCACCCTCCTTGGATGTGTCAAGCAGCAAACCCAGGTGTTCTTAGTATCTTGGACCAAAGAAATACCCTATGCGGTATTCCATATTGGTATTGCTGGTAAAAGGCCACGTGGAAAACTGAACCCATAATAATAAAAGCGAAGGAAGGAATAGTTCTCGGAGAGAACTAATTCCGCACTGAGCCATTTTATTATTATGAAAAGTATCAATACAATGAAAGCCCATGGTAATTCCAACAGCCCAAGGAAAAGAAAGTTCTTTGTACGAGCTAATCAAACCACTCTTTATACTCGAGACTATATTGAGAGTTTGCATTCAGCTTTTCAGAGAGTTGAACAGTCAGGAAAAGTTGCATTTGACAGTAATTTTTACATAGAGCTCATAGAAGAATTATCCCATCATGAAGTATACAAAGAATTAGTAGAAGACCTAAAATCAGATGCACTCGCAGAAATAAAAAGCGAGCTTACTTTCAGAGATCTACTGAGCATTGCTTGCAGATCTTCTGATGAAAATCAAATAAAAAGGATGCTCAGATGAATAACTAAAGATCACACGCCATTACCAAATATAAGAACAAATACCAATCGAGGTAAGAAAAAAGTCTCTTATGAAACAGCTAATACTTATAGGCGTCTCTTTGAAAAAATTGATAAAAATCGTGACGGAACAATAGATTTCCAGGAGTTGAGATCGGAATTTCGAGATTATATGGGAAGCTCGACTATAGAGCAATTATTTAAAGAATATGACTCAGATAATAACAATAAGATAGATCTACCTGAATTCATGAAGCTGCTGGCTCCTCATGATTCTTTTATCCCTGATGAAATTCTTGAGGCCTTTACATCATCTCCAAAATAATTTTGTGTACATGCTAACATTATCTAATCTATAATCATTAATAATATATGGCCTTTTGCCAATTGTTTTTCCATTTTCTCTACTAAATAAGTAGAATTTTATAAATTTCCTATATTTAGCCGATCCATTATAATCTTGTCGATTTTTTTATTATTCTTCTAATTCTTTGCCAAATGTTTTAAAATTAAATAATAGAACCCCTTTAAGTGCAAAAAATAATTATAAAATTTCTTTTTATGTCCAATTTGCCGTCAGAATCAGACCCATCAAAACCTCGAAATTCCCCAGCACAGTCCAAAAATCCTGATCAATTTAGTGCACCTTCCCGCCCAGGAAACCAGCACCCAAACCAAGCCGGTCAAAATATTTCGCCAGCCCCAGTACCAAGCCATTCCCAAAGCATGGCCGATATGATCCAAATAACAATAGCAAGTGTCCGAGAGTTAGGCTTTCAGAGATACCGCACAAATCATAGCGAAAAGAAATTTAGCATTATGTTCGCAATAACAAACCAAGGTCAAAGCACTGGTGAAAGATGACGCACTTTCCCCCTTGTAATTGAAATTTCTGAAAAAATTTTTTGTGTGAGAGTTATTTTTACAATAAATAACGAAAGCTTCAGGTTCACAGATGAAAATTTGATGGTATATGCATTGGAATTTATTACAATATCAAATTATGGAATGCAGATTGGCTGCTTTAATATAAGTCAGGAAAAAAAGTACTTACTCGAAAGGTTAGTGAGAAAAGAAATTTACTAAAATTGATATTAAAAAATATATAAAAAATTATTTTTCGAATCTTAAAAGTCCAAATTTATAAATATTTGAAGTAGGAGGTGTTTATTAATTTATAAAATTTATGCTTTAAAACACAAGCAGTCTATTTTAATAGAATTAGATGATAGTCGTCGTTAATTATTTTTTAATCAATTACTTGAAAAATTTATATTAAAAAAAATTTTTTCTTCGTTAATGGGCTAATTTTTTAGACAATAGTTTTAATGGTTTAGCTCGCTAATAAAGGTGGGAATTAGTCTTTGAAAGCAAAGCCTATTACTACTCTTTGGAGCCTCAGTGCTTAGGAAATCTGGTAAAAGAGCATTTAATGAAATCAATTGCTTCATATAAAACTTACGCTTTTGGACTGGTGTCAATAATTGACTGCTATCAAAAAGGGGTACCAGTGGAGCCCAGACAGTTCGTAATACAAAGCGAACGAAGAGGCAAGATACCTAACGCCAACCCTGCCCAAGAAAGAGAACAAAAGCGTGAAAACGATAAAGACTCTAAACGAGAAGAAGGCTCAGACTCAGAATCTGACTCATCTGGACAAGCTGAAGATAACAGCAGTGTGATTTCTTCAGACTCAAGCTCGAGCAGACGAGACAATGACACCCTTGAAAAAGAAAGAGAACTATTAGAATTCATAAGAACCAACGAAATCCTAAGAAACAGCTTTGACTTCCAAAACTTGAGCAGGAATGAAAAAGGATATGTTTATGAAGGCTACCAATCTTCAACTCTTAGAAAGTTTTTAGAAATCGCAGAGTTTGATAGAGGGCTTCTGGATAAAATCAAGTATACATTAAAAGAAATGTATGAGCAGAACTTGGAATTTATCAGTTTTCCTAGTAACTACATTTCAGTTCAGGAAATCGAGCCTGGGAAGATAAAATTCCAGTTTATCCCGAAAGATATATCTAAAATAGCTAATAAGCGAACAGAAAACTCTCCAAGTGTGAAGGAGTATGATATTAAGATGTCAAAAGAGCTAAATTCGCTGCTCTGTCAAGTGATTTCAGACAGATGCCATGTGAAATACCAAATAAATACCCAGGACATGATCCCTCCCCAAAATTTCAAAAATAAAGAACTGCTGGCAGATGAAAATATCATTGGCCATGGGGGCTTTGGAGACGTCTATAAAAATGAATTGCATGGACAAGAAGTCGCTATAAAATTCCCAAGAGAAGTAAAAGAATCAGAATCCAAAGCAAAGCGAAGAATTGCGAAAGAGCTCCAAATGATGAAATGCCTTCCACATGAAAATATTGTAAAAGTATTCGGTGTCGTTGAGTATGATAAAAAATTAGGCCTAGTCCTTGAATACTGTAAAAATGGTGGTCTTAACACTTATGTTAAAAAGAGCCCTACAATAAGTATGAAAGAGCGCATTGAAATGCTATTTGGAGCAAGCTTAGGCTTGGAGTTCATGCATTCTAAGCAGATTTGCCACTTCGATATCAAACCTCATAATATGTTTCTGAACGAAGAAAACGTAGTAAAACTTGCTGATTTTGGGATGAGTGAGCATCTTGAAGAAGGAAAATCATTTAAACCTGGATTCACGCTACTTTACTGCTCTCCTGAACAAATTAAAGGGGAAAATCCAGGTATGAAAGCTGATGTTTGGTCGTTTGGCATGAGCATGTATTTTGTTAGTCATGGAAAAGCACCATTTGATTATTTAGAAAAAATGAAAGGACACAAGCTTGAGAAAAAAGAATTTTATCAAGAATTAAAAAAAAAATTAAGAAAACCAAGGGTGTTAGAAGAAGTTGAAAGAAACTTTCCAAGATTCGTGTCTCTTATGAGAGAAACATGGAGTGAAGCACCTGATAGAAGACCAACAATGAGAGATGTTAAAATAGGCTTGAAAAATGCCTTAGCAACAATCCTTAATAGAATTGGCGATAAAGAAGAGGATCTTTTGAGATAACCTATTAATTATTTGTGATATAGCCATGAATTAATAATTTTTAATTATGAGTGCAATCCCAGAAACTCTGAACCCAAAACCATTTTTGGCTGAGTGCATAGGACATCCTGTTGTCGTGAAGCTGAAATGGGGAACCGAATACAGGGGGATTTTACTAGCCTATGACAAGTACCTCAATTTGCAATTACAAAATGCCTTTGAGTGGATTGCAGGAGAAAACAAAGGACTTCTAGGGGAAATTTTAGTCAGATGCAATAATGTCCTTTATGTGAAGCAAGATTAATCTAATTATTGATAAGGAATCTTTTCATTTTCATAGGGATCTAATAGACTCAAAATTAATATTTATGGAAGATTTGAATCTGAAGAAGCCACCAAAGATCCAAGTTCTGAATACAGAAGTCCCTGAAATTTCCCAGCCAGTCTGCAAAATAAGAAAACTAACGGATATAGCTGAAGACCCTCTTGAAGTTATGGATGATGACGAGATCCCATATATGACATCAAGAAAATCAAGACTTCATAACAAAACACAACTAATTGGAAAGCACTATAATCCCTTAATTTCTCCTCGAGATTCTTTAACCCTCCCTCCGATTGACAAGACTTTATTGTTCTATCAGAAGTTTTTATTAGGTCTGCTAAAGCATCCTGAGATATATAGACAATTTAAGGAGCAAGCTATTAAGCAAGACATTTTAGCAAAGATAAACACTCCTATAAATACCTGCAGAATGTCTTTTAATTTAAAAGAGCCAAATAGGCTGAAAAATATTGAAGTTCACTCTGTTAACGCTTATAAAAAGTTGCATGAAAGTGATAAGAAAAATAATGTGCTAGATATGATACTGAAGACTCCTCAAGCGAAGCAGGATAATGATAAAAGTCAAATCTCTTTGAAAAGCATAAAGCATAGCCGAAGAGGGTCAGCATCAAGGGCAAGCTCCAATTCACGACGCTCTTCAACCCGGAGAATAAAAATATATAAGTGCCAATTGGACAAAACCAGTAAAGAGCTATATGAGATTTTTTTAAAAATATCAAAAACACAAGAAAACTCTCATCGAGACCAAAGAGTTACTAGTGAAGCTTTAAAGGAGTGGCTATTGAAGCGATATCCTCAAGAAATGGTTGAAGTGATGGCAAAGGCAATTGTCATCGAAGGAAACCAAAATTTTGATTCATGGTCTTCGATTATAGAAAAGTTCATAAATTCCAATGACACCAAAATATTGAAGTTTTGCTTTGAGCTTTTTGATTTCAATAAAGACAAATATATATGCACTCATGACGCCTATTATGCAATTTCTTTAGATTGCAGCAATCTATATGACCAGGATATTGTTAGGATAAGAGAATCAATGGTCAGCAAGCAATCAAAAAAAGGTCACAACCAAAAAATGCCTAAGACACATATAAGAAGGCATAGTACTGCTTCGAGTGGGGATGAAGAAGCTAAAAGGGTGCCTTATATCCATCCAACAAAGCCTGAAGCCCTTACGGTTGAAGATTTTTTAAAAATAAGCTTCATTGGAAAGCCTCAGATTTTCCAAGATATCATTTCTTATCTGACAGGCTATAATATTAATTCTTCCTTATTGAAGCCTGAATCTTCATGCCATACACGAAGACTAAGCCAAGACATTGTATATGATATTCGCTGCCAAGAAGAGTTGAAAGATTCTTATAAATCAGACCCAAGATATCAATATTATTTAGATCTAGATGAGATGATGCACAAATTTGATCTGGCAGAGAGCGAAATGGTGCTGGAAAAATTCGAAATGCTGAAATGTCCTTCATTTCGCAAAGAAAAAATGATTTCTTTGAAATCAACGATCGAAGTGTGGCCCACAATTTTTGGCTTTAAATGCGATTACGTATCAAAGCTATTCTATGGGATTCTGGCAGGTAAAAATCGAACCGATATTACGAAAATGAGCTTTTTAAAAAAAATCAATGAAATTTTCAAGGGAAGTAGTGTAGATCAAAATAAATTTGCTTTTGATTTGTATGATAGAAATATGGATGGGATACTTACATGTGATGAGATTAATGATATGTATGAGTCTCTGCCTCAAAACACTCCAATTTATGATGAGTGCCAAATGTAAGATATATGCAGACTAGTTAATGAATTTCTTTCAAGTATTTTTGGTAAAAGGCATAAGCCATTAGACAACATAGATTTTGCTCTCTTTTCTGAATTAATTCCAAAGTCATTATTTATTGATGTAAGATTCACATAGTTTTAAAATTTTATACGGCTATAAGTGGAGACTTACTAGTAGGGCAACCTTGGCTCCAGGAGGAGCGGACTAGGCTGGGTACATAGGCCTGAATGCAATGCCCTGCATAATAAACAAAAATTTTACGCCTTCTGCTACCGCTGTCTTCACTCTGGGTTTCTATTTTCTCGCCAGGAAGGTTTTTTGAGGAGGCCTCGAAAATAGCCACTGCAAAGACGCCAATGCCAACGTTCCGGTTCGCCCTGATTTCGCGTTGGTCGACCAAAAAAAGTCATGCCTTCCACTTCCCTTGAACTAGAAGTCCGCAGCTTTCCTGGCATCTATAGGATAGGATTTGCGTGAAAACTGAACCTCACAATCAAAATATTGTTAAATGAGAAGCAATTAGCTGAGCTAGTTATGTTTTTGACTGTATCCCATATTTGATTATCCACTTAATCTAGTCAGCTCCCTAGGCTAGAACCACCCTCTGTCAGAAACTTCATAGTCTCAGTAGATGAAGACTATACAAGAGACAAAACCTGTCTAGTCCATCTGTCATGAACAAAAAAAACCTTCGGGGGAGAAAACAAAGCAATCCTCTTCAGCAAGTCCCCAATTCTAAACCAAGTCGCAAAGGCACTCACTGTCTGGATATAGGATAGCTTCTATCTGCTCAATAAGGAATGCTCCTCGGAGTCTATTTTTCATCAAAAATAGCATTTAATGTCTGGGATTCACATAGAATTCATTGGAGCATTAATGACTCCTAAGACTGAGCTTCCACGAAAGTGTATTTCTTTTCTTGAAAAAATACCGGAAAATCCTAACAAAATTATAAATATATAGATTTTCGTAAGCTATTATGACATCATAAATCGTAAATATCTGGTGAAAGCTATTATATAGGCTTAATAAATTTCACTAAAATGGAGTGCGTCCTTTGCTTTGAAAGGTCACTCTATGTCGGTGTGCCCGAATGCAACCATAAGTCTGTATGCTCTCTCTGCTGATTTCGAATGAGATCTCTACTAAGCTCCCTCTAGTCGGAAGCAAAAAAATTTGTTCGTCCATTTTTCAAATTGATTTTTTATAAAACTTCGAGTAATTTTTTTCAAAATTTAAAAAAATCCATTCGCAAAGATTGGAAATAGGAATTAATTTAGTTTATAAATTTAAATTTTAGAATTCACGCTGTTTAAAATTCAATAGAATCAATGAGGGATTTCGTTATAATAGGTTCATATATATACTAAATATTTTTTATAAAAAAATATTTTGCTCTATTTTTCCCGAAAAATAGCGATTTTTCTTATGGTTTTGCTCATTTATGGAAAGGGAAGTAAGTGACACAAGATGCCCTGTGTGCCGTCATTCATCTGATAAAATTTTTGTCGTCTCTGACCCGAGTATTGACTATGAAAATTTATCCAAACAAATGTGAGGAGATGTAGGCCCAAAAGGCTTTGAACAGGATTTCAAAACTGGTATGTTCGTTCAAGACGCAACAGAAATGATTAGGCTCACAAATTTCAGAAAATTGATTTGCCGATTTTGCTTTTGCGAAATCAAATCAATTGAGAAGTTCAGGCATCACATGATCCAATCCCATGGCGTATTTTTTTGTGAGCTCTGTATGAATCATAATAAAATGTTTCCTGCAGAGCAAACTCTATACAATGACACAGCACTAATCCAACACAAAGAAAGCGCCCATATAAAGTGTCAGCTTTGCCCACAGTTTTTGTATGACGACCGAGAGTTATTGAAGCACATCAGAGAAAAGCATTATTTTTGCGAGCTTTGTCCTATAGAAGTTCGACCAGCATTTGGTGATTATGAAACTATTGAAAAGCATTATAGGCAAGCTCATTATTTATGTGAGGTAGAAATGTGTAGAGAAACTAGAAATATAGTTTTTATGACATATGAGGATTTAAGGGATCACTATAGAGAATTGCATCCTTCACTTCAGCCAGCGATTTCTGTTGGCTTTAGATTCAATGATGAGCCTGATAAGTTTGTCCCTGCAATAAATGATACTAGTGAGAAAACCTTTTCTGTGCCAGCTATGAACCGAGAAGAAAGAGATTCAAATTTTCCTGCCTTAGCCCCTGCAGCCCCAGAGCCAACTGCTCCTTCATATAATAAAAAGCAAAAGCCAAAGCCAAGCAATAGCGATTTTCCTGCACTCTCTTTAGCAAAGTCCTCAAATGATGTGCAAAGAGTTGATTATTCAAATTCAAGCTTAAGCAAGCAAAAGGCTCCAAAGGCAAAAGTTTATGTAGCTAACCCTGTGCCAAATCCTTTGCTACCAGCTCCAAAAGTTAATCCAAATCAGCCTGTCCATCCAATTAGTTTAAAGCCAATTGAAGAGCAGAAGCAAAGCCCTCCAAAGAAAAAAGTTAAAGAAGATTCCAAGCAGTCAAATAGACTTCTAGAAGAAATCACAAAACTAAACAAAAGGGAAGCCACTCCTGAAGACTTTTTGACATTCTGCAACGAAGAAAGCATTAATGTTGACTCCCAGTTCATTTCATTACTTAGAGCTAACATTGTATCAAACTCGCTATGCGAAAAACTAATCCATATTCTACAAAATACTGGATACAGGCCAAAAGCAAGGAAAGAGCCTGAGGAAACAAAAGTTATACCATCAAAAACTAATCAAAAAAACAGCGAAAAAGCAAAAAACAACGGCTCTTCTTTAATAGAGTTTCCATCATTAGTTAATGAACAAAAAACAAAAGCTGCAGAGGATCATTACTCAAAGACTTTGACTGCAAATGTTGTGATCCTTACTCCCCTCGTCTGTAAGAGGACAAAACCACTGGGAAAAATCCCTATTTTTTTTGGGGTAAAAACCCACCCTCCGTGTGCGAACAAAAGAATTGTTTAATATAAAAATTTTGATATATAAGTGATAATTATTTGTTGAAATCTCTAGCTAACTCCATTAAAATATATCAGCTTGCATTTTAAAACTTAAATTTTATAAATTTAAATTAATATTGCTTTCAAAGTTTTGCGAATCGGGATTTTTTTAAATTTCTAAAAAAACAATTTACTAAATTATATATAATTTTTAAAAAAAATTCCATGAGCAAACAAAATTTTTTTGTTTGCTCACCGAGGGGGGAGTTAACAATAATCTCATTAATACCAAACTCTTCGTTAAAAGCATGCTTGAATTTGTCCCAAGAAATGAAATAAATGATGCGAAAAACATTATAAGAGAAAAAGTAAAAAACCAAGCAAAGCTTCAAGAAATTTTCCAGCTTCTGGAAACTGAATTGCAATCACTGCATTACGAATCTGAATATCCTTCTTTGTTAACTCCAAAGCCTCCACCTCCAAAGCCCACTTCACAAAATTCTATTGCAGAAATCAAAGAGAAGCTGAAGCTTTATAATGAAGGAACAATTTCTGAAAAAGAGTTTGTAAATGCATGCTATGAAATTATCCCAAGAAACCAATTAAATCAAGCTGTAATAGAGATAAGAAATGCTATTGAGGATGAAGTAAAAAGAGAGAAAATTATTAAGGGAATCGAGCGTAAAGTTAGCACAAAATCATATGACGAAGATTTTCCAACATTAAAAGTAGTCAGACTTCCCCCTCAAAAGCAGCCTAAGAATAAGAAAAAAAATAACTAATATATTCATTAATACCTATATCACATTTATTGATATAACTCTATTGCTAAAATAATTCAAAATATATAGTCTTTGAAGCATGTCAATAAATTTCTTGCGTAATAATTCTTCCCATTCTACATTTCACAGATTTTCCTATCATTTAAATGCTAAATTATAAAAACCTAAAATGTCAGAACCATCTGATTCAAGTGACTGGGATATGGAAGTTGACGAAGAAGATGACTTGCCACAGCCTGCACTGCTACGTCAAAGATCATATACAATTATGCATATTTCTGAAATCGAGCAGAGAGTAAATGAACTAGTTTCAGAGTACTCAGAACTTTTAGGAATCTCCAAAGATGAAGCTTTAATTTTGCTTTCTCATTTCCGCTGGAAACTCCACAAGCTGCAAGACGCCTGACTTGATAACGAACTTAAAGTTCGTATTGAAGCAGGAATTTCTTTGCCGCCAGCAGGCTATAAAGTAGCCCAAAGCAGGGGAAAAAAATTAGGCTCAATCAAATTGGTAAGAGGAACTGAAGGCTGCTGCCAAATTTGCTATGAAAACAATGTGGACAGAGATGCCCTGCAGTGCGGGCATTCTTATTGTAAGAGCTGTTGGAGACAATATCTTGAACATCTTTTATATGAGCGAATTATAACAGGAACAAAGTGCCCTATGCATAGCTGTCCACTAAAAGTGCCTGAAAGCATGATTTTGGGATATTTAAAAGGAGAAAAAGCTGAGAATTATAAAAGGCTAAAATGCGAAGAATTTATTAATCAAAACCAGGCTTATCATTGATGCCCAGCGCCAGGCTGCAATTTTGTTGTTGAATATGAAAATCTAGGTGTCCATGAAATCGGCTGCAAATGTGGGTACGTTTTTTGCTTTGCTTGCGGAGAAGAAGCTCATAGGCCAGTTACGTGCAGCTTGGTAAAAGATTGGGTTGTGAAGAATTCGGCTGAAAGCGAAAATATCACTTGGATTATTGCAAACACAAAACAATGCCCTAGGTGCAGGAATCCGATAGAAAAAAACCAAGGCTGCAACCATATGACTTGTAGGAGAGAAGTAAATGGCTGCGGCCATGAATTTTGTTGGCTGTGCTTAGGACCTTGGACAGATCATAATTCAGCAACTGGAGGCTTTTATAAATGCAATAAATATGACGAACTGATGTCAGGAACCAACAACGCATTTAAGCAAGAAGAGCACAAGAGAGAAAAAGCGAAGACCGAGCTAGACAAATATATTTGGTATTTTGAAAGATATAATAACCATCATTAAGATTTTTTTAAGATTAAGATTAGCCCGTTCGCACTTGCAGGGCCGGGGATTTGCACCCCTTCACGCTCTTCGCCTATGGTGATGCCTCGGCGGACACCCTCCTTGTTGCCTCAAACAAGGGATTCGCACAACGTGGGTTGTCTTTCCGAAAATCCATTAAAAAAAAATGGATTTTCTGATCGACTGTCGGTAGAAGGTAGAACTCGAAAGCCTGGAACGTAACGCCCAGTTTCACGCTAGGGAGTTGCCCGATTGGTCTAGTGGACTCTGCTGGGCTTCCCCTTTCCAACCTCCGTGCTCATCTTCCCCACGAGGAGAAAACCACCCCTGAATTTAGACTTGGGCTAGGCTCTGAACACAACCAGAATTGCTTACCTAGCATTTTCGTCCATTTCTGGCCATGCCCAGACGAAGACGCCATATTTTTATTTATCATAATAAACCATCATAAAGCACAGAAAATAGCTTCAGAGAAACAAGTGCCAGCAATGGAAGAAAAAATGCAAGAATTACACGACTTAAAGCAGTATCCAATAGGGGAGTTGGAGTTCTTAAAGCAGGCAGCAGAGCAAGTAGTTAAATGTAGGAGAGTGCTGAAATGGACTTATTGCTTTGGATATTATTTGAAGTCTGGAGCAGAAAAAGATCTATTTGAACACCTACAAGAAAAACTAGAAGAAAATACTGACTCCCCCCCCTTTAAATTGGAACTAAAAATTTTTTTCCAATTTAAAGGGGGGTTAATTTTTTTTTTAAAAAAAAATATCAATATAAAATTTTTTATAAAAAATATAAAAATTTCAACAAAAAAAAATTTCAAAATTTATCGAATTAGATTAATAAATTTGTTTAATAAAACGCTATTTACTCTTTATCCTTTAAAACAAAGCAAGATATAACTAAATTTTTATTATTAGTTAATACGCAACTATTAATTGGTATCAAAATTATTTACACAAAAATTATTATTTTTATTGATAAAAAAAAAATTAAAAAAAAAAAATTTTGGAAAATTTATCGATCAAAGTGCTAACTTTGTTTAAATAAGATGTTATTTATACTCTATTCTTTAAAATAAAGCAAGAAATAAGTAAATTTTGAAATTTTATAAAGAATTCCTATTGAATTTATATCAAAACTATCCAAATAAAAAATATCATTTTTATCAAAAAAAAAACAAAAATTTTTTGAAAATTTTTAAAAAAAAAAATTAATTTTTTTTTAAAATCTACCAATTAAGGATAATAAATTTATTTAAATAAGATGCTCTTTATACTTTTTTCTTTAAAAAAAGAGCAAGATATAAATAAATTTTTAATTTTAGTTAAGAAGAAACATTTAACTTATATCAAAACTTTTTAGATAAAAATTATATAAAATTTTTATTATAAAATTAAATTTTGTTCCAATTTAAAGGGGGGTTAATTTACCAAAAAAGTGGAAATTTTACCGATATTTTGTTCCAATTTAAAGGGGGGTTAATTTACCAAAAAAGTGGAAATTTTACCGATATTTTGTTCCAATTTAAAGGGGGGGGAGTGAGCATCTCCATGAACTTATTGAGAAACCTTTAGATATGTACATGTCTCCGGATACTATTGACAGGTCTCCGTTTTATCAATACAAAAGTGAGCTTACTAACTACTTTCAAGTAACCAAAACTTTCATGGAACATTTATTAGATGGAATCGAAAGCGGCTTAACCGCATAATTGAATTAATAACTCATTTCCTAACTTTATAATGATTTACGATTTTTCTATGAGTGAACAATTGTGAAAAATCGTTTTGTATTTTAGGAATTAAACATCTACATAGCGAAATTATTTTATATTTCAAACATTTGAAGGAAATAGTGCAAGCCCTTAATTAATTAGCGGGTAGGAGCTGCTTGATAAGGTTTTGCTGCTCAGTCGTTAACTGTTCTGGATAATCTACCACAAATTTAACTATCAATTTCCCTCTGTGTGAATTCATCTCCGTCGTGGGCATTCCTTCATCTTCTATGATTTTCTCTGATTGTGGCTGTGTGATTCCTTCGTTCTCAATCTTCACAATATGTCCATCTAAGTGAGTGATCTCCTTGCTGTATCCTAATAAAGACTCTCTCAGTGTAAGTCTGACTGTAGCATGCAAGTCGTTCCCTTGTCTTTCAAATCTGTAATGATTTTTTACTCTAACTCCCCCCCCTTTAAATTAGAACAAAATATAGGTAAAATTTCCACTGTTTTTTATAAAAAAATTTTATATTGATTTTATTTTTTAAAAAAATTTTCTTAACCCTCCTTAAAATTGGAACAAAATTTTTTGTTCCAATTTAAAGGGGGGGGAGTAAGGGAAAAAACAATGTCGCCTGGAAATCATTCTGGATTTTGCTCTCCTTGACCATCAAATTTTATTTCACTTCCACTGTCCATACCTGGCTCAACTTCTACAGTAAAAGTTTTCATCCCTGATACTACTTTCTGGCCTTTACAAGCTTGGCATTTTTCAGAAATAAACTATATAAAAGTTACATATCCACGCATTCCACACCTCTCGCATGGAATTCGCATCCCTCCATTTGGCTGGGTAGTCCTTGTTCCTCTTCCACCACAAACGCTGCATAAGGCGATTTTCTTGTCTTTGGCTCCAGTCCCTTTGCATTTTTTGCAGATTTCGTTTCTTTTTATAGTGATTTCTTTGGTAGCTCCACTATAAACATCTGCCAAATCGACTTCTATGTTGAATCTAGAAGTATTTCCACGCTTCTTGTTGAATCGCTCTGGGTCGTTTATTCCCATTTCTCCGTAAATATCATAGATTTGCCTTTTGTCTGGGTCTGATAAAACCTCGTATGCTTTTGTGATCTCGATGTATTTCGCATGGGTTTCTTTGTCCCCAGGATTTCTATCCGGGTGGTACTTGCTGAGTTTCCTGAATGCCTTTTGGATTTCTTTATCATCTGCATCTTCTGGAACTCCTAAGACGGCATAATAGTCACTACTTGCCTTAGAAAGAGCGAAAAGTAGCAAATAAATTAGAATCATATTAATTTTTTAATTATAAGGGTCATAACTATTGATTCGAAAAACCAGTCTTTTTAACTTTTCATTTTCTATAGAAAGTGAATTATTTTCCTTTACTGACTCCATCTCAACTAATAATTTGTTTTTCCTTCGTTATTGCTCTGTTTTATTAATTTATCAATGAGTCGTTTTTGATTTAATATTCAAATTTTAAAGTTTTTAATAGAAGATATGAATAAACAAAAATTATTATGTTTATTCAGAAGTGAGAATAATCTGAAATAAAATCGTAATTTAAAATCAAAAAATTATATCCTTTATTTTTTTATTTTGGATTTATAAATCTAATTATATTTAATATTTTATTAAAGGCGACTATTAATTTAGAATAAAATAATTCAATTTTAAAATTTTGATTAAGTTGCTCTTTACGAAAGGTATCTAACTAAAACTATTTAGACAGAATATCCTAAGCGCTGATAATTATTTATTTGGGGTAGTAAGTAATTAAATTTGCTCCTTAGTTCGAATTTCTGCTCGTTCTCTTCGTTGTTCAAAAATTCCAAAAGCAAAAGTTTGTGAGACTTCATCATTTCTGAGAACTATATTAAAGATACCTTGGATTCAAGCAAATTTTTATATAGTGATAAATTGTTCTGCGAAACTTCGCTATGTGACATTTTTATATCATTTCCGCATATTTTATCCTTTTTGTCAGAAAATATTTTCATCTCTCCAACAAAGACCACTCTAGTGGAAACAAGTTTTTTTAAAGGAAGATTAGAAGTGGGATTAACAGAAGTCTCTTGAAAACACTTTTTTGAAGAATAAGCACCTATATCAGATTTTGACTTGTTAATTCTCGGCAACGGAAGCTTATTTGTGACTAAAGAATTGTATTTTCTCTTAGAGATAGAGCAATCAGAACCTTCTTTAATCAAGTTGAAATTTTTTGAAGGATTGGTCATCATATATATAATTGTTAAATCTGATGAATTTATCCATTTTTTCATTTGAACGATCAATCAAATGATGGAGCAATTTTGCGAAAGAAAGGGTAGAAACTTTTTGCAGAAAAAGTTCGATTAAAGGAAAAGTCTTATGAAAATGGACGGTTAAATGGAATTAAATATCTATCTTCTAATTATCCTGCAAATTTATTTTATTTAAATTTCTTTATTTACATTTTTCTAGCAAAATTCATTGAGGTTATTTTATTATTTTTTATTGCTCTTCCCTTCATGCCATATCATCAATACTATTATTTGTAATAAATTATCCGTTATCGGCAACTAAAATGTCTGACAACAAATGGGGAATAGTTAAGCACGGTCGCTGGAGTCCCGATGAAGATGAAGCTTTAAAATCTGCCATCAATCACTATGGTGAAAAACAATGACGTCAGATTGCTGATCACGTTTCTGGTCGTACTCCAATCCAATGTCTGCACAGATGATCTAAAATTTTGAAACCAGGACTTGTTAAAGGTCCATGGTCAGCACAAGAAGACAAATGTTTAAAGGAATGGGTTGAGCACGAAGGGCCTTGTAGATGGTCACATTGTTCAAAATTCATAAAAGGCCGTAGTGGAAAACAGTGCAGAGAAAGATGATTTAATATTTTAAATCCGGATGTTAAAAAGGGGGAATGGAAGCCTGAGGAGGATTCTCTAATTTTCCAAATGTATCAAACATATGGCCCAAAATGAACAATGATTGCTAAGTCACTCCCTGGCAGAACAGAAAATTCTATAAAAAATCGGTTCTATTCTGCTATCAGAAAAATAAAATCCCATAGCATGATGAAATGTGAAGAAAAAATGGAAAAAGCCGATCCTGGAAACTCAGAAAATAATGGAAAAGTGCTTACTCCCCCCCCCCCCTCCGTGAGCGAAACAAAACCATTAGAAAAATCGCCATTTTTTGACCAAAAACCCACCCTCCGTGAGTGAACAAAAATTTTTTTAATAGAAAAAAATTTTAATGGAAAAAAATTTTGATATATAAGTGATAATTAGTATAATGAAATCTAGAGCTAATTCTGTTTAATTTTAAACAAATTGCGTTTTAAAACATAAATTTTGCAAATTAAATTAATATTTGCTTCCCAATTTTTGCAAATTAGGATTTTTTTAAATTTCGAAAAAAATATATTTTTTATAAAATTTATATATATAAATTTTTTTTAAAAAAAAAAATTAACCCCCCTCCGTGAGCGAACAAAATTTTTTTGTTCGCTCACGGAGGGGGGGGGGGGAGTTACAATAATTTCACAGATGCAACAACTGGAGAATTTATTAACAAACACTAAAAAAGAAATTTCGAATTTGGAGAGTTCTGGAGATAAAGAAGAGTTTTATGGATTCGAAGGGGCGGAGATAGAGTTTTTTTCTCAAGGATTGCCACCTATATACGATTTTGATATGAACACATATTAGGTTGTAACATCATTAATAAAATTACTAGGAAGATTAATGAAAAACCGTAGTTTTATAAAGATAAAATTAGATATTTAAATCTTAGTCACTAAAAGAAAGAGATTCCAAATTCGCGAAATATTAATAGCTTATATGCTTATTCAAAGAAAAAGGATTTCTTAAAAAATTAATTAGTTTTAATAAAATAAACTGGACTATAGATAATCACTAAATGCGAAATTTAATAAGCATAAGTAAGGTTCTTTTTTACAAGAATGAAATCTCATTACTAGTTAACTCTCGCGTAAAATGGTAATTAATATCTATGCAGGAGCGGGAAAACACATTTGATAGAAATGCTTCTTTAAAGCGTCAACGAGACTTAGACGGCTCTCAAATGCCACCTAAAAAATTTGCTCCGAGCTTCACATCAGACTATTTAATGCTCCCTAAGGACAAAAGAAAAATATATTTGGTGATGTAGAGGGAAGATGGACTCCGAAGCACACTGCCTATGAAGCAGGTGTAGGACCTGTCCTGATGAAGCTGAAAATAGTGCCTCTTTTTGAAGTAGCCTTCGGGTTTGGGGGTGCGTGCCAAATTGGGAAGGTTGGTTTCTCCCTGTAGGTTTCCCTGCCCCTGCCAGATGGGCTAGAATAGTTTTGACTCCCACTTAGCCTTTGCTTATCGGGGCTAAAGGGGCATCCGCAAGAGGTGGCTCTAACCTAGGGAGCTAATCTTTAGGCTAGGAGGGTTTACACCAGATAGGCAAGCAAGTGGACTTCCGCTTATGGCCTTATAATTTTAACTTTAACTTTAAGGACAAAAGTTCAGAAGAGTTCCATACATTTCTGTCGCAATCTGGAAATGTTAAAGCTTTTTGGTACTTCCCAAATATAAAAAATCTAATTCGGAGCCAGAAAGAGCCTAAGTTTTCTGAGTGGTTCTCTACAGGAAATGGAATAAGGTGGCGTGTGCTAATTTTTTTTAATCGGAATGCTTGTGTTTCGTGCTTTGTTGAGATGGACTTTGAGCCGAATATGTGGACTTTGACGCGATCAGCGTATGTATGAATGGAAGCCCACATGTCTAACGGCATTAAAACTGAAAAGAAAGTGAGTTTGAATTTTCATAAAACTTTTACTTTCTCGAAGAGAGATTGGGGCTATGATGATTTTATAGAGCATGATAAGTTTATGAGCTATCTAAGCCATCCTATAATTTTTGAAATCACAGTTAACCCTGTTTCTCCTCATGATGATTCTAACTCTCCCCCTCCGTGAGCGAACAAAAACATTTTGTTCGCTCACGGAGAGATAAAAAAATTTATTATAGCGTTTATAGTAAACATTTTTTTTCGAAATTTAAAAAAAGCCCAATTTGCAAAAATTGGAAGGCAAGTATTTATTTAATTTGTAAAATTTATGTTTCAATTGGAATTTACTAAAGTTAAAAAAGAATTAGCTAGAGATTTCATTATATTAATTATCGCTTATATATCAAAATATTTTTTTTATAAAATATGACTATATCAAAAAAATATTTTGTACTCTCAAAATATAGGATTTTCGATCACGAGGGGGAGTAAAGAGTTAACAGGCTATGTCGGGCTAATTAATGAAGGGACAACATGCTATATGAATAGTCTGCTTCAGACTTTATTTTTCTTATCGCCATTCAGAAGAGCTGTATATTCAATGAAAACAGGGGAAGAAGACCAGGACCAAATACCATTAGCACTCCAGCAGGTTTTCTACAGTCTCCAGTTTTATTCAGAGGCAGCATCCACAAAAGACTTAATTGCCAGCTTTGGCTGGGGATTAGACGAGAGAAACACGCAGCATGATGTGCAAGAATTTAATTGTGTGCTGAGCGATACATTAGAACGAAAAATGAAAGGAACTCCAGCTGAAGGGACTTATTCAAGACTTTTTGAGGGGAAGATGATAAATTACATTGCTTGCACAAATGTTGATTTTAAGTCTGAAAGAATCGAAACTTTCACAGATATTCAGCTAAACGTAAAAGGCTGCAAAGATATTTATGAAAGTTTCGAAAAATATGTAGAAATCGAGGATTTAACAGGGGATAATCAATATGAGGCAGAGAACCTCGGCAAACAAGATGCCCGAAAGGGCGTGATTTTTGATCATTTTCCTCCAGTTTTGCTCATCCAACTAAAAAGATTTGACTATAATTCATTCATGGATAACACAATGAAAATTAATGACAGATACGAGTTTTTCGAAGAAATTGACCTTGATAAATATGTAAGTCTAAAATCCCGAGGCAACAATAAATATCGGTTATTTTCAATTCTCGTTCATTCTGGAAATCTCGCTGCTGGACATTATTATTCATATATTTCTCCAAAGCTTAATCAAAATTGATATAAATTCAATGATGATTCTGTAGATTTCGCATTGCCTACCCAAGCGATTGAAGCAAACTTTGGCGGAGAAATCCCTACTGCAGAAGTAACAGAAAAAGGAGAAATCAGGCAGCTTGCGAATAAAAATGAGTCAAGTGCTTATATGCTTGTTTATATTAATGAAAATCTAAAAGACGAAGTTTTGAGAGAAGTGAACAGGGAAGATATTCCTGAACCACTTCATGAAATAATTCACAGAAAAACTGAAGCAAAAAGACTGGCTGAAGAGCAAAAAAAATTAAAAAATGCAAAATTCGACATTTTTGTCGTCACTTTCGAAATGATTTTTGGGTGGGATAAGCCTGGCATATCTCCATCAAGTTCATTTTTGCATGGCGAAACTATATTTGCAACTGAGAAAAGCAGAAGGTATAGGCTTAGCATTGATAAAAAGGACAATGGAAAAGCTCTAAAAGATTTTTTGCAAAAATATACTGAGAAACAAATTAGATTGTGGGTATTCGCACCAGGATATAAAAATTGGGAGTTTAAAGAGTTAAAACCAGACGATATCGTAGAAAAAGAATTAGGTTCAACTGGAGAAAAAGCCATATATATTCAAGCCGAAGACAATGCTCCTCTATTTGTGCAAAGTGAAGAAATGGATACTGAAGATAGCCAAGTCTGAAAATTCGCCAGAGAAATTGAAGATACAGGCTATCAAACAGCAGATTCAGAAGGGACCGAGATTATGGAAGATACACTCTATGTCAACGCTTCTAACAACGAAAAAGTAACAGTTTTCTATAAGTGGTACTCCTATGAGAATGGAATCCCTACACTACAGTTAATTGACTGTGTCGTTTTGAGAAACTCTTGCACATTAGCTGACATTCGGGCATCTCTTTATACCAAAATTTATGGATCAGACCCAGAACAGTTAAAAAACATGTATTTGCATCAGGAAAGATGCAAAACCCAAGAACCAAAAAATAAAGAATTTATAATGGCAATCCACAGCTTCGAGCCAGAAAAAAACTTTGAAATTCCTATAGGCAAAAAAGCGTCTTTTGGTGTGAAATTTGTGACAATTGACAATGGGGATGCTTGGATCGGGGAAATGGTCCCAAACCCTTTGCCTCCAAATTATATTGATGCGAAACGGTTTATTTCTGAGATGTGCAATGAAATATAGAAATTTCCCATAGATGGCGCTGTTTGCCCTTGATTTTGCCCATGAGAAAAATTTTTTGGTTTGACCAAACCATATGGGACTGGTCGAACCAAAAAATTTCCCCAGTGGGCAAATTAAGGGCAAACAGCGCCATTTATGGGAAATTTCTATATATGTTATTGCAAAATATAACGATAAATATGAAAAGTATGGATACAAGAGCTACTCTAGGCAACTGATGGAACATATTGAATATAGCAATGAATTTCCTCTGAAAACCAAGTTTTCTTATTTTCAAAAAGATTTGATGCAACAATTAGCAGACATTTTTCGACCTCTTGAGCCATCAATAACTCCAGCCAACATCCAAATTTATACGAAAAAGTCACATATGAGGTTTCCTCAACAACTGCCCTATCCTTACAGCGAAGAAGAAAATCCTCTGAGATTCAAAAAATCAAGCACCAATCCATCATTGGCTTCAATTATAGAAAATTCTAATATTTTGTACTTTGATATCATGCCATTCCCGATCCCACAGCTGGAGCATAAAATAATTGTTTACTGCTATTACCTGACTCAGAACTACGAAATGAATTATGAATTTTTAAGAACTCTCCCTGAAACAGCTACTGTAAAAGACTTTGATCAGGAAATCAAAAACGAAGTGATGAGCGTCATGAACACTGATAAAACGATAGACCTAGGGAGTTTAGAAGAGGTGAAGTATCTGCTTTTAACTCACCCGCAAAAAGCAATCCTTCAAGAGCTTGAGTATTCTAGCAATTTGTCAGTACACTCTAAAAATTCAAACGTCATGATTTGTATTCGAGCAGTTTTAAATAAAGAAAGTGAGCTCCGTCAAAACCCTGATTACAAGAAAATTAATGTTTTTACATATGTCAAGGGTACTGAAATTTATTGTAACCCTCTTGCGGTGTATATAAAAAAATCTTGGACTTGTAAAGAAGTGATACATTTTCTGCTTGATAATAGAGAGCCGAAGTCAAGGGTGATGATAACGAATTATTATAATTATGGAGAATCCCATGAATATAAGCCTCAAAGACCTTTAGAAGACTCTGAGGAATGCTTTTGTCCTAAGTATGAGGATAAAACTCTTGCGATAGAGCTTCCGAATCCAGAGGTGAAGAAAAGTGAATTAAGGTTTAAAACTAATGAGACTTTAAGTTAAATTAGCTTATTATGGAAATAGATATTTTAGTAAAGCTTGCTTAAAATTATTAATTTTTTAATGGAAATTCAAGTAAAAGAAGCTTTAAAAGCGCATTGAAGTCTTTTCAAAGGCATCATTTGCGAAAGCGCTGAATTGATATTAAATCTGTATAAAATAAAATACCATAATACGGTTTGGGTGTTTAATTTATTTATTAACTCCCTAATCTTTAAATTAGAACAAAACATATGTAAAATTTCTTTTTTCGGTGCTTTAAACCCTTAAACTGGAAAAAAACATTTTTTTCAATAGGAATTTTTATAGGTAAAAATACTAATCCTTATAAACAAAATTTAATTAAAAACTGAATCGATTAAATTAATTCATCATAAAAATAAATTAAAATTTAAAACATTGGCTTAATTCTTTTTAATATAAAATTTAAAGATTGAGAAGATATTTATAGAATTATTAAGTTTTAAAATTATTGAAGAAAACTATTATGAGAAGAAATTCAAGATATAATAAAATCTGGATTTTCAATTATTAAAGAAAAATAAATTATTTAAGTTATAAAAGGAGATATAAAGATTTTATCGAAATTTTTGTTGATACGTTTTAAATTCTAATAATAACAGTATATCTTGCTTTTTAATTTAAAAAATTTTGTAAAAATTTTTTAATTGAGAAATTTAATATAATTTTGTTTTTAAAAAAAAAATTAACCTACCTTCAAATTTAACAAAATGTTTTGCTAAATTTAAAGACTGAGTAAAAGCAGTGGGAAGAAGAATTGCAGAGACCTAAGCTTAGGAGCTATTTCTGGGTTATGGTATACTTTGAAGATACGATTTCTTAAACTGGCTTAATATAATACTAATGAAACACCTATTAAAAGATATACCTTTTGTAACCAATATAAACATTCATAAAAGTAGAGACTCTAAGGTAAACTCCCTATGGAGTAGCTGAAATAGTACCTCTTTTTTAAGTTAACCTTCAGGTTTGGAGATGTGCGCCGATGAGGGGAGGTTTTGTTTCTCCCCGAAGGTTTCTTTGCCCCTGCTAAATGGGGTAGACAGATTTTGCCTCACACTTAGTCTTTGCTTATTGTATACTAGCAGGGCATTCGCAAGAAGCGACTCTTACCTTGGGAGTTATCCTTAGATTAATTGGGTTTACGCCAAATAGCTAGGCTAGAGGTCTATCCGCTTATAACCTTATAACACTTAACTTAAGGAAGTAGGCGTTAGCCTTATATTAAAAGGATGCCGTTTATCTATAGGAATGTTTCTATTCCTTGTAAAAGGGTATAATTTTATTAATGTTGAGTAGCTCTAAGAAAAAGGATAAAAATAATAATTTTTCGTTAATAACAAAAAAATAAATTTTTTGGCGTTAAATTGCTATTGAGATTCATTATATATATAATAATCATCGTGCTATACTTTAGTTAAACGCTGATGCTTAATTTATGTATTTGTAAAAGTTGCATTTCTTAAATTTGCAAACAAAAGTTGAATAATTTCTTAATTTGGCCTAATAATCAAATGGGAACCAGGAAAGTCCAAGGATTATATAATTCAGATTTTGATAGAAATGTCACGAATGGTGTCAATATCCCGCTAAATTACAATTTTGACGCGAATTCTTTCAATGAAGATAGAAGATATTCAATGGCTTTGCCATTGCATCAACAAATCCATATCCCAGAAACCCACTCTTTTTGTAAGCCTAGAAATGAAGTTATAGAAGATAAGTACACACCAAAACCAAGCAAATCAATTAACATTGATGACCCGCTAATATCGACAACGCCGATAATGGTATAAATATAAGCAGCACCCAAAAGATTCCAGGACCCGAGCAATTCCTTCAATCAATTTAGAAGAGCAATCACAAATAGCAGATTTCCAAGAAGGTGAATGCAAAATTGAACCATGGAAGCGTATGATTGGCAATGCTAGTGAACTTATGCTTCTTAAGGTAAATTCAACATAGTTTCAGGAAACTCTGATGGTAGAAAGAACAATAATGCTTGAAATTATAAATAAAGACTCAAAACGAGACCAATTGTTGTTGGAGCTAACCAAAAAATTGGAAACTCTGAATAGAGAAAATGCCATTTTGGCCTTGGAAAATAAGGGATTGCATGATATGATACACACATGAAATTCACAGATCATTTAAATATAAATATCTGGGATTAAGAATAATTTAATAGATTTTTAAGTGTTTTTAGCAAATAATATAGCGCGTGCTTCCCGATAGATTTCAAAGAAAAAAATTATTTGAAATTCCAAAAAAAATCCCAAAAAGTCAAATATCAATTAAAAATGCCATTATATATGCACAATTTGTCAAATTGAAAATTAATTTTTAAGATTTTTTCCTTAATTTAAAAACTTAAATTTTGTTTATATAAAAGCACTTGCCTTCAGGGATCTAAAATGAGACTTGTGCTATATTTATTTGATAAGATAAATTCTATTAGCAATTTTTATAATGATTTTTTTCTTTTAAAAGAGCTATTAATTGACTCGACCAATCCGTATATGGAATGTCAAGGTTTTGCTATATTATCGAATTAAAACTGCTGGGCAAGCTCCATAGCACCTTTATATGGAAGCTCAAAGCAAGCAAAAACATATTTTTAATTAAAGTGCTCGTTTCTATTATTTATTATCTAGCCCACTCTCAATTTCTTTGATTTGATTTATCATATTTTCAAATTCACTTACAGAGCTTCCAGCAAATGTCCTCAAAATCACTTCATATTTCTGAGCTTTTAACTGCTTAAACTTAGGTAAGTCTAAATTTGCTAACTTTGCTGCTGAAATTGAGCTGATTTTTGATAACGCAATAACTTCTTTTTGCATTTCATCTATATGGCTTTCAATAATCTGCGAGTTTTTTTCTCTAGAATTCGTCGAAAATATTTGCGATAAAAGCTTTTTTCCAGTCTGCAGCTTTAAAATGTGGGTCTTCTCAGCCTCCAATTTTTTCTCGGTCTCTAATTGATATTTATCAATTTCTTTTTTTGTATCAACTGCTTCGATCATTGCTTTTAAATCAATAATTTCTCATCTGACCCAATCAAGCAATACAAAAAAAGGATTTGAATAAACTTCACGTGAGGAAATCTCCAGATTAGCGCTGCAAAATTGCTCCTCATAAATTTTACTTAAATGGTTGATTCCATGCATGAGCTGTGTGAGTTGTGCTTCAAAGCTTTCAAAATATACTTCCTAAATTTTAATAGATCATTATTGACCACCTATTTAAATTTTAAAATAAATTTGTGCATATCAATTTTTTGATAAGTGCAAACTAAAATGGCAAATCTCCGTTTGTGGCCTTAAGAAGCCTAATAAGACTTATACGGTATAAGACAAGCCCCTGGCCATATTTTTTCGGTTCGGTTTGCTACTTGGCCATAGCGATCTATTATGATTTATGGGCTATAATCAACATTTATTTTGCATATACTTTCAAATTTCCCTAAAGCCTCAATGCCAATTTTAAAAAAAGTCTTGCCTTCGTTTAAGATTTTTTCATTTCCTTCATTGCGAGTTTCATTTGAGTAATCACGGAAAATTTCATTGAATTTTTTGGAAATATCTAAGTAAGGTTGTTTTCTAAGTAATAACTTTCGATAAGCTCCTGGACTTCTAATAAATTGCTGAAATTCATCGGACTCATAAAGATAGGTATAAGAAGCGATTCTACTGATGAATAAATTGTAAAGCTTCATCATTTTCTCAATAGATCTTGGGCTAAAATTACTCTATGTAGTGTTTTACAATATTTTGCTTATGAGGGACTGGAGGAATATAGCATCCAGGCCAATTGTGAACTATGCCTGCTTGCTATAAATAAGAGCATGGCTATTGGTAGATGATATCCTAATTTTATATAGCAAATAAGACAAGGCTAACCATCTTTAATGCTTTCTTTATGCATAGGTTTAAAACTTTTCTTAATATACGAAAGTCTTTATAATTCCTATGTGCTTCATAAGCGCCTGAGGAGTCATGGCCTTGAATTATATAAAACACTTGCTTTTTCATCAAAGTTGATTTTGTAGTGAAGCTGCAAACAGAAACTCCTATTTTATTATCTAGCTCTGGCTCAGCAAGATAAAGAACGCTTTCGGAATTTTTATTAGAAATTTCAGTAATATAGTCTTCACTCCCCCTTTACATTAGAACAAAAATTCCCATTCAAGGAAGTTAATTTCTAAAGAAAAATACAAAAATTAATGCAATACTTTAGAACTCGATTTATTTTTATGAAGAATTAATTTGATAATTTAATTGATTCAGTGTGAAAGCTGTTTTAATAATACTTTACTTGCACTTTTCAATTAAATCACCCTAATTTTATACAATTTTTACTTATAAAGTTTTCCTACTAATTCCCCCCCATTCCGTGAGTGAATAAAAAATTTTGTTCACTCACTGAGGGGGCTAATTTGTTTTTTTAAAACAATTTATAGAAAAAATTTTTTTTCGAAATTTTAAAAAAAATCCTAATTTGCAAAAAATGGGAAGCAAGTATTAATTTAATTTATAAAATTTATGTTTTTTAAAACGCAATTTGTTTAAAATTAAACAGAATTAGCTCGAGACTTCATTATACTAATTATCACTTATATATCAAATTTTTTTTTCATAAAAAATATTTTCTATCAAAAAAAATTTTTGTTCATTCACGGAGGGTGGGCTTTTGGGCAAAAAATAGGGATTTTTCCAATGGTTTTGTTCACTCACGGAGTGGGGGGGAGTAAAAATAATTTTTCCAGTTTAAAGGTGATTACTCAAAAATAAGCATTTTACCTATATTTGTTCCAATTTAAAGGTAGGAGAAGTCAGATAAATTTGCATCTGTATAAGCTGTTGAGTTGCTAATTGGTCTAAAGTCTGAAGAAGATAACGGATTGCTAATGGCTATGGATTTTCTTTGGGTATTTTCTTGACTTGTTTTTATCTCTTCCATATGGTTATGTGCTATTTAAAATTTTCAACATAATTTTCATTAAGGTGCATAAAATATAAATATTGGTCATCATTACAGCTAGACCATTCAGCCAAGTTATAAAAAATTTACATTAAATTTCGGAGAAGTATTAATAAATATTTCATAAATTAATTCAAGTGAGCTACATTTCAAAATGATCTATTACCAATCTCATCTTTATCAATAAATTTTAAAGAATAATAAATTTAACAGTCAAAATTATAAATGGAATCTACTCACTTAACGACAAGTTTAAGCTCAAATCTTTTGCATTTCTCAAGCGATTTTCCTTTAAATAATCGTTCACATACCAAACAAAAATTACTTGAAAATGCAATGAATAAAGAAAGCTTTTTATGGTCAAATCAAGAAGATTCTTCACGCTCATTAACAAACCATTCTCGGAGTAAAAGCCTTAACCATAACTTCAATAAAATACAAATAAGTCTAACTCCCCCCTCCGTGAGTGAACAAAACCATTAGAAAAATCCCTATTTTTTGCCAACCCACCCTCCGTCAGTGAACAAAAATTTTTTTAATAGAAAAATTTTGATATATAAATGATAATTATTATAATGAAAATCTAGAGCTAATTCTGTTTAATTTTAAACGAATTGCTTTTTAAAACATAAATTTTAAATTAAATTAAATTAATATTTGATTTCCAATTTTTGCGAATTAGGATTTTTTTAAATTTCGAAAAAAAATATTTTTTTATAAAATATATATATAAATTTGTTTTAAAAAAAAAAATTAACCCCCCTCCGTGAGTGAACAAAATTTTTTTGTTCACTCACGGAGGGGGGGGGAGTAAGTAAAGCACAAAAAAACTATTATCAGGAAAAAGAAAAAACCCCTAAAAAAATTAATCAATCTCCGGATTTAAATAAAAAGAAAACTCATTATAAAGTAAATTCTGTCGAAATTCAGCAAGAAAGAAAAGTTAATAAAAGTGTTGAAGGGATAAGAAGCTCAGCCGATAATTTTAACAGACGAAAAGCAAGCTTGATATGACCAAATGAAGAAAAAGTAGGTTTCTTATCAAAAAATTATTCTATGGCTCAAAATGAAAACCAACAACGCCAAAAAACTGTATCTTCCATCAAATCAAAAAATATTATTGTAAAATTTATTTAGGATCTAAATAAATCCAAAAATAATCATGATTGAAATGAAATTTCAGGTTGCATTGCTTATTTGCTATGTGAAGTGGATCCAAAAATAAAAATAACAAACGAAAAACATATGAAAAAAGAAATGATGCTTTATTTCAATGATTTGAATCATGTCATACAGATGCTGAAGAAATTACCATGATTTCTTAAAGAAAAAAGAATTTCAAAAAGTAAAAATTACATAGCAAACATCACAAAATCTCACCAGAATTTCTTAAAAGCTGATTTATCGAAATTGCCTTCGAATTCAAAAACGCCAAAAATAATAAAATTATTAAAAAGTATTTTCAGTTCTCTTAAAATTGAAGACCATGATAAAAAGGAGCTTAAAGGCAATGGAAATAATGCACTTCAAAGCAAGTGCGATGAAGATATCAAAATTATTACGGATCCTGAGAAAAGTTTAATAGAAAGCATAGAGCAAAAAAAGGAAGTAGAGAATATTGTTGAAATTGAGGTAGAATGCATAAATAAACAGGATGCTCTAATAAGCGCACAAACATCAGAACTTATTGATGAGAAGTTATTTACACTTAAAGTCTCAAACCAAGCAGAAGAAAATAATGAACATATCGAAACTGATAGTTCTAACTTCGTTCCAATACAAGATTCTTTATCTGGGGATAATCCTATAAAATACCTTGATGAATGCAATGAGACCAAGGCTTCGAATCAAGCAGAAGAAATTGGTGAACACATAAAAACTGATAGTTCAAACTTTCTTCCAATACAGGATTCTTTATGTGGAGATAATCTTTTAAAATGTCCTTATACTTACGATGAAATCAAAACTTCGAATCAAACAGAAGAAATTTATGAGCACATAGAAACTGATAGTTCAAACTTTCTTTCAATGCAAGATTCTTCGAATGGAGATAATCCTCTAAAATGCCCTTATATCTACTATGATGAATCCTCATTTTCATCTTTTGAATGGTCAGAAAATTTTCGCTCTTTATCTCGATTATCAAGCGATTCTGGGGCATCAAAATCTTCACTTTTGCAAAGATTTTACCAAAAATCAGGCTATATTGCTAGCTCCCTAAGGAAGCAAAATTTATTTTAACGGAAAATAAAAATTGTTTCTTAAAATTTCTATAAAATCCAAATTATTAAATATTTAAAAGTAAAAATTTAATTACATTATATCAAGCTATTTTTTATAGCGTGCAATAAATTTGCTCTCTCATGGATATGGGATTAAGGAGCCACAGATTTTATCTGAAATTTTAATTAATCCTGGAATCCCTCCATTAATCAGCGATAATGATACTCCAAATTTTTCTTCTAAGTCTAAAGCTGAGCAGAGTCCAATAAGAAAAATCCTCATACCATCAAATAAAGTGTCGTCCGCATCTCCAATTCCATATAAATCTCCAGCTATAAAGCCTAAAAGTGTACAAATTACTCCAAGAAAAAATGAAAATTGTCTAGATTCTGCCAGAAAATCAAATGAATTTAATAAAAGAGTTGAAGAGAAAAATAAATTTAACTCTGAAGCAAAATGCAATAAAATTCTCGAAGAAAAATTTCAAGTCTTTTTAGAGAGAAAGCTAAAGGAAGACAAAAGTCAGAAAAATTCTCAATTTCAAAAAAAGCATAATTGGATGTCAGAGTTCAAAAACTGTATAGAAATGATAGAAATTGGCAAAGAATTTGAAAAAGAAATAATACACAAAGCTAAACGTTTTTTTATTTCTCATCTTTCTGACAGATTATATAATCGAATTTTAGTAAAAGCACAAAAGCATATAGAAGAAGAGCAAAATCGTTATGCTTATGACATGGAAATTCAAGAAGCTCAAGCAGATGTTGCTAAAGAAAAGCAGAAACTCCAAGAAGTTTTGTCAAAATATTATAAATAAAATTCACTTTAAATATTTTGCATATTAATTAATTTCTGCATGCTAAGTGCGAATTTTAATGCAGTTAAAAATATCCCTGATTCAATTATTAGCACACCATATAGTGCCTTATCGAACAGCTATTTACAAGAAACTGATCATAATTCAGAAATTGATGAAAGCATAAGGAATGAAATTGAAAATAAATTTTTAAAATCAAAAGTAAATCAAACTTATACCTTTCCCAGAAAAAGGATATCTACCACGTTGCAAGATGATTTGACAAGAAAAGATTATCATCTTGGCGCCTTAATAGGCGAAAAAAATAAAAGAAGTTTAAAATCACTACTTACCCAAAAAGTGAAACTCTCGAAAATTAGAACTGTAAATATCCAAAGTAAAAGTCAGAAAAGAGTCAAATCTCTTACTCCTACATATGTGGATTTTTTTTAAAATAACTATTTATAAAATCTTAATTCGAAATAATAATTAAAGTAAATATAAATTTAACTTGTAAAATTTATGTTTTAAAATGCAGCTTGTTTAAAATTAAACGGAATTATCTAGAGATTTAATTAGAATAATCATCACTTTATATCAATATATTTTTTCATGGAATAGGTCTATCTAAAAAACAGGGATTTTTCCGATGGTTTGGCTCGCTCACGGAGGGGCGGAGTTAGCATGCTAAAAGGAGAGTTTTTGATAAATTTTAATCATAAAAGAATAAAAAGTGATGCAACTTCTTCTCCAAGCAAGTCTATAAAGTCACCTTATTTACAGTCGCCTAAAAAGCAGCTGCCAAAGATGGAGACATTAATGAGGAAAAAATTTACTCTCATCAAAATTCATGGAAATTTATTAATGAAGGTCAGTTAAATGAGAAAAGTTATTTTGGCGAAATTAATAATTATAATCAAGAAAATTTAATTAAAATTATTGACTGTTTAAATTTCATTTGCTATAGAAATATTTTAAACCTTTAATCTCTCAGAGAGATCAGCAAAAAATAATGAATGTGCTATAAAAATTTTTTAATTCTTTAAATTCTTGTTTAATGGGTGATTATTGATCCAAATTATTTCTAAGTTTTTAGCAGATTTAAGGTCTTAAATTTTATCTGACAATTCTTAAAGTGAAGTAGGGCGTGGCTTTGCACGTTAACAGAATTGCTTAGATAGTATTGATTGATTGGCGGTTATCATCTCATATGAGACCAGTTACTTTCAATAAATTTCCAATAAAACTTCAAAAAATTTCATTAAAGCTTCACAAAGCTCCAATGCGCAACCTAATTGTACCTGCAATGTAGGTCATATAGAATTTTGTGTGCCCCTCAAAATCCTTCACATGCATCTTTAGCTACTCCACTTCTTCTCCATTCAACGATTCTTCAGGATGCTCCAGCACCTCCAGGTGCTCTCCAAGCTCATCCACAATTGTTCAAAGCTGCAAATCCTTGGGATTATTACCTATAACTTTTGGAACGCCATTATGTGCGCGAAATAATAATAATAATTGCTTAAATATTATAAAAGGCATTTCTGATTGACTAAAACATTGGTGAATATAATTCAATATGTACTCGAGGCTCCATGGCTGAAGGCCATGCCAAACCGAAACTAAAAATATAACAATTTATTATCTCTGATTTCAATATAATTTAATGTTTAAATATAGAGATTTAAAAGATGGCTATTGCTAGGAAGTGGCTTCGAGTCTCTTTGCTTCAAATATGTACCTCTTTATCATAGACATTCAAGTGTAAAAACTATTTAGTACACAAGATAAAATTACGTAATTCTTAATAATTGTGATTTAATATGGACGGACTCGAAAGTTATTATTTTTAAATGCTGATGATCCAAGTAATTTTCATGATATACAGTAATTCTAATTTGCAACTACTCTCCCCTTTAAATTTGAACAAAGTATCAGTATGTTTAAAAAGCCCTCACACTAAATCGGTAAATGTTTTTATTTAATTCTTCATAATAAGATAAATTTAAATTATTACATTTAATTTAAATTTTTTAAAAATGATAAAAAAATTTTAAAATAAATAAAGATTAAAATACTAATTTTTATAAAATTAGTTTTGACCTATTTTAATGGAAATAGCGCAAATAGAATGCTATTTAAACAATTTTCACATTAAATCGATTAATTTTTTATTGTTTCTTTTTAAAATTAAAATTTTTTTGTGCTCAATTTATGCTTTTTAAGGTTTTTAAAAATAATAAAAAATTTTTTATAAAGAGAAAAATTTAAATATAATATTTTGTTAAAGAATAAATAACCCCCCTTTAAAAATGAATGATTTTTTGCTCCAATTTAAAAGGGGGGTTTAGAAATTAGAATTTACAATGCAATATTTGATATGTAGCAAGATTCAGTATTCATTTATAATTAAATTCACTCCAATTTTAATTCTATACCTGACACCCTATTTAATTATTTTATGGCAGAAGCCAAAAGCAGTAAAATAAATATAATTAGGCTGATCTGTTTTCAAAAAGTACTTTCATAACAAATATTTAATTTATTCTAGAGTGGATTTTATTATAATATGAAGAATCAAAATACACTTTTTATTCAAGATCTATACTCATCCTCTATAGATGCACCTAACATTGTCTGGGTTCCTTACTACCAGAATCCTGTAACTCTGGAAATGACGCCAGTTTTTCCACTTGAGTCGATCACTCATGAAGCAAAATTGAAAGAACAGCCTCCAAAATCTAATCGTGGAGCAAGAAGCTTACAATGGACAGAGCCAGAAGATGAAATACTTTATAATTCTATGGTTAAGAATGGAGTTAAATCATGGGCTCAAATAGCAAATCTCATTAATAAGCAGGTCTATAACGGCGAGGAAATACGCCATGGAAAGCATTGCCGTGAAAGATGGTTCAACCACGTGAACCCAGATATTAAGAGTAAAATTTACTTACTCCCCCTTCAATGAGCGAATAAATCATTGGAAAAATCCCTATTTTTTAGATAAAAAAATATCTGTGAGCAAACAAACATTTTTTATGAAAAATATTTGATATATAAGTGATAAGCAGTACAATGAAATTATTAGCTAATTCTGTTGAAATTAGAATAGCTTGCTTCTAAACATAAATTTTACAATTTATATTAATTTTGGTGATTAAATTTTGAAAAATAAACTTAATATAAAATTTATATAAATTTTTAAAAAAATAACTTTTTACGTGAGCAATAAAATAAATTTGCCCACTTATGGAAGAAAGGATTTAGAGACTGAATGAAGTCACGAAGAAGACTTAGAACTTGTTAAGCTCTTCATAAAGCACGGCAAATGCTGGAGCTCAATTTCTAAAAATTTGAAAGGAAGGACCGAAAATTTTGTTAAAAACAGGTTTAATAGCCTTTGTAGAAAGGCTAAAAGGGCTAATAAAAGTCTTTCTGAATTTTTCAATGTCTCTCTAAGTGACGAGTAGCAGCGTAGTCTTCAATGAATCGCTTTAATAAGAAATATTGTCTTCAAATTGCGTGATTTGCTTTGTTCCATTTTGATTTTTCGATTCAGTCCATGTCTTTTTAGTTTTTATAAAGTTTCCGAAACTTTATGCTCTGTTTTAATAATTTTTGATCATGCATTTCAATAAATTTTATATTCCATTTGAAAAAATTATAATAAAAAACACTGTTTTTAATAATTTAAGCAATCAGTATTTTGACGATTTTCAAGGAGTATATATGCAAATATCTTTAACTCTCCAACCTTTAGCGAAATCAAAAAATTTGCTCATGGAGAGGCTTTTTTTTAAAATTTGCATAGAAAATATATTTTCTAATTTAAAAAATCAATATTCGAAATAATTTTAAAGTAAATATAAATTTAATTTGTTTTGAAATGCAAGCTACTTAAAATTAATTAGAATTCATTATAATAATTATTGCTTATTTCGTTCACGGAGGGTGGGTTTTTGGGCAAAAATTGGGGTTTTTCCAATGGTTTAAGGGGAGTAAGATGAAACAATTAATTAATTTTTACGCTCGAATCCTTGATTTGACGATATTAATTCTATTGAGAAAAGTGTTTTTGCGCAATTATATGATTAATTTGGAAATTATTTTACTTGCATTTTTATTGTCTTAATAATTTGAAAATAATGCCTTTTGAACAAACACTCTTATTTACTTTTAGATTGCAATTCTCAACTACTTAAACTTAAATAAATCTATTTCAAAACGATTAATTAATTAGATCAAAACAACTGCATCTACGCTTTTACTTGGCGCACACTGTACTAATCTACATTCTTTTACATCAAAATAATAAGCGATTTTCATTTCTGAAATCAATAATCTTTCTGGGAATTTCCTTCCATCAGTAATCTTCAATAACGTTCCTGATTCATTGCAATAGATTCCAAAATCTTTTTTATCACTTTCTCTAAATGCAATAATTAATTTCCTATCCCATTGTTCTTTATGTATTTGTCTGACGATTTGCAATCTAAATTTATATCTCTCAGTTTCATTTTTTCTTAAGTTCAAAATTTCAAGCATTTTTTGCTTTACTGCTGTTTTTTTATTGTTATTGTAGTTTTTAGTATATTCTTCTGATGCTTTAATGAGAGCCATTTCATTGGACAATTCATTATAAGACGAACTCGGAGTATTTTGTAAAGAATTATCAACGGTTGAGCTTGAAGTTCTTTGCAAATCTCTAAATTCTTCTTCAGAAGCTGTGGATGCATACGTATCGGACTGTCCTTGGCTTGATTTTAAAAATTCTGTGCACTTACTAAATCCTTGATTGGTATTTATTGCTCGTGACGAAACTGCGTTCACATTTCAAACATTTTTGGGTGTTAGGGTATTAAGCTCACATATTATGGAATTTACACCACTTATTGTTCTCTTATGTCGAGGCTTAGAAGCAAACGTTTGAAAGGCAAAATTTGGATAAAATGAAGCGTTTCTTGGCGAATCATGAGAGATATCTGAAGACGGGATTTTTATTTTTGGAATCTGCTTTTCAGAGAGACATGCAGGGTTTAAAGAAAAGGGGCATTTAGATGGGTTAGAGTTCGAATAGCGGTGATATGGTATTCTCGATGACATATTTTTGTTATAATGAAGCAAATTATTGAGTTACTGTTTATTTTTTATCAATAATAAATTTGAATTATTTTTATATAATCGCGTCTAATATGTTTTATATTTTATCTTAAATATGATTAAAAAAATTATGAAGAGCCAAAACGAGAAATTAATCGATAAAAATGGATACTCAAGGCTACTCAAATTGAAGAATTCAGCGATCGATTGACTCTTTTAGTAATACTTTATCTACTTACCAGCTTAAAGCAGGGTTAAATTACACTGGCTTAAAAACTGTTGTTTCTTTCCCCCAAAATTATTTGCAACTGCTTATAGATCCTTTGCTTTTATACCCAACTTTAAAAAGCAACTCAGATATTTCTCCAGATCCTCGATCCACAATAAAATCTATTGAACTTATTTTTACAAATGAAATAGATATAAATAACGCTCTGCAAATCTTAGCTCAGACAAGCCCATTTAATCAGCATAATTCTCAAAATTCAAAAGGCAGGGTAAATTTTAAATAGATAGAAGACGTTCCCCTTAATTCATTTGAGCAAGAATCTCAACTCAGCGTTTATGCGAACTCAAATATTTTGAATTTGTCCGGCTTAAATAATCAACTATTTGACAATGCCTCATTATCAAGCCAATATGGATCTTCTAGCGAGGATAAGCAGATAATTGACACTGATACTTTTGACAAAGAAGCAATAGAGCAAATTCATAGGGATTTTGAAGAAAAAATTGAAGAAAAAAATATAGAGTTTTCCTCAAGAAGCTCGCTTACTTCAATTCTCGCCAGATCTATAATTGACACAAATGCAAGGGGATCGCTGCTTAATATGAGATTATCAACCGTAATAAACCAAGAAATCTCAGAAGATGAATCCTTCAAAGGAAAATTTGGGGATAGCGAAATTGAATGAGACATTCGAGGATCTTGCCCATTTAGAGGGGCCAGCGAGTTATCATTGATCCAAAAATTCGGCCTAAGTCCACAAATAACAGAAGAAGAGAGGTTTGAGACTGATGAATCTTGCTTTTCATTCCCAGATGAAGGTAAACCTCAAGTCATAAAATGCTACTCTGTTAGATGTTCCGCATCAAAAAATATTTTAAACCAGTTTCATAGCAAACCTTCAATAGTAAAACTCCAACAAAAATTGATAGCAAGCTCTTCTATTTCTGTCTCAGAGTTTATAGAAACTATAGAAACTGAGCCTGGCATCAAATGGCCTGACCCTTATTCTCCACTACTAAAAAAAGCTGTAATTTGTGCATCAAAAGATATTTCGTTTAGCGAAGAACAAACAGAAGCCCTGAATACTTTAGAAATAATTTCTTCTGTGTGCTTCTCTGGCTTTAACTCTTCGTTAAATCTAGAATTCTCATATCTAGAAGATCAAAACAAAGTATCAGCAGATAATAAATTAAAATCTAGCAACCGACCTTTGCTATTTTCTGAAAAAATCACCAAAAGTATAGCGATTTCTGAAGTTTGCTGAATTTCTTGTGGATTTGAACACTGTGCGCTTGTAACAACTGAAGGAAAAGTGATGAGTTGAGGTTATGGGGCTTCTGGCTGTTTAGGCCAAGGAAGCACAAATTCTTACCCTTTTCCAAAACTCATAAGAGATTTATCTGGAGAAATTATTGTATATGTAGAGTGTGGAGGATACCATACAGTAGCTTTAACTGACAATGGCGATGTATACACATGAGGACGAGGGGACGCAAATCAGCTAGGAGTTCCTTCAACAAGCCTTTATAGAGATGAGCTTGGATATGTATCACTTCGGCCTACCAAATTAGAGTATTTTACTAACCAAGATATATTTATTAAATCAGCTGCATGTGGAGAAGCCCATACTTTACTATTAGATACATTAGGATGCATTTATGCATTTGGCTGAGCAGAAGACGGTCAATTAGGTATTTCTGATGAAAATATAACAAGCGATTATATGAGCAAAGAAATTACACAAGTAAATAGCTTAAGCGGGATTTTTGTAACTCAAATCTCAGCTGGGGCAAACTTTTCAGCTTGCTTAACTGAAGATGGAAAAGTTTTTGTATGGGGAAGTGGAGAGCATGGACAGTTAGGCATTGAAAATTCAGAAAATTTGAAGCAAAAAAATCCAACTATGGTAGAAGCATTAAATAATGAAATTATAGTGAGTATTGTGTGTGGAGAAAACCATGTGATCTGCCTCAGCGATAATAATAAAATCTTTGGCTGGGGATTAGGAAAAGCTGGAGCTTTCCCGAATCTTGAAGGAGGGTTTACACCTGGGTCTGATTTAATCTGCCATGTCCCAAAAATAATCCCAACTTTGGATAATACTCAGTATTTTGTTGTAAAATCATGCAAAGAAGCATCAGAGTTAACATCAAAAAATGAAGAGTATGCTAATTTAGCCTTGGCTCTTGCTCAAAAATTGAAGCACTTGCAAATGGAAGATGATTAATTGCTAATAAAAATAAAATTATGCTTAGAACTAAAAGATTGCTTGATTTGCTTATAAAAAGACTTGAAAATAATTTAGCTTTTTCTACAAATCACACAGTATCAACATCAGAGACTAAAAAGACTGATCCTCCTTCTATTGATGAAATGTTTTTACAAATAGACATTCGTGTAGGCCGAATTATTGAATGCTGGAAGCACCCAGAAAGTGAATCACTTTACTGTGAAAAAATTGATATAGGAGAAGGAGAACCAAGAGAAATTGGATCCGGACTGCAAAAGCATGTTCCTTTAGAATCCATGAGCGGACTAGTTTTAGTTGTAGCGAATCTCAAACCTAGAAAACTTGCAGGATTCTTATCAAATGGAATGGTTTTAGCTGTTTCTCAAGAAAATAAAGTTGATTTACTTACTCTACTTTTAAATTAGAAGCAAAATATCCAATTTTTGGGTGAATTAATAATTCTTGCTGATTTAACTTTGAAATCTAATTAATCCCCATAATCAAATTTTTCCTATAGCTTGCTTATTTTAAGGGAAAATGAATTAAAATACAATTCAAATAACGTTAACACTTTAAATCTAAATATAAATTAATTTTTGAAAACTTTACGATTTACTTTCTCAAAGATCCTAAAAAAATTATAGCCCCTCTTTATATGGAACAGATTATTTTTCCAATTTAAGGAGAGAGCTAGACCGCCTCAGACTGCTATTACTGGCGAAAGAATTGGAATTTTTGGATTAAAAGATCCTGTACAAGAGCTGATTTTGCCTACTCTAAACCCGAAGAAAAAAATTATGGAGTCTTGTCTGCCTTGACTCAAAACAGATTCAGAAGGCTATGCTTGTTTTGGTGACAAAAAATTGTTAACATCCCAAGGTCCAATAGTCAGTCCATTTAAAAATTCTCAAATTTCTTAATTTATTTGATCTCCATTCTAATTCAAAGAAATTATTATTTAATCCTCTTCACCACTCTGCTCCTCTGAGTCTTCCTCACTTTTTTCTTCTTCTTCCTCCTCTTCCTCATCCTCTTCATCTTTTAAGCCAGTCAATAATCTATTGCTCACAATTTTATTTCCATCCAGCACAAGAAATGTGCCTTCATGCGGGGTTTTCTCAAATCTAACAGTGGCTGTTGTATCTTCTGAGTATTTGATTGTGCTATCCTCGACTCCAAACACTTCCGGGGATTGAGCACAAGCCACTTCAAGTTTCCTGAAATAAAGTTTTTTGCTCATATTGGTTAATGTGCATATAAATTGGTTTTCATGTTCTTCGTCTTTCTCTACACTTATTAATTGAATAGGAGTCACAGGGTAAGCAACAGAAACAATTTTCCCTTCACTTTGGGCTATCAAATGTTTATAGAAAAATTCTTCCTCAGGCATAACTACAGAAATTATCTTCTTAATGCGCGAATTAGGCTCCACCAGTTTGAATTCACAGATTTTTTCTTTGGTTTCTATGCACCAGATTTCGAGCTGACGGAAATAATCTTGAGTGGTGTTTACAAGTTTTATTTCCCACTTTCCGTCATCTTGTAAAGTCACATTTCTAATGAGATAGAATTCGGCAGGAATTACTTTTGCTGGAGGTGGATAAAGGGTTTCAGCATGGTCGCGGGCTTTAAGAATGACTTCTTTGAGATTTGTCAAGTTATCAAACGTTTTTCTGACTTTATCCTGGGTTTCTTCCACTCTTTTTTTATCTGAGCTATTGTTCTTGGTTTTGGGAGTCACAACAAGTTTTTGTGACAGATCTTTAGCTTTCCCTGTCACTTCGTCGATTTTTTCTTTTAATTTCATGCACACATCAACTACTTCTTCAGAGTAATCTCTGTAAAGTGACTGCAAAACTTCTTTAAGTGAGGCCTTTATGTGATCTTGTACCTGCTGGAAATGATGATCTGATATCACATTCTGAGACAGAAGCTTAGGGTCACATGAATAGATCTCTGTTGACTCAATGGATTTAAATGGCTCCAAACTTCCCCATTCAGGTTTGCCCAGGAAGTCATTTTCAACAAATATGAAAACCTCGCTGTAGTCCTTTAAGAGATTGTCGAAGTTAAGGGCAAATTTATTTCCTCTCTTTTTGGAGTATTTTGCTGGCAGCTCAGTAATTCTTGGCAGGGCGGAAATCCCCTGGACAGGTTCGTCAGTCAGAATATTTGTATAGAAGGTTGGGAGGAATGTTTTTTCTTGGGCTGAAATTGCATAGCTAATTGCTAGCTGGGAAGACGAGCAAATTATTGCTGAGCATTCAGAAAACGCTTTGGTACCCTCATCAAAATAGTCTACAACTGCTCTTGCTACTTGTTCATTGGATTTGCTTTTGGTGACACCGATAAAATAGACCTTGGGCCGCTCCATGTATTTAATTATAAATCTACAATTATTAAAGTAAATGGAAAAGCATATTAGAGTTTAAAATCATAAAGTCTATGTATAATGCAAGTAGATAATTAGTAGATCTTATCAGAACCATTTAACATTTTATCAAATTAAATTATAATATTCGATTTTTTGCTGTTTATCACTAACCATCTAGGCATCGAAAATTTTAATTAAAGTTTTACCTTTAAATATAAGTTTGCTAATAATTATAGAGCGAAATTATCGAAGATCTCGAGAAGTTTGAAATAAAATAAATCTAATTAATCAAAAAATTTAATCCCGTGCTTTATTAGTTTTGAAAGCCTATTAATTATTTATTTATAAACTTAATTTAAATAAGAAACTTTATTTAAAACAATCTTGCTTGGAAAATGAGCTGTAGCAGTGTTAATTTTACTATAAAACTCGGAACCTGGCTTTCCAAAAGCAAAGCATTTCCTAATTGAGATTTAAAAATTATATATTTGTTTTTTTGAAAATGGATTTTAGTAATTATAGTGATGAGCAGCTAAGACAGATGCTGAGAGACTTGGAAGAAAGACAACGATACCATGCAAAGCGAAAGCAAGCTCATCGAGAGTTATGGAAGTTATGAAGACTATGAAGATTATGAATATTACGGAGGCTATGAAGATTATGAGGATTATGAATTTGGTGGTGGACGAGATTATGAAGTTGAAGAGGGATTAGGATCTGGAGTTGAAGATGAAGATGAAGTCGAAGATCATGAAGGTGTATGCTCAAGTACTGTAGATGAGGATGCTACTACCATCTGTGGTGAACTTGAATGCATAGAAGCCCGCGAAAAAGGAGCAGATTTGAATTTTGGCGGGTGAAATGGAAAATTCGAAAATGAAGCAGTTAGAGAAACTAAGACTGTAATTGAATCAAGGATAAGAAAAAATGTATGGCATCATTATAGAGCCAGAATTGAGACAGAAGTGAGAACGACAACGAGACTTTTTGTTGCTTTAAGTGAAGGAAAAGACACCTTAGAGGCGAATCCATACATCTGTAGTTTTGAATTTATTAGATGATTACTTGTGTTTGTTTGAATCTTTCTAGAAGTTCATATTTGAATTCAATTTTTAAGTTTGGAGATTTTTTGAGTGAATTGTGATTTTTGTGATAGAAGAAAAGGTTGATTAAAAGCAAGTGAAGTGCGGATTTACCGCTCTAAAAGATAAATAAATAAATAAAAATTATATATAAAGAATAGCATATCTCGGAACTCTTAAAAATTGATTTTATGCGATTTTGAAAATTTATTAAATATTTTTAAAAAAATAATAAAGCAGCTTTAACAAAACTCAATTGAAGGAGACATATTCTTTCATGCTCGGTCAAAAAATATATCAATTACTTCGTACTTTATAATTCAATTAGAAAATTATTCTTGATTACTCTTTAAAAAATGCATTAAAAAGTTATCATCTGGGCTAATAAATTATCTATAATAACCAGAAAAATATGGAATTAGAATGGCAAATTAATTCTCAAAGCCATAATTATCATAAAAAAGCATATAAAATATTCAAGCAATGAAGGTCCATATAAAATTTAATCTACTATTCTGTGTAGCTTTTGTATATTCACAAATCGACAGCTCACTCGTCATAAAAGCTCAAAAATTTGGAAGCAGTGTGAGCACTCTATCTTCTGACTCAGTTATATATTGGGGTGAATCTTTCGAAGAAAGTTATTTCTATGGCGATCTTAAAACATCTTCTTCAATTCAGAGAACAAAGGATCAAGATATATACATGTCAGCGTTATGAATTGCCTACGATGCCCATTATAAGCTTAATTTGAGTTTATCTGATGGAAATTATATATTGAACTTGAGATTTGCTGAAATTGAATATGATTCTCCTAATGAAAGAGTTTTTTCTATGAATTTTTGTGGAGAAAGTATTTTTGAGTATCTAGATATATATACTCAAGTTGGAGGAAAAAATAAAGCTTTAAACATTTTTTATGAATTTAGTGTAAGGAATGGGATAATTCAATCATCAAACTATAATATTGCTCAAAATGATGGAATGCTAGATTTTGAATTCATTTCAGTTGTTGATAAAGGGATAATAAATGCTTTACAAATTATTAAGGGAACTTGCAGCGACACAGGAATTTGTAATAATTGTTATGATCCAAAATGTCTTGAGTGTGATAATGATGCTGCTATTTGTACAAAATGCATGTACAATACAGGTCTAAATGATAAAAATTATTGCCAATGCAATTCTATGAATATAAAAGCTATAATAAATGCTCCAGAAAGTGTATGCAGTGACTGTATTATTACTCTTGATGGCTCGGAATCTTATGGAAGTGGAAAACTTAGTTTTCAGTGGGTAATTGATAATAAATTTTACTCAAATTCTGCAGTTTGCTACTATACTGTGCAAGATTCCTCAAAAACCCACATCATAGTAAATTTTACAATCTCTGATTCCTGTGGATATACAAATACAATTGGCAAAGTTATCAACGTCAGTAGAGATTCTATTGTTGTTAATATTATAAGCTATACCAATAGTTATCAAGTCAATAAATACTCAACATTTTCTGCAAATTATATTACAAAAAATAGTAGCTTGCAAAACCCAGTCTATACATGGTCGATCTCACCTGATATTAGCTCATCTGTAAATTTAAACCAAAAAGAAATCACAATAAAATTTCCTGATACACAAAATTATACAATTGCACATTTTAAATAGGAGTTAGGGTAGGACTGCAGTCCTGCAGCCGAGCTCTTTGAGAGAAGTCATCGACTTCTTTAGAGTCTCGGCTCGAAGAGAAGTGTGTTCTACACTGAGGCTGATGCAGAAAGAGAGATCCTAAGAGGCTTTGGGGACAGAAACAGACCTACGGCTAGTCTTGTCTCACTTACCGTTAATCATAGCTTTGGTCCAAGTTGAGGCTACAAGGGAATGGGCCTTGAAAAAGATAATCTATTATATTGAAACTGAAACTTAAGCACAATTGCAGTCACAGCTACCTTTGATAGTGCTTCTGCTACGACTTCTAAGATTATAACCCCAATGCCAGAAATACCAATAATTTCTGTTTTAGGGGTGAATACAGAAATATATTGAACAGCAAATATCATATTTAATGCTACCCTTCTATATGAAAATGGGTCTAACCAAGTTAACTATCCTCTGAATTATTCATTTATTGATTGTGCATACGGAAAAATTACTTCTCTTGGGCCAAATAGTGACAAATCTCTCTGGAGTTTTCGCTTCCAAGGGACAAAGAATTTTGATTCTACCTGCAGTTTTGAAATTTCTATTGAAATTGCAGGAAATATATATAGCGCGGACTGCTATTATAATTTAACTCAAACGACTATACCTCTTGTATATGTTTCTTACCCCTACCCTTATTTTGACTGATCTTCTGAGATAAGATTTATGGCAAATATTCCTGATCAAACAAATTTAGTTTTCAGGTGGATTCAAACTGATAGCAACCCTCAATTATCAGAGTCAGACCTTGCTACTTATAAAAATCAATCTTCCTATACAATTTTGCGTTGCGTCACAATTCCAACAAAAGCATATGAGTTTACAATAGAAGTTGAAGATATCACCACCAATACAAAAATTGATGTAAAAACCAAAAGACCAGTAAATAGTCCACCTCAATATGGAAATTTTGCAGTAAATCCTTCAAGTGGGAGTACTTTAGAAACACAGTTTAATGTTATTTTTCAAAATTATGTCGATCCTGAGCAAAATAATCCAATTTCTTATCAAATTTTACAGCTAAATGATGATGGAAGCACTATAGCAATTACCCCGAAAACATATAGTAACAGCTTTAGCATTTATATTGGAGCTAATGGAAATTTAACGTTATTGGGAAGAGTTTATGATAGCTTACTCCCCCCCCCCCCCTCGTGAGCGAACAAAAAAATTTTGTTCACTCACGGAGGGGGGTTAATTTTTTTTTTTTAAAAACAATTTATATATAAATTTTATAAAAAAATATTTTTTTCGAAATTAAAAAAAAAATCCTAATTTGCAAAAATTGGGAAGCAAATACTAATTTAATTTGCAAAATTTATGTTTTAAAACGCAATTTGTTTAAAATTAAACAGAATTAGCTCTAGATTTCATTATACTAATTATCACTTATATAGCAAAATTTTTTTCTATTAAAATTTTTTCTATTAAAAATATTTTTGTTCACTCACGGAGGGTGGGGGTTTTTGGTCAAAAAATGGCGATTTTTCTAATGGTTTTGTTCGCTCACGGAGGGGGGGGAGTTAGGAACTTTTAATAGCACTGCATACAAAATTTCGGTGCAAAAAACAAATGCAAACCCTAAAATAGAAACTGAAAAGCTACTAAATGCTGGATTAAATATGGATCCAACCATGTATATTTCAAAAATTGTTGCAATTTCTCAATATGTGTTTAAGGATGCGAGCTATAAAAATAGTACAGAAGAGATTGTGAATGATTTATTAACTCCTCTTTGAATTGGAACAAAATATAGGCAAAATTTAGATTTTTTATTAACTTTAATCTCATTAAATTGGAACAATTTTTTTCCAATCGGACTTTTATTGGTGAAAATATTAATTTTTATAGAATATTTTGACCTAATTTAAAGTAAAAAGTGTAACTAGAATAGCATTTAAAGAGTTCACACTGAATCGATTAAACTTTTAAATTAAATCTTTATAAAATAAAATATTCAATTTTTTATATTTTTTAATTTTAAGTAAAATTTTTTAAAAACAAATATTAATTCCATTTCAATTGGACCAGGAATTTTATTATAATTTATTAGAGGAGGGAATTAAATACTTTAAATAAATGAGTTTCAAGCAAAGAAATGACTCTCGTTGATGTAAGCACTGCCATTGATGTTATAAGTGTCTTTCTCACGAAGTCTGATTACTACGGAGAGACTTTAATGCTGAACATTACTTCTAGCTTATCGAATATTTTAAATCAAACAGATAAGCTTGATAAAGACACATATGAAGTATTATTGGAGCAAATTGACATTATTACATATAGTCAGTTGCTCTAATTTCTGATCGGCTCCCACGAGCCAAAGATGGATTTCACACGTGAAAATCCAGAACTTCCACGTGGAAACCCATTTTTGGCTCGTGGGAACCGATCAGAAATAACTAAAAAAGATAATACAGATTTACTGGGCTAAGTGATGAAGGCAAAACCAATTACACTTCATTGGATTTTTATTATACGCTTATTGATTTTTTTGGTAAAGCAAATGATAAATACCAAAAGCAAACACTCCCAAACGAAGTTAGTATTACTTTTGATGGAAAATACTATACTTCAGTGATTGTTTCTAGAAGTAAAAGTACATTGAGTGAGGAAATTTCGATATCCAATTGCACAGTTAGTTTTGATGTGGATGCTCAAAATGATGATGATAACAAAGTCTACCATCAAGCTGTTGCGTTATTAAATAATTTGAAGGATGTAACAGCTGCACTACCTTCAGAATTCCAAAATAATTTTGATGCAGCCAATTCTTGCTCTTTTGACTCGCATAATAAGTTCGGATGCCGAAGCTACGAAATGAACCAGAATTTGGATTATGGGATATCAAAGAATAATGCTTATGTCAAGCCAAGTGTAACTAAATTTCAGTATAATTCTTATAAGCAAGAATCAGAAGCAGCTGATGCAAATGTGACCATTGTTATGCCCAAGTCTGCGCAAACATTATATGATACAACCTGCGAAGTATTAATTAATGGGCTTTTTAGTAATAATCCATGCAATACAGTTGACCTTGGAAATTTTGTCTATCAGTGCGTATGCAAAAATCTTGGCTTAATTACACAAATTCCTGACCCAACGTTACAAAATTTATTTGTAAAAGGAAAAATCTTGATTAATGTTAAAATATTTTCTGGCCTTTCATTTATCCCATTTATCGTTTATATATTGCTCTCGCTCATATATATAATAGGATTGAGAGACTTAGGGAAGCTTGATACATTAACTTGCAAAACTTTGAAGAGTAAGGTAAAATATATTATGAGAAAAATAAAATCGTCTATTGAAAGTCATATCAAATTTAACGAATTTTGCAGCATAAAACAAATTAAGAGGGGATTATTGAATTTTACTAAAAAAATAAAAGAAGATGTGGCTGGAAAACTTACAGATATAAATGATATAGATTTTTTAGACGCTTTAATAACAGATAAATTGATTATTAAGCAAGCTGAAGATGCAATTTTAAAAAATGATATAGATATAATTAAATCTCTCACTTTACCTGACGTAGAATTCAATAATTTGATGCATAGCATTCGTGTTAGAAGAATGATTTTCGCTAAACTTTATTACTTTATAAGGAGTTATTGCTATCAGGAAGCTTATGAAAAAAAAATTATCAACAAAATTAAAGATCTCACTAGTAATAGAGATCCGCATATTGAAGCATCAGCAAAGTTAATAAAAGAAATAATAAAGCAAATAAAATCTGGAGAATTTATTGTAAACAATTATGAAGAAAATAGTGAAGAGCATCAAGATAATGGGGATAATGAAGAAGTTGGAGACAGTCAAGTGCTTCTTAACATAGAAAATGACGAAAGCACTTTTTATTATAATTCGAACTCTTATGGAATTTTTATTGAGCTTCTCGCAAACAAAATGAAAAACGATTTTCTTCATGAGGATACTTTTTATTATTATTTTATCAAAAGTAATTTGCTGCTGGGCTTAATTGGGTTTACAAGTATGAATTTTTCTAGAAGAGGTAGACTTACTTTGTTTATGCTGACTGCATTTACAGATGTATGAGTAGCAGTATTTTTCTTTGAAGATAAAAATAATTATTATAGTTCCTTTTCAATACTTTCTATAAGCGAAGTTCAACTAATTATTATCGGAATTTCTATTGTAATTGGATTAATTACAGGGATTTTAGGTCACTTTCTACCTAGCAATTACACTCAGTCAGAGTTATGAAAGGAAGAGAAAGTTAAATATAAGACATCAAAAATCGCTTATTTAATCAGTTGAGTAGCAATGTTGTTTTTGCTTTGGAATGCCTGTTCAAATGCAGGTAATCTATCATACAGTCAGCATGGAAATCTCATTAAAAGCATCACAATTACTTTGATTGTTACCGTTTTACTTGAAGGGGTAATCAAGCCTATTTTAGAGGCATTATTACATAAATATAGAGTTTTGACTGTAATTAAGAGAAGTTGCTTAGATATAATGGGACTAGTGATTTGTTGTAAAAAGAGAAATCCTGCACAAGTTTACGCAGAAGAAAATATTAAATCTGATGAAGGTTTTTTGGAAATAGAAGAATCTCAAATTTAAAAAATATTAATTGTGAATTATTTATTTATTTAGATAATAATTTCTTAATAATATGTTTCGGCTATACTGAGCTTTAAAATGCTTTTCCACTAAAGCTCCCATTCAAATTGCATTACAAAAGTCAATTTTCTTATACAAATTTAATCAAGCTGAAAGCCTTAACCACTTTTTCAAAGAAATTACATTACCAAATACTTCTTTAGCCCAGCAAATTTATGCTCTGAAATTAATCATCGAAAATCGCCATCCACATAGCTTTTCACCGCAGCTAAAAATCGATATTATAGTCCTCATAAGGAAAATTTGTACACAAACTTCAACTTTTGATCCTATCTCAATAGTCGAATTCTTTAATTTGGCAATGGAACTTGACAAAAGATCAGATCACTGATATAATTTTAAATTGGCTATGAATGATTGGAAAGCTTTGAAATCGAAAATAATTGAAAACATTAATTCGGATTTGTATCAAAAGAAAGAATTTATTTCTCTTTTCAGGTCTTGAGCCTATTTTAATACAAAGATATTTGAAGTTGAGAATAAAATTAGGGAAATTATAAAAGATAAATCAATCATCCTGGATTTGGAAGAGTGTATGATGCTGTTAGAAGGACTTTTAGATTCAAAAATAAAATCTTACTATGTTTTGACACGGGATGTATTGAGAAGAGTTAATCAAGCTAGAGAGCTAGACCCAAAAAATGCTGCAAAAATATTAGAACTGATAAGTTGTTTAACTAAAATACCTCTTTTTCATAATGAAATTCAGCAATATCTCAACAAGATAAAAAGTTTTATTTCCCTTTGAAAAAAAGAAGAAGTACTGTCAGTAATAAAGTTTTATAACAAAGGAGAATGAGAAGATTTAGTTCTTTTGGAAATTTCTGTCCAGAAAATTTTATCATTGATGAGATATGATCAATTCCATATTAAATTCCTATTAAATGTTTATCTAGAATTAACAGAAAAAGAAAAGTATTTTACTTTGCTCTCTGAGCTAATTGAAATAGTGAAAACTGAGATTATCGCTAAAATGCGGACAGAAATGATGGATTCAGGAGATCTGCTTACATTGATGAAATCCATGAGTAATGTAAGTGAAGAGGTAGGCGAATTGTTAAAAAATCGAATAGAAAATTGTAAATGACTATATTTTGGGCATAAATTCAATGTAATAAATAAAATTTCACACATTTTTATTACAAAAAATGAAGCGTCTATTCCTTTAACTGATATTATTCCTATAGAAGCGCTATTAAATGATAATGCTACTTCTTTAACTAGAAAATACATAGACATCAAATTGGAAATTTTATCAGAGATATTACATACAAGGGAAGATTTGCAAGTGAAGCTAGAAAAATGGAAAACAATTATTTTAAATGAGCTGGATGATATTGGAAAATCTGATGATAAAACAAGAAAATTTATTATTGATGTCGCAGAAATGGAAATCCCAGAAAATATTTTACCTTATTTAAAACCAATTTATTTATATCGTCTGCACGCTTTCTGACTCCCTTCTTCCAGATATCTTCTGAGACATTGGGGGTTGGTTTTGCCAAAAAAAGTTGGCAAAACTAACCCTTCAATTGGCAAATCAGCTCGATAATGGAAACTTGTATACTGAATGGTTGGTTTCACTAAAAAAGTTGGTAAAATCATCCCCTATTGTCTCGAGAGATACTAGGACAATTGAAATCAGAAAGCCTGCAGGCACTATAAAAATTTTGGATTATTGTGATAGGCAGTCAAATAAGACTGAGAGTGCATACATTTTAAAAGACTCGTTAAAATTATGCAAGAGCGACCCAGCAGCTTGAAAAGAATTCTATGAAAAAAATTCTTACATTTTTCAATATCATCACATAGAAAATGGACTTAAAATCAAAGATCTCCCTTATGATATTAAAAATCTACTTTATTCAAAGCTTCAAAAAAGGATCAAAAGATAATTAGCTTGCACCTCCCTTTAAAAGCGGGCAAAAACACTAGAACATTTCCTATTTTTGGAAAATTAACTCCTCTTTATAGCGAACAAAATATTTATAATGACTAATGACTGCTATGACGATGAGATCTCAAACTAATTTTATAGAATTTTTTTTTCTTTAAAATTTAAAAAATCCAATTTGTAAAAATTGAGAAGCAAATATTAATTTAATTTGTAAAATTTATGTTTTAAAACGCAATTTGTTTGAAATTAGCTAGAGATTTCATTATATTAATTATCACTTATATATCAAAGTTATTCTGTCTATTAAAAAAATTTTTGTTCGTTCACAGAGGGTTAGTTTTTGGTAAAAAAATAGGGATTTTCCAATGGTTTTGTTCGCTCATGGAAGGGGGAGTTAGCTAAATTTTTAAAGTAATTTAGATTTCTTTTCAAATTTCGATCTTTCAAATCTAAAATAACTTTTTATATATAGCTAATGCACCATAATAGATCGCTATGACTAAGCGACATACTGAACAGAAAAATATTGCCAAGAATACTTGTAAGTCTGATTAGACTTCTCAAGACTATAAACAGAGATTTTTTGTTTTCGTTTGCACTTTTCAAAATAATTAAATTAAAGTTTATTTTAAATACTAAAATAGATGGTTAATAATGATCTATTTAATAACAGAAGCTATAGTTTGCTTACTGCAATTATGCGAATTTGGCACCCTTCCTTTTTGCTGACCCCCTGACGATCACAAAAATATTAGAGCTGAAATATTAACTGATAAATCCATATATCAATTGGGTCGATGAACAGATTGAGATAAGTCTTCAATTTCTATAATTCAAATTCAAAATTAAGGCATTTTAGAAATCAGTCTTTTAGTATATTTGGAAATGAAGAGATCGAGGAGTGCGCATTGGAGAAGTGAATGGATGACGAGCAATTGGCAGACTGCTCAGAGCATTGAAAGAAATAAGTATGGAGATCTGAAGGAATAGCACTTATTGAGCTAGTGCTTTACAGAGCTAGAATAAAGACAAAATGGAAGAAATGAAAAATTGGTGAATATTTGTGAGTCAGGAGACTGGATGGAGTAATAAAGGATTATCATTAGGAGAGAGATAACTGCAAGGTATTTGGATAAGTTGAAGTAGAGAACAAATAAAATGGAGGAACTGAAAGTAGCGGAACGCAAAGGAGCGCTAAACAGGCTAGACTGGAGGAATATTTTTGATAAAGAGCCTAAATGGGGCTGCTGAGAGCGTAAGCTCTCTGAATAGGATGATAGATGGGCAAGTCCCTATATATATTTGACTTCTCAAATTAATTTTTGGCATTTGAAATTTTTGCGACCTTAGGGATTGGTGGCATGGGGATTGGATGTCCAGAGTCTATTCATAAAGGTGCTTAATTTTTCATAATTTTAATATAAAATTCTTTAAATCAAAATAAGCTCGACAACTTTCAGAGTGAGCAGACAATCTTCCCCACATTCTAAGGAGATTAATTTAAATTTTATGAGAAGAAAACAGTATTTAAAATAATATTGTTAGGCTAGTTTTAATATATTAATAATCATATCATATAGCTATTTAATTCATAATAAATAGAAAGGCTGAAATTGTTAATCCAAAATTTTTGTTCGCTTTCAAGGGTGAGAAGTAAGCATGATATAAAAAAAATCATAAAGGCTGCAAATCCTTCTATTTCTTATATAGAAAATTCCTGGGGATAGCGTATTCCGCGCTATCCCCCAGGAATTATCTATAACTGAATATTCATAATAGAATATTGTCTATCTTTAAATGGATTTTATCTTCCTCACCTCAATGGTTAGCAGTTTTTAGTGTTTCATCAAGAAGCACTGCTCTGCATGGGTTTCCCTTTTATTTAAAATCACCAAGCTCAGAAATTTAAGAGTTCAGCACTAACTCTGTTTCTGCTTTTTGTTTATAAATCTAATACTATCAATGTAGATGGATCATTTAAATAATATTACATTTCACAAGTTCAAATTAAACGGACTTTGGAGCTGCTATATATACTTGAATTTCGATCCGTGAAGTGCCTGCTGGTGGCTCAATGAAAATAATTTTCCCACCTCAAATAAATATTGCTTCAGGAGCTAGTACAAATTGTTATTATATTTTATTTGAGCTTAATATAAATATGTGTGCTTTGTTTAAGATAATACTCTTTATATATATAATTGATTTCCTAACAATTTAGTATTTTTATTATAAAATGATTAAATTTTTGGCATTGACTTTATTGCTACAGTATGTGGCTCAAGGTAAAACTTATTTAGGTGGACTTATAGCTACTTCATCTCCTATTTCTTTTTCTCCAACTCAAATCAGATCCGCTGCAAGCTATAATTTAAAGTTTTCACTTTTTTCATTTACTCCTATTGATGCTATAATTACTGTAATTTTCCCGGATAATTCTGTTTTATTCAGCAGTTCATCAAATTACTTATGTTCTCTTTCTAGATCAGATAACTCGATACCTCCAAACGCTTATTGCATATCAGATTTCAGCACTCGTTCAATATCAATATATAATTTTTTTTTGTCTGGAGTAGTTATAGCTGGATCAAATGCTGTATTTTCAATTGATTTTCTTCAGATCAATAATCCTAAAACAACAGAAATAACATCAGCTGTCATAATAAAAACACTAACAAGCAGCTCAAGCCTGATTGATCAATCTGATTCTCAAGATTTTAATTTAACAATCCAGGCTACGACAGCTTCTATGACATCAGCTTCAATTATAGCTGAGTCGAACATTATTGGTGACATTACAACTTGGACTTTCTCTTATCAGCCTCTTTATGAATCTATCGCTTTATCAACAATTTATATTGAGTTTCCTTCATGAAATGGCTATATTGGCGCTAGTGGATCCGATATTCAAGAAATCATAACAACTACTAATCCTTCATGCATTGGAGTTACTAATATTGATTCTGCAATTACCTGCAGCTGGAATAGCCAAAATCGAACATTAATCGTTACAAATGGATTTCCATCTTTCTCAATACAAGGAATTGTAATTTTTAATGTTACATCATGCAATAACCCTCCAAGAAGCGCTGCACTTACTGGTTTTCGTTTTTATTTAAAATCATCCAACTCTTGGATTTATGAATCTAGCACAAAGTCTGTTTCTGTATCAGTTTCAAAGCCAAATATTATTAAAATTGATAATTCAGCTGTGAGCTTATCTAACTCTCAAACTCAGGTTCGGACATATCTTTCTATCAAATTTAGCCCAAATGTTCCTTTTTTAAAGGATGATATAATCGAATATTCTGTTCCTTCCGAAACCTCTTTCTATTACAGTGCGTATATCAACAATTATAATGGATTTTCTGCAAGGCCAGACTTAATTAGAGTTAGCTCGAATGTAGTAAGAGCTATAAAAGGTTTTCCTTATTATTCTAGCCCTTCATTAGTCAATATTGAAATTATTTATATGTTAACTCCTAATTCAACAAAGCCTACAGGAACATTTACTATAAGGCATTTGTCATCAAATTTAGACGTTATTGCAGAAGGAAGTGGTGGGGCCATCAAAGTCAACCCTTCAAGTCTCAGCATGAAGAATTTTAATCCATACCTTATTTCAACAAACTATACAATCAAAGCAACTGCAACTTATTATTTCCAATTTTTAATCAATAAAGTTCCAGCTGGCTGCTCAATAGTGGTATATTTTCCTCTCCAAATCAAAGCTGCATCAAGAGCCAGTGCAGTTTGCCAGTATATTTTATTTGGACTTGATGGTAATGCAAAATGTCTTGTGCAGAATAATATTCTTTACATTTTTGATGGGTTTCAGAGGGAATATAATGGAGAGATATGGTTTGGGATCGATCAAATTACAAATCCTGATACAAATGCCGCAACTAAATCATTCAACATAACAACATACACTGATAATACACTAACTTATATGATTGATTCTACTGCTTCTAATATAGTTTTTACTGCTACTTACAATTCTAATTTTTTACAGGTAGTTCCTTGATCGTTTACAACTGGAGATAACACTACTTATCTTTTTATTGTTTCCACATCCTATACGATTCCTGCAGGGAGTCAGATTTCAATATCATTTCCTGCTAATATAACAGTTTCTAGTAGCATTAATACTTGCTATGAAATTATTGGGGTCAATACTAATAGCTATACATGCAATTACGTAAATAATCAACTCTTGATCACAAATTGATTTAACTCAATAAAAGATCCTGGCACCTTGTCATTCTACATTAATGGTGTAATCAACCCTTTCTCGACCAAAACATCAGACCCTTTTAAGGCAACAATTTATGATTCATATGGGAATATTGTTGATTTTATATCAACCGGATTAAATACTGTACGAATGTCAAGCATCCACTGATTAAGCCCTTTTTTAATAAGTATGAGCGATAACACTAATGGAGCTACATCAAATTATACTGTATCAATAACTACTTTTAACCCAATACCAGCAGTACTTAGGATTGAGCTTTGATCATTATTAGGTTTATGATCATCCATGCTATCCCAGCCAATATGTGAGGCTAAATCTAGTAGTATTATTTCTATTTCTTGCGCGCGTTCAAGCTCTACCCTTATAGCTTCACTAGTACTATCAAATGATTTGCCCAGCAAAACTGTTCTTTCATACTCAATTTGAAATGTGAAAAATCCAATTACAACCAAGAGTAGCTACATTGCTGCTACTACGATAGATTCAGGTGGCTATGCAATGGAATATTCAAGTACTTATCTTGTAACAATACCCGCAAATATTACAGATATTAATATAACCGCTGCTAATAATGAGATAGGGATGAAGACTAATTATACCATTTCTTATTTTCCGGTAAATCTGCATCCTTCTGGATCATCTCTTACAATAAATATTCCTCCTGAATTTTCTCTTGGAAATGTTGGATGCATTCCTATCACCTTAGGATATAAATTCAACTGCAGTATTTCCTTATTTAGCATTACAACGATCAATGGATTTGATTCTAGCTACAACTCTTCAGCAAAAATTTCATTTGCTATTACAAATATTGTAAACCCACCGAGAAAAATAGTTACTTCTCCATGAATTTTGAAATCATGAGCAGGAACCTATCAGATTGATCAATCTACAGCTATAATTTCATCGTTCAATTGCTCATCTAGCTGCTCAGAATGTAAATATGCATCAACAAATTGCACATCATGCTATGAAGATTATTATTTACTAAATTCTTCATGCGTAGCTTCATGCCCACCAAATCATATTTCAAACTCTACTGCAAGAGTATGTATGCTATGTCCAAGTCTTTACCCCATTGCGTATAATAATACCTGTAGTCAAAAATGTTTAGATCACCAATGGAAAGATAACGGAATATGCTATGATTGCATTAGTCCATGCTTAACCTGTAAAAGCAGTAGCTTTTGCACATCATGTGCACAAGCTGCAGCACATCCTAATCTTGTAGCCCAAGTATATTTATATCCTGATGATGGCACCTGCCTAATAGAATGTCCTTTAGGCACTTTACCAAATTCCACTACTTTCACGTGTGATCCTTGCTTTAATTGCATCCCTTGCCCAGATGGCTTTTATTCAACATTAGGAACGAATGACTGTGCTAATCTTTGTGATGAATCATGCAAGACCTGCACCTCTAAATTTCGTTGCTTAGAATGCTTGGACTATAAAAAATATTTCGACGGCGATACATGCAAGTATTGCGACAGGAATTTTTATTCTAATCTAGATGGGAAAACTTGCTCGCATTGCTTAGTGAACCAGTACTCGGATCCAGGTGAAAATATTTGCAGAAGCACTTGCTCTGGGCCAAGCTGTGAATTTTGTATAAAATGTGATAAAGAATGTAGAAAATGCTGAAATTATGATGATTTTATTCCGATGAGTCAAGCTTATATCATAATATGTTTGGAATTGGAAATTCCAGACGAGGAATTTATTGTAGGACAGATCTCGGATGAATTTATAGTAAATATGAACCATTCATGCCCTAATTTATTATTAAAATCAATGAATGATGAGATTAGGTTTATTACAACAGAATATTCCAATTTTAAAATTATCATCAATCCAGAATATGATATAATAAATAATCCCCCTTATTTCTCTATTGAAATTGGAAAAATACCGTTAAATGTCTCTATAAATCCAAAATATGATGATTTTTCATTGTTTATTATGAATAATGAAAATTTCATACAGCAATCCTATGAACAGTTTGGCAGAGTCTTTATAAAGCTCCAAGGAGGGATTATCTTTAATGCAAATCTATATTATAACAATACTTATTCTTGCTACTCAATGCTTTCAGATACTACCATCTCAGAAATGGGTGGAAAATCTATTCAATGCTATATACAAAATGAATCAAACTTAATCATAATTATGGATCAGTGGACGGCAGCTACAAATTTCCTAGTATTTAAGAATAATGTATTTTCGAAAAAAAATCAGCCAAATATAACAAACTTAAAATTTATCAATTTAGAGATTAAAAATTTTAATCCCTCCCACCCTGTTCCTATCATAAATTCTGTATCAAGAATTTGTTGTGGCTGCAATTTTACCCTTGATGCATCACTGTCATCTGGATTAGGAGTTCTAAACTACAAATGATATATTAATAATGTATTTTTTTCCAAAGAGCCTGTTACATACACTTTAGCCCGAGATTGTGGAGTTAAAAGTGATATAGAAGTTAAATTGGAAATCAATGATTTATGGCATACTGAAATAGTACAAAAGAATATAAAGCTTGAGCAGGTTCCTTCAATTTTGGTAATAAATCGTGATGATGCAATAACCACACATAAATATGCAACATTTTCTGCCGATGTTTATTGAAATTCAACAACACAAAGTAGCTCTATATTTGATATTGAGTGGAGTTATTGGCCAGGAAATAGCAAAACACAGGCTATTACAATAAAAGGACAAAAGGAATTTTCAACCGTTTTTTATGATGAAGTAAATTACACAATTTCTGCTACCGCTATTCCAAGAAATGCAGATTTTGCCTCAGATAATGAAACTATTTATATAGTTCCAGCTCCAGATATTCCTATGCTATTAATAATAGGAGTAAATTCGTCTATTTATTGGGCTGCTCAAATCTCATTTTACGTCGATCTGGTTTATAGTGATGGGTATAAAGATAGGAAATATCCTATTGTTTTGTCAGAAATCAACTGCCCATATGGTAATTTAACTGGCAGTAGAAATGGAGATTTTTCGTTTCTTGGAAGAGAAAATGAAAACTATTGATGTGGTTTCACTGTGAATGTCACTTTTTCATCAAAAATCTTTAAAAGTATTCCATGCTATTTTAATGTATCAAGAAGTAAAGTTCCTGAAGTATATGTTCCTTATTACTGAGATTATTTTGATTACTCAGCACCTACAAGATTTATGGCAAACATCCCTGACCAAACAGACTTAATAATAAAATGAGTCAAAACTGACAGCAATCCTGAGATAATTAAAATATGGCGTCTTCGTCTGGGCATGGCCTCCCGGCCATGCAGCCTCGACTCATATTTTAATTATATCCGGCAAGGTTTTGCATTTCAGAAAGGGACAGCAATGCTAGGTAAGCAATTCTGATGGAGCTCAGAGCCTAGCCCAAGTCTATTTTCAGGGATGTTTTTTCCTCATGGGGAAGGAGGCACGACAGTTGGAAAGGGGAAGCTCAGCAGAGTCCGTTAGGACCATTCGGGCAACTCCCTAGCGTGAAACTGGGCGTTACGTCCCAGGCTCCGTGTTTACCCTTTTTGCCGAAAGCCTACCAGAAAATCCATTTTTTATGGATTTTCGGAATGGCAACCCATGTCCTCAAGCGAAGTAGCTCAGTCATGAGCCGTCGAAGTCGGCAACACCTGCGACTAGGTGCACTGGTGTACAAGGCTGGTCGACCCAGAGGCAATTGCTGGCCCTTTGCGCCATAGGCGGGCGGAAGCTCTGGGATGGGCAACCCCGTAAGGGACGTTAAGCGTATAAATCTAATAGAATAGACAGCAATCCTGAGATTGACATATCAACTCCCAAAAACCAATCTTCATATACAATAGATGCCTTCACTTTAATTCCTGGGCTTACTTATGAATTCAAAATAATAGCAAGGAATAATATTACAAATGCAACTACAGAGGTGGTCACAAGAAGACCTGTAAACAGCCCCCCTCAAGGGGGATCATTTTCTATCACTCCAACATCTGGCTATTCCTTGGATACAAAATTTTTAGCTATATTTTCTGGATGAGCTGACCCTGAGCAAAATAAACCACTCTCTTATCAAGTTTTCCAACAAAATGATAAAGAAGCCATTGCAATTACTCCTAAAACGTCTAGCAGTGTTTTTACCCTCTCTATAGGGAGTGTTGGGAATATATCATTAATTGGAAGAATTTATGATGGCTTAGGCACATTTACGAATAAAACTTTTCTAATAGAAGTAAAACCAGTTAATAAAGATTCAAAAAGTGAAGCAGATCAACTTAAGACAGCGGGATTAAATATGGATCAAACGATGTATATTTCAAAAATTGTAGCGATTTCTAAGCATACATTTGAAAATTATATGGACGGTAACTATACTCAAAGTGTCATCAATATTTTAGTCGATGCTTTAAATTTATGGACATTCAGCAAGAGTATAAGTTTAAGCGATGTCAGTGCTTCAGTTGACATTGTCAGCGTATTCTTAAATCAGTCGAAAATCTATGATAAAAACTTAATATCAAATATCAGCTGAACTCTAGAAAATGTGCTTAATCAAACACCAAAACTTGATTTTGGGACTTATTCAGTGTTTCTGAAAGAAATTGATTTACTTTCATCACGAATTTATGAACTAAATAGCCTGCAAAATAATATTATGTATTGCAATAATTTCTTATCATGCATATGCATGTCAATTTGAATTTGGTATGTGAAAACCAAATATGCGTTTCAAAACGCAGATTTTAGTGCGGCAAATTCATAATTTGAAATTTCAAATGAAAATGGCGCGTATAACGTCCATAAGAAATTTATGCAACGCATAATAGCACAAATCAGCTTTCCTTTTTTGAAAATTTTGATAAGTCATTTCAAGAAGCATCTACTAAGTATCAGATCACAACAAATCCCAACGAAAATTCCATCAAGTACAATGGGGAATTTTATAATTCAACAATTGTTTCTAAGGATAAGAACACATTAAATACACCTATAAGTCTCGATAAAGTCGGACTTATAGCAAATTTTTATGTTGACACTTCTCAAGATAATGACAACACAATCTATCATCAGTCGTTAATTTCATTTAACTCGATAGGGAATATCACAAGCAGCTTAATTTTAAACTCCTCAGCTTATAGTGCTACGATTGGCTCTTGCTCTTTTCATAAGGATAATTGACAATTAGAGTCCTCAGATTTTAAAATAAATCAAGAGTTTAAATATCCATCCAGCATTAGTTCTCCCTTTATAAAGCCAAACATCACAAAAACAACTAGTGATCTTTATAGTCGAAATTACGAGCAAGTAAATGCATCCAATGTCGTTCTCGCTATTTCACCTTCACTTCTTAGCTCAGAAGGAGATTACTCGTGCCAAATATTAGACCAAAGCTCGAATATCTTTAGTGCATCCCAATGCAAAACAAAGCTGAATTCGGACCATTCATATACATGTGAGTGCGAATTTTTAAATCTTATTTCATTGATTCCTTCTCCCGATGTTTACCCAGTAATTAAAAACATTTTGGGAAAAATCGAGCTAGAAGTGTATGAAGGATTTTCATGGATCACTTTTGCCATCTTTTCCTTGTTGACGATAATTTATTTGGTATTGCTGAGAGATTTAATCAGAATTGATAAATTTACCCACAAGCTTTTAAAAAGAAAAGTAAAATCAATTATAGCCAAAATCAAAGATTCAATAAAAGATCAATTAAATTTACTCCAATCTAGGGAAAATATAGATAATTGCTTCGAAAATGCTAAATTGTTGATTTACAAAGATGTAATCAATCATCTGTCTGATCCAAAAGAAAAAATGTTTTTGCCTAATTTGTTGACGAAAAAAAGGATAATGAAGCAGGCTAATGATAGTTTTATTGAAAGGGATTTGGCAAAGCTTATTTCTCGCATTAATGAGATGGACTTGGATGAAGATTTTCAAAGAATAAAAAATAGGCTTATTACTAAAAAAGGATATATGAGGAAAATTTACTATTATATAATGAAAATATTCAAAATAAAAGATCAAGATAAAATATTTTTTAGCGAAATTATTGAAAATGAAGCAAGAAAACTTGGCATTGAAATTGATTTTACTGAAGAACTAATTGAAAAGTTGTTGGAGTATTTGAAAAAGCCGAATATCATTATGTACCAGCCAGAAGAACTTGAAAAGAAAGAAGATAAAAAAAATATAGCAGGCCTAATTTATTTAGAATTTAAAGGTCTACAAAATGTATTGGAAAATCGACGCGAAGATAAAACCCTGTATAATGAAAGCCGAATTGAAAATCTTATACCATACGATATTGAATTGAACTCTCAGTATAAATCAAACTGATATTTTATATTCGTTTCTTATCTTCAGCGTAATATCCACAGTAATTTTGAGCCAGAGCATTCTTTTACTTATTATTTCCTCAAGGATAACTTAGTTTTAGGCTTAATTGGGTTCACAAACTTAAACTTCTCTCGAAAAGGAAGGCTTACCCTATTAATGGTCAGTCTTTTTATAAATACTTGGCTGACAATATTGCTTTTTGGCTCTGGTTATCATTTCGATAATCAAGAGCTGTATTATGGAATATCTAAATTACATGTTATCCTTTATGCTTTGTCCTTTGCAATTGGCTTAATTGTTACTATTATAGCGATCTTTTTGCCAAGCAACTATTTAAAGGAAGAATTTTTAGCAAAAAAAGTATTCAAAAGCGTAACTTCAAGGATCTTCTATGGAGTAAGTTGGATCGTAATGATAATGCTTTTCATTACTGGCTGCATGGGAGCTAGTAAGCTGGATTTATATGACCAAGTAACTCTGACAAAAGAAATTTTTATGAACTTGTTTTTTGCTATTTTGTCAGAGGCTTTTGTTAAACCATTATGCTGGTGGTGCTATAAATGGTTCAAATATAATGAGCTAAGCCCAATTGTGGGAGTTTTAATAAAGAGATTAAATTGTTGTAAGAAGCCAAGCAAAGGAATCCATGAAAAAAAGATTTTACCTGAAGCAGGAAAAATTTAGCAAGCCATATTTAAACTGCTTCCAGGTGATAATAATGGATAAATATACATTTAAAAATGATATAATGGCGAAATAATTTGATAAGACTAGTGGCAAATTAATTTTTTATTAATCAGGAGATCTTTGCTAAAATAATTATTTTAGATTATACAGCTAGGGGAGATCATATTCGATATCTTCAATGTCTCTATCTACCCCTTCAACAATCCATCCTCCACAATCATCGTCATATTCATCCTCCCAATCGCAATCCCAATCACATACTCTTGGTCTTCTATGGTGATGACATTTTGATTTATTTCCACATGTTGTGTTTGTGGTATTAGTTTGATTTGGACGTGGCGGAGGCTGTGTAGTAGTATTTGTTACATTAGATCCGTTCCCTGTCCCATTCGATCCGGTCCCATTAGATCCAGTTCCGTTTGAGCCAGTTCCATTAGATCCAGTTCCGTTTGAGCCAGTTCCATTAGAACCTGTTCCATTAGATCCAGTTCCATTTGAGCCCGTTCCATTAGATCCAGTTCCGTTTGAGCCAGTTCCATTAGATCCTGTTCCATTTGAGCCAGTTCCATTTGAGCCAGTTCCATTAGACCCAGTTCCGTTTGAGCCAGTTCCATTAGATCCAGTTCCATTTGAGCCAGTTCCATTAGACCCTGTTCCATTAGATCCAGTTCCATTTGACCCGGTGCCATTTGAGCCAGTTCCATTTGAGCCAGTGCCATTTGAGCCAGTTCCATTTGAGCCAGTTCCATTAGTTCCATTAGGAGGAGTAACTACGCCAGTGGAATTAACACAGAGACAGTCACAGCGACACGAAAAGCACTCGCAAGAACAAGAGCAGGAACAATTTCCAGGCCCTGATACATTTAAAGATGTTCGATTTACAGTGGGTACATATGTAGAATTTACAACACAGCACGAGTCTACAGGAGGGGCTTCATCTTCTTCATCACATTCTACTTCCCAAAAGTCTCCATAGAAATGCCGGCACTTCACATGTGAACACTCATCAGATTTGCTACATTCTTGAGATGCCAAAGCACCTATCAATACTATGAGGAGGATTATTAATTTCATCAGGTTGTTAATTATTAATGAAATTTTCAGACCATCAAAAAATCTTATGAGAAAATGGCGTTCTGATACTGACCCGTACCAATGGTGTTAGAGGTTCATCTTTAATGCATTTATATATTTTTAGGACTCTTGTAGAAGAGTGTGGTTAATATTTAGCTTCTTAAATTTAAAATCTGTTAAAGAGCTAGAATTAATATGTTTTGGTGTAAAAGATATAATTAGAAATATTATTTCTCAAATTGATAGAATCTTTAAAGAAAATCAGAATTTGCTATTTATTTGGTTTATTAGGAATGTAATGCTGAAATATTGGAAAATTAAAATTAATTTAATCGTTAGCAAATAATTGCTAATCATGATTTTTATATATATTTTATCTCTTTAAGATTTAAGAAGTGCAATTACAAGAACATTGGCACAAAAAACATTCACAAGAGCAGCCACACTTACAATTCGCCCCAGCTGATGTCTGTAAGGCAAAATTATTTATTGAAGGCTTATAAGAAGTACTTTTGGCACAGCATCCATTATCTATAGGCAAATATTCATCTTCATCAAATTCCACTTCATATAAATCCATAGTATAATGATGGCATTTTATACGTCTAAGGTTTTTTTCATCCACTTCATAATTTTGATCTCCAAATGAAATAAAGGTACCAAATAAAATAAGCAACAGTGCAAATTTCATCAAGTTTTAATTATTATTGATATTAACCAAAAAATTTTGATAAATGGCATTCTGATTAGCAATATTAATCTAAAACCAATATGGCGCAGCAGGATGTTTTCATAAACCCACAAAAAGAGAAGTGTAGATTGCCGCAAGCTGGTTACGATTGTCCTTGAAGATAATGGACAGACGAAGGACTTGCGATCGCACACCACCAGAGCTGAGATTGAATGTGGCTTTAGGTAGAAGCGATTAGAGCGGAAATAAAGGTTGTAAAGGAGAAAGCTGAAACAAATCACAAAATTACTCGCTCTTCGGGTATGGACTGTATACTTGTCGCTTGAAACAATAGAAGAGAAGGAAGCCAGAGCCTTGAAAATGGGAAACTTATCATATGTCCCCCGACTACTTAAGCCATACTGTTTAATAAATTAAACATTTAATGGTATTAGGGTCAATAAAAATTATTTGAATTACTTAGACTATTGAAATGCAAGAATAAGGCCATATATCAATTATTTGAATAATTTATTAAATTTGATAAGTAGAATTGATTATTTTATTTGGTTTACTTTATAGTTATGAAATAAGAAAATATAATAATAAAATAAGTAGATTTCAAAATGCCTGTATTAAAAATTAGAAACACTGATCAGGTAAAAAAAGTTCGACTTAAATCATTAGACTGAGATTCGTTTACACAAATAATTAAGGATTCTTGCAATGTAGGAGATCTAGCAAGCTATAAAATCGTATGCAAAAGACCTATTCCGGGGAAAATTTTTGCTAATCAAGCAGATTTAGATGAAATTCGTGATGAAAGCATGATCGATATAGAGCTCACATATCAAGATGAGTCTTTTATTTGTCAAGTATTCAAAGAAGTCTTATTACAGAAAGAGTCTCGGAATCACGTTTTAAATAGATTTATTGAAATTATTCGTCAGTTCCCATCAACAACTTTAGATGCTCTCGTGCCTCCCAGTATTGAGCGTTCCTTGCGAGATAAACTCGAGGAAATCTACCAAGAGGCCAGCACAAGAGCAAACCAACCGAAATTCGGCTTTAAATTGATGTACGTTATGGAAGGAGGAAAGCAGTCATTGCGTGCTGTTCCTAATCAAGAGTGGATAAATTATTCTACAATGGATATTGATGTGCTCAGCAGGTCTCTCCCTCCAAATGTAATACAACGATTAAGCAACTCAAAGAAAGAAATTAAGACAAAAGATTAAGAGTTGATATTAACTTAAGTCTAGGTTATATCAGAAACAAATAGATTTAATTTAAAATGGAATCAGGCAAATTAATCAAGAAATGATATTATTCGTTAGCACTTTCCTGTGTCTTTGGCTGCTTGACTCTGTATTTCCCTTGCTTTCCACCAGATTTGTCATATCTTGCATGAGTGTATGAAGTCTCAGCTTTTGCTTTGACTTCAGCAGGTGGTGGAGCGCTTGCCAGGATTTTTTTGCTTTCTTCATCATTACCCCATGCTCTTGTCTTTTTAGCTTTGGTTGCATCTTCTGCTTTTTCTTCGGTTTTAGTAGGCTCATATTCTTTTCTTGGCTGCTTTTTAGTATATCTTTGAGGTCTTTCTTGAGCTTCTTTCACAATTTCTTTTGGCTCTGCTTTTACTTCAACCTCTGCAGGTTTTTCTTCTTCAACTTGGCTATTTTCTTGCTCTTTTGCAGGCTCCTCTTGCTCTAGCTCCACTTCTTTTTTCTTTTCTTCTGCTTCCAATTGTCTTTTCTTCTCAAATTCTAGCTCTTTTGCCAAGGTATCAATAGGTTTTGCATTTCCAAAGGGGTTTGATTTTGGCTTTGGAGGTGGTGGCGGAGGTAATTTTTCTTCTTCCACTTTTTGAGGTTGATCTCCACTGGCTGCTATCACAATTTTGCTTGAATTGATAATTTTAGGCCTTTCTTTAGGTTTTTCTTCTATTTTTGGCTCATAAGCTTCATTATCATATCGGTTCCTTTGTGATTGTGGGTACCTACCTCTCCCTGTTCCTCTTCTTGATCCTCTTCTGTCGCCTCTCCTTCCTCTACCTCGTCCTTGACCTCCTTCTCCATTTTCTTCCCTCAGATAAATGCTAATATCTCTGCCTCTGAGTGTCTTTCTATCTTTTTCAGCAATTTTCAAAGCAATTTCTTTATTTGATGTCTTTGCTCTTGCATTGCCTCTAAATCTATTTTTCTCATCTCTAGCCATCACTAAGTAAACTTCATCTTTCTCTTCCTCAGTGATACCGAAAAAGCTCCACAAATCGTTTTCGCTTTTGCAATCAAAAGAAATGTTACAGAATTTGAAACAGTATGGAGGTTTAGAGCTTTCGATCTGACTTGATAAAGATTTTACAGGTTGGGGTGGGGCTTCTGTGAGGGGTTTTTGCTGCTGAGGAGCAGCTTCAGTTTTTGGAGCTGACTCCTCTTCAGACCATTCCTCTTCACTATCATCAGCCCAATTTGACCTTTTCGGTCCTTCCATTATAAACTGAAACAATGGTAAGATAAATGAAGCTCATATAGACTCTCTCAGTTGAATTTATCTAGATACTTATTTTATTTGAATACAATAAATTTACCTGAAACTATAATATTTAAGCCGATTATCTTTATTGTCTGTGGGTCTAGTAATTTTCAATGGTTCTGAAGAATTGCCTAAAGTTGGATGGATGTAAGGGCATCCTTTTTTGGTGCAATTTCTCCCAAACTTGCATAAAGTCTAAATAAGTCCTACCTTTACGTGTCTGTATGGGCAGTCATCACCATTTTTGCAGTTAGGATAAAATTCACACTAAGTTTTTCATACATTTTTGGTAGGATGCGCATAGCTGCAATGCAAGATGTCTGGACAATCGTGATAATTTGGACATCTCTTTTTGGTTGATTGATCGATGCTTTCTTGTTTCTTTCATTCTGCAAATAATGCATGTAAATTTACAAGTGAGGCATCTTTAGGAGCTGATAGTGAAAAATTATCAATTGCTGCTTTCAAACGAAACCTATCTATTGGTTTCGATAAAATTTCAATTAGAGCGTCGTTAGTCTTTAGCGGAGAATGAGCAAGTGAATTAATTGTCATGATCATGCTCTTGTAGTAGCTATTCTCCTTTAAAATGTGGGCAATACTTTCTTGAAGAAAGGCTTCTAAACATTTTATTCTTTTTAATGTAGTTTCTATAATTCTACCCCTCCGTGAGTGAACAAAACCATTGAAAAAATCCTATTTTTTGCCCAAAACCCACCCTCCGTAAGCGAACATAAATTTTTTTATGAAAAAAAATGTTTAATATATAAATGATAATTATTATAATGAAATCTATAGCTAATTCTGTTTAATTTTAAACTTACTTACTTACTTACTTAAGATTTATAAACGCTTAACGTCCACTACGGGGTAGGCTAAGTCCCACACCCTGCCGCTCGCCTTCGCCGCATCGGGCCTACAGACCACTGGGCCAGTCTGTTTCGATTCACCAGGGTGCGCCTCCGGACGAGTGTTCCGGCTTCGACAGCTCATGGATGAGCTACTTGCTTGCAACATGGGTTGCTTTTCGAAAAACCCAAAAAATGGATTTTCTGGTCGGCTATCGGCAAAAAAGGAAAAACACGTAGCCTGGGACGTAACGCCCAGTTTCACGCTAGGGAGTTGCCCGAATGGTCCTAAGGACTTCGCTGGGCTTCCCCTTTCCAACTTCCCCCACGAGGAAAAATCCAACCCTGAGAATAGACTTGGGCTAGGCTCTGCACACAACCAGAATTGCTTACCTAGCATTGCTGTCCTTCTCTGAAATGGGTAAAACCTTGCCGGATATAATTAAAATATGTGTCGAGGCTGTATGGCCGGGAGACCATACCCAGACGAAGACGCCATATTTTAATTATGTTTAATTTTAAACAAATTGCGCTTTAAAAAACATAAATTTTATAAATTAAATTAATATTTGCTTTCCAATTTTTGTGAATAAGGATTTTTTTTAAAATTTCAAAAAAAATTTACTATAAATTTATATATAAATATTTTTAAAAAAAAATTAACCCCTCAAGAATTTTTGTTCGCTCACGGAGGGGGGAGTAAGTGCTTGCTTTGATTTATTAAGTTTTTCAATTTTTTTCGAGAGTTTTTTAGTTATTTTTAGTCTACTTTCTTCTTTGATTGGAAGTCATGCTCTTTGCAAACCTGATTTTGCTCTTGGATGCTCCAAAGTATGCATATATGAATGTATTTCACAATAATAGCGTCTTGAATACTGACATGTGCACATCCAATCTGCTTGCTTTTTCTCTGCACAAATTGAGCAATAATAAAAGCCTTCCATCATTTATAAAAATCCTTTGTATAGATGGCACAATCACTAATTATTGAGAAGAATATTAACAAGCTAAAATTTTAATTTAAATCAAAGATTTCGTCGTTAAGTAATGATTTCGATTTACTCTCACACTTTGTAATGGCTTAGATTTCGAATTTCCTGACTTTTCTATCAATTCCACATGCAAATATTGGCATCCAACATTTCGGCAATTTTTACCATATTTGCAATTTGTCTGTTGAGCTATTACTTTTATATGTCTATATTTGCATGCATCTCCATATTTACAATTTGGATAAAATTCGCACTAAATCAGACTTACTGTTTTCACTGGATGGGAAAAATTGCAATAAAGCAAATTTTTGCAATCATGATAATTTGGGCATCTTTCTTTTGATTTTTGATTGATGCTTTCTTGTTTTTTTCATTCAGAAAATAATGTCTTGAGATTTGTTACTGATTTCCTTCCCCTTTAAACTGGTATAAAAATCCTGTTCCAATTTTAATGGGGTTAATGTTTTTTATGTAAAACTAAAAATAGCATATAAGCAAAATATTTTTGAATTTTATCTAGCATGATTGTTTAATTTAAAAGGAGGCTAAAGTATCCAAAAAATGGAAATTTACCCACTCTTTATTCAAATTTAAAGGGGGAGTGAGCTATCTTCAGGAGGCTTGCATTTATCTATTGCGTTTTTGATTTTTATTTTATCGAAGGGAATTGTTAATATCTCATAAATCTCACATTTGGCTTTGATTGGTGCTTCTTCTTATTATATTTTGAGTTTGACGTGTAAGCCTGAGTAGACCGCCCTTTTAACTCTGAGCTAGCTAGTGGAGTCACGAGCTGTTCACCTTCGCCACACTTTGAATCAGATACCATAAGCTTTAACCATTTCGTTCATTCACAGACCATATGAGGTGTGGTGCCTCACTCATTATTTGGCTCTTTACAGGGTGTTCCTCATAAGGAGTATCAAGCAGAAAAGCCCTATGCCTCCTAAAGTCTTAAACACTATGCGTGCATGCTAGACAAAGGGTCTCTGGGAGAATCAAACCAATTGCTTGAGGATGAAAGATTTCTCAATGATAAATTATTTCGACGATGCCATTTTATAACCATAGTTTGTGCTTCTTTTAATGAGCAGATGCTGTCTATCATATCTCTATAAAACTTCTTTTCTTTATTTGCTTTTACAAGCATTTCCTCAAGATACTCTTGTAAAGCTTTTATTCTTTTGAGAGTTGTTTTTATGATATTTTTCTTTTCTTCTCTCAGCTTTTTTATTTGTTTTGCGAGTTTTTTCAAAACTTTTAATTTAGTTTCATCTTTGGCAGGCTGCCAAAGCTTTTTCAGACTTAAATTGCTGATTTTACTACCGTAGTGTTTGATCTTGTGCAGAGAAGAATGGGTTTCACAAAGAAAGTTGTTAGATCCTGTGCAATTGCATACTCATTCCGCTGCTTTCTGACCTGGGCATACTGAGCAATATAGACCTTCCATTTACTAATTAATAAAATAATCTTTACTCATTTCAATTATAAATCACGTTCTCAATTCAAAACTCATTCAATGTGTATTAATTAAGAACACTACAATTAAATTTAGCCAAATGCTGAAGAAACTTACTGCCCTTTTAAATTGGAGCAAAAAACTCAGCTCTAATTTAGAATTGATTAATTTTTTTTTAAGATAAAATTAATTTAAATTTTTCTTAATAAGCAAAAACAAAAAAATTAATAAATATAATTTTTTATGCTATATTTATTGATTTTAAATTTTATTTTTATATAGATAATTTAATATTATTCAACTCTAAGCAGCAATGCATTCACTTCCTCTATTAAATTACTATATATTTATATAAAAAATATTAATTTTTGCCTAAAATTTTCACTAAAAAAATTGTTACTACTCCAATTTTAAAAGGTTAACTAGTCCCAAAAATAGAAATTTATCTATATTTTGTGCCATTATAGGGGAGATTATTATCTTATCATTGAAGCTGTGTCAAAAGTATTTGAAAATAATAACCCAAAGAAACGCATATAGATGCAAAGCAAGCAATCACATTTAAAATAAAGTTCAACAATTTATTTATAGCGGGCCAAACCGAATGCAGTTATGATTAAGGTTTTCATCAATTTCAACGATCCCACCTTGATTTCCAAACAAAGAGCAATAATTTGATGCAGAAAAAATAGTCAGTACGTTGTTTTCATGAGACCACTTATATCCTTCCATCACAACTTCATGAGCTCTCACAATAAACTCTAACTTATTTCTGTGATTGAACTCTTGAGATATATCTTGCCCAAAAGTCTTGCCAATTCTGCTGCTCATTCCTCATCCACTTCTTTCATCAGGACCTGAATATAATAAATCACAAATTGCTCCTTCTTCAATATCCTTAATTCTATTTAAATTATTGATATCTTCTAATGTTTCACAAGATGGAGAAAGCCCTCCATGAATGCCAAAGATTTTGCCCTCTATAATTCCAGCTAAAGGAAAATAATCAAATAAATCAGTAAAAAAATTTCAAACAGAAGCCGAGTGATATTTATGTAAGCATTCATCATAAAAGCCATATCATCTTGATATTGAGCGTGATTCATGATTTCCTCTGGTGAGCATGATACAATCTGGATATCGGATTTTTAAAGCTATTAATAGAGATATCAATTCAACTGAATTTCTTCCTCGATCTACATAATCTCCTATGAATAAGTAGTTTTTAGTTGGAATATGTCCTTTCATATTAAAAATTTCTATTAGATTGTTAAGTTGTCCATGAAAATCTCCACACACGATAACTGGGGCTCTAACAAAAGCTACATTACTTTCTTTAATAAGAATTTCTTTACATTTATCACAAAGACTTTTGATTTCATTCTCAGTAATTGCTCTGCCATTAAGAAGCTGACTCCCTTTGTACGTATGAGAAGCATATTGCGAATATATTTGGGAAAATGATTTTATATACAGAAATTTTTAATATAATATCTTAAACATATTAATAATCATTTTTAATAAAAAACTCAAGCTAATTCTGTTAAATTTCAGGCAGCTGGTATCCGTGGCTATTTATTAATTAAACTAGTTCCTTCAAAAAATATTCACAATTCGTGATGCATCAAAATTTTTTTTTTAACGAATGAGAGGAAGTGAGCAATTTTGCTCTCTATCTCTTCCATTTTATATAATAGGCATTATCAGATATATTAGATTAACAAAGAACTTTCATTATCGTGTAAAAAATGTTTAAGACGAGATTATTTAACTGATTTATTATTTTAGAGAAAATAATCTGGCGTTCTCTGCGCAATATTAGGCTCTCCCCTTCTTGGTGCTGGATCGAACTGTATGAAATTTTGATTTAAATTTTCATCAACTTCAATAATTCCTGCCTGATTGCCACATCTATAGCAGTAATTTGGTGCTGAAAAGATAGTCACCACATTTCTGTCATGGCACCAAGAGTATCCTTCCATGACTAGCTGATGTGCTCTTGCAATGAGTTTTAAGTTATTGGTGTGATTAAGGTTAGGTTAGGTTAGGTTTAAGATGTGTATTTATAGTCCCTACTTCCATGCGTGGTATTCCTCCGCGCTCCTTGAGGCACGAGTGAAAAGGATGGACTTCCATCACTGATTCTCTGAGCCCAGGCCGAAACCCCTGATTTCTCGGAAGTGGGTTGCCCTATTGAGTCGTCAGCTGACTGTCGCTGGGCACCACCATTTCCAACTCAGCCTTCCGCCCCGAATTACGCCAGTCTTTGCCTCCGGTTGGCCAGATCGCCCTTGTGAGAGGACCCTTTTAACTGGAGAGACTTGTGCCCTTGAGATCCCCAAGTCTAGCTTCGCCTCCCCTCTTTCCCGGATCATCTCCAAGAAAGAACTCTACCCCTTACGGGATTCGGGGCTAAGCCACCAAGTAGCCTAGGCAGGTAACTCACCCTGCCTCTTTCGGACACCGAGTCTGGGCCTCGGCGCTACTGGCAAAAAGAATGCGAAAAACTGCTGCCCGGGTCGAGTCCCAAAATCAGCGGAAATTGGGCTGGGCCTCTCGCCTCGAGGCTAACTCTTCCCTTGAGTAGCTCTCCGCATCCAAAAACCATGTCCGGTATACATAAGGACACCCGCCACGGAAGGACGGGCCGCTCGTCTCCGGCCATTTTATGTATATATTGGTGTGATTAAATTGCTCAGAGTTATCCTGCCCAAAAGTGAATCCTGCACCTCTTGGGCTGATTCCCCAGCCAGGCTTTTCGTCAGGATCAGACCATAATAAGTCGCACATAGCTCCTTCATGTGGGACTTCTTGAATTCTATCCAGCTGCCTTATATGGTCTAAAGTGTCTAATGAAGGTGACAATCCTCCATGTAAACAAAATATTTGGTTTTCTACAAGTGCAGTTAAAGGCAAATAATCAAATAAATCAGTAAAGTATTTCCAAACATTGGCTGAATTATATTTTCTCATGCATTCATCATAAAAGCCGTAAACTTGGGTAATTTGGCGTGATTCGTGATTCCCTCTTGTAATTGTGATTCTGTCTCTGTAGCGGACTTTTAAGGAAACTAGTAAACTTACACATTCAACTGAGTAGTAGCCTCTGTCTACATAGTCGCCCGTAAATAAATAATTTGTATCTGGAAGATAGCCACCTATTCTGAAGAGTTCTATTAAATCATGAAATTGGCCATGAATATCCCCGCATATGGTAACAGGGACTTTTACAGGCTGAACATTATTTTCTTCAGAAAGAATTTCGCGCGCTTTCTCACAAAGGGTTTTTACTTCAGCTTCTGAAATGTATTTCCCATCCATTAGCTGGGTAATTTGTCGATCTAAGAGCTCAACATCGCTTAGGGATAAAATGGTTGCTGACATTTAAATTATAAAGAAAAATTTATAGTAAAAATTAATGTAAGGAAATTTTAGTTTTCGCTACCTACAGGAGTATAATTTAATAGACTTCTTGCTAGCTCTCCAGATTCAAAACTTCTTAGATTCCTATCAAATGCGCTTCCTGATCTCGGCTTTCAATGCTTTCTTGCCTCTTTTTTACTTACGAGCTGCGGATAAGCTGTTGCAATAGCAGGAGTTATGATAGGTCTCATAGGATCTTTTCTTCTAGATGAGGTTGATATATTTCTTTTATATCTATTGTTGTTATCATTCCACTTTGCATAATCTTCTCTTTTATAAGCAGATTTTACATCTCTCAAGACTTTATAAAAAGCTTTGTTTTCACTATTAATCCTACTAACTTCTCTTTTTCTCCGATTGTAGTTCAATGATTTTAAATGAACTGGCTTGTTATCGAAGTTTTGGTGATGGAAAATTGTTTGTAGCTTGTCTAGTAAATTGCTGTTTTCGTATTCGATTTCTCGTATGCGATTTTTACGGTTTTGTGACTTTTTAGAAGTTTGGCCATCTGTTATGTGAGAATATTGAAGATCGTTATGTGCTTCAATCCGGGGTTTGATATTGCGGATATTTTTTTCCATGCTGTAGTAGTTTTGGAAGATCCTTAATAAAAGTTACATAAGCTTTGTAGCTGTATTTGTAGGCTCTCTAGGAACTGACATTTCTTATTGAATTTAATAAATTTATATGAAGCTATTCATTTATAGCATGCATTAACCAATATTTTGCTAAAAAAATAAATGCTTATTTATTATCCGAAAATAATTTTCCATCACCTTTTTCATTCAGCAAAATTTTCCAAAATAAAATTATTTGTCTCCTATTTCCTTAAAAGTCAAGTCACTTGAAATGGAAGGCTTATAAAAATTAAATATGGAGCTAAGACCACCAAAAGTCTAAAACCCTTTCGATTTGATTTTTTCATTAGACCCATGCCAGTGTTAATTGATTGAAAATACATGTAATCATTCATATCTCTAATCGAGATGCCATACCACATTGTATATAAAAATGATATTGCTGCTGTTAATGATAAGGCAAATCTTCGCCACAGACATCCCCGAGCAAGTCCATGTCGCCGTCGGCGCAAGTCCTAGCCTTATTCAATTTACATGGAGTACTCGTGAATCAACACCGACATCAGCGGTCCGCATTGGTTTAAACCCTTCCTTTTGGAAGTATTACTATGGCTCATCAATTAGCTTCACCAATGGGACGAATTCTTGGATAATCCATACAGTTAACGCAACATTGTACCCAGGAACAGTCTATAGCTATCAGGTTGGCTGCGTTTTGACCAATTTTAGTCAAACTTTCACACTTACAGTGCCTCCAAGTTCTGGACCATCCAGCTACGTCATGTTCGCAGATTTAGATATTGGGGTAGACGGCGCTGCCTCATGGCAAGAGATAGAAAACTGGGTGATTAAGATGAAAATCAACGCTGTTATCCACATGGGGGACATTGCTTATGACCTCAGCACCGACTATGCTACTTGGGGAGACAATTACATGAACTCGATCCAAGCAGTTGCTAGCTCAGTGCCTTACATGGTAGCTGTAGGCAACCATGAAGGAGACGATAATTATGTCAATTACCAAGCAAGGTTTAGGATGCCGAACAATAATTTCTACTACACCTGGACCAGCGGTTATGTAAGATTTCTAGGAATCGATACAGAAGCCATCATAGAAAGAACCTCAGAGATTGGCCCAATGATGGGCTATATACAAAGCGTCCTGAATAGAACTCAGGCAGATAAAGAAGCTTACCCATGGCTGGTCGTATATGCCCACAGACCTTTGTACTGTTCGTCAACTGCAAAGGCAAAAGCATGTGGATCTGAAGCCCAAATATTACAAGACAACTTAGAAACATTGTTTTATGATTATAATGTTGACTTGTATGTCAATGGGCATGTGCACAATTACGAGAGGACAACCCCTGTTTACAAAGGAAACAAAATGAAGAGCGGAGGATCAGGAAACACTTACATAGATCCTCTCGCAACAATTTATGTCACAACTGGAGGCCCAGGATCTGATTCCAGCAATTCTGATGTCGCTACTAAGAATGCTCCGAATTGGCTGGCCGCTTGGGATGACAACTTTACATATAGCATTTTTACTGCTTTTAATGCTACTCACCTGTGCTGGCAACAGTGGGAAACTGGGAAAAGCAAAACAACAGACGAGTTTTGGATCGTCAAAGGCTCATCTGCATTTGCTGAACATTAATATATTAAAAACTTCTAAAAATTGCGTTTAATTATAATTTTGAAATCCTTAATTAATTTTCAGAATTGAAGGAATAATCAATATAAATGGAAGCTTTAAAAGCTGAAATCCAAGAATATTGCAAAGACATCAGCACACTTGCAGACTATTTTGTGACCATAGGGATGAGTTTAGAAAACATTAAAAATCATGTGATGAACAATGAAGCTTTATCCCCTATCATTCTTTCACAATTTCCTCCAATTCAAAGAGAAGGAGCAGTAATTCCTGCCCAGCTTCCGATGTTTTGTTTTCCATGAGGAGCAGAAATTGTTAAAGGGACAACTGAAGTGCCAAGTTCTCTATTCAATTTAGTCCTTACAGATGAACAAGGCCATTTACTATATTGTACATGTCTAAAAGTTTATGAAGCTTATTTTCATGAAGAACCGTCTGAGGGTTCGCCCTCTCGAGGAGTTTTTAAAAGAGCTGATACTAGAGCGAAAACAGGTAGACCTGATACAACTCAATTCCCATCTTTCGAAATGGTAGAGATTGAAGAAAATGAAAATCCTTTCAAAAAGAGAAGTTTTACTTTAGGAAACTTAGACGAGCTTGAGGGAGAAATTCCGAATGAAGAAGAAGTAGCTTGCATGATACCTTCGTTCTCGTTTTTTTGTCCTACTGGTGCTTTAGTTCCTAAGTGTTTGGTCATCGTTTCAAGGCACCCATATTTTGAAACTTTTAAAAAGATATTGAACACATTCTATAAAATGAGCTCTGCAAGGCTTGACTTACCATTAGAGTGCTATATATCTCATTTTATTCTGCAAGTGCCACTGCCTTCAAGAGGTCACGTCGAAATTCTTTATCAAATTGAGGCTCAGCAATTTCGACTTTCACTGCCAGCAGTTAATAGGTTTCCTTTATTAGATATCAATTTAGGAATGCTTTTTTACTGCCTAGATCTCGAAAATATGCTATTTGTATTCAGATGCATTGCTACCGAACAGCCTATCGTTTTCGTATCAAACAACGAAGACAAACTTTGCACATGCACTTATGCGCTTTTAGCACTAATTTTTCCATTCCACTGAAGCCTAGTTTACGTCCCATTGTTACCTGAACAGCTACTAGATTATCTATACTCTCCTGTGAACTATATTTATGGGGTAAATATAAGGAGCAAAGAAGCTATTTATAATAGATGCAGCGAAACTGCTGTTATTGTGGACTTAGATAATAATAAAATCGAATGCCCATTTTATACACAAAATCATACAAAGAAGCAAACTCTACCGAATTTGCCTGAACATTATGGAAAGAAGCTAACAAAAAGAATAGTAAGTGTCTTGTCTAAGGCTGGGGCAGGGAAGTCTAAACCTCCAAAGTTAAGCGTGCCTCGACTTGATGAGTTTGCAACTAAAAATATAAGGGAAGCTTTCTTTCAGTTTTTTGTGTCCATTTTTATATCCTATAAAAAGTTCTTGAACTATGATTGGAACGAAAATGATAATTCAAGTTTTTTTGATAGAAAAGGATTTTTGGCAAGTGTTCCTGAAAATGCTAGATTTTTCTTACTCCCCTCCCATGAGAGAGCAAACAATTTTTTGCTCGTTCACAGAGGGAGTTAATTTATTTTATAAAAAAATTTCACATTTGTAAAAATTGAGAAACAAAAATTAATTTAATTTGCGAAAATTTATATTTTAAAACGTAGGGCTGTTTAAAATTATTCAGAATTAGCTAGAGATGTCGTTGATATAATTATCATTTATATATCAAAATAATTTTTTTCATAAAAATTTTTGTTCGTTCATGGGGGGTGGGTTTTTTGGGCAAAAAATAAGGATTTTTCTAATGGTTTTGTTAGCTCACGGAGGAGTTAGGTGAAATGATAAAGTCACAGACTTTTGCAAATTTTTGTGCTACAAGATTAAGACCTAGAACAATAGAAGAGCACTGTGAAGGGCTGCTATTTGACGAGCATATAATAGCAAAAAATAACCGATCTAAGCTCAAATACAATAAAGTCCCTGCCCCATTTATAAGTGATCAGTCTCAAGAACTGCATTCAAAATACCAAGTTCCGTTGATTTCTCAAGTTTATGTGAGCAAAAAAGAGCATACTTATAATCAATTTCCTGATTTTGATATGAATGTTTTCCAAGAATATGGGTTGCCTCTTACTCGGCCTCCCAAGTATTCAGATAATATTGATATTCCTTCTCCTCCGCAGCCGTCCGCACCTCCAACTTGTAAAACTGATATAGAGTGCATCCTAACTCCCCTCTTCCGTAAGCGAATATAAAAATTTTGTTCGCTCACAAGAGTGCTAATTTCTTTTGTTGAAATTTATTGTGTAAAATTGGAAAGTAAATATTTAATTAGCTTGTAAATTATGTTTTAAAATGTAAACTGTTTAAAATTCAACAAAATTAGCTAGATATTTCATTATACTAATTATCACTTATATATCGAAAATTTTTTTTTCATAAAAATTTTTTGTTAGCTAACAGAGGGTGAGTTTTGTTCGCTTACGGAGGGGGAAAGTAAGCTGCTGGGTCGAAATGTGGGCTGCTTGCTTATGGTACCAGCATGAAGAGGAGCAATCTCTCCGTCTCAAAGAAGCTTTGCAAGTTCTTGAACTAATAAATTCTTCCTTTAATGGCTCTTTGACATCTCTTTATAAACTTTTATTTGAGGCATGCTTGAACGTTAACCCTAGCCTTGCTTTACCTATTTTTTCAGTCATGAATACTTTGCAAGTTATGGTAGATGCAGGGACGGTACATTTAGTCCAACGAGTCATATCAAAATTATCACTAAAGCCACAAGACATTGAAATGAGAAAGACGAGGGACAGCTTACTAGTGACGAATTCGCTATTATCTGACTCAACAAATTTAGTGAATCGCAAAAGACGCATTTTTACTAGGCCAGGAGACATTCATATTTTTGCCAAACAAGAGGTATGCTTTTTGGTTAAAGAGTTATGTAAAAAATGTGGAAAGCAGCTAAGTTTAGAAGAGATTAAGCACGGCTGACGAAGGCAGCCTTATGACTACCAAAGTCTTTGCAACAACTGCCAACACGGAAATTTCCCTCAGCTGAGAATTCGAGTTGGGTTAGAAGTAGGGCATATTTCTCAAAATAAAACATCATCAAAAGAAGACACCCTCTTTGTCTCTCCGCAAACACTTAAAGCTCTCGTTACTGACATATTGAATGAAAAAGATAATAAATTTCACTTGAATATAGAAGCCATGAGAGTTTACAACCCCATGATATTTTGGAATTTGGTTTGGCACTTTAATAATCTCGGCTTAACATTTGAATTTATTTTACCTTACGAAAAAGACACAGAAAACAAAAAGTTTTTTGCACTAAATACCGACGATGGCCCAAACAAGCAGGAAGAAATGTTAGATGGAGAAACACAAACGTTGTGGAGCTTGGAAAAGGTCAGTGAAGCTATTCAAAAGTATAATGAGTTGATAAATGAAATTAATTAAATTTGTAAATTAATGAAATAAAAAGAATGAGTGAGCTTATGCCAAACCTTGGCTGTGAGGTAGGATGTGCGAAGGAAGAGTTTTTTACTCCTGCCAAACTGTCATATGATGGAAATAAGGTGATAACTAGTGTGAATGGGGAAATCAAGACTTTCAAAATTCCTAACTCCCCCCCCCCCTCCGTGAGCGAACAAAAAAATTTTGTTCGCTCACGGAGGGGGGTTAATTTTTTTTTTTAAAAAAAATTTATATATAAATTTTATAAAAAATATTTTTTTCGAAATTTAAAAAAATCCTAATTTGCAAAAATTGGGAAGCAAATATTAATTTAATTTGCAAAATTTATGTTTTTTTAAAACGCAATTTGTTTAAAATTAAACAGAAATTAGCTCTAGATTTCATTATACTAATTATCACTTATATATCCAAATTTTTTTCCATAAAAATTTTTTCTATTAAAAAAATTTTTGTTCACTCACGGAGGGTGGGTTTTTGGTCAAAAAATGGCGATTTTTCTAATGGTTTTGTTCGCTCACAGGGGGGGGGGGGGGGGGAGTAAGGAAAAAAGTGAATTGAAGATGACTAATGAGATATCGTATAGGGAAAAAGAAACGATTTATGATTATTATTGATATTCTGACACTTCAAAATATTTTTCTATCATAAAAGATCATCCTATTTTGCTACACTCTGCAATTAATAACAAAATACTTATGAAATATACAGTGCAAAACCATCTCTGTGAGGTAAGAGCTCCACTTTCTTTAATTCTTGAAGGGGATTGAGGAATTTACACAGCTCTTGGAAATACTGTCAAATATTTTGATTTGGAAACTTCATTGTGCTATAGCTTTCCACTTTCAGTAGACGAGCTCAGAATAAGCCCAAAATGCATTATCTCTGCTATAGGTGGGAAAGAAGACTTGATAGCTATAGGGAATTATTCAAAAACTGTTTATTTATTCTCAAAGGATTCATGCAAAACTATTGGAATACTAGAAGGGCATCAAGGAGGAATCATTCAATGCGAATTTAGAGACAATTATTTATATATTGGTTGCAGAAAGCAAAATAGCATTGCTGCATGAGATTTGCGAAATATTTCATATCCAGTGAATATATTGAATTTTTATAGGCAGCATGAATCCAATCAAAGGATTTTATTTGATCTGAATGAAAATGGTTTAGAGTTAGCAGTTGGAAATGGAGATGGAAGCATCTATAAATACTCTACTGTAGATGGGAGCTTATTAAATTATTTTATGGGACATTTTGATGCTATAAATTCTGTTCAAGTTTTTGGAAACAGAATTGTGACTAGCTCTGGCCAAAGACATTATGAAGAAGTCGAAAACCCTTGGGGTAGCTTAATTAGGGTATGAAGTTATGAATAGTTTTTTCATCTGCTTTCAGAAATAGCTCAATATACATATTACTAATAAATTAATCCTCTAGTATAAAAACCATTGAATTTAAATAATTATCCTTAAAATAATGAATCAGAATCCAGCCTCTTCGCCAAATCGTAATCTTTATTAAGCTCGACGAGTTTATGTTAAATTAAACTTCAAAGCTAAAGACAGCAAGCCTTTCTCTCAGGAAAAGCAAGTTTCCCAGAGAACTGAAAAACGAGCCATGACTAATGCTGCAGCGAACAGAACCCCATCTCCCAGGCTCTCTAAATCTCCTTGCTCAGTTCGAAATAGAGATAATGCAAAATTTGAAGAAGACAGATGCATTTTATTAACTGAGTGCCCTTCAGGGTCTATATCCCCAGCTAAAAAAATTTCCAATCAGAAACCACCCAGAACTCCTCTTGGGAAAAAATCTTCACAAAGCCATTCTAGGTCTTCAAGTGGAAATAATGTAATAACTCCTATGAAATCAGCAAGAAATTCGAGACTTGACAACCTTTCAAAGATAATTAAATATGGCGTCTTCGTCTGGGCATGGCCTCCCGGCCATGCAGCCTCGACTCATATTTAATTATATCCGGCAAGGTTTTGCCATTTCAGAGAAGGATAGCAATGCTAGGTAAGCAATTCTGGTTGTGTTCAGAGCTAGCCCTAGTCTAATCTCGGGGATGGGTTTTTTCCTCATGGGAAAGGAAACACGGAAGTTGGAAAGGGGAAGCCCAGCAAAGTCCTTTGGACCAATCGGGTAACTCCCTAGCGTGAAATTGGGCGTTACGTCCCAGGCTACGTGCTTTCCCTTTTTGCCGATAGCTGACCAGAAAAAATCCATTTTTTGGGTTTTTTCGGAAAAGCAACCCATGTTGCAAGACAGTAGCTCATCCATGAGCCGTCGAAGCCGGTGACACTGGCCCTAGAAGCACCTTGGTGATCGAAGCGAGGTCATCCCGAGAGACCTTGTGGGCCCGATGCAACGAAAGGCGAGTGATCGACCTGGGGTTGTCACCCCGTAGTGGATGTTAAACGGTTATAAATTTTATAAGATAAGATAAGACCACCTTTCAAAGAATTTTCAAATTACTAAAGATATGCTGCAAAGGTGGATCAGCGACAAAGACTTAGAAACCCCTGCCAAAGCTTTAAGCCTTGATTTTAATGAAGTTGGAGTCTTTTAATAATTAAAATGATAATAAGCAGGGAAAAATTAGAAAAATACTCACAGGATTTGTATGAGACTCATCAAAGAATGAAAGATAATACTATAGAGAGCAGAAAGCTAAGCAGAATTTATTTTTCATCAGCTATAGCTGGAGGAACAAGTTATTTCTTTTTACTATCTGGCCCAAGGCTTCGTATGAGCATATGAAAGGTTATTATCTATCTCTACTCCATTTCTTTTGTATCAAAATCTTCGGGATTTTTATCACTTATCATTTATTCATCATATTTTAAATAAAATCTTATCCTTATCCCTTTAAGAGTGAAAAAATTTTCTTTGCTCCTCTTAAAGGGGCTTAATTTGTTTTAAATTTGATTTAAAATTTTTCCTGAGAAAATCTAATTTCGTCTATAATATTTATGCTTTAGAATGAAATCTCTTTAAATCCAGTGGATTTGACTAAAAAATAATCAATATTTTAAAATTTTTTTTTCATTCTTGAGTAAAGAAGATAATTAACCCAAAGATTTGTATTTTTCTCGCTCTTATTTTGAGGAAGTTAGGAAACTTCTTCGGATTTTTCATCTCTAATCCTCTTCAAAATGTCTTTATTCATTTTAAGTTCATTTCTATTCATTTTAGCTCTCCTTTGCTTCGCTTCTTTTTCTTCCATCTGAGCTTTTAACATTTGAGCATGCAATAAGTTTATTTCCTTTTCTCTTTTTTTCTTATCTTCTTCCATCTTGAAAAAGTCTTCGGCGTCGCGCTTCCACATATCAGCTTGCTCATTATGCGACCTTTTGTCTTGGGCTTTTCTTTCATGCTTTTCTTCGACTTGCCTATCGAGATATTTCCTAATTTCTTCTTTTTGCTCTCTGATTCTTTGGAGCCTTCTTTCGTCCTCTTGCCGGTCGAGATTTTCTTTTTCTTCGATTTGCTTAACTTCCCCCTCCGTGAGTGAACAAAACCATTGGAAGAATCCCTATTTTTTGCCAAAAAACCCACCCTCCGTGAGTGAACAAAAATTTTTTAATAGAAAAAATTTTTTATGAAAAAAAAATTGATATATAAGTGCTAATTAGTATAATGAAATCTCGAACTAATTCTGTTTAATTTTAAACAAATTGCATTTTTAAAACATAATTTTTTTAAATTAAATTAATATTTGCTTTCCAATTTTTACAAATTAGGATTTTTTAAAATTTCGAAAAAAAATTTACCCCCTACGTGAGTGAACAAATTTTTTTGTTCACTCTGGGAGGGGGGAGTAAGAAGCATGAGATCTTCTTCGCGATTTCTTTGGTCTTGTTCTTTTAGGACTGTATCAGCCATTCTTGCCATTAGCTGCTGTTGGCGTTCTTCTCTTGCTTTTATTTCGTTAAGACGGTCTTGCTCTTGGCGGTCGAGCATTCGTGCATAGTCTTCCATAGATTGAACGTCGTTTAAGCGCTCACGTTCTTGGTACTCCATCTGCTTTCGCTTATTTTCTTCATTTTCTTTCATCATGCGTTGCATGTAAGCTCTTTCTTCTCTTCTGCGTTCTTCCATAGCCTGCTGTTCGAGCATGAGCTCTTCTTTAAGTCTTTGTAACGATGACCCCCCTTCAATCTTCATGTCTATTGCAACAAAAATTCAATTTTTTAATATAAAAATTTTATAATAATTTCATGTCTCTTGCAACAAATTATATACATTAAAATGGCGACACGTGTCAACCTGCCCTCTTGGCGCAGCAGTCCAGACCTTATGGCTACAGCGAGCTAGGACGGACTCCGAGCCGAGAATCAGACGCAGGCTCAAGAAGTGTATATCCGAGTAGGTTTTGGCTGCTTTCCTGAGGTTGGAAATGGAGGTGCTCAACAACGTCCTTGGATCCGAGGACCCATGGGTATTCCTCTAACGAGAAACTGGGGGTTTCAGCCCAGGCCACAGGGGAACAGTCTTTTTCCTGCAGCTGTCGAAGAAAGGCACTTTGATACCCAATAAACTCTAAGAGCTGATCCTTGGAATAAGCTACTCCAATCGCCTGTAGCAGGGTCGCAGAAATCCATAAGCCACCTACTCAAGACTGAAGCCGCAAAGCAAGGAGGAGACAGAAGGTACCGGAAGGGCACTCGTAAGAGGGATAGATCCTCTGGGCTGGAGTCGAAAAGCGGTAGAACCTTCCGTACTGGAGGTCTTTAATGACTACGTCATCAATATGGCTAGCGCCTGTCTGTAATAATCCTAATCCTCTTGCAACAAATTTTCGATGCGCATCTTAAATTTTTTCCGTACTTTTTAGCTAGATAAGTTTAATAAAATGGCGAGCGATGGTAATAGCTGTCCAAATCTCGATAAAAGGTCATTGACACATCTACAGTAGCGCTGTTTTATGGTTTTTTTTTAGAGAAAAATAGATTATTTTTTTTATAAAAATGTTGTATTGCAGTAGGCATGAAGATTTTTTCGAAAAAATTTTTGTTGCAGTAGACATCAAGATTGAGGGGGGGTCATCGTTACAAGTTTTTGATCAAGATTATCTTGTTGCTTTTGGTCAAGTTTTTTCCTTCTTTTTTCTTCTGCAAGCTGCTTATCTCTCAATGCTTTTTCTTGCATGATTTTTTCCCTATATTCTCTTTCCCGCTCTTCTTCCCTTTCAGCCATCATTTTGAGGTTTTTTTCTTGGGCTTCTTCATAAAGTTTATTTTCTTCTTCTTCAGACAGCTTTTTTCTTTCTTTTTCATTTAGTTGTCTATCAAGTTCTCTTTTGAGTTTAATTTTATTTTCCATTTCTCTTCGAAGACGGGCTCTTTCTTCTTCACGATACATTAGTGTGTCATGCTCAAGGATAGCAGCCCATTCATCTTCATTGTCATCAGGCACATATGAGAGTGACGACGCTTTTGATGATGAAACCTCAGATAAAGAATCAGATTGCGCTTTGGAAGACCCTTTTTGTGACGGCTGAGATGAGCGAGATTTAATTGACTTAACGCTCGGCTCTGATGGTTGAGCTTTTGGAATTGGCTTTTGGGAATGTACAGATTGAGTTTCATAATCGCCTTCTGCTTTTTTACGAATTCGCTCATCTAATTTTTGTAAGTTTGCTTCAGTTAGTGTTTCAGCTTTCATAAAATTTTCAACTTCTCTATCAATGAACCCAGGATGTTTGTCACCGTATTTTTTCTTGAACTTGTTAATAAGCATTCCTTTAAGGTCTTCACGCTCTTGGAGCTTGAGCAAACGCTGCTTTTTTTGCTCAGAGAGTTTACTAGCTGTTCCCTGGTTAGGTTTAGGAGGTACTTTGGGATAAGACATATTAATTATTATAGGAAATTACCTTAAATAGCCTGGTTCGTTGTGTAGGAAAAATTGCAATCGGCAAAACTAAATGCTGATTTGGTTTTACCATATAAGGTTTTTTACGGCCCCAAGAATAGGGCTATTCGTGGTAATTAGGTATATAAACTGTCTGAAAGAAATTTCCAGATTTTATTTTTATGGAAGGATAAGTTTGGATGTGGAAATGATTTGAATTTAAATTAATAGAACGATTCATGAATGATATTTAATTATAAACTAAAATTTAAAATTTTTAAATTTAAGCTTCCAATAGTTAAATTATCAGCCAATCTAATTGCTGTACACAAATTATATAAAATTTTGAGCTGTATTCAACTTTTGCAGCAATTTTAAAATCCTCCTTTACTTATTTTATATCCTATTCTAAAACTTCATCTACAAATTATAATCATTAACAAGTATATTGGCAGTTTGCCACTTTACACATAATATAAGAAAAAATGATTAAATAAAAACTCTATACAGAGTATCTACACTTTTGTACTGCTAAACTCTACTTTCAAGTAATCAAACTTGCCAGTTATCATAAAATAATGCTTAAATGATAATCCTGTATTTTTCAACCCAAGAACTTTTAAGTTCGATAACGAGCTGATTATATTTAATAGCATAGCTCCCGCTTTCGGCGTGATATAATTGTTGTTTAAGCCTAAATGGCGAAGGGTTTGCGATTTTTTAATTGTGTTCAAAATTTCGATAATTCCAAGCTCCCCAATCTCGTTATTATCTAAAATTAATACTTCAAGATTTTTTAAGCGGACGATCCCACGGCACAAATTTATTGCGCCTATATCCCCCAGATTGTCTCTGCTCAGGTCAATATACTTTACATTGACTATATGCTGAAATAGTCTTTCTAATTGGCAGCCTCCTTCTGCTTCTAAACTATTATAGCTCAATGTGATTTTTTGCAATGGCTTTAGTTTTTCAAGTTTACTTTGCAGCCTATACAAATCCTTTGAACTTAAGCCAGTATCCTTCAAATTGATTTCTTCCAAGCACCGAAAATATTCTAGAATAGCGATTAACTGGTAGACATTATTTACATCAAGAGGAGTGAAGCTAAGATCAATTTCAGTCACATTCAGCTCTTCGCAGGCAAAAATCGCTTCAAAAAGAAGCTTTATCTTATTTGGCATTTGATGACGCGAACTAGCAAAAAAATCAAGGAGAAGTTTTCTATTTGGTCCTTGAGTATTGGACGGTGCACAGGCTGCCAGGTCAAATACCGAAATAATTTTTTCATTTGTGGGGAGTCCAGCAGTTATTATTGTAGATGAATATTTGCCTGAATTTATACAGCTTATTGAATTTTTTTTCTTTTTGTAAGTGCAATTTCCCATACTGATTGAGGTATTTTTGTTATTTATTTATATCATAGGTGATAAATAATTAATTCATATTTTATCATTAATTATGCTCAATGATTTTTTTAAAGGTAAGCTAAGACAATTCCATTTTATTTAGTAAATGGATTATAGAATCCGGGTGGAGAAAAAGTTCCTTCCAAAAAGTCGTCTTCTCGATATGAGTTTTCAATTTCATCTAATGATGGAGATTCGTTTCCAAAAATATTTTTACTGGGAGTTTCTAATTTAATATTATCCCTAAACATTGCTTCAGTTTCCGCTGAAAGTCGATTAGTTTCTTTTTGAAAATCTTCTAAAAAACTAACTCTTCCCTTTAAAATGGAACAAAGGATTCATTTTTTGGGTACATAGACCTTTAAATAGGGAAAACATTTTTTTGTCAATAGAAAAGTTTTATAGATGAAAATATAAATTTTATAGAATTATTTCGACCTAATGGAAAAGCGTAAGCAGAATAAAATTCAAGCAGTTTTCACATTATATCGATTAATTTTTTGAATTAATTACTCATAAAAATATATTAAAATCCAATATATTGTGCTCAATTTATATTTTTATATAGAATAGTTCAATATAAGTTTTGTTTAAAAAAAAATTCCCCATTTAAATTGGAATTGGATTTTTTGTTCCAATTTAAAGGGATGAGTAAAGAAATTTTTCGGACTCTGAAAATCTTCGTTTTTTTGATTTTTTAGATCAGAAATTTCTTTTTTCAGCCGATTTAATAATTCATCTTGCTCATTTATAATTTTTGCGGAAGCCTGAATAATAATTACAAGTAGTTCATCTCTAACTCTCAACCCTTTAAGATAGCAGCAAAATATTTTTTTACTCTTAAAGGAGGGTTATTTTTGCATTAAAACAACTATTTTTCGATTTGCAAAAAATTTATAAGAAAAATCCAGATCAATTCATAAATTTTAATTTTAAGAATTGCAAGTAATATAATCGTTATAACACTATTAGTTATATTTAACAATCATTTGAAAAAAAAAATTACTATCATAAATTTTTTCTAATTATCATAAAAATTGATATTTTCAATGTTTTTTACTTAATGGAGCTAGAGAGTAAGCTGTTGCTCTCGTTGCTTTGATTTTGCTAACTCAAGCTTTAATGTTTGAATTTGGCCAGATTCAGAAGAAGATATATTTTGGTTTAATATAGAGAAAGGCTCAGGTGTAGAATTTGCGCTGTCTCTTTCCATTTCAAACGATGGAGAGTTGTAGTCAGCTTTAGGCTTTTTCTTGAAATTCAAATTACTTATGTCTGCTATGTACAAGTTTGGGAGTTTTGGTAATGGTCCATCTGGTGGCATTTTATGAAAAGGCTCTTCAAAGCGTCCTTTTCTTATCATATATATCAAAACTTTTGCATAGTTATTTCTATTTTTTTTCCAAATTGGGTTTGAGGTGGCTTGAGATAGTTTTTTACACTGACTAAAAAATACCCATAAATCAACCCTGATTTTTTCGTGTTTTGATAGAAGTTCTGATTCTTGTTTTATATCTAGCTATATTTTGCATACCTTTCATATAAATGATGAATTGCTCATCCAAAGGATGTGTAGCCATATTCGAATTGTAAATTTCAAATTGATTTAAAGTGAATATTAAGATAATGGAGAGTTCTAACGTTTTTTATATAAAATTTTTGTCAATTATATTGTAAACAGGGAAACTATCTGCAATTAAATGTAGAGGTTTGTCTTGATAATTTCATTTTATTTCTTGCTTTAAATTTAGATAATTTAATTGCATCCTTATCAATAAGACTGAATTAATTCTAAGGATATATAAGCATTATTCCATAAAATTTTATATTTATAAGTGTTAGCTTTAATGTTGATATTTTAAGATAATAATGATAATCAAGACCATCTTAATTTTGGTTTGGGTTTCGATTATTTATTTTATCTTAAGTGTCGGTGGTGATATTCTAGACAGAGCTCCTGCTGAAAATTGCGATTATTGTGCTATAGCTAACAACACAATCCCCAAGCGAAAATTTTATGAATCAGAAGAAATCGTTGCCTTCAATGCTCCTGAGCCAAGCTGCAAAAGGCATTACTTAATAACTCCAATAGAGCACATAAAAAATGTTCATTCTTCAGAAGTCACATGTGAGCTCATAAACTCAATGCAAAAAGTTTGCTTGGATTTATTAGAAAATCATAATCGAGAAAATCTCAAAAATAGAATATTTTTCGACAACCCTCCATTTTACAATGTAAAACACTTACATCTGAACTGCATGGGCTGCGATAAAAGTGATGAGTCTCCATTCTCCTTTAGATTTTACAGCAATATTTTTAGCGAGCTCGCATCTCCTGACACCACACAAAAATGCCAAGATTCCAGCGTATTTACAAATAATACTAACACTAACAAAGATTTATAAAGAAATATTATAAACAATAAGAATTATTGATGCCAATAAAAGTGACAGGGAAGCTTGCATCTAAAAATGAGGATTCTGATTGGTCTTTATGGATTTTTTGCTTATTTGTCTGAGGGAAAAATGTGCATTGATTCATTTCTGTTATTTCTTTTATTGATCTTTCTTTCTTAAGCTTAGATTGAGTTATTTCGAGCTTTTTGGCATTTCTCACATAAATAGGCTCTCCTGTAGAGTCTTGGGAAAATGAGGTATTTATTGAAGGCTTAAATGTGTACTGAGGCTGCTGTTGGGGCTTCGGCTTATTTGACATCAATAAAATACTTTTTTCACCTGGACTGAGAGTTTTCAGCAGTAATTCTACAGATTCCAAAAATTCGTCAAAATTTAGAGTTTCATTCATATTGGTCAGCTCTTCTATTAAAGGGTACAAAATTGCTCTGATAGTTGGAGGCAAGCTAGATTTTTCTATTGTCCTGCTGCTAATATTGCCATTTTCATCAGGATCCATCATTTCGAAAATCTCTTTTAGTCTCAAATATTTTATTCTTTCCACAATTTTTTCAGAGGTCATGTTGCCCAAATGTTTAGGGGACTGTGATTTTATTTCAACCGAGATTGATTTTTTAGCGTAAGAATATAAATGCTCCCCAATATCTTTTACATCTCTTTTAGCAGGAGCTCTTCCTATGCGCGGCCTAAAGAAAGGCTGCCCTGTGACTGGATCAGTGTTTTCTTGTGAAGTAGAAATTTCAGGAGGGTGCTTATCTTTGCTTTTTTCAGTTTTGCTGAATGATTTATTCACTTTGCTGGTTAAGCTTGTATCTGGAGCAAAAGGGCATATTGATCTCAGTCTATATAAAATTTACACATTATGAGAAAAAATTGTCATCTTTTCATCTTTAACTCTTGCGTTATCATAAAGCGCTGCAAATCTATCAGGAGATGTGCATTTAAACCTGGCCATTTCTGAGCTCTTTTGATTGATAGCTGGTGCAAATGTGCATTTTTTCATTTCTTCCTCTAATATTTGACTTCTTTTCTTTTCAATGTTTTGCTCTTTTTCTTTTCCTTTTTCCAATAAGTGAGAGATGTTTCTAGAAATTGGCGATTTAGAGTTAGTTTTTGGCTTAAATGTCAAATCTTTCATGGCTTCATCTAATTGCGTTTGCTTAATTTTTTGGATTTTTTTCTCAGTTTTCTCTTTCAGCATGATTCCTTTGTAATAAAGCTTATCACCATTATTATTAATAGGCTTTTGTGACGCAGATCTAGGTTTAGGCTTTTCTGTTTCTTTTTTTGGGCTATGTTTTTGACCAATTTTATGCAATCGATCATAGACATTTCCTATGAATTTTCCTTCGATAAGCTTTCTTGAATGCTCATTTATTTTGGGCTGATGATTTTGCGACTCAGGCTGATAATTTTGCCGTCCTCTATATTGAGAATTTTCTGGGCTTTTTTTATTCATCCTGCTGCTTCCTTGATTTTGAAATAATAGAGATGCTGCTTGCCTTTCTTCTTCTACAATAAGACTTATGGCAATTTAAATTAAATATGAAATTTGACAATTTATGCTATTATTATCCCACATAATTTTGAAATCTGATTGAATATTTTTTCTTAGGGCTCATCAGTATATATTATATTCAATTTGCTCTTTTAGAGCTTCTTCTACGTCAGCTCCTAAGTTGTGCTTAAGACAAAACTGCTCAGCTAAAATTTCAGGTTTATCTCCTTCGTGAACCGTTAAATCATCTGATCTTCCGTCACCTATATCGATTGTCATGATGAGAATTTCATGCTTGTCTTCAGATAAACTGCGGCTAAAAGAAATATCTGATAGTTCTGCATCTATTGTTGAAATATCTTGAGAAGGGATAAAGTTCGGACTTCTTTCATCCATTTTAGAATTAAATTACTAGTTAATTAATTTGGAAGCATCTATTAAAAAACAATTATATCAAGAGACCAACCAAAGTAACAAAACACAAAAAAATAATAAAAAATTGGCCAAAATAGTTAAAAAATTCTATCATACAATAGTCTCAAAAATTTAGCAACAAAAAATTAGACTAATAAAATTTTGTAAAAAAAATAGTCGTCGGGTATAAGCACCATACTAGTTAATTAAAAATTAATAATTCAGTGAATATCATATTCAAGATTCTTTCTGTTGCACAGCACGTCGAATTTGGCCAATAATTTTATTAGCTCTACTAAACTGATGTGAAAATTATGTTATTTACAATCACAGGCATGATATCATAAAATTAGCTATTATAGTGTAATTTATTTCAGCTACTAAACAAATTAAATTAAAAAGAATAGGAAATTAATAAGCTTGCAATAAATTTTAAATGGAAATTTTCGCTTTAATCCTTTAGAGGAGTATTTAAATGACTCCTTTAAAACTAAACTTTCAGGAGAAATTAATAAAAATGGTCTCAAAAGTTTGACTTTTGAGTTTTATAGTTCTTACTATTTCAGCTCATGAGGAATCATCTGAAAAACTACTTGGAGATACAGATGGAACTTGGTCACTTATGGGCTTCTCTGGGTGGGCAGGCGAAATCTTAATGAACCCTTTAACTGGGTCATCTTATTTCTATTGGTTTTTCCAAGCAATTGAAGGAAATGCTACATCAGATACACGACCACTTATTATTTGGCTTCAAGGAGGTCCAGGATGTTCAGGTAATTATGGAATGCTGTTTGAAAATATTGCTCCATTTACAGTCAATAATAAATCAGAGCCTATCCCAAACCCTTATACATGGGCTAGCGATTTTCATGTAATGACAATTGATCACCCTCTTGGTGCTGGATTCTCTGTTGCTAAAGCATCTTACGATATGAAAAACACCACAGCAGGCTCCACTCAGCAGCTTTACAACTTACTCGTAAAGCTCAATACAAAATATCCATGGATGTTTAATCGTCCTTTGTTTATTTTCGGAGAAAGTTTTGGAGGCCACTGGATACCTGCAATTGCCTACACTATTTTGATGAACAATAACAACCCTGTTTCCTCTCAAATAGCTCATTTTAACTTGCAAGGAATTGGTGTTGGCGATCCTTGGACAGATCCAATTACTCAAAGCCAAAAATACTCAGCTTTTTCAGTAGCAACTGGGCTTCTCAACCAAGAAGAGCTTGAAATTATCCAGACATATGAAGCGCAAGTTCTCAATGAAATTAATACAGCTGAATGGGATGATGCAGAAAATGATTGGACTTCTATAACTGACTTGATTGTGAACTACGCTGGAGGAATTAATGTTTACAATATAAGGAGCTATGAAACTAACTACAATATTCACGGAATTCCTGCATGGCTCGACTCAGAATCCACAAAAAATTTGCTGCATGTTCCTCAAAACCTGCATTGGGTTGACTGCAGCAATTCTGTATATAATGCTATGACTGTTGACATTATGAACACAGCAATTCACTATTTACCATTTGTAATTGATACGATCCCTGTTATGATTTACAATGGGCAAGACGATTTAATCGTCAATATTTTGTCAACTGAAGCTATGGTCGCTAATATAAATTGGCCAGGAATACCTTATTTCCAATATTCTCCAAAGGTGCTATGGACTGTTAATGGAATGGTGGCAGGATTTGCACAGACCTATGAAAATTTCAGCTTTGTGGTCGTTTTGAAATCAGGGCATATGGTGCCTCATGACCAGCCTATAAATGCACGAGACTTAGTTTATAGATTTGTGAATGGTGAAGGATGGAGCTAAATAATTTATTAGGAATAAGATAAAGTTTTGCTGCTAATTTAAGGCTATTTAAAATTAATTAACCTCAAAATTTTAAAGACGTTGTGAATATTTATTATATCATTAGAAATTACTTTTCTTTTCTGTTATTGGAAGCTCTTCAGGTTTGAACCAATTACGAATCCTATCCATAATAGTTTCCTCAGTTACTAGCTCATCATTATTCTCTTCTAACTGTCTATTAGCTCTCTCGACTTTACCTTTGCAGTTATTTCCAATGACTTTATCTAAAAATCTTTCTCATTCCTTATTTTCTCATTGTCTCTCTGTTGCTGATGCAATTGTGTAATCAATTTTCCTTTCCTCAATTTCCTCTCTACCCAAATCGCACTTATTTCCTACCACCAAAACTGGAAAACTCTCATCTTTTAATAGTCCAAAATTATCATTCAGTCATGGTCTTAATTCTTTTCTCCACTTTTTTAAATTTCTGTACGTCTTAGAGTTGCTTAAATCATGCACAAAAATATAGCCATCAAAATATTTATAAAACATCAGCCTCAAATTTTTATGACATTCATTCCCTGAAAAATCCCATCACTCAATGGTTTTATTTTGGTAAACTGACACAAAAATGTTAATTGGCGATGAATACTTGCATGAATCCTGTGTAAACTCGCTGATTAATGTCGTTTTCCCTACTCCTGGATCGCCAGAAATGCATATTGAATATGTTTCCATATATTGTAAATGAAAAATAAGAAAGAGAAAGCGCCAAAGAACTATGATATTTCCTTTGATCTCAATGACAGAAACCAGTACTTAAGCAAGTTTAATCATACAAGGAAGCAGAAGAAAAAAATAGTGGAGAAAAGAAATGAATGGAAAAAGAAGCAGGAAAAGATGCTGAGGAAGCAATTGAAGAAGGAAGAAAGGGAAAAGACCTTGCAAAATATCGAAGTGATTGAAGAAATCGAGCAGGGATTTAAGGAGGAAAATTATGAGCAGGAAGATTCGTTGAACAATACAGTGGTGGAAGTTCAGACAAAAATAACAAAAACTTAAACAAAATTATTTTGATTAATCATCTTCTTTAGGTCTACTTAATTTAGGAGGTAAAAAACTGTTAATGGTTTGATAATAGGCAGTAGCTGGAATTGCAGAATAGATATTGACAGTCATAATTCCATAGGCGCTATACCTAATTCCAGCTAAGACTAGAAAAGGATGAGAATACGTACAATTAAGCAATCTTCCAAATGGCGTATTCAATATTATAGGCTGGCTATCACTATATCTTTGCAAATGGACTTTTATTAGCTTATCAGATGCTCTTTCAGATTTAGAAATATACATGATTTTGAATGGAGAGACATCAATAAAATATTGAAAATTCAAGCATCGGAAGCTTCATTGATCTTCTACGCTATGATAAGTTGAAGTTGCTATGTTGAAAATGACAAAATTGTTTGATCTTCCATCTTGGAATATGATATATTCTTTTATCACTGCAAATCCATTGTGGCAAAAAACATTCAATTTTGTTTTATTTTTATAGAGCTGATTATTCCCATCTAAAAATAATACAACCGAATGCTGGTATCCATCAGGAGTTTCATATTTTGTTGATTTCAAACATGTGACTTTGGTTGTAATTTGGATTTCATTTGCAGGAATCGATTGATTAGCATTGTAAAACTTAATTATATTTTCATAGTGAATAAAAAAGGCATTTGCTGCAGGGTTTGGAATATGCAAATTTAAATAATTATCCGATTTCAAGTATGAATGACTTATCATTGTTTTTGATTCTTCAAATTTCATAGCTCGAAGCTTCTCCAACTGCCTATTAAATAAAACTGCCTCGTATTTTTTTAAGCAAATAATATGCTGCCCATTATTGAAATACTCAATTTTTAAAATTGGCTTTTTTCGGTCATCTTGCTTTGTAAGCCTCGAGCAATTTATATCAGGAAAATATTCAAGTGAGGGATCTGGGCCATACGAAAATAATTCCAAATTTCCTCCACTAGAGCAGACAATTCTATTTTTATGACCAGCAGCAGCAATAATTCTATCTTGGCAAATTCAAGTTTCTTTTCTTGTGAAGTCATTTCTGAATGAAGATATTGAAAAGACCAATATATTATTGTCTTCATAACCAAAAAATAAATGCTCTTGCTTATATGATAAATAATGAAAAATTATTGATGGGCACTTTGATCATTTTAAGGCTACAGATGGCAGCTTTCCAGTTGATAAATTTGCTTCAAGTATTGACTCAATTAGGCTTGTTCCTACATCATCGCCATTGAATAACGTATTTACTTTGTCTAATTGGTGATGCTTATCATGAATGGAGACATGAGGGTCATAGACATATTTCCAAAATTTTTTGCAGGTCATTGTAAAATTCAAGTACTCTTGGAATGTTAAAAATGATATAATCTCTCTTATCATGTTGGCTCCTAATAAAAAGATAGAGCATTTGTTGTCTTTATTATTTTGGTATCTGACTAATAAGTTGAAATTTGGTTTTTTTGATTCCATTAAGGTTTTATAATCAGAGCGAACCAGATTTTAAAAATGTTAAAATCAACATTTTTAAAATATTTCACAGTTAATCTGCTACATATAAGCAATTTTCTTATTCCCGCCCAATAAGAAAAAAATTTTTGCTAATTATGGAAGAAATTACTTGGTATTAAAAAAAGAAAATATTCAAATCTCGGTGTTAACCCATAATAAGCAAATTTATTATCATTCCATAAAATTACAAATTTGTGTTTTTTGGCTAAAATCAAATAGCATTAACATTAGCTTAGCGGTTATCACCCATTATAGGTAAGTATTTTCCCAAAAACTATCCTATTCTTAATAATCTCTCCAATAAATCTTCGAATATTCCTATTTATGACCTCAATTTGATCCCGACATTTCTCCAACACTATTTTCTCAAGCCTCCAAACTTACAAAACTATTTCTGTTAAACTCATCTTATCTAATTCCTCCTGCTAAATTTAAACGCTGTCCATACTACGAATGTATCTCATGCGCTATCTACTTGCTGATTTGAATATCTCGAAAAGAGGCAGCCTCTGTCTAGGGAATAGTTTTTACAAGTCTAACTTCGATTATGAAATGAGCATTTGCAGTCATTTTTTCAATTTTTACAAATTTAAGTTAGTCTTCGCATTCTATAATCAATTAATAACTAAAAGCTGATATAATTTATATAATAAAAGCTAATTCTTTTGTATTCTTTATAAACTTATTAATTCTGCTTGCGTTTCTGCTTAATATATCTTTAGGTAACCAAAGAAATTTCTATACTTAATCATTAGAAAGTAAATAATATCAGAAAAAATTTCACATGTCATTTTTAAAGAGAGTTTTATCTCGTGAACCTATTAAGAAAGGCACTAGCGTCCCACCTAAAACGAATCAAATTTCAATCAAAGTTGAGAATATTCCAAGCACTAAACTTAAAAAATCCAAATTATTTCAAAGAAATTTCCAAGAAAAATCCCCAGAAAAATATTCGACAAGCTCACCGTCATCACTCAAGAAGCCTCCACTTTCAGTTCGAAAATTGCCTATATATAAAAGTAGTCCAGAGATTCCTCAGCTTCACATAAGCTTAAAATTTTTATCTACTCCAGTATCAACTGTGGTTTCTCCTAGAATAAAAAAAGCTAATCCACAATTGATAGTCAAGCCAAATGATTTTATTGAGCCTGAAGTAGAGACTGATATACCAACATTTACATTTATAAGTATGGTGCTGCTCGATTTCTCATACCTTTAAATAGAAATTAATTTCTTGCATATTTTAACTATGAGTTTGGCTTCACCTTGTGAAAATATCGATTAGTAAGAAAAGCAAAGAGCTGAGGATAAAGTGTGCACTTATTTCCACCACTAAATGGCTAATCCAAAAAAGAATCTTAAAACCCAAGCTTCAAGACTAGGTCCATTAAGGTCAAGGTCTTCATATATTATCGGGCTGGGGTTATGCAGTTCGAAATTCCAGAGTTATTCTAAAACTGGTTATGGCTTTAAGTGTAATAGCTAACATTTATTGATATACCAACACTAAAAGAATATATGGAAAATACTATTCTTCTTTAATAAAATGCATTCAATAATAAAAAAGGCCGCAATAAAATACTATCAAAAAATAAAAAAGCGATGCTAGCATAAATGATCATCTTTTTAAGGCTGCATACAAAATCCAGGCTAAATGTTTCCTTTGCAGATACAGCTACTGATAGTGCTTCAAAAAGATCTGCTAGTCAAGTTTCAAGGAGTTTTATTGACGATAATGCTGTAGAAAAAATACCTGAAAGATCAAATTCTTTAAAAAATATTAAAGAAAAAGATAATCTAGCGAGATTAAAGGAAATGCTTGGAATTAATGCAGAGAAGGAAGTAAAGCCCTCAACAAAAAATAAATTGATTGAAGAAAAAAATTGCAAATATTCCAACAGGGTAATGATATATAAAGAAAAAGGGAGCAGATTGCATAAAAATTAATTATCAATACAATGATGGCTAATTATAATGCATATATTTTAGAATTAAAATTTTTAATTTTATTTTAAGTTCGGCTTTATACTAAATTCAAAGCTCATAATATTTTATCCTCATTGAATCATTTGCTGAGCATTGCTATGATTAAAAACTGTCTTAAAAAGGCTGTCTCTATATCTTTAATTCTTTGTTCATACTTAAAAACATTTAAAATTAAATTAGAAAAGATTAGAAGGAAGGTTTAAGTTAAGTCATTTTTATTTTAATTGTAAGCAAATTTACATTTACAAGCTTAATCAGCATCGTCTAGCTGCTGACGGTCATCGCTATTTCAAGAATGTCTTCTCTAAAAGCAGGCCAATCCAATACTTTTCAGTTATCGTTTATTGAAATAAAACGAATCTCTTTGAAATACCCCAATCCACTTACGCAAAGTTTATACTCTACTGTTTCTCTTCTGTGGCTCTTTACCAAAGTTCGGCAGCTACTAAAGCAGCATGTCCAGGGAATATTATAAGCCCTACGCAACAATTTGAAAAATTTATGTTTTAAAATACAAGCTGTTTTAAAATTAAACAGAATTAACATAAATTTCATTATACTAATTATCACTTATATATCAATTATTTTCATAATATTATAAAAATTTTGTTTGCTCACGGAAGATGGGTTTTTTGGCAAAAAATAGGGATTTTTCCTATAGTTTTGTTCGGTTACGAAGATGGTTAGTAAGCAGCTCCTCGAATTATTTTCCAAAAAAATTAACCAACTAACTCGGAGAGTTGACAAATGCCTCATATAGAGTCTATTTATCACCTTCCAAGTCACTGCCCAAGCCGATCTATATCTGTGCCTAAGCTATACTGCCAAGAGGGCCTAGTAGCTATTTAGCCTTGGGCCCTGCTCTCCATGCAGCTCTGGGACTTATTGCACTCCAGGCTCTCTTTTATGAGTTGGAAAATATGATGAAATTATTAATAGAGTCATAATTTCTGTTTAAATAATAGTAATAAATTAATCATTAAGCTGGCACAATAAAGCCGCACCTCTCAAAGTCCAATACTCTGGAGACTCTTCTGTAGGCAAATCAATTGCCAAAATAAAGTTCGTGGACTGCCCAGTAGTTGATAGCACACCAGCTCTTACTGAAGTCTTATATATTGGACATTGATAATCTTGTGGGGAAGTCTCGTAGTCGTCTGAAGGTAGAAAATGAATGACAGGCATTTTTGAGTAAAGCTCTCCTGGCAGCTGGTCTGTCAGCATCTTATAATCCCTGTCCCATCTTGCTCCATCTAATTCTTCCCTCTGTGAGCGAACAAAACCATTAGAAAAATCCCTATTTTTTGAGTAAGAACCCACCCTCTGTGAGTGAACGAAAATTTTATTAATATATCAAAATTTTTTATAAAAAAATTTTAATATATAAGTGATAACTAAATCTCAAGCTAATTCTGGATAATTTTACCAAATGCTATTTCAAAACATAAATTTTATAAATAAAATTAATATTTGTTTAAATTATTTCAAATTTGAAAAAAAATTACCCTTAACATAATCAAACAAAATTTTTTGGATTGTTCACGGAGAGGGTGGGAGTAAGTATAATCCATATATAAAGACTCCGTCAAAATTATTCTGTGAAATGTCTTCTTTGTCTTTATCTGTCACTGTAAAGCTAAATCTTACTTTATCAATCGAAATTTTATACCGTCTAGCATAAGTTTGCAAAGTTCCTGTAATAAACGACTGCGGGAAAAAGAATCCTGAAAGCCAATAGCAGGTTGGGTTGCCTCGCTTAAGCCAATCATCCATGAATGCCACTCTTGCCTTTAAGTCTTCGACCCAGCTTGCTAAAGGTTTAAGTGAAGGATATGAGACTTTTCTCCAATTCCCTGGGATTTGGAATTTTATTATGGATGAATACATTTCATCAAGCTCCTGAGACATGACAACTTCTCCCTTTATAGCTCTCTGCAACTCTATTAGCGATCTCTGCATTTTTACTAGGAGCTTATTAAATCTTTCCACTTCGTGCAGCAGGACAGTTGTTAATGAAGGAATCAGATCATACTCAGCTTTCACAAATAAGTCATGGTGCCCTGATTTTATGTCCAACGGCTCAGGAATTGTAGCTATAACAGAATCAGCGAACTCAGTGACTATCTCGTCGTTTGATTTTCCTCCAGAATTTCCGGCCTCTCTAGGCTGTATAGAAAGGATTGTTGCTAGGACTTTCTCTGATTCTTGGGTTTGATAAGAAATATTCGCATTTTCATGGAGCCCAAATATTTCTGGAAGGTCGTTTGTGGGTAAATTTTCTATATACTTCTTATATGATTCTAGATTGCCATCTACAGGAGCCAAATAAGTCCCACTTTCACTAAAGATGTAGCCCTCCTCCAATATGTCAGGTGTATAGAATTTTTTTAAGGTCGATAATAAGCAAGTTCTATCCCAATCATCAGTCACTCTTCCTCCATAGTTAATATGTCCAGTCAAGTACAGTAAAGCATCCCATGGGACTTCTTCCTGTTCTTCTAAAAACTTCTTCAAAAACTTTCTAGATGTTTCCAAATCGGTTGCATTAAACTCATATCTGATATTAAATCCTAATGGGCCGAATTTTCTTCTTTCTTGTATAACTGCATGGAAAAAGGTTAACCCAAAGCACAGTTTTCTCCATATTTGTGGCTTACTGCTATCAGCTAAATTTTCTTCAGATATTTCTGCATATGACTTTTTCATGTTTGCTTTTATTCCTCTTGGGGGCTCTGTTGTGATTTTTAGGCCATTTTGTAATACACTCACAGGGAAATAATCTGCTGGCATTGATGTTAAAAAGAATCGGAACGAAGGAGAAATATTGGTTTCTTCTTGCAAATCCTGAACTAGTTTTTCTAGGGAAGGCATTCATGACTTAGCTAAATGGCAATTTTGTAGAACAAGCCATCGGCCAGTTTTTTTGCAGTGGATTAATTCTTCTTGAGCTCGAGGTCCTTGGCCTTGGCCTAATGAAATAATTGAAGTTTTATCTGTAAACTCCATTTGGTGAGCAAATGCCATTAAGGATACAGTCGGATCGGCTCCTTGAGATAGAACAAAAATGATAGGAGTTCGGTTATCACTGTCTGCAAAAAGGCTTTCCATTGTAGCTGATGGGCTCTCTACAAAGAATGAGCCAAGGGTTTTACTTACAAATGCTGTAAAGGCTAATAATAGTTTATCAGTTCTGAAACTTCTGACAATAATTAGCTTGAAAAATGGGTCTATTTTTGATTCCCAGTCTAGCGGGAGAGGAGTCTGATATAAATCTTGAGAACCCGCATATTCTCGCCACAATGACAAATTTAAAGCTATGCTCTTTGTCAGTCCCACTAAGTTTGGAAATGTCTTTTCTAATGCTATTAGTAACTCCCAGCTCGCTTTTCCTATCAAAGCAGGATCAGGATTATCTGGAAGTTTTCCTGTCATAAGTCCAGCTCCTCTTACTCTCTGCTTTCAAATTAATTTTTCTATTTTTAGTAATAAATAGCCAAAATAGTTGATATAAGGAACTCTTATTATTTTTTTTTATCTTTTTCAATTAATTTTTTTATTAAAGGAATATTTAGAACGACATATTAATGAAACTCATCTGAAATATTCCAATTCAATTTAACTCTTGATGAATAAGATAATAAAAAAAAATTTTGCTTTGCTCTTTATGTAAATTGCGAAATTAGCAATAGATTCCAGCCTGCAGCTGGGATTATCCCTTCTTTTCTTTGTATTGCTGTTGTTATTAAAAATGAAAAAATTTGCTTATGAGTTTCAAATAGCCCTCTGCAAATATTTGTATAAATATTTCTTGTACTAGCTTCCAGCACAATCTGTATTCTTTTGGATATATCCTTTGTTTTTTCTGAATTCTCAATAGAGTAACTGAATAATTTTTTCATATAAACAAGAGAATACTGATACATTGGGTCTATTCCAGCAAGCTCTACGACTACAAAATATAAAATTGCTCCTCTGGTTGCAGCTCCTCTATACTGTTCTCTCACTAGATTTAGATTTTGTTCGATTGTTGAAGACTCTTTGACTCTTTGCGTGATATCTTTTGAGGTAGATTTAGACTGCTGCATAGTTGCTATAAGCTTTCGATCATCCAAAATATTTCCTCCAGAGCTGTCAGCAATGAGCTGCAGTATAGAATTTTGGATATCTACAAGTCTTTTATTGTCAGTCGCCATCTGTATGATAAGCTGAGTTTTTTGCTGTTCCACTTCATTGTTTTCAATTTTCACGACGTCTGCCAGTAATTGCTCTTCAAGCCCTGCAAAAGTGACAGTAAAGTTAATGATGTTTACCTTTATGCAAACTTCTGGTAAATAGTGAGGGTTTGGCAACTTGGTGGTAAGATATAAACGGAAGCCTTCATCATAATTAATATCAGATTCTCCTAATTCCCACTACTCTGTGTGTGCAACAAATTTGTTTCTAATATTATTTTTAAATTTTATAATTTTTTTTGAAATTGAAATAAAAATCAGTATGCAAAAATTTTATTAAAAAAAAATTTATTTAATTTGTAAAATTTACGTTTTGAAATGCAAGCTGCTAAATTTAATAGAATTAGCTAAAGATTTCATTATAATAATTATCATTTACATATTAAAGTATTTTTTTAATAAAATTTTTATATGAAAAAAAAATTGGCTTGCTTAAAGAGTTTTTTTGTTCACTAATAATAGGAATTTTTCTAATGATCTAGCTCGCCGATAAGGGTAGGAGTAAGTGGACAAGTAATCTTCCATCTGTGTGCTTATAGATTTGCTTACTCTCCCCCCCCCCCTCCGTGAGCGAACAAAAAAATTTTGTTCGCTCACGGAGGGGGGTTAATTTTTTTTTTTAAAAAAAATTTATATATAAATTTTATAAAAAATATTTTTTTCGAAATTTAAAAAAATCCTAATTTGCAAAAATTGGGAAGCAAATATTAATTTAATTTGCAAAATTTATGTTTTTAAAACGCAATTTGTTTAAAATTAAACAGAATTAGCTCTAGATTTCATTATACTAATTATCACTTATATATCAAAATTTTTTTTCCATTAAAATTTTTTCTATTAAAAAAATTTTTGTTCACTCACGGAGGGTGGGTTTTTTGGTCAAAAAATGGCGATTTTTCTAATGGTTTTGTTCGCTCACGGAGGGGGGGGGGGGGGGGGGAGTTAGCTATTATAGGTTCAACTGAAGGATCGAGAACTTCTCCTATGTCTTCAAACAGTATTGGCACTCCATTAGTGATACAAGCTTCTAAGCTTCTCATCATTTCTTTGGCTTCTTTTTTACCTTTTTCATCATTTTCATCATAGCTTTTCATTTTCATTATTTTTAGTTTCCTCGCTTTTTCCATATTTTTGATTCAACTGTGAGCCTGCATTTGTGGATCAATCATAAGTGGCCATCTTTGAGATATTGTAGCAATGATCCCATTTTCAACTGAAACACTATCACTAGGAAGTCCAGCAATATTCCAATCTTGAATAGTAAGCTTATCCCCTAAAATTCCTTCCAGGGTGAAATCTTGTGTGCAAGGGATTTTTAGTTCATTGCATCTTGCTATCCATTTCTGAGTAAGAGTTTTGCGGTATTCCCCTGTGAAAGGTCCTAAGTAAGAGACAATAGCAGCACTTAAAAAGACATTTCCAATAATGACACTAATACTTTCTTTTAATGTTTGTAGGTTCTGCTCCCATCTCACTCCTTCATCAGCCAATAAATCAAGCAGTAATTCTGCCCTCACAAGTCTCTCTTGAGTAATTTCAATGTCATGCTGAAGCTGAGCCATTCTTTGCTGAGTCAAATTGCAATCCTCTTGCAGCCTCTCCACTTTTTCTTGAACGCCCCTCAATTCGTCTTCTTTTTCTTTTAACTTTTGCATGTCAGATTCCAGTTTAGCCTGCATTAGTTGCACCCTTTCTTTCTTAGGCTTGACTATTTCATATGCTTCTGAATATTGACTCATTGCAATAGTCCACATGCATAAGGATTTGGCTGCTTGAGATTTTGTGCCTACAAACTCCACCTCATATTCAGGCTTTGCCAAATAGTGTCTCAGTTTTCTTAATGCTGGCTTAGGAATATCATCCTTATTATAAGTTCTAAGCCTTTCTAAGAAGTCCATTCTTCCTAATACATGCTGCACAGATGGCCAGTCTGTAGCTTCACTGAGTAATATACACACAGCTTCCAAGACCATTTTCACGACAGGGGTCGGATTTTTATAGTTTTTCATTTCAAAAATATCTTTAGGATTGATGCTGTCAAGCGCTCTCATGGCTCTTTCTAAAATTGGCATAGCTTGGCTGAGCTCTTCTTCAGCTTCAAGTGCTTTGGATCTGCACTCAATCATCTGGTGATTCACGACTTCTTTTTCTCTTTCGACTTGCTCTCTAAGCACTTCAGCAGCTTTTGTTTCCTTTTGAACCTCAACGAGATACTGCTCAGTTTTTTTCTTTTGAATTTCTAGCTCAGGAGCCATCAATTGCAAATCATTTTGTAGTTGATTTACTATATCTCTGGTTTGCTTTAAATTGCTCAGTCCATTTTCCAGTCTTGATTTCGCTGACTGTGCTTGATTTCGCTTGATATTCAGCTGTGACAGATAAAACGAAATCAAATCCAAATAGCTTTTTGGTGTTGTATATGTTTTCCTTCTCAGTTCAGCAAAAAATTGATCTGCAGATTCTTCAACTGAGGTGTGGATTTCCATACACATAGTAGATAGTGCTTTTTTCATCTCATCAGTTGTGGTGAGTTCTTGCAAAAATTGCGAGGAAACTGACAATAAGGCTTCCTGAGGCCATTTGTTAAACCAGTCCAATGTTGCACAATTTACAAGTGATGGGAATTTTCTGCAGCGAATTCTCAGAGACTCGCCAACTGGTGACATGCACAGAACAATATGAAGCCTGTCTCGGACTCTTTGCACGAAAGTAGAATAAATCAAATCTTTTGAATCTGGCAGTCTCATCTTTTCAACAACTTCTGGACGCAAGTTGTCAATGATTTGATCGATGTCTTCAGGCTGATACAGATTGGTGACTTCGCCAGTGTTCAAAATGCTGTTGATATCTTCTAGAAATCCTTCGTTCGAGATATGAGTATCAGGGAAAATAAAAGATAAGTGCTTGCCCTGGACTCCAGAAATGTCCATCATTTTTTTCAAATCTTCACGGAATGCATCAATTCCGTAATTTCTTGTTAATTCAATTTTGTAGACTTGATAGCCTAAAATATAAGAAGACAGCATCGATAATGTTTGCTTTCCACTACCTCCGACACCTATCAGTAAAATATTCCCCCTTGGCTGTCTTAGTGTTCTGCAAATCCTCAGTACGTGCTCGACAGCCATTTCGAAAAACACCAGCTGCATTTTCTTGGTGCTGCCAGTGTTGAACTCATCAACTTTATTATATAGCTCTTTAGTCAATTTCTTATAATCAGTGATTTCTTCATATGTAATTGCAGGCTTGGCTAGGTTTAAAATGTCGCTAAACATAATAGATTTTTTTTCAAACAAGTCCTCATGAGTTCAGTTCATCTTAAATGGTCTGTTTATCTGCTCAACTAGCAAGGTTGTGAACCAGAGTCTGTCAGAATTATTTATTAAGCGGTCATGGAAAACTCTGCAGGATTCATGGACCCAAAGTCTGGCTAAATGGTCAGGAGATGGTAAGGAGCGGGATGATGCCATTAAAATGCCTTGAAAGACTTTGGAGACATCGCGAAGGTTGAATACGTAATGGAACTTTGTAGGTGTTGGCTTCAGAGTTTGGAGAATTCTGAAGTAAACGTCAATTGTGGAGTGAACGACAGCATCTCCCAGCTTTTTTACTGAATCTGTCATCCCGATTTCTAAAAACCCACTTAGAATGCTTCCGAAAATGGTTGTTAAAGTATTTGTGCTTGGCTCTGGGAGATTAAATAAATTGAAAAACCGCATAAACCTCGGAGTGAGTTCGCTTCTTCCTCCTCCTGGAGGAGCAGCAGCACATAGAAGCATAAAATTGCCAATAGTTTTCCAAAACAGTTTATGCCTGTCATAAAACCCTCCACATCCAATTAGCTGCCTCAACTGTTCAATCGGCGGCTGAGCTCCATATAGTTCAACTGATGGCATGTTTACATCATCAACAAAAATCATTAATTTCTTAAGCCCAACTGCTGAATAAAACCCTTTGGATTTCCTTTCTACCTTGGCTTCAATTGAATTCTGTGTTAGCACACTTGATGTTTGTGCTGAAAAATTCATTAAAACAGGCTCAATTTCTCCTTCAGCTTTAAGTTTTGATATAAATGTCGAAATAATGACAGACTTTCCGACTCCAGTTTCTCCAGTAAAAAATATAGGCTTGTTTTTAAGGTATAATGTTGATAATAGGTACTCATAAGTTGTTGTCTCTACTGTAGGTACCACCATTGAGAAATAAGAAGCATTTGGGTCAAAATTAAACTCTGGAACTTTTTCAGTTCAGCTTTTATATTGTCTGCCTGATAAATAGTAATCAAATAGTGTTCCTGCAATAGGCAACGCAATAGTTTGAGAAAATAGCTGTCGGACAAAGTCAGAAAACTTGTCTCTGCAATTTGACTTAAGAGCTCCGCCCATGCCCCAAATTAAAGAAAATACAAAAATTGCTGTAATCTGTTTGGTTTTGTCTTCTATGGCTTCAGGCATTTTCAGCCCAGATTCAGGGCTTAAAAAGATTTCTAAAAATCTGCAAGTATTAGTAGCACACTGGACTTCCACAGTAGGAATTTGCTCTTGGAGACTTTTTTTGAATTTAATAGTAGCAGGCAATGCGAATTCCAATAATTTTTGTAGGTGGGTTCTTAATTCATTGTTAATAACTTCATCGTTTTCAAATGTTGTATGGAGCCACGTCATAACATATGGTCTCCAGCCTAAATCTTCAGGTGACAAATAAACCATCCCACATCTAGAAACTGTTGCAGGTGAAGCTACAGCCAAATCTTGGACCTCAAATAAAATTCTCATCTGCGACCTCAACTTGATTCTTTCACCATTGGCTAAACAAAGCATCATATTATCATCAAGAACAGTATTCATGTTTTCAATCCACAGCGAGTCCACTGGCCCATCAAATATGACCCATTTTCTTTCTTCAGTTTTATCTGCGGCTGCAACTCTCATGATCCTCGATGCTAGCCCATCTCTCCAGTCTTGCGTTAAAGAGTTTACTTCTCCATACAATTCTCCCATAGTGATACATTTAGGATTCATTACGTTCATTTCAACCTTTTGGAACCTGGGATCTTTGGACTTTTTCTCATATAAAGTAGTAAGACTTTTACTGAGAACCTCTAGACATGTGGATTTCCCACTGCCAGTTGGCCCGACTAACATTACTCCGAATCTTACACATAAGGTATCGAATAGCTGCATAACTTTTTTTTCGAATTGCTTTACTTTTTGGAGTCTGAGGGCTACGATTGTATCAGTAATTTGCTTGTCTAATTCGCCGTAAGGTGGCTCACCTATTTCGATTTCTGGGAAGAGATCTTTAACTAAGGCTTCAAATAAGGGAATATCGTGTGATAAAAATTTAGGGATGTTGGAATCTCGCATAGCGCGAATTAGCACAAGGTCTTCACTAAGAAGAGGATTGGATCTTTTTAGTTCTCCAGCCATAACCAAGACACTTTTCACAGCTCTCATACCAAAATCATAATGGTCTTGTTGGGAAAGCTGCTCTGAGGCAAGCTTATAGAGTTGAACCATTTTTTTACTCACTCCCCTTTAAATTGAAACCAAAAATTTTGTTTCCTGTATAAAGGGAGGTTAATTTAAATAGAGAATTTAATTATTTTTTTCTTCCAATTAAAAGGCGAAGTCAAAGGCTTGGCATTGGAAAATCCTTCAGCGAAGAGCATAATTTCAGCAATCATGGCATAGTCAGGGATCATCATAGCAACTGGTCTGAAACAGACTTTTAAGTTGTCAGGCAGCTCAGTTCTTCCAGCATATCCAGGATTCATAGTAATGAAAACTCCACATGTGGTTTTCAACGGTATCATAGAGTCTTCAAACAGGAACTCAGCAACTCCCTCTCTCAGTGCATTTTGAATTGTGAGTAGCTGCTGAGCAATAACAGAAAGCACTTCTATATCAATACGGTTGAACTCATCCAAACAGCTCCACGCGCCTTGCTGCGCTAATCCTGAAAAAAGTCTCCCCATCATTTTATAAGTGATTTGCTCAGAGCAGTTAAAGACAACACACTGCATTCCTATTGCCTTTGCAAGATCCTTTGTAGACTCTGTTTTGCCTGTTCCTGCAGGCCCAGCTGGAGACGCTCCTAGTTTTATATTAAGTGCTGAAGTAATAGTGATCCAGCATCTGTCAGTCAATGGTGTAATAACAAGCCTAGATGTAGCTCCCATATATTCGTAGCCATAATACAGCAGAGCATTGATTTGTCTTATAATGACAATATCGCTCTCCTTTTCCCAATAATATCTTAGCTGTTGCTGCCATAAAAAATCATTGATAGACTCAACTCCTTCGCCTTTAAGTATGTCTATAATATCTCTGCCATGGACATCTGTAGTGATTAATGAAACTATGACTTTTCTTTGGAGAGGAGTCAGAGAGCCACGGACAAGCTCGACCAGCTGTTCTAATTGAGTTGTGTTGAGGTTAAACCAATCTTCAAGAGACGAAGGAGTATCAGTAACAGCTTCTATGGCAGATTCTGTTTCTGAGCATCAATTGATTTGGACAACAGTTGCAATTACTTGGCCTGGATGCTTTAAAACCCATTCTTTTCTTTCCTGGCCTTCCAAGTCATCTCTTCCAATTGCCATAGCTTTCATGAGGACATCAATCATAGCAGCCTGCACGTTACTAAGCCATTCTTCAACCATGCCTCTTGCTTTGAGAACTTTGCCAGCGAAGTACACTTTTTCCCCTTCATGTGATTCCATCGCAAAAATATCAACTGATTTAGGCTCACTGCCGAAGTCTAGAGCATTTATATTATCAAAGCATTTTTTCAAATGCGGCTGCACCTTGTGAGGGTCATGAGCATTTGCAAGAATATGCAATAGTTCATCATCTGATAAGAAATAAAACCTTGGGAAGCTTCGTCGCTTGGTTTCAAGATACTTATTGAGCTGTCTTTGAACTTGGTCTAGCGTTGCATTGTGGCGTTTGAGTTCTGTTAATAAGCCAGCTACTCCTACAGTTGCCCTAAGTGCTTGGTTTCTTTGTGCAGTCTTTTTCATGAGGTTTCTGAAGAACTTATCAACTCCTTCAAACATAGCTGACTCTTGATGCAGATGCCTTTTAATATCCCCAGAGCTGAAAATGTTTTCCAAATACATCCAGCTTTTTTGGCAGGTAATCCATTCTTCCATTATATCCTGCATAGTGTTTAAATCGTCTTTCCATTTATTTACGTCTTCTCTGATGACAGCCACATATCTGTTCCCGGCAATCATACTCAGCTTAGCACAAGAGTCATCCAAGCTGCTCAACATTTCTTCAATGTCTCCTAAGATCCAAATATCTCTATGCTCTTTATAAGTCTGCACTGGGAGCTCTTGTTCTTGCCAGATAGCTTTAACGTCGTCTAGTTGTATCTTAAGCTGCCCTTCTTGTGCAGCTTGGGTTGCAATTTGCTGGATTTCAGTTTGCTTGCTAACAACGTCTAACCTCATAAGATCTCCTAAGGTGAACTCATCATTAATTTCAAAGTCCTTCCCTATGATTTCTTTTATTTGTTTCCAATGAGATTCTTCCAGTGGAGATCTCATTGCTTCGACAACTGGCATGGTCTCTCTGAAATCATATACAAGCTCTTTAAACTCTTTGATGACTGTGCTCTCTGGTAAGGAGTTTTCGCACCTTGAGACAATTTTGCTGAACTCTTCTGACTTTTCTCTGATGAATTTGGCATTGATAAGCTTAAATGGAGTTGTTGTCCACTCTCCCTGGAGCTTTCTCCAGTCTCTCAGTCCTCTCCACAAAGCCACTCTTAAGTCAAGCTGCTCTCTGACTGTCTCGATCTGTTCGAACTTGACTATTTGCAAATCAAGGATCCTTTGGAAACTATTAATTCTGTCTCCTAAATTTTCCAATTGTTCACATTTAACTAAGTACTCTTCTAACTCTCTAATTGCAAATGCTGCTACAGTGTCTTTTTTCAGATATTTTTCATCTGTCACCTTCAAGTCTAGGGTTTTAACTTCTTCCAAATAGTCAGGGACCATTAAATTTACATCTTTTCTAAATGTAAGGATATATTTATCCACGTTGCTTTCAGCAAAAATGATGTTATTCGTCAAGGTATTCAATAAATGGTAAATATCTGAAAAGGCATCAGAGTCTTCTTTCGGGATCTCCAAGTCAATTTCTTTTGCAAGTTTAAAAAGCTCAGAAATGGTTTGCAAGTATTGCTTTTTCTCGTTCATTTTGCCATTAATAGTAGATAAAGCGTTCCTTTGGACCACAAACTCATCTACACTTGAGACCTTCATAGGAAGCATGCGAATTGATGAGACTATCCATTCACGGATTTTTATAGTTCGCTCTTTCAAAAGGCGGGGGAGGAGCTCTGTGAAATAGTCTATAAATGATTTTGGAGATGACAATAATTTAGATTTGGCTTCTGTGCAGTCAAGCTTAATAAGTTGGGTGGATACAATAGATGGGACTAAGTTAAAAGTTTTAAGCTGGTGTCTAAATTTGGTGAAAACATATAGAAAAGCATCATATTGGTTTTTTAATCTTTCATTGCTGAATATTTCTGTATTAATCAGTGAATTTTCCCAAATAGCATGTATAGGGTAATGTAATGGCTTTATCAGTTCTGATATTTGACTATAAGCTCTGGCTAAAATATCTTGCAAGCCTTCTTGTATCATACTGAACAAAGGATGATCACTCAGCCATGATCTGGGATCTAAAAACAGTTCCTGCGCAACTTCCCAGTTTTCAGCTACTTTATCATCCCATTCTTCAAGTGCTGTAGCAAAGTCTTCAAGTTCTGGATGTCTGCTCCATCTTTCTATAACAAGAATATTTTCCAGCCCATCAGAAATAATTTCTACCATACTTTCTACCATCTCATCCATTTCAGGGCTCAATTTAGCATAAAAATCAAGGATTCTTGGGACTATGCATTTAACTCCAACAACTTCATCCCCTCTAAGCTTTATGGGTGAGTCAGAATCAGCGTTTTCAGATACCAATGAAAGATGCAAATTTGGGTTAAAATCGTCAGGCTCACTATTTCCTTGTGGTGGCGGGACAAATTCGAATACTTCAACTCTATCTTTTTCTGACTCTGGGACTGTGCTTTCAGAAATTTCAAGCTGCACTGAGAATAGTGGGTTGTTGTGCTTCAATCTTTTTACTTTGAAATCTTGGTTTTGATGCATTTTTACAAGATCTGAGATTCTGTCAACTAGTTCTTCGGTTGACCAGACATAAATGTGAGTTAGACTTTCTAGCACATAAAAGTCAGCGAGATATGAAAATCGGATAAAACGTGAACATTCTCTTCTTAAGAGAGACCTTTGCCCAAAACTCATATTTTCGGGAAAACCCATTTTTTCATATAATGCACATATGTGACGACTTGGAGGAATTAAGTTTCCTGGGCCTCCTCTGACGTAATTTTTTTCACTAGCAATATCACTAACAATTTTTTCTCTCAATTCGTCCATAATTTGTCTGATGTGGCTGTTAATATTATCCCTCAAGCTTGCTGCAAACTGTTCAAGCTTCCCTTTAACTTCATCTTGCCTTTTTTCTTGCATTTCGTGAAAAGCGTCAAGGCTCATCCCTTCACTTGCAGATGGTAAATCAATAAATCTTAATCTTTCAATATCACTACATATAGACCTATGCTGCGTAAGCAACTCACTGTACACTTTGTCAACCCAGAATAATTTTTCTTCAAGCATCTTTGTCCTTTTTCCTTTTCTATATCTATTAACATTTCTTTTCCACATGATGCAAGTCTTCCAAATCCTGAATTTTCTAAAGAAAGGAATAGACCTAAGTTGATTAAACGCTTCTCTCTCCACGAGCCAGTCTGAAAGTTTGGTGAATTCTACAGGAGAGCCTTCGATAAACACAGAAACTCCACTTTTGGAAACTGTATAATAGAAATCAATACTTTGAGGTGATATTATTGATTTTAAGTGATAAGGATTGTGCGGCTCTTCTTGCATACAATATAAGAAATTCCCATCTTGAGGTTCTTCTTGCAAGCTTTTAATAAATAAATCTACATCATTTAGGTCAATTTTGCCAATTGTTTCTTGATAAGGAGGGAAATTTTCGTCTTTAGGCTCATCATTGAAAAATGAAGGCTGCTGCTTGGCGAAGCTTTTTCTGGGAGTCTTAACCCCTTTCATTTGCTGCACAAGACTCATTGCTCTGAAACTTTCGTCTACTGAAAAGTTTTTGAATGAGCCAGGATTTCTAATGTAGGATCGTGAATTTTGTGTTGTGACTGGCCTGGATTTTGAAGCATTTGATATATCTAAATCCATGTTCTTGAGAACATACTGCTTTTTGGATGCAGTACTAGGACGTAGCTTTCCGGCTCCAATGTACCCGGATGTCGATACGCGGCTTGGAAGATCTCTTAAGATTGAGTTTTCTGTTGTCGGTGGGCGTTGCTGAAAAAAGACTACGCTGGGAGATTTAGGTTCTGTAACAAGTAAGATCTCTTTGGGCTTCTTTATTAAACTAAATGAAGCATTTTGCATTTTTGGCCGCTTAACTGAAGGAAGGGGTACTGGGCTGATTCCGCGGTCAATAAGTCTGTTTCTAAGATCTTGAGCTTTTTTAGGATCTACTGCAATTGAGATGGGCTTCCTCGTAACTGATTGAGACTTTGAAGCTGGTGGCCTCATATTTAAATTGTAATAATTAAGAAACTGGAGGATTTTTTTGCTATTTGAAACATACAAAATTATGAGTGAAGCCCTAAATAAAAACTCATAAAAGGAATTTTAAATTAAACACTAGAGGCTTCAAATATTTATAATTTTCTTACTCCCTCCCTTTTAAATTGGAGCAAAATATAGATAAAATTTTCGTTTTTTGGGTGAATTACCACAATTTTTTTCAATTAAGAATTTTATATATGAAATAATAATTTATAAAATAGTTTTGACTAATTTAATGGAAAAAGTGGCGGTAAACATATTATTTAAACAGCTTTTGCATTGAATTGATTAATTTTTTATTAATTAATAAAATAATTTATTTTAATTTTTTCCCCTTTAAAAATGAAGAGGATTTTTGCTCCAATTTAAGTGATTGGATTAGAAAATATTAAAACATTATTCATCTTGAGGAAATTTTGTGATGTTTCAAAAGTCATTTTTATCAATTATACTAAAAATCCTACTCTACTCAGATGCTCTTCCAGCAATAATTTTTCCGTATCTCCATAATGCCCAGAATGCCCGCATGCTAATGGAATTAAATATCCAGCTTTAGAATAATCATAAAAACTTCTTGCTGTCGCAGTTGTTGTAATAAGAACATCAGTTGAGATTTGGCTTAAATTTTTTGTGTGGCTTGGATGATTTGACTCTAAATAATCAAGAATTTTATATAGCAGTTTTTCCAGTGTTTTAATTTTTGTGCAAATTGTTATTAAGCGTTGGCATAATTTTGAGAGGGTTTCCATACATCGGGACATTTCCCATATGTGGAACCCAAATCTGACAATTAAAGCCATTCAAAAGTGTGGAAACTCCACATGTAGGATTAAAGTTACAAATATGGGAAAATATTCCGATGTATGGAGACCCTCACAAAATTATGCCAGCGCATAATACTATTATAGGATTTGATATAATTTCATATTCCACATAAATGGTTTCCAGCTCATCAACAGTGTTTTTTATTTTCTGGATAGTCCTAGCTCTGTGACCATTTATTTCAGGAATTAAAGGTAAAAAGCTTCCCCATATTTCAAATACAATTAGCCACAAGCTCAAGGAAATGTCTTTGCTTTTATCAAAAGTAATACTGGTGATTGGTTTTCCACCTGCATCTAGAACTTCTAAAACTGCAAAGAGCTTTTCTAAGACATAAGAAACAACATCATCTTCAATGAAATCTGACTCTTTTACCATTAAATGATAAATACTATTTGTTGTCATATTCAAAGAATTTTGTGTATTCGGATCATTTTTAAGGTATTTTAATGCCAAATCTGCAAATATTTCAATATGTGAGAGCAACTCTTGCCTATCATCTTGGCTCAAAATCGAATCATAAGTGGTTATTGAAAATTCCTATGAATTGCCCTATAAGGTAAGCAATTCTCAAATTGATGGCTTAAGTCAAGTTGGTAAAACCAACTGGTAAGAGGCTCTTTTGTCACTCTCCAATTGCTTACCCTCACAAGGCAATTTATAGCAATTCCCTATATATCAAGCGGGGTTTGGTAGTTTTGCAGAGAGCCTTTAATAAATTCTATAGCGATTCCTGTTTTCAATGATGCAAGATCCCGTATAGTTGCATCTTGATAATCAACTGATAAAACTTTATAGCATTCACTGCTTAAAAAATCCAAACTTACATCAACTCTTCATCTTCCTATATATTTATAAATAAAGCTTGCGACTTTTCCAAAGCTATGTAATGCCATGTCATTTAATGAGGAAAAGCATCGATCAAGAAAAACAAAGTCTACAGTTGCTTTATTGGCTAAATGAGCTGCAATACACCCTCCAAAACTTTCTCCATGAATGCCAATTTTTTGAACTTTTCTTATTCGTTTTAAATAATCTAAGATAATCTCCCCGTCCTTTTTGAGTCTATCAGGATTAGGTCTGCCTTTTGTTCTTCCATAGCCTCTATAATTCCATAAAAATACGTTAATTCCAGAATTTATGTAAAACTCAACCCACTCACTTTGATAATACGAAAACTCATAGAGTCCAGCATTAGGGCTGCACATAAGCATTGTTGGGGCATTTGATAAATCAGCTGTCGAGGAAACTCATAGGCAATCTATATTTATCCCGTCATCAGCAGTAACTCATATTTGTTGAGAATGGTATCGAGCTTCCAGTTCTAGTCTCATTTGATCAATAGTCCCAAAAGTATATTCTCATAAAAACGCCTTAGCTTTTTTAATAATATTTGTATTTTGGCATATAGTTTGAAGGAAGTTCTCTATGCTTATGCAAACTTCCAAAGCAGACTTAGCTGAAGCATTTGTAGGAAAATCATCAAAAACAACTCCAAGTCAATCAGATTCACTCTCAATTCTATCAATTCAATCCCAAAGTGAGCATTCATCTTTATTTCCAACAATAATCTTGATTTCCTGCAATGCTAGTTGCAAATTGGTCAATAAATTGAGCAAAACCCCTTGTTTCTGATTTAATGTTTGGTTCTCTTTTTGCAAGTTAAAGCCATAAATAACCGTAGACAACATCATTTTTGCATAGCTAGCAGTTTCTATTGAGTTTGGTAGAAAATCTCTTTTGTCTATCTCATTGCACTCTTCTAATAATATTTCGAGCGCTATATGAAAATCCTGAATACGCTGAAGAAGCTGCATTGAGACTTCTGCGCAAAAATGAGTTTCTATTGAGCGTCTCCAAAACCATGTAGAGCCTGGAAATACTGAAAGCCGTATTGCGAGATGGAGCAAGTAGTAAAGTAATAAGATAAAGAGTAGTAATGAAATTGGCCATGAAAGCAAAGAGGCAATCAGGCTGAAAATGTAATAAACCAGTGTGAGGAGTAAGGCTGAAAGAAAAATTGCTAGAGACAGAAGTATCAGAAACTTCTTTTTGTTCTGGGTTATCATATTTAGCATATCTATTATTTTAAATTGCTTGCTGATGATAATTTTGAGAAATCATTTTTTAATTAATAATCAGCTATGTCTATTCGCACTTGAAATATTTTATCTGCTTTGATGATCATTCTTTTTTATTAATTATTAATTCTAAACATTCACGACAGCTATCAATCTATTAGTATTATAATCTATTAAGTCGCTCTATATAAACTTTATCATCGCTGCATTTACTGCTTATTAATTATAAAAGCGTAATATTCTTGCGGCCATAGCTAAAATAAAATATTTTAAAATTTTTACATGTAAAGCAATTTCAATACTCATAAAATTCTGCTATTGATGGAATACTTGTCACTAAAATAAATATTTTTTTAGTATTAAAAATATTTTTCTACTTATCATAATAAATCTATATCTAACTAAAACTTTACTTTTCAAAATTTATCTATTTTACTTGCATAAGATTGTCGAAACAATTTCATAAGCAGCCATTTTTAAATTCAAATGAGCCGCATAAGGCCTAGATCTGACACTCTGCGACCTCAAATCACAAGATCAAGGACTGGCAGCTTTTCGGCTCTCCAAAATTCTCAAATAAACATATCATCCGAAACAGCTCGGAATTCTTCAGTTGACCACAAAGAAGCATTTTCCTCAAACTTATTGTCTAATCTTCTCAAGCTGAACCAGCGCAGCTCCAGCGTATTCAAAGAAAATATCAAACATTCTGATCAGCCTACTCCAAAGGAATCATTTCTTGCTAAAAAAGAGCGGTTGAAACGCCCACTTCGCACCTTACTGGCTCCGAGTCTTCCTAGACCAAATATCTATATTGCTCCCGTTCAGAACAGTTTCTATGAGTATCTTGATAAGATGGAACCTCTCCTCCATGATATGGATGAAATGAAAAGGCATATTTCAATACCCCACAATTTTTTCTAGCCTCTAACAAAGAATTAATCTTTAATGACCTGTAATATTACCTTGTTCCTCACAATTTATAGCTCAATTAATCCTTTCTAACTAAATTTATTCCAAAAGAGTGGTTAATAATGGTTAAAAAACAGGGCAAGAAGAGTGCTTCAGCCTCAAAAGAACCAACTAACCCACTATACGCTAAGAAAGAACGTAATCTTAGGATCGGTGGCAGCATCCAGCCAAAACGTGACCTTTATCACTACCTCCGCTGGCCTGAATACATCCAACTTCAAAGAAAGAGAAGCGTTCTTCTATCCCGTCTCAAGGTCCCACCACCAATTAACCAATTCCGATCCACTTTTGACAAAGCCCAAGCCATGGCTCTTTTCAGACTCCTTGCCAAATACAGACCAGAGTCCCGTGCAGAGAAAAAGAAGAGACTTGAAGCAGAAGCAAAGGGTGAAGGACAAAAACCTAACTCTTCATCGACGTGAGCAAGCTAAACCATTAAAAAATACTTTTCTAGAAATTAATCCTTCAGAGAGAGCACAATATTTTTTATATCATACTTAAATCAATGAATATATACATATTTTTTATAATTATCCTGGCTATAGATAATTCCTGGGGATAGCGCGGAATACGCTATCCCCAGGACCAACCGGGATCGGATTCACACATGGAACGGGAGTTCCATGTGTGGATCCATTTTTTACATGTGAGATATTTACTTTCACGTGTGAAAAATGGATCCACACATGGAACCCTCGTTCCATGTGGGATCCGATCCCGGTTGGTCCTGGGGATAGCGTATTCCGCGCTATCCCCAGGAATTTTCTATATCATTTTTAGGGTGATAATTATTATAACACATAAAAATGTGTAGAGAGCAAAACTGTCCTCTTGACAATGTGCAGCCAGGCAAGAGTCTGAGGGTCTTGTGGAAGGAGAGAGCAGCACGAGGCGAGAGTGGTCAGCCCGGTTTTTACCGGTCTGATGGAACGCAATGTCGGGCTTATCGACCGCAGGCTCTCATCCAGTGCAGGTTTTACCTCAAGCGACAATGAAATTTTGGAAGTTGGAAAGGGATAGCTCAGCATGGCGAGAGGGAGTTCGCTTGACTAATTGAGCAGTTTTCCTAGGAGCTGCACCCTGGGCTACAATTTTCATTCGAGCCGATAGCCTTACCACTCTGTAATAAACTAAGTTAAGTTAAGATAATTATTGTACTGAAATCTCTAGATATTTTTTAAATTTTAAGCAATTTGTATTAAGACATAATTCCATAAGTCGACATATTTCGGATTTTTTAAATTAATTACAAAATTAAATTTATATAAAGGATTTTAAAAAATTAACCTTCCTTGAGCAAAAATTTGGCTCTCTTATGAAGGAAAGAAGTAAGCCATTCTTGTTGAAATATGGCCTAAATCAAATCACCAGCTTAGTAGAAAGCAAGAAAGCCAAGCTTGTAGTGATTGCTCATGACGTTGATCCTATTGAACTAGTCCTGTGGCTTCCTCAGCTCTGCAGAACTATGGATGTCCCATATTGTATTGTAAAAGGAAAGTCAAGACTAGGAACTCTGACCCACAAAAAAACATGCACAGCTGTCGCTCTTACTGAGGTAAGAAAAGAAGATGTCCATGATTTAGAACTCATCACAAAAAACGCTAGGTCTCTTTTCAATGAAAATCCTGATGTTGCTAAATGGGGTGGTGGTATTCTTGGTGTCAAATCTCAACAAAGAATTGAAAGAAAAGAAAAACTGATAGCCCAAGAAGCTGCTAAAAAAGCTGGTCTATAACTAACTAGATCCTTTTAACCTAGAAATAATTATGGAATTAATTATAAGAGCTGCCAATTTTTCAGCAAAAAATGCAGTGTTCTGTAGGCAAAGGACTTTTACGTATGGAGATTTGCTGGCACATGCAGAATTAGTTCGCAATAAGCTGCTATCGCTAAGCGCTTATATGAAAGGGAAAAGAGTTGTGGTACTAACACCGCATAGCTATGAGTATTTGCCTTGCCAATGGGGGATTTGAAAAGCTGGAGGTGTAGTAGTACCGATAAATATAAAGCAGCCACCTTTAGAATGAAAGCATATCATAGAGGACTGTCGACCAACTTTTATATTGTGCCATGGAAGCTTGTTGTCCAGACTTGAGACTGTAATTGAGAAAAATGGAGTAAAAATTATCCCTGTAGGGGATTTTCAGACTTTGGAAGAGAAAATTGAAATAAAGGACGTGAATATGGACAACGAAACCGATGCTATGATTTTATATACCGCTGGGATAACAGGAAAGCCAAAAGGAGCTGTGCATACACACAGAAGTCTCACCTTCCAAGTAAAAACTCTATCAAATAATTGGGGATGAAACGAGAATGATAATTGCATAGAGCTTATGCCATTATATCATTATCATGGCGTTAGCAGCTTATTGAGTGCTTTGTGGGCAGGAGCTAGCGTTACATTTCATTATAATTTTGATGTATGGAATTTATGGCAAGATATTAAAAAAGAAACCAATCTGACTGTTTTAAGTGCTCCAACTTCAGTCTATACAAAGCTGCTTTATAACTGGAATTACATGTATAAAACTGATAAACAAGAAATTATTGATAGCTGCAGAAGATTCAGGTTAATGATCACAGGGAGCTGTGGAATGCCGGAAACGATGTCTAATTATTGGGAAGAAGCAACCAAGCATGCCTTAATTAATCAAAAAATAAAACGGTGATGTCGACGGCAGATGGACTCCGAGATAAACTCTCTATGGAGCAGTTAGGATCTGTCCTGATGAAGCTGAAAATAATGCCTCTGTTACTTTTTGAAATAGGCCTTCAAGTTTGGGGACGGCTGCCGAAAAGGGAAGTTTTTTCTCCCTAAGGTTTTTCCTTCCCTACCAGATGGGCTCGGCAGGTTTTGCCTCCCACTTAGTCTTGGTGATCAGGATTTGACCGGACTTCTGCAAGAGATGACTCTAACCTAAGGAGCTAATTCTTAGGTTGGGTGGGCTTACACCAGATAGGCAGGCTAGTGGTTTATCCACTTATGGCTTATAACACTTAACTTAGCTTAATCAATCAATATGGGACAGCAGAAACGGGGATGGTTCTGAGCAATTTAGCAAATGAGACTCAGACTCCTGGATGCGTGGGAAAGCCTCTTACGCAAATAGAAACAGAAATTTATAGAAATGAGCTCAAAGTAAAGACTCCTGGAATGTTTAAAGAATATTTTAATAACCCAGAATCAACTAAGCAAGCTTTCGACAATGATGGATGGTTCAAGACTGGAGACTTGGCTGAGATTGATCCAAGATTAGGAAATTATAGGATTACTGGAAAATTAAATTCAGATGCAATCAGATTTTCAGGATATACAATTTCTGCTAGAGAAATAGAAACCGAATTAAAAGGCTTTCCAGGCATAGAAGATGTTGCAGCTGTCGGAGTTCCCAGCTATGAACATGGAGAAATCATAGGAGTTGCTATCAAAAGCCAAAAGAAAATTACATTAAAAGATGTCCAAATCTGATGTAAAACCAGAATGGCGAGCTACAAATTGCCAAGGGTTTTGCAGCAGCTTGATCAATTTCCGCTTCACTCAAGTGGAAAAATTAACAAAAATGAATTAGTGAATTTATTCAGACAATAGAAAATTACACACAAGCACAATAAAAGGTAATTAATTCTAATTAAGATAATCCTAAAGTTTATGGTTATTAGTAATCATTCTCAATTAGTAATAAATTTAAAATAACGAAAATAAATAATTCGTTATGTAAATTAAACTTAAATCGTTTTATTATTTAGTACCTCCTTCTAACTGTACTAGTTTCTCTGCAAACGATTCCCAAGCCTGCTTTAATCTCCAAGCTGTCGAAGTTTCCTTTTTCGCATACTCAGCCAGCTGCTTAACTGTCCTCATTGAGGAATACGGTAAAAATCATAGCGTTTCCTCTTGCAATTTATAATTATAGAATGCATACATATCCTTGATTTTTTCTACGCGTTTGGTTTCTTGAGTGAGCATTTTCTGAAAAGCTAACTCTTTATTTTCTTGTAACGCTGATATGTCAATGCTTAGGTCTTTTACTTCGATTTCCCATTTATTCACATCGCCTTGTGCCCAAAGTTTATCTTTCCTAGCAACTAATTTCTTTTCAGCTTTAATGTAATTTTGAAACCAATTTTCCCTTTCTTTAATTAAATCCTTTAGAGGTGTGACTTCATTATAGGCATATTTAAAAAATGTGCTCATGTACTCCTTTACAGTTTTTATCCGCTCTAAATCACTTCTAGCTCAGGAGCCTAAAACTTGGTGAAATTCTCTAAAGGTATTAGAACTCATTTGGTTATTTGGCAGCATATCTTGAAGCCTTTCTAAGTCTTTTACTGATTCTGCAAGTCTCATAATTACTGCTGATGTGGCTTTTAACTGCTCTTCGACTTTGTTGGACTGCCTTTTTATGCTTTTTTGGATATTTTGAGCTGAATTTAAGTATTCGCTTATTCCTCCTTTAATAGCGAGATTTTTGCTTCGTTTAGAAAAAATTTTTTCTGATTTCGAAATGCTAATTTAAATTTAAAGATCATTTTAAGGAATACAAGCTTTCTTAAATTTAATAGAATCTCGTTAAACAATTATTTTTTATATCTTATTATATTAAAAATTTTTTGGCTCATTTTTCCCAATTAAGAATAATTCGCAATAGTTTTTGCTTGCTCTTAAAGGAGGAGAGTTAGATTTTTCACATATTCGTGAGAGTCAGATCCATCACAATATGCAAGGCCATCAGGAGTAGCCATGAAATTAACTTCTTCTGGCTTCTTCGCCTTTAATGCTTGCCTTTTGAAGCTCTCAAATTCTTCATCATCATCTTCTTTAAGAAATTCCATAAGAAAAGGTGATCGCTTTAGGAGAGGATGAGATATAGTTGAATGCATAAACCGTTGCAAAAACCGCTGGTGCTTCAAAACAGTATCATCTGAGTTTTTTCCCAGCAGTTTTTTAGGGAGAGGTGGAGGGACATAAACTGCAGGATAAACCGTTATTAATATATTCCTTAACAACAAAAAGTCATTAAGATGCCTTTTTACGACCCATCCTAGAGGTATTGTTGAAACTGTATAAGTGATAACATTGTTATTTTTTTCAGGGCTAAATAGATCTTACTCTGATATGATCACTTCGCAGGTTTTCATAGAAAGCTCGTTATCAGCAAGCCATATTGACTCAACTTTATAAACATCTGTATAAAGTGCTGGGACTTGCTCTTTTTGTGGCTCTTTTTTCGGTGTAGTTTCTACATGGATTTGTATAGGATTTTTTTCTTCATCTGATGACTCTGGAGAGCTTTTTGGGCTTTGTGCTCGGTTTAGCCTTTTTTGAAATTCCTCTTCAAGCTGCTTTGACTTATTAGGAAGTGTTGCACTGCGATTGTGCTTAATATCATCCTCTTCAGATTCTTCTTTGGGCACATTAAAAATGGGCTCTATAAAGCTTGGCCGATTTTCTTCTAAAATCTCATCTTTGATTTCAAGATTTATGACAGGTTTTTCATTTTTTATTTGAACGTCACTCGGAGTATCCTTTGGCACATCTCCGATTCTCCTGATTGATTCCCTCACCATGGGAGCTGTTGGGAGTTCTTCATACTTTCCAGATTCCAATCCTCCGATTTCAATAGAAAGGTTTTCTTTTTCATCAGAGCTAGATCCTGAGTCTTAGTCTTAGTTATTTATATCGTTTAAGGTCCACTACGGGGTAGCCTTGTCCAGAGCTACCACCATATTTATCCATGCGTCGGGCCCATGGACCTCTGCATCGATCCACTAATTTCGCCAGGGTACGCAACAAATACAACGTTCCGACTTCGACGGGTTGGGTTGCCTCACTTGTTCCTTGACTCAGCCCCTGCGCGTGTTCCGCCTAAGGGTCACCTTCCTCGGGTGTGCTGAGAGGTAAAACTCGAGCCTCTTGATGTACTTGGAGCAGTGCCTGGGCTTATCCGCCAGAGTTAAACCGCTGTTGCTGTACAGAAGTTCTCAGAAGTACCTAACCCCATAAGTGAAATTCCATGAGGGAGGGAAAATTAGCGGAGCTAATTTCGCTCGAGCCGAATGCCATTTTATTTATGCTAGATCCTGAGTCATCTGAGCTTGAAAAATTTTTGATGGAGGCTAAATAAGTTTCAAGCAAGATAAGGTAGTTTACTTTGAATTCTTGCATCAACTCATCTAGCTCACTCATAGTCCATTGTGATAAATCTGAACTTTTTTGAGACTGCATATAATTTTGAAATACATCTGAAGAGTAATTTCTTTTATTAAGTTCGGTTTTAATAAATTCAAGCTTTTGCTCATTTGTTTCATGAGATGTGGGTTTGGATGATGACTCTAAAGAAGGGGTTGAGGTAATAATTTGTTCATTTTTTGCTGAGGCTTGTGTAAAATCTGATGGGGACTCAGCTTTTGGGTTATCTTTTGGAGATGGGTCGCTGATATCACTCAAGCTAGAACTAGAATTTTTATGCTCCATTTTATTCTGAAAGTCGCTTTTTAAAATTCGATTGCTTATTGAAAATAAATAAGTAGAAATAAAAAAGGAAATTATAAAATGTATTTAGAAATTATTATTTGCACTTTGTAATAAGCTACGCTCCCCACTTCAAACATTGCCAACAAGTTAGCCCCTAAAATTGAAAGCGAATATTCCTCTAGTCGCTTGAAATGATCATGCTTTTGTGGATTTTTTATATCGTTAAATATTTTAATAAAGCAACAGATCCTATAATAATTTGGATATCATTAGGGGTCATTTTTTAAAACATCACGATCTTATTTATGATTTCCAAAGATATAAGGTATAAACTCGAAATCAAATATGCTGCAACTGGCAATACATTTTCGTTTCATATATAGTTATTTTGAAAATCTTAATAAAAGATGATAAATCTTTTCTGGTTTTTATTTGTCTTTTATGAATTTAAAGCAAAAACGAAAGTTTATGGATTATATAATAATCTTACCAGTAAGCTTAAGTTCTATAGTGATCTGCTAACTCCCCCCCCCCCTCCGTGAGCGAACAAAAAAATTTTGTTCACTCACGGAGGGGGGTTTAATTTTTTTTTTAAAAAAAATTTATATATAAATTTTATAAAAAATATTTTTTTCGAAATTTAAAAAAATCCTAATTTGCAAAAATTGGGAAGCAAATATTAATTTAATTTGCAAAATTTATGTTTTAAAACGCAATTTGTTTAAAATTAAACAGAATTAGCTCTAGATTTCATTATACTAATTATCACTTATATATCAAAATTTTTTTCCATTAAAATTTTTTCTATTAAAAAAATTTTTGTTCGCTCACGGAGGGTGGGTTTTTGGTCAAAAAATGGTGATTTTTCTAATGGTTTTGTTCGCTCACGGAGGGGGGGGGGGGGGGAGTAAGAAGCAAGAGCATTATTAAAATTTTATCAACTTATAAATATCAATTCTTATAATCATTTTTTGATTCAGGAAAAACTTATCGTCATTAATCTGACAATGTAGATAAGAATTAAATCATCACTTTATAGAAATAGATCAGTATAAGGAATCATTACTGTGCAGTAGAGGGAGCCCTTACATCTTCATCATTTTGCCAAATAAATATTATAAGCCTCATATTTAATCCAATATGGAATTTTATCAATTTCAATTAGAAATATAGCTCATATATGTCTAAGTTTATATTAAGTATGCGGACTGCAAAATAAAGAATCTATGATTACAGTCTTAAAATCTAGTTCAATTAAAATTTACATATTTTTATAAAAATTGGTTGCAAATTTATAACTCAAATGAAATTGCAGCTCAAACAGAATGAATCAGTGGGATGGGAAATAATTTATTTTACTTATTTTTAGGTAGACTTTGGAGATGTGAAAAATGGCCCTACTCCACCTAATTTGATGCAATTTACATTGTGCTCTGTAAACTCTCCTGATTTTTTATAAAATGCTCTTGGATTAGCTTTAAGAGTGTCTTGGTATGCAGTATCAAGCCGTTTATTATTAAGCTTGCAAAGGTCTATGTACTCACAAAATACTCCTTGTCTATGAGAATTAGCAGTTGGAGTCCGAGCTGGAACTGAGGCAAGTGTAATAGGATTATAATCGCTATATTGATAATTTATCATTGATGTCTTTTTTATAGCTGGATCCCATCCTTCCATGGATTCCTTATTCGGATAAAAAGGCCTTTGGGTTGGTAAAGAAATTTTACTGTCGCTTCTTGTTGTATTTGAAGCTAAGCTTGAATATGAGCTTGTTCTTGCGATATTTGCATTATAAATTCCTGAATTAGTGTAATATTTTCCTACTTTTCATGATTTATTATCATTAGGGCCTTTTGAGAACTGAAAGATTCTTCGTTGAGAACGAGAAGAAATACTGAATTTTTGGTTGTGCAGGGAGTTAATGCGTTCAAGGTTTGGAAGAGAATTTGAATTTTTTATTTGGTCTTGGTTTTTTTTTAAATTTATCGGACTTGCTATATGAGCTTGAATAGATTTTGAGGACATTTTAATTTATAATGTAGGACAAATTAATTTTTAAAAAATAAGCTTTTTCATGATTTCTAATCTTATCCTCTAATATTATGAGAATGGTATCTTTAGTCTAAATATCTAGGCTTCAAAGAAGTCCACATTTAAAATAGCAAAATTAATTATTTTATTTTTCATTAAAATGAATATGTGCTAATTCTTTCACTCTCACCTTGCACTCCCTCATCTTCACCATATCCAAAGTATTTATAGGACTTTCCCTTGAATAGCCCGATAACGGGATGAAGCCAGCCCGTTATCGGGCTATTCAAGGGAAAGCCCTATAGAGAAAGTATTTCTACGATTTCATTATAAAGTCCTTGATCTTGTACTTGTATTTCGTCTTTTAAATCTTCCAGCCCTTCTAAGCAGCCTGAATCTTTGAATAAGTCTATCACATCAAAATCAAATGGTATTTTATTCTGCAGGCCATACTCATATGCATCTAAAACTCCTTTGCAAATAAAGACCAAGTTTTTAGCAAACGCAAGCTCACTATACTGAAGTGCTTGTGAGACATATTTTAGTAGCCCAGAGCCAACAAGTTTCAAAATAGAATCGCAAGATCCACCATGGATCGCATTGCTAAACACATAGGAAGCTTCCAATTTTACCTCTCTCGAAGAATCACTAAGCTTTTTCATTGCATTTATCATGACTATATGATCAACTGCCTGTGCAATCTGAGTTTTTGTGCCAGCTGTAACATTGCTTAATGCAAATAAACTTTCTTTTCGGATTTTTTTGCTGATAGAACTTACAGTAGAAGCAAGATAGTCTAAAATTCTCATATTTATGAGGGCTTGTGTTTCCTGTCTTCCTTCACTCAAAATATTTCCAAATATTTTTATAGCTGGATATTGAATATTTATTTCAAGTGCATGCATTAATGGTAGAATTTCACTTAAAATTCCTGAATTTATTATTGTGTTAGCATGCTCTTTCCCGAGATTTGACAAATACGAAAGAATGAACAAGCAGTTTGATGCAATATTTGAGTGCTTACTTCTTAAAAATTTTTTAATAGTTCGCACAACTGATTCCAATAATTCAATTGAAGGTGCAAAAGACCTAAAAATATTGCTTAAACAAAATCATGACACATCATATATATTTAAAGGTAAGTCTTGTATTTCTACTAAATCTAATATAGTTTCAATATAATGATAAGATGCAATAGCTTTCCTTATTTCTTCTGACTCTCCAGCTAGATTTGCTATGCATCATATTATGTGCTCAGAAATTTCAAGATTTTTTATATCAATAAGCGGAAATGCGGCTTCTAAGATTCCTTGATCTACTAAAAATAAGCAGCATGAATTATTTCCAGCTGCTAAATTGCATAAGCATCAAGCAGATTCTGAAATAATATCGCATGGATTATTCTGGTTTAAAAAAGAAATCAAATACGAAACAAAGCCAAGCTCAAATATATCTTGAATCGGTGGATTTTTATCACTTGATGCTAAATATTTCCTTAGTTCAATTAATGCAAATTTCACGATTTCGTAGGAATTTTGTGTATTAAAAATTTGTATTAAACATTCCAGCTTTGCCCTCCTATCAACTGCTGGGTTGCTTAACTGTGGAAATATTGATAAAAGAACAAAAGGAACTTCACTTGTCTCAGTTTCAGTGCAAATTGCTCTTCTTTTTAGGACAGTCTCGAGTCTTTTTGATTTCCTGAGCTCGACTGAAAAGCTTTCTCTAGATTTTGCGAATTCTTCTGGATCTATAGATTTTTGGAACTCTTTATTTCTATCCAGTAATCTTTCGCTTGTTTTCTGCATAATCCTAATTAATATAACCCGCCAATATGGATAGAAGAGTGCCGATATTTGATTTAAGATTTATAATGGTTGAGAGCAGATAATAAATAATATTTTTATTAAACTAGCAAATGGGAAACGAAAAATCAGAAAGAATTCAACTATATCGAGCTGTTCTTGCAAACTGTAAAATCATGCACCCTGATGGGTCATTACCAAATATGCCTTATTTTCTTCAGAACCCTAAAAACTTATTCAACCTCTCAAGAGCGAGCAAGATATTTGCTAGTTAATTTTTTGAAAACTTAATATTAAATTATATATTAAAACCTTTTTGATGCTTGAAAATATTTGAAAAATAATAATTTTTTATAACTCCCCCCCCCTCCGTGAGTTAACAAAGCCATTAGAAAAATCCCTATTTTTTTGTCCAAAAACCCACCCTCTGTGAGTAATCAAAATTGTTTTAATAGAAAAAATTATTTATGAAAAAAAGTTTTGATATATAAGTGATAATTAGTATAATGAAATCTCGAACTAATTCTGTTTAATTTTAAACAAATTGCTTTTTAAAACATAAATTTTATAAATTAAATTAATATTTGCTCCCCAATTTTTGCAAATTAGGATTTTTTTAAAATTTCGAAAAAAAAAATTTTCTATAAAATTTATATATATAATTTTTTTTATAAAAAAAAAACTAACCCCCTCCGTGAGTGAACAAAATTTTTTGTTCACTCACGGAGGGGGGGAGTAAGTATATTTAAAAATCCAGGATATATGAAATACTGCATTATAAGCCATCAGTTATATAAAATATTTTAATAAATTTGCATTTTATAAAAATTTTTTGCTTACTCCCCCCCCCCCCTCCGTGAGCGAACAAAACCATTAGAAAAATCGCCATTTTTTGACCAAAAACCCACCCTCCGTGAGTGAACAAAAATTTTTTTAATAGAAAAAATTTTAATGGAAAAAAATTTTGATATATAAGTGATAAATTAGTATAATGAAATCTAGAGCTAATTCTGTTTAATTTTAAACAAATTGCGTTTTAAAACATAAATTTTGCAAATTAAATTAATATTTGCTTCCCAATTTTTGCAAATTAGGATTTTTTTTAAATTTCGAAAAAAAATATTTTTTATAAAATTTATATATAAATTTTTTTTAAAAAAAAAAATTAACCCCCCTCCGTGAGCGAACAAAATTTTTTTGTTCGCTCACGGAGGGGGGGGGGGGGGGAGTTAATAAAAAAGTAGAACTTTTTATATTGTTTACTCGTAAATGAACAAATTTAGAGGTTTCCAAGGAATTGCATCAGATTCTATATGATTCGGACCAAAAACACAAGCTATTTGCACAAAATGTGTCTCAATTTATATTAGAAAAGCAAAGAGAGAAATCAACTTCTCACCTGAGAAGAGCTACAATTCTTCAAATTAGAAGTGAAATAATAAGGGCTCTTGGCAAATTAAAAACACTTGAAGATAGTAGCTCCTCAGCAATCTGAAATATAAAAACTTTGAAAATTCGAAAAGATTTAGATATCAATTTTTTATTAACATATTCAAATCAAATGTCCATTTTAAAAGAAGGAAATGTTATTGATATGCAGATTGATTTATTTGAAAAGGGGAAAATTAATATCTTTTCTGACGAGATGACCATTGGGAAAATCCAAATAAATTATAAAGATGTTTTTGGAAATTTGCATATCTTGAAAGCTTTGGAAAAAAACGAGCATCGACTTCTAGTAGCGCAATCTACTGAAAATTACACAATTGAAGCTGAGGTTCTGATTAAAATTTCAAATAGAGATAAAGAGAAATTGCTTAATGAAGAATTGGTGAAATGTGATGAAAAGCTTAAATTAGAAGAATTAAAATATGAAATTTATTTTGAGGATTTATTAGCTCCCTCTTCTTTAGGAGTGAAAGAGATTTTTTGTTCTCTTTTAAGGGGGCTGATTTACGAAAATAAACTTTTTTCAATGGTTTTGTACTCTAGGAGGGGTAAGGGCTTTAAAAATCGAGTATACAGACGGCAAGTTTAAATCAATTTTCCCTGAAATCCATAAAGATCTTGAGTTTTGTGAAAGCTGTATAATATATTAACAAAATATAAACGTTATTGTTAAATAAAATGGAGTATTTTTTAAATCATCCAGTGGTCAGAGAGTACCTCGAACCATTCACAATTAAAGATTGGAAGCGAATATTGCTTGGATTAATACTGCAAGGAATTAATTCGGCTAATACCCAAAATTTAGACTCCAAAGACTGAGCTTAAACTATTAGACATGTTGAGGAGCCCACTGTAATGCTCGAAGGCCTACCTTCTTCCATGACGCTTCCCGCTTACTCTCCAATTCGCGTTTTGCTGCATTTAGAAGGTTGCTCTTGTCGAAGAGGGCCTGTTGCTATCCAGTAAGTGGAAGAGTTGTGTCACCATGCTGTACGTGAACATAGGCTCTCCACGGGGGAAAATTCAAAATGGTCGAATTTTCTGGCCATCTCTCGACAAAAATTGAAACAGAAGCTTGGAGCATAATTTTTTGAAAGCAGTCACTATTGGCAAGAAACTAACTTTTGCACTGCGAGGAGATCCCTTTTCAACTCTTAGCTCCACTTCTGTGAGCAAAAATTTTGTTATTCTATTTAGCTTGGGCTGATCACCTCAGTGCTGCTGCTCTACTTGCTGAAATAAAGCCTTTGCAGGATGCACGATTTTGGATGCCAACTCCCTTCCTCAAGATTCCCAATGCCTTGCGACATGTTATTTAAGAGTTAAGAGGGTGCCACACTATTTTAACTTATATGACTCCAAAGAAGCGCAAAAGCAAAAAAATATTGCTAACAATGGATTGCTAAAAGAAGATAATAATCCAAAAGTTGATACCAAAGTTAAAACAAATAAAGAAAACTGTCAAAGTTTATCGTTTACTGGGGCAGCAAAGGACGAAATCATTAAAGAAACACCAAGATTTAAAAATGGACCCGAAAACCCTGAGATTTTGAACACTCAAAATAAGTCAAAAGAAGTAAATCTTTCTCAAGGACACCATTCAAGCTCTTCAGAAAGAGACAGAAGCCACACAACAAAAAAGCCCAATGTAAATGGCAGTGATTCTTGCCATTCACAAAGGCATAAAAAGAAATCCCCAGAGCATTCAGCCAGAAAAACATCCAGATCTACATCATTACAAATACAAAATAAATCAGAGTCCAAAACCCCCACAAGTTCTCATGTGCCTCATCTAATAGAAACTAATTTTGATCGCTCTTTATCAGTATTTGATGAGTACCTCAATATTCAAAAGCAGATTGACGCTTTAGATTTGTTTAACAAAGACCAAGACAAAACATTTAGTACTTTTACTCCTAAGTACTCTAAAGCAAATAATTTTGATAAGAAGTCCACAAAAAAGCAAGAAGACGGCGACATAATGAATATCGCTGACTCTTTTCTTAACGGTCCTTTTATGTCAACTTTCGTCAAAAACTCGACCATGAGGCTATCCACAGACAAGGCTGGCCATAAAACTGAAACAGCGAGGATTAAGCCGGTAAAAGCAAAGGACCCCGCTGAGCCCAAGTATCTGTCAAGTAATTATTATTATGCAAGAAGAAAATCTAACCCTGGATGCACACAGAATAGACAACCTGCAGCTTAAATAGTTTTATCTAAATTGTAAAGAGTATAATAGTAGATAATTGGAGCACCTAAAATCAATGAGTCTATTCTATCTAAAATACCGCCATGACCAGGAACACTTGATCCTGAGTCTTTTACCATGGCTACTCTTTTTACGAAGCTCTCCGCGGCATCACCAAGAATTCCTTGCGTTGAGCTCTATATGAATTTTACCATAAAGGTAATTAAGCAAATATCTGTGAATGATATTTCTGGAATAATCCAGCTTCCTCCAAAGAGCATTAACGCGATCATAGACACAAAGTTTAAAATATAAGCCCCAAATACCCCTTCTCTTGTTTTTTTAGGAGAAATTGAAGGGAAAATATGATTTTTGCCAAACATTTTGCCGAAAAATAAAGCACCATTATCAGTTTGAAAAGTGCTGAAAAGCCAAACAAACACATATCCATTTCCCCCTCTAAATAAAACTTACGGCAAATTCAACAGTAAAACTGCATATGTCATAGGAAACGCAATGCACAAAATAAAAAACAAATCGCCAAGGATAAAATTAAAGCAGAGAGTAGAAATTCTTACAAATTTGTAAATGTCCATAAAAATTTCGCTATATACTTCTTACTCCTCTTCTGCTTTATCAATAACTTTTTCATTTTTTTCTGCTTTCCTTTGCTTTTTCTTGAGTACTGAAATTTTGGCACAAAACCTGGAATATTTGTAAATTCTATTGAAATTTACAAGCACCACAAACAGCAAAAAATTCCAACACAAGTATTTTTCAGCATCATTTTTATCAGATTTTGTTGCAGACAGCACAAAAGAGAATATAGCCATATAGCAAACCCAGCTAGACCCTAATTCTTTAATATAGCCTTCTTCCTCCTTCCCAGTCTGGGATGAAGTTATTCTATTGAAAATCACACTATATTCACGAAATGCAAGTATCAATGCAAAAATCAAAATTGAGACACCAAGCTTATAAGACTCCAAGCCAGCCCATAAAAGAGCTACTCCGACAATTCCAGATAGAACACGTGTCTTTATATCTGACATGGTTATTAATAATTAATCTAATCTTTATAAACTGAAAATGAATGATCTCCATACTTTTGCTTGTTCTGCTTATATTTTTGGTATGGGAAATCAGGAGCCTCTTCGATGGTTTCGACAGGCTTATACCAGCAAATGATCATGAACACTAAAAAATCTAAGGCTGCGATTAAAACACCTAAAATCCCAGCCCAAGGCCCAAAGCCTCCAGCTCTCTTGAATCTGTTTATAAGAGGATTCTTTACTGTTGGCAAGTTATCGTAAACTTTTTCAGTTCTTTCAGCGACGTTTCTCCAGTTGTACATATTTAACACTTCTTCATGATATTCTTGTGAAGGAACTTCTCTAGCAAGTGGAATTGCTTTGCATAGTGCCTCGATTATATTTTTATTTATAGAAAATAAAACTTGATGTGAGATAATTATTAGAAGAATCATATAGAAAATATGGCATTTACTTGATAAATAAATTTAGTCTATTCCTTTTTCTAGGCATATATTTAGGGTCTGGCTTCGCTAAATATACCATGTGTTGTGGTAGCACTTCAGTTATACCTCCCACATCTGTCGTCACAATTTTTAATCCGCAGCTTGCAGCTTCTACTATTGCTATGCAAAAGGCTTCAGTGAGAGAAGTATTTAAAAAGATATGGCCTCGAACTAATACATTTCTCACTTGATTATGAGGGATTGGGCCTAGCAGCTCCATCCTATTGTGCAAATGGTGTTTTTCTTTAATTTCTTCCAGTAACTGTCTTTTTGGACCTCCTCCACCAATAATAAAATAAGCTTCTGGAAACATCGCTGCGATAGCTGGAATCACATCTACCAATAAATCTGTTCCTTTTCTATAAGTCAGCCTAGACACCACCACAATATTTATCGTATTTAACGGATACCTAGCAGATGGGTCTGGTGTAAACCTATGAGCATCTACAGCATTAGGAATCACTGAGATTTTATATGGATCAAATTTTGCTCTTACTTCCCCACTTTTTGGAGAGCAAAGATTTTTACTTGCTCCTTAAAAGGGGCTTAATTTCTTTTTTCAGATTTTAAAATATCCCAATTACAGTATTTGAAAATAAAATCTAATTCAATTTATAATTATGTTTAAGAATCAAGCTGCCAAAAATAAAATAAGCTTATAGCAATTAATTAATAAAAAAAATAATTTATTTATATATTTCGTCGCTTTATAAGGAGCATTTTTCAATGGTTTGTCCACGCTCTTCAAGGGAGGAATAGCACTAAATTTTCTTTATTTGTGTGAGAAACACATATTGCATGATCAACATCAGAGAGAATAAACTTTAAGACTTTATTGATGTGTATGCATGCAGCATCTGAAAAACCAAATAAAGAATGGTCTGTATACACACATTTATAACCCATAGTTTTCGCGTGAATCATAGACTCTTGGCCAAGATATGAGGTTGCTTGATGTGCATGAACAATTTCGATCTTTTCTCTAATTAAAATTGTGCGGAGTAGAGGGAAAAAGCCAAATAAAGTTGGAAATGAGCATTGGTCTACAAAGGGAACTACTGGGCAATAATAAACTTTAAGTCCATTTGTTAGATATCTCACACCAGTTCGGTCTCCATACGCATGAGTAATTATGATTACTTTGTGTCCACGCTCTATTAAGCATTGAGCTAGCTGGTACTGATGCATTTCTACACCTCCTAGTCTTGGATAAAAGAAGTCACAGACAAATGCTATATTATGTGGCATTCAGCTCTTTAATATTGATTTATTTATTGCCTAAATTAAAATGACAGCCGTGATTTCTGAATTCTTAATCTTGATCTTATTTAAACTTATCTAGAAGCCCATCGTAATTCCCGAATCACTACCTCCACCAATGATGCTCCACTCAGCTGCCTACCTTCAATTGTAGCGCGAGCTTCAAAGCTTTGCTCTTAAAGAAGAGGGCCAGCACTCGCTACCTGTAGTCGGATGAGTTGCGCCACCTTGCCGTGCTTCAACAGAGGTTGCTCTTTCCGAAATTTGAAAAAACAAATTTTCTGTCGGCTAAAATGGAAATCCAAAGCTTGGGACACAACGCCAAGTATTGTGCTGGAGAAATGCCCGATGGACCGTGTAGTACTCCACGGTTTCGCTGAACCCCTTTCCAACTCTGAATCCCATTTCCCTGAGGTAAAAACCTTGATCTGGAGTGAACTGCGGTCGACCATTTCGACATTGCGCTCCACCAAGACAAGTAAAACCTAGCCGGATATACTTACCGAGCGCCAATTTGCCTTCCACAACGATCCCGCAGCCTTTCAAGCCTACGGCTACAGGTGTCAAGAAAAGGGCTGGTTCGCCTTAGCCATTTTAATGAATGATTTCTGAATTCAATTTATTTGATTTTGAAACAAAAATCCGTGGAATTGTGTCTGAGTTATTAGCACCTACAATAAGAAAAGGAACTGAGCACGAAGAACAGATACAGAAACTTAAAAGACACGATGCGCAGCGTCAGAAAGATTTCGAAGAAATGACCTTTAATGTCGACAAATTAATAAGAAAATCTCAAGGCTATGATGAACTAGGAAGGAAAACTCACGAAATGTTTGAAAATCTCAGAGTCCAAGACGCTCATTTTGTGCATAAGTTAGAAGCGCTAGCAACTGGAGTTGAAGAAGCAAAAATTCAAATATCTGATTTTCAAAACCGAATAAAAAATCATGATGATGGGCAAAAGTCGTTTAAGCAGGACATGGAAGAGAATTTTAAGAAACTAAACAGCTATAAAAAATGAATACAAGAAGAAACTAATAAAATCGAAGCAGACATCAAAAAAATGATGGTCAACCTGAATAAGGAAACTGAAGAAATGATGGAAAAAATCGAAAAATGCGAAAATAGAATAAATGAACTAAATAATAAAGGGATTCCTGAGATCGGAGTGGATATTGGAATGATTAAAAGAGAAATCGAAATCGTAAAAAATAATGTAACAGAAAATGCTGCAAGAATTATGGACTTAAAGAAGTCAAAGGCTGGAGTTATTGAGCTTAGAGAATATCGTAAAGAAATCGATAGTATTATTGAAGAGAAAAGTAAATATCTGCTTATGGAGGACAAAAAAATTATTGAATATATTTCGAAGGACTTTAAAAAGGAAATCGATGTAAATTTAAACGAAAAATTATGCGAAATTTTAGATATAAAATCGGTCAAAAAATTAATTGCTTATCAAGAAAAAGTTGAAGAGCAGACAAAAAGTATAGAAATTCCTAACTCCCCCCCCCATCCTTGATCGAACGATTGACTGTAAAAATTGGGAAATTTAAACCCCCATCCTTGATCGAACGATTTTCATATCATACAAATTTTTATATATATAAAAATATATTAGTTATCAAAAGCTTGGGAAGATGTACCTAATGAAGTTGTTTTCAGAAGCTTTGAGACGATAGGAAGCTTCGAAATCAACCATTCAAAGTAATTTAGTCATCAACATGGGCTTAAAAACTCAATAATCTAATAAAATAGAGATTTTTTTTAAAATTTAAAAAAAAACAAATTTTAATTTAATAAGTAACAAAATTAAAATTTATACAGTTTAAAGGGGTAACTAATAAATTAAAATATAAAAAATTGGTATTTTTATGAAATTAATTCAATTTTTTGCTGTAAAAATAATTATTAAATACTCTTAACCCTCTTATTTAAAAGTAAATAAAAAAAAAACATTATATATATATTTTATTTTATATATAAAATTTTTTCCCAAAAAAATTTTTTTAACCCCCATCCTTGATCGAACGATGGCGAGTCGTTCGATCAAGGATGGGGGAGGGAGTAAAGAAATCCCTGAATTGCAAGAGAGAGCTCAAATCTTGATTTCAAACCAAATATCTCAGCTTGAAACTCTCAAGCAAAAAATTGAGGAGGAAGAAGAAAAAGCAAGAATAATCAAAGAAGTCAACGTCCAGCGGCGCATAGCCTCAAGGACAGGCTCCTCAATGTCTCCATCTAGATCAAGATCTCCTCCAAAAGTATCAAATACCAAACTAGTCTCCTATCCTACGAATTTTCAAAGTTTCTCAGTCTTGACTGATGAAAATATGACTCAATACCGTCAAAGCGTAGCATCAGAGATGAGTGACGCAAGCTTCCACGAAGACAAATCGAATGAAGAAAATAAATATCAAAAAGATACTGTCATTTCAATTTCAGCTTTAAATGAAGACGCCGAGTCAGTCATGTACAATCAAGATGGGCAGCCACATAATGAAATCTTTGTTGATAACGCAGAGACAGATAGAGAATATGAAGAGTCTCTTGAAAATTATGTCGAGGCTGAGCTACAGATTTTGAGGGACTCGATTGAAAAATTAAGTGAAAATAAGTCCGAGCTTACAGAGTTAATAAATCTTAGTGTTTCAAAGCTGTCTGAAAGTATTTCTAACCAGCAAAAAGACTACCAAACCGGATTTTCCATGCTTCACAGTGAAATCAATCTCATGATGAAAAAGCGCACTAAAGATGCTGTGGATATCAACAATGAAATCCAAAAACTCCGCCAAGATCTATCTGGCAGAGATTCTGCGTTTTCGAAACTGGACCAAAAAATCCTTACATTATCCATACTTCTTTCTGCATTAATTGAATTTTCTAACTCCCCCCCTCTTTAAATTTGGAACAAAATATAGGTAAAATTTCCACTTTTTTGGTAAATTAACCCCCCTTTAAATTGAAAACAAAATTTTAATTTTATAATAAAAAAATTTATATATAAAAAATCATAATTTTTATGTAGAAAGATTTGATATAAGTTAAATGTTTCTTCTTAACTAAAATTAAAAATTTAGTTATATCTTGCTCTTGTTTATAGAATAGAGTATAAAGAGCATCTTATTTAAATAAATTTATTAGCCTTAATTGCTAAATTTTTAAAAAATTTTTAAAATTTTTTTTTTAAAAATTTTTCAAAATAATTTTTATTTTTTTTAATATTTTTTATTTGAATTATTTTGATATAAATTCAATGCTAATTCTTTACAAAAATTGAAAATTCACTTATTTCTTGCTTTATTTTAAAGAATAGAGTATAAATGGCATCTCATTTAAACAAAATTAGCACTTTGATCCATAAATTTTCTAAATTTTTTTTTTTAATTTTTTTTATCAATAAAAAATAATAATTTTTGTGTAAATAGTTTTGATATCAATTAATAGTGGCGTATTAATTAATAATAAAAATTTAGTTATATCTTGCTTTGATTTTAAGGATAAAGAGTTAATAGCATTTTATTAAACAAATTTATTAATCTAATTCGATAAATTTTTGAATTTGTTTTTTGTTATAAAAAATTTTATATAGATTTTGTTTTTATAAAAAATTTTATATTGATTTTTTTTTTAAAAAAATTTTCTTAACCCCCCTTTAAATTGGAACAAAATTTTTAGTTCCAATTTAAAGGGGGGGAGTAAGGTTTTGCACCAACTTGTCTTTCAGGATGAAGAAGATCGTGAAGCCATCCATCTTTCTGGCTACTCCGATTCTTCTCAAAAACCCAAAACTCCATCAACTAAGTCCAGACAAATAGTTTCCCTTAAGCCAGAATGTGTAAGCTGCACAGGCCAGAATCCCATATTACTCAGTGCATTTAAAATGGCGTGCCTAAATTATAGTCCTTCCAATATAAAGTACAGAAACCACAGCTATAGCAGAAAACAGTTAATCAGTATGGTAGGGAATTTTTTAAAAGAGTCTTGAAATAGTGCAAGCGGACAAGAGCCGTTTGACAATATTGTGCTTCCACACATGTGCGAAGAAGCACCATTGCCTCCACCTTCATCTAGGAGAACAAGAAGGTCAAGCTTACTTGACTTTAACTCATCAAGAGTCAATTTTGATTTATCAGCTGGAACACCGTTAAGCAGCCATAGAGACCTAAGAAATAGCTTTCATATGTAATTTTTCAATCTAAGTTTGCCTTACATCTACTTATTCTTCAACCTAAGATTTATTATCTCTTGAATAGTCTTGGCTTCGATATTCTCTGCTTCGATAATCATCTCTTCTTGGCTTTTCAGGGTTGTTTCTATATCTAGGCTGGGGTGGGCGATTTCTATTTTCATATTTTCTTGAATCTCGAGGTGATCTTGATCTTGATGAAGGTTTTGCGGGTTCTTGGCCATGCGGTTTATATCCTCTGCTTTCGTCAAAAATATTATCAGGTCTTGGCTTTTCGCCTTTTGGCCTTGTAGCTCTTGTATTTCCTTTCCCTCCACCTAGTCTTCTTGGTTTCCAGTCCTTAGTAGTTCTTCCCCTTTCGCAATCTACAAGTGCACATCTGCCGTCAATTTTTCTGCCATCAGCATTTTTATAAGCAGTTTTAAAGTCGCTTTCATTTTCGTACTCAATAAATGCATATCCCCTTGATTTCCCTTCTCGATCTTTAACTAAACTCACTGATCTTATGGGACCGTAAACTTCAAATTCGCGTTTAAGCTTGCGTTCATTCGTCTCATAGCTGAGCCTGCACACAAAAAGGGTTTTATAAGCATTGGAATCGACAGGGTACTCGTTTGGGTTGTATTTTTTTAATTCTTCTTGCTGATTTTCTTTATGCTTTTGGATGCTGGCTTCTTTTTCGAGCTGTTTGAGATGCTGAGATGAAACTTGGACAGAGCGTTCAGGAGCGTCTCCTTCTTCAAACAAATCGACGTATTCGGCAATTCCTGTTAGTGGGCGACATTTGGGCTTTACAGGGACTTTCATAAATGGAAGAGGAGGGCGAGGATTAAATAGAGATTGAAGATGAGGAGGAAGTTCTGGCCGGGGCATGTAGCTTGTGCTTGGAGGCCGAAACGGAGCCATTGGCAATCCGCCTGGAGCAAACATTTTTAATTATTTAATTAAATTAATACTTTAAACGTCCTCAGAGGAACCCTTAGTGTAAAATAGCTATCGAGTTAAATGGCTTTTATTAACTGATAATTGAAAACGAAACTTGCTAATTGGTTTTGTCTTTCCTGATGCTATTTTTTGCAGAAAATAAACTCCATCGTTTCTCTGTATAAAATCAACAGAAAGCTCAGAAAGCACCAAATTTTTGAAAAAATATTTGTTTATTTTATCATATAAATAAAGCGCAATCTCCAAAGGCTTTTCATAGCTTTGAATTTTCCCCTCGTATATATGGCAATGGTTCATATCATCTCTCGTAATGAATCGCTCTAATAATGAGTTATTTGCGAAAGAAGGTTTCCGCTTTATACGAAAATTGTCTCGAAATAAATTAAAAGCTTTTATTTTGCCTGGGGAAATTGGTGAGAAATGGATCTGTTTTGAGCAAGTTCGAGGCCTTAATATATCTTCTAGACTTTGGGAGTTTATAAATTTTTTGATTTCATTGTGGTGGTAAATAGTTTTTTGAACTTCTTCGAAGATTTTGATATCTTGCTCAATACTTTGGATCTCTTTTTTCTTTGTTCTTACTCCATCTATATTTTTAAAAAAGCAAAATTTTTAAGCTTTAAAAGAAATGATAATTTATATAGTAGATGATAATTCAATTGCTAAATTTATTTTAGAAAAGAGCTAGAGAAGGGTCTTCTCGGTTATCAGTTCTTGCAATATTAGTAAATACGTAAATTCTAGGACTAGAATTTTCTTTTAAAATCACTCTGACTCTACTTGCTCTTAACCCTTTCGGCTTAATGAACCTTTGTATTAGAGTATCTTTATATATATCAGGCCAGTTTTCTATTAATTCTTCCTGCGTGCTTTGTATAAGTTTCATGTGGTTTGAATACTTAATGATAGAGCCCGGAGTATCACAAGTATTTTCAGAGTTTTTCTGAAAAAATAAGCAAGAAGCTTCGTTTCGCAAGTTATTCATCCCATTTCTGTATGGCATGAATTCTAAAAATCCTTGCCGATTAGAGATAACGGTTGGGCAGTCAAATCCTGAATTGAAAATAATTGTATCTGGAATAGTGATGCTAAATTTCGGATATCTTTGAGATATTTTGTAAAGAAGAGAGAAGGTGTAAATTCCAGTTGGTATTTCGCTAGATATGCCTTTAATTAGAGATGTATGTCCAATAAAGATCGGAAGCGATTTTGGAATTAAAAATGAGCCTGCTCTGCTTCTTAATGGAGTGTAAGCAGTCAATAGTCTTTTATTTGTTCTTACTATGCATGACTCAGATGCCTCAGTTGTTAAATTCTGTATAGTTCTTACCATTCTGTCATCATCTATTTTTGTGTATCTAAAAATTCTTGACTGTTTTCTTATTTCCATATTAGCATTCATAATAAAATTTTTGTAAAAGTGATAAGCTAAATCAGTTTATAATCCGAATAAATTTAAAAATAGAACCTATTTAAATTTTCGTAATTATTTAATACTAAATAAAATAGAAAATTTTTATCAGAATAATTTTTATTTAGATCAGAATCTCGATCAATACTTTCCCTATACTTCCATTTAAGCTCAGATAATATGTTAGCAAAGACCATTTATATGAAAAAGGTGATTAAAAAAAAAGAATCAATTTTCGATATTTAAAAGATTTATGCTTGTGAAAATATTTTGAAAAATAATAATCAAAAGCAATATAATTCCGTCGATTTTATTTACAATTTATCAAGTAATCCATAATTGTTCGTTCAAAACTTTTCATTTCTCATATAAATAATGAACAAAAAGATTGGCGTGTATCGGTTGTTGTCGATGAAATACCAAAATCAAGTGACTGCCAAACGTCAGCAGTTAATATCAAGGATAGCTTTGGCTAACCCTTTTTATTCCTTCATGAGCGATTCCCATCTGTTTACTTTGTTGAACGAAGTGTCGAACTTTTTTCACCTTACAGATATTGAAATTTGTTTTTTGGCGATCCTTTTGAATAGATTCAAAAGTTTTTACTCATTCACTCATGAAGAAATTCTGTACATTATAGCTTATATCGCCAAGGCCAATTTTTCTTCCAGAATGAAAACTTATGAAGAAGAGTTAAAAATCCGGTTTCCAAATTTTCTTCTGAAATACAGCAACTTTATAAACGCAAATTTTATAAATCAAGGCTTAAGTACTGCAGAAATTTCAAGAAAGTATAAGGAATTAAGCGAAGAAATTGTGGTTTCGCAAAGAAAAATTGATGAATTAAATGATAATCTTAATGCGATTATGGTAACAGGATATAAAAGAAAGCCAAAATCATTTAACGAAAAAGATGAGCTGGAGGTTGGTGCTCATTTGAAGAAAATAAAATTTGAGTTTTTTGGTGAAAATTTTGATGATTTGGACTCGTAAACTTTAAGTCATTTATAGCCATTAATAAATTAGATGATCAATTTAAATTATTTGTTTGTTAAAAGATGTTAAGTTTAAAATTAAATAAAAGCCTCTTTTCAGTGATCTTTTTTTAAGAGAAATTATTAATTGATTAATTAAAATGCTTTAAATATTTGGAAAATAAATATTAAATTTTATACAAGCCATAAAAGTTTTACTTTCTTAATAATCTGGAGAGTACCATAATAAGGGTTTTAAGATTTACTTTATTTTATCTAGGATTTAAACTTATGATATTATTTAAATGCAAATTAATTAGAAGATTAAATAAATTAAAAGATTTATATAAATCAAAAGTTTTTCTCAAAATTCAATAACCCAAAAAATGTGTCCAATTTAAAGTGGAGGAGAAGTAAATTCAATAACCCAGAAAATGTCTAAAATTATTAAACAAATTGCCACTTTGTATTAATTAATTTTTTATTAAAAGTCTATACATTCTGTCATCATCTATTTTTGTGTATCTAAAAATTCTTGACTGTTTTCTTATTTCTTTATTAACACTCTTAATAAACTTTATGTAAAAGAGATAAGCTAACTTCAGTTTATAATCCGAATAATTTTAAAAATAGAACCTACTTAAATTTTCGTAATTTGTTAATAGTCTAACTAATTAAATAGAAAATTTTTATCAGAATATTTTTATTGAAATCAGAATCTCGACCAGTGCTTTCCCTATACTTCCATTTAAGCCCAGACAATATGTTAGCAAAAACCATTAATATGAAAAAAGATGATTAGAAAAAGTATCAATTTTTCGAGTTTTAAAAGATTGGTGTTTATCAGTTGTTGTCGATGAAATACCAAAATCAAGTGACTGCCAAACGTCAGCAGTTAATATCAAGGATAGCTTTGGCTAACCCTTTTTATTCCTTCATGAACGAACTCCATCTGTTTACTTTGTTGAACGATGTGTCGAACTTTTTCCACCTTACGGAAATTGAAATTTGCCTTTTGGCGATCCTTTTGAAAAGATTCAAAAGAGTTTACTCACTTACTCATGAAGAAATTCTGTACATTATAGCTTATATCACCAAGGCCAATTTTTATTCCAGAATGAATGCCTATGAAGAAGAGTTAAAAATCCGGTTTCCAAATTTTCTTCTGAAATATAGCAACTTTATAAACGCAAATTTTATAAATCAAGGCTTGAGTACTGCAGAAATTTCAAGAAAGTATAAGGAATTAAGCGAAGAAATTGTGGTTTCGCAAAGAAAAATTGATGAATTAAATGATAATCTTAATGCGATTATGGTAACAGGATATAAAAGAAAGCCAAAATCATTTAACGAAAAAGATGAGCTGGAGGTTGGCGCTCATTTGAAGAAAATAAAATTTGAATTTTTTGGTGAAATTCTTGATGATTTGGACTCTTAAAACTTTAAGCCATTTATAGCCATTAATAAATAAATGATCAGATAAAATTATTTTTTGTTTAAAACATTTAGTTTAGCATTAAATAAAAGCCTATTTGCAATGATTCTTTTTAAGAAAAATTATTAATTGAGTGACTAAAGTGCATTAAATATTTGGAAAATAAATATTAAATTTTATATAAGAGTTTCACTGCCTTCTAATCTGCAGAAACCATAATAAGAGTTTTATTTTTAATAAAGATTTACTTTATTTTATCTATGATTTAAACTTATGATATTATCTAAATCCAAATTAATTAAAAGATCAAAATATATAAATTAAAAGTTTTCCTTGAAATTCAATAATCCAAAATGTCTATAAAATAAAACCTTAAATAATAATAAAAGCTAAATTTAAACGGATCATGCTAGCTAAAGTCTAAATTAACTTTATAGTTTTTAAGCATCAGAGGTAGCATAGTTGGTAATGCGCCAGACCTTCTAAGCCGGTGACCCAAGTTCGAGCCTTGGCCTCTGACTCTTTTTATTTTAACCTAAATAAAAAATTTCTATTATTCCAATGACTACATCGTTTAGCTAAAATTATAAAAATGCTAAAAAATCACTACATTCAATTTAAAACCATATTTATTAATCTATAGTCAAGATCATAATTAAATTAGCCACAAAATTTATTCAAAACTAAAATAATTCTGCACAATATTTTATTTTCAATATTCCATTAAACATCATACCAAATATATTTTTTGTGGAATTAAGATAATAATCAGTTTAAAAATGATAGATAATTAATTAACTATAGCCTATAGAATGCTTATTATTAAATCATTAAGACTTAATAAACTACAAAACTTCATTTCTTGACTGAATAAAACCATTCTTAATTTCATATTATTTTTGAATGCATTTCAAACTTAATTAAGAATCTTATCTATAATGTCATTATTTTAACCTCATTTTTCTCATAGGTCTTGTATACAAATAAGAAGTCCTTATTTTTTCATATTTTCGTTCCCTCCAATCTTCCAGCTCGATCATTGTTTTCCTACCCTTTTCATAAATACTGATTTCAAGCTCTGTGAGTCTTTTGAGAATATTCGGATTTGATTTGTTCTCTATATAGCCAATAAGAAATTTAATTCTTTTCATCAGAACTTTCAGCAGAAGCTGCTTCAAATCATCATCCTCGGCGATTTCAGTCAATTTTGTGCCTACTTCAAAGAAGTATTGAGACTGCGCCTTTAAAGATACGATCGACGGATCAGCTTCTAAAGAAGCTCTATAGCTCGTACGAAAATATTTAGGAAGTTCTATATCTGTCTCTGTTCTTTGCAAAATTGCCGCCAATCATAAAGGAGCTTGAAATCTGGATTCGGCAGGTAAATCTAATGGTTTATTTGTAATGTCTAGAAAACCTAGGCCTTTTAATTCTTTTGTGGTTTTTACAGGAATTGGTTCTTCTTCTGCGAGGATATCGTCGATGTCCCAATAACTTCCTTTTATCATTCCTGTTAGAATTTATTTGGCGGACAAATATGTCTTGAGAAAAGTTAGCGGAATCTTTTGTCAAGGGGCTATTTGAAAATCTCGAATTTGTTGCTAAATTATAAATATTACCCATATGATCATCATTTTTTTATCTATATAAATATTATTTAGGTAATTATATTAGTTCAAGTTTTTTTTTTTCTTTCCAGCTCTATGAATCACATTTATGCCATATTAGATTTGTTATTGTTGTGAAACGGATTGATTCGTCATCTGTCACTTATTGATCCTGAAAGGTTGTTTGGAAGAGAAGGCCTATGAAATGAATCAATTGAAAAATCTCTTAGCTGGTCTAATTTAGACTTATGCTTAAAAGTTAGTGCGCTTCTATTGATGTCTAGGGTTCTGCGCGAGTTTCTATTAATTATTTTGCTAATTGAAGTTTGTGCTGCTAAGCTTGCAAGAGGGAATTTCTTTTTTTCAATAGAAAATTGCAATTTTGGATACTGTTTGGAGTGTTTTAAAATATTTTTTCTTCCGAAATATTTCACTTTACTAGTTTGAACAAGATTTAGCATAACATCTTCAGGAAGAAGTGGCAAAAAGTCAGCTCTTTTTGCTTTATATACTAATGCTGACTCGCTGTTGACACAAACAGTGAATTCTGTTTTTCTTCCTAGCAGGACGCATTCATCAGCTATGCTGCATCCTATTCCTAATGACATAATATTAGTCTTGCTAGGTGGGACTCCTCTACTCAGCATGCATTCGCCATCTGAAATATAAAATAGACTATCTCCAAAGTTTCCTTCTTCAATTAAAATTTCTTTTTTGTTCAGTCTCAAAACATCAAAAACTCTTGCAATTTTTTCTTTAATTCCAATTGAGTATTTTTTAAGCTCAGGAATGTAAAAATCAAAAAATTTTATTTTTTCTTCTAACTCTATTGAAGTGTTATAATTCATTTCTGATTTAAAAACTTCCCCATCAATTGATAGAAGAATAAGATTGTCTCTGGCCATGGCTGATATATTGCGAGGTTGGCTCCTCATCAAGCTTTTCTCTCCAATCATTTTTCCTCGTGATAAAGAAGCTATAAATTTGTAGGTGCCATCATCTAATGTGTCAAATATGTTTAAATGACCAATCAAAATTACGTAGAGTTTATCACTTGGTGAGCCTTTTGTAAATACAATTGAATTAGGTTGAAAAATTTCTAATTTGGAATGTTTTCCAAGCTGTTTTAAGCAGCTCTTTGGGATATTTTTCATGTAGTTGTGAAAGTCTTCAAGGGTTTCGAAATAATCCAACAATTTTTCAATTTGATCATCATTTCTATCTTTTGCACTTAAAATCTGAAGAACATTCTGAGGGATCTTTTTAATTGATTTTTCCATATATTTTATAATAGATACGAATTAAAAAACAAATCTTGTAATTTAAAAATCTTAAATGCTAATGTTGCAGCTCTAACACTCCACTCTGTGAGCGAGCAAAAATTTTTGTTTGCTCACGAAGGGGGGATAATTTTTTTTTAAAAAATAAAGCAAAGTTAGCTTGAGATTTCTTTTTACCTTATATAACAAATTTTTTTTGTCGCTAACTGAGGGTGGGTTTTTGAGAAAAAAATAGGGATTTTTCCAATGGTTTGTTCACTCATAGAGAGAGGGAGCAAGAATATCTATTCGAGAAAATGATTGATGAAAGCTTTACTGTAATTTAGCTATTTTCACTTATATGAGGAATTAAAAAGTTATATAATAATTCAAAAATTAAGCTTTTTATTCTCTCTCATTGAGAATTTAGAAATTTCTTATTATTGACAAAAAATAATATTTTAGTTAATAATAACTAACTTTACAAATTAGAAAATGGTATTTTTTATGGTTTGCATCAATTTATCCAACTATTAAAAATCTATTAAATGACAGAAGCGATAAAGATAAAGCTTTAAATTTAAGTTAATAAATTAATTACCCTCTGTGAGCGAATAAAAAATCTTGTTCGCTCACAGAGGGTAATTTTGTTTTTTTAAAAAAATTTATATATAAATTTTTAGAATTTTGTTTTTCGAAATTTAAAAAAATCCTAATTCGGAAGCAAATATTAATTTAATTTGTACAATTTACATTTAAAACACAATTATTAGCTCGAGATTTCTTTATACTAATTGTCGCTTATATATAAAAACTTTTTCTATTAAAAAAAATGTTGTTCGCTCATGGAGGGTGGGTTTTAGGCAAAAAATAGGGATTTTTTTAATGGTTTTGTTCGCTCACGGAGGGGGAGTTAGAAGTTGATCTTGCAGCTTTTGTCTTTTCAAATTCTTGGTAAAGGGACTCAAAGTTTGAAGCACGAGAAAGCTTAATAACAACTTTATAAACTTTTTTTGATTTTCCTTCAAAATCTTTTTCATCAAGAGTCATCGTTTCAAAGCGCTCCAAATTTGCATATCCTAAAGAAATTAATCTATCTGCAGCCCCAACAGCGTTACTTATTGATTCTCCTATAGCATGAAAAGCAATCTCAGGTTTTTCCTTTAAAGCCTCTTTTCCCTCATAAATGTAGCGGGTTTGCTTTGGCCGAGAGCTGATTTTCAAAACTCCATCCGATTCAATTTCTTTTGATATTTATTAAAAGCTTCATACTCATTTAATTGAAATATCAAACTGACAATTCATCATGAAGAATATTTAACTATAAATTATTAAAATGAAATTACGTTTTATTTCTACTTGTCAACATATTTTGCAACGCTACCTACCATTTGTAACTATTTATTATTTACTCTTTAATTAATTCTTTTTCTCTCTTTATTTTTGTAATAAATTTTATACCTGAGTAAGTTAAAAGTTGAGTTTATAAATGGAATCTTCATTAGAAGCATATCAGCCTCTTCCAGAAGATATAAAGAGAGGAACAATTAGGAAAGTCTACTCATTTGTTCCATTAGACCCAGATGAAGAAGAAGCTCTTGCCAAGTTTCGCGCTTATGCTACTAAAAACGCAATTCAGATCCCTCCAGGGTAATTTTTATTCAGTGTTGATGACCAGCATAGGATGGCTCTCAAATTTATGGATTCTTCAAAAAGAAAGCCAAAAAAAGCTATGAAAATCATGGACAAGTACCAAACTTGGCTTACAACAGAACTGCCTGTCCCTATAAATGAGGTCTCAACAATGCTTGTAAAATTTATATAGGATCAAGGATTTATGTACCTTCTCGGAAGAGACAAAAAGTTTCACCCTATCATGGTTATTAATGTGAGAAAAATGCTTAATTTCAATGTCGATTTAAACACTGCTTTGAGGTTGAATTACTTTTTATTAACCTGGGCAATTGAGCATATGATGGTTCCAGGTAAGGTTGAGACCTGGGATATTATCATGGACTTGGCAGACGTAACAGCATCACAACTGCCAATTAACTTGCTGAAAAATATGATGAGTAAACTATCCATAAACTTTATGTGCAGATTGGAAAAGTCATTTGTAATTAATCTTCCATCGACACTGAATGCGCTTTATAAGCTTCTAAAGCCTTTCATTGACTCAGACACAAAAAAGAAAATTATTATCCAAAAAGACGGATGGGAGCCTTTGCTCAGAGGAGATATCAACGAAGATGTGCTAGAAGTGAAATACGGTGGGACAAGACCAAATATAGATTCTGGATACTTTCCTCCAGCATTTTACTAGAAGTAATAAATATTATCCAGTTAATACACCGAATAATGTATTTCTAATAAGTATTACAGAAGATATTTTATTGAGTTCTACTAAATATAAAATGTTTCACACGAACTGATAGTTAAACCTTCTGTTTAAGTTAGTTTTGCATAGAGAAAATTAATAATAAAGCATTAAATTATAATAACTCTTTTAAATCCTCAATATATACTCCTTTTATTTATCAGGGTGACAATTATGGAACGAAAGACTTCACCAACTTCCAAGACTTTAACTCTTTACGTCATATTTAACGCTCTCTTGCTTATTACAGGTCTCTGCACAATGGCTACAGGAATCTATTTGTGTGTAATAGCATCAGAATATTCATGATATGATACAAGCTTTTCAGGTCTTGGGTTAGTTATGGCAATTACCTCTATTATCGGCTATCGAGCTCGATTTCTTTCTGAAGCAATAAGTTGCTATTTATCTGCAATCTTGGTTTTACTAGTAATTCAATCTTCGTTTACCTTGGGCATTTTACTCTACTCAGGATTTGCTGGAGAAATTGGAAAGCAAAACTCAATGATTTTAGCTTATGCACTTATATGCTCTTGTCTAGTCATTATTGGATGTCTTACCATTGGGCTTATTTACAGGAAAAATCTCTTGAAAACAGAGCCAATCGTCCACACGATTTCTTTGCACAGTCCTATATTGACAGCAAATAAAAATGATATAAAAGGGTATCAAACATATGGTGGAACGAAATATTTTTAAAATTATGTAGTAAATTTATAGATTTTATTTAAATTATAGGAGATAGCCTGACGCTGTATGATTTATTAAGGCAATTAAGTTTAAAGTTTATAAATATGAACTCTGATGTATTTATATGAATATCCTGGCCTGTTGTGATGCTCTTACTAAGCTTAGCTTATTATAAGTACATTAAATTTTTGAAATCGATCAACGATTACAGTTTACATTCAAGATGTCGTCAGATCGTATTTTCTGCAACAATATCTAACTGCATAGAAGCAAATTCGCTATTGTCTTTGGGATTTCTCACTATCTTACGGCTTGAAGAAACTTATCGTTATGCTTTATTTTTCTATGTCGTTTCGATTTACTCTCACCACTGGCATTTTTGCTCAAATATCCTGAAAATTTACAGACTTAATTTATTGACTAAATTAAAACTAGGTCAGTATTCTTCTCTTGAAAAATTTCAAAGACGGGAAAAAAGAGTTGAATGATCATGAAACATTAGAGTTATTGTTATCTATACAATGGCTTCAGCTCTCCCTTCACTTTATTTTCTAATTGATGCAGTGCTAGAAAAGACTCCAGAAAGAGTTTATGGACTGACGAATGATATGTATATTTTTGTGTGGACTTTATGAGACATTTTTGAGCTGGTTCTCATATGTATATTTTTGATAAAATTATACAAAAACCAAGTAAATAACAAACTCAAGCTTGAGCTTTGCTTAATGGGAATTATATGGTCAATGTCCTTAACTTCTGCATGCTTCACCGCAGATAACGTTTATTATTATTTGCTCATAGTCTTGCCTCTTCGAAATATACTCATCATAATATCCGCATTCATAATATCTTGAAGAGACTTAAATGAAATAGAAGCACCGCTTCCTATAGATATAGACTCAAAAATGATATTTGAGCATAGAAGGATTTATGAACAGTTTATGAAGTTCAATAAAAAAAATAACGCTATTCACGAAAATTATATAAATTTAATTGTAAAAATTGAAAAGTTTGAAATCGATCCAACAATTAAGAATGCTGATGAAATTATGGATGGATTTTTGAAGGAAAAGAGAATTAGCATTCCTGATAGCATGTGTAGTAAGCTTAGTTCTGATCTAAGATACTATATGAAACATGGAGATTTGGAGAGATATTTTTTTACAGAGTTGAAAAAATACATTTATTTTTATTATATTGATCCCGCATTTGAAAAGTTTAAGGAGTCTAAATACTTTGTCAGAATTTAGATATAAATAAAATAACACATAAGGTTTTATGATATTTTTTCATTTTCGCTAGTGCTATTAGATTCCAAAAAATGGTGCTCAATTAAATAACTATTCACACAGTTTATAAGCATTTTCGTTTCCTGCATCTCTTTTTGTCTAAATATCTTTTCATTATATTTTCATTACAAAAATTTGAAAAAATAAATTGAGACTATTCAATGATTTTAGCATTACTGCATACTCAAAATCCCTTATATCCTATTTAAAAAATCGATGATCCTAATTAATTTATCTTAATTTCAACATTAAAACCCAACAAAAGGATCTCTTTCTCGAGTGAATTTCGGCGCATGAGGCTGCTCTAATGAATCTGGGTAAGTGTTGAAGTTCGAAGTGTCTTCTTCAGTCATCAATTCTGGTATCCATGGTGATGGGCATTCTTTTATCAATAATAAATTAAAATCAACATTACTAAACCACAAATGGTTTTTTAAATCGCTTGCAGCATTATTCTTATAGCCAATTCTTTTCTGTACGTTGGGCTCTAAAAGTGCAGAGAGTAATGAACAAAGAATGTCGTCAAAATAAGAAGGAAACACAAGCCTTCCTAACAAAATTTTTTGGTAGATATTAAATGGGCTATCATCACAATATGGTGGATATCCAGCAATCATTTCATATAGCAAAATGCCTAAAGCCCACCAGTCTACTTCACGTCCATAGCCTTTCCCCAGAATAATTTCTGGAGCTAGATATTCAGGTGTCCCACACATCGTATAAGTTTTGCTATCTGATATTGCTTTGGCGAAGCCAAAATCGGATAATTTTACATGGCCACTTCGATCGATTAAAATATTCTCCGGCTTAAGATCTCGAAAAACAATTCCTTTATCATGCAAATATTCAAGTGCAAGGACAAGCTCAGAGATATAAAATCGAGCGTCTTGTGATGGAAGGGTTCCTAATTTTTTGAGTCTTGTAAACAACTCCCCTCCACAAGCATATTCGAGAACGAAAAATACATAATAGTCATCTTGGAAAGTTCCTAAGATTTTTGTTATAAAAGCGTGATCCAGTTGCTCCATTAGTTCTTTTTCATTCCTAAGATGACTGAGCTGCCTCATTTTCAAAATTGATGTCTTCTTTAGGATTTTAAGTGCTAAAGGTTTCATATAAGGTTGGTCCTTGCTTCTAACAAGCCTCACTCTACTAAAAGTGCCTACACCGAGAGTTCCTAAAACATCAAAAGAATCCATAGAGTACTTTTCTGATATAAAATATTCTGATTCTTGTTTCTCTGAAGCTTCTATTTTCTCCTGCTCCATAATGATTGTAAGCTATATATGCAAAGAAATTATTATTAACTTTAACAGATCAAGAATTCAATCAAAAAAATTTTTATTGCCAGTTATCGGTTATTGATTCATTTTTTGACTCAGTAATTTCGATGTGGATATATACAGGATACATAAGATGTTAATTTTATCATTGTTATTTTATATGCAGATTATATAAAATTAAATATTGAAAACGCTAATAAAAATTTGCATGGAAATAAAAAGTTAAGACAATTGCGTTTTATAATTCTAAATAATAAAAAATTGAGGTCTTAAATATCTAGATTTTTCTATTTTCCCTATTATTGGTTTTTATATAAGGGACTAAAGACTTATTGGCTACTAAAATCTTTTTGCTATAAAATAATCTTTATCTCAAAAATAAGCAATTAGAATTGTAAAAATAATTAGAAATGGAAGGAGTTCCTATGATAGAAATAATATGCAATGATAGGCTTGGCCACAGAGTTCGAGTAAAGTGCAGCCCAGAAGACACAATTGCAGACTTAAAACTTCTTATTTCTGCACACACTGGAAATCGAGCTGAAAAGATCAGGCTTCAGAGAGCAAACATTGTTCTTAAAGACCAAATTACTCTTGCAGATTATGAAATTCATGATGGGATGGGCTTAGAGATGTATTACAATTAGCAATTTATTAATCTAACGAACTATCTTCCTCGCAGCCTTTATTGAGTCAAAATAATTTTTTGCATTTTCAGGCAACTCTTCAAGCTTCATCAACTTCGGGATCGGCGTCTTTTCTTCATTTTGTGATTTTTTTGGAGTTCCAGTTAACTTTCTCTTAGAAACCCTTTGAGATGCTTCACTTGCTTTCTCTGAAAAAGTGAAAAATCCTTCACTCTTTAAAAAAGGAGTGAATCCAAAAGAAGATCTGCTTGTTTTTGGAGCAAAGCTGGATTGATGAGATGAAGATTTATTTTCTTCGGACTTCGCTCTTTCTTGCTTCCTTTTGATAAGCATTCTCTGTATATATTTTGATGCAACAATGTCTTTTAAGATTTTTTTATAAATAATTGTATCTTTATATTTCACAAGAAGAGATCCAAGCTGTAAATTTCCTGTAGCTATTTGCTCTACAAATAAAGCCGTAAGCACAAACTTTTTGGTTCGATATCATTTGTAAGCTTTTTGGATTTTTATTGCAGCTTTTCGCCACATCGTAACTTTCTGTCTCACAAGATACCCTTTTATGTGAGCTTGAAGCTTGACTAAAGGTGGGGTTTCCATTGTTTTAGCACCTGCTTGAGGAGATTTTTTAAAATTTCATAATGAAAGCTGGCTGATGCTTTCTTTAGGGATCTGACGTCGAAGGCTTTTAACTACACTTGGGTCAAAATCCTTTATTGGATGAGGCTGAGGACTATAATTTTCAGGAAGAAATCCAAGTTTAATCATATAAGTCTTAAATCTTGGTGATCCTAGGGGGTGAACTGTAGTTTCTAAAATTTTTCTTTGGCCAAACTTCATATCTCTCCCAAACATTTCTCTGCAGATTTTCCTTGAAATTGTGACATCCCTTTGGAAGCTTTCCTGCCTTTTTCTTAATTCCTTTCGCTTTTCTTCTGCTTCTAAAAGGTATTTATCATCTAGCTCAGAATGAGCCCTTTGGTGTGCAACTTTAGCAGAAAGATAAGAGTATCTCGATTTATTTAACTGTTTTACATCAATTTGAGAGTTTCCAATGATATGATCTGCAAACTTCACCTTTGCAGATTCATAATCTGATTTATTCTTTTTTCATTTCTGAATCATCTTTAGCCCTCCTATGGCATGCTCGAATTCCTGAACTTTATTCAAATAATCAGCTTGATTTTGCAAAGTGAGAAGATTTGAGCTCGTCATCCCAGTCCTTTCTTGCAGCATATTAAGCTTGATCATTTCTTCTTCTGATGAGTCCAGCTCTTCTCTGTCTTTGACTATTTTTTTAAGATTAGAAATGGAAGATCTTGCTTTCTTTTTTTTATCTTCAGTTTGAAAATTAGTGCCATTATTATAGTCTAGGTCATTAGCTCATGGAGAATGCTTGTCGTATTTTCATTCAATGTCTTCTCTTGTTTGAGTAGGCCTCAGATCCCTTTCCATTTCTTTAAAAAGTCTTGTTTTAGCTATTGAGTTAAAGCTATGAGACTTTCGAAGCATTGACTTAAACAGTTTTTCTTGCTCTTCTGTCCACTCGATTCCTTGAAAATTGCTTCTTGTTGTAAGGAAATCCCTGGAATAACCAGAAATATTCAAAATCTTATAAAGCTCTGAAGGGTTTTCTTTTATCATATTAGCTATTCTTTCATTGAGAGCTTTGTGCTGAGAAGAGTCTTTTGGACTTATGTTTTCTGAAATTAGTGACTTAGTATCGAACATCAATTGCATTAACTCACCTAAAGAATTGCTATTCTCAGAATTTTTTTGATAAGAACTTCTTGCTGAGTTCAATGTTGTTAGTGCTGTTTTTTGATTTTCTTGATTTTGGGAAGATCTTACTTTGGGTTTGAATGATTTTTCTAATTTTAAATCGCATAAACTATCTGAATTTGTCTTTCTCAATTTTTTTCTTTGCTTTTTTGAGTTTGCATGCTTAATGGTTGATGAACCAGAAAATAGAAATCCTTCTGATGGGTTTGTGCTTCTTTCAGAGCTAAGAGGAATGTGAGAATTTGCCTTACTCCCCCCCCCTCCGTGAGTAAGCAAAAAAAATTTTGTTCACTCACGGAGGGGGTTCATTTTTTTTTAAACTTATATAAATTTTTTAGAAAAAATTGTTTTTTGAAATTTTAAAAAAATCTAATTTGCAAAAATCACAAAGCAAATGTTAGTTTAATTTATAAAATTTATGCTTTAAAACACAATTTGTTTTTAAAATTAAACAGATTTAGCTCGAGATTTCATTATACTAATTATCACTTATATATCAATTTTTTTCATAAAAAAATATTTCTATTAAAAACATTTTTGTTCACACTCCGAGGGGGGTTTTTGAGCAAAAAATAAGGATTTTTCCAATGATTTTGTTCACTCTCAGAGGGGGAGGGAGTTAGTTAAGTATTTTTTCAATATTTTTTTGCTTGGCCTCTTTGAGGAAAGAGCTTTCGAATGAACTTTAGGCGATTTTTCAAGGTCAGAGTCCGATTCGATCTGCTTAAAAACTTCTTTCAAGTTTATAAACCTCCATTCATCTTTTATGCCCATTGTCAGAATCTTCTTTTGCTTTAATTCTCCATTTTCTTGCAGTGTTTTATCTTCGGTATGACTTAGAATTTTTTCAGTTTTTGTTTTCTTACTAGAAATTTCTGATTTAGTTTTCTTTTTCGAGTAATGCAGAGGAGAAGTCGGCATTGAATTAAATTTAAAATTGATTAGCTTGCTTGCAGATGCTGAACATTTATGCTTTGATGTTTTTTTTTTAAGTCTTTCCATTACGATGCCTTGATGTTCTTTATTTAAAAATTTGTGATCTGAAATACGTATTGGACTGATTTTAGGGTTTGGTCCTGGCATAAGAGAGAGATCAAGGCTATCAAGGATTTTTAAATAATGCTTTTGAGACTCTTGACTAACTCCCCCCTCCGTGAGTGAACAAAATAATTTTGTTCGCTCACGGTTAATTTTTTTTTTTTAAAAAAAAATATATATATATTTTATAGAATTTTTTCTTTTCAAAAACACAATTTGTTTTAACAGAATTAGGCAAAAAATAGGGATTTTTCTAATGGTTTTGTTCACTCTCGGAGGGTGGAGTAAGCATCTTTTCAGCAGCGTCATTTGTAGCTATTTCATTTTCAATTTTATAGAGATCATTGTTTTTTATGAGAGGAAGCTTCGCAAGTTTTTTCTCTTTATCATCATTTTGGCTTTGCATGAATTTTTCATACTCTTCTTCAGTAAGAATCAAAATTTCTGCATCCATTAAAACATAATTTCGATTTTGCATTACAGCGGAGACATAATAAATATGAAGAATTAATGATTGAAGACTTTTTAATTTAAATCATTGAAGATTATAAATTCATATGCCGGAAATGGTGCAAATAATCAATTCATTTACTTAAATAAAATTTGAAAACAAAACTTAAGCAATTTAAGTTATAAGAAGAATAATTTGGATTAGTGGAAAACTCTGGCATTGCCTTAGTTAATTTATATTTACCAGAAAATCAATCACATCATTGTAAGAAGATATAAAATCATTTGAGGATTAATGGCCAAGGATCAAAGTTTAAAAGATAATGAGTATCTCTGATTTAACTCCAGGATCAATTTCAAGCAATTTCTTATTAATGGGACTAATAATTGAAGACATAGTGAAAATTTAAAAATGGGGCAAAGAGCAAATAAATGAGACTGAAAGCACTGGTGACCTTATTTATAAGGAGATACCGTTGTACTTCCATGTGGCATCATATTGGACTATGAAGAGTATAATTCTTTCACTGTGCGAGATATTTTAAAATTTAAAGATTCTGGAGCTGTCACGGGATGGTGAAAGAGGGAGGATCTTCAAATGATGAGCAATCGCAAAGTGTTTGCTTTAAATAACTATTTATTGAATCAAATCTGAATTTGCTTTTGACTTCATTTTTTAATTTTAGAGACTATCTGATTGATATAAACAGAATATAAAAATTATCTTAAGTTCGATACATAAAATGACGATAACGTCCAGCCCGTCCTCTTTTATGACAGTTACCCAAGAGTTGGGCCAGCAACATCTGATGACTTAAAGTGAGGGCCTTAAGTATAGAATCGCGTTTTGTGCCTGATCCAATGGGCAGTTACTCGTAGTTGTTACCCAAAATGGAGCAGGGTGAATACTCGCTCAAGGCTGATATTGTAGTTTGACCTATATAGAGGAAGCAATTGATTATTTTTCCAAGATAAACTGAAAAAAGGGGAAGCAAATCAGGCAACTATAAGGAGGTCTCTCCATCAAGAGGTCCCTTAGATTGGGCGATCCTGACAGAAGTATGAGGCATGAGTTATTGCAATTAGGGCTAAGGGACTGAGTTGAAAGCGTTGGTGCTTAGCTATGGTTTGCAGAACAATAGGGAAATCACTACTGAGAAACAAGGGGCTTAAGTCTTGGCTCAGATGCACCTAATAATGAAATCCACCCAATTTGCTAGGGTACCAAAACATCTAACGAAGCTGTGCATAATGCCAATCATGGAAGTGGGGACATTAAATATGCAGCATTAATGTAATGCAATCTTAAGTCCGAATAAGCCCAGGAAAAGATAATTCAAAATAGTAATTTTTGGAGAAGTATATTGCTTAATTAAATCTAGGGTTTAATATACAAATGGTAATATATGATTTGGCTCCATATCAAATGGCCGTGGATTTTTGACAGTGTACATTTTATCGAAATGCATTTGGTCGAAAATTTTTGATAGTGCGAGATTTGGCCTAAAAAATAACAGTTTTTTTCGGTCAAATATCTCACTTTCAAAAATTTTCGATCAATTTCGGTGAAATGGCACTATCAAAAAGGCAAATTCATTTGACCTGCACCCGTATGATTTATCTCAAGCGGCTTTTCAATAAGTCTAAGCCTAACCAAGTTGAATATGTAGAAGCTTCAAAGCCTGATATAAGAGTTCAAGAAAATTTTGATGTGAAATCATTATCAAAGGATAAGGTTAAAGAAATCTTGGAATCTCAATTATCCACTCAATACACAGAATCTGAGCAAAACCATAATATCATATCAGAAGAGATAAGACAGGTAAATACAATTCGTGAAATTGATGACCGCATAAAGCAACTTGAATTTTTTTTAGAAATAGCAAACCATGGGCTTTATTTGCAAGTGATGAATAATTATGACAAATTTGGTAATTTCTAAGTAGTAAATGGAATGGAAAACATCCAACTTATCTCAAACTTATTATCCACAAGCAAGCTTCTTTCTCAAAAAAGCAGATCAGATATATCATCTCTCCAAACATCTCTGCTGGCTAAAACCCTTAAGCTAGTTTATTTATCCAAAAAGAAAAGCAAGCTCCGGGGTCTTATAGAGGAATTAGATCATTTTGGTGAAATATGCTTCTCCACAAGCCTCAGCATTAAGCAAGCTATCAAAGAAGGAAATTTATATAAAGCTTTGGAGTTATGCAACGAAGCAAGTGAAAAATTGAAAACAGTTGACGTTTCAAAATATGAAGGATTAAAAAGCATTCAAGCCACTTCTGATAAAAAGCGGGGCAAAGTCTACTTGAAAATGAAAGAAGGCTTACGCCAGCTTTGTCAAAGGTTTGAAATGAATTTATACGAAAATGTTTTGCTTGCTTATACAACAACTGCTACTTTTGCAGAAGTGAACCTTGCAATTCATACTGAATTCATGAACTCTATCACTAGAATTATTAAGCAAGCTTTAGAGCAAGCCTTAGCAAACGAAGCTTCTGCACTCTCAGTTGAATCCATGACGAATTTGCTTAACTCAACAAATTATTTGACAGCTCTTAGATTAATGCTAAGAGATCTCACAAATCTGATGTACAATCACCACTTAATCAGCAGATGGCATGAAGAGAATGAGTAATTCTTATTTAGTCAAGCATATAAAAATGAAGTCTATCCTGTCACACATTTATATATAAAAGATGAAAATAGACTTAATTCAGTCATTGAGTTTTATTCAGCAGTCAAGCTTGACTTGTTGAGAAATAGGAAGCATATTTGAGAAAAAATGCAACAAAGGCTTGCGAAGTTTATCAACGAAGGGAACCAAATTTTGAGTTTGAAGATTAATGAAATTGGCCAAGCATTGGGATGATTGAACACGTTTATACAAATAGGTGAAGATTTCTCTGGGACACCTAGCTCTGAGCTGAAAAAAGCTATTGAGAAAAAATGTGTAGACTATTTTAATTTTTTTCATCAGAAAACTTGGAACAATTTATCGTAAAAAATATATAGAAACTTGCTTGAGGCTGAACAATGATCAAGACTGCCAATCCCTAAAGATTTTGATATTTCTCAAGAAATTTATAAATGGATAAATGACTCTACAACAATTCTAAAAGCTTTATGTGACCATTTCGACGAATACAATTTTACATTTTCTTCAATTGCGAGAGGCAATCCTTTTGATATAAGAGAAGATTTAAACAACGAAGATGAAGCAGACAAAGATTATTTATTTTCAAAATCTGAAGAAAGCCAGCTTTCATCTCCAGGCCTTCAGCTCTCAGAGAATGCGCCTGTCCTATGCATTGCAGCTTTAAATTTTATCAAGGCAATTGGCAGCTATTTACAATTGATGGCCATTTTGACTCCGATCTCGTTTGAAGTCTTCTTAGCTTTGAGCCAAATGGTTGAATATTTTTCATTTTCGATATATGAAATGTTTTCTAATGAAGGCTCAAAAGGATTACTGCAAGCTGAAGTCTCATGAAGGGGCTTACAAGGAGAAGACTTGGAATCAAGCTATGATACATTTTTATTCCAAAAAAAGTATAAAAATCTATCTACTTCAATGGTGAGAATTAAAGATTTTTTGGACTCAATGAATTCTGAAGGAAAATATAATATGTCGCCCCTAAAAAAGCAAATCACTCAAACCTCAGCTGGGCTTTACAATATAGCGGAAACTATAATAGCAATTGAAAGCTTAAAAAATATCCTTCATGCTACCCATATTGGAGAAAACTACATGAAAAAGGTGATTCCTGAAAGCCAAATGAACTACGTTTTCATCTTTTTTGATAACACCCACAAAATTATTGAGGAATTAGAAAACTTTTTAGCGGAAACTCAGATTCCAAGACTCATTAAGCCTGATTGGCTTAATGGAATTGTTACAGGGCTCAAATGAGATGAAAATAAAAATGAAAGCAATGCTTTTATTGACAGATTATTGCACATTGTAGAAGACACGAAGGGAAGATTAGTTGCCATTGGTGGAGGGAGCATCCCTGTATATTTGCAAAATAAGATACTCACCAAGGCAGTAAAATATTTATATGACTATTTGATTGATGTGTTCTCTAAGGTAAAAAAGTGCAATAGTGCAGGGAGAGAACAAATGCAGATTGACTTGTTAGCCTTTCAAGAAGGATTGAAAGAATTCTTTCCTGAAGCACCAAATCTTGATGCCCAGCTAGAGTATATCACGATATGAAGCCAGTCACCTGATAATGTGGTGAAGTGGATACTAAGCCATACAGAACTGTCATTAAGATTACATAAATTGCTTTTTAGCACTAGTCCACAGGTCATGTCTCTAAATAAACAGACAAGAGCGCAGCTCCTACTTAGTATTGAAACTCATTACAAAGAGACAATAGAATAATAAAGTTAAAAATCCTTAATAAATTTAGGTGATAAGTGAATATAGCATTAAAAATCTCTAATTTAAAAGAGCACTTGATTGGGATTTCATATCAAAAAAATAAATTATTATTTATATACTGTTTTTCTATGAATTTTATTTGAGCAATTTACATTATATGAAAAGAAGCCTTGGGCTTAATCTAGCAGAATACTTAAAACTTATTTCATCAATTAGCGGTTTTGAATGAACATGGTTCCTTCAAGCATCCCTCTTTTAGTGGAATCATTAGTATTAACTTAGATTATAGAAAAACTCCCTGTTGGGATTCGAGTATCCTTATTCCCTTCCATAATGATTCATTCGCTTGCTCGCCAACAATTGTTACACTACATTCAAAGTGTTCACTCCTGGGTCAACCCTTTCCAACCTTAACTCCATCTTCTCTTGAGGAAAAATGTTCACCGGGATGGGCTAAAGGCTAGATCAGCTCTAGCCTCACCGCTTCACTTGACAAGCCAACACCTTGGCTGGCTATACACCCCGAGTACCAATTTCCCTTCCACAAGGTCCCGAAGCCTGTTAAGGGCCTCAGCTATATGCATTGAGAAAAAGTGCTGTCTCACCGTCGCCATTTAATGTATATTCTTTTAGTGGAATCATCAATTGCAAACTTCGTTTTATTAATACTTACCTCTCCCATATGAGCAAATAAAACCCCTATTTTTTAGGAAAATTTTTTTAATATAAAATATACTTTTATGAAAAATATTTAGATATATTAGTGATAATTAGTATATTAAAAACCTATAATTAATTCTGTTAAATTTTAAGCAGCTCGCGTTTTTAATTTATCAAGTTAATTAATTTTTTGATTTTCCAATTTTTTGAATTGCTTTTTTGTGAAAAAAATAATAAAAATATATATATAATATTTTAAATAAATTAACCTCCCGCAATGAACTAAATTTTTTATTCGCTCACAGAGGGAAGGGGAGTTACAAAATCAGTTTTGTTTGATTCCTTCGCTTCTTCTTCTTTCATTTTATAAGATGCACTGACAAAGTTCAAGTGCCTCCTTTCAATGCTATCAGCCTTAACTGTTGAAGTCAGCATAAATTTAAACAGCATTGCGATGTTTTGGGGTTGTGGCCTGTAAAGCAGAGCAGGAAATCTTTTGGTTTGAAGAATTAGTCCAACAAGAATCAAAGCACACCATCCTGAGACTTTTATAATCATAAGTAAGAGATACCCTCCATCCATTCCATGAGAAACGCTTGTCAAAAGAACCGATCAAGCCACACAGGCCAATAAATCGATTTGCCACATATTAATTCTATCATAGTTATATGGAGGTCTCTTGATATTATACACAATATAGGCAATAATCAAGCCTAAATACACAAATCCTTGGGCAATAGGATCATATAGCGAGATCATTTTATTTAAAGTAATAAATAAGACTTGAGTAACACTTTTAGTCATGATATATTCAGGCTGGCATCTTATATTTTGGTTATCGTCGTCTTGAATATTAGTTCAATGAGGTCTATTGAAAACTGCAATCGGAAAATATAAAATTAAAGCAAAAATACAGCCTATTGCATAGCCCAAATGCGTACCTTCCCAGCAATATTGGTAGCAGTCTGTATCCATGTAACTTTCATCAAGATCATTTCCTATGCTTTTTGAGCATTTAAAAACAGTTAATAAAATTGTCATTATTGGCACAAAAAGCATATTCCCCAAAAGAGGCATTAAATAGTCTTTGAAGCTATAAATCCATCGAAAACAGAAAATTGATTTAATTAGCCGATCATTATGAGACATGATTAGGGCAACAGTTACCAGCCAAAAGCATACAGTTCCTAGCACAATATTCAGCCCTATCCAATAGACTTCGCCTTTAAACTCAACAAATTTGTCTATATCAGCATTGAAAAGTCCACTTAAATAATCAGTTACTGGGTCCTCTTTAAATACTGGTCCAATATTGATATATTGAAAAATTTCTATCAGCATGGTAGCCATGACCACTGAGTCGGCGAATTGGATTTCTTTTCTTAGTGTTAATTTTGGATAAGCCTTAGTAAAATTTCCTTTCCATATGACTACTGTAATTACCAATGCAATGACAGCAACACCTGAACAGATCGTTGTGAATGCAGCAATGCCTTTTGTTGAATCTTCTGAAAGAGACTCATCAAATGGGCAATCTGATTCTATCACAACAGTATCTGTGGGTACTGTGTATGAAGGCCCAGGCCATATGATATTTGAACTCATTTGAATTGGGGTGCTTGAAGTTGGAATATAATACCCTGATATACTTTCATTATAAATCCCAGTTGTATTTGCTGCGTAAAAGTTATTGATGCTCAAGATCATAAAACTCCGATCGTTTGAAGACGAATCAATTGCAATTGTCCCAGAAGCTCCCGTAATTCTTTGAGCTCTTGTATTTTTAGTCAAAACTGTGGCGTTCTCATAGTCTTCACCTTTAAAAATAGTAAAATCTATTCCATAGGCCGCTAGCAAAGTTTGGTCAAAATGTGAGCCTTTAAAACTTGGAGAATTCCCCCAGTAGCTTTTCATATTGTTCATTATGGTCAAGCCAAATTCTCCAATATATTCAACAGCTGAAACACTAATAGAGCCCGATAAAAGTTCTGTGACTTTTGGTACATATTGTTGCGGATAATTAGTTACCACAGATTGTCCACCTGTTTTTGAAGCAAGAACAATAACAAGATCGCCTTTTCTCAAACCCACATCATATAGTCCTTCAATAGATTGATAATTTGCATTTGCAGTTTGGAATGAAATAAAAATCCTGACTTTTGTGGCCTTTATGGCATCAAATACATATTTATAAGTGTCAAAATTAGTTCTCGCGTAGTTTTGAGGAAGCATCCTTTTATTTTCATCGTTTGCAATATTTATTCCAATTTTGTCTGCCTCAGTGACAAATGTTTCGTACATAGCGATATTAGAGCTTAGATTGGCATAAACAACGACCACATTTTTTCATCCAAATATTTGGCAAAGCTTTGCCAAAATTACAGCGTTGTAATTTCCATTTGGAATCACTCTCATAAATTCAGGGTAGAGAGTTTTGTTTGATAGCAAAGGACTTGAAACAGTTGGGCCAACTGTCATCATCGTGAGATTTCACTCTCTAAATAGAAGGATATTGCCAACAGTAGTTGCATAGTAATCTGAGGATAGATTTACTAGGCCTAGTTTTGATTTTAAAGGGGCATAGCAAGCTCCTGTTTTGTCGTGATAAAAAGACATAGTTCCGCAGCTATTTGGAGTAAATTGAATTTGGAAATTTTCAAGGTGTCTAGTGCCGCAGCCCAAAAGGGCTATGGCAAAACTAGTGACGTATGCGAGCCATCTTGGAACAGGTCAGCCCCGTCCAAGCCTTCTATCAACTTCTGCTTCACTGGCCTTGCTGCACGTCTCACCCGGCGCGTTGCCGTCTCCCTTGTCGCTCGACTCAGCTCCTGCGCGTGCTCCGCCTAAGGGTCATCCTCCCGTGGGGATGTGCTGAGAGGTAAAAGCCCGAAATCTTGAGTGGACTGACGAGTGGTTCCTCTGGTTATCCCCAGAGTTAAACCGCTATTGCTGTCCAGAAGTCTTCGAGTGAAAACCTAACCCTATAAATAAAATTCCATGAGGGAGAGAAAATTAGCAGAGCTAATTTCTCTCGAACCGAATGCCATTTTATTTATATGAATTTGGAAATTTTCAAGTATGGCCAAGGACTGTTTATTCTTTGCTTTGGACTACCAAATAGAGCCCCAACTCGTGGAATTGTTACTCTCCCCCCCATCCTTGATCGAACGACTCGCCATCGTTCGATCAAGGATGGGGGTTAAAAAAAATTTTTTTGGGAAAAAATTTTATATATAAAATAAAATATATATATAAATTTTTTTTTATTTACTTTTAAATAAGAGGGTTAAGAGTATTTAATAATTATTTTTTTACAGCAAAAAAATTGAATTAATTTCATAAAAATACCAATTTTTTATATTTTAATTTATTAGTTACCCCTTTAAACTGTATAAATTTTAATTTGTTACTTACTACTCCCCCCCCCCCCCCTCCGTGAGCGAAACAAAAAAATTTTGTTCACTCACGGAGGGGGGTTTTATTTTTTTTTTTTTAAAAAAAAATTATATATAAATTTTATAAAAAAATATTTTTTTCGAAATTTAAAAAAATCCTAATTTGCAAAAATTGGGAAGCAAATATTAATTTAATTTGCAAAATTTATGTTTTAAAACGCAATTTGTTTAAAATTAAACAGAATTAGCTCTAGATTTCATTATACTAATTATCACTTATATATCAAAATTTTTTTCCATTAAAATTTTTTCTATATTAAAAAAATTTTGTTCGCTCACGGAGGGTGGGTTTTTGGTCAAAAAATGGTGATTTTTCTAATGGTTTTGTTCGCTCACGGAGGGGGGGGGGGGAGTTATTAAATTAAAATTTTTTTTTTTTAAATTTTAAAAAATCTCTATTTTATTAGATTATTGAGTTTTTAAGCCTATGTTGATGACTAAATTACTTTGAATGGTTGATTCCGAAGCTTTCTATCGTCTCAAAGTCTCTGAAAACAACTTCATTAGGTATATCTTCCCAAGCTTTTGATAACTATTATATTTTTATATATATAAAAATTTGCATGATATGAAAATCGTTCGATCAAGGATGGGGGTTAATTTCCCCAATTTTTAGGAATTTTTACAGTCAATCGTTCGATCAAGGATGGGGGGGGAGTTAGATAAAAAAAGATCCCAAAGCAAATCCTCAAGATGGCAAATGATAAGTATGAGCACATTTGTCAATTCATCGAGTTAGTTTGGCAACTTTTGGCACGAACCAATTCCAAGAGTTAGAACTCATTTGGTAGCTGAGGACAAGCAATAAGTTTTCCTGGGGTATATAATTGAATTGTTATTTATTCAATCTCTTGCATAGAAATTCCCTTGTGCTTGGGCTGGCTATATAAATTATTAAAATGCATATGATGAATCAACCCACCCTTAATCCTGTAGTTGGCATCTCGCTGGGTGTGCAGAGACCTTGAGGAAGGGAGTAATAATTCGGAAATTTGTAGAGCTTGATAAAGCGCAATGCCGTATGCTCAGGGTTTTGTCTTATAGGAAAATGGAGCAGAGAGCTTCAAATGATCTCCAACAGAGATAGAAATAGCTTCTTAGCCAATCGAGACTGAAACCGGAGTTCCGCTCTGGGGTTTTGGAGTTCCATTTTGGCCAATATTCAGCCAGAAATTCAACAATTTTGAATTTTCAATGGCCCGCAGCATATTTGGTGAATGGCACAGTGACCAACTCTTCTATGCTGGGTAGCGAGCATAGACCATCTTCGGTAGGATATACCTTCTCGATGCCATCAAATCCGATCTGGCGGATAAGTGGGAACGTTATGGAAGGAGGTAGTCCATCAGGAATTAAAGCAGACTTTTCTATAAGTAAGAAAATGTTAATACAGATCCTTGGACTGGCTGATATGCATTAAAGCTTCCATCGAGCTCTTGGCCTGAAGTGGTTAAAGACATCCACAGTATTGCTTTTGAGGTTACCGGCTTGTCTGTTGTGTTACCTGGAAAAGTAATGTTATCTGAAATTAAGAGTTCACCACCCACCAGAGCGCCAGTGATTTTTTTGGCTGAATTAACGATATTTACTAAATAATAGCTCGGCTTTTTCCCCGAATCTAATGTGTTTACTTTCATAAATTGCTTAATGGAGTCGCTATCATAGCTGACTCCACCAATGCTAGAAAGAGAATTAATATGCCCTAATATTGAATCAGTAAAACTTTTGATCGCAAGAGCTTCATATTGCTCATATGATGTAGCACCTTCTAATCCTTGCTCAACTATATATAAAAGTCCATCTTTTAAACTCCCTCATATACCTTTACTTCATATCAGCAATCCCGCCCCTTGCTTATATATCTTTTTATTCTCAAGAGAAGTAGCAAACATATCTATGAAATTCCCTTCACAAAACACAACAAATGTTTGCAGGCCATTAGGCTTTAGAAGCCTCCCAGCAATTGAGTCCATGTTGTCTTCCGTAATGCTGTTTGTTATTACAATATTTGATTTAACTTTCCTTGAAAAATCTTTGTCAAACTCACTTGTAATCCTTACAGATTCGATTGATTGAGTACTAATAAGAGCGATTTTATTCCACCCTAAATAATTTGTTATAATTTCAGTTGCATTCAATTGGTTTTGCCAAGGTACGTGTAAGTAATACTGCAATGAGCCGGTAGGAGACATATTAGGATCCAAAAAAAGGTTCAAAATTCCTCTTGTCTCTGTGGCAACTAGCAAATATTGGCTCAAATTTATGTCAAAAGTGGCGTCAATTGCTACTGGAATCTCCCCTTTAAAATATGAATCAAAATCTGTGGTCTTGTTTGCTATGATGAAAATTATTTCGAATGCATAAGGATTTCCAATGATCTGGATTAAGTTGGCTTGGAAATAAGTAATTAATGTGTTTGGTGTATTATTTCCGAAAAAGACAAGCAAATTGATTGATGCGCACACAAGCGTTGTAAGAAATAAAAATCGGATTACCATCAAATTTATTATATAAATGAACAGAATTTTACCTTGCACAATAAGATTCTTTTTAAGTTTCGAAATAAATATAGTTTTATAATCCTGCTGGCCTGAGCTGGATTATTTTTAATATTTTAACCAATATTGAGGGATTTTTAAGCTTAATTCAAATTACTTAAACATAAAATGGTCGAAATAATACTCAGAAGAAGTTGAGCTTTTTTTTTATGGCTGTTAAAATTCAAGAAAAAAAAACATCCAGAAAATCTCATTGCAGGCTACTTCCTTTGTGAGTCATATTAATTATACTTTTCTTACGAGGTTTTATTGCTTTAATATGAATTCTACTAAAATTAATTGCATTCGTCTTGAGACTAACCTAGATATGATACTATTTCGACATCTCAGAATCTGAATAATCTATGAAAAAATATCAGAATTATTTTCCCCTTCCAAGTTATATATATTTGCTTTGGTTTTGCTATAGAATCCATGACTTCAAGTATCAATCAGTTATTAATCCATATTATTAACATTAAGACTGAATTAATGCTATTTCAAACTATTTCGGTCATATAGTTCTCAATCTATTTTTTTGATTGCTTAGAAAATAAATAGAGAAATGATAATCTGTCCTTATAATCTGCTGGATTTAGAATTTTTCAACTAACTTTATTATTCAATCATTTATTAAAGATTTTATTAACAAAATGCAATAATAATAGAATATAAATTCTCGCTTCTAAGCATTATTTATAAATGTCCACTACCATCCAAAGCAGCCAGGAGCCTTTGCTTGAAGAAAATCAGTTCAAATTCAGAGATCTGTTTTCAGAATTCTCAAGAAATGCTATTCATGTTGCAGTTGGTTTAATTATTCAAGTCCAAATTAGATCAATGAATCTAATATTTTTATCTGATAAAGATATTAAAATTTCTGCTGGAGTTGGGCTAGGGAATATGTGAGCAAACATGACTGCAAATGCATTTTCTCTTGGACTTGCTGGAGGACTAGATACTTTATGTTCAAAAGCTTACGGAAAACAAAAATATCTAAAGGTTGGAAATTGATTAAACAGAGGAATAGTTGTTATGATGATTTTCTATCTATTTGGGATAAGCACATGATTTTATGTGAAGCACATTATGGTGCTAATAAATATAAATGAAGAAGTAGCTGAATACTGTGAGGATTTTTTGTATGGCTCTGCGATTGGATTTTTCTTCTCTTACTTATATGAAGCATACAAGCGATATTTTCAAGCACAAGGGGTTTTTTGGCCTTGAATGACAATTGGGTGCATTACGGGAGTTGTTCATTCTTTATGGGCTTATATTTTTATAGTAGTATTTGATTTTAAAGCTTTTGGTGCTGGCTGTGCTACATCAATAACGTATTGCTTGCTCCCCCCCTCAGTGAGTGAACAAAAACATTGGAAAAATCCTTATTTTTTGTGGTCAAAAACCTGCCTTCTAAGTGAACAAAAAAGTTTTATAAAAAAAATTTTTTATATATAAGTGATAGTTAGTATAATGAAATCTCTAGCTAATTCTGATGAATTTTAGAGCATATATTTTACAAATAAATTAATTTTTGGTTATAGAATTTTCCCATAGATGGCGCTGCTTGCCCTTGATTTGCCCACTGTGAAAATTTTTGGTTCGACCAGTACCATATGGTTTGGTTAAACCAAAAAATTTTCCTAGTGGGCAAACCAAAGGCAAACACAGCGCCATCTATGGGAAAATTCTATACCAATTTTTAATTGGGATTTTTTTTAAATTTTAAAAAAAATTTAATCCCTTCATATCGAAAAAAATTTTTTTTGCTCACTCACTGAGGGTTGGGAGAGTTTAAACTTTTTGCTGCTTTTGCTTTATAATCATATTTACAAATTTGATAAAAAATCTAAATCACCTTGGACAACCAGGAAGTTTTGGAAGCAGGAAAAAATGTTCCTGAAAATAGCATTTTCTTCAGCGCTTTTATATTTCTTCGTATTTTTCAACTATGAAATTGGGCATATAGAAGCAGGGCAGCTCAGTGTCCCAATCCAAACAGCTCATGTATGCATGGTAAGTTTAAGCTCTGTCATATTTATGATACCAGTAGCAAGTGGACAAACTGTTGCTGTGTCTGTTGGTAAAGCATTGGGAGCGGGCAACAGAAAAAAAGCTCATAATTATGTAAATGCTTCGTTTTTATTCCTACTCCTAACAGTATTTCCTTTATCTGCTTTAACAGTCATTTTAAGAAACATATGGCCGGCTTATTTTTCCACTGTAAAAATCATATAGGATCTTGAAGTGCAAGAAATTGCGGCTAATACTTGCTGGATGCTGGGGATACTTCTAATGGCAACTGCATGCGAAACAAATCTTCAAGGAGTTCTTAGAGGAATTGGATTACAAAATAAAGCTGCAATAGTATTTTTGCTGATATACTATGTAGTGGGAATGCCATCAGGAGTTTTGTTTACATTTATTTTTGAATGGAATCTGAGTGGAATTTGGGGAGGGTAATAGTCATATAGTTTTATTGTTGCTGAGTCTTTGGCATCAATAGGTATGCTAGCTTTGCTGAAAAAAGTAGATTGGCTAAGCGTAAAACACAAATAAGAATCTTAATTATTCACTTTTAAATTGGAACAAAAAGTCCTGTTCAAATTTAAAGGGGTAATTTTTTTTTTTAAAAAATTATATTTAAATTTTTCTTCATAATTTTTTTTTTTAAATTAAATACAATACTTTGTATTTTTATGAAAAATTAAATAAAAAAGTTATAAGATTTGACTTTAAAACTGTTTAAATAACATTCTACTTGCACTTTTCTATTAAATTAGGTCAAAACTAATTTTTTATAAAAATTAGTATTTTTATTTTTAAACTTTTTTAAAAAAAAAAATAAAAATTGAGCACAGTACCCTCAATTTTTTATTTTTATGAGAAATTAAATAAAATCATTAATAAATTTAGTCTTAAAGATGTTTAAATAGCATTCTACTGGCATTTTGTCTATTAAATTAGGCAAAACTAATTTTATAAAAAATTAGTATTTCATCAAATAAAATTTTCCTATTGAAAAAAAATTTGTTCAAATTTAAAGGAGGCTTAAAGTACCCAAAAAATTCAAATTTTACCGATCTTTATTCCAATTTAAAGGTGGGAAGTTAGTGTTAATAGCTATAAATAATTGAACAATAATGGAGTAACTCAAATCATTATTAAATTAGTTGTATTAGAAGATGGAATTAAGATACAATTTAAAATTAAAAAGGCCATCTATTTCACTCAACCATAATTAATCTAATATTAAATTTTTGTTTGATTCTGTTGAGTAGGATGCTTATTTTTCTATCTAATCTATTTCTGCTGACGATTGTTTTATTATCTATATGAGAAGATTGATAAAAATTTTTCAATTATTTTCTTTAATTATCAAAAATTTTAATAAAAACTTACCAATTATTGCTTTTAATTAATTTTCTTTTTTAGTATTTTTTGTAAGGTGCTTTTGTGTTAAATTCTGGCTGCAAAAATTGCTCAATATAATCTTCATAAAACGTATTCAATCTAAATGTTCTCCTGTTTATTTCTCTTATATCTTGAGCTCTCGCAAGAGTTTTGATATAATCCATCAAGTTAAAGAGCTCTTTATCGTGTGGATCATCATGTCATGATATAATAGGAACTCCATTATCCAGCTGGTACCCAAAGCTATATGCAGCATTATCGACGATCACTATGTCTTGGATTCTTCTATTTGCCAAGATCCTCAAGTCTTTAATAAAAACTCCTTGGACATTTATGCAATTTTCTCGGAATAATCTATGATGCACAAATTCCCCAGTTGGATCAAGAAAATCAATAACGACATCCGCATAACATTTTTGGCTTGCAGTGAAAATAATGACTTCAAAATCTACACTTGCTTCTTTTAATACTTCTCTTGCATATGGTCTAATATTTATTCCAGCCTAAATGACAGTTACATTTATAACTTCGCCTGTAGGAAAAGTAATTGGAAGGATTACATCAGGCTTTGAGTTTTCTTGTCCTTCACAACAATGGACAAGGGTTTCATCTAAATCAAAAACAATAGTCTTTTTGTTCAAATACCCTGGCTTTTTTGGCAAATTCACTCTTTTAGCCTGAATTTGATGGGGATCTATAGCTGGTAGCATCTTGACGAATTTCAAAGCTTGGAAGGTTTGGAAAAGATGCTCACGGTACACAGCTTCGCTTCTTTCTTTTAAATCCTCTGTGCTTTTGGTGATTTTTGACATTTCTGGCGATTTTACTTGTGTGATTAATTGGGAAAATTCTGTCTCTTTGCGCTGCTCAGCCGCTCTAGGGCTGCCAAGCTGTTTTTCTTTGGAAATGCTGGGTTGATATATTTTAGAGGCAGATACAGATTGACTTATTTTGTTTCGATTTGATCGGTTGGTAGGTGTTCTTGACGCTTTTGGTGTCAAATTCTTTGTTGAGGCAGAATTAACTCTAGATAATGATTGCTTGGGCTGAATTTCTGATCTTGAACCAGAAATTATATTTTTATTTTGCAAAGATTGGAGAGACGCACTTGATGACAGCGTTCTCCCTGTAGAATTTGCACTATAGTTAGATTTTGGAGTTTGAGAGCCAGGGGAGCTGGGAAATTTTATTGGTTTTTTTGTTCTCGCACTACTTGATACTTTTGTTGAATCAGAAATCGGATAAATTTCAAAATTTTTTGCTTCATAAGGCAATTTAGAAGTTGAGCTGAATTGAGGACTGGCTGCTTGCGATGTATATTGGGTTTTAACGATTCTTGGACTACGCGAAATGAGATGTGGGGTTGATAATGAATTTATGTTGAATTGGTCCATGATCAAAAAAAATGATAGATTATTGGTAAAGTTGAAAATTCAAAGTTTTTGATTTTTGAAATTAATTAATTGTGGAAAAATATTTCATTATATATGCTGTTTTATATTTCCATATTTGCATTTTTATTTTCATTTTCCGATTTCTGAGAAAAGTCTATCAATATTTTACTCTCTATCCGTGAGTGAAAAAACTATTGGAAAAATCCCATAAACACACTTTCTGTGAGTAAAAAAACATTTTTTTATTTATATATTATAATGAAATCTCTAGATAATTCTGCAAATTTTAAGCAGCATGTATTTTAAAGCGGTAATTTTACAAATTAAATTCAATTTTGCTTTCCAATTTTTGCGAATTAAAATTTTTTAAATCCTTTCTGTTAACAATATTTTTTGTTAGCTAGCAAAGAGGGGGAATTAGAAATTTGATTTTTCTGTCAATTATTGTGATGGAATCAGTTAAAGTTTTAAAATGGAAGAAGCATCACCAACCCAAAGTATCGAAGTATTTATTACCTAGAATTTTGAAATAATTCGCCCACTGGGCCGTGGTGGATACTCTGACGTTTTTCATGTGAAATCAATTGAGACGAATGAAGAATTCGCTCTTAAAGTAATCAAACGAAATAAGCCAGCGCAGGCTTTGAATAGAGTAAAAAACGAAATAAGCATCCAAATGAAGCTTGAGCACCCTAACATTGTCAAGCTTCATACAAGTTTTGAGGATTCGTCATTTATCTATCTATTATTGGAATATTGCAGTGGAGGAGAGCTGCACTCGTATATCAAGCAAAAAGAAAGACTCAGTGAAAGCGAAACTAGACGGCTCTGCAAGCAGATCATTAATGGGATTGACCTTTTGCACTCCAAAGGCATTTTTCATCGAGATTTAAAGCTTGGGAATGTGCTATTGAACAAAAACAAAACAATTGCAAAAATCGGAGATTTTGGACTTGCAATCGAAATTGAAGGGGACGACGAGATGAGGAGAACGATCTGTGGGACACCAAATTATATTTCACCGTAAATTTTATTTAGAGAAGCAGCTTCAAGAAAGCCATATGGGCTGGCATCAGATATATGGGCATTTGGGTGCATTGTTTATGCGTGCTTAGTTGGAAAGCCACCATTTGATTGCCCAGAAGTAAAGCAGACATTGAATAAAGTGAAAAATTTGGATTATTCAATACCAGACTATTTAAGTCAGAATGCAAAAGATTTAATTGCGCAGTTACTATCACCTGATCCATGGAAAAGATTATCAACGAGCCAAATAATGTCGCATCCATTTTTTAACAATAATTCGATCCCAAAGTTGCAGATCAAAACGGACTACTGCAATAGAGACTATTACGAAGGAGACACGTCACCTCTTATTAAAACAGGAAAAGCAAGGACTGGAACTGATACAAAAAATGGTAGTAGAGCATCAATCGCTCATAGCACAAGAACCACTCAATCTTCTGAAGGGGAAAATATGCCTTTAAAGTATGATCAGTCACAACAAGTCAGAAGAAGCCTCCAGCTCGAAAGCATTCAGCCGCTAAGTCTTTATAATTTAGATCCATTTGTACATACTCTGAATAATGGATATATTGAGATCACAAATCAAGGAAGCATAAAGGTTTATATTGCAAAAAGACTTTTAGAGGTATCTTCTGATGGACAAGTAATATTTTACCAGGGAAAAAGGTACACTCTAAAAACAATGCCAAGATCAGCTCAAAAATTGTATCTCTATGCATCCAACTGTGTAGATGTGATAAGGAAGCATTCAGTACAAAACTCTTTTGATTCACAATATATTTAAAGTAATATAATAAATCATAATTACGAAATGGAGGTGAATCATGAACAAATATTAGAACTAAGGGTGAAATTAATTTAGAGGCAAACAAAGGAGCTTAAAGATAAATTGCAGAAAGAAAAAGAAGAGCAGGTCAGAAATAATTAGAAAGCAAAAAGCGCGGGTATTCAATTCGTAGTTGAAAAACACTCAAAAATTTATTTAAAGTAAGTTTTATTCAGAAAGCCTGCGCTACTGGAAGAGGAAGATTTTGACAGAGTTTTAGTGAATAGGAAGTTTATCAAACTAAGTCAAGTTCAAGATCTAATAACTCCAGAAACAGTTCTCGAGCAGGATTGGGTTACTGTTGGTATAATTGTTCTCAAATCTGAAGTAAAAAAGGCTAAAAACAATACCAGCTTCATTATTTTCACCTTAGGAGATCTTGAAGGTCACGAAATTAGATTTTTCTTGTTTGGAGAGGCTCATAATACTTGGTGGAATCTGCCTGTAGGAGAAGTTATCGCTCTCTTGAATCCTTCACCTTTTCAAGGCAAAGACAACAGCTTATCATACAATATTGAAAAGCCTGGAATGCTGCTCAGAATTGGAGTTTCACTGTATTATGACAAATGCAATGGTTTTATAGGTAATAAAAGATGTGAAGGGTACGTTAACATCAAATATGGAAGAGTTTGTGGGCTGCACTCAAGGCCAAAAATTAAAAGTCTTAGGCCTGAGCTCGCGAAAGCTGATTTTGTGCCTAATAAAAGAGAAAAAGTTGGGCCGCCTAAAAAGCATAATTTGCCAAGGCATGTGTATGAGCCGAAACCTTCAGAATTCACACAGTTAGATCGATATTTAGCACTGAGGAATAAGCAAAGCAAGGAATATGTTAAGCCTGTCGAAATTGAAGTAAATAATGAAGAAGTTGATGAAAAAATTGCAAACGAGTTAAAAAGGAAATTTATTGAGAAAGAGCAAAATAATGACACAGCTCTTAAAAGATTTAAGCCAAATGAAATTTAAAACTATCGTTTTATGAATTTTAAATAAATAATAAATAAATCCAATATGATTGGCTTTATGAATACCACTGAAGATGCTAAGAAATTAATTTTCGAAGCCAATGATACAACAAGGAAGACAACTTTTATTTTGCTCGGCACACTTGCGATAATTTTTATCCACCTTGGACTTTCTGTAGAAGGAACAGGAGCTGCATGGGAATGCGAGCTGGATAATAGCAGTCCAAAACATTTATACATTTGCAAACAGCTTCGTCAAAGTGCATCTTGCAGAACTCTTACAGGCCCTCTAAAAGCAGAAATACTGCTGAATTCAAATAATGAGGTCAAAGCATCAGCTTATATTGTCTGTCCTTGGGAAAACGCAATGACTGAGCTGAGGATTTGCTTTGCACTTGGGGCTGGGATGGCTCTTTTTATAGGATTATTTTCCTTAATGAAAGAAGACAAAAAACTCGCAGAATTCCATATAAACAGCACAATATTTTTCAGTTTATTATTGGCAATTGCAGCTACGTTTGATTTATTCGCGATTTCAGATTCGAGAAACAATAATTATGCAATGTGCAATTTAACCAATGATTTTGAGCTTCAAGAAGGGATTGTTGGGGAAAAAATTGAGTGCACACATACAATATATCAGGTCACTGGATATTTAGGATACGTAGCAGGTGGGCTTTTATTAGTTTCTGCTTATTATATGAAAAACTGGAAGAATAATTTAACCTTAGATTAGCAATAAAATCTTAAGTAAAAAATGTGGAAAACTATACAATACTGTCTCCAGAGATAATAGAAGCAATTGACTTCGATATGACAGTTTCGTTTGAGTTCTTTTTTACATGAGAAGATGACTGCTTCTTAATGTTTGGCAACCTTAAATATAGCTCCGCACTCATTAGCTGCTCTGCTTCATTTTTTTCACTGTTTTGTTCAAATTCCTTGACCTTTCTCAGCCGATTTTCAAGATGTCTTATTTCTTGCAAGACCAATTTATTTCTTTTTTCCTTTTCTTTCTTACTGAACGTAGTACTTCTATTGCTCATGCTATAAAGTAAAGGGAGGCTTGCAAATGTTGGGCTATCGATTTTAGTTCTAGCTTTCAAATTTGCATGTGTTCTTGAAATCTTCATTTGCTTACTCCCCCCCCCCCCTCCGTGAGCGAACAAAAAAATTTTGTTCGCTCACGGAGGGGGGTTAATTTTTTTTTTTAAAAAAAATTTATATATAAATTTTATAAAAAATATTTTTTTCGAAATTTAAAAAAATCCTAATTTGCAAAAAATTGGGAAGCAAATATTAATTTAATTTGCAAAATTTATGTTTTAAAACGCAATTTGTTTAAAATTAAACAGAATTAGCTCTAGATTTCATTATACTAATTATCACTTATATATCAAATTTTTTTTCCATTAAAATTTTTTCTATTAAAAAAATTTTTGTTCACTCACGGAGGGTGGGTTTTTGGTCAAAAAATGGCGATTTTTCTAATGGTTTTGTTCGCTCACGGAGGGGGGGGGGGAGTTAGGAGTTTCATCAGAAATTTCATCTAGTTCTTTTTCTTCTTCCTCTCCTTTTCTTTCTGGGATTTCGCTAAAAAGCTCGTTAATTTCTTCAAATATTTTGGATCGTTGGTCCTGCTCTACTTTGCTAGATAAAGGCTCCATAATTTCAAATCTGGTTACAAATTGCTCAAAATCGTCTTTAAGAGCAAAAGTGTTCTTTTTGGTAAGTCTTCTGATTTGCCGCTTCTTATGCTCTAAAATTGACTTGACAACGGGGTCAGTTGTTTTTATATTTTCAGTTGTTTCTGTGATTGAAAATAGCTCTTCCATATCTGCTGAAGCTTTTTTTAGTGCTTCAGTATTGCTTTTACCTTCAAAATTAGTTTCAAGTTGAAAATTTAGTTCTTGGGTATATTTTCCCATTGCAATTAAAATTGCTTTTAAAATTGATATTGATGTTTGTGATCTCGTCTGCAAATTTTGATGGCCTACACATATCAGTTTCGGTAAATTATTCAATATATTTAATGCACTTCGGTCTTCAAGATTTGATAAAAAATCTTTGACTTCTTTAGGATTTGTAAAGTATTTAATGATGGCATTTTCATCTTCATTTTCACTAAGGATCACTGAAAGCTCTCCAGCTTCTTGAAGAAGCTCAGTGAATGAGTTTTTACTTGTAGGTGGAAGATAAAGCGAAAACTCAAGCGGCTTTTCAAACATTGATGAAGATTTTTCATTTTTTTTAATTGATGTATCTTTTTTTAGTTCATTAAACCGCTCTTTAATGTTTTCTATTAACCCTTTAAGTGTTGAACAGTTCGCTTCGTTTTCAATGTATTCAACTTGTTTAATTAGTCTTTGGACTATTTGGATCAAGTACAATAAGGCATATATCGAAAAATTTTCGTATGAGGTGGAGAGAGAGTGTTGGAATGGTGTCGGCTTTTCTTCAATTGCAGAAAGCAGCTGGTTATAGGTTTTGAAATGATTTTTTTCAAAAAGAGAAGAGGATTTCTCTTTTATTGAATTTATTTCTATTGATAAAGCCCCTCCCAATCCAAATTCTGATAGCTCAGCTATAAGGTCCTCATGGCTTCATGTCAAATGACCGAGTATTTTTGATATGCGACGGGAAAAATTTGTTCGAAGCATCTTTGATAGGAGATATTTGACCCAAAAAAACATTAATTTCGGCCAATAGCACACTATTTAAATATTTTCGAACAAATTTGCTTTGATGAAATGCACACTATTAAAAGTCACAATCATTGGATCTGCACGTCCTCATATCGTTTTTTGTGGTCTTCTTGGGAGTCCACCAAATTCATATAGTATCTTTCTAAACTTTCATTCTTATATGCAATAAGCTGATACTCTTTAATTATCTGCTCAGCTTCATTTGGCCCAAATCTTTCTTGATTAATATCCTTGCCCACAATTTAATTAAATCGCGGCGGTGAAAAATATGCCCTTGATGACACACACCGCTTTAGGCGCCAAAATCGTTTTATAGCGTAAACCAAAGTGCAGGTCATTTAATCAGAACTCTTATGGGGCGAGTAAGTCTAGGGAGTAGCTGGTGGCGATTATAGTCCAGACATTAGTAATCCGGATAATTTTTAGGCCATGGATTCTTTCCCTGTTGGTTTCGGAGGGAGTAGGGTTTTTTTCTTGGATGCCACTCTTCCTCAATGTAGCCGACAAGAAGCATTGGGCTAACTTTACCTCCATGGAACCCCGCAAGACATACAGCACAAAGGGGTTTCTCTAGCTACTCAAAGCTCAGGGGTATTGGTCAATCCCCAGATCACAGGAGTAGACCACTGTTGAGACAGGATTCAGGCGACTGAATTCCTCTGGAAAGCAGGCTCCTGTGGTCTCAAGCGTGCGGAGCCATAAAATTTAGAAGGCTGTAAGTCCTTTAATCTTAATTTTGCCCACAATTTCTGATATTTTTTGTAAAAAAACTTTCACCTGCTCAGCTGATTCTTTATATTGCCTAAAAGACGCTTGATTCTGATTATAACTTTCCAAGGAATTTTCCAATCTACTAAATAAAACCTTCTTTTTCTGTCCATACTCTACATTTTTAAGCTTTTTAATTGTAATATCTTTTTTACTTTGCTTTATCTTCTTGTTGATATTATCAAAAATATCCTGCTTTGATTCAATTTTTTGTGATCTGATCTCTTTACTTTTATTGTAAACTTTATTCATCTTCAAAGCTTCATACTGTGCAATTAATAGGCTTGTTCCGGATTTATGGGATATAGACCGGATATCCTCAATATTTTTTGTTAGCCTGGAATATGTTGACGATATTTCATCAATTTTCCCTTTTGCTAAAATATGCTGATCTTTAGTTCTTTTTCACATATAATCTAACTGGTCAGTTGTTTCTTGCTCAAGCAATTCATTTATTTCACAATCTTTAAGTTTTTTATAAAGGCTCTCAATTTCATCAAATAACGTTTGACAACTTTTCTCAGTATTAATTCTAGCAGATGCTTGGAGGGTATTTCTTGATTTCCCCTTAATTGAGGATATTTCTTTGATTAATGAATTTATTTGCTTTTGTTTTTGCGAGTTTGAAAACACTAATTCATTCAATTTTTTCATTAGCTTTGCTTTTTGGTTATTTTCTTGAGTTAAATGGCTGAAGTCTGATTTTCGTCTGTTTAAATATTCGCTTTCAATTTCCTTATCAATTTTATTATACTCTTCGTTGAAATTGGATTGTAGAGTTTCATATTGTTCTTGCTGCATAAATTTCGGTCCTATGCTATAGCGAGTACGATCACCCATTTTTTATATCATTAAATATTAGTGTTAATCTTAATTTAAATTAGTATTTAGCGTGCTGTTTTCTTTTCCAGATTGTTTAGATCGCAGCTAATCCTTTTATTCAAGCTTTTTACATCACCTAGCTGCCCAACGCCATGCTCTATTTAAATAACTCCACAGGAATCATAAGCAAGTTCAACCACAGATCAGCAGAAAGTTCAGATGCGCGTTGCCTCATCCTCACTTTACTACGCGTATATTCCGCCTATGGGTCTCCTTCTTAACTCTTAAAATCCAAGAATCAGTTGCTCTATTATGTGCTGGATGTCCTGATAGCGCCGTCGAAGCCGGTGACGTTTGCCCTAGGCGTACCCTGGCGATCGAAGCGGGTTGGCCCAGAAACCTGTAGGCCCGATGCGGCGAAAGGTAAGCGGCAGATCTGGGGAAGAGTCTACCCTGTAAGGGACGTTAAACGTTATAAATCCTAATAGAATAGAATAGAATAGGATATCCTGATAGCTGATAAAGATTTACTAGGAAAACAGATTTATTAAATATTAATCAGTTATATAAACGACTCGACAAGTCCACCAATCATAAAACCACAAAATAAAAGTGAGCGTCAAAAAATACGCGATCCATCATTTTTCCTGTCCTTTACTTCTCTCATTTGCACTGTTTAAGTGGTAATTAGCAACTTTCATGTAGCTTAAACTTTCTTGGGCCTCTTGTAATACTATTTATATATTACTGTGCTGAGTCATTTCTTCATGCTCAAGGACCTTTTGAGCAAAAAATGATAAAATTGAATTTAATTCATAGGCTGTTTGTTGGGACTTTAAAATTGACTCGTTTTCTTCTTTATATTCTGAAAGCAACTGCTGGTTTTCTGCTTCAAGTCCTTCATTGGTTTTGACGTTTTCTATTATGCTTCGATGTATTTCTACTGAGGGTTCTTCTTTTGATAAAATATTTGCTCTAGCTTTTTCAAGTTCTTGAATTCTCGCCAATTGCTTCTGCTTTAAAATTTGGATTTGCTTGGTGATGTCTGTGATATCTGACATATGAGAATATAGGCAAGAAATAATTGAATTAAGATGGCACTCTTCTGTTTGGTTTTTAGGTTTCTTGAGCTGCTTTAAACTCTCAATTTCTCTATTGCATTTTGCCATAAATGCTCTATATCACTTTTACACAGCTTCATTTTCAGGTTTAGATTGTAATGAAAATTTATGAGCTTTGAGCTGCTTAAGAGTCTCGGAAAGGCTTGATTTCATGCGAATGATTTGAAAACACTATATAAAGTATACTAAATCTGTAGATTTCTTAATAAATTCACTTGATTTTTCGTTTGGTAAATAAGTGTGCTCTGAAAATATATTTTCTGTAATATCAGTCATAATTATTAGTTTATTCAAAATTTGATTAAAATTAATTTTTATTTATAATGACTATCAATTTCTTAGAAGTAAACTTCTCTTGCTTCTCTTATCTTTGTTTTGCATAAAGGACATAAAACACCTTGTGCTCGACGCCCAGTTGGTGTATTTAATTGTATCTTCATCTGATCAATCACACATTCCTTGCAAGCAACAATATGCCCACAAGGTAAAAACACAATATTTTTGACAGAATTCCTACAAAGCAAGCACTCTAAGTCTTGATCCAGTTCATCTTGGCCTGCTTTGCGTTGGCTTTTCAGCTGCGAATTTAAATGCCTTATTTGCTCTGAAGAACTTTCATGCTGTTCTTTCATCAATTTTAATTTTCCAAACAAGCACCCACTCAGCTGTGCATATTGAGCATTTTCTTTGTTTTTCTGTTCAATGGCTTCTTTCAAAGCCAGTGTTTGAGAAAAAATTTCATCCCTTGCGATCTTTGCAGCTTTAATGTAGTTTACAATGGAGTCCATCCCTTCTCCGAAGAGCTCTGTATACGTAAATTTAAAAATCGCGAGTTTTGAAGCATAGAAAAATGATCCCAAGCCAGGTCTGTCTTGGATATGGGCCAATAAATAAACAAAGTCGGGGTTGGCTGGATCTCCAAGCTCTACCATTAGGATTGGACTGCTTGAAGGGAGTCCTTGGGTCAAAAGCTGTTCTAGTATGAAAAAAGAGCTCTGAGAACCTTCTTCGTCTTGAGAAAAGTAGAGAAGTGCACAGACATGATGGGAGAGGTCTTGAGTGAGGAGAAATGGAAGATATGGAAAATCGAAAATTTGTATCAGCCTTTGAAATATGAGAGTTGAAATATTTTGGGTTGGGGTTGCACCTTGAAAGGACTGAACACTTAATTGGCCAGTAGGGAGGATAATGTCGAGTTTATAGAAAGACGAGTCAGCTTGCATTTTTTGGAATACTTACTTTATTGGCATTAGATTTTAATAATAATTTAATGTATAGAATCTGATTTTTAGGGAACTGATTATTGGTGTGCTTATAGATATTTGCAATTAGCACTTAAATAAAGTATAATAAATATCTAAAATTTATCAGTTTTAAATTTTTAATGGATTTTTGTATTTAGATTGGCACTCATTTTTTATCCTAATATCTTTAGTTTTAGCTTACTTGATCATTGCTTATTAATATTCTGGTTAATTTATTAACAAATACTTGTTAAATTTATGATAAAAATTTATTTCAACATTTCAAAGTGGATCTTGCCTTGTATATGAATTTTTGATCCTTCTTAATTTTTGCACTCCTTTAAATTTTTTATAAAATAAAAGTCAAGCTTCATTTTGCAACTCATAAAACCTATCCAGATTTCCATGCAGTTTCTATTTAAAATATTTTTAAGTCCAATTTTGTCTATTCCACCTTACCACAAATATGGAAGAGGTCGAGGAGACTAAACCTCAAAAGAGGCAATACGAAAGAGTGACTCTCGAAACAGTGATTCCTCCATTACCTCCTAAATCAGAAAGAATTCCAGCCCCCGATGAGCAAAAGCTTGAACGAGAAGTGAAAGCCATAGAAAGAGAAATTGAAAAACTAAAAGCTCTAAAAGACGGGATCCAGGAAGCAATCACACTTAAAAAAGAAGGAGGAAAAGCTGAAAGCAGAGACGTTTCAGTCAAAGAAGAGAAGAACCTCAAGCTGAACAATGTCAAAGATTGGCGAGGAGAACTCAGTCGTTTGCACGAGCGATTCAATGTCCTTAAAGAGGAGTACTCAAATCTCATTGAAGACAACAAAAGAATCAAGCCAAAAATCCAAATTTTCGACGAAGATGATATTGACAAAACCATTGAAGAAATTGAGGTGAAGCTTGAAACCACGACCATGCCACTTCCAGAAGAAAAAAAGCTTATACAAAGACTCGGATTTTTGAGGCAATCAAGACCTCTTGCTACTGAATTCAAGGCCAGGTCTGCCAGAATTGCAGAACTCAAAAAAGAAAAAGATGCTGTCTGGGCCCAGATTGAAGGTTTGAAAACCCAAATGACTGCTGCTAGATCTGAAATCGACACTATTACTGCTAAAATGAAGGAAAGCAAGGAGAAGCTTAAGGTGGAAATCCCACAGCTTGTAGAAGAAAGAAAACAGATCCAAGAAAAAATCAAAGAACTTATTGAAAAGAAAAAGCAGGTCAATGATGAGTTTTATGAACAAAAAAGAAAACACATGGATCAAAAGCGGCATATTGAATATATTGAAAGAGCAACAAAGATAAAGGAAAGACTGATTGAACAAGAAGAAAGGAAAAAAGCAGAGGAAGAACGCAAAAAGTTAGAAGAAGAAAATAAGCCTCACCCGTACGAAAGAGAAATCACACAGTGCGAAAACTTTATTTCTTATCTTCACAGACTTGCTCCAGCTTCAGAGGAGGAAAGCAAAGAAGAGTCGAAAACACAATCAAACGAAGAATTCTTGGCTGGAAAAGAGCAAAGAGGGGCTCAAGAAAGTGAACAGTGGTTTGGACAGGCAAAGAAGAAAACCAAGAAAAAGAGAGAAAGAACTAAGAAAAAAGAAGCTGAGCCGCTTTTAGCTCTTCCTATCGAACTTCTTAATTTCTTCTCATTCACAGGAATCAAAGTCCCTACTAAATCTGAAGAAATTCCTGCTACTATTGAAGAGCTTGAGAAAAAGAGAAACTATTTCGAGTCATTAGAAGAAAGAGTAGAAGAAAAAGAAGAAAAAACTAGCTTCCAGTATGCTATGATTGAAGATCGCCATTTTTCGATCAAGAATTAAAATTTCTGTAACAGGAAATTATTTAGCTTGAAAAAATTTTTACTCCCCCCCCATCCTGATCGAACGATTGACTGTAAAAATTCCTAAAAATTGGGGAAATTAACCCCCATCCTTGATCGAACGATTTTCATATCATGCAACTTTTATATATATAAAAATATATTAGTTATCAAAAGCTTGGGAAGATGCACCTAATGAAGTTGTTTTCAGCGACTTTGAGACGACAGAAAGCTGCGAAATCAACCATCCGAAGTGATTTAGTCATCAATCTAGGCTTAAAAAATTAATAATCTGATAAAATAGAGATTTCTTTAAAGTTTTAAAAAAAAAAATTAATTTAATAAGGAACAAATTAAAATTTATACAGTTTAAAGGGGTAACTAATAAATCAAAATATTTAAAATTGGTATTTTTATGAAATTAATTAAATTTTTGCTCTAAAAATAATTATTAAATACCCTTAACCCTCTTATTTAAAAGTAAATAAAAAAAAATATATATATTTTTTATTTTATATATAAATTGTTTTCCCAAAAAAATTTTTTTTAACCCCCATCCTTGATCGAACGATGGCGAGTCGTTCGATCAAGGGTGGGGGGGAGGAGTTAATAAAAAAATAATCTCTAGCCAAAGAGATAGAGTCTGCAATATATTAGCAAATACGCTATAAGATTCATTAAAATTGAATAGGAAATTATAAAGTATAGGTTATTAGTATTCATTACTATCAAATATAGATAATTAAATTTTAGGGTAGGTGAGGAATTAATTTTCCAGATTTTCAATGATTTCGCTCGATCAAGTATGAAGGAGAGTAAGGTAAAAGCACAGCCTGAACGCTCAGAAATTAAATTCACTGATTTCCCAGCACCTGTTGAAAGCCAAGTTAAAGAAGAGTATGGAATTTTCAAAGATGAGGGACCTGTACCGAAAAAAGAAGAAACCAAACCCACTCGAGGCAAAAGAAATTTCAGGAGAGGTAACTAAGCTTAATAATCGCAAATAGTTATTTATCACTTTTAACTTGCTATAGCATATGCTTATCAATTCTATTGGTATTAAAGAAGCAAGACTCCAATGCGTTTCTATTATTTGAAATGCATTAAAAGAATATGCAAGTTTTTTTACATTAAATTAATTTCATTAAACTATGAGCTGGTTTTCAAGTAAAAAGAAGGAATTCTCAGATGAGCCAATAATCCAAGAAAGGATCATCAAAGTAAATGGAGATCCAGCTGTCAAGTCATACCGCAGAGGTAAATTCCTTGGCAAAGGTGGTTTTGCCAAAGTTTACGAGTTTTATTGTCAAGAGTCCAAAGAGCTCATTGCAGGCAAAATTCTCCCCAAAACTGCTTTAATCAAAGCCCGTGCTCGTCAAAAACTAATGAACGAAATCAAGATCCACCGTTCTCTTCACCACAAAAACATCGTTGGCTTCGACCATTACTTTGAAGACGGCGAAAACATTTATATTCTTCTTGAACTCTGCACAAACCAAACCCTTTGTGAAGTCATGCGACGCCGAAAACGAATTACAGAAATAGAAGTACAATACTACATTTTCCAATTGATCCAAGCTTTACGATATTTGCACACGCATAAGGTCATTCACAGAGATATAAAATTAGGTAATCTTTTTATAACCGACCAAATGGAATTAAAGCTGGGAGACTTCGGGCTTGCTGCAAAGGTTGAATTTGATGGAGAAAGAAAGCGCACTATATGTGGGACGCCGAATTATATTGCCCCAGAAGTTATTGATGGTCGACAAGGACATTCTTATGAAGTCGACATATGAAGCGTAGGAGCCTTAATGTTTACACTTCTGGTAGGAAAAGCTCCTTTTGAAGCTGTTGACCTGCATTCAACCTATCAAAATATCAAAACGCTTAGTTACTCTTTTCCTGAGCATTTGAAGATCTCGAAAGAAGCAAAAATGATCATTGGGGATATTTTAAAAGTGGATCCTGCCGAAAGACCCAGTCTAGATCAAATTTTATCGTCACCGTTTTTTACAAGAAATCCGATCCCAAAGCAGCTGCCTGCTAGTACATTAGCTGTGCCGCCAAGCAACTCGTTTCTGCACCAATATAATTTGCAAATAAGGCATACTATTAACGGATATGAAGCAATTTTGGAACGTGGAGCTATGACAGCGAGAGAAAATATTCAAAGGGTTATTAGTTTTGATGAGGCAAATGAAAATGCGAGAAATGGATGTGCACCTTTAAATGTGGAGAAAGGGTGAGAATCAGCAAGAGAGAAAATTACTGGGAGGCAAATAAGTTCAGAAAGCGGCTGGGATGCTCACTCCCCCTCCGTGAGCAAATAAAATAATTGGAAAATTTCTACTTTATGGGTAAAAGCCCACTCCTATGTGTGAATATTAAGTGTTTTTAGAAAAAAAATAGTTCGATGTATAAGTGATAATGTTATAATGAAATTAGCTAATTCTGTTTTCTTGAATTTTAAAATATAAATTTTACAAGTTTATATTAATTTTTGTTTGAAAAAATTTAAATTCCCTATATAAACGATCAAAATTTTTGGTGCGCTCTCTGAGGATGGGAGTCAGGAAAAAGCGAGATCAACACCAGCAATTTCAGAAAGAGGATGTGATTAATCTTAACATTAAATTAGATTTATAGAGTAGCTCCGCGGGGTTTGGCTTCTAAAAAATTCGAAAAATCGAATTTTCTAGTCACCTATCAGCCAAGATGAAAATTCAGGACACAAAACCTAATATTGGGGTGGAAAACATTCCCTGTAGGCCAGGAGGAATCTCTGGTTCCTGCTGCAATACCCTTTCCAACTCCGAACTCCATTTCCTCCTAGGCAAAACCTTGGAATGGAATGAACTTTGTTTGGCCTAATCCGATGTTGAGCTTCACCAAGCATATTAAATCCTGGCTGGATACACATTACCAAAAATCATCCTCCTTTCCATAAGGTCCCTTGGCTTCCACAGCTAAAGGTGCTAAGAGGGTAGGTTATTTCACCACGTCATTTAAAGTATATGGGGTGTGATACACCGATTTCGCCTTCAGAAAAAGAATGCGATATGCCAGCTTCAGAAAGGGTATCATTAACTCCTGCGTCAAAGAAAAAAGTCACCATCTGATCTAGCTATTCAAGCTCTAAACCTAATGAAGGGCCAATGTTGTGGATTAAGAAATGAGTTGATTATTCTGACAAGTACGGTGTTGGATTTATGCTTTCTGACTTGATTATTGGAGTTTATTTTAACGATGCTACCAAAATGATAATAAGGCCAAATAGCAATACTTTTCATTATATTACCAAGCAAGCTCATTCAAACAGCGAAACAATAATAATGCACACACTCCAAGATTTTCCAAAAGAGCTGAACAAAAAAGTCACTCTCTTGCAGCACTTTCATAAAAATTTGCTGATTAATGAAAAAATAGAGAACTCAAACGATAGCGACCCACTCGTATACGTCAAAAAATGGCTTGCAACAACTCAAGCACACATCTTTAGACTAAGCAACAACATTGTCCAAGTATTTTTCATTGATAAAACCGAACTTATGCTTTGCGATGAAGGAAAAACAGTAGTTTATGTTGACAAACTCAAAGCAAAGTTTTTATATTCATTAAGCAATGTCATGGACAGCGGAAATACAGATCTTTCAAAAAGATTGAGGTATACAAAGGAAGCACTCAAAGTAATGCTCCAAAACCAGAATCCTGCACAATTGCAAGAAAGCAGCTTGTTTAACTAATTTTTTGTATATATTTAATTAACTCCGAGTGTTTTAAAGAGTGAATTTATTATACTTATTTTCTAGAAATAGTATGTGTTACCACAATTGGAAAAGTGATATTAAGATCATCAGGGCTACTTATACATGCAGGAGAAGCTCTTGTGCTCACCCCATACTCCAATGACACCTCTTGTTTTTTCAAGTCAATTCGATTAAACGACGTATATGGCTTTATTGGCAGCTTTTTTACAAATCTCACTTCCTGCTCTTTAGGTTTTTCCACTTCCCCGTAATCCTGTGATATGCTTCTGTATTTTCTTATAAACTGATTATGCAGCCTTGGAGTAACCAAAACTAGTTTAGCCGACTTCAAATCGTTTTGCAATTCACCTATCAAATCATTTTGCTTCTTATTTATGACTTGTCTCACCTCTAGTTCTCTATTAACTTCTGCTTTAAAACTGTTATGCCTTTCTTTCAGCATTTTAATTTCATTCAGTAGCTCCTGCTCTCTAGCTTCTGTTTCTTTTTTCTTATTAATCCAAGCTTCATCGTTTTCTTTTTCTCTTTTTCTCATAAACTCTTCATAAGATTTCAGCTTTGCCTTTGCTTCATCAGTTTGTTTTTGGGACATTTGGACCATATCTTTCATCGCATCAAGCTTTAAATATAAGTTAAAATTAAGAGTTATGCAACCGTAAGCTGAGTTGACACTAGCCACCTGCCTTGTCTCAGCACCAAAAGCCAATCTTCATATATCTCGGAGTTCATAAAAAATAGAGATAAACCACCTGCCCAATGATCAGCTCCTTCCTTGGGCAGAATAACCGTCCGAAAGTCGACTGATAGACAAGCCTGTCTAGCCCATCTTGCAGGAACAGGAAAACCTTCAGGGAGAAATAAACTTCTGTCTTGGCGAGGCTATTTCAAAAAGGGATAGAGGCCCTGTTCTCAGCTTCAGGATGGGTTATACCTACTCCAAAGGAGTGCTATCGGAGTCCAATTTCCGTCATACACCATTCTTTCTTTTAATTATAAGGCTTTCATATCTTTATCCTTTTCAGGGTCATATTTATTATGAACTATTTGCTCTGTTTTTCTTTCTTCTTTGCTCTTTTTTTGACGAAGTTTTGAGATTGCTAATTCTTGCTCGCAGCAGAATGACCTGAGCTCATCAAGTTCCAAATCTTTTGCATTTATGAGGATTCTCATTTTATCATAGTCTTGTTTAAGTTCAATTAGAGTATTTTGATGACTTTGAAGCAGCTCTTGGATTTTTTTATGATATTCTTTGTGGATTTTTCTAAGTGCTAAGTCTAAAGCGTTTTGGTGATGCACTTTGGCAGCTTCTCGGATACGATCAACAATAATTTGGATCCTTTCTCGATGATATTGAGAAGGCTGAGAGGATAACTGGTCTTTTAGATCGTCTTCGAGATTAGGATAGAATTGAGAGATGGTTTTAGTTTTACAGTTTCTTGAAAGATCTGAATCCAAATTTGGATGGGCATCATAGTCAACCCAAAACTCACAATCAGATTCTGAGTTTAAATCAAGTTTTGACATAACAGATTAATAGTAAATTAATGAAAAAGTTTATATGGCAATTAGCTTTTTTAAATTATCAATAATTTCAGCTGAGAATCAATCTTTATAAGATGATTTCAAAAATAATCAAAAAAAATGATTTAATTACAATTTGATAAAAATTGCATAGTTTATAATAGAAGGTTATATTTTAACCTTTTACAATTTAAATATTTGCAGAAATTTAATTGAAAGCGCCATCTATTATAAAGACTGTATTAAAACGGTCAACTTTAGAATAATCTTTATTCCACTTTTATCAATACTTTACCCTCATGAAAATTTGCGAAGTAATATTTCAATGCTTGAATATAGTTGCTCAAGTTGAAAACATTGGATATTTTAGGCTTAAACATTTCAATGTTTTCATAAATCAATCTACTAAGCCCTTCCTGTTCATACTGCGGTAAATAGTGATATAAATTGAAGCCAATAATTTCTTTTCTTTTGAAAATAAACTGCCTTGGATCGACATCTATAGTTTCCATTGACAAATTTACCCATTAGCATTAATTACATATATAACAGTTCACAGTAATTCCCACCTAAGGGTCTGCCTCCACCCCTAACGCTTTGCTCGGCTGCTTGCCATCAACCGTCTTACGGCCTTCAAAGCTTTGCTCGTACAGACGAGGATGTGCACTAGCTACCTGTAGTCGGATGAGTTGTGGCAACCACGCCGTACGCCAACTAAGTTGCCTTTTCCGAAAATTCAAAGGTCGAATTTTCTGGTCGGGCTGTCTACTAAAATGGAAATCCAAAGTCTGGGACGCAATGCCCAGTATCGCGCTGGAAAAAAGCCCGATGGACAAAGTAGTAGCCCTTACCTCTGCTGAGCTTTCATTTCCAACTCTGAATATCATTTCCTCAAGAGGTAAAAACATTGACCTGGAATGAGCTGAGGTTGACCAAATTCAGCATTCCGCTCCACCAAACCAAGTAAAACCTGGCCTATAAACAATCCTAGAGCTAATTTCCCTTCCACGAGGTCCCAACCGTCCTGTGGGATGCCAGCTACAGGTATTAAGAAAAGGGCTTATTCCTCATTTTAATGTATATGACAAATTTCCGACAGATATAAGTTTTCCATACCTTTGAAGAGAGTTTAGCATTAGCGTCGCCATTTTTCCTCCAACTAGGTCAACTGCTCTTAAAACGTTATGCTCCTTTGATAACTCTTCAATTCTGCTCCTATCAGAATGATCAATCACGATTGAGCTTTGAACATTTCCAACATCTTCTTTATTAGTAATGCAAACAGGAGTCTTCCCGTTTTTTAATGCTAGGGCAATCGTTTGTTTTCCTATAGTTGAAGTTGGCGCTGATAAGAAAAATGCTTGATGGCCTTCAAGCTCTTTTAGGAGGCAAATTGATGTTAAAGGTGCCAATGATATACAAGATCCAACCTGAGGATCCAAGTTTTCTGGTATTTGATTTCAGTAGCTTGCAATACAGTACTCAGCCCAAGTACCAGAGCTTGCAATACATGCTACTCTTTTTCCAATCCAACTTGAAGATACCCCATTGCCTACTGACTCGATTTTTCCAATGCCTTCAACCCTTAAAATAAAATGATGGACCGCGTGATAGATAGCGAAGGTATACTCTTCGTGAGCTAAGTAGACCATCTCAAAAGGAAGCCTGCCGAAACAGTGTGTTTTGTTTCTCCTCCTAAGGTTTCCGTCTTTGTTAGATGGGCTAGACAGGCTTTACCTACCACATGGCTTTTCTTATTGGGGCTATAGGAGATCTCCAGATGGCTCTGCCATTAGAGAGCTAATCTTTTGGACAGGTGGTTTAGTCGGAAATCCATAAGGCAGCCTTCAATTTCTAATTTGAGCTGCGAGATCTTTGGAGACTGGCTTTTTGGAGTCAGGCAAGGTAACGGCTAATGGTTAAATTCGCTTCTTGACAACTTAATAAAAATTCTACCCCTAATGTCAGAGGAAAAACTTGGGATTGCTTTTTGAAGCCCATTATGGAGCCTATATCATGAGGGTTAATAGGACTGTATTCCATTTTCACAAGGATTTGGCCTGGGCCTGCTGATGGAATCTCAACTGTAGTCAGAAGAGGTTTGGTTTTTTTCTTCAGTATCCTAATTGCCTTCATCATAATTAATTATACTTTTATTGCTCAAATGAAAAAATTACCACTTAATGCATGATTTACAGCAAATATTTAAAAAGAAAATTATTGTGGAATTAGTAGGAGTTGATCCCTATATGTTTCCTTAATTGTCTGAATTTACACTATGCTGATAAGCACCTTCGAATTATTAATACTCCAAACAGTGATATTTTATCTTGATAAATTTTCGGTTAAAAGATCATGACTTTGCTTAGCTTATAAAATATCACACATTTTCTTTATTATATTGTCAACAATCCAGTAACTTAAATCAAAATATTGAATATGGAATTAAAGGCAAGAAAGTCAGGAATATGCTTTAACCAATCTTTTCAAATAAATTCTCAATTCTCTCTAAAATCCCATGAGCCAGCTTCCCCAAGTCCTGACTCCCCAATTGATGAGACAAAAAATTTGAAATTCACAGAAAATCCCAAAAAGCCAAAATTATTGTCTCAGCAAGCCTCAAGGAGGCATTCTCCGTCAATAATATCGTCATCTATCCACAAAAGAACACTATTATATTCTAAAAAAATCGAAGGATCATCATCTGTAAGTTCAATGTCAAGACACAAACGGCATAGCACTGATGACAAAATTGAAGTTTCTGGAAAATCGCTAATTGATATTCCCAGATTTTCATCTCGTCCTAGAAGAACGATTGCCTTAAAAGCTGAGCGTCTTTCAATTGATTTTGAATGAAAAAACACTCGCGAATCCCCAATACCTGGGGAGGCAAGAACTCCTAAAACTTTCAGCATAAAATTATTGCAAAGGCCAATTAATTTTTCAGAGATAAAAAGAAAAATTGAGCAGCCCGGGATTTTATCAGCAAAATCGCTTTCTATTATAAAATCGACTGCTGCTAAAAATGCGTATATTAAAAGAAATTGAAATAATATAAAACCAAAAATTGGGAGTAAACGAGTGCATTTGTCAATGGATCAAAGCTTATTGCAATATGCGACTGATGAAATGATTAAAAATGATCAAGCAGAAGCACTTTATAGGGAGTCAATAAGAAGTCAAAAACGAAATTAATTTAATAAGAATGTATTATATTTAGACGTTTCAGTTATTATAGCTATTTATTCATTTTGAATGCTGCTTTTATCTTAAAGTTCAACTCTTTTAGATAGATTATCTGAATAAATTCTTAATTCCTCTTTGCCTGATTTTTGCTTTTCCTTTAATTCTAGAGCTTTAATTGCTTCTTTTAAGTTGTTTTGCTCTTCAGATAAATCTAAGCTTAGTTCTTCGGCATATCTGCTATAATCAAATTTTGTAAATTGTTCGAAATCTCTTCAATTGATTTCAGTACCTAAGCTCTTAGCTTTAATCATTTGTTCAGTTGATATCTGATCCCTGCAGCTATCTATTAAGTCTGCAGTCAGTTTTTCTTTAATTCTTTGTCTCCTTAATCCATCCAAATCTTTAAATTTTCCATTATCTTGGTATAAATAGTCAATTACAAAGCAATCAATTATTTTATAGCATATTCTTGCCGCTTCCATACTCTGAATTTCGTAACTCATTGCACCTAAGCTTACTCCCCTCATCTTTGATTGTTGAACCAGTTGTAGCTTGGGGTAAAAAAAATTGGAAAATTATAAATAAATATTTTCTATTAAAAATTATCAGTGCATTAATTTCTTCTATACAAAAGCTTTTATGCTCGAGCGAAGAGATATAGTATGGAATATATTTAAAATATATAAAAGCCGTATTAGAATTGTTTAGAATTGATTATAATGTAATATCTCTATATTCATTATTATCAAAGATAGGTAGTAGATTTGCAGGGATATGGAGTAGTGGGTTTATAGTCAACCTTATGAAAATCGTTCAATCAAGGGAGTAATTTTGAAATTTTTCACTGAAATCACTAAATCAAGGATGAGGGAATTAGGAACATAAGCACCCAATTAGCTTTCATTAAAATTTATCTATTAATTAATTTTCTTAATACACCACATCAAACTTTGACTCTTATTATTATATAATTAACAGAACCATTATATTTTTTCTAAAATTTTCATAATTATCACTTGATAAGTGAGTGAATCGATTAAAAACTAATCCTAGCTGAGCCAGCTAAAAAAAAAAATTTTACTCTCTTTGGGAGAGTTAAATCACTTATATAAAAAATTCGAAATTATTGATTCTAAAATTTTAATATAATTTTTAAGAAAAGAGACTATATTTTCTATTGACACTCTTACTTCCCCCTCCGTGAGCGAACAAAACCATTGGAAAAATCCCTATTTTTTGAGGTGGAGTTAGTGAAATTCTTGCTATTATGAAGAATAATTAAAATTGGTTATTATAAGAGCGCTTCATATACATTTATTAATAATATCATGCTTGAAATCATTAAAGATTCTTTAACTTGCTATCTTAGCCTTAATAATTTATAATTAAAAATTAATTATAATTATATATTTCACGTTATTTATTGAAATTTTGCTTCCTTCAGAATTTCCACCTAAATTTAATATACACTGCATCCTGCTTTTATATTTGCAATCGGCAGAAGGTTTGTCAAATCAACTTCATGCCTAGATCTTAAGATCTTATCTCTATTTTTAAACTCCGGCCAGCCGTTGCAATCCATAACTAGCGTTTTCGTACCACTCCCTGACTCTGTGTAGCTTATTTTTTCTTCTAGTGGCAAAGGTTGAGGCTCTGTGTGTTTTGCTTTTTTATGTTTATGTCTTCGGTTTACTGATCGAGAACTTCCATGGGAAGAAGCTGTTGTTTTAACCCAGTCAAACTTCGAATCACTTGAAAATTGTTCAGTAGTTGCAACTGTTTGAAAAAGACGTCTTAAATAGTCATAGTCTGGTTTTTCTTCAAAGTGCAAAGATCTACAATAGCTCATGTAATTTATACTATTTATGGTGGGTTTTACTATTTTAATATAAAGGCTAAAAAGATATATATCAGGGGATTTATTATGATTCAGTATATAAATTCTTGTGGGAAACCTCTACACAACTGGTCCAGTGGAGTTCCAATCTTTTTTTCCATGATTTTTTGATATTTTTCTTGTTTGGTGCCTGTTCTAATTCCTTGCCATGGAAGATTACCTCTATAGAAATAAATAATAGAGTAGCCTATACTTTCTAAATCATCTCGGCGGGATTGTTCAATACCCATATGAGTATTTATCGATGCATAGCGAGCTGTACCTGTCAAACTTTTATTTTCACGATAAGGGATGTGCTGCTTTGTGCGTGGATCTCTGTATTTTTTACTCAACCCAAAATCGATTATATAAACAATATTTGATTTTGAGCCCAAACCCATAATAAAATTATCAGGCTTGATATCTCGGTGAATTATATTGTTATTGTGCACAAATTCAATCCGATGCAGCATTTGATCTGCAAGTTTAATGGTCGTCCTTAATGTAAATTTTCTATGGCACGTACTAAACTGATCTTCTAGCTCCCTCCCACCGCGAGCAAAAAAAAAAATTTTGTTCGGGTTAATTTTTTTAATATATATAAATTTTAGAGTAAATTTTTTTTTTAAAATTAAAAAAACCCCAATTCGCAAAAATTAGAAAGTGAATATCTATTTAATTTGTAAAATTTATGTTTTAAAATGCAAGCTGTTTAAAACTAAATAGTTAAAGATTTCATTTTTTAATTATTACTTATATATACAATTTGTTTCATAAAAAATTTTTGTTTCGCTCACGGAGGGTGGGTTTTTGGCAAAAAAATAGGGATTTTTCCAATGGTTTTGTTCCTCACGGAGAGAGGGAGAGTAAGGAGTGCCCTAGTAATTCCATTACCATATAACTCCCATCATCTCCATTGCCATATCAAAAAATTTTAGGAATTCCTATACCTTTATCTAGGGATCTTAAAATTTTTGCTTCTGAAATTAATTGAGGAGTTTTGCATCCATTTGGCTCGAATTTTATAGCAATCTTATCATTTGTGTTTATATTTATTCCATTGAAAATCTCACCAAAGGACCCTCCACCTATTTTTGAGCCGATAACAAATTTTCCTCCAATTCGTTTTTCTGAATCCATTTCTTGCTTATTTATCTTTTAAAATTCCAACCATAAAGAATTAATTGGTAACAGAAATGCGAAAAATATGAAATCGGAAACTTTAATTTGTTAATGAATTTAAAAAAGTTGGGTAATTGAAAATTTTTATTTGAAATTTGTTTATATAGGAAATTCTTTATTCTCCTTAAATCTTCATATTTTTTATGATATTCATGCTAAATATTTCATTTGGATTCACAAACTCGATTTGTTGGACGTAGATTTTTCTTATCCACGAAGGTTGGCTGAAATCCAAATATAGCTCAGGACTTTTTTTTTCAATTTCTTCAAATCTTGGCTCTTCGGTATTTTTTTCGGAATTTGGAAACCAAGGGTCTAGTTTTAGCTCTGATATCATATCGCTATTTATATATTGCTTTACTCTTTCCCATTTTTCATAACACATTTCTTTATGTTTTTTTCCTTTGCAGCAGTTAAAATTAAATTTTTTACACAAAGCTTCTGGCTCGAAGTCGCTAAATAAATATTCTACATAATAATAAAAAGACTCCCTTACTTCACTTTTATAAAAATCGTCGACCCACAAAAAACATGAAGACCTGTTTTTAAAAATTACTGAAAATAAATTCCCATATTTTTTCAGAAATAATCTAACAGTAAAACTAAAATATGGATAAAATATCTCACTCCACCCCTCCTCTGTGAGCGAACAAAACCATTCGAAAAATTACTATATTTTGGGTAAAATTCACCCTCCGTGGTGAACAAAAAATTTTTATGAAAAAATTATTTGATAAGTGATAATTATTATAATGAAATATCTAACTAATTTTGTTTAATTTCTGAATAGAGATTTTTAAATTTCGAAAAAATAATTAACCAAATTCGTAAGCGAACAAAATTTTTTGTTTGCTCATGAAGGGGAGGAAGTCAGGTATTTTTTCCTACAGACCTATAAAAATATTCCATGCAAAAATTCGCATTAAAGCTTTTAGCCAATTTAGGAGCCTTTAGCTTGTTTTTGTTTTTTATGGTATTTTCTGTTTTTGAGAGGTCTTTTAGTATGAATAAATACTTGTGATAAATTTCTGAAAGTTTGTTTCATAAATTGATGGATTGAGGATTATTGCAATTGTAACTATTGAAAGATTTTATTGGAATTAAGTTTTTCTCTATTTGGCGATTTGCTCTTTTGTGACCTCTGATAAGTTTGCAGCGTAAATATTCTTTTTTGGGCTGACCTATTGATGAGCCTCGAAAAGTGTAAAAATGAGAAAGAATTTCAGTATCAGAATTTATCTTCCTACCTGTAGGTTTTCTCTTTAAAGCAGAAGGAGAATTGCTTGAAGATGGGAATGAGTATAGATCAAGGGATGATGATCCAGGAGAGCTTGAGCGAGGAGACGATTCCCTTGAATCTTGAGGAAGAAGGAGGGTAGAGGCGTTCATTACTTTTATTTAGATTTATTCAATAATTGTTCAGATTTTGAAAGAAAATATGATAGAGAATTAAAAAACTTATTTTAGCTGTAAGTTATGTAGTAAAATATTTGGCGTCTGCATTTTCTGCAAAAAATGCGTAAATTATGACATATTTTGAGATTTATATATAAAACTTGCATAAAAACCGACCAAATGTTTAAGTTTTTTATGAAAAGCATAATAATTGCAATTTTAAAATATAAATTTTTAATTATAATGAACAATTTTCAATAAATCTTTTGTTTTCAATATTTGATATAGCGATTTTAGGTTTATATGAATTTTGAAGGATTCCAATACCTTTCATGCAAACTTCTGCCTTATTTTCATTTCATTTTATTCTAATACCTTTTATATTCAGAAATTCACAAGCTTCTTCTGTACTAGAAAACCAAAGAGCATCAATAAATTCATCAAGATAAATTTCTCTAAATGCGATTTTCATTATTTCCATAGCGGACACTCTTACACTTTCAAAGAATTTATAGCATGCACAGGATATCCAATAACTTGAATTTTTAACAAGCCTGAAAAATGCTGAATAATTATCTTCCCAATATGCGAAAAATATGTTTACTGCCAACTGCAATATTTCTCTATTCAATAAATCTCTAGAAATTTCTTTAAGAATGGTCACTACTTCAATTGGTTTATCCATGTCAATAAGTATTTTATAAGCAACAAACTCAGCTTCATTTTCTGAATGAATATTAAGCTTTCTTCTTTCTTTATATCCTTCAATAAGCGAACTCAATATATCTCTACATCTTTCGTCATTCAAAAATATATCAAAACCTTCATAATAGCAAGCTCTCGATGAAGACATGATATAAAATTTTGCCATTCTTTCATGGTTTTTTATATACAAATCACTTGTGTTTTCTCCTAGAATTTTGTAATCTTTTGCAATAGCTCTTAATCTATCACTCAAAAAATCATAAATCTCTTCATAAGTGTGTACAATTTTTCCTCTTGGAAGTGAGTAGTTCATCGGATTTCCATTAGTCTCAAGAAAAAGTATATTATTGAATAAATAATCAAGTGTTTTATCCAAAGTTTCTGGGTCTCTTATACTGTCATTTTCGCAATTTCTCACATACTTTTTCACAAGCCATGGCCTATGTGCCTTCACCTTCCCTCTCGAAATATCAGTTCCTGGAGCCAGCTCAAACAAATGAATGACATTAGCTTGAATCCTTTGTCTCGCTTCTTCATCACTACACATTAAAGTCTCTTGGTCATTTTTCAGTATATTTTCCATTTAATTTTCTGTAAACATTTTAATTTCCGATTATATGGAAAACAATCAACCTAATATTATTGAAAGACTCAAAAAGCGGCAAAGGATCGGGAGGACCAAAATTTTTGAGTCTCTAGACTCAATAGTGGAACAATTAGAAACTTTTGTAGAAAACGACAGCGAAGAAGTGACAGATGAAGAATTCCAAACAAAAATATCCAATCTCTTTCAAGAAATAAAAGACGCTGAGCCACTCAGAAATGTCTGTAAAGAGCACCGAGAAACTTATGCATACATTTCTAAGCTTGGAAAAGAAATAGAACAGAACGGTACTATGAATCCTGAAGACTTGCAGTGCCATGCAACTACCCCATTAGATGAGTCTATCATCAATTCAGCAATCCATGAGTATTTTATGAGGGAAGGGATGTTTGAAGAAGCTGACTATCTTCAAGATCTAAAACAAATTCAAGGCGGGATTGCAGAAGCGAAAGAACAGTTTAAAATGATTTATCAAGTTTTGAAATCCCTTGAAGAAGGGAATATAGACTATGCGTTGAAATGGGTAGAAGACAACTCTCAGCAGCTAAAAAGTTCTTCAGCAAATTTGCAGTTTAATTTGCATAAATTGAAATTCTTGAATTTATTAAGACGGAAAGATTCTGCTACGGCTCTGGAATATGCCAAAACTAATATGCAGGCTTTTAAAAATACCCATATAGGAGAGATCCAACAGTTAATGGGAGCGTGCTTATTTTTGAGCCAGCCTGAAAATTCTCCTTATCAAGAATTACTTGACCCGGAGTACGACAAAATCATTGCTCAGCAGCTGATTCAAGAGTGATGCAAAACACTCGGGCTTCCTTTTAAGTCTTCTTTAGTAACAGCAATAACTGCAGGCCTCCAAATTATGCCAGAAATGATTCAATTAGCAAATATTACAGGCGGAAACAAAATCTGGACACAGCCTATGCCAACTGAGCTAAATTTGGATCCTAAGTTGAGATTCCACTCAATTTTTGTATGTCCTGTATCAAGAGAAATTTCGACACCGGAAAATCCACCGATGCTTTTACCATGTGGGCACATGATATCTAAACAAAGCATGGAAAGATTATTAAGCAGCAGCTCAAGAGGTAAATTCAAGTGTCCAACTTGCCCAGTTGAAGCTACTGACAGAGATATACGTCAAGTGACTATATGGTAATTAGAAATAATTCATGATATTTTTATAGTTTTGTCCAAGATCCTATTTAATTATTTTTTCCCTTGAGGAGCTACATTGAATCTGAAATAAATAATTTCTCCGTCTTCTACTTCGTAATCTTTCCCGCATTGTCTTAGTTTTCCTTCTGCTTTGACGTTATTTTCATTTCCTAACGAGACCAAGTCATCATATTTCATGATTTCTGCACAAATGAACCCTCGTTCAAAATCTGTATGAATAACTCCAGCTGCCTGTGGAGCTTTGGTGCCTTTTCTAATGGTCCAGCATTTTACCTCATCTTCTCCAGCTGTAAAATAATGAATTAGCTGAAGAGACTTATATCCGGTTTTCAAAATTCTTGGAATCATCGAAATGGCGTTATTTTCTTGCAAATAGGCAGCTTTGGCATCTGGATCCATTCCAAAAACAGCTTGCTCAAATTCTATGGAGTAAGGAATAATATCTCCGCCGCCATGCTCGTTCACCCACTTCCCTATTCCTGCGAGCCATTTATTTTTCTTTCTGAGATAGTCATTTGTGCTTAAGTTCACCAAATAAACCATAGGCTTTGCAGTCAAAAATAAACAAGAATTCAAGACTTCGATTTCTTTGGTATGCCATTCTCCGTCTTTTAGCATTTGATGGTTATTCAGCATGTCTCTGATTTTTACCAAAATTTCCATCTCATCAGCCAATTCTTTGGTTCTGGCTCTTTTAAGCTGCTTTTCTACGTCTTCGATTTTTTGGTTGCATCTTTCAAGATCTTTTAAGCAGAGTTCATTTCTAATAATATCAAGATCTCTGATAGGGTCGACTTCTCCTTCAGTGTGGATGACGTCTGCCTCTGTAAAAGCTCTGACGACATGGAAAATGCCATCAACTGCGTTTATATGTGATAAAAATGCATTGCCAAGACCTGCGCCTTCAGAAGCTCCTGGGACAAGTCCTGCGATGTCAGTGATTGAAAGAATGGCTGGGACTCGTGACCTTGGCTGATACATTTCACAGAGTCTGTCGAATCTTTGATCTGGAATAGGGACTCGAGCTTCAGTAGGATCGATTGTGCAGAATGGATAATTTTCAGCAGGGACTGAAAGATTCGAAAGGAGGTTAAATGTAGAGGATTTACCCACATTTGGAAGACCGACAATCCCAATTTTCAAAGTGTTGCCAGGACGTCCTAGGAGGGGCTTTTTCTCTTCGACGGCCTTTTTCTTAGCAGGCATTTTTATGAATGGAAATTAAGCAGAAAGAAGGGATTCTGAAGCTATAAAGTAGACTCGTAGAAATGAGGCTAAATAATTAATCCGAGAGTTTTACACCATAAAATAGTGAATTATGTCTAAAATTAAGATAAAAATTTATATGAAAGAGGCTTTGTGTTAGTGACTTAAATAAGATAAAAATAAATAAATTAGTCTAATGATTTCTTTTGAGTGGAATATCTCTGTAGTTTAATCAGCGCTTCAGCAGTATTAATACGGCTAAACTGATTTCGGTACTCAGATTCATGCCAAACTTTAGCATCAGGCTTCTGGAAGTATTGGTCTATCACATCTTCTTTTTTGTCTTTGATACTAATTTTCCCACCATTCTCAGCCTCACCATTTTGCTCATTTACCTTCCCATTTTCTTTATCATTCTCTATCTCTGCATCAGTTTTATCCAGCTTATCAGTTATATCATTATTTTCATTATATTCATTTATCACTGATACATTTTCTTGATTTATTGCAGATGCATTCTCTTCATAGCTCTTGTTTATATTTTTTGAAATTTCATCTTGCTTTGTCTCTAAATGTGGATTTATTATGTGATTTTTTAAGCTGAGCAGTTCTCTAGATAGAGGAATTTTTTTATTAACTTGTTTTGGAGTAAAATGAGACTCAGGCTTATTATTTCGAAACAACCACTCTTCTCGATGATGAGTCAAAGGCTCAAATTGCCATCTAACTTCAGAATTGGCATTTTCTGCTGGCAGAGGAGATTTCTTAGGAATAGCTGAGCATGGGCGAACATTTTTTTGAGGTGTCGGAGGATGTGGAGGATTGACATCCATAATGCATAAGGGTCTAGTTGAAAATTTATCTTTAGGAGAATAGAGAACGATAGGCATAACTACTTTTTTCTCTTTAGGCAGTTTACGTTTACTTGTTCATGATTTTTTTGTCTCTTTTCTGGGCATTATTTTAAAAGGTGAGCTTGATGTGAAGTCAGAGTATGTCACAATCAAGGGATTCATATTTATTTGAAAATTGGCAGAAAATGGAAATATCAATAAAGATATTTAGAAATAATTTATTAAGCTGAATAATAAATAGTATAAATGATAATTTCTTACTCCCCTCCTTGAGCGAACTTTTTTAGTTGAAAAAAAAAATTATGATAAAAAAAAAATTTTGATATATAATTGATTATTATTATTATTATTATAATGAAATCTCGAAGTAATTCTGTTTAATTTTAAACAAATTGCGTTTTCAAACATAAATTATACACATTAAAGTTATATTTTGCCTTCCAATTTTTGCGAACTATGGCTTTTTTAAATTTCAAAAAAAATTACTACTAAATTTATATATAATTTAAAAAAAAAAAAAATAACCCCTCCGTGAGCGAGCAAAAAAATTTTGTTCGCTCAAGGAGGGGGGAGTTAACTAATTAAATTTTCCCATGAAAATAAGTTTTAACTTTAAAATTTGCTATGCAGTTAAAGTTAAATTCACACAATGACAATTTATTTGATAAAAATTAACTGAACTCAATTATTTGAGGTGAAAGCTTAAAATATGCCTGTAAACATTAAATTTTAGCGTTGATTGCCATTTTTGATTTAAAATTCCAACTGAAAATAATAAAAAATCGTTAAAATGAAGTTGCTTATTTTGCTGTCAATTTTAATATTAACTCAAGCAAGAGAAGACCCGGTGAAAAGAGTCCTTACATTTATTGAGTTAGAACTAATAGTCTTTCCAATTGTATTAGCAATTGTGGTACTAGGGATGTGGAAGATTCACTTACTCTCCTCTTTTAAATTGGAACAAATTCTTGTTCGTTTATATTTTTTGATATTTAATTTTTCTCTGTAAAAATACCCTTTTAAATATTAAAAAAAAATATAAATGCACTTTTTCATTAAATTAGGTCAAAATTAATTTCATAAAAATTAGTATTTTTACCCATAAAATTTCTATTGAAAAAAATTGTCCCAATTTAAAGGGGTTTAAAAGGACCCAAAAAATGGAAATTTCACCTATATTTTGTTTCAATTTAAAGAGGGAAATTAATTAAAAACATGTGAAAGCCTGTAGAAAATTGTTCTCAAGAGCTCAAACCCCTCGTAAGAGAACCTGAATGTGAACCATAATAAATTAATTCAATTTACACACGTGTAAAATATTAAAATGGACGAACTTCTAGGTTATGCTCCTCCTGTTACCAAAGTTTTAGTCGGCTCAGCTCTTATTACATCAACCTTATGCTCTCTGAATTTTTTAGAAGCTCATGATTTATTTTTTGATATGAATCTCATCATTGAAAAATATACCATTATAAATAAATGAAAACATTCCTACTGATTGCCTTATTCATGCTTACTATATAAAAACAGGATAAAGGCAGCCAATAGGAATGTTTATAATCTCTTTAGCAGGCATATGAATTCTGAAGACTCTTCACAACATTCACATATTTCGGGAATTTTGGGATTGGAACGTTCATTAGCTTATTTACCTATTTCCAAAATTGCAAAATGCTTGAAGTTATGATGTTCCAAGGGCAGCTTGCAGAATTTTTAAATTTTATTTTGGTATCATGCAGCTTGCTATTAATATTGGCTCCAATGTTTAACTTGTTTTTCTTATCAGATGCTTTATTTATGTGCATTATGTATTTACTGACTCCCCCCCCCCCCCCTCCGTGAGCGAACAAAAAAATTTTGTTCGCTCACGGAGGGGGGTTTATTTTTTTTTTTAAAAAAAATTTATATATAAATTTTATAAAAAATATTTTTTTCGAAATTTAAAAAATCCTAATTTGCAAAAATTGGGAAGCAAATATTAATTTAATTTGCAAAAATTTATGTTTTAAAACGCAATTTGTTTTAAAATTAAACAGAATTAGCTCTAGATTTCATTATACTAATTAATCACTTATATATCAAAATTTTTTTCCATTAAAATTTTTTCTATTAAAAAAATTTTTGTTCACTCACGGAGGGTGGGTTTTTGGTCAAAAAATGGCGATTTTTCTAATGGTTTTGTTCGCTCACGGAGGGGGGGGGGGGAGTGAGCAAAAGAAATAGACAAGGAAGATTTATGTTGATTGGGCTTCCTATAGATATCCCATCAACATTTCTGCCTTATGTGTTTCTGATGTTTGGCTTCAGCAAATCAAAAATAATTGGGATGATTTTAGGACACCTTTATTATTATTTTGAAGATGTTTTACCAGTTCTCCCCACAAGCCAAGGTGTCCGGCTTTTAAAGCCAAATTTCATAGTCCGGTATTTTGCAAAGCTTATAGAAAATTAATGTAATCATTGATGTTTTAATCATTTTAAAAATATTCTTCTACAGAATCCTTTATAGATTCCATCATCACTTCAGTATTTTCTCCTCTTTCCCGAAAGATCCAGCTCTTCAATGATTCTCTCACACTTTTTGTCATTCCATACACAAGTGCATTCAGCAGTCCATTTATGCAAGTAAAGAACCCAGAAATCACAGACATCTCTCTCGGTGGGCAATCAACAAATATTTCCCAAACTCTACTAATAGTGACTGGTGTAAAACAAATCACAAGAATGATAGGATACATCACAAGCCTCCTCATAAGCTGCTTCCTCATCTGTTGTTGCTCAGAAACGTTGCCAATTTCTAACTGAATTTTCTTTATAACTTTAAAATACACAATAATGTTGAATGGGATCACTATTCATAGTGGCCCATAAAATAAAGAGTATCTTCATATTGTTCCTCATTTTTTGCTATCGTCAATCCAGCATCATCCTTGTGCTGTTCCAAAAGAATCTGTGATATAAGGCAGCCAAGAAATGCATAAAGGCACTAATACAGCAAAGATAAGGGCATACCACTTATAATGCTCACCTAGTCTTTTCTCATGAATAACAGCTAAATAGAGAGCTAAAGCAATCATAGCTGTCCAGAGGACGTTAGCTAGAGTGCAAAATGTTAAAGCTACCGATTGTAATTGGCAGAGAGGTGAGTGACTATTATTTTCGTCGTAGGAAGGGATTAAAAATGCAAGAGCGTGGATTGCATCTAAGCATGAAAGTATAGACACCAGCTTGAATGCAAACACTCTGAGCTCCTTGAAACTAAGATAGACTGTGATGATAAACATTGAGCCTAATAGGCTTAGTGAAGAAACTGCTGCATTGATAATATAAAGTCTGTACAAGTAATACTCACCTATACATACCATTATAAATTAATATTTCATTTTTTCTCTAGCTTGGAATCTAGTGGAAAATTGACAAATTCAGTAAAACTATAAGGCGGCAGATGGTCAAGCACAGATGCCAATCCCCCTACCCCCCCTACCCCTACTCCCACCCCCCCATGCATGGATCCCCACCCCCACCCCCTAGTATATATGGATCCCACCCCCACCCCCTCCACCCCCCCCACCCCCTCTATCATATAGGTAAACATATAAGTATAAAATCTTACAAATAAGACATACAATAAAATTTTAGTTAATTCATAAATGGATTCATAAACAGATTCATAAATAAATATTAATGATCATAAGTATATTTAGCATAGACTGATATAGCCAATATATTAGTAATACATTTAAAATAAAATAATTGCAAAAATTTGTTACACAGAAAGGAATCAATAAATGACTCAAAAAATATTTTGATATCTCTATAAAGTCTTTTACTCCCCCCATTTAATAACGAACACATTTTTAGTTTGTTATTAAATGGGTCTAACTTATAAAATTCTTGGGAAAAAAAATATATAAAATTTATATTAAATATCTATGATTTTTTATATAAAAATTTCAATAAAGGGTTAATATAAAAAAGTCAAATGATGGCAACATAAAGAGAAAGCGCCTAAATTCATGCGAAAAAATAACTATTGCTAACTCCTCCCCTCCGTGAGCGAACAAAACCATTAGAAAAGTCCCTCACTCTTCGTGAGCAAACAAAAATTTTTTTAATAGAAAAATTTTTTATGGAAAAAAAAATGACTGTTTTGTTCGTTATTAAATGGCGGGGGGAGCTAGCCTGCATTCTTTGGAAATTTTTGACCTTTATATGATTTAAAACAGGAGGTATGTGCTTGAAGGTTCATTGAAAATATGCTTCCTCGTTAGCAAACTGTATCCGATTTTTTTTTTCATCCCTATGACTTTGAATTTTTTATGCTGTGAGCAATTAATACGTTTTATTTGCCTTTAATACAGTTTACATTATATAGGGGGGTGGGGGATGGGGGATGGGGGTGGGGGATGGGGGTGGGGGATGGGGGTGGGGGATGGGGATGGGGGATGGGGGTGGGGGATGGGGATGGGGGATGGGGGTGGGGGATGGGGGGGGGGGGGGATGGGGGTGGGGGATGGGGGTGGGGGATGGGGGTGGGGGATGGGGGTGGGGGATGGGATGGGGGATGGGGGTGGGGGATGGGGGTGGGGGTGGGGGTGGCATCTATTAATGGAATGGGGGTGTGGGTGGGATCCATAGATGCAAGGGGGGTGGGGGTGTGATCCATACATACTATCTGAGGGGGTGGGGGTGTGATCCATACATACTATCTGAGGGGGGGTGGGGGTGTGATCCATACAGGGGGTGGGGGTGTGATCCATACAGGGGTGGGGGTGTGATGTATACATCCAAACTGGGGGGGTGGGGGGGGGTTGGCATCTGTGCTTGACCAGGCAGAAAATTGACTTTAGAAAGATAGCTAAATTGGGGAAGTTTGTGATGAGTTTATGATTTTCATTATTTATATATTGCTAAAATGCGTGAAAATCGAAGTAACTTCTTAGACTAAGATTATTAATTAATCAAATAGAAATTAAATATTCTCTTCTTGCTAGTAATGAAGATAAGTCTTTTAAATGGAATACAAAACATTAAAACTATAAATATTAAAAATTAGTTTTAATAAGTTAAATTTCAGGGTAAAATTTAATGAGAGCACTTGAGATCTATGAGCATATTTTTCCATATATAATTAATCCACATTTAAGTTAATTTAAACGCTTTAAAGAGCTTAACTCCTCTCGTTTTTTTTTGCCCACTTATTAGGATTAGTTTAAAAAATATATTTTTTACAATTTTTTTTGCTTGCTGACTAAGAGGGGAGTTAAAATTTCTTTTCATAATTTCGAACCTTCAAAAATATGACTTAATAAAAATAATGACTAAAGCTAAATATTTCATGTATTTTAATTCTTATTCTTATAATAGATTCTAAAATATAAATTTACGCTTTATTTTTATCAACAAAGTTTAAAATTTAATCAGCTAGGATAAAATATTAAGATGTGTATGGCATATTTTCTTTCTAGAAAATCTTAATTGAATATTTAATTGTATTTCTTCTAGACTCCTGCATTGTCTTAAAATTTACCATTTATCCTAATAATAAATATGATCGTGAGTCCTGGTACGCCAGATTCCCCTCAAGTCAATGTCCTTACCCCCCCCCCCCCCTCCGTGAGCGAACAAAAAAATTTTGTTCGCTCACGGAGGGGGGTTAATTTTTTTTTTTAAAAACAATTTATATATAAATTTTATAAAAAATATTTTTTTCGAAATTTAAAAAAAATCCTAATTTGCAAAAATTGGGAAGCAAATATTAATTTAATTTGCAAAATTTATGTTTTAAAACGCAATTTGTTTAAAATTAAACAGAATTAGCTCTAGATTTCATTATACTAATCATCACTTATATATCAAAAATTTTTTTCCATTAAAATTTTTTCTATTAAAAAAATTTTTGTTCACTCACGGAGGGTGGGTTTTTGGTCAAAAAATGGCGATTTTTCTAATGGTTTTGTTCGCTCACGGAGGGGGGGGGGGGAGTTAGAAGAATTGAGTTTGGTGTGCTATTTTTCTTCTTGGCATGAATTGTTTTCAACCTTTTAGTTGACGGCTGGAACTTATCTACAAGAGTCGCAGCAGGCGCTAAAATTGCAGGTCTCAAACCAAGCCCTTATTCAGACAGTGGCTATGTTGATTTAAATGATGGGCAATTATCCTCATTCCTAAATAATCTCCCAGCTCTCCTGATTTTTGCTTTCTTATTTGTGTTTGGGCGCAAATTGCTTAAATATCAAAGACCAGATATACAAAGCCAACTGATTTATTATTTGATCATAGGAGTGGGCATGAACTTATACTTGCATGGCCCAGGAATCATATTTTTGTTATTCGAGCTTCTATTTAATTACTTTTTAGCCTATTATTATGCTGGCAAAAAAGGGTTCCCTGTCATAGCCTGGACTTTCAATTTTTCGTATTTAGTGCTTGCTGAATATTATCATGGCTTTAAATTTTCATGGGTTTTTCCTCCTTTATCATTTTTAGATGAAATTCCTGTAGAAATGAACTGGGCTGGAGTAAACAAAATGTGCATGCTGAAAGCTTTGAGTTTTGTGTTGGATTATCACTGGGCACTTTCAAAAGAAGACTATTTGTCTTTAGATAAGCATAAAATTGACTGCACAGAATGCAGTAATATCAATGTGTGCTACACTTATAGAATGAGGGCACACGCAAATCATTATACACTTCTAGCATATTCTGCATATTTCTTTTACCCGCCGCTTTATTTAGCTGGGCCTACTACAAGCTATAATGCATGGATATCGCAAGTGCAAAGCCCACAAAGAAGCTATGATACCGTAATCGTTTTTAAGATCATTGAGAAGTCCATTGTCAGATAGCCGAAGCCCTATTCCCTTCAGTAACTCCCGACTGCTACCACTTGTTCGCAAGTCTGCACAAGAGCTTGCGCTAATTTGCTACCTCTTTATGAGGGTCTGCACTTGCTATCTGGAATTAGGAAAACTTATGTCACATTGCCGCGTCAATATTTTTACATTCCGTAGAAAATATTAGGTCATTTTTTCTAATCAGCTGTCGGCCAAAATGGAAGCCCTAAGCCCAGTCCTGGTATCATGCTGGATAAATATCCCGATTGGCCTCGAAACTACCTCTGCTAGTACTAGGAGAACCCTTTTCAACTTTGTGTCCCATTTTCCTTTGAGGAAAAATCCTGAATCAGAATTGAGCGCTTGTTGACAAGCTCGCGGGAGTTAAGGCGTCGGACAGATTCACCACACCATTTTATTGTATTTAAAAACTATGATAGCGTTTATTAAACTTATAGAGAAGCTCGCTGTAAATTGCCGAAGGACTAATCCAACGGGAACGGTCCCTTCGCCTATTTGAGGTTCGTGCACGACATCACAAAGGCTGCTTCTTTCGGAGCAAGGGCTTGTACTTTCTCCAGATAGTCGGTGACTAACATCCCCATGCTGTACGCCAGCAAAGGATAAAATTCAAAAGGCTTGAATTTTTGGATCGACTCTTAGTTAATTTGGAATTTTGAAGTCCAGGACTTAATTCCTGTTTCAAGCTGGGAAATAGTTCTGATTTACAAGGCCATTGGCTACTTGTGATACCGGAAGATCCCTTTTCAACTCTCGGCTCCATCCACTCTGAGGCAAAACCTTCATCTGGAATAGAACTTGCGATAAGTTAATCTCAGCATTGCACTCTACCAAACAAATAAAACCCCGCCAATATATGTCCCGAACACCAACTCCTTACGCATTGTCCACCGGCCGATACAAGAGCGAAACCAGTTGCACGTGTCAAGAGGGTAGGATGGGCTGCCACGCGATTTTAATGTATGAAGCTATGATACCAAAAAATTATTAATTTATGGAGCAAGGCTTGTCTTTGTCTTTTTGGTACTGCAATGGTTTATTCACAATTTATTCTTCCCAGCAATAGCAAATAATGTGAGAAATAGATGGATTTGGGAGTCCTTTAATACATATGAGCTAATCATAGCAAGCTATTTTATACTGAAGTGGATCTGGCTAAAATTCACTGTAATTTGGAGATTTTTCAGACTTTGGGCACTCTGTGATGGAATTGAAAGCCCAGAAAATATGGGAAGATGCATGTCAAACAACTATTGTTTTGAAAGCTTTTGGAGAATGTGGCACCGAGCTTTTAACCAGTGGCTTATTCGCTATGTATTTATTCCGCTCGGTGGTAGCAAGTACAAAATCTACAATATTTGGGTTGTTTTCGGCTTTGTTGCGCTTTGGCATGATTTAAATTTGAATTTATTAGCTTGGGGATGGGGAATGTGCTTATTCATAATGCCAGAAGTCATAGTAAAAAGCTATTTCCAAAAGGCCAAATTTAATGAGTTTAGAAAAACCCTTCAATATAGCTGGCTTTGTGCATTTGGAGGTGGTTTCTATATCATTTTGATGATGGCAGCTAACTTGGTTGGATTTTCTTTTGGAATTCGCGGATTGACGATTGTGCTGGAAGAAGTTTTTACAGAGTCAGGCATTTATTTGCTATTTAAAGTTTTCATGGTCTTAACACTTGGTGCACATTTTATGATGATTATTAGAAGAGAAGAGACAAAATATGAAATATATGACTTGGGCCAATAAAATATGGGACTTTTAAGCACTGTTTGCTATTTATAATCCAAATTAGAAAATGGACAAGGGCAAAATACTATAGAATTAGTTAGAGAGAATAAAAAATAAAGGATTTTAGATCTTTATATCAATTATGTCATATGGCACATATTCTATATAATGCATGTGTAAATCGTCATATAGCCCAGATGAATTTAATGACGAAGAAATGCATATTGTGTTTTTTTGTGATGAAAACGAAGAATTGAAGGCGGTAGAATTCTCCACAACATTGCTAAAAGTTCTTCGATGGCATTTTGAAGTCTTGCCTAGAACTTCTTTCAAGTTTTTCTTAAGCAGCACAGGTTCTTTTATTTCTGTTTTCTTTTTATTCCCGATCTTGCTTTTCGTTTTATCTATTAATTTCTTCTCGTTCGAAATATAGGGCTTTACCCTAAGTAGCCCTATAAGGGCAGATGATTCCCGGTGGAATCATCGAGTTGATCCAACGCAGGGCTACACAGGGTAAAACCCTATACTTACGGTTTCATAATTCTGATCAAGGCTCCCTCTTCTTATCCTCGCGGCTTGGATTGAAGTTTTATTGGCAATAATATCGACTTCTATACTTTTTTCCCTTATTTTTACCTCTATTTATTAAGCAAATTATTAGTCAGATTTATTATAGTAAATATGAATATGTTTTCTTTTGCTTCTATTAAATTATCATCTTTTTTTGGTTCCATTTTTCTTGCTGAAGAAGCTCTTTTTTCTCTTTCCAATGCTATAGGCATCATTTGATTAAAACTTATAGTTCTCTTTTTTCTATCGTGGAGAATTAATTTTTTCTTATTTTCTGCCTCTTTTGTTTTTGTGTTTTGAATTTGCAAAGCTAAGTCTAAGCTATCTTTCCTTTTCTGCCTTGTTTCTCAGGATATTTTTGATTTTTTTCTTTCGGATTCTAAATGTTTTATTCGATTTTCCAGAGTTTTTACTTTTAAATCTAGCTTTTTCCTCTCCAGAAGCAAATTGTGGATTTGAAATTCTGAAGATGGTATAGTTCTTTTTTGGGAAGGTTTTTGCGACGACTTAGACTGAGAAATCAAGCTATTATTTTCAGTGCACAGAAATCGGTCCGTTGGAAAGTGATTTTGCTTATCCTCTATCCTTGCTTAAGCAATTTTTGTTTTTTATTAATTTTTATACAACAATCAATAAAATAATATTATTTTATATATAATTTTTTACTCAAAAGTTCGAGCCCATCCTTGATCAAAATTTGGTGGGCTGTTCGATCAAAAATAAGAGCTAGTTAGACATTAAATAATAATTAATGATAAACATAGCGCCAAGAACTTTATACCAAGTATTTGCAGATTTAAACAGATCGTTTCTTACTCTTGCTTATATTTATGCTAAATTCAACGATATTGTTTGTGTAATTATTTAATCTAGCATGTGGACAATTGAATTTGAGATTTTTAAAAATATAACTTGTGAAGTGAAAAAGTGGAAACTTTAAAAATTTAAAAATTGCAGAAGAACAGATTTTGAAATTCTATGAATGAAGCTCTAATTATCACGATTTCTGATAGATAATTCCATTCCATTCAAATTCAGCAGCAGTACGCTGCCCCAGGCCTTATGGATAATTCAGCTTATATTTCAAGTACTATTAGCAAATTAAGTAAGCCTTCCTTTTTGTTCAAATAGCTAGTAAAACCGCTATAGCAACTATAAAGTATTATTTAAATATTATGTGGCACATAGAAGCTGAAAATTAGATCGATAAACTGTCGATTGTTAAATAAATATATTTAGGTGGCTCAGAAAATTTTTATGTATACTTTGATTCAAAATTGGGTATCTTGTTCAGGCAATATTTCGAGGTCCTATTGCATTAAAACTAAAGCATTCACGATACTAATTTTGAAGGCCTATGGCATTAAATCAGCTTCGTGCTGCAAGAATTAGGAGGCATTCTATGCTTTTTATCTTTATTTATCATAAAATTTTTAAAATTCGAAATATTTTTCATATAAGCACTCTTGATAAATAGTATATTATGGATTAAATCTTTTTTACCCCATGAATTGAGTTCTTTCATTGTTATTTTTGAATATAATTAAAATCACTTATTAAGTTCATTAGACTAGTTTCCCAAGATAAATTTAGATAAATGCAATTTTTGAAAATATATAGCAATTATAACTCTTAATTAATAGGTTACAGAGTCACAAAACGCCTTTCTCGTTCTCACAAATTCCTTATTCAACCCTTATTGGCATTTATCCCTATTTTCCATTGGATCATAATAATGTTGCCTCAATATGAAATGTTGATCCTTTTTTAAATTTTTTACTCTCTCTCTATTTAATTATGCATAAATTCAATGCTAATTTTCTTACTTACTGATCAAAAATATTATCCTTTAAATACATCTGTAAAAATTTTATGCAAAAGTCAACTAATAGAGCTGATGACCTTACTTTAGGCGAAGTCGATATACTCGATTTCCTTGATTTCCCACCGCCTCTACCGACACGTTCTCATGAAGTAGCTCGGGATGCGGAAGAAACTTACACAGATATCAAATCTACCGGTCGAAAACAGATCGTTGATACAAAAATTCTTGATAATTAAAAATATGGCGTCTTCGTATAATTAAAATATGGCGTCTTCGTCTGGGCATGGCCTCCCGGCCATGCAGCCTCGACTCATATTTTAATTATATCCGGCAAGTTTTGCATTTCAGAAAGGGACAGCAATGCTAGGTAAGCAATTCTGGTGGAGCTCAGAGCCTAGCCCAAGTCTATTTTCAGGGATGTTTTTTCCTCATGGGGAAGGAGGCACGTGAGTTGGAAAGGGGAAGCTCAGCAGAGTCCGTTAGGACCAATCGGGCAACTCCCTAGCGTGAAACTGGGCGTTACGTCCCAGGCTTCGTGTTTTCCTTTTTGCCGAGAGCCTACCAGAAAATCCATTTTTTTTATGGATTTTCGGAATGGCAACCCATGTCCTCAAGCGAAGTAGCTCAGTCATGAGCCGTCGAAGTCGGCAACACCTGCGACTAGGTGCACCTTGGCGTAGCAAAGCTGGTCGACCCAGAGGCCGGTGGGCCCGATGCGCCATAGGCAGGCGGAAGCTCTGGGATGGGCAACCCCGTAAGGGACGTTAAGCGTATAAATCTAATAGAATAGAATACAAAAATTCTTGGCAGATTTCAAAGTTCATCCAACCCTTACCCTCCTAAAAAAGAGTACCTTCGATGCAAAATGATCCGAGGTCATAAAAGAGCTAATCGCCAAATAGAAAAATCGGTCATCCCTAAGCGCACAATAAATGCATATTCCTCTATAGCCGAAGTCTATTGAAGCAAGCTTGCAGCTTGCTTTAACGCCCACAAGGACGTTCTAATTGAGGAAAGCAAAACTGAAGCAGGGCCGAAGACTGATGGCAAAACCAAGCGAAATTGTAATGAAAACAATATCCCGAAAGGCTCCATGCCAAATGACTGTGGATTTTTGACAGTGTACATTTCATCGAAATCCATTTGGTCGAAAATTTTTATAGTGCGACATTTGGCCGAAAAATTAATGGTTTTTTTTTTCGGTCAAATGTCTCACTTTCAAAAATTTTAGACCAATTTTCGGCCAAAAATTTTCGGTGAAATGGACACTATCAAAAGGGTAAGTCATTTGACCTGCACCCATCCCGAAAAGCTTCAACGAAAAGTTTTGTAAAAGGTATTTTTCTCCTGAAGAGGTAAGAGAATCGTACTTTTACTATACAGAGTACATATTTGCTGAGTTTGACCCTGATGTTATGTGCAAAAAATTCAAGCTCAGATGCTGCAGGTCGCCTATTCATAATTCTGAGTGCTTTGAAAGCTGAAAATTGTTGAAGTTTTACGTCCAGAAGATTATGCTGGACAATTTAGGTGTTGAGCCGTGGATTGTGATGGAAGCCACCACAGATGTTTCGACCATGCCGAATCCAATGCCACAAATTGTAGTTGAGACTAAGATTGCAGAGAGTGAGATTAAAAAAGTAGAGCCACAGCAGATAAATGATCCTTTAGAGAATATTTTCAGAGAAATTGATGGAGATATTGATCCAGAACTATTCTTTAATTTTTAGCTAATTTTAATATTTTCTTATTAATTTTTAAATAGGATATTGCGCTATTAGAAAATTATTAACAGATCTTATTATATATGCAATTACTACTCGCAAAAATGATTTTTATAATATTGTACATCAAATTTTCTAACTCCCCCTCTTTAATTTAGAACAAAATATAGGTAAAATTTCCATTTTTTGGGTACTTTAACTCTCCTTCAAATTGAGAAAAAATTTTTTCAAGATAAAAATACTGACCTGATTTAACGAAAAGGTTAAAATAAAATATTATTTAAACAGTTTCTACACTGAATCGATTAATTTTTAAAAATAATTCTTCGTAAAAAATAATTTTTATTGAGAGCAATTTAATATAAATAGATTATAAAAATTTAACTCCCTTTAAACTAAACAAGATTTTTTGTTCCATTTTAAAAAGTGGGTAGTAAATGCGACTTGAGAAGAGCTTCTGAACAATTTAGAGTTATCTTTTGCATTTCCAAAAATTATTTTGCTTGGCGTATAATTATTTCTTACAATCCTGCAGCTTCCTATCATTATATTTCCTCTATTTTTTTCTATGAACTTTTCATTTCTTTCACTCATAGTAAAATGTTTTTCCCTCATATAGTTTTTTAACTCTAAATATTTTTTATTTTCTGTTCCTTTATTGAGCTCTCTAAATTCTTCCCTCATAGTTGATAGCATTTTTTTCTTATAGTCTCCTAGTCTGATAGAACTCAAATTTGAATTTATTTTTATAAGCTCAGGCACTTTATCACCATGAAACTCTGCATAGCATGAGCTTGATTTGTAGTCATTGCCGCTACTTCCTAATCTTAAAGTATCAGAATTTCTCTGGCCTGGGACAATTCTTCTAGGAGATGTTTTTACAGGTTCTTTTAATGTAAACATTTCTTGTGATAAGGATCTCAGGGGATGTCTTTCATGGCCTAGAGCAATTCTTTCTTGTGATAAAGTTCTGAAATTTTCAGTTTTTTGGCAATGGGGAAGATATGAAGATGAGCTTGTTGTGATTTTAGGGTCTTCGTTAAATCCTAAAGAAAAATGAGTTGAATATAAGTCTTTTATCAATTTTTTTGCCATTTATAGCTTCATTATAATTTTTCAATGGAATATAGTCTTTATATTCAATTTCTAGAAAAATTCAAAAATTTCTATTTTAATAATACTATAGATCAAATACTAATATTTAATAACCCCATGTATATGATATTTTGAATGAGATTTTAACCAGCACAGTTTCCTCATTATTTGAATGGAAAAATTCAGAGTTTGAAGAACAAATGAGATCAAGCTTGACATCTCTACCTCCTCCAAATCCAGGAGATTGGGTTAAAGTAGAAGGAAACCAAAAGCTTGAAATGGCACTTAGAAGATTAAGAATTGATAGAAACACTACAAATGGAAGAGAGTTGGCAAATAAAACAACTGAGGAGCTAAATACAGAAAAAAAGAAAGTAAAAAATGAATTAAAGACCTATGATACCACTTTTAAGTCCCTTTTTGGACGACTGCCTAAAAGAGAAGAAAAAGAGCCAATGAGACCGCTTTATATGTACTACAAGAAAATTAAGCAGGCAATATCAAAAAGACCAGCAGAAAGAAGCAATAAAAAATTGAATAGAGAAGAAACTGTAAGAAAATTAGAAACCTTAAGAAAAGAAAGAGGAGAATTGAAGGCGGTTCTGCATAATTTCCAGATGGAGTTTTCTCAGACCAATCAAAGGAGGATTAGATATCATAAAGATATATTGCCAGTTGAAAATGAATATAAAAGATACAAGGACGTTAAAGCAGAAATTGCTAAATTAGAATCAGAGCTTAGTAAAGCATAATATTAAATAATCATTATTTGCATATTTCCTTATATATCTTTATTTTATTAATTAAATGTATAGCAAATTTAATATATGATAAGAATTTTCCTTAAATTAGCTAGCAGTAATAATAAAAGAGACATTGAATTTTTGTTATATTAATTCTGCCTCTACTATTAATTAAACCATTGCTTTTATTTCCTTATCAAACTTTTTATTTTTGCCCTCATCTCTTATATTGTCATAAAAAATAATCCCAGTCCCTATAAAAACTAAGCTTAAGCTGATCCATTGGTATCCGTTAAGGATGTGATTAAACATCATAATTGATAATAAAACTGTCAGATTTTTTCTTGTTAAAGTAATTACATGCAATGTCAAAACTCCGAAAACCTTTATCGCCCTGAATGAGAACACTTGCCCGATTGCCGACAATAAAGAAAACAATAAAATATCAAAAATGATTGATGGGTATTTTTCTATATAAGCAAATAAAGAAATTTCATCCCCAATACTAGATTAGATTAGAATGGGTCTTAGGGGTTCCTCTCTGCCTTTGCCGGCTTCAGACTCCTCCTCCTCCTAAGCATCGGTTTGCACTAAGGCCCTTTCTGTCGACATCTCCAAAAAATGGTGCCGTCGCCATCCCTCGGGGAGACACACCCAAGTATTTTATTGGACAACTCCTAGCGGTCGGCATGATTCCCGGGGACAGGAAGTCGGATACGACCCCCGAATTCTCCTTCTCTCCCCATTGCCATTCGCATCCAGATACATGAAATTGTCCTATGAACTTTAGTTTCCTTGTCTATGATATCGGGTATAAAAACCTGCCTTAGTGAGAAAAAATCACCCCTGGACACAAAGTTCCAGGTCCAGGCCCAGAAGAATGGGTCGGATAAGTAACCATTTTTATTTGTGTATCCAATACTAGAGAATCCTAAGACCACAATAGTTATCAGAATGCTCCAAAAATTCACATATCTCATCATTTCTAATGATGAAGGCTTATACTCATGTTTTACTTTTTCTGCACAAAAGCCATTCAACCCATCCATCAGCAAAGATAAAAATATAAAAATTAGCCCAATAATTGTATCAGTTGTGCCTTCTTTTGGGTTAAGCATATTAAAGAGAAAGACACCAATTGTAATGATAGCAACGCTGAAATATTCATTTTTTTCGTATTTCACTTCTTTTACAAATAAACTTCCGATCATAACAGGAAGAATTTTGCACGATTTTGCTAGGGCTTGGGTAGGATAACTAATATAAATAAGTGAGGTATTTGTAAAAATTTTTGCAAGGGTTGATACTAATGAATGAGTGAATTTTAGCTTGAAAAAATGTCAAGATTTAGTGTCAGCTTGAATTATTGACTTTTGCTCTGTAAAAGATATCCCAAGAGTTTCACCTACATGAGATTTACAAATAATAGAAACAAAAAATCCAGTAGTGCATTGGATCAATACTACAAATTCAGCATAATTAAATTTTTCTCGGCCAGGATCATTGTAACTATATAGAGATTACATCTTTTCTTGAACTATACTGAAATAGAGATGTGTAAAATAAATACCGAAGGCTACTATAAAAATCTCTGGGACTCTTTGACCTTTGATCTTATTGAAGGCCTCCATATAAATATATAAGTGCTAAATTTTCATTATTATCTATATGCAAAATAGACTCTATAAAATATAATCCTTAATTTAAGTGGGGGAAAATATAATTATATTTAATATAATTAGCTTATAAATCTTCCATACTCCCCTTTAAATTGAAACAAAAGATCCCTGTTACAATTTAAAGGGTTTTAAAAAAATTAAATTGAGCGCAATATTTTGGATTTTAGTTTAATTTTATGAATAATTAATAAATTAATTAATTCAGTGTGCAAACAGTTTAATTAATATTCTACTTGTACTCCCTCCATTAATTGGTCAAAATTATTCATATAAAAAATTAATATTCTCATCTATAAAATTTTCCTATTGAAAAAAAAAATTGTTACAATTTAGGGGATTAAAGTAAACAAAAAATGGAAATTTACCTATATTTTGTTCCAATTGAAAGAGGAGTCAGCCTAAGGATATTGATCTTGGCTATGGCTTTCCCCAATATTAGATTCTTCACTTATAGCGCTTTTGGCTATTCTTTTCATCGCCCATAAAGAAATGCTGGCGCTGTCTTTTATTTCTAGTTCAGTAAGGTTTTTAGTAGCTATTAGTTTTGATTTTTCTTCGATTTTCCCATAATCTTTATAATTATTAACATCAAAACATTTTCTTAGGCTCTGAATTTTTTTTAAAATCAAAAGAATCAATTTTTTAGATATAGCACCTGAAATATTTTAGATCATCATGTCCATCAATTTTAATTTTCAAAATTAATTTATACTTGTCAGCTTTTTTGAAAAGTAAAAACGAAAATGACAAGTCTCGGCTTATGATTTTAAGGTATTGTAATTGCCCGAGGATGGCGCTATCTTGCACCATCCTCGGGCAATTTAAAAAATGGCCCCACACCGGGAATTGAACCCACGTGTGGGGCCATTTTTGGTGAGTGGAAGTCGATGTTCTTCACATACCAAAAATGGCCCCACACGTGGTTCAATTCCCGGTGTGGGGCCATTTTTGAATTGCCCGAGGATGGCGCAAGATAGCGCCATCCTCGGGCAATTACTATACCTAATCAGACTTATACTGTATAGGGCAGGTGCCCTGTACCATATTTTTTCTGGTTGGTTTTCTGCTGGGGTATAGAGATCTATTAAGGTGTATGAGCTATATATTCTTCAGCCATACCCATAAAAAATAAGCATTTGATAAAACCAGCAAAACGAAAAAGAAAATTTCTAATCCTAGGCTAAGTTCATTTGTCATATAATAAAGGCCGCAATAAATTGTTAATAGTTCTACAAAAATGCTTGTTAATTCTGCTGTGTTAAGCTCGAGATATTCAAAAGGATAGCACTTATATTGTAAATAAAAAAATATGAATAAAACTGTAAAGCAAACTATTGCTTGAGTCTCTACAGCGTCATTTGTAAAGAAAATTGCAATTCAAATTATTAGCAATTTTCTTATTAGAATTACAAATTCCCAATAAAATTTAGATTTTCTATATCCGTTATATATAAATCCAAATCTCAGCATTGTTTCCAGCCGATAAAGATGCCTTCTCTTTTTCCATAAATATAGAAAAATTCCTAAAGGTATTCCAGCAGTCCAAATTAAAATTCCTGGCAGAGCTACACCAAAAGCATAAATTGAGTGCATGTTATCTCAGCATTTAATATCAAGATTGCTGCTGAGATATAGTTCTCCATAAATATCCATGCAGCTGAAAATTGAAAACATATAATTTGTGATTGTTGGCAAAATAAGGAAATGCAGAATTCATAAAGTTGTGATCAGTTCATTCTTTACTGCTGATAAATAGATATTTTTAATAACTGCTACTGTTAGTCACATAATAATAAAATGGTTCAGTGCGGAATTAGTTCTCTCCGAGAACTGTTCCTTCCTTCGCTTGCATTATTATGGGGTTCAGTTTTCCACGTGGCCTTTTATCCGCAACACCAATATGGAATATCGCATAGGGTATTCAATTGGTCCAGGGTACCAAAGGGTACCAAGGACATCTGGTTTTGCTGCTTGAGACACCAGAGGAGGGTGACCCTTAGGCGGAACACGCGCAGGAGTCAAGTTCGGGCGAGGCAACGCTGCCGGTGCGAAACTTCTGGCCTAGCTGGAGGTGAACATTTTATAGAAGGCTTGGTCGGGCTGACCGGTTCAAGATGGCTTGGTGACGTCACCAGATTGGGAGTTAAAAGGATGGGTTATGCATGTCTAAATCATCCTGCTGAAGAAGTCATACACCTTAAACGCCTAAGTAACTAATTAAGTAAGCTACTATTAGTCAGAATATAAAAATGCAGATTCCTAAAGCTGCTATTGCTGAAATTATTAAGAGTGCATAGCAAAATCAATATGCCGAGGAGAATTTCTTGGATGAGATTCATCGATAAATTCTATGGGATAGCTTTAGGAAGAGGTGAGACTTTAAGGTCTTATGGCAATAATTAATAATGGTTAGTTAAAGCTGCTGGGAGGCAAACCATAATAATCATTTTCAAAAAATATATCGATTTATAAGACTCTTTGTCACTTTTATCTATTAATAGACAATCAATAGAAAGCAGATGAGTTGGAATATCTCCAGGGTATGATTGGTAGGATAATCATGAATCAGCGTATCATGGCCATGGTAATTTCATCTTAATAATAATTGAAATCACTTGAAAGTAGTTCAATAAAATTTTGAAAAAAATAGAACTTATTGAGACTGGCTCATAAGCTGTGATAAATGTAAGATATACTACAATAGTAACTACTAAAATAGTGCAAATCCCTAGCACTACTAAAAGAAATAAAATGGTGACGTGACGGAAAAATGGACTCTGAGGCACACTCCCTATGGAGGAGGCAGGGCTGAAAGCAGGACCTCGTCCCTTTTTTAAATTAGGCCTTCAGGCTTAGGGATACTTTGCAGAAAAGGGAAGTTTTGCTTTCTCTCAGGTTTTCCTGTCCCTGACAGATGGACTGGACAGATTTAGCCTGTAACATGGTCCTTCCTTGCCGGACCAGCGGTGAATGTCACATACTATGGCTCTGTCCAAGGGAGTTAATCCCTGGGCAGGAAGTTCAGGCCGAAAATCCAAAAAAGGGTGACATTTTGGAGTCAAGATGGGCGACGGCTAGTGGCCTGATCCACCTATAGCCAGCATAACCGTTTTAACTAATTAATTAACTAGCCCTACTAGTCTGATGATGTTATCTTGACTAGATGGACATCTTTCACAGTTATTTCCACCTGACGATGAAAAACCATAGTCACAAGCTTGGCAAAGGTTTCCTTGGTACCCTTCTCTGCATCTTCCAGTTAAAGAAATAGAATCATTAGCATCTTTTAATCCTCCTTCGCAAGCATTTGGGTTTAAGCAATGATATAGTCTTATAGAGTCAGTTTTGCCACGCCAATATCCAGGCTTAGGAGCCAATAAATCACCACCATAGCAATATGCATTTACTGGGCACTCATTACAATTATTATCTGGGCTCAAACTATATTGTCCTTCTTTGCAGTAAATGCATTGATTATTAGATCTATATTCTCCATTAATGCAGTTTCTAGTGCGCAAAATTACTGTTAGATTCAAACTAATCGAAATGTTACGATTAGAAATTCAAAAGTCTATTGATCCAAAATAAGTTAAATTCATACGAATTTCACTTCCCGGAGCACATAAAAACGTCAAATTATTGAATATAATGATGCCCCTGATAGGGTTTACAGCTGAAACTCCATTTATAGTAGAATTTTCAAAAATAGGCCTTAATGAAGCAGAATATCCATCGAAACCACCAGTAACTAATTGCTGATTTATATCAATTAAAGCAAAACTAAAGTTCAAAGGATAATCCAACCCACACACTCCATCATAGTAAAGTGTTGTATCATTATCTAAAGTAAGATCTTCATATTTACCCCCCTATATTTTCACCTATTAAATTTTCCTTTTGAAAAAAACAATTTACTATTTAAAGTACCTAAAAATTGGAAATTTTACTGATACTTTTTTTACCAATTTGGGCGGATTTAACGAGCCTAACTGGGTGTAAAGCAAGTTTATCCCCGTACTCTGCATGATTCTCAGAATATTCATTATCAGACTCTTCTATATTGTTTCCTTCTACGCATAAACTTGCACCAATTTTAGCAGAATTATTGCTAAATATATTTCTAAAAAAATAATTTGTCAAACCATTTTTCATACATCTCACATATCCAGCTCCACCCTCAAGAGCCATATTATTTTCAAAAGTTGAATTAAGAATTTGTGCATTACAACAATCTAGCAAAAACGCCCCTCCTTTAGATGCAACACTATTATTAATAAATTTGCTGTTTTCTATTTTTGTCACTGAAGTTTCGGTCTATACTTTTTCCTCTGGACTTTTGTTAATGAGGCATTTCTTGGAGACATTTAGTTGAATTTTTCATTCTTTGTTAGATATTTGATTGAAATTTGAAGGTTTTTTCCGAGGAAAAATTTCGACCAAATTTCCGAGAAAATGCCTGACTAGTAAATGTCCCGATCAAATAAATGGAGCCGAAGTTTCGTTTTGATTTGTTATTTCTAAAGCTGCTGCTGATAAATTTGAAGTATTATTATAGAATAAAGAATTCGAAATACTCAAATATTCGTAATTTACAATCTCGAGAAACATAGTATTTATTCCGTTTAAAAATGAACAGTCAGTTATAATAATTCTTGTTGTGTTTACTAAGCCCAAGCCTGTATGCAAAGAATTAGAAAAAACTGAATTTTTGAGCTCAATTATATCCTGATGCATTGCATAAATAAAGATTGACGATGTCATTATATTGGAATTTTCTATGTATGTCATTTTTGAATTATGGAAAAGAAGCTTCCCATAATTTACAAATATGAGTCCATTTGGAGATGCATAAATAAATCTAAATTCGCAATTATCGAAATATAAAGTGCTGTTTGAAGATATAATAGCGGTTTCAATAGTAGTTTTAGTTGAGATGAATAGTGATTCTTCCGCTCTGAAAAAACTCGCATTTTGGATATATATTTCAGACTGGCCGGGATTGTATAAAATATTATCTTTAAGAGTAAATTGTTTTAATAAAATATTTGAGCCTTGAATGTGCAATATTGGATCATAAAATGCATATAGCGTGGGCACACTTTTAAATTTGCTTATTATTCGGGTTATGCTCAAAATTTGCATTTCTCACCTTTTATCTGAAAACCCTAATAAAAGTAAATTTTAATTTATTTGGTTAAAATTTACTATTTGAAAATGTTTTGCTAAAACCATCTACAACAAGCAAGAATTTGCTTATCCATGGGGAGTCAGCAAGTTGGAGGCTTGTCTCATCATCTTCAAGGAACGAGACAAAAGCGTGCAGGCGCTATAATTGCTAACAATGCTAACATTATTGAAAGTAATTGAACCCAGACTTTCAAAAATGAGAACTAGTGGCCCTTCATCAGCAGTATTATTAAAAAATGCACAGCTTTCTAAATTAGCTCAAGCAGAATTTTGAAGATATATTAGCAGAAGAGAATTTTCAGAAAAATAGCAATTAATGCAGTTTAATGACCCATCAAAAATAGAAATAAGACCATCACCTAAAAAGTTCTGATAAAATATAGTTCCATTAAATAGGTTATTTTGAGCTGAAAATCCATCTGCATACAGCACACATTCATTATTCATAAAAATGCTTCCAAAATCTTGATAATTTGCATTATTTTGAATATAAATTGGGTAGTCCGTGTTTTTGTAAAAACTACAATTTTCCGTAATCACGGTATTATTAAAAAATTGTTCGGATGGCACAGATACATAAGCTACTGCACTTCCTGATTGATGCCTAGAATTTAGAGCGAATATACACTTTTTTATATAAAATATTGCATCTTTGCTTGTTTGACTAAATATTATAATTGAACCCTGATTGTTTTGAAAGAAAGTTAAGTTTTTAATTTCAAATAAATGTGTCAGATTATTAATCCCAATCCCTCCACCTATTTGATCTGATGTTGCATTATAAAAAATGCTGTTTTCAATTAAAACGTCTTCACAATCCTTTAAATAAATTCCTCCTTGATAACTGCTGTAAATATTTTCTATATTGATATTATTCAAATGTGCTGATTTTATGTTTGCGAGTGCAATCCCTGCTGCCCAGTCATCATTTCGAGTATTTTTGATAGTTATGCTTTCGCAAAAAATTTTGTTGCCGTTTACAATATTGATTGGAGCAAATTGACTATTTATATGAAGAAAATCTATTGAAATATTTGAAATTAAAGCCTGATTTTTAATATTAAGCATGTAAAGCACAGAAAAAGCTGAGGAGGATGGTGCCATAAGAGTTTCATCAATCATAAAATTTGACACTGAAAAAGTATGTATTTCATAACTAAATATCAAGAGTAAAGTAGTCACGCTGCCATTATCATATATTGAAAGAGCACTTGAATTAAAATAAGGAAACACTGTGTTACTAAGCTTTAAGTCTTTTATTATATGATTTACACGAAAACCTTTCAAGGTAGCGTTAATATTTCATGCATGATCAAAGAAAAAGCCATATTTAAATAATGAGGAGTCTATAAGCACATTTTCAGCATTGATGAGAATCATATTATCTGGATCCATTCAATAAGAGTATTCATAAAACACACTGTATAAAAAAAGACTGTTACTAATATAGAAATCTTTTATATAAATTTCAAGCGGATAAGTAAATAAATAGCAAAAAATGAGAATATCAGATCCAATCAAGTTAAAAGTATTATTGACAATTCTCATTTTTGGGACGATTATCCACTCATAATTATCATTTAAAGCTAGATTAGAAGTTATACTGTCCATATCATAGTATACTGAAACCATAGATCATGTATATATTGTGTCAAAGCTGCAATTTTCAAAAATAAATTCGCCACGACAATTATCAACAGAAATCAAAGTTCCACAATAATCAGAAATTAAAGCTGCACCTCTGCACAATGATAAACTGTTCAAAAAGTTTACATTTGAAAATTTTATTGAGCCAGTATAATTTGCTAATAAAAAGCTTGAAGCAAAATCCATCAGGGAGCTGAAAAATCCATTGTTTAATTCTACTGTTCCTTTTTCATATACAAAAGTGTTTGGATAGCAGTTTAAATCGCATCTAAGAATTATGACGCCATATAGATTTCCGCAGTCATAAGCTTTAATATTTTGAAAAGTTGTATTATATAATCTTAAGACTCCACTTTGAGCAAAAATAATTGATTTTAAATTGTATTCCATATTTTGAAAAGTCGTATTATAAATAAATAATCAATTATACTCTCCAATAGATATAAAGTTGCTAAAAGTGTTAATTGGGCAAACAGTAGCTGTATTAAATACATCAGAAAGTTGAATTTCATAAGGCTGAGCTACGGCTTTCCTATCGAATATTATGTTTTGAAAATAAATTCAATATAAAGTTTCAAAATCCATGGTAAATTTGCTATTTGTGATTTTTAAAGTTGCATGTTGTAATTGATCATTACTGGCTGGTCTAATTATTAGTGAAACAGCTATTGAGCCTATATTAAAATAATCTTCATCAATAATGTGAAGCCCAGGCTCAAGCAAAATTTCAATAAATTGATCACATGGATTTTCCAGCGCTTCTGCAAGAGTTTTATAAGGATAATTTTTGGATCCATTCCTTATTGTGCTTGTTGTATTATAATCAACATACATGCTGCATGGATTCGAAAAAGTTACCATATTAATCAATTCATTTTTACAGTCTTGATCACATTCTTGGCAGTCATTTAAGTCAAATTTGCATGCAGGATTATTGCAAGCATCATCACATTTTCCATCACCAAGCATTTCTTCAAAGCAATCTTTTGCACAGCTCCCACATGCTCCTAAATCATAGCCACATTTTTGAATGTTACATTCTGATTGAATATTACCTTCATCACACTGATTATTCTTTAGCAACTCTAAGGAGCAGCTGCTCTGTAAAACACAGTCGTAAAGGCAATCACTTGATTTCATCATTTCAGTTTTACTTGCATACATACTTTCGTATGAGTCGTAATTGCAAGCTTCAATCATGCATGAAGGATTGCAAGCTCCATCTCCAATCTGAATTATTCTTACATATAAAGGATCACAGAGGTTAGAGTAGCAGTCAAAAGCTAAAGAGGAAGAAAATGTGAGAAAAAAAATAAGCATCCCTATTTATTTACAATTATTTAAAAATTGTAGAGAAAATTACTTAAATATATGTTTCAATAAATTTATTTAAGCTCATTAATTATTAGTAAATAAAATTTATATCAGTTTCTCAACTGTATTATGTCTCAGTAAATCTTATAAATATTTTAAAAGAAAGTCTATTAAGAAAAGATCATGATGATAAGACGTAATACAATAAAATTGCATGAAGATGAATTAGAATTAAAATATATATATTGCCAATTTATATTTCTGTTATAGGTGCTTTACCTAGACTTTATTTTTATAAATAAAAAATAGCAATAATAAACTGCAACATCCTTTTCTTAGATTTTTAAATAATGACTCTTAATTTTTAAAAATTAAAAATTATCTTGAAATAATAAAATTTCAAATTCATTCCCAAACTCTATTAAATTTATTTTGCTAGTAATCAAATACTTAAATAACACAAAAAATGGAAATTAAAATTCTGTTCATATCTATGGCAAAATTTCAGTGAGATTAATTAAAATATTTATTTATTATAATTATAATGAAAAATTGTTCTTTTAGTAATTCTAATGCGCATCATACTTGCCGAATATCATCGGCGAATCTTTATTATCAAAGGAATATTAAAAAAGAAATTAAAAATACTACGGGACTGCAAACATTGAAGAAGTTATCTAAAAAAAATGAAAGGAAAGTATTTGCTAATAAAGAAAAATCTCTAGCTGATTCATGAGCAAGAAAAATGGGCTATTATTTTAATAAGGAATCACTAAAAATTAAAACTTATGAATACATGAAAATTACTAAAAAATTGCTTGAAATTTATAAGAAATATAGCAGGAAATTCAAGAAATTTGAAAAATTTGAAAAATTTGAAGCAGTTAGTAGAATAAGTGATGAATTTCTTATCTTTTTGCCTCTAATTGACAATAGATTTAGTAATAGCCCAAATAATTATAAAAATGGCCCTTTGCCATACAGAAAACACCAGACGGAGATATTAAACTTCTTAATAAAGAATTATTTTCAGACAAGAGGGTGAAATGAGTGTAAAAAAAGAACTGGTTGGTTTGAGAGAGAGAAAAAAGCTGAAAATGTAAATTTGACTCATAATAGCAGATTAAAATTTAGAAAACCTGAAGAAGCAATTTATCAGTTTCTTATTCATTATTAATTTTTCAGACTGGATGTGAAATTAATTATATTAAGCAATAGACGATTTACGCAGTTATGCTTTATCATTTTGAAAATTAAACTATACAAGGAGTAAGATGCTTTGCTAAATTATTTACTTAAATATCTTAGTTAGCAAATAATCAGATAGAGTCATTTCCCAACTTGAACTCTTATATTTTCTTTAATTTTAAAATTGATAAGCCAGTGCTTTTTGCTATCTTATGTTTTTCCTGTGAGGCAAGATCCCCACGAGTCTTTATTTTTCCTCAAAATGGAAAAAATTGGCTTCATTTCACTTTTTTTCTTGGTTTTAAGTTCATCAATATCGAAATGGTTTTAAAATGGAAAAAGTTCGTTTTGAGTTCAATTAATTTGTAACAGCTAAAGCATAATATAAATGATCGCTTTCTCAGCACTTAATATCAAGATTGCTTACTAAATATAAACTCCCATAAATATATGTACAGCTTAAAATAGAAAACATATAGTCTGCTATTAAAGGTAAAAACCAAAAACAATAAAATACACAAAGTTGCGATTAATTTACTTTTCATCAATTTTCGCTTTCTTTTATATGCCGCAATTAATGACTAAAAAATGGCTGCAGTTGCTCCTAGGGAACCGGAAGAGCTACTATCATGATCGTTTTTTGAAATATATTGTTTTATATGAATCTTGGTCGTTAGTATCCATTAAATAGCTATCAATTTATACTATATTTGTAGGAACTTCTCCTGGATATTCTTGACGAGATAATCAGAAATCTATATAAACAGTCAATTTAGCTTGAGTCTTGCTACAAGCACAATCATTTGTAAATAATTTATCAAAATAAGGATGTATATTGAGATTGTAGATTTAGGTTCTAAGCAGCTTTCAAAGAAAAATAAGCTATGAAAGCAATTGAAAAATTTAAGGCTATAAAAATAGCAATATGTTCAGTAGCACTTGCACCTCGATCATCTAGAACTTTTTGCATTTATTTCTTCCAGATATAATAATATTTTATCGAGGTTATGTATGGATATTACAATAAAGTTCAAGCCTCACGGTCAATTAGAAAAATAGCAGAAAACCATAGGCCAGATATATTTGCCTTTCAAAAAGGTAACTACAAATCGCAACAGATTTTTCTTGCGGGGATTACAGGACCCTCTGAAACTCCATACGAAGGTGGAATATTTTATATCTCAGTTTTCCTTCCCAGCAACCATAATAATTACAAGTTCCAGTTCCTTACCAAAATTTTGCACCCAAATATAAGCGAGGATGGAACATTTCAGATAGAAATGCCCAGTAAAGCCAAAGAAGATATTGAAGATGGGCTTATATGAATAATCGAACTTTTGAAGAAACCAAAATGGGAATTAGCCACTAATAAAGAATTAGTACTAATTTATAAAGAAAATGAAGAGATATACTTTTCTTATGTTAAAGAAGCTGCAGTTATGTATGCGATTTAATCATTTTTAAATAGAGAAAATAAATAAATTTTTTCTAGATCATGAATATTTATCATCATATAGTTTTGCAGATATTTCCTCTGTATCCTTCAGCACATTCTCCAATCAAAGAAATGCATTTATTGCTATCTTTTAGTCATCCCTTGCAGATGTTTCCTAGAAATGAGGAGGAGGTGCCCCCAAAGACCAGATAATCTATGGCTTTGTTAACATCACAGGACTAGACCTCATCCACGAGCAAGAATTTGTGATTATCGGCCTGGAAGAAATCATCAAACACAGAGGCGTTCGCCTAAGCTGAGCAAGCAGTTTACCTTAGGTAGCCCGTTGAATACGGTATCTCCGATTTGATTTTAGATTACTTTGATTGGATCGCAAGTATTAGGATTCCAATCAAAAGCTAAAGCTGCAAATACTTGAATGAAAAAGATAGACATTATAATACTTATACACTTAAGCGAAATATGTAGAAAAATATAATATGAAATGTTGAGATATATAAGCTAGATTATATATATTAGCCATTTACCCTATATGCGAAATTCTAAAGTTTAATTAATAAAGAAAATTTACAGTGTTTTTAAATAAACAATTGCATAAACTATTCGCTTTTATATATCAAAAAATGATATAAGTAGCATTTAATTGCATATTTTTAAAGTTTGAAAAGAATTCCTGTTTGAATATATGAAGAAAGTTTTAAAGGCTAATAAGATTCCTAAGAGTTGAGTTTACATAGATGATAATAAATTTCATTTAAAAAATTTTATATTATCTTTGATATTGCAAAATACCACTTTTCGATATAATAAGATTACTTATTTTTAACTTAAAATGCAATCACTTCTGATAAATGAAAAATGGTGATTATTATACCTATAAAGAAGCTAATAAGCCAAACGCCCATCATTTTGCCAGAAATATTACAAATGAAATTAAAAGTGTCAAATTGAAAAAGTCAAAACGGATTGAACTAAAAACAGAGAAGGAAACTCTCTTTATTGAAAAACAAAAATCATCAATTATATGGTTAGATGATTTCAGTAATTCTTCAAATTCAATAAAAACAAACTATAATAAATTTCAGCAGCATTTCTGAACAAAAAACTTTAAATACACAGATAACTCAGAAGCTTTCATTAATATTTGCAAAAAGCAAAGTAGAAAGCAGAAAATTTTATTGAATTATCCAATGGTTAAGCAAATCAATAAAGAATGAGGTGAATTTTTTTTTTCATTTGAAATGAATTATAAATGATACAAACAAATAATTGCTATTTTTCAATATATTGTAGTAAAGTATTTTCGAAATTTCAAAAGGGCTCAAAATTGGAGAGGAAAGAAAGAATGAAAGATTGGTTGCAAAAAAACCAAAAAACGATGTTTGCTGAATGGTTTAACAAAATTTACTGAGGCAAAAGAAGCAGTTTATAATTATTTGAAATGAAATCCATTTAAACCAAAGATTTAAGGATATCGTTTCCCAATTGGTATTAATTTAGTTATTTCAAGTTATAACATACAAAAGCATTTTTAATATGATATTAAGTATTTTATAATAATATAGAGAATGGCTAAAAACTCTAGCATTAATATTTTCATCCTTGCAAGTTTAAGATTTCTCATCAATTTTAATTAGGTAAGCAATCATTTTAATTAGCCAGATAATGCATTTTAGCATCAAGTTCACATAAATAAATTAAGATGAGCATTAAATTAATATTTCAAAAGGTCACTGCACTTGACTTCGATTGAAATAAATAATTAACTTAATTAAGAAATGGAAAGAAATCAAATGTAACTTCCAAATAGGACAGCTGAATTGCTTTACCAGAACAATCAAAAGCTTCGCAAAGAATATGCAGAGCTAAAAGAACAATATAACAAAATTATCGTTAAATCAACTCCAAAATCCAAAACTTACAATATTAAGCTATCTAAAAGTCAGCCAAAATCACACTCTGAAATCACTAGAAAGATCTTCAGAACCTTTGAAAATGAAATTGGATTCCTTGGAAGAAGGCTCTCCGCTCCAAAAGATATCGACATCGAATACAAACTAGAAGTACAAATAAGAGATCTCCAAAAAAGGCTTAATTCTCTTAAAAAGGAAAACGAAAAACTTAACAAAGCAACACTTCAAATTAAAGACACAGAATTAATTATCACAAATCCAGAGCATGAAATACAAAAAGAAATCAATCAAATTAATAAAAAAATCAAAAAAACTGAATCAGAAACCGACAAAGATAGAAAAATGATCGATGAATACATAGAAAAAATTCCTGGTTTAGAGCAAAAAGCTGAGAAACTTAAAGGAAAATTAAGTCTGTATAAAGAAAGAAATGATGAAAAAGTAAAAAAATTTGATGATATGAGCAAAAAATTCGAAATTATAATGAATAGTTGAAAAGCAAATGTAGCGAAATATCAGCAGAAAATAAAAGAAATGGAAGAGGAAGAATCCAAAATCAGAGAAAAGGTGATAGGAATAAAGACAAAGGTTTTTAAAAAGGATCAACAAATGAGATTGCTTCATATGACACGTGATGAATTGATATCGATGAAAAATTCACCAGATAAGCCAGATGATGGGCTATTTCATCCTGATGTTAATTTTTTGTACAAGCCATCAGTAAATGCTCTTTATATATAATTATTGTCTTTTAAGAGGAAAAGAATATACTCAAAGGCACAAGTTTGTCTGAAAAAATAATATTTTTAACTTTCTAGAATTATTAGCTTATTAAATTTTTTTAACCTTTATGTTTTTTAAGCTAAACTTGTAGCAGTGCATACCATGAGATTCTTGCAAACTTATAAGTGCAGATCCTTTATTATAAGTTATCGAACTAATTGGATTAACACTATAGCCACAAGTGCTAATTTTATTCCATATATATTCATTTCCTTTTTCACTTTCATAGCTTGCCCCATCACTTTGAAGTATATAAATTCTCTGTTTAAGCTTAAATAGTATTTTAGTACAGTAAACAGTATTTGATAATAACACTTCATAGTTATTTGCTTGAATAGAATATTTATATAAGTGATAATGGTGAAATCCAGATAATAAAATTGAGCCTTTAAATACGATGCAAGAACAATAATAAGCGGCAACTGGAAGATTTGTAAGGTCTTTTCAACTGTTTTCTTCCAAATCGAATTTTCTTGCTGAATTTAATATATCATGGCCCGTTGTACATCGCCCGAAAACATAGACACAATTGTTATGATATACAGCTCCTGAAGCAATGCTGGGAAGTCCATCAGGTAAAGATCTTTTAAGAGTTTTTGATTTTAGATCTATTATGTACGTAGCTCCTGAAAGTTGTTGACCGCCTCCATAGCAAAACAATTCATTATTTGGGAACTTAGTTATGCATGTACCACTGCTTAATGGAATTGGAGTGACAATGCGAGTTGAATATTTACTATGAGTCTTTGGATCATAAGTTTACAAAATGGTGTGATTTTGGTCTCTATTAACTCCATAAATACATTTATTCTCAACAGAGAACTCTTCAATAAGTCGTCCAGCTTATCTGAAATTTCATTGTATATTGCAATATAATTTTCAACTTCTATATAATGGCTTGCATCGATCTTGCAATGAGACTTTTCTCAATATTAAATTTTTTTAAAAGTTTAGTCTTCATCTTTTTAAATTTAGGCAAATTCTCAAATGAAGAGTAATATTCACTTGAATAATTTTCAAGTTTAATTTTCAATTCTGAAATTTGTGCTGCTTTTTTAACGAGTTTTTCATTTTCTTTTGGCTGAGCCAGAATATTTTCATTTTTGTTATTTAGAATCAATTCATGAAGTTTTTTATTTTCATTTTTCATAAGCTTAAATTTTTCTTTTAGCTTGTCCAATTTCTCAGACATCAACATTTCTTTTGAATTTAATTTTGATAATTGGTCTTTCATTTGAATTTTCAGTGTTTAATTAAATTTTCTACTTTCCTTTCGGCAATTAATTAGATTAACCTCTCCATATCTTTATTTATCTCCGTGCAGGAGCTGGTCGTTTTATTACAATCTATTTTTGGAAATAAATTTTTTAAATTTTCTAACTTCTTTTTAATTAGAATAAAAAATCCTGATCCAATGAAACGGGTTGAATTTTTTCTATAAAACTATTTAAAAATTCCAAATTTATATTTTCAAAAATTAATCTATTTAATGTGAAAGCTTTTAAATATATTCTACATTTACTTTTTCATTAAATAAGGTTTAAATAGTATTTTTCATCTATAAAATTTCCTATCGAAGAAAAAATTTGTTCGAATTTAAAGGGGTTAATTTACCAAAAATGGAAATTTTACAATATTTTGTTCCAATTTAAAGAAGGGATAAGGCGTTTTGAGGATCATGAAATAAAGACTGCAATCCCATATTATTTTCGCATTCAGAAATTTTCTGTGAATTGATTAATTTGCTTATCATTTTTTCAATTTTTTCAATTCTACAATTAATTTGAAAAATATTTTTGGAGTCTCTAAAGCTACAGTCTAGAATTTTTTTCATCTCTTTTTGGTAATCTTCTTTTTCTTTGGTGAGTCAAAGAATCATCTCTCATCTTGGAATTTCATTTGGCTTAGCAAAGATAATCTCTGAGTCAATTGAAGGTTCTGAAGTACGCAGGCTGCAATGTGGTAGATTTTCTAGCTTTAAAGAATCAGATGAAATCAACTCTCAATCATGCCCAATTTTCTGACTGCAATTTGTAGAATCAGAACTCTTAAAGTCTTCCATTAATTATAATATAAATATATATGAGATTAAAATTAAGAAGGTGACTTTAAGATTGATTGTATCTGCTATCAATTTTATCTTCTCAGCACAAGAGCAGTTGAAATGGCCTACTCCCTCATCCAATAATTAAAATTCGTCTTATATTCTGGCAATTTTAATTTTTTCTATCCTTTATACCCATCTTCAAGCATTTTCAGCGCAAACTCACGTTCTTCTATTGGACCCTCCTTAAAAGCAGAATTATTTCCTTGAAGCCTCGAAATTATAATGAATTGCTGAAAAGCAAATGTAGAGAAATATCAGCAGAAAATAAAAGAAATGGATGAGGAAGAATCCAAAATCAGGGAAAAGGTGATAGGAATAAAGACAAAAGATTTTAAAAAGGATCAGCAAATGAGGTTACTTCATATGGCAAGTGATGAACTGATATCAATTAAAAATTCACCAGATAAGCCAGATGGAGAGGTATTTCATCCTGATGATAATTTTTGTACAAACCATCAGTAAATGCTCTTTATATCTAATTATTGTCTTTTAAGAGGAAAAGAATATACTCAAAGGCACAAGTTTGCAAAAAAAAAATAATAGTTTTAACTATATATAATTATTGGCTTATAAAAGTTCTTTAATCTTTTTCTTTTTTAAGCTAAACTTATAACAGTGCATACCATTATGCTCTTGCAAACTTATAAGTGCAGATCCTCTATTATAAGTTATCAAACTATTTCGATGAGCACTATAGCTGCCAGTGCTAATTTTATTTCATATATATTCATTTCCTTTTACACTTTCATAGCTTGTCCCATTAGATTGAAGTATATAAATTCTCTGTTTAAGCTTAAATTGTATTTTATAAGCGTTATCAAGATTTGATAATAACACTTCATAGTTGTTTGTTTGGATAGAATATTTATATAAGTGATAATGTTGATGTCCAGATAATAAAATTGAGCCTTTAAATACGATGCAAGAACAATAATAAGCGGCAGCTGGAAGATTTGTGAGGTCTTTTCAACTGTTTTCTTCCAAATCGAATTTTCTAGCTGAATTTAATGTATCAGAACCCGTTGTGCATCGCCCGAAAACATAGACACAATTGTTATGATATACAGCTCCTGAAGCAATGCTGGGAAGTCCATCAGGTAAAGATCTTTTAAGAGTTTTTGATTTTAGATCTATTATGCATGTAACTCCTGAAAGTGGTGTTCAGCTACCATAGCAAAACAATTCATTATTTGGGAGCTTAGTTATGCATGTATAAATACTCAATGGAATTGGAGTGACAATGCGAGTTGAATATTTATTATGAGTCTTTGCATCATAAGTTCACAAAATGGTTTGATTTTGGTCTCTATTAACTCCATAAATACATTTATTCTCAACAGAGAGCTCTTCAGTAAGTTTATTCAGCTTATCTGAAATTTCATTGTATATTGTAATATAATTTTCAAATTCTATATAATGACTTGCATGAAATTTTGCCATGAGAATTTTCTCAATATTAAATTGTTTTAAAAGTTTAGTCTTCATCTTTTTAAATTTAGGTAAATTCTCCAATGAAGAGTAATATTCACTTGAATAATTTTCAAGTTTAATTTTCAATTCTGAAATTTGTGCTGCTTTTTTAGCGAGCTTTTCTGCCATATAGATATCAAATTTATTTTCTTTTGGCTGAGCCAGAATAGTTTCATTTTTGTTATTTAGAATCAATTTATGAAGCTTTTTATTTTCATTTATTACAAGCTCAAATTTTTCTTCTAGCTTGTCCAATTTCTCAGACATCAGCATTTCTTTTGAATTTAATTTTGATAATTGGTCTTTCATTTGAATTTTCAGTTTTTTAATTAAATTTTCTATTTTCCTTTCGGCAACTGATTCTATCAACCTCTCCATATCTTTATTTATCTCAGTGCTGGAGCTGGTCGTTTTATTACAATCTATTTTTGGAAATAAATTTTTTAAATTTTCTAAGGCATTTTGAGGATCATGAAATAAAGACTCCAATCCCATATTATTTTCGCATTCAGAAATTTTTTGTGAATTGGTTAATTCACCTTCTTTTTCTTTGATGAGCCAAAGAATCATCTCTCGTCTTGTAATTTCATTTGACTTAGCAAAGATGATCTCTGAATCAATTGAAGGTTCTGAAGTTCCCAGGCTGCAATATGCAAGATTTTCTAGCTTTAAAGAATCAGATGAGATCCACTCCCAATCATGCCCAATTTTCTGACTGCAATTTGTAGAATCAGAACTCTTAAAGTCTTCCATTAATAATAATATAAATATATATGAGATTAAAATTATAAAGCTGACTTTAATATTGATTGTATCTGCTATCAATTTTATCTTCTCAGCACAAGAGCAGTTGAAATGACCTCCTCCCTCATCCAATAATTAAAGTTCGCCTTATATTCTGGCAATTTTAATTTTTTCCATCCTTTATACCCATCTTCAAGCATTTTCAGCGCAAACTCACGTTCTTCTATTGGACCCTCCTTAAAAGCAGGATTATCTCCTTGAAGAGCTGAAGCCCTCTCAAACCATTGCACAATAGCATCAATTTTTCCAGGATATTCTTGTTCATATTCTTTCAAGTTTTTAACCTTATCATGAAATGGAGATTGATGTGGAATTCCTAACATTTTTCAAGACGCAAATCTTCCGTGAACGCACATACAAAATCCCCCAATTATTCTATATCCCAAAGTATGTCCAATAGGCATGTAAGTATCTCCTAAATCAATAACCCCGATTGGTTGCCCATCACCAGTGTATTCACTGTATTTTATGTCTTGCTTTGTGGGATCATTTCAGGTTTGCGGTAAAAATGCATAGTTAAAGTTTGGAAATTGGCGGAAAAATTGGTTTTCTAGTTTTCCTGTTATAGGGTTTGTTACTTGAACCTGCTCAAGTGGGTTAAACTCAAGCTGAGGATTCATTTCGAAATGAGCAATATTATATCGAGATAAGGTGACTACTGCTGGAAAGAGATCTTTTTCATTATATGCAAGAAGATTGATATCGTGCCAGGGTGAGATGTTACCTTTCTTCTTATCTTTTATGTAAATTCTGTGTAACTTTCTGCCGTCCTTTTCGAAATGGATTAATCTATATAATCTTTTTGTAATCATATTTTTATTAATTTTAATGTCAAAATCTATTACAACCTCTTAATTAATAGTTTCCCTGATAAGCAAGGTTAAATAAGACTTTTCTTGTATATAAAGTTATTGCAGCTCGAGCAGTAATGGCTGCAATCTTGTAGCTCAGTGATGCAAAATGGTACTAAGCAGCATCCCCAGAAGCATCCCACACATACCAACCCTAAGCAGCTTAGATATGTGACTGCTCCTGGCTCATATTTTACAGAGGTCAAAATTTCCAGACGGCAATGAGGACAGAATGCTATTTGTGGCCGATTGGTCCAAAGAGTCTGAGGTTGAGCGTACATAATAGCTTGGCCAGGCTGAATTGGCTGATAAGGCTGGAATTGTTGATTTTGAGGTGAGGCTTGATATGGATAGCCTTGGGAAGGGTATGGATTTGCCGATGGAGGCATGCTGGCTTGTGGCATATTAGGGCTTTGGCTACCAGGTTGATTTCCATAAGGACTTGGAGGAGGACCGCTTTGAGGGATATTTGCATATGGATAAGAAGGACTTGCCATACTCTGTGGTTGTTGCATTTTTTATTTATAAAGGATAAGAATAATAGGCAATTTAATTATTCATAGAAATAATTCTATGATTTGGTTTATTCAATAAAAAGAATCCATATAAGAATAATAATTTTTAGCAGAGAAGATGAAAAATAATTGTTTGAATTTTAATCCAGTTTCTAAAAGATCGTTAAATATAAGAATATCATATGTTCTATTTAAGTTTAAACTATTTAAAAAGCAACAAAAAATTTTAGAAGCTTAAATATACTGATTGCAGTAGATTTTGTACTTCTATATATTCTAAAATACTGATAAAAAAATATCCGCATTTGTCTAGCTGGTTAGGATATCAGGCCTTCACCCTGAAGACCCGGGTTCGAGTCCCGGATGCGGAACTTTTTTGCTGCATTTTTAAGTTTAACTGCCTAATTTATAATTAATCAAGATTAATGGCTTCATTTAAACAGAAATTGATTTGTTCGAATATTGGTCTATCATAGATTTCTTTTAAAAAGATTAATGCAGTCAACTTATTTCAAATTCATAAGCATATTACTGTATATCAATGGTTTATTAATAGAAAGTTTTCATTGGCAGCGCAAAATACTTTTAGTTTTATAATCCCTTTTAACAATTTATAATTTGCTTTTTATACAATTTTTATTTGCAATAAAACTAAAACTAAAAAGCAATATATATTGAAGGCAAAATAATAATTGTCAACATGTTATTTAAACATTTTGAATTGATAAACTTTTCAGTTGCTTGATATGCTCTGGGTTGAGTTTCATTCCAGAAACATATTTTGCAATAGTATCTCTTGCATAGCTGAAAATTATATTAAATCTCTTTATGAAATACCCTATAACAGCAGCTGGAGCAATAGTTTTACCTGTTGGGCATTGCACAAGTACATGCCCTCGTTTTAGTTGTATATCCAAAAATCTTTGTATTGCGTCCATTGCTTCAAGCAAATCTCTACCAACTTCAAGCCTTAAATAGCCTCGTCTTACTGAAGTATATTTCTCTGGTGATCCTTCAAGTCCTAAGGCAAGCACAGAATCAATCATATAAGTCCTCAAAAGAGTTTCATCATTAGCAGCTTCTGTGTTTCCAATGTATATTTTATATACTTACTTACTTAATTATCTGGTGTTTAAGGTGTCTAGTGCCGCAGCCCAAAAGGGCCTATGGCAAAACTGATGACGTAGGCGAGCCATCTTGGCACAGGTCAGCCCCGTCCAAGCCTTCTATCAACTCCTGCTTCACCGGCCTTGCTGCACGTCTCACCCGGCGCGTTGCCGTCGCCCTTGTCGCTCGACTCAGCTCCTGCGCGTGTTCCGCCTAAGGGTCATCCTCCCGTGGGGATGTGCTGAGAGGTAAAAGCCCGAAATCTTGAGTGGACTGAGGAGTGGTTCCTCTGGTTATCTCCAGAGTTAAACCGCTATTGCTGTCCAGAAGTCTTCGAGTGAAAACCTAACCCTATAAATAAAATTCCATGAGGGAGAGAAAATTAGCAGAGCTAATTTCTCTCGAACCGAATGCCATTTTATTTATATATTTTTATATACAAATTCATTGCCGCTTATATCATCTTTATTAGGGATTTCAAAAATAAGTTTCTCTGATCCGGCTGGTTCTATACCTGCCAATGGATTTTAAAATCAAAATAGTCTGCAGTCTTTTATGTATAAATGTTTATAATAGTAGAGCTTATAATCTGTCTAAAAGAGAATAAATGCTCAATGATACATGACTGATTTCTTCCTGTGGGGTGTTTAGTAAATTTTTTATTTTTTATATTTTCTGCAAGTGTATTTGAACGCCTTGCTTTTCGTTTTACAGGACTTTGTGGAGAGTCTGAAGAATGGCGAGGCTCAAGCCCAGAAAAATGAGAAAAAGCACTTTTTTCTGATTCGGGAAGATGGCTTCAAACATCGACTAAAAGCTTTAGAGATGGTGTAAGAGTTGTGTTTGCTCGAGGCCGCCTTGGAATATGCTCACGATAGTTCGCGACATTTGAAAATCGATTGTGATCTAGGTATGAAAAATCTGGATCCATTTTTGTATAATGACAACAATTTTTAACAAACTATTCCGCCATTACAGAAATAAAAATTTTGAGATTTAGCTTGTTTCAAATTTAGCTATTTCAGCATCAAAAGACAGCAATTCCAGCAACTTTTATATTATTTTCAATCTCAGTAAGTATGATTTTTTCTTTTCTCAAAACATATCATATTCAAAAGACTTATTAATGATAAATTGGCTTTATGTAACCTTTAATGCTTTAAATTATAAAGCCTAATTAAGATCTTATTAAATTCTGTTTGCTTAAAAGTAATGAAATGATATAATCCTTAACTATTTACAATATGGAGAGCGAAGATATTCAGCCTGCATCAGAAAATCCTTCTGAAGCCAAACAGCAAGAAAATTCTTCTCAGCAAGAAAATAAAATTGACCTTTTCACTGAATCTTTAAAAGGAAAACAAGTAATTTTCATTGATGCCCTTCGAGATGCTTCAACATATTATGAACAGCCCAGTGATATCACACCTACTCTTACAGCTCGCCTAAATAAAGAAATTAAAGCTTTAACTCGTGGCCTTCCTTGTGATAAATCATATTCCGCCTTCATAGGCTTCGATTCCTCTGATATGGGAATTATGACTGCTGCAATATCAGGCTCAGAGGGCACTCCATATGCCCATGGCTTGTTTTTTTTGGATATTTATTGTGATTGTGCATATCCAGATTCTCCTCCTCAATTTACATTGATAACTACTGGAGGTGGAGAAGCCTATTTTGGCCCAAATCTGTATAGTAGTGGCTATGTCTGTTTATCAATTATAAATACCTGGTCAGGCGATCCAGAAGAAATGTGGAGCCGTGATAAAAATATTTTACAAGTAATTTTGTCGATACAAGCTTTAGTTATGGATAACGATATCATCCAGAAAGAGCCTGGCTGGGAAGGTACCGATACTGATGATCCAGATAATATTGCATATCAAAATGCTGTGAAATATTTAAATATAAGATGGGCAATGCTTGAAAATTTACGAAATCCACCTATGGGATTCGCAGAAATTATTGATCTTTATTTCAGGCATAAAAGAGATTATATTTTGAATGAAATCAATGGCTGGCTTATCAAAGCAAAAAATGAAGCAGATAATTACCAATCACAAGGGATGGCAATGGTCGCAAACCCTAAAGTACTAGAAAGAATGCAAAAAGAAGGGACTTATAAGGTTTTATCCTCAATTGTAAATGAACTTGTTACAGAATTTGAGTCAAGATATGGGCCTTCAGATGTAAAACTTGACTTATATGAAGAAAATTCTGTAGCTACTGAATCATGTGTAGCTGGAATAGCTGAAGAGAAACAAGTTTTGGCTGTGGCTAAAGTGATTGAGCATTGTGAAGAAGAAATAGAGAATGCAGGAGAAAATCTAGAGCAATATTTTGAAGAAGAAAAATGGGAAGATCCAGATCAGTTCTCAGAATATGATGAAGATGGTGTGATTATTCCCAATCTAGAAAATGTACCGAACCTGTTCAGGGAGCCTTCAGCTTCAGACCCAGAGGCACCTGATAGTACAAATTTGTATTTTCAACACCTTGGAAATTTAAGACTGCAGCTACTTGATATATCTGAAGGATTTTTCAATGATTTCGGCTATAATAGTTCTTCAATCGATGAATCTGGGCTTGCAAGAATTAATAAAGAAATTAAAGCTTTATCAAGAAGTTTGCCATGTGAGGCACAAGGATCTGTATTTGTAGCCATAAATAGCTCAAATTTAAGTATGATAAAAGTATTGATTTCTGGGCCTGAAGACTCTCCATATGAGCATGGTTTATTTTTATTCGACATAAAACTGCCTCAGAATTATCCAAATTCTCCTCCAGAAATGACAATTAAAACAACTGGAGATGGCAATTTAAGGTTCAACCCTAATCTCTATAACACTGGATTTGTGTGCCTATCAATTATAAATACATGGGGCGGGAATCCTGAAGAAATGTGGAATCCAAGCTACAGTACTTTATTGCAAGTATTTTTGTCAATCCAAGCTCTGGTTATGAATAGTGATGTTTTACAAAAAGAACCAGGCTGTGAAGGGTTTTTAACTGATGACCAAGATAATATGGAATATCGAGCTATTGTTATGTATGGGAATATTAAACATGCTATGATTGATATGATGAGAAATCCACCACAAGAGTTCAAAGAAATCGTGCTCAAACATTTTGCTATTAAAAAAGAAAAAATATTAGAAAGTGTGATAGCTTGGAAAGAAATGGCTGCAAAAGTGAGCGTGCCTTTTCAGAATTCTATAGTGCTGAGTCATAATTATAACACTGCTGAAGTTTTTAGAAATGAAGGAATTTTAAATTGCTATGAAAGAGAAATAGAGGAACTGAAAAAAGAGCTGGATAAATTGCCAGGGATTTAGGAAGAAAAAATTAATAAGATAATAAAAAATACTCTGCTAATATAACTGTTTTAACAGTTTAGTTCTCTGAAAATTTATGTACGTTGTAATAGAATTGTAAACACCTTTTATATGCTGATGCAAATTAATTTAAGACAGAGTATACACTATTTAATTAAACTCAAAATTTTTCCTATATTTTGAACTTCGAAATATTGAGGATTATTCCCTAGGAATCGTAATCCTTTGATTGTCTTTTCATCTGACAATAGAATTGATAGCTCTCTTAATTTATCGTTAATAGAAAATTTCTCATCTATTTCAGTACTGATTTCCTGATTTTGCATTTTCCTTTCTTGATTTTCAGTTTCAATTGAACTCTGTACATTAGGAGATTCAATTTTCAAAAAATCCTCACATAGGCATCCAAAACTTGGCTGACGTGCCTGCTTGCATCCTAAACTTGCAATATGCTGAGGCTTAATTATTTTATTTTGTGCTTCAAATTCGCTGCTGCTAGGGCTTGTTGCGCTATTTTCTGAAAAATCAGGATTCTCGATAATTTTTTGTGTTGGCTCTCTTGAGTCATGAGATTTAATTTTGTCCAAATCAAAGCAAACTTTTGAATATGGGCTGATAAATTTGCTCAAATTTGGAGATTGGGAAAGCTCTTTCTCAAGAATTTTATTTTTGATTTTAGATTCCATGATATTATTGGCTTCTTGGTTTGAAAGAGATCGAAATTTGGGGCTTGGAGTGTGAAGCCTTGGATCGTCAATTGATTTATTTGTTTTTCAGCTATTATTTAATCTTCCAGAAAGTATAGGCTCAAAAATTTTCGCATTTGATTTTCTATCCATTTCTCTAAGAAGATGCCTTTCAGTAAGGCATTTCTGGCTGCCAGAAGGAGAGGAAAACCTATGAAGCAAAGGACTATGAGATGATATTTTTTCATAAGAGCAATTTGATAGATCTAGCTTTTCTTTCATTTTTTCGATGTCAATTAAATTTTTATCAATTTCTTTAAGCTTAGGAGACTGACTATTTCTTCGTTTTTTAATTTTCTTTTCATTAGTTCCTTTTATAGAGCCTTTAATATTTCTTGCTTTGATTTTAGAATCTCTTCTTTCAGATTTTGGCTGTTGATGAATTTTTGGTGATTTTGATACCAAATGACTATCATCAAGGTTCAGCTTCAGAAAATCTGTCTCATTATCAATTTTAGCATAATTTTGCATTTTATTTGCTGAGTATATACATTTTTTAGTATGAGTATTTTGCTGATTTCCTTTCTTTTTCTCTTTAGATTGGTCTAATAAGTTTTCTTTCTGAGTAATAATAATTCTAATCGTCTTGCAGCTACACGAACTGCATTCCATTTCTATTCCTTCATATATATTCTTATCTATTTTACTGTCATCAAAATTCTTTTTTAATATAGATTTTGGTTTTGTTGAATAATTGTTTGAATTTCCATTGCTTTTTTCTGGCAAACTATTGGCTTTGTCATGCTTTTCTTTCAACAATGCTTCATACAGAATCTGTTTCTTTTTAGTGTGCTCAAATAATATTTCGATAATTTCTACTATATTGTTCGATTGAAACTCTAAAATGTTTGAGCTATTACAATCTTTAATCATATTTTTTTATACCGTTAAAAATATGAGATAATTATTAAAGCAAAACAGATTTATATGATTTTTACTTATGATTGACATCATTAGGTATTTTTATAAAATTAAAATCATTATAGCGTGTTGATTGCAACAATGAAATGCAATAAATAAAAAAAATTGTATATAAGGAGTTTATTTTGTTTAATCTAAACTAACGTTTGCCTCTTCAAGTTTTTTCTGAATATACATTGATTTTTCAGCCCCATCTCTATACCTGTGATACTCAAAATGCGGAAGCGTAACTACCTCCCATCCATTCTGATTTAACAGCCTATATTTCATTAAAATCTGGCCGATGAGTTTGTATTTTTGAGTTTTTTCTCCTTTATCAGGAAAAAAATAATGCAATGGTCCATCAATATCAATAGCAGTTTTTGTCCCTTTCTTTAAAAAATCCACAATATAAGCATCTTCTATATTATAATTTTCATTGAATTTCATCATTTTTGCTAGTAAATATTTCACTTCTGTATGCATTCTCCCTAGCCTTATTTTATCATTTAAATGTGCAGGAACTAAAGAAACGTCACTTTCTGGCTTTGACGAAGAAGGAATCATTGCATCATTAAGCGCATCTCCTAAAATTTTACCACTTCTCAGTTTGAGATCTAATAGCTCAGGGGCTTCTGTATTTATTGCATATCTGACATGTCTTACTTCCTGTGAAAGACCAACTGTAAGTGCAGAAAGATCTGGAGAAAAGTCTATTCAAAGCTTAGGATTATATTGTCTAAGGACACATAAAGAATAAGCAGTCGTGATGAAATCACTGCATGTCCAATCTGATTTATCTTTTACTTCAATTAGCTTTATGATAAAAGGGTTATGTCTATAAAGTGTTGCATATGAGTAAAGAAGCTTTATCAGATTGTCTTTAAATATTGTTTTGTACTTAAGCAAAAATTTTAGTTCAAAATTTTTTAGTTTGATTTCTGGGATTTGGAATCTGGAAATTGTGGACCAGTAGAGTATTGTAGACAAGTCATTTAATTCGAAGTCTAAATGATCTATAGAGATCACAAAATTCTTTATGATGTCACTTTCTAAAACATAATTGATGTGATTTCCAGAGTCATTCATAAAATCATCAAGAGATTTGGTAAGAGTTTTCAAATCAGGGTTTGGTGATCGAAATGATGAAAGAATTTGTCTGCTTAGATCTACAGCAGCTTTGCTTACTGGAAGCTGTGAAGCTAAAGACATTTTATATTTGGAAAATGATTTTATTAAAATTGTGATTATGTATATATTACAAAGGACTGTATTTTTATTAAATTAAAAACTATTTTTTTTAAATATAAATTCATAATTATAGAAATAAGTTTTGCTTTAGCAATTGATACTTTCAACTATTTTTTCTATCAAAAGATTTGGAAAATGGCGAATAATTCGTATGACCATGATATCGTTTGAAATGCTATGGAATATTATAAAAAAACAATGGGCTGTTGCCATCCAACCTGTTTCAAAAACCAGACCGAAGAAATCCAAGGTTTCAGTGTAGAGACTCAAGCTGAAGGAGAAGATGATTTAAATGACTTCAACGACATCAGTATTTTCACCTCAAAATCTGAACAGCCTGACTGCAATAAATCCGCATTGGCTTCTCCGACCGATTTTTCACTACCAAAAACTCACAAGATTTTCAAATCTTTTCGGTACCGTACTGATTACGAAAAAGCGTTCCTGTCTTTCCACCCTAATAATAACTTGCTAAAATAGAATAAATGGACTTTAAACAGCCTTATTTTAGAAAAGCTTACGAACTAACAAAATCCAAGCGAGAAGTCAATTTAAATGCAGAGCAGCTATCTAATACCTCGTTTGAGCTTGCTCCTTATTCATCAACAGATATTGATTTGAATGATAACAACAGATGAATCTATGTAATTGGTGTTTTGGGATGCTTGATTGGAATTGTCATAATTTCAGTTGGAGTTTTAGAGCTTGTTAAGGACAGAAATAAAACAGGTATGGCGTATTATTGGTCATCAGGGGTCGTTTTCTTATCTGTTGGTATTGGATTCCTTTATAAAGGAATCAAAGCAAAATATGAGAGCTTAATATAATGCAAATTTTAATTATGTCTTAAATGAGTGAGGTCAAGGGAAATTGTAGAGAGGGTGTCTTCTTCGTTCAGGTGGCTTGTGATAGCTGAAATGTCATCGAGCCAGTTCATGTCTGATGCTGGGATTTCTTTGTTTAGGTTTATAGTTCTAGTGACTTTTTTGACTGGCTTTTTTACTATTGTATTAGACTTCGGACGGGTAGCTGCTTCTTTTTTAGCCATAGCTGGGGTTTTTCTTATCGTTTGCTGATCAGAAAGACTTGGTTTTGCAATTTCTTTACTTTGAGCTGGGGTTGGGGTAGGGTTTATATACTTTTCTACGTTTTCTTCACTTTTTCTCTTCGTAACAGCCCTTGCTGGAAACACGAAAGTTTGCTTTATAACTTTGCACACAAAATCTGACTCAACCTCTCTTGAAAATTGTGAAAATAAATCAACTTTTTGTAACGGCGGAGTTTTCTTGCAAATATTTTTCCCTAAACTCCCCCCCCCCCCCTCCGTGAGCGAACAAAACCATTAGAAAAATCGCCATTTTTTGACCAAAAACCCACCCTCCGTGAGTGAACAAAAATTTTTTTAATAGAAAAAATTTTTAATGAAAAAAATTTGGATATATAAGTGATAATTAGTATAATGAAATCTAGAGCTAATTCTGTTTAATTTTAAACAAATTGCGTTTTTAAAACATAAATTTTGCAAATTAAATTAATATTTGCTTCCCAATTTTTTGCAAATTAGGATTTTTTTAAATTTCGAAAAAAATATATTTTTTATAAAATTTATATATAAATTTTTTTTAAAAAAAAAAATTAACCCCCCTCCGTGAGCGAACAAAATTTTTTTGTTCGCTCACGGAGGGGGGGGGGGAGTAAGCTTTCTCTCTGGTTGAAATTCTGTATAAACGACAAATCATTTTCTTCCTCAGCTTTATTTAATTCATTTTTATATTTTTTAATAGACCTTATCATTTCTTTGTGCAGGTTTTTTCTTTCATTAATGTCGTTCATCAAGGAATCCGCAGTTTCTTTGATTCTTTGAACGATTTCTTTTTCTCGGCTGTCAATGGCTTCTCGTACAGCTTGATATAATCCTGAAAACTCTTCTATTAATTTATCATGTGTCGTATTGATGCTGCTTGTCCTTTTCTCTAACTCATCTTGCTCATCATTTAAATTTCCTTCAATTTGAGAAATCGATGCATTTAAAATTTCCAGCTTTTCCCTTTGCTTAGCTGCTGCTTTATTTATCGTGGTCATTTCATGTGACTTGTGGCCATCTTCAAGAATGCAGCTGACACATAGGAGTTTTTTATCAGTATAACAAAAAGCTTCGATGTCTTTATTGTGCTTTGCACAAACATTTTGAGAGGTTTTCTGGGTCTGGATTTGCATCAGAGCCAGATTGGTTGGAAAAGACAGAATTGTGGGTGCTGAAGATATGACGTTACACTGAGGACATGTAATTGCTTTATTTTCAAATAGTGACTTAAGGCAAAACTCGCAGAGTGTGTGGCCACATGAAGTTAGAATGCGAGGGATATGGACTTGGTTTTCAAATTCTATTGAACACTTAAAGCACTCCATATTTTAGTTTAATAGAAGATGTTCTGTTGAAATTTCATTTTACGAAAGAGGGAAATTTTAAGGCTTGCAAAATATTGCTGGATAAGAAAATAACTATTTAAATCTTTTTTAACTCCCCCCCCCCCCTCCGTGAGCGAACAAAACCATTAGAAAAATTCCCCATTTTTTGACCAAAAACCCACCCTCCGTGAGTGAACAAAAAATTTTTTTAATAGAAAAAATTTTAATGGAAAAAAAATTTTGATATATAAGTGATAATTAGTATATAATGAAATCTAGAGCTAATTCTGTTTAATTTTAAACAAATTGCGTTTTAAAACATAAATTTTGCAAATTAAATTAATATTTGCTTCCCAATTTTTGCAAATTAGGATTTTTTTAAATTTCGAAAAAAATATTTTTTATAAAATTTATATATATAAATTTTTTTTTAAAAAAAAAATTAACCCCCCTCCGTGAGCGAACAAAATTTTTTTTGTTCGCTCACGGAGGGGGGGGGGGGAGTAAGTAATATATATTTCGAGCTATTATATCGTGAACTTAGGCCAATAAGTTTGATTATAAAGAAAAGGATAAGCTCAATTAGCCCTAAATAAATAAGATCAACAGATGTCATTACGATGATTTAGTATATGTTTTAGATATTGAGGAAGGAATAGAAAAAGCTATCATATAATAATCTGTTATTGATTAATTAAGAAATTCGATTGCCTTTTGAATTGACTCTTCTATTGGAATTGCTGATGATTTAAGCCACTTAATAGACTTTCTCTCAACAAGCTTCCACTCATCTTTATTGCTTCCATAATTCTTTCTTAAATAAGCTAAAGCTACAAGAGTCCCCCAAATATCATCAGCTTGATTTAGGTTGGCAAATTCTGCAGGAATTTCTTTACCTATGTTCAATGCAGAGCTTAATTGTCTAAAACTCCAAAATCCTTCAGCTGATTGCTGTTTTATTATAGAGAGATAAATTTCAGATTCGCTGGTATCCGCTTCTGCTGCTATCTGCTTTTCTTCTTCTTTTTCTGCTTTTTTAGCTTTTTTCTTTTTTGGAACACTTCTTTCTTGCTCGTCGCAGCGACTATCCGTATATCTAAAGGCAAAAGTATCTTTATACGTTACATCTGGTGCCCTCCACAAAACTGTAGGAGCTGCCGATCTTGGCATTGCCATTTTTGCACACATTTTCAATGATCTATTCATACTTGCCATAGGTACAGATGCCTGAGACATATCTCTGACTTTCGCGACAGGAATTTTTCTTAATTGTATCTCTCCAACAACTGCTTCAGAATTTTTTTGAATGCAAATATAAGAAGTTAAGCTTGAAGGAATTCCATATTCTTTTGAGAGTTGGACTATTTGGGAATTTTTTACTTCTTGTGGTAGGTTGCCAGTTTCTATTTCTGATATTCTATTTTTAGCCCACAGTTTGAAGATTTCATCTCCTGCTGTGAAATGAGAAATTCCTGCCTGAATGATAAATTCTCTTTCAGTATTAGACCTGCTGTCGTAGCATTGAAGCTTAGGCATTGAGCTAGGGATAGTAGGCCCTAAATGGGCGTATAAAATAAATCTATCACCGTAGTAAACTCTCTTACTCCCCCCATCCGTGAGTAAACAAAACCATTGGAAAAATCGCTATTATTTGCCCAAAAACCCACCCTCAATGAGTGAACAAAAATTTTTTATGGAAAAAAATTTTGATATATAAGTGATAATTAGTATAATGAAATCACAAGCTAATTCTTTTTAATTTTTAAACAAATTGCATTTTTTAAAACATAAATTTTGAAATTAAGTTAATATTTACTTTCCATTTTTATAGAAGGGAGATTTTTTTAAAATTTCTAAAAAATTTATATTTAAATTTTTAAAAAAAAAATTAACCCCTCCGTGAGTGAACAAAATTTTTTTGTTCACTCACGGAGGGGGGGAGTTAAGATTTTCCGGACTTGGTGCTGGAAAAGCATATATATTAAAATAGCATGGCGAGATAACTAGCCTTCTTATTCCTGTCGCTGGCATCCCACAGGGTGTGCAGGGACCTTGAGGAAGGGAAGATGGCGTCCGGGAATGTGTATCCTACCTGATTTTTCTTGGATTGGTGAAGCGCAATGTTGGGTTGGCCGACCGAACGTTACTCAAATACCAATTTTCGCCTCAACAGGAGATAGTTCTGGAAGAATGGTTTCCCAGCGGAGTCATGGCATTCGTCTTGACCAATCGAGACTATTACTGAGCGTGAAGCCATAAGTTACACGCTGTGCTACCGATTACCATCTTGGCCGAGAACCAACCAGAAAATTCAATCATTTTGAATTTTCAATGCTGGGCAACCCTGTTGACTGACGTACGGCATGACGACTCGATTCATAACTGCCAGGATGCGAGTGCACGTCCTCGTCCTGCAGGAGCATCTTTTTAATGTCGTGCACGAACTGACAAGCAGGCGAAGAAAGCGTTACGAGCGGAGATAGTCCTTTTGAATTGCAGCGAGCTTCTCGATAAGTCTTAATAAGTTAAGATAAGTGCTGGAAAAGCATCCCAGTTTAATTTTCAGTCGCTTACTTGCCCTATGTGATAGCCAAACTATTGGAAATATTTTACTTTTTTTTGCTATTAATATGGCTAAGAAAAAAATTTATATAAGTGTAGCCTGTTCTCGGATATAGATAGGGCTATGCCCGATCTTTGCCAGGAAACTCGGGGGGTTGTCTGCGTCACTTCGAGCTGACGAGTCAACTCCCCGAGTTGGTAAATCACTAAATGGTGACTATTTGCCAACTGGGGAGTTGACTCGTCACCCAAAATTGACGCAGACAACTCCTCGAGTGTCCCAGCAAAGATTGGGCATAGCCCGATCTATAACCGGGAACGGGCTATAATAATTTTATAATTATATCTCTTTTTATTTTATTAAATTTTAGTAAACTTCATTAAAAATAATATTAAATTTTCTTTCAAATTATATAATTTTAAGACAAAATTTAATACTCGCCCATCAAAAAAAGCTTATTCAAGAAGAGGAGAGTTAGTGCTGGCATTAAGCATTTTTCCAAAGCATTGATCACTTTTTTAGATAACTCTTCTAGCCCTGACACAAATGAGGGGACTCCACCACCAGCTTTAGCAGATTCTTTAATCAAAAATGTTGAAACTTCGTTTCCTATTCCAACCGAATGAACTGTTGCACTCTTAGAATTCTGTCTTATTAAGTTTACAACTGCTTCTGGATTACTTACAGCTCCATCAGTCAATAAAAATATAGATCTTGGAAGCGCTTTGTTGGGCGGAGTACTGTATATATACAAATTGCATTGATTTGCTATATGGCTTTTATTATATATAAATATATATCGAACAAATGCAAAGATATACTGTTTAGTGGGTCATAAATATTTGTACCTCCCATATCTGCTTCAAATTTTTCTACTGACTCCCCCCCCCCCCCCTCCGTGAGCGAACAAAACCATTAGAAAAATCGCCATTTTTTGACCAAAAACCCACCCTCCGTGAGTGAACAAAAATTTTTTTTAATAGAAAAAATTTAATGGAAAAAAATTTTGATATATAAGTGATAATTAGTATAATGAAATCTAGAGCTAATTCTGTTTAATTTTAAACAAATTGCGTTTTAAAACATAAATTTTGCAAATTCAATTAATATTTGCTTCCCAATTTTTGCAAATTAGGATTTTTTTAAATTTTCGAAAAAAATATTTTTTATAAAATTTATATATAAATTTTTTTTAAAAAAAAAAATTAACCCCCCTCCGTGAGCGAACAAAATTTTTTTGTTCGCTCACGGAGGGGGGGGGAGTGAGCGAATTGCTTTTTCTACATTGTTTGAATTATAATCAATAGGACCTTGATCTAGCCAATCAAATCTGCCACCAAAACTTACTATATTGAAAACTGAGCCAGGTGGAAGACTCTTTAAAAACAAAACTGCAGCTTTCTTTGCTAAATTTATCCTTTCTCCTGCCATGGACCCACTTCTATCAATAACAAACAAAAACTCTCCCCTTTGTCCTTGCAAATCTTCAATTTCTTCGTTCTCTTGTTTATACATAGGCAAAAAGCTAACTCCCCCCCACTCCGTGAGCGAACAAAAAAATTTTGTTCGCTCACGGATAGGGTTAATTTTTTTTTTAAAATTTAAAAAAAAATCCCAATTTCGCAAAAATTGGAAAGCAAAGATTAATTTAATTTGCAAATTTTTGTTTTAAAATGCAATTTGTTTAAATTAAACAGAATTAGCTCAAGATTTCATGATATTAATTATCACTTATATATCAAATTTTTTTTCCATAAAAAATATTTAAAAAAATTTTTGTTGACTCATGAGGGTGGATTTTTTGGTCAAAAAATAGGGATTTTTCTAATGGTTTTGTTCACTCACGGAGGGGGGGGAGTAAGCATAGCTGCATATTCTCCTTTCCTTTCTTGTACAGCACATAATGGAAAATTGGAATTCGCAGTTTTATACAATATTTTAATGCCAGCATCAGGTATAAAATCATTTCCTTCTCTAAATCTTCCGCTTAAATGTAAACAGTTCTCAGATAAAGTCCATTCAAATGGATAGGTTTTACATGAAAAATCTGATATGGGAGTGTCTGAATGAATATCAATACTCATACCAATCCTATAAGTGCAGTTTCTGGCATTAACTACTGTAAACTGAGTTTCTTGCTTAATTTCTTCTAGTGGAATAGAATTTGGTTGAAGCTGGGCTTTTGGGGTTAGGGTTGTCGGGATATAAAGTTTCCAGAAATCAAGCTCTGTTGATATTGGGGTTGTGAATTTAAATTCGATTCTGATTTCTGCTCCTGGAGCGATATTTCCTACGTTAACGACCATCTTATCGGGAGTATCAGATTTAGTCATAACTGCAGTGTTTCCTTCTGAAATAGCATCTTGATACATTTCTTGAGCCTTTGTTTCTTCTTCTATTGAAGCTTCTAAAATTGTTCCATCTGGAAGGTGAATCCTCATTGCTGTGATCACTGCATCATTTTCCACAGGGAAGACATACTCGCACTCAATAGGCTGAGTTTCAATGTTTTTATAGACTTGGAATAGCTCCATTTTGCATAAGGAATTTCTGACTGTCGATCTTAGCTCTAAGTGTTTTAGAGAAATAGGGTGCTTTTCTACAGGAGATGGAATTGGCCTGATAGGTCTTAGCCCAAAACAGCAACATCCACACCTCATTTTATATTATATGACAATAGTATCCTGATGAATAAAAATGGGATCTCAAGGTTGCTAAAATATAGGTCATTACTAAAATCTTTGAATTAAATCAAACTTTAACTCAAAAAATTAAGAATTAAACTTAAATATTAAATTCATATAACGTAAAAAATGCTTGGCATTTCAGAGTAAATTTCTTATAATTTTCGTTTCTATAATAAATTTGTAAAAATTAGCTGAGCTACAGAAATACGTTACCAAAAATTTATTTAATTATCCTTATTTTTAATTGTGAAGTTTTTTACTATAAAAATATGCAAAGTTTGTATAAAAAATTTAGCAGGTGAAACAATAATTCTAGATGAAGAAGCTTCTGATGCGTTTAAAATTCTTAACTATAAATTATTAGATAGAAAAGGTATATCTCTAGGTCAGCCTAAGCTTATATTTGAAGGAGACCAGCTAGAAGAAAGACAAACTAGCTTATTACAGCATTCAAATGAGCTCGCCTATTTATTGTGTGCTTTAACTAAGAGGAAGAATATAAATATTTTGAAAACAAGCCTCTGCTCTCAAAATATAAGATTGAGAGGTAAAATTTATTTATAAAAATCTCAGGTGACTCATGTATCCAAATTAGCATAAACATGCTTATTAACTAAAAAACTTTGCAGCAGCAATCATACCGAAACCGTTTAACCCAATAATTAATAAACAATAAAAATTTCATCTTCAAATAATGACAGATTAGATTAGAATAGAGTTATAGCGGGTCGCAGGGGTCTATTTCAGCCCCTCGCCGTCCAACGGATAGCTTTGCAGTGACGCTAAGCGCTATCCTCACACCACCTTTTTCCCTTCTGACGTCACCAAAAAACGGTGACGTCGAAGGTCTTCGGGGAAGCCACCCCACCCGGTCGGGGTCTCCGGATCTCAGCAGAAAACTCCTTTAACCTCTGACAGGGCTCAGAGTATAGGGGAAACGCCTTCTGCCTTCTCCATGGCCTGTCAGAACCATATTACAGGTTCAATAATGCTCCCATGGAGTGGTATCGGGATTTTTGCGCCAATAGGGTCATCTTGCTGGTAAGGAAAAAAGACAAGGTCAGCCCCAGGTCAAAAACCCACCCCGGAGAACTATCGCCATTTGGCTCGCCTTTCCTGGGCCTGGATCAACTCAAGGTCACCAGGAGTCCACGTCAGATCACGCCATTTTAATAATTCTAATAATGACAGAAGAAACTAAAACAAATGTGAATACACAGCACACTCGAAGAATCCAACAAATCCAAGTTGAAATTTCAGCCGCTGAATGTGACTTAACTACCTTACGCTCACTAGTATGACATGGCGTTGACTGTGAACTCCGATCTTACGTTTGACAATTACTTATTGGTTATCTCCCAGTAACATTAGATAGACGTGCACAAGCATTAGAAAGAAAAAGAAACGAATACTTGCAATATAGAGCCGAAATTTATGAGGAAAGATCCCAACATCAAACAGAAAAGCATTTAAAAGATCTCAAACAAATTGAAGATGACATTCCTAGGACGCAGCCAGATGTCCCAATGTTCAGAGATGAGCCAATAAGGGAAGTTTTGAGAAGAATCCTGTATATTTGATCAGTTAGGCACCCGGCAAGCGGGTATGTGCAAGGGATCAATGATTTGTGCTCGATTTTTTTAATTGTGTTTATGATGCCTTACTGCTCATTTAGAATACTTGCAGAACCTGGGTCACTTCCAGAGAATATGGATGAGTTAGAAGCTGATGCATATTGGTGCTTGAATATAATGGTGGAATCAATACAAGATTATATTTTCTGCATATGAATTCATATTAATTTTATATATATTATTCCCTTGATTCTTACTAGAATCAGTTAAATAATATCAAAATTAGCTTATAAATGTATATTTCTTTCCTTCATCACCAGGAATCCAAAGAGCTTTAATAAAGATTTCTGAAATTATCTTTAGGGTGAAGCAAGAATTAATTTATCATTTTAAAGGAGAACAGCTCGAAATGATTCATTTTTCTTTTAGGTGGTTTAATTGTATGTTTATTAGAGAATTTAGTCTGCCTATGCTGTTTAGAGTATGGGATGCTTTATTTACTATGCAAGATGGGTTTAGAATTTTAAGTGTATACATTGCAGCTGCAATTGTGCTGCGCTGGGAAAAAGAGTTGATTGGTAAAAATTTTAGTGAGCTGATGATTTTTTTGCAGAATTTGCCGACCAGTAGGTGGACTGAAAGAGAAATTGAAGAGCTACTGTCACAGTCTTATGTATATTTTACATGGTTTGAGAGCTCACCTAATCACCTCAAAGCATATAGCGAGTTTCTTTAGGTATTATTTAGATCATTTTAGTTAAAATGGTATGAAAAAATAGAATATTTATTGAAAAAAGGATAATTATTTATTTTAAAATTTAAGTAGGATATGACAAGGTGTAATGGCTTAATATATTAATAGCCAAAAATGATATGCATCATTATTCTAACAATGAACAGCAAGAAAAACTTGATGATGGAAGGGAATCGGCTTGAAGAATGGCGCTAGGTTCACCAAAAGCTCGTCTTCTTAACCAGAAGCCATTTTGTGAGCCAAAAGGCTATTCTCTAAGCCGATTTCTCTCGTCAGCAAGTTTTTCTTATTGTTTATGGCGAGGCTAAGGCTGTATAGTTTTTTGATATCATCATTTTTATTGCATAATATATAATAAAATATTGAAGATTTTAAACTAGAAGTAATAATTCTTAAAAAAATACTTATAAAAACGTTTAAATCGAAAATCACTTTTAATAGGATTTCAAAAGTTTAAAATGGAGCTTTATCAAAATAATTCAATTGCAACGTCTCTAATTGTAAATTCTTATCCAAAACATAAATAGCAAGGGGTAGCTTTCTAATTTATCTATAATAATATAATGTATTGGTAATATTTTATTTTGCTTATTTATGGCAAATTGATTTTAAAATGTCAAAAAAATTTTGGCATGTCATTATATATATAAAACTGAGTCTATGGTATGTTAAAATTTTTTTGACATTTTTAAAATCAATTTACCATAAAATAAGCAAAATGAAATTTATGCAAGGGATTATAGCCTATAATTGGAAGTTCAAGCCTGCTGGAAATTTTAGTGTAAAAGAAAATCTCAAAATATGGCAGCAGTTTGCATGAACAAAAGCTTACCCCCCCCCCCCCCCTCCGTGAGCGAACAAAAAAATTTTGTTCGCTCACGGAGGGGGGTTAATTTTTTTTTTTAAAAAAAATTTATATATATAAATTTTATAAAAAATATTTTTTTCGAAATTTAAAAAAATCCTAATTTGCAAAAATTGGGAAGCAAATATTAATTTAATTTGCAAAATTTATGTTTTAAAACGCAATTTGTTTAAAATTAAACAGAATTAGCTCTAGATTTCATTATACTAATTATCACTTATATATCAAAATTTTTTTCCATTAAAATTTTTTCTATTAAAAAAATTTTTGTTCACTCACGGAGGGTGGGTTTTTTGGTCAAAAAATGGCGATTTTTCTAATGGTTTTGTTCGCTCACGGAGGGGGGGGGGGAGTTAGCAGAAAATAGAATACTTAATTAATTGCTATAACTATATTTAGTGAACTATATTTCTTTCATAGCTAATATTAAATTTTTAAAGGAAATCTTTGTGGAAAGAAAATCATTTTATAGTATATTAAGCTTTAGATCAAATGAAATGGCTAAATGTCAGAGCTTTTCGTTTGATTTTCGCGCCAAATTGGCAGTTAAATAAGGCTTGCTTAAAATGGCCTTAAATCTAATTTTATAGTTGAGATTTCATTTATCTAATTTCATCTAATGATAATTTTAAATTATGGATAATTCAAGCAATAAAGAATGTGAAGCGCTTAATAACATTTCTTCTCAGGCCACAAGTGAGATGGAACAAGAAAAGCGCTTAAAAAAAGAAAAGAAAGGCAAAATTAAGAAAAAGAAGCACGAAAAAATTATAAAAGATGAATCACCAGAAGAGCCAAATCAAACTCTTACTTTATTATCACTAAATAATTAGGTTTTTAATTAATAATAATATTTTTAATGAAAAAATTGAAAAAAGAGAAAAAGGGTTAGCAAAATTTCTAAAGACAAAAAGAAGAATAAGGACAAATCTAAGAATTGTGAAGAGCCTGCTCCCAGAAAAAGAAGAAAAATAAGCAATGAATTAAATGAGTCAAATGAAGCGGTAGAAACAGATCAAGCTACCATTGAAAATTCCCGCCTTAAAAAAGATAGCTCAAAAGGAAAAGAAAGCTCTGGTAAGAAATCAAAGGATAAAAGCCCAGAAAAATCATCAAATGGCAAAGAAAATTCTGAATCATCTGAAGCATCTGAGGTCAATATTTTCGCAAGTCCGAAAACAAAAATGCCAAAAAAAGTCCAAATTTCTGAGAATGACGGTGTAGAAAACAGCTTTGACGAGCCAGTCAATCCGAAAAAGCAAAAGAAGAAAAAGTTATCATTTGCTGAGAAACAATATGAAGCTTTGAAATTGCTTCAAAATACAATTAAAGGCTCATCAAGCGATGATTTTATTCCACCAGTGACTCCTATGAAGAGAAAATCAAAGGAAGCTCCCGAAACTCCACTATCAGAAAAACGAAAAGTCATATTTAATCTAAAAATGAACACTACTCAGCATTTTGACCACAGAACTATCATATCTAATGAGAAAAGACACCCAAGCGCTCATCATGATCCTCCAAGCAAAGGTTTATTAAAAAAGCAGATCAAGCACAAAAAATTCAAAAAAATCAGATATTAAATTTTAATAGAATTAATTTCAACAATAATTGGACATCGTTGAGTTCTTAGCTAAATGATAAAATCTTATTTTGATTTTACAGATATATTTGTAAGAAAGTTTAGTGGGTCAAATATATCTTTAGGGACTGACGGGCATATTATGTGTGGCTTAGAAGCTTTTTTGTTATCTTCAAATAATGAGTACAATATTGAAGAAGCTTCATAGTTAATGTCATTTTCTTTTAAATTTGTGGTAATCAGCTCTATATCTCGTTTTAGATTTAGTCTGTTTGATCTCCTCCTAATTTAAAATTACAATTCTTTATTTTCAAATGAACAGTTTCTGGTATTCGTTTCTAAATGGAAGTTTATCAAAATATTCAAATGTTCAGGGCTTTGGATGACATCTTTTGTGGTCAGGTTGATCCGCTCTGAAGAAGGCTTCCGCTTGTTGAATCTCCTCAAGTTTTTCCTTATTGTACTGTAAAAGTGGTTCTTTATAGCATTGTCAGAGCGACCTGGCAGCAGATTAGTCAGTTCAGATCATTTGTTACCATTTGCACGCTGGTAATCAAAGATTATCTTTTCTTCGTCGAATGTCCAATGGTCTTTTTTGACGTTTGGGTCCAGATGGTTGTGCCAACGCTCTCTACATTGCTTGCCAGTTCTGTTTTAGAGTTACCTTCCTTTAATACCGTACCGATCTACTAATAGACTAGCTATAAGTGACCATTGCTTAATCCCGTGCTCTTCTACAAGGGATCTTATTGCGTCATCTTCCTAACTATAAAGTACATCTTGGTTCCAAGGCTTACGGGAACTGTTTGACATATAATCACTTATAAAATGGCGAATTATTCTTGGATAATGATCTTCAAACGGTTAAATTAAAAATATAAATTTTCTTCAAGGGAAATTCTTTATTTTTGACTTTTTGCATTTTCTAAATTTTATTTTTAAAAATAGCATCCTTTTTATGATCATATTGACTTTTTGTAATTTCAAAGGTTTTGTGAGGGGGCAACGATATGCAATCTATTTATTTATGTGCCAAATCACTTCCAAGAGTCGTAAACTAATTGACTATGTCTTTAGGATTGGTAAAAAATAATAAAGCCATACGACTAAATTGAATAACGCACTTCATTAGAAGTGCTGAAAATTCCGAAAAGATTATGTCTAAGTCAATATTTTTGATTGTGGTGCGTGCTTAAAGAGCTCTTCGATCTATAAGACAAATCTCTGGAATTTTTTTCAAGCTGAAGAATAGCTCCATAATCAAATTTATTTTCAGTGGACTTGTCAATCATTCCAAAATTCATAATGAGATTTTATTAGCATAATTGAGTCTTCATAATAGCTTTGTCGAATAAATTTCTATATTCACTTGACAAGCTTCATTTTTATAACAAAAAACTTATTAATTAAGAATTCAGCGCATAATATTGCTAAATTGAAATATGTTAACTCATAATAGCAATTTACCTCAATATTATTGATTTAAATCTAGATAATATGAATTATTAAAAAATAATTATTGGTTTTTTACCTTTCAAATTAAGTAATAAAATTATCATTAAGCTAATTATCAATAAGCCAATCTTTTGTTGCAATTAAATTGAACTCTAAGATTAGTAAAATTCTCAATTAAATGTTATTTTGATACAAAAAAATGAAAATAATGGCATATATCCAGATTCATTGAAAATTTTTTAATAATGTAAATTTCTAAAAGAACAGAATAATCAAGAATTTATTTAAAATTTTTTGGAAAATATGCAATATACTTATTGCTTTTAAGTTAATAAATTAAACCATAACTTTATTTATAGCATGAATTTTACTTTAAATTTTGCTTAGTTTTGATAAATAAAACAACAAAATATCCTAGGCTGCGAATTTCAAATTTCCTTATTAACTTAATTAATTGAGATTTGCTATATGATTATAAATAAATAATATTTTTATTGCTTAATCAGGCTCTGATAATTTTTTAAATGAGAATAAAATTAGCTACAGAAGTAGTCAATATTCATTTAAAAATAATAATTAAGGGGGATCGAAGACTATGAACTCATTCTTTTACTATTCAATAGGCATCACTAAAATCTCTTATCCTTAATCAATCTCAAATAATGGCGTCGCAATATGCACATAAAATATTTATTATTTAATAGCTTATGTCAAAGCAATCTGAAGAACTACCTGCAAAGAGAGGACGCTTAGATGAGAGTGATATCGCATCAGGGCCTTCAAAAAAAGGTAAAGACGAGCACACCTTAGAAAAAGGAGGGAAAAAGCTTGAGGAGGAATCAAAGTCAGGTTCTGATAAAGAAGAATCTCAAGAGTCTGAGGAAAACGAGGGAGAGGTTTATTCATCTGATGAAGAAAGCGAAGAAGAAGTTGATGAAGATGAGGAGTATGAAGTTTCTCAAGAGGAAGAAGAAAGCGAAGAAGAAGAGGAGAGCGAAGAATCAGAAGAAATAGCGCCAAAAAAGCGTGGAAGAAAAAAGAAGAACTCTAGCGACTCTGATTAAGAAGTAATTATTTTTAATTATACTACTCAATTTTATATTGACTAATCTTTTGATAAGTCTGCGGGGAAGACTTTGGGTTGGTGGCTGATGCAAGATATTTCTCGGTTTGAAGATGCGAAGTGTGCCAAAGGCAATCTTTAACAGAAAGAAATTTATGAATACAATGTTTTATTATAAGGGCCGGATTAAGTTCGAATTTCCAGGACTCCAGAATAAATAGCTTACATAAAAGTCTGGTTACCTTTCTTTCATTAGATAAAAAAGTATTTGCGGGTATTGCTCGAAGATTATAATGGAAGGATATTATATCAGTTATATTTAGCGGGATTTGTGAAAATCTTAGCAGTCGAAATACTTCTGCTACTACTTACTGACTTAAGAGAAATAGATGCTACATTGCACAATTAACCATTATATTTTCAGCAACTTATTAATATCTCAGTTTTGATTTTATTGTTTATGGTAGCAGTGTAAAATTTAATTCTAAACAAATTAGTAAGTGACTAAAAAAATAAACTTATTCTACGTTAGGAGTTCGGAAAAAAAGTTTTTTTAGCATCATTAGTTTAATTTTCAGTGAAGCAATAATATTTTTAATTCGCATATTCTATGCAAGGCTTATTTAATAAATAAAATTATTCACAAAAGAATATAAAATACATTAGCCTAAATTTTTGACCTTTTTTCCTTCCCTCCACAAGCCTTTATTTGTTATGCCATTAGGAAAAATCACTGTGCCCTCCCCATCTTGTTTCCCATTTTTCCATTCCCCTATATACTTTTTCCCATCTGCTCATGTATAAGTACCCTTTCCATGTTTCTTATCATTCAAATAATCTCCAGCATATGATCTTCCATCATTTCACGAATAAACTCCATATCCATGCATGGCATTATTTTCCCATCCACCTTCATACTTTCTCCCATCGATTCATTTATAAGTGCCTGTTCCTTCAATTTTATTTTCAACCCAATGGCCAGAATAGGTGCTGCCATCATTCCATTTAAAAGTCCCAAATCCATGCTTTTTGCCTAGTTTATAGAATCCTTCGTATTTTCCTGAATCTTTAGATACTTCGACTCCATATCCATTTTGAGTATCATCTAGCCATTCACCTTCATACAAAGAGCCATTTAAATGCTGATATACGCCTTTTCCGTTAGCTTTTTCGCTGACTCAACTGCCAGTGAAAATATCTCCGTCCACATGTGTAAATTCTCCTATCCCATTAGCTTTGTTGTTTTTCCAGTAGCCTTTATATTTAGCTCCATCAGGCCATACATGGATTCCATAGCCGTCTCTTTCATTTCCTATTCATTCACCATTATAATAAGCACCACTTTTGTATTGATATTGAGGACGGATTTCACGTTTTAAATTTATCGTTTTCAGATTTCTGTTTTCTGATGAATCATTTGGAGAAAATCGAGGAGTGCTATCGGATCTTTGGGATTTTAAATGCAAAGACATCTTTCTTGCTTGATGACCTCTTCAGAGGGACTGAAGCTTGATAATTTCAGGCTCAGATTGGCTAAAATCAAGATATTCAAAATTAAGGCCTTGAGTAATACTTTTTGCCGATGCAAGTTTTTCTATTCTTGAAAAGGATGACTTTATTTCTTGTGTGGACTCGAAGACTGGCTTATGATCGAGGTCTGAAGCAATCTCAAGATCCTTATTACACCAGGAACAAAACGTGCAATATTTTTGACCCATTGCAAATAACTTACAGCAAAATAAAAATGATTTTAAAATTAAATTTATCAATTCAAGTAGCTGATAAGAAAAATGAGATTACTTAAAACTAATTATCTTTCTATTATTTATTTCATTGCATCTTTCATTTATCACAGATAATTTTAATAAAGGGTAGATTAGGCTATTAAAGGCAAGCGTTAGTCATATTGATGACGCAATCACCAACGACCTCCAATGCTGAAGGTTTTACCACTTTTTGACTCCAGCCCAGATGGCCTATCCCCAAATAATGGGTGCCACTTCCAGTACCTTTAGTCTACTCTTGCCTTGCAGCTTTAGTCTTAAGTGGGTAGTTTATGGATTTCTGTGCCCCTACTACTGCGATTGGGAGAAGTTTGAGTCCAAAGATCAACTCCTTGGAGTCTGTTGGTGCGGAAGTTCCTTGCTTCGACAGCTACAGGGGGAAAAAAAAAACAACTCCCCTGTGGACTGGGCTTGAACCCCCCAATTTCTCATCCTATTTCGCCTGGCCATAAGGTCTGGACTATTGCTCCAAGAGTGCATTTTGGCACGTGCCACCATTTTAATGTATGTTTTAATAAAGGGACATGAAGATTCTCATACATAATAAAATAATCAATTATGGTAAACTTTAAAATTGCAATCTTTGGATTATTTTCAGCTTGATACATATATTGATATTGATCTATAATAGACAAATCCAAATCTTTCACCCCAAGCATAGTCAGAATATATCCAAAATCAGACCTTCATATCCCTCAAGATCCACCTTTAACAAAATCTTTAATGAATATATTTTCACCACACAACGTGTCTGAATCCTCCAACCCTTCCAGCTATCTCTACAAAGCTGGCTGATTTTTTACTTCCTTTATCTCAAAAGATAATTCACTGGTACACATTTTTGTAATCAATGATGATATTCCAACAAATAAATCTTATGACCCGTGGCATTCTGAAGGTCTTATGTATTCTGGGAGCTTTGATGATATTATTTCAAATAATGAAAACTTCAATTGAACACAGCTATGAGTCCAAAATTTTACTGGGCTAGTCAAATATGTGACTGCTTCACAAACAGATGACGATTTATTATTGGTGTATAAAGAAGTACACGATGAAGGAGAGGCTTTCAAAATTAGATATTATGAGAATAGATCACTGCCTATATATGAGGATATAGATCTTCCTTATGGTCTTGACGTTATTGGGATTACTATAGATCATGATATTATAGCTTATTCTAGATTTGATGATAATAAATCGTTTCGAACACTTTTAAAAAATAAGAAAAAAGATAATGAATTTGTAAAAGAAGGGTGAAAAATCGGCCCAGCTGGCCCAGACCAGGATCGCGAGCATTATGGAATATCCCAGGTCCCAGGTATTAAGCTAACAAGTAATGGAAATAAAAGAATATTATTCCGCTATTGAGTTGGCTCACAAACTTCAAATATTTTGAATGCTTACTCTGAGACTGAATTTTTTTATTTGAAAGATGACGAATGAACAACTATGGGCGAAAATTTAAAATTTAATTTCTCTTTAAAGCAGTTCGTAAATAAAAACTCCAAGGAAAAAGATATTATTCAATATCCATGAGCGAGGCACAGTAATAATAGAAAATATTTCTATGTTGGCTATATGAATAGCATCGTTACAGGTGTGGATTGAAGGTAATAAGTAAATAGTGACGCTGAAAATTCAACAATTTCATTTGTAGACCCTAGTTTTTTTAAAAAATTTACAAGATTTGAGGTATCAAATAGAGGCGATTTCCTAGCAATTGTAAGATTAATGTAGACTGAGCTGCAAAGTGAGCAATCTGGATTGAAATATATAAGATTTGTTGGTAAAAATCAAACCAATGATAAAAAAGAAATCGCGATTGATATAAGTTTAATGAATTTGCCAGCTAAAATACTTAGCCAAGAAATAAAATCGTTAAAAATAATTGAGCAAAATCAATGCATTTATGCAGTTATTTTATTTTCAGAAGGTCCAATGGTTGTTGCTAACTTTACTGATATAGAATTTCAAGATGTAGCCCAGCAAAGCCTTCTTTTGCGGCTATTTTCAATTTTTTCACCAATTTTAGTAGTGGCTTTAATTTTGCTTATTAATGTCAAGTACTTTTTCAACATCGGAGTATGAATATGGTAAGCATAATAACACAAACCTCGCATGATTTATCACATTAAAGATTAATTTAACGCTTACATTATTTAGCTGCCTAATTCTTGCATTCAAAAAAATCTAATGGACTAAATATTATGGAAACAACTCATCATGAAGGCGTTGAAATAGACCCTAAGCTCACCGACATCGCTTTAGAGCAGAATCCTAGCCTCATCCAACTGCCGAGCTCAGATAATGATACTTGGCCAAGCTGGCCAAGTTCTCCTCATTCAAATTTAGAAAGAGGAATGGACGAATATCTAGATAAAATGTTCGAAGACAAAACCGAGTCTCAAGAGGAGTCTCCAACCGCTGCTTCGAGCTTGAAAAAGAAAAGAGGAAGAAGGCCTCTTCGACCGCATGATCCAATTAAGAAGAAAACCGAAGAAAAGGATAAATATTGGCTAAGAGCTTTTCGAGCTTATATGAAAGAACTATACCCAAAGATTTCAGATAAGATGGGCTTAGAAGAGCAGGTGTTTTGGAATGAGCACTTAGGATCTAATGGAAAGCCTGAAAAAGGCAATCGGTTTTTATCTTATGGAAAGCGATATAAAAATTATCTATTCACCAGACCTTACTTTGTGACGCTATTTCAAGATTGGTTTAAAGAGCATGGCAAGGCTGAACTTTCAAAGAAATGCAAGCCTGGAAGTGATCTTTGGTTCGTATTTTACGACTACGCGACAAAAGATTTGCTAAACTATGTCCCAACAGGGAGTTCTTCTATAGATGGAAGAGAGTCCCCACTTAGTTGTGCATCACCTCCAGGAGAGACACAGGATGAAATGGTCAATGAGCCCATGGATTTCTTTATGGTAGACAATGAAAGTGAAGATATAATTGAGTCATTTTTTAATTAATGCCATTCCTATAGTTAAGTAAAATAATTTACTAGCTTATAATTAAGTATAAAGGAAGCTTCTAATTTTTCTTTTAAATATTTATTGTTAATATTTATTTCTTTTGTGACTTTATAAGATCTGAAGAAAATTAATAGTCAATTTATTAAGAAAATCTATAAAAAACTTTTAAAAATCATTTAATTTTATTTCTTTATTTATTTTCATAACTTATTCTGAGCTGTTCTTTGCGAAAAAAATAGATTATCTCTACAGATTTTATGAGTTTAATCAGAATATTTATCACCAGATCAAAAGCGCATATTGATACTTTATAATCAAATCCATTTAATATGAAATGAAATATACAAGAGTTAAACAAAGGATTTTTTGAGTAAAAGCGTTAATTGTGGCTTATTTTCTTTTTATTCCTCCTTAGTGAGCGAACAGTAACATTGGAAAAATCCCTATTTTTTGGTTAAAAACCCACCCTCCATTAGCTATTAAAAAATTTTGATATATAAGTGATAATTATTATAATGAAATCTGTAGCTAATTCTGTTTAATCTTAATAGCTTGCATTTTAAAACATAAATTTTGCAAATTGGGATGTTTTAAATTTCGAAAAAAATATTAACTATAAAATTTATATATAAATTTAAAAAAAATAATTAGCCCTTCTCTGTAACAAAATTTTTTTTGCTCACAGAGGGGAGTCAGAGTTCAGATCTAATATGAAGTTTCATCAAGATCTGCTCAATTCTGTCCCCTCTGGATGAACTATGGATCATTTCTTTTTCTTTGACTGCATTTATCATTGATATAAATTTGTGTGTTGATCTCTTATATTGTTGAGCTACTTTTTGCTTACCCTAGACTATAAAATGTTATTGTATTAAATGACAAATACTTATTATAACCGTATTTACCTTGAGCTGATTTCTCAATTTTGGTGCTTCCATACGGCGGAAGGAAACCTATAGCCCTCAGTGAGATGAAACTGACCTTAGATTATATTTTGTCAAATTGAATTCAAGACAATTCAGCAACAATATTTTTAAATTATTTAAGTTAATTTGAATGAATGCAGATATCAAATTTTTACGTTTTGAGTATTACTAAACTTTTTTCTTATATTTTCCTAACTCCCCTCCCCCTCCGTGAGTGAACAAAAAAATTTTGTTCACTCACTTAAGGAGGGGGTTAAGTTTTTGTTTTTAAAAAAATTTAGATACAAATTTTAAAGAAAAAAATTTTTTTTTCGAAATTTAAAAAAATCTCACTTCCGGAAAGTAAATATTAATTTAATTTGTAAAATTTATGTTTTAAAACGCAACTTGTTTAAAATTAGACAGAATTAGCTCGAGATTTCATTATACTAATTATCATTTATATATCAAAATTCTTTTCCATAAAAAATTTTTGTTCACTTTTTAGGCAAAAAATAGCGATTTTTCCAATGGTTTTTTTCACTCACGGAGGGGGTAAGAACATTTAAGATGTTAGCAAGCTGATTGCAGATTTTTTTCTCAGCTCTGACTCTTCCATGCGAAGCCATAAATATTGGAAGCTTCTATTAGTAGAGTCTCTGAATTCTTGAACTTTTTGCACGATTTCTTCAGGGAAGTACTTTCTATGCCTAAACAGTGAAGAAGTTTTTTAAGGTCTTTTGTGCTCTAATTCGTTCTTCGTCGACCATATCGCTATATCCTCCTTATAAATTAATATTAGTCGTAGTGCCTGTTGTGCTTTCTGTAAGATTTGCTTCATATACTGCATTTTTTAGCTTCAATAATTTAATTTCCTCTTCTATAGTTGCGACAGTTTGATTTTTTGTACATATCAGCCCATATATATGGGAAAAAAGATATTAAATAATTCTTATTTTATTATTATAATTATTTATTATTATCTTTGACGAAATTATAGCTATATAAGTGTGAGAAAATTGTTATTTTATAATAATCAATTTTTGGGAAAAAATAAAGAAAATGAGTTTCAAAAAAAAAACATTAACTAGCAGTTACAGAAATAGGAAACAAAATTTCAATTGATTTGAAGCTAATTTGTTTTAATAATGAAAATTTACGTCATAACAATTCTCTTTTAAATAAATAAATATAAAGATCCCCCCCCCTCATTTGTCCAATTTTCTAGTCTTTTATCATTTGTCCATTTTTCTAGTTTTTTTTATAGGAAAAAAAAATTTGTTTAGGACCTCATTTGTACATATTTTATATCTTCTTTTGGCTTAGAGGTGAATTTAAAAGTTGCATTACAATATATTTTTTATGAAACCAAATATAAAGAATAAGGAATAATTCATATTTGCATGAAATACTCATTCAACACGTTTTTCAGCCTTTTTAATCTGAAACACTATCAAATTTTTGCCTAAATTAATCTGCATTAATCTCACCCTATGCATTTTCTCTATTTATAATAGATCATGGATCCAAAAACACTTGGCGATCAGCATTCCCAATCTCCGGAAAAGTCCGCACCTTTTACTAATCTTTGTAAATTCTATATAGATGCAGACTTTTATTCTCTAGAGAACCCTTTTTCAATTTTCAAGACTTCAGGAGGAGCAAATCCTAATCTCAGCCCTCAATTGCAATCAAAAACTCAAAACTCCAGCCCAAATCTAAGAATGGCTGGATTGCAAAAATCAGCCCCAAATAGTCTAAGAAAAGTGATTCCTCCGCCTACATAATTAAAGATGGTGTTGCTCGATTTCTGGTCTCCTGACCCGAAAATTCATCTTTGCATATTTTAATTATGAGTTTTGGTTTCCCCTAATGAAATTATCCCAACTATTCCAAGGAAGCAAAGAGCTGGGTAGTTTTTCATACCGGACTCCTGACCTTAGGGAATGGGATTTTCAAGAAGGGCAACCCAGACGTTGGATTTAGGGTGCCATTCAAACCCAAGAAAGTGCTTTAGCTCATAGAAGAATCTTCGAAGCCCAAACTTCAAGACTGGCATTCTCTTTTGGTGATCAAAATCCAGACGCCTACACCTTTGGCGGGACCGAGGAAAATGGCACGAAATTCGCCCAGAGTGGTGTTGGTGTAGCTGTGATCGAGCAAACTGATAGTGGATGTTAAACTTGTATAGTCTATCAATAGATTAAGATTCCTCCACCTCCTGGGTTTGAATGGGCACAAGACACCGAATTTAGTGACAAAAGTAGTCAATCAGATCAAAAATGTGACAGCCCTACGTTAAAACTGATTCAGCATGAAGATTCATATCAATCTATGGAAGAACTTGTAAACGAGCTTAAAATCTGTAAAAGCAAGCTTTCAAGAGCCGAAAAAGAAGTTGAAAAATATAAAAGTTCTTATTATACATTGCTACAATTGCAAGATTCTTCCAACGAATCAAGAGTAGACAAGCTGTTTCAGTATTTTAAAGTAGACGAAAACCTTAGCGAATGCAAAACCTGCAAAGAAACTCATGAAGAAAATTTAGCTCTGCATGAAAGAATTGCGAAATTTTCAATTGAGAATAATAAAGTTTTGACTAGCTTTCATGATCTATTTACCCAATTTCAAGCTGTTCAGAATGAAAATAGAGAACTTTTAGAAAAATTCAGGATGGCAATGGAAGGGAAACAGGTCACTTTTAATTGTACAGTTGATAGATGCTGCAGCCTTGCCAAAGAGTATAGAGACCAGCTTTTCATGAAACAGAGAGAGACAGAAGAATTGAGGGCTGTTTTAAATACAAATGGTAATAAGCATGCCTCGAGGTCGAATAGCACAGAAGAAGGAGACCCTGAGAAGGAAACAAGGCAGTGGCAAAGAAAAGACAGATCCAACTCTAATAAACAAGTTACGATCCTGGAGTGCCAAGAATGCCTTAATAAGCAATTAAGAATTGCTGAAAAAGATAGTATTATTAAAGAGCTTCAAGAATCTTTAAGTCCTTCTCCAATTCATTCTAGGAGTCTTGATTCATATGCCAGCAATAAAAATTTCCAAGTTTTAAAAGAAAGGTTCAGGCAAAAACTTTCATTTATCAGAAATTTATACTAAAAATGATACAAATATCTTTAGGTTCGCAATGCTAGATTTATTTACTTAAAGAATTTAGAATCCAAATGGCAAATATTTATCTCTGCTAATTAAGCATATTATACTTGGAGAGCCAAGACAAATCGTACTTCCTGGGCAAAAAGCACTGATTAGTCTTATTGAAAAAAGAGAAAGTTTGGAAAGATGGTGGAGTAAAAGAGCTGAGCTTTCCCAAGAAAGCGAATGGATAAAAGAAGGCCAGCAACTGATTTCTCAAACGTGTGTATTTGCTAAAGAAGCTTTAGAACTGAAGCCAACGATCAAAGGAAGACCAGGCCGTGAGATGAGAATGAGCGTCCACAAGCAAGTTATTGAAATTGAGCAGGCCCTCAATGATTTGACTTCTTTGACTTCAGAAGTCCAAGAAATCAAGCGAATGTTCTTATCCCATTTCCTTGAGAAATCAAAAATTATTGTTTGTAAATAGAGCTAATTTTTTTGGAATTATAAAAATATTTTGATGGTAAAAAATTAATTTATGATTGAGAATGTAAGCTGCTTAAGGTTGAATACTAAAAATCACTTATATGCCAAATCCTTTTTTTGCATTCGAAAAAGTATACGCTCACTAACAGAGTGGCGAGATAGAATTGCCGTATCTTCTTAAACCAATGTTTGATCTGATGAAAGAATATGAGCAGCAAAGCTCAGGGATCGAGCTCTCTCCAGACTTGAAACTTGAGTCTGTCATAAGTGAACTAAAACTATTGCAAGAGTCATTAGGCGACCAGCAGAGCCAAATGGAAAACAATGAGCAGTTTGCTCCTGTAAGAAGAACTTCTAAAAGACATAGAACTAATGCATCATAATAATTGAATGGGTTCTATTAATCCGCAATAAAAAAATAATTATGAAACATAACTTTTCTCATCCAAATAGACTTATCGCAAGATTTGAAGAAGACCACCTGACAAGACGGCATTTAATTAGTTTAAATTCAGTCAAATCGACATTGAACCTTAAAAACACTTTTTTTTCTGAAAATTTGAGGAAAAGAAAAACGACGATGAGAAATAAAAGAATTGGACTAAAAGAAGTGAGCGCTTTATCACCTTCCTCATTCAGCAAATCGACCGTCCATTTAAGTCCTATTATCAGACTCAAAAAAGCTAGAAATCATATTGTAAGCTTAAAATCTAAATTAGAAGAAAAAGATAAAGAAATAAATAGACTGAAATCTGAATTAGCAGTATGGCAGCATATAAATATTAATAAAGATGCACCAACTCCAGATATAAACCCGATGCTAACCCCGGATTAAGCAATAAAATACGCATTAATTTCTTCATATATCAGCATAAAGCAATCAATTAATAAGATACCAAATTAATTTCCCATCCACCCAAAATGATTTCATTAATCAGTAATTTTTTTATCATAGAATTTGTAATTAATGCGTATAGCTAGACTCATGGCCAGGTCCTTCGCAGATTAAGATTAAGATTAGCCATTCGCACTTGATGGGCCGGATATTTATACCCCTACATGCTCGTCGCCTATGCTGAGGCTTCGGCGGACACCTTCTTGCTGCCACAAACAAGGGATTCGCACAACCACTCTTGACTTCCAAGGCTACTAGAGTCTAAGGGCCAACCACCTGGGTCGAAACTCCCAGTTTCTCGTTAGAAAAATGTCCATCTCTTGAGTCCTGTTCGAGGGAGTCAGTCTCCACTCGGGACTGTCGCCAATATTGTCCTTTCCAATGGTTGTTCTAGTGGTAAAAGCCCAATTCTCACGGATCAGCTCCGTAGGGCCAGAATAAAACCTAGTCCGACATACAAAAAAGGCTTCCGACTCCTTTCCACTTAAATCCCCCACTGGGCCGTTACCTGCGGTGCTGAGGAAATAGGGTCGAGAGGTCAGGTGGCACGTCGTCACCATTTTTGTGTATATGTCCTTCGCAGATAAGCGAAGTTATTCACGGGTTCCTGCAAAGGCTCCAGAGATGCCAAAATACTTGACGGAAACATACTGATGGGCTTATGTTCACCCTAATGCAGTTTGGTTTTTCGAAAGACAGTGGCTAGTCAATTTGATTCTTTGGGGCAATTTTAATCGCTTAAGAGACCATGCCCTGAGAGAAATAAACTTCCCAAGCAAGACTTTACAAGTTGCATGCGTTTATGGAAACTTCACCGAAGAGCTCGCTCGTCTTTCAAACTCGGAATCTGAAGTTCATGTTGTTGATGTTGCTGAAATCCAACTTGAGAATTTAAGAGAAAAATGCAAAAATGTAAAGAACCTACACGTCCACCACCAAGATTCCACAAATTTGGCATTTGAGGACAATGCTTTTGATAACACAGTGGTCTACTTCTTGCTGCATGAACAGCCTGAAGAAGCCAGAAAATTGACCGTACAGGAAGCTGTGAGGGTCACAAAGCCTGGAGGAAAAGTGGTATTTATCGATTATCATGGGCCGTCGAGGCTAAACCCATTCCGCTATGTGATGATTCCGATCTTAAAAAACTTGGAACCATTCGCACTGGATATGTGGAAGAAAGAAATCAAAGATTGGCTTCCTCCAGTGGCAGATATCTCGAAGGTGACTTATTTTGGAGGGCTATACCAGAAAGTAGTAGTTAAAAAGTAAGTAGCTTTACTGAATATAATTAAAATTAATTATCATGAAAAGTCTTAATTTTAACACTTTAGAATTAACTACAATGCTTTACCATTGGCCAAAAACAGTCCTCTTTTGTACACAAGGCTTCCTCTTAAGTAAGTCATATGGATCTTTCCTGGAAGGACTTCTCCTTTAAATGGAGAAATTTGTGGATGTCTCATATATATGCATGTCTGGGCTTCTTGGTCTTCTGGGTCCCACACTATGAGATCTGCATGCTTATTGATGGCGATGCTTCCTTTTATATGACTTATACCAATAATTTCAGCTGGAACTTGGCTAAGCTCTTTAAAATTCAACATATTTAGCTAGAGATTTCGTTATATTAATTATCACTTTTATATCAATTTTTTTTTTTTCCCAAAAATTTTTTGCTCATTCAAGGAGGTGAGCTTTTGGCCAAAATAGGTATTTTTTCCAATGGTTCTATTCGCTTACGAAGGAGAAGGGAGTAAGTAAAATTTTTGCTAGTTTCGGAGCCACAATTCTTGGGTCTCCTTTTAATGCTTCCCAGCAGCACTGCAAATTAAGCCCAATACTGCTTATCCCACTTACAGCCCTTTTAAAATCCCCTTTCTGCAAGCATTTAAGAAAAGGTTTTATTGGCCGATGATACGAAGTTAGGATATCAATCCCACCAAGTCTTAAAACATCTAACAAAAGTTTTCTATTTTTTTCTTCTCGAATAGGAGGATTTACTTTGAATCTTGTATCTCCATCCTTGATGTGCTCATCAGAAAAATGAGTATAAAACCCAGCAGTATCACAAGTGACCATCAAATCAGGATTTTCACGTTTTGCTTTTCTGATAATATAAACTGCATTTGCGCTGCTTAAATTCGAGATATGAACTTTTGCATTACTCCCCCCCATCCTTGATCGAACTATTAACTGTAAAAATTACTAAAAATTGGGAAAATTAACCCCCATCCTTGATCAAACGATTTTCATATCATGCAAATTTTATAAATATAAAAATATAATTGTTATCAAAAGCTTGGGAAGATGTACATAATGAAGTTGTTTTCAGAGACTTTGAGACGACAGAAAGCTTCGGAATCAACCATTCGAAGTGATTTAGTCATCAACCTAGGCTTAAAAACTCAATAATCTAATAAAATACAGATTCTTTAAAACTTAAAAAAAAAAATTTTAATTTAATAAGGAACTAATTAATATTTATACAGTTTAAAGGGATAACTAATAAATTAAAATATAAAAAAATTGGTATTTTTATAAAATTAATTTAATTTTTTACTGTAAAAATAATTATTAAATACTCTTAACCCTCTTATTTAAAAGTAAAAATAAAAAAAAATATATATATATAAAATTTTTTTTCCCAAAAATTTTTTTAACCCCGTCCTTGATCGAACGATAGCGAGTCGTTCGATCAAGGATGGGGGGGAGTTAGGATTTTTAGCTAGCTCAGAAAGCAAAAGCTGAACACCGTTTGCTTCCCAATGAGGAGGAGAGTTTGAGAGATAAGTCTTATAATCTGAGTTCTCCATAGGGATTACTGCTTTTTTACACATAATTGGAGGAGGTCTTCGAACTTGTCTTGCATTTGTTTCTGTTATTATTGGTTTTATTGGGCTCTTTCTGCTGAATAGGGTGAGGTTTGGAGATCTTATTTGAAATGGAGATACAGCTTTTTCGGGCGAAACTTCTAAGAAGTCAGTGATTTTAGAGACTGCTGGCTGAAAAACAGTGAAACCTGACCGTGAATAAGTCATCATTTCTGCTTTAATTAAGCTTTCTAGGTTATTTGACTGGTATCTTAACTGCCTTTCCAAATATTTTTCACTTTTTATATCAGAGGAAGGAGTATTTCTCATAGGCGTAGACTGATTAGAACTAATAGGAGAAGTATCAGATGAAGTCGGCTCTATGTCTTCTGGAAAAGCCCCTGCAAAAGTAGTCATTTCTGGCTGTGGGATATTTTGGCGGTTTTCGATACCCTCTTTTCGAAATGGCGAACTCATATAAAGATACCTCTCATTAGTCTTTTCTGGATGAAAAAATAGTGGTTTCCCAGTCCTTGCAACAGAGTCATATAAAACCCCAAGCTTCTCAACAGGAATAAAATTAATATCTCCTGATGGTGGCAATAAGTATCCTTTAAATCCCATGATTCCTGCTTTAGCGAGATCTTCCATTTCTGATAAAGAGTTCATATCTACATGTGCGAGAAACCCAATGTCGCAATAAAGTGATATTTCTTCTAACTCTTGAAAAAAAAAATAAATTAATATTTATTTTAAGAAAAAAATTATATGAAATCTTCACATAAAAAATATTTATAAAAATAGTCTGGTCAAAGTGCTACTTTGATTAAGCCTCTAATTAAGCTTCATCATCTAAAAAGAGAGGGTTAAAGGCTCGTTTTCGATTTTGGCGAGCCAGATAGATTAGGTAACAAAGTTATTTACATAGAAATTATTATTTTTACCTAATAAAAATAAATTTACCGGAATAAATTTTACTGATATAAGTTCAATTTTAGTCGGAGTAAGGAATTCAGCTTATGAGAAAAATCATGAATTGTTGTTAACGGAGATCTCGTAATTGTAGGAGACTCTATGACTGTTGTGATTCCCCCTGCAATTGCAGCTCGACTGCCAATTTCGTATCCTTCTCACTGCTCTATACTGGTGCTTGTGATACATCCTGAATTTTCGCTAACTGCGCTTCCTTCGTACTCTATTGTTTCGTCATTTGTTCCTATAGGATTGTCGTTGTTAAAACAAACATTCAGATCGATTATCCCCGGACTGACATAAAGGTCACCAAGATCTTCCCACTCATATTCTTCATACAATTCTTGTAGATTTGAAATGGATTGATTGGATCCGTCAAGCTCAATTATATTGGATATGATTTCATCATTGATGAAAATTACACCAGGGATTGATGAAGATTTTCTGTATAAATTTTACCCTTCAAGTATGATATTCTTAGAATACAAAGCTTTGAGAGTTGGCTGAGCTGAAAGTTCGAGACTATTAGGTGTGAGATACACTTGAGATGACATTAAATTTTTAAAGTTTTATTTAACGCTCTTTCCATTTACTCCCCCCCCTTCCGTGAGTGAACAAAACCATTAGAAAAATCCCTATTTTTTGCCAAAAACCCACCCTCCGTGGTGAACAAAAATTTTTTTAATAGAAAAATTTTTTATAAGTGATAATTATTATAATGAAATCTCGAGCTAATTCTGTTTAATTTTAAACAAATTGCTTTTTAAAACATAAATTTTATAAATTTTCGAAAAAAATTTTTTTATAAAATTTATATATAAATTTTTTTAAAAAAAAAAAAATTAAACCCCCTCCGTGAGTGAACAAAATTTTTTGTTCACTCACGGAGGGGGGGGGGGGAGTTAGCAATTTTTCAAAAGTTTTACTATTAAAATAAAGAATTTTTTGGAGTTTTATGAAGTTTAATAGAAATTATCAATGGATTGGTAGAGCTGAAGATGCTGATTTAATCATGCTCAACGTTTTTTTACAATTATTTTCAATAAATGGAGAGAGCAATTGAATCTTCAAGGTATGAAATAGGCAGCAATCAGTCAAATCCAGAATTTTTTTGAAAACTATATTATAAGATAAGGTTCGGACATGAGCTTGACGAAATTTATAAAACCACAACGAAACCAGTAACTGTAGACAAGGAATTGAGAGTGATATTGAAAGATTTCAGCGTTGAAATAGGCTGGGATATAGAAGAAAGTCATGAGTATTTTACTCAAAGGCTGAATCCTCACGATTTTCGAGACTTTTTAAACTTATACGATGTAAGCTTGGACGCCTTAAAAAGGAGGCTTGGCAATTACCTATTAGAAAAAATTTATGAGATAGAAGGAAACGAAAATACAGAAATCAGCGACTTTTTGCATGCAATCTGGGACAAAGAAAACCCAGAAGAATTGATAGACTTGCGGTCAAGAAGAAGTCTTATAAAGCCAGTTGAAGACATTAAAAAAGAAGAAAATGACGTTGAGTCATACAAAAATAAAAAAAATCAGTCGCCAGAGCAGACTATTAGGTCAAATGAAAAAGACATGAAAAATCAGTCACCTGAACAAAGCATAAGGTCAAAGGATAAGGAAGGAAGTCCAAGGAAAAAAGAAGGAAAAGCTGGGCTGACAGATGAAAGTGTTAAGCAGCTAAAAGAAGATATTGAGTCTGCAGTTTCGAGTATCAAAAAAATTGATAGTGAGTTTGCAAGCTTTATGACGGAAAAACAGAATATTTCGGTGAAGAAACGAAAAGGTAGTGATAGCTCTGAAGATTCTTCAAATAAAAGTGAAGCAGAAAAGAAGTTTGCTGAAGCTAGTTTTAGATCGAAAGTAAAGGACTCTTCAGAATCGGAAAGGGAAAGTGCTAAAAGAAAGCCGCCAGCAGGTAATCAAGATAATATGAAAATAAGAAAAGTACAGAAAGAAGATTCACAATCAATAATCAGACGATCGACTGAGCCTAAAAGAGAAGAATCCCCATCTTTTCAAAAAGAAGCCAATAAGCTAGCAAAAGCATCATCTATTAATAAAATTCTCACGAAGCAAAATGAATCATTCACAAAAGATAGCTCCAAAAAAGAACAAGGAACTAGGCATGTAAAGACTCCAAGTCTCCTTATGATTTATCAAGAAACAAAAGATCCTCAAGACGAAAGCGTTTACGATAGACAAGCCAACGTTTTAAGATCTACTGAAATTTATCCAGTCTATAGCGACTTAGTGTTAAAAGATACATGGCTCACAAAGCTCCTAGAGCCTCTTACTCAAGAAATTGAAGAAATTTTTTACTCCTACGACCACAAAGAGGAAAAACAAGTTGATGTTCGCCAGCTTAGGCTATCAAAGCTCATTCCAGGTCAAGGTTTTACCTCGGAGGAAAATGGGACCCCCAGCAACGCCAATGAGGTTCCCCCCTGATCAATTGAGATCATTCTTTAGTGCAATATCAGGTGTTGTGTCCTAGACTACGAGTTTCCATCGTGGCCAACATGTGACCAGAAAATTCGATTTTCAAATTTTCTGGAAGCCGAACCCGTTAATGTGTGGCACAGTGACATATCCCGCTCTACTCTCTATTCAACGCGAGTCTCAGGCAGGCAGAAAGTATCCAACCCTTGATGGGCGGCGAATGGCCCAACGAAGCAAGGCAGAGATAAATACCCCGTTCGGGTATCACAGAAAGCTTTTTTCTATAATCTCAACTAAGAACTAACTAAGACGTTCGTCAGCTGAAAAATGTTTTCAGGGAAATCATAGCAATTGCTCATGTTGAAATTTCTGAAAACAACTACGAAGATTTTGATAAACTAGTCAACCAAGAATTTATGTCAAGTATAAATCACAGCTCATTAAGTAATATGCAAACAAATAAAGCAAACTTCAGCCAGTTTATGAAAATTTTGCAGAAATGGTCTTTAAGAAATGAGCCTGAAGCAAATGATTTAGTAGGAAAAATAAAAAGAGCAATTAAAGAGTATGAAAATATTGTTAATACATATGGAGGATCAAGTGAAGATACTACTCCTGTAGAAACTTTAATTCAAGAGCTTAAAAAAGAGCTTGAAGCTCATGTAGCTATAAAAGAAGAAAAATCTGCTAACTCCCCCCTGAGAGTGAACAAAAAAAAATTTTGTTCGCTCACTGAGGAGGTTAATTTTTTTTTAAAAAAAAATTTATATATAAATTTTATAAAATCCTAATTCGCAAAAATTGGGAAAGCAAACATTAATTTAATTTATAAAATTTATTTTTTAAAATGCAAATTTGTTTAAAATTAAACAGAATTAGCTCGAGATTTCATTATACTAATTATCATTTATATCTAAAATTTTTTTCTATAAAAAAATTTTTGTTCGATCACGGAGGGTGGCTTTTGGGCAAAAAATAGGAATTTTTCTAATGGTTTTGCTCACTCATAGAGGGTGGGGGAGTAAGCAAATCGCTGATGAACAAAGGAAAAATATTACTGAATTATTCCAGTTTTATTCAAAAATACAGAATATGATGGGTCAAGCACCTACATTTGAAGAAATCAATGAGAGTTATACAGTGTGAACTGTCGTCAAATTTTTTAAATTTTTGACGGATTTTAATGTTATAGGGAAACAAGAAGAAAGAATAAGGCTTTTAAGCAAAGATCAAGCACAGCAAATTTTCAAAAAGCTAGCAAATAATTCTAGGCTGCTGATTCCCCTGTTAATAATAAGCAAAATTATTGGAGAAATGCTATTTTTAGTAATATTAAAACTTTTTAAGAGCCAATTTTTTTTTTAATATTATTAAATATATTGTGCATTAGCACAAGTACGGGCCATACACATGACCAGCTTCGTGTCCCAGATTTGGGCAAATACGGAACTGTTTATCAGTATGACCTGTGTGCTTGTACCCAAAAAGAGCCCATGCATAATAATTAATAATTGTTATAATCTAGCAAGCTCTAGACAGCTTGCGTTCTTAAGCTTAGATTTTATAAATTAAATCATATTTTCTTTACAAGTATTTGCGTACTTGTATTTATTTTAAAACTCCAAAAAGGCTGATATAAATAATTTTTAATATAAAATTTAAATTAGCTCTCTTTAAAGAGCAAGCATATTTTTCTCGTTCCTTAAAAAGAAGGAGTGAGCGAAAACCAGTTTATTGATGCGCTAGATAAGCTTGCTGATCTGTATTATAATAATGAATACGATACAATTTATAACACTTCATATGCGAGTTTAACAATACCTGAAAAAAGGATACTTTTTTACAAGTTTTTAGAGCTCAGCAATAAAAATGCCTTATTAAAGAAAGCTAAAGGTTTTCGACTAGCATTCAGCAATGAAAGAGGCGGCGCTCGAATCCCAGAAAACGATGCCAGCAAACACTACGTTTTCAAAATGTCCGCTGAAAAGAAAAAACAACTCGAAGAGTGGCGAAAAGAAAAGCAATCAAAGTCAGCTCCTCAATCAAATATAAAACTGAGGCCTGAACCTCAAAAAAATATCAATGAAATTAAAGTGACAATGCCCACTTCAGGATATGCAAAAAGAAGAAAGGCTAAAAAAATTGTCAATGGAGAAGAATCCATGATAAAAGCTGAAGAAGAAGAAGAAACTGTGATCCAGCAGCCAAAAATCCCACAACAACAAGTTTTGACGCTGCAAGGAATCAATGGGATGGATTATAGGGAATTTGATGAAGATGGAGACCTAAAAGATTTGATTACAGAAGATAATGACGAATATTTAGATCAGATGTGGGGAATTACCAAAAAAGAGTCACAGCCAAAAATACAGGAAGATATAAAACGATTCCAAGGAATTATGAAGATGCATGATGAAAAGATCGCTAAATCTCTTTAAGTGCAAGAAAGACTGCTTGAAAAAAAAAATCCTTTGAGAGCAAGCTTAAAAAATATTGAATATAACATATTTTATTTGTAATATATTTTTATATATAATTAATAATTCTTATAGTGAGATCCCTAGATAATTCTATTGAATTTTAAAAAATCACGTTCTTAAATATAAATTTTATAATAAAATTTGATTTTTCTTTTCAACTTTTATAAAACAATTTTTTTTTATATAGAATTTAATATAAAATTTTTAAAAATAACTCCATATATCATTAGCAAAATTTCCACTACTCTTAAAAGGAGAAAAGTAAGGGCATGAAAGTGCTAGAAAAAGCAAGGCATGGATATGGATATGCTGCAAGATAACGAATTTCAAATAATTTTTTTAATTGCTATCATAATTCTATAGTAATCTTACTCAATCTTAACATGCCGCTGGCTATCCGAAAAATTCTTAAAATTGGTGATTATTAAAAACTATGCCATTTCATTATCCTAAAATTTCATATTAATCAAACAAAAATGTTAAATGATGCATTTGGTGACTTTATTATATTTTCTTGCCGAACAAAAAACTATATAAATTTCCCACAATTTCTACTAATCCGTCTCACAATAAAATTAAAAGTTATTAATTTTCTCGTTAATTTACATAAAACATCATTTTTTACTCCCCACAAGCCCGACCTCCTTCCAGCGAATTTAATTTGTCATCCTGTTGAAATAACTTCTTTCAACTCAATAAGAATAAATGTGGAGACAATTTTTGTTCCTCTTGACACTAGGTGTTTCCCTGGGTGCTAAACTTTCAGACTTAGTCACGAATCTTCCTGGCTTACCTGATACTCCAAATTTTGCAATTTATTCTGGCTATCTCAGCATTCCTAATTCCAATGGTAAAATGCTTCACTACATCATGGTTGAAAGCCAAAATAACCCATCTACCGACCCACTTATATTATGGCTTAATGGAGGTCCAGGCTGTTCTTCAATGGATGGTCTTTTTTACGAGCACGGCCCATACATTTTCCCAGCAACTTCAACTACTTTGGTAAGAAATCAGCATGCCTGGAACACCAATGCAACAGTCATTTACATCGACTCGCCAGCTGGAGTTGGCTTTTCTGTCTTAGGAGCTGCAGCAAATAACCAAACCAACGACCTAATCACAGCCCACGACACTTTGCAAGCGCTTTTGCAGTTTTTCGTTGAATTTCCTGAGTATAGAAAGAACGACTTTTATGTCTCCGGAGAAAGCTATGCCGGTATATATGTCCCAACCTTGGTTTATAACATTTTGATGCACAATACCTATACCCCTTACCAAAGCATCAATCTTGTAGGAATGATGGTGGGAAATGGATGCACAGACTGGAACGTGGACACCACCCCAGCATTCGTAGAAATGGCATGGAGTCATATTCTTTTGGGAGGATCTTGGTATACGAAGTTACCTTATGATTGTGAGAACTGGGATAATTTCAATGGGGAAGCTTGTGATAATGATATTGACTATACCGTAGGGACCTTATTACAGAATGTCAATGTTTATGATATTTATGGAGAATGCATTCAGCATACTGGAGAAACTCACTTTGAAGACAACCAAGGGAAGTTAAGATTTTTAAGAGACTCAGGGATGCTAGGGATTATCCCACCATGCGCAGCTTGGGTTGGAACTTATACATACCTAAGGAATGCTCAGGTTTTGAACGCCCTGCATATTAACACCACTTTATCAAACCCATGGTCACTGTGCTCAACTATTGATTATCAATCTGATTACTTGCACGGCTCAATTTACACCTACCCATACATCATCCGCAGCGGCATCAAAATCCTTGTATACTCAGGTGACACTGATGGAGCAGTCCCTACAATTGGAACAAGGCAATGGATCAACAGTCTTAACTTAGGCTACCAGCAGCAGTACTCTCAATGGTACGTCGACGACCAAGTTGCAGGGTGGTATGAAATTTACAATGGGCTTACATTTGTAACTGTGAGAGGAGCAGGCCATATGGTCCCAGAGTTTAAGCCAGCTCAAGCTCACCATATGTTGCTAGCTTTTCTTAATAATCAAAAGCCTTAGTTAACAATAAAAAAACTTTCATACTAAATATATGTCCAAATTGATAAAAAGGATAGGGACTAAGAAGCAAGTTTTTTCCTATGATATCACAGTTCACTATATCCAAATGGCACTAAGTCGTCCAGTTCGCATCAATGTAGTTTGAAAAAGAAGTAAATAGTAATTAGAAAAGAAAAGAATTGAAACAAAAAACAAAAATGCATTGTCCCCGTCAACAGGGAGTGTAGAAATCAACGAAACCCTTACGATGATAAATACTCTTTATCAAGAAAAGTCTGGAGAATTTTTGAGGAAGAAAGCTTTATTGACTATACAGGCTATTGTTGATGGCCAAGGCATGAAAAAGGTCGGGACATTGAGTTTGAATATTTCTGAGTACTATAATTCTTCATTGGAACAGAAGATTTTCGCAGTTGAAAAGTGTACAGATAAAAATGCAAAAATTTGCATATCAATTCATGCTCAGCCGCTGGGGGATTTAGCAATTGCGGATAATATGAGTGAAGCGTCTGGAGTGACTGGGTTTAGTATGGGAACAGAAGGAGATTTTGATGGTCCGTTGTTTGATCAAGATATAGGGGATCTTGAAGAAGAAGCTCATGCTCCAAAGATTATCCCGACAAGTATTGCTAAACAATCAATTAATAGACCGATATTGAAGCTGCCTGAGATTGGGCCTGTTAATCCTTTAAAAATTACGCAAGCATTATCGCCAAAGCCGCCTCCAGACTCTGAAACACCAGAGCTGAAAGCTAAGCTTGAAGTTTTAGAAAAGGAAAAAGCCCAACTGAAAGCAGAAAAAGACCAGCTCAAAGTAGACCTTGGTGTCCAATATGAAAAAGCCAAAAAGGAACGGCAGCAATACATAGACTACACCAAAAAGCTCGACACAGATTTAGACGCTTTATCAAAAAAGAATGAAGCACTCACTCCCCCCCCTTTAAATTGGAACAAAATATCGGTAAAATTTCCACCTTTTTGGTAAATTAACCCCCCTTTAAATTGGAACAAAATTTAATTTTATAATAAAAAATTATATATAATTTTTATCTAAAAAGTTTTGATATAAGTTAAATGTTTCTTCTTAACTAAAATTAAAAATTTATTTATATCTTGCTCTTTTTAAAGAAAAAAAGTATAAAGAGCATCTTATTTAAATAAATTTATCATCCTTAATTGGTAAATTTAAAAAAAAATTAATTTTTTTTTTTAAAAATTTTCAAAAAAATTTTTTTTTTTTGTTGATAAAAATGATATGTTTTATTTGGATAGTTTTGATATAAATTAAATAGGAATTCTTTATAAAAATTTCAAAATTTACTTATTTCTTGCTTTATTTTAAAGAATAGAGTATAAATAACATCTTATTTAAACAAAATTAGCACTTTGATCGATAAATTTTTCCAAATTTTTTTTTTTTAATTTTTTTTATCAATAAAATAATAATTTTTGTGTAAATAATTTTGATACCAATTAATAGTGGCGTATTAACTAATAATGAAAATTTAGTTATATCTTGCTTTGTTTTAAAGGATAAAGAGTAAATAGCGTTTTATTAAACAAATTTATTGATCTAATTCGATAAGTTTTTGAAATTGTTTTTTTGTTGAAATTTTTATATTTTTTATAAAAAATTTTATATTGATATTTTTTTTAAAAAAAAAAAATTAACCCCCCTTTAAATTGGAACAAAATTTTTAGTTCCAATTTAAAGGGGGGGGGAGTCAGAGAAAGAAATGCAAGAAGGAACGAGAAAATAAAAATTTTAAAGCAAACCAAAGACAATTTATTAAACGATTTACAAGAAGCAGAAAAAAGCTTAGCTGATGGACTAGCTGACGATAATTAAAATATGGCGTCTTCGTCTGGGCATGGCCTCCCGGCCATGCATACTCGACTCATATTTTAATTATATCCGGCAAGGTTTTGCATTTCAGAAACGGACGGCAATGCTAGGTAAGCAATTCTGGTTGTGCTCAGAGCCTAGCCCAAGTCTACTTTCGGGAATGTTTTTTCCTCATGGGAAAGGAGGCACGTAAGTTGGAAAGGGGAAGCTCAGCCAAGTCCGTTAGGACCAATCGGGCAACTCCCTAGCGTGAAAACTGGGCGTTACGTCCCAGGCTTCGTGTTTTTCCTTTTTGCCGAAAGCCTACCAGAAAATCCATTTTTTATGGATTTTCGGAATGGCAACCCATGTCCTCAAGCGAAGTAGCTCAAGCATGAGCCGCCTTAGTCGGCAACACTGCTCCGGAGGCGTGTACTGGAGATCGAGGCTGACTGGCCCCAGACGGTCGGCGGGCCCTATGCGGCGAAGAAGCAGCGGGAAGCTCTGGGAGGGGTCACCCCGTGAATGGCGTTAAATACAGAACCTAATAAGTTAAGTTAAGTTAAGTTAAGATGGACTAGCTGACAAAGAAGCGCTTAAAAATGAAAATAATGATTTAAGAGATGAGCTAAGAGTAGCAAAAGATAACCTTATAAAGCTAGAAAAACAAAACGAAAGCTTAAAGCAAGATTTCACAAATTTAGAAAATTCTTATAGAAATTTACAAGATATTAATGCCCAGATGAAAATGGATTTAGAATCAATTAGGCAAGAATTTGCAGCTTCAAGAGAAACACTCACTGCGAGAGGGATGGAAAATGATGCAGTTTTTAATGATTATAAGAAAAAGACTGAGGTGATTATTAATGATTATAAAAGAGAGCTGAAAAATCTAGAGCATGAAAGAGAGGAAGCGCTGTCTAAGCAGACTGAGCTGACTTTGGAGCTTCAAAAAACAAAAGCAGAGCTTACTGCTTTTGAAGAAAAGTTCAGGGACCAAAGCATAAAGCTTGAAAGAGAGCTTAATCAGCTGAGGGAAAGCAATACTGAACTTAATCAAAGGGCTGAAGAAGAGATTCAATCTAGAAAACAGCTGAAAGATAAAATGGCTGCTGACAAAGCAGAATTTGATGGTAAACTTGCAAAAATGACACAAAATTATCAGGAAACTAAAGCCAAAAAAGAGCAACTAGAGCAGTCAATTTTAGAGTATGAAAGGCAGCTCCATAGAAGACAAACTGAGCAAGAAGGAGACACAGTAAATATCCAAAAATTTCAAGATAAAATTGAAAGTCTTGAAAAAAATGCAGCAAGATTAAAACAAGAAATAAAAGAGAAAGATAAAGAAATTGAAGAGATTTACAGGCTTAAAGAAGCCTTAGATGAAGAGAATACTATGCTTTCTGAACAGTTAAAGAAAGCTACAACCACTGAATTCTCAGATCCTGCAAATATAATACTCCAAGAACAAATACAAAATTTAGAGAGCAAGCTGAAAATGACTGACCACGCATATAAAGAAGAAAGAAATTCGCTATATGAGCGTATAGAAATTCTTGAAAAACAAATTGAAATTTTGGAAGGCAAAAATGAAGAAAATTCTGCATTTTATGAAGACCATCTTCACAAATTAACTGTTGACAACCAATTAATGCTAAGAGAATTAGAAGAGACTAGAAAAGAAAAATCTTTTACAGCGAAAACAAATGCAGAAATGATAGCTTCTATGCAAGAAGAACACTATAAGCAAAATCTCCACATGCTTGAAGTAGAAGTAACTGACTTAAAAACAAAACTCTCTCAGTCTCTAGCGGATTATAAAACAATGGAGAAGAAATACGTAGACTCAAAGCTCAGCTGGGCCAATGTAGATCTAGAAAGGGAAACTCTGATCCAAAAATATAAAGACGCCCAAGAGCAGCTGAGAGATTATTCTTCCCAATGCACAGTTATGGAAGTTGAGCTGTATAAAATCAATGAAAGGTTTGGACAGACATTAAACAATTACAACGAGCTTGAAATGGAAAATCATAATTTGAGACAGAAGCTAGAAGAATATGAAAAGCCAAACGCTGGGAAAAAGAAAAAAAAGTTATTTTAAGGATTATATGTCTTCTGAAAATGCATATTATCTATTTATCACAGTTCAGCTCTTTATTTTTCATTTAATATTCATTAGGAAAGAATTATATTGAATAATTGCGTTGAATCATTCTTTCTTCGTACTGCTTCAAACATGTTAGACCTTAAGCTAAACAGCTGACCCCTCAGCTCGTTTAATTCTGAGTTGTTCTTGCTTGCACTAATACTTTCTATTGCACATGCAACACTTTCAATGCACGATTTGAAACTGATCGTTAAGCTTAAGCATTCAACAATCACATTTGTTGTAGAAATGCACATTCCGATCAATTTTTGCACACTTTTCATTTTTTTAATATCATTTTCTGTTATATGTTTTCCATTCATTTTATTTCCAAGCTGCAAAATCCCAACAACTTTATCATTGTGTCCCAGCATGCACCCCATAAGGCAATTTCTTAAATTTGGGACTGAAGCGACATTATCGATTTCTGGGTTATAAAATCTGAGATTTTTTACACTATGATAGTGGCAGACATCGCCTGTTTTATAGACTTCGCCTGAAACGCCAATATTCAGAGGAAATTGGATAAATCTGTCTGAATATTTTTCATGGTCGTCGCCTGAAGAGACCATTGTGAAAAATTCGTGGGAATATTCATCTACAAAAACAATCCCAGCTCTTTCGAATTCAAAGAAGCTGGGGAGGACATTGTAGATTTTATTGGCAAGATCTTTGTAGGAGCGGTTGGTTAGGAGATTTGCTGCGATATTAGTAAGCTCAAAAACGTGCTGCTTTTGCATCAATGCCTTTTGTTTGTCTTCAAGAGAAGTGAAATAAAGTGTTAAAATGTTGCTGATTACAGATAAAGCTTTTAAATCTTGAGGAGTGAAAATTCGCATTTTTCCATTTTTTGGGAGTTTCTTTTCTGCTTTTATTATCATACCAACTTCTCCTTGAAAGAAAACAGGATAAAATCCAAAATCTCCAGAGCTAAAGCCTTTTTTCGACAATTCAGGCTTAATATCATCTGTATCAGTAATTGTCAAGTTTTTTTCATTAGGTAAATAAATTCATTTTGAGCCCCAAAAGGACTTATAAATTGTTTGGGGAGGATGGTATTCTTCATACTTTCTTTTAAAAAAATCATCAGTTAGCAATATTGTAGCTTTTTCACATTTAAATGTTTCTTTTATGGGCTCCATGTCAAATGATAGTGGATTTTTGATAGTGTATATTTCATCAAAATACATTTGGTCGAAAATTTTTAAATAAATTTTAACGTTTTTTTTCAGTCAAATGACTCGCTATCAAAAAGTTCCAACCCAATTTTTGGCCAAAAGTACTTCGGTGAAATGTGCATTATCAAAAATGCACTACCATTGGCCTACAGCCTCTTTTATGCATGTCCCTGCAGCGCTTAAAACATGTGTGAAATTTTCTTCTTTAGAAATTTGAATAGAAAATATCGATAATGGCTCAAAGCTAGAAGGACGTATTTTCTTTAGTTCAGGTGGTTTTAGTAATAATTTATCTACAGTTGACATCATTTCAATGCGGCTTGCTAAATGCGAATCATCACTACACATACTTTCTCCATCCATTGACGTATCCAATTTCCTTAGTGTTGAATTATTTGTACTGGGAGTTGTTTTATATTTCTTCAACAATGCTCTCATATACTTCTTATCTTTTTTCAAAAATTCAGCCTCAAACCTCAGCTTAGCTATTTCCTGTTTATATTTCTCAATTTCTTCCTCCTTCATCTTCAATTGTTTTTGGAGATCATCTACAAGAATATCATGATAAACCCCTTGTATTTCTCCAGTATTTATTTTTTCTTCAATTAAATTTCGGTTAACCTCTTTCATACTGTCAAGCTCTTCGTTCAAAAAGGCGTTTTCAGCAGTCAGCTTGTTTATAATTTCTTGATCTTCTTTTCTATGCTTATTTATATAGGAGTTTTCCCTATATGGCCCGATAAGGGTTGTGGGTTCTCCGTGGAATCCCTCTGTTGGTCAAACCAACTCAGTGCGTTGGCTTAACTAATTCACTGGTTATTCAACCAGCAGAAGGATTCCACAGAGAACCCACAGCCCTTATCGGGCCATATAGGGAAAACTCCTATAGATTCTCTTGAAGGAAAAGATGTATCAATTGAACGGGTTCGCCTTTCTTTTCTGTCAGCGATCTTAACAGAATTAGGATTGAATGAATATGATGATGCCTTTATGGCCTCATAAAAAGGAATATTGGGGGTTCTGTTTGCCTGGCGGGATTTTGCTCGGTTTTCGCTTTCCTTTATTAATTTTTTGTAATCTATTGTAAACATTTTATATTTGAAAATGTGTGGAAGAGTAATTTCACGTGTCGATATACCTGGATTAAGAGCAATGACAAGGGCAAGAGGGTCAAGAAGATCAGGACAGCTGAGAAGAGGCTATAATATAGGCCCTGCATCTCATCAAGCAGCAATTGTCCATGCATCTCGAACTTCAGTTGAAGAAGAAACAAAGCCAGAAGAGTGCATGGAAATCGACCAAAACAGAGTTTTATCAGTCATGAAATGGGGCATGAACAATTTCCGAGAAAAAAATCCTGAAAAGCCAATGGTGATTAATATCAGAATTGAATCGATGGACTACAAGTTCAAGCCTTTTCACAATAACAGATGTGTTATTCTAGCTGAAGGGTACTATGAATGGAAAGAAACACATCCTTATTTGGTCAAACCTAAAAATTCTGATCTTTTCTATTTCGCTGGGCTATATAGGGATATTGATGAAAATGAGCAGGAATATGGGATAATTACGGTCCCTCCAAAGGAGAGTATGTTTTGGTTGCATGATAGGTCTCCAGCGATGATAAGAGAAGAAAATATTGATAGGTGGATAGATCCTCAGGTGTCTTATGAAGAAGCAAGTGCATTGATTGAGTGCAGAGAAGCTGAAGAGCTAGAGTATTATGAAGTGCCGAGTCTTGTAAATCAGATGAAAAATGACAATAAGGAATGCTGCATGAGAGTTGAAGAGTATCAAGCTTTATTGAAAACAAAAGGGATTCATAGGTTTTTTAAACCTGTGGAAAAAAGGAAAGCTGAAGAGGAGGAAAGCTTGCCTGCTAAAAAAATTATTGTGGCACCAGTTGGGAATGCATCTGATAATAAGGTTTCTATAGGAATAAGTTTGGAAAAACCTGAAATTCAATATGATCCAGACAATAAACCTAAAATTACTGCAAATGTATCAAGTTCGAGCACAAAAAAGGAAATATGTTAGACTAATGCTTTATGCAATTATTTAATTTTTTTGCTTAATATTAACTACAAAGGTAAAAAGCAGCATTTATTGATTATCCGATCAATTTATTCAATATTCAGCATAAAGCTATATTATAGTTTAAAACACAGTAAGTTTAACTGAAACCATAATTAAAGTTAAGCCTTTGTTCTCTTTTGTCTACGAGCTTCCTGTTGCTCTTTCAAATTCTTTTCTCTTATGGCATTAGCTTTAGCTTTGAAGATGGAATCCATAAGAACTCTCTTGTTCTTGTACATGTTTCCTTTAGCTCCAACATAGAAGTCGTGGTATAAAGTCTTATCAATCTTTGTGCTGGCTCTGTATTTCCTCAAAAGTCTTCTTAAAACTCTTTGTCTCCTCATCCACATGATCTTTTCTGGCATTCTGGCCTCTGCGGTACCTTTTCTTTTACCAAGACCGGTATGTCTGCCCTTTTTAACACTTTCTTTAAAGAGATTAGCCCTGACTCGTGAGTGAATTGCTTGAGGAGTCTTTACGATGAAGCCATCCTTTACGAGTTTGCGAATGTTTTGTCTAGAGTTGGCTAGCCCTTCCTTTAAGAGAGTGAGCAAAAAAATTTTTAATATCAATTGTTTCTATAAAAAAAATATTTTTTATATATAGAAATTTCCCATAGATGGCGCTGTTTACCCTTGATTTGCCCATGAAAAAAATTTTTTGGTTTGACCAAACCATATGGGACTGGTCGAACCAAAAAATTTCCCCAGTGGGTAAATCAAGGGCAAACAGCGCCATCTATGGGAAATTTCTATAGCCAATAATTGCTATAATGAGATATCTGCTTATATTATCTATTTAATGCATTTTGGATAGGCTCGTACACATTGAAAATCATGTACGTGTGAAAAAATTCAAAATGCATGCAAAAAATAATATTAAATTTAAGGAAATTTTTATTATTGATAAATTAAATTATACTTTCTTTTTCAAATATTTTCAAATTGGAATTTTAAAATTTGAAAAAAATATTCATCTCCTTTAAGGGTGAGTAAGGAAATTTCTTGAATTTCGTTTGGATCCATCCATACACGTCTTTTTCCACATTTGAGAACACTTGCTGCAAGACGCTTTTGGAGCCTGAGAGTGACCATATTTTATGGAGATTAAGGAAGAATTATATCGTTTTTTGCACATTTGCTTTGAAAGCAATAAAATTTAGCTTAGAGGTGAAGATCTATATCTATAATATAAGTTCTGTAATTAAAACAAAGTGCAAGGCAATAAACTTATCAATTCGCAGAGCTTATTAAAATTAAAATCTTTTTAAAATACTAGCAGCATTTTCTTATAATGCTTTTATGTTCTTTATTCATGCTCAAATGCCTTGTTTTCATTAGATTGCTTAAGGCTCAGATTATCATATTAGACCTTGAAAATTCAAATAGGATCTGATTGGTTCTAGCTTATTTGAATTTGATGCTTTGGCTTCATTTTTAATATTTTAACGAACTTAAATATATTGGCATGTCAAGCTAATAAAAAAATAATTTTGGGACGATTGTATTGATAAAAATTTAATTCTTTGAAGCATTTTTGTGATACTGAGCTTCATACTTACTCCAAAAAATTTTAAAATAAGCCAAGATTATACTGGAGATTTTTACGGTACACCTATTGGAATACTGCCACATGAACAGCTATCAATTGTCTTGCAGGCGAGTCCTTTCTTGCAATTTTTTATTTCTACTTCTCTACAATGGGCTCCATCTTAAATTAAGAATCAAAGAAAAATCAAGATTATACTGGAGATTTTTGATGGCACATCTATTGGAGCACTGCCACATCAGAGCAATCATAGGCTTTACGGAGAATCCACTCTTACAATTTTTATTTTTTCCATAAGAATGCTGTTTCTCCATAATGAACTCCATCTTTATTCTAAGAATCAAACAAAAGTTAAGATTATGCTGGAGATTTTTAATGATACACCTATTAGAGTCTAACCACATTCCTTTTTTCAATTTTTTAATTTTCCTCATCCTACTTAATCCCAAATAGACATCTTTTTATAGTAAGAATTGAGATAAGTCAGGAATATACAGGAGATTTTTAATGTTACACCATTGAAATATTGCACATGAAGAGCTATTAATCGCCTTATTAAAGAATCACATATTAGCTATCATAATGATACTGCAATTAATCGCTTTATAACGATTATGCTTCTATTTATTTTGCATGAATAAGTGTGTTGTCAGCTATATAATTCATATTTTCATTTTAGCCTGACATGCCAAGCTATTTAGGTTTGCCAAATTTTAAAAATGGAGCCAACACTCAAATTCAAACAAGCTAAAAGCGAATTATAGAATACTAACATTGAAGAGCTTCTAATTTTCAACTCCAAGAGACTGCTCTAAATAAAAGCAGAGCACTATACATGAAAGCAGAAAATTAAGCATTTCATAAGAGATTAAACATTTTATCAGTTTTGGAAAGACTTAAATTTAATAATCTAAGCCACTGTATATTTTTTCTCTTTGCTTCACTTAAATATGAATGCCATCGAAATAGGCTTCGTCCTCTAATTCAATTCTCCAGGCTTTTTATGCAAAATGTGCGAAAAAAGCTATATTTGTTTCGCTTTTATGACTTATACGAGGTTAAAATTACTCAACCAATATAGATAAATAAATTATTAATTCCTTGAATTAATATTTATAAAAGTCAATTATGTTTTCAGTAATTATTTACTAAAAAGAAATGCAAAACCATTATTTTTAGCATCTAAATTATTGAAGCCCAGCTTAAAAATTAGGTTATTCTTCCATTGAATTTTCATCTGCTTGCTCTTCTTCATTATTTAGAATATCCTTCTCCATAAACTTTTGTGCGCGTTTTGAGTTCTCCTGCTCATTTTTCTTATCATAAATATTTACCCTTGGTGGAGTCTCAAATCCAAAAGACAGCGCAATTTTAGCTAAATCCAAAGAGTCAAAATTAAATACTTCCTGCAAATGGTTAGAATGGTATGCCAAAACATAATCTCTATGAGCCTCTCTTGCAAATCTATGTAAATCATAGTTTTTCCCTATAACCCTTTGAGTTTCAGCTTGAATATTTGTGAGTTTATTTTGTGTGTATTGAAACTCAAAGTTATTTTTTAAAAATCTGGTAAACCCATTTTCATGTGGCTGAAGGAAAATTAACCCTTTACCTTCTTTATTAGCCCTTACTGCATTCTCGATTTTAATAGCATAATCTTCAGCAGAATTTGGCTGTTCGTATTGTATAATCCAGTCACAATCTGGGATTTGTAGCCCTTTAAACAATACATCAGTAGATAAAAGTGTGCCTAATTCAGCGTCACAGAATAATTTATAAATTTCTTCTCTATCCTGAAGCTTTTGTTTGCCATACAAGCTGTTTACTGAAAGCCCAAAGTGAGAAAATAAATCATTATGGAATTTTACTGAATTTGATGAATTGAAAAAAACAAGAATTTTTTTATCTTGGTGCTTTCTGAGGAAAGAATATAATAAGTTTAGACGTTGATCTGGCTTCACTATAACGTAGCCTTGGATAGCCTGTCCACTTTGTTCGGTATCTGGTGAGTTTTCAAAGCCAATTTCTATTTGGTTATTTAAATTCAATATTGAATTTTGAGGATTGAGTCTGGTATCTGAAAAAACAATTTTTTGTGTGGATTTTGGGAGAAACTTTTCTATTTGAGAAATGGAATCTGCAAGGCCGCTAGAGAGGAAAGCATTTGCATCATCTATAATGATAGCCTTTAGCTCTTGATAATTAAAATCAGATGTATTTGATAGATGGTATAATAATCTTTGAGGAGTCGCTATTGATTGATAAGATTACTTAATAATTTAAATCTATTCTTCCTCTGCAAGCTGCTGATTGAGAACGACCTCCGCTCTGAGCGACAAGTCGGCAGTTGCACAACCGTTAGAACTTCCTTCGCGTCTAGCCCTTAGAACTCTCTTTTCCCACTGCCCCGCGCCATTGGATATTGTCTCTGTTAGCCCAAGCCCTCAGAAGATCCTTGACTGAGCTTATGTAAGGGAGCAACCCCTTGCCAGGTCTCTCCATTTTAAATTGAGAGTCGCTATTAAGAGATTTATGCTTTTTTCTAATTTTTTGGATTCTCCTTTGGTATTAGTCCCTTCAGCAATTACTCCACGTGAATAGTTTGTTGAGTCCAAAATTTCATTTGCTGTTTCCCCATACTGTATCGCTGATTCTCTGTTATTGGTAAGAATTATGATGGAAGTCCCATTGGTGCTTCCAGATTTATCAAGCAAAATTGTGCCCAGCTCAACAATAAACGTGGAAAGGTTTGGCTCATTTTTAAAGCCAGCCATAATATCAAGAGACTTTATGGCAGAACTTATCAATTGTGCTTTCTTTTCTGACAAATCATTGGAACTTAATTGGATTATGCGCTCTTTAATGAAGTCATTGATAGGAACATCATTTATGGTTTTAATCTCTTTATTTTGCTTTGAGCTCCTAGTTTTTTGCTTTTGTGATTTCTTTTTATCAGTAGCTTTGGCTGCTTTTTTGTGTTTGGTCTCATCTTTCTGGCTTTTGGCCTTCTTAGAAGATAATTTATTGGAAACCATATTTATAATTTACAATAATGAAATCTATAAAGCTTTATATATAATAAAACTATTGCTTAGATTTTACTAATTAAAAGAGTATATTATATAGTCTTAATCGACGCTTATTTCTTAGTCTTATTTGTAATTAGCGAATGCAAAGAAAGCACAGTTCTAGTAATCGATGCTAAATAGAGAGATAAATGGTTTAGCCATACGGGACCTATACTATGAAGACTTTTTTTGGCTTAATTTTTAAGTCTTTTTTCACCATTTTTTTGGAATATTTTTAAAATGCAAAAAAATTTATATAGCGCCTTCCTATAGATGGCGCGCAATGCGCCATCTATAGGAAGGCGCTATAATTTATTTCTGGCGAAATATAGATTAAAATGATTGAAAACTAACTCTAAATAGTGAGCATGGAATCATTATCAAAACAAGATCAAAAACAATTAAGATAAAAATAGGCTTAAAAAGATGGCCACAAAAAGTATCCTAAAAAAAAATTAGGTCAAAAAAAATCATTGCGCAGTAGACTTGGCACGTGAAATCACGGAGATAAATAGCTGTTGTTTTCGTCAACTGCAAATGCTTGATTCAATACATTTGTATTTGGTAGTAGGTTCAATACTTCTTGAAGTTTGTGGAAAATTTCATTATTTGCTTTTCTCCCATTAAGAACTTCTTGTAGGTAATCCTGAATTTCTGTAAGTCTGCTAACTCCTCCTAATCCTTGATCGAACAATTCCATTGGAAATTCCTCAAAAACTAGGGAAATTAAACCCCTTCCTTAATTGAACAATTTATATGATTAAGAATGAAACCAACTCCATATTCCGCCTCAAAAATAATGACTATCTTTGATATAATGAATATTAGAATATATTAGAGTATAATCCCTTCTATACAATTCTAATGCAGACTTTACTATATTTTCTGATGTATCGCATGCTCTATCTCTTATGTATCATACTTAAAGCGTTTATTGGATAAATTTTTTAAAATAACAATTATAAGAGCTAATAAAAAAAATTTATATATAATGTTTTCCAATTTTTTTAACCTTTAATTTGTCTATTCCTTCGGTGAGGAGGGGAAGAGTAAGCATTGCTTTGAGGGCAGCTATTTTATGTTGAGTTTCCGTTGCTAAGCTTGTAGCAGCTACATCTCTAACATCTCTCAATAAATGCTCAACTCCTACATCCTCTGCTTCTGAAGCTCCAAGCAAAGTTGGGACATGGACAAAATTTTTCACGATATTTCCATCTTCATTGACTTCTTCTTTCGAATAGTAAGCCTGAGCAGGAAGTTCCAAAGTTTCTGCCGCTTTCACATCTATAACAACTAGCATAGGATTCGGTACATACTGCTTAAAGCTTTCATTAATTTGGACATCAGGTGCTTTTACTCCAGGCCCAGTGCTATACCATCCTACGATTTTTTCTTTTGCATTGATTCTCTTATACATGCCAAACATCTCTTCTAACTTTCCTAATAATGACCAGCAAACATAGAAATTTTTTAAAATAAATAAAGTTTTAATAGGGCAGTTAATAAAATTAAGGAGTAAGTAATTATGATCCAAAAACCATACTTTGGGGTCCTGAGAATCTTCTTCGAATGGGACTGCAAAAGAGTTCGAGACATCAAGGCGGCCTTTCCACACTTCACCTAATAATACCCCAGCAACTCTTTTATTGCTCATTTCTTTGGCGACTCTGTTGAAATGGTCAACTACGCTTAAAAGAACCAAAGGATGTACGACGACCTCTTCTATTTTTTGCATTTTATTAAACAGAAAAGTTTTATTCTTTTTTCTAGAAAATCTGTATATTACTGAAGATATCAAGTATATTACGTATTCTTCCTAAAAGAAAATATGTATAAAATTGTGAATTATTTCTTTTTAGGTTTTACTCGATTTTTATGGGCTTCAATTTTCCAGGCTCGGAATAAAATCCCAAGCACAAGGGACTTATTTCACCCTATTAAATGACACTAATAAAATTTCCGGAAAATTGTGATCTTTGATTGAACAATTTCATATATTCAGGCATCCCATTTCTTCTAATACCTATCTTTGATAGTAATTAATTTTAGAAAATAGGCTATATAATAGCTTCTACATAATTAAAATGCAATTTATAGCATATTTGCTAATATTATGGAACTATTCTCTTGTGGCTATGCATTAATATTTTGTATGGAAAGAATTTTTAATCAAGATAATAAAAATTTCATACAATTTTTTTCTAGAAACCCCTATTTTTGGTCGAGCGATAGCAAAGAGTCGATCAAGGATGGGCGGAGAATTAGAAAACATATTATTCCTGGATGAAAAAAGATAGTTTTGGTATTTCCCAATTGTTGACTGGGAAATCTTAGAAGGAGATTTGATGGACTCTGCTTTTTGATGCTGGGTTTTGAATTTATCAAAGACTTCTTTTATTTGGAAAATTGATGGCTGAGAAATAGATATTTCAGTCGACATAGGCACCGATTCTGCAGGACTTGCAGCTGGCTTTTTGACAACTCTTCTGATTTTTGCTTTTTGGATAGGAATTATATCAGCTGACAATTGAGGAGAAGATTTTATGATTTCAATTGAAGATTTTGCTACCTCTGTGCCTACCTCTATTTGAGTTTCAGTCTCAGGCTGCTTAAGTGTTTCGCTTTGAATATTTATTTCTGGTACCACTTCTTCAGGCGTAATTATTATTTCTTTTTTATCTTTAAGCTCTTCAGCTACTTCTTTATTTTCTATTTTCAATTCTCCATTCTTTTCAGGCTCCTTTGGAAGTGATCTTCTCTGATTATCTCCATTTAAATCTTTTTTAATTTCTTCTCTCACAACTACTTTAATCTCCTTTTTGCCTTCATCTTTTTGAGCTGGCTTAGTTTCTTTATTTTGAACGGCTTTTACCTCTTTTTTAATTTCTTCTTTGGTAAGTGGCTTAACTTCTCTTCTTTGTGGCAACTTGCTATCTTTGCTAGGAATCCTAGATTCTTTTTTAATCTCTTCTTTGATAGTTATCTTAATTTCATTAGGTTCTTTGCTTTCTTCTTTGGTAGACATTAACGTTTCTTTTGTTTCTTCTTTTGGGCGAGGATTGCTCTCATTTGATTCTTTTTTTTCTTCTTTGGTCTCATCAATAAGGATAATTTTTTCTATTTTTGGCTCTATGGTGTCTGGCTTGGTTTCATCTTTTGGGTCAGAATCAGTGATTTTAAATGGGTTGAAGTTACCATTTATGGTTTCCACGTTGCTTGGAGTTTCTGCTTTTATGATATCTACATCTTTTAATATGGCATCAAGATCATCAATTGTTGAGCACTTGCCATCAGTCAAACATATTGTGATTGATCGTTTTTCTTTTCTAGTTTTTTGCCTGCTTTCTGAATCTTCACTGTCTTTACTGTCTTTATTTTTCCTGCTGCTTAAGTCTTTTAAGCTTACAACTACGTTTAAAACTTCATTCTCTACTTGTCTTTTGGGCAAGAAATAAACCTCCCCTTAAAACACATATTTAGTCATAATAATATTAAATATATAGGTATTCTAATACAGATTAGAAAAAACTAACAAGATTGGCAAGTTTGGATTATATTTTGTATTAAATTTAAACAAGATATATCATGTTTTATATTGAAAATAAGTATATAAACAGATTAATTTTGTTAAAACGTATTAATTTAGAATATTTTGTATGTATATAATACACATTCTGCTTGAATTGATTTATCTGTTTCGATCTATTTTAAAGTAGAATTAGGCGAGATTTATGCTTAAATTGAGATAAGAAAACAAAATTCAGCGAATATCTTTATTATCTCTCTTATTTATTTGCATAAAACATTTACCATATAAAAATTCTGTATATACCTGGGATTAGAAATACAATATTTTATACATTAGCAACTATACTAAAAATTGTGCTAGAAAGATTATGAGCGAATACTGCATACCTCTATATTTCTTTTTATAAAGATTAGATAGTTTGTGATTGAAGGGGTGGAGGTTCATGCTTGGCCAGTCTTTCTGTTTCCAAAAATTCAGATAATTCAACTTTTTCATTCAAGATTCTGTTACTCATATCATCAATTTTATAGGTTGACGGAGATTTATTTGTAGGAATAGGCATCGTGCTGGACAATGATAAGCTTACTTTAGGTTTTTTCCTTCCTATTTTAGGAATTTTTCCTTTAACTTGATCCTTTTTATGATCTCTAATTCTCCCCATTTAATCACAAAACATTCATATAGATTTTTTTGCCATATTAATTTGTTTCTAAATAAGAGAGTAAGAGTAGGATTTGTGCTTGACATTCTAGGCCTTAGCATAGGAATTGGCGAAATTTCTCTTTGTTTCGGAGATGTACTAGTATGTCTATCATAATCATCTTTCATTTTCAGAGTTTCCAATGCTTCTTTTATATTTAGATCGAGATCCAAACCGCTATCACCTTCAGTATCCTGCCTCGAGCTAATTAACGATCCGCTGCTGAGTTTTGACGTGCTTGCTCTTGGAGTATGTGTTTGGTCTGTCGAAATTATATTTAAGTTATATACAGATTTGCAAGGATATGCTCAAAACTAGATACTTATTAATATCAAAAAATCAATTCAGCTTTCCTCTATAGAAAATTGTCTATAAATTATTTATATTTATGTATTAATCTTTTTAAATTGTATAAGATATATGAATAAAAAATTTTCTGATTCTTTCTCTCATTGGGTTTACATCTTCAAAATGAGTCGATGCCACTTTAGTAAAAATCTCTTCAAATTGGTTTATATTTAATGTAGCCTTAGATAGCGAAGTGGTTCCTGCTGTTTTCGTAACTAGTGTCCTAAGTTCTGATTGGGATATTAAATCCTAATTAGAAAATACTGGAAATATTCTGAGATTTTTGCAGAGTTTTTGGAACTCCGAAAGCGAAACTTTACCGTCTGAGGACTTGTGCTTGTTGAAGAGTGATTTTATTTTGGGTTTATTGTGCTCAAATAGGATGTAGTCAGAGTTCATTTATATTAAAATTAGACAAGGCAGATTTTTTAAAATTTAATAATTTAGAGGTGGAAAAAGAAAGGGAAAATCATAGGTCAGAAGTTACCTATAAAGAAATATGATAAGCCAAACTGAATTTTGCGTAGCTATATCTTTTATAAATTGCAAAAAAAATACAATTCAGATTAGTATAAATTTATTTAAACTAAAAATAGTAAAATTCTTATTTTATTGTTAAATGTTAATATAATATATATTTAGATTGCCTAGGCTATATCAGCAAATTATAAAGTAATTTGATATGCCTAAAACTTATCTATCAAATCCTCAATAAAATAATTGTTATCAAAAATTAAACAAGAAAACAGGAAATTTCATTATGTTGAACTATAAGCTTAAAACCTCTTTAAACTCAGACGACAGATCAAGAGATCCATACACAACCCCCAGAAATTTGTCAGCCCCTAAGCTAAAAGAGTGATCCTCTCAATCTGATGCCAAACGTAAAAAATCTGAACGAAAAAAAACTCCCAAGCACTCACCTCTGAATTTTACCTGCAAAGAAATAAGTCTATCTCCCAAAGGCAGAGAGCATGAGCTTTTTATTGTCGACTCTATCCCTTTTCCTAAAAAGCAATTTGAAAAAGCATCATATAAAACTGAAAGAAGGTACGCAGACAACACAGATAGGGCTTATTGGAGTAGTGAAAGCAGTGACGTTGAAGGGAAAGACAAAGAAATTGGAAAGCTGCATTATGAAACTATTATTAAAAAGCTTACTGAAGAGCTAAACGAAACAAGAAATCAACTGAAAATAGAAAGGGACACGATCCAACGTATTGAGAGAAACCGAATTCGTGATTTAAAAACAAAGCAGAAGTTAGAAAGCGAATTAGAAGAACTAGAGAAAATATTCATTGAGGAAAGAAAACAGCTGAAACCTAAAGGAAATGAAGAAGAATTTATGCAGATTAAGAAAGAAAACGATATGATGAAAAAAGAAATTGAAAATTTGAAGAACCAAAATAGCCAATATATAGAAATGCTTAAGCAGAGAGATGAATATATAAAAGAAATAGAAAAAAAACTGGATAGCGGTAATGAGCATAGTGAGCTTAAAATGCAATTAGGAGAACTTGAGAAAAGTTTTGCGAATTTAACTCTTTTAAGCGATTTATATGGAGGAAAGCTGGCAGAAAATGAAAAAACCATACAAAATTTACGGACTCTTCTGGCTGAAAAAGACCAAACAATTAAATTCCTAGAAGAAAATGTTTCGCTAAATGGATTTAAAGTAGAAATTGATGAAAGAAATAGTATGTATACAAGCCTGGAAAAGGATTTAATAGCTCGCGTCAGAGAATATAAAGACAAAACTTTAAATGTGCTGAACTCTGGTGAAAAAGCAAAAAAGAGAGCTGAAAACCAATCTCCAGATTTCGAGCAAAGTATCGATAGCATTAAAAATGATGGGAAAATATGCTCACAATCAAATCTTTCAAAATCAACAAGTGATCTTATTGATTTTATTGACCCACTATTATCTCCTATACAGTCAGTATCCCCAATACGAGCAGAAAGAGTATCAGATGTGCACCTGCCAAAGCTTCAGCTCAATACACTCAATGGCCAAGATCCTTATACTCCTCCAACATTCAGAAATCCTGAAGCCAATAATTCTTTGCAAGCATCCCTTGAAAATTCATTTTCTGATATTAAAAAGCGATTAAGCTACCTCCAAGCAAATACAGCTTATTTAGATCATAGGATGGATATTTTTGAACAAAAAGTAAAAGCTAATAGTGACATTATTTAAACTCTTTTTAATAAATGGAAGAAATAACAGTAGCATTAGGCTCTACTCAAAATGAATTAAAAGAAATGTGCTCTACCCTTGCATTTCTTGGGAAAACTGTCCCACAGGACTATTTTCCAGAGTCTTTGCATGAAATTAGAAATCAATTAGAAGATATGAGAAGGGCAATGTCTAATCCCAGACCTCAGCTGGAAGTTTCTTTTCCTGTAATCCCTCATTTTAAACAGAATTACACATCTTATATTAGAAAAAGAGCAAGTCATCATTTGTCTCTTGGACAACCCAGTTTAATAAGAAATGAAGAAAGCCCATCTGTGCTAAAAACAGTCAGAGAAAGGCTAAATTTAAGTAGCCAACAAATTAATACAGAAAGAAGCATCGGTAAAGCTACATATGCTAAACCAAAATTTGTGAGGCTAGCAAAAGCAAAGGTGGTTCCTAAAGAACAAAGAATAGACCCCGTTAACTTTCCTCCTGAAGTGAATGCAGAAGATGTAGATAATGGAGTCATTTCTTTAGTAAATAAAGGACTAGTTTCAAAGAAAACTGACTTAATGCCTTTTTTAACAGGAAAACTGCCACCTATTCAGCTAAAGGCAGCAAAAATAAATGATGGAAGCTATTCAGCAAAAATACCAAAAAGTCCTCGTAGGAGCTGCAAGCCAATTTGGGATAAAAAAGACTCATCTTTTGCTTCAAGCGGCCATGGCGAAACCCCTATACAAGTAGGGATTGCTTCACCTGTAGATTTTGTTTCAGAAATCATTCATCCAATCATTCGAGCTCCAATCGAAAAAATTTATTTTGAGATAAAAAGAGGAAAGCTAAAAGAAAACCGGCATTTGAATAAATTCAAAGAAAAACATCACACAAAATGAACGAGGATAAGGGTTGTTTTACAAGAAGCTATAAAACATTGCAAAAAAAATAAAATTTTTAAAATGATTATCGACGCAGAAAAGCTGCTAGAAGAGATAACAGACGAAGTAAGGTCAACTGGGATTAGCGACATTTATAAGTGCATTGTCAATATGAGTGAAATTAAAAATAGGCCAAAGTTTCTTCAATACCAAGGCAATCTTGGTAGAAACCTTGCTGCTGTAAAAATTCAGGCTGCTTGAAGAGGATATAAAGGTGCTCAGCAGTATCGTCATTTAAAAGCTTTAAATGTATACACTGAATGCATTCAATTATACTTCCATTTATATCTTAAAAAGATGGAAACTAAAAGGATAATTCAAGAAAAAAGAAAAGACAGGTTTAACAACTTTAGGGAAAGGCAGCAAATATTCCAAGAGAGTTATGATGAAATTATTTCGCAGCCTCATATTGAGATTCATATTGGGTCTATCCAGCCTGATGCTTCGATCCCTTTCTTTTATTCTAAACAGAACTCCCAGATAATGAGGGTGTGCTCTATTCAAGATCCCCTGGTTTCAGTCATTTATATTTCGCCAGTTCCTCTGGACAATGAATTAATGGAATATTACTATTCATTACTTGAGTTGTCTCATATAAAAAATGCAAGATCCCGAGTAACATTTATTACTCCGAATCATGGGATTAGCTTGTCTAATCAATTTTCCACATCAAAACTTTTATTTTTAGCCACTAAAACTATAAATAAAATCAAGGAAATGATCAAAGGCAAGCCAGCATTTTTAGTCCCTGGAGAAATCTCAGAGGATGACATTTGAATTTCCGATTTACTAGGCGTACCAATGCTTTCTAGTGAACCTGATTTAATCAGAAAATTTTCTGGTAAATATGAGTCAAAAAAAGTGTTTGAAATGGCAGGAATTCCTACACCTATAGGTATAAGCCAAATTTCCTCAATTGATATGTTTTATTCAGAGCTGACAAAATTAATTTTTGAAAATATTTTGGTGGACTCATGAGTATTTAAAATTAACAATGAAAGGAGAGGAAGGGGGATCGCTTATATTGACGTGACTAAAATAAAAACTGTAATGAAATTAAGAAAGCAATATGATGATCTGAATGAAAAAAATTATGACGATTTAAGCTTTGACGTCAAAAAAATCGTCCCAACGCTTACAAAATTTGCGGTGCCAAGCATGTGGGTAGATTTTGATGCATATCTTGCAGCATTTTGCCATAGTAAAGGGACAATACAAGTAACTCCTAATACAAAGAGCCATAATATAACATCTCCTTCTGTATCAATTCTTATACAGCCTGACTCAACGCTTCGTTTTCTATGTGCTGTAGACCGCTTCCAATCCCATGACTACCTAAACGCAGGGGTGTTTTCCCCTCAAAATTCTATACCTCAATCAGAGCTCCTTGAAATTTGTAAAAGAATCGGAAATGTTTTATATGAGCAAGGCATATGAGGCTATGTTTCAATAGAGCTTGTTGCTTTTCCTGATCCTTACAATGATGGTGGAATGCCTCTTTACTGAGGAATAGACTTATATTTTGGCCATAATATCATTTCTGCTAGCTATCTGATGTTCACAACTCTAGTTGGAGGCGCCAATGATATTGTTACAGGCAAATATTTCATTAAATTTGAAGAGCATGAAGACGAAATGTCACTGGTTGAAGACCGATTTGGGGACGACTTCACAAATTTGCTTACCACAAATAACCCAACTAAAACAATATTTGAGAATCGAGGAATTACTGATATGGACAATGAATGCATTGATAGGCCAGATTATGAGGATTTTAATATGTTTGACGAAAGGCATTTTGCGTTTTGTTGGCATGCAGAGCATCCAGAAATAAAAGATTTAAGCTTAGTAGCACTTTTTCATATGTGCAGGCTGGAATCAGTGACATATTCTTTGGAGCATTCCAAAGGGTCAGTTTTTTGTGCATATGATACATTAAAGAATCAGCATATAGGAATCATGTCAATTTGCAGCAATAGAAAAGAAGCAATTAGGCTGCTAACTGAAGCGTTTACCTTTATGTTGCAGCAGGCAGGCCCTCCACCTCAGCCTATTCTTGCTTATAAAGAAGCTCCAAAAGAAGAGATAAATCTTAACGAGATTATTACAAAAATAAAAGCAACACACAAGACTATGGAGAAAACAGGGAAAAGTGGCAAAAAGAACTATTTAATAGAGCTGATATAGTAAAAATGTATTAATTATATATTATTAATTATAGAATCCCTATAGGATACTGATCTGAATAAATATGAAAAATTGATTTGATGGCAGATCACTTGAAGAGGATCTTAAAGATAATCTTGAAGGTCTCTCAATTGAAGATAATTTAAAATCGCTGACAGAGCCAAGGCAGCAATGCAACTTTGTAGGACTAATGAATCAGTAATTTTTACTTAGAGGCGCAACATGCTATCTTAATTCTTTGATACAAGCAATGTTTATGACACCTGAGCTTAGATCTGCTATTTTCAAACTTCCTTTATATGATAAAACTATTAACAGCCCTTCACCTTGACTGCCAGATGGCCAAAAAAGAGAAATCCTTTCAGCACTTCAAGAATTATTTGTCAGCCTCCAAGCATTAAATTTGAAAGCCTACACAACTGAAAATTTAACTAACAGTTTTCATTGAACTAATAAAGAAGTCCACGATCAGCATGATGTTCAAGAACTTAATAGAGTTCTTTATGACACAATTGACAGAACTTTGGCAGATTCTGAATATTCTGAATTTATTTCTAATCTTTATAAAGGAGTTTTTGTAAATGAAATACAATGCTTTAAATGTCAAGGAGTTTTTCAGATAAATGAAGACTTTTATGATATTGTGCTGCAGGTTAAAGGAAACAAAGATATAAAGGCAAGCTTAGATTCATTGCAAACTCCAGATATGCTTAGTGGAGACAATCAATATTTCTGTGAAAATTGCAAAGAAAAATGTGATGCAATGCGCTGCACAAGAATTAAGCAGCTTCCACCGATTTTGACATTTTCATTAAACAGAATCACTTTTGATGCCAAAAAAATGCAAAGGGTAAAGGTGACTGATAATTTTGAGTTTCCTTTAGAACTTGATTTATCAGCTTTTGTTGAAAAAGAAAAAAAATACGAGCTATTTGCTGTAATAATTCATTATGGCGCTGGCTCTAGTATAGGGCATTATCATGCTTATATAAGAGATGTGCTGAAAACTGGAAACTGAATAGACCCAAAAAAGACAAATAAAACCAATGAAATTGCAAAGTCAGAAAGCTCGGCGTCAGACGGCTTTAAATCATATAGCACAAGAAAAAGAGCTAGGAAAAATCTTAAAAGAAAAGGAAAACAATACCCTCAAAAGCAAAAAGAAGAGACTCAGCAAGAAGGCCCAAAAACCAATATTGATTTCGATTTTGAAGAATTCCCATATGGCTGTGAAAATAAAGAATTATTGCAAGATTGGTATGATTTTAATGACTCTTTTATCTATCCTATATATTCAGGAAAATTGTTGAAGCAATTTGGAGGTGCAAAAGAAACTGCATATATGCTAGTATATAGAGATGCCACTTTAAACCAAAATTTAACTATCCCTGATATTCCTGAATATTGAGTTAACAGCTTGGATCTCCTCTTAAAGCCTCTTATTAAAGAAAAAATCCCTGATGAGCCTTCGGCTGTAAAACCTAATGAGACTGGAACTGTGCAAAATGAATTAATAAAGCTTTATATTCATTTAACATTAACTGGTTTCCCTGATCAGTGTGAATCAATTGATGAAGTATCTGTTCCTGGAGAAATGACCCTTTTGCAGCTTAAAGAGCATATATTTCAATTACCAAAAATATATCAAGAAAATTCATGCCCAGAAAATTTAAGAATTCGTGATAGAACTGAATATTTTTGGTTTGGAAAAATATATAGAGAAGATGATAAGTCGTTAGAAGATCTTGGAATTACTGATGGCTCTAATTTGGCAATTCAGGTTTTGGCAGAGCCTGAATCTTTTAACCAAGGCTTTATGCAGTTTTATGTTAGCGAGTGAATAATTGATTTAAAGCAAAAAGGTCCACCTATTGAAGGCTTTTTTGATGGCTCGACCCCAAATATTGATAAATTGTATTTATGAATAATTGCTACGCTTAAAAATGACTGGAACATCAAAGACATGACAATCGCCTTATATAAGTCAGCACTCTTTGAGTGGGAGCTTATAAAAGATACAAGAAAGAAAAAAGATAGAGGATCATTGATAGAATATAAAGGCACAAGAAAATCGAAGGGAATACAGAACCTTAGAAAATCCCCTTACTTTTTAAAAGAAGGAGATTATTTGGTTGTTAAATATGATCCAGAAAATTCGTTAGACGATGATGATTTTTTGAAACTTCTTAATTGAGAAACAAAGGCGCCTATAAAGGATAATTCCGATATTAAAAACACAGAGCATCGTTCTGAAAAATCAATCAAAATCGCAGAATTTTAATAAATCTGTAAATTGCATTATTTACAATTTTCTTCTTTATATGTAATTTATAAATGCATTTTACTGTTAAATAGTCATTTAAGAATAACGATTATATAAATATAACTGAATTTAATCTGATAAATAATTAAAGCTATATAAAAGCTTTTGAAATTATGCCAAAACTATTAAAATTAATTTTTTCTCTATTAAAATGACGTCTAATTGGAATGTGAAATTTTATCCACCTCGACCCTTAGTCCTCTTTGCTGAACAAGCGAAATCCTACTGCTCACTCGCTGTGAATTAATTTTTTTTAAATTTATATTAAAATGCCCATAAAATTTTAATATTCCAATTTCTAAAAATATGAAATGAAAATTTAATGTATTACTTTAGAATGAAAAATTATTAAATTAATAAGAGATTTATTTTTAGTAATATTACTTATATAATTGGATTTTCTAATATTTTGTTCGCTAATGAAGAAGGAGTTAGCAGATTTGCTATCATATCACAAGCATCAAAATAGATTTTCGAGTCTAAGGTCACTATCCCCTATCCTTCTCAAAGAAAAAAAATCCGAAAATTTAATTGAGCTAAAAAGTTTACTCGAAAAAGCTATCAACAGAAAATCAAGCCCAATGAGTATTATAGAAGACTCTCCTCAAAAAGAATCAACCCCAAAAATACAAACTACAGAATCAGTTAAAAAAATTGATTTACTTCCATATATTTATAAAAGGAAAAGGCGACGATCTAAAAAGCCATTGCTCTTTGTTCTCAATAAGTGCACATCCCCTGTAACATTCCTCTCCAATCCCGTCAATTTTCCACGACCCAAGCCAATTCCTTCAAACCGTCAAATTTCCAAACCAAAACTCCCTACAGCAAAACAAAGCTCCCGCTCATTCTCCTTAAGCCCAGCCACTGAAGACACAATTTATGACATAAGAAGAAAGAGCGTTTTACCCGAAATCCGAAAAGACATAAGCAGAAAAGAACTTAGCCCGAATCTAATAAGAAAACTCGACTTAAGCCATTGCAGAAATCCCTCAAAAAGCAGCTTTTTGAGCAGCTCTAATGAGACTTATGACTATGTAAAAAATGAGCTGACTCCTCAGATAATGGAAAAATGGTTTTAGGTAACTTTGCATAATCTATAATATAAAGAAATGGGTAAATCCGCTGAATTTTGTGTAAAATCTAAATAGGTTTCTGATAGCGGAGCAGAATGTGCGCTTACATTGTAATAATCACTCAGAATTTTCCCTCTGATAACTTGGCTAAGTCTAATCGTTGTATGGATATTCTCTAGAAAAGCTCAAATAGAAGATGCTGACGAAATTGAGGCAAATTATACATTTAACCACATAGTCAAGCTTACAATGTCAATGCTGTGTGCTGGAACTTCAGTGGCTTTATTTTTCTGGAATGTAATTTGTGAGGATACTGTTGTTGGAGGACCATTAATAGAAGATATAGGAGATGCATTTACATGGATCATGGCTAGTATATTGCTAACTCCCCCCCCCCTCCGTGAGTGAACAAAACCATTAGAAAAATCCCTATTTTTTGCCCAAAACCCACCCTCCGTGAGTGAACAAAAATTTTTTTAATAGAAAAATTTTTTATGAAAAAAAATTGATATATAAATGATAATTAGTATAATGAAATCTAGAGCTAATTCTGTTTAATTTTAAATGAATTGCTTTTTAAAACATAAATTTTATATATTAAATTAATATTTGCTTTCCAATTTTTGCGAGTTAGGATTTTTTAAATTTCGAAAAAAAAAATTTTTTTATAAAATTTATATAAATTTTTTTAAAAAAAAAAAAATTAAACCCCCCTCCGTGAGTGAACAAAATTTTTTTGTTCACTCACGGAGGGGGGGGGAGTAAGAAAAGAATATCTAGCCACAGGCAGAACAAGTTTGGCGCTGAGGATATGATGGGTTGTGGTAATGGTAGAAGAAATTCTTATAATAACCCTTATGAGTGCTTATGACGGTGGGAGGCCTTATTTTGATCACATTAGGATTGAGCTTGTAGTGGCTTTACTTTTATATACAGGCTTGGCGTTAATTGGATACTTAAGACCAAGCGATATGGCCTTAGACAAAAAAGATGTAGTAGAGGGGTACTATAAAAAAGTTCTTGACAATTATACAAGAATGCAAACACCTCAGGAGATGAAAGAAGATATATGGGGCAAACTTGAGGATATAAAAGTTATTGAGGAAGAAGAGAAGAAGCTAAACTTAGAAAAAAATCTGTCAATGAGAGAAAAAATTATGACTATTGATGTAGATGGGTATGAAATTATAGATCAAGGCGGAGAGCCAGCAATATATTATAATGTGACAGTCAGGAAAGGAAAAGTTGGGAAAATATTAGAAAAAACCAAAAGAAAATATGAAGAATTTGCAGGACTGTATAAAGAGCTACAAATTCGGTTCCCAAGCTTATCTTTTCCTCCTCTTCCACCGCTAATTCCAAGCCAGTAAGTTTTATATAGAAATCGGTACCGTGAAGATATTCTTAAAGGGCGCCAAAAAGTCTTTGATGAGCTTATGAAATTTTTGGTCGTTAAAAATATTCCTCTTGAAGCCTATAAAGATTTTTTGCTTCCAAACTCAGCTCTTGCCTTTTATGGCAAAGAAGCAAACAGTGAAGTTTATTTGCCTTCTTTCCAAGCGCCTGTGGTTGTCTCAGTCGAAGAAGTCAAAGAAATCAAAGAGATAAAAGAAATTTCTGAAACAAAAGAAACTATAAATTCAGAGCCAAAATCTCCTAAAAAAAAGAAAAAAGAAACCAGCGAAATCTCTATGGAGCCTATTTCTCCATCGCCAATAATAGAAGAAAAAAGAGAACTAACTCTCCCTCCATGAGCGAGCAAAAAAATTTTGTTCGCTTGTGGAGAGGGTTAATTTTTTTTTTAAAAATTTTAATATAAATTTTATGGTAATTTTTTTTCGAAATTTGCAAAATCCGTTTTGTAAAAGAGAATTGATTTAATTTGTAAAAATTATGTTTTAAATGCAAGCTGTTTAAATTAAACAGAATTAGCTAAATATTTAATTATACTAATTATCACTTATATATAAAAAATATTTTTCCATCAAAAAAATTTTGTTCGCTCACAAAGGTGGCGTTTTACCCAAAAAATAGGGATTTTTCCAATGGTTTTGCTCACTCACAGAGGGGGAGGGGAATAAGAAGCCAAAGTTTAATAATAGAGCCAGCTTGCCGAGTAAATATTTTATCTACCTATGAGTCAGGCTCAGGATATAGCAGACACACTATGTACGAAATTGGCGTGAAATATGGAAAAGAGCATATAATATGCGCTCACCGATTCAAAGATTTCAAAAAACTCTATGAAGAACTGAAAAAAGATTTCAGCACCTTGCCTGAATTGCCGTCATCTGGGCTTACTTTTTCATCAACTGATCCAGAAATTGTGTCTGAAAGAAGAGATAAATTAGAAAGATTTTTAGCTGAATGCGTAGAAAACCCAGCAATCAGAAGTCATCAGGCTGTAATGGACTTTCTTGAGCTTAATAAATCTACAAGCTAAAATAACAAATATTATCATTTAACATTTTTATATTGATTGAATAAGACTTTAAGCTTCCCTTCATTTGCTATAAGTAAGATGTGGCTGATTATTAAATCACTTCCGGTATCTAATAATGTTTGCTGCACTTTCTTGATAACAATTTCAGGCACAAAAACCCCATGGGCTGCACTTTTATGGTCCCCAACAGTAAAGGACTCATAGCTGCTGTTTTTATATGATTTTTTCCTACTTAATATAGGGTTCACCCGCGGGACCCAGTTGCAAAAAGTATTCCAAATACAAATTTTCCCGTTTTCTGACCCAGATACCAAATGCATACTATTATGCGAAAAACTTGCTTTTAAAGGAAATTTTTCGTTTTTGCATCCTTTATATTTTTGTTTTATATTGAAATCTTCAAGACTATAAAGCCTGATTCTTGAGTCATTTGTGGTTACAATAAACTGCTGGTCATCTAGAAAATCAAACCCCGTGATTTTTCGGCCATCTTTTTTCCTTCCTTTTCGGTTTTTGCATTGGATTTGGGTAAGAAATGAAAGTTTCATTTCTTGAAAATTAGTCTCATATATCATACACTGCCCATGAGAAAGACCAAGAAGAATAAAATGCCCTAAAGGGCTAAATGTAGCTGCTGTTATAAAATCGGGAGCTTGATAATAGCATTCTAAAGAATAATTGGGGATATTTCAGATTCTTACCATTCTGTCAAAGCAGCCTGTTATCGTTATTTGCAGATTTTTGAACTTTACCACCTAAGTGTGGAATTTTTTTCCGCGTGTGAAAAGGTGATTTCACATGTGAAATCAAAAGGGCTCCACACGTGAAATCACCTTTTCACACGCGGAAAAAATTCCACACTTAGGTGGTAAAGTTCAAAAATTTGCAAATAACGATAAGAAATAATTTGCATTTTCTGGGTGAAAGCATACGCTACTTACAATTTGTGGGTGCTTAAATTCGAGAACTGGGGCATTATTGCCAATTCTTCATAGATAAACCATACAGTCTGCTCCTGCTGAAATTAAGAATGTAGAACTCTTTGACCATGATAAATCAATAACAGGCTGATTATGCCCTTCTAATAAATTAACTGGCTCTTCACTAAACAATTTAAAATTTTCATTCATAAATTGGTATCGAAATTCATATAATTTAATTGCTGGATCATCCCCTGCTGCAGCTAAATATTTCCCATCAGGACTGATTTTAAGTACTCAAGCTCTATAAGCTGCGTCTTGATTTATCGTGATTTCTTGGACAATTTCTAATCCAGCGAACTCATATGAGTCCTTTCGATTTTTTTTGACGAAATTTTTTGAAGACCACGTGAAGAGCATTGATTGATCTGAATCTTTAGGGCATGACTGGTCTGTTGAGTACTGAGAAAGAGAAGTAGGGTTTGACTTATTTTCACTGTCTTTTGCCCCCGTTTGGGAGTAAAAAGGAGTGATGTCGATTTCAATCTGAGCAGATGGTACGTTTAAGGAGCCATAAGATGATGTTCTCTTAATTGGTGTGGTAAGCTCTTCTTTTGTTTCTGCTGCATCAAAGAACTCTTCATCGCTCGCTCCTGATGTTTCCATATTATGAAGATTTGTTTAATTTACTGCAAGAATTTAGCTTAAAGTTATGCCATTTTAATTTGTAAATGGAAATTATTATCTTAACAAAAAAAAGCTATATTTAGTGAAATAAAGGATAATTACTTAATGAGCTGGGTGTTCGTGACCTTCTGGGTGAGGATGTGCATGTGGCTCTGGGTGAGGATGAGCATGTTCTGGGTGAGGGTGAGCATGTTCTGGATGAGGGTGAGCATGGGTCTCAGCTGGGGCGTGAGGATTTCTGAAGTGGACTCCTGCATATCTTGCTCTTGCTCCAAGTTGTTCCTCAATTCTTAAAATTTGGTTGTACTTAGAAAGTCTTTCAGATCTGCAAGGAGCGCCAGTCTTGATTTCTCCAGTCCCAAGGCCAACGACTAAGTCAGCAATAAAGTTGTCTTCAGTTTCTCCACTTCTGTGGCTGACCATGACTCCCCATCCTGCACCTTGTGCCATCTTGCAAGCTTCAATAGCTTCAGTGAGTGACCCAATTTGGTTTACCTTCAACAACAAAGCATTGCAAGCTTTCTCCTCAATTGCTTTAGCAACTCTGACTGGGTTGGTGACCAACAAGTCATCTCCAACAATTTGGATGTGAGCTCCAACATCACGGGTGATGGCTGCATAATGGAGCCAGTCGTCTTGGTCAAATGGATCTTCAATTGATACCAAAGGATAGTTGTTGATGAAATTCTTATAGACATTGGTCAGCTCTTCTCCTGTAAGTCTTTGGCTGCCATCATTATTAGCAGTCTTGAAGTCCAAGTCGTATTTATTTTGGTCACTCTTGTAGAATTCTGATGCTGCGACGTCCATGCCGATTTTGACTTTTCCGTCGTGTCCAGCTTTGTGAATGGCTTCCATTAAAAGAGTCAAGGCTTCAGTGTTGTCTTGAATGTTAGGGGCAAATCCACCTTCATCTCCAACGTTTGTGGCATCAAGGCCGTATTTGGTTTTGATGACAGCTTTGAGGTTGTGGTAGACTTCAGCGCCGATTTGCATGGCTTCTCTGAAAGTTTGTGCGCCAGTTGGGAGAATCATGAACTCTTGCATAGCAAGCTTGTTACCAGCGTGGGAACCACCATTGATGACATTGAAAGCTGGAACTGGAAGAATGAATTCTTGCTCGTTGTTTCCAGCAAGGCGGGCAAGGTATTGGTAAAGAGGAACGCCAGCGTGGGCAGCTCCTGCTCTGGCAACAGCCAATGAAACAGCTAAGATTGCATTTGCACCTAGCCTGGTCTTGCACCATCCCCATTCGTTTGAGGTTCCATCAAGCTCTCTGACTAAGAAATTGTCAAGGGCAGCTTGGTCAAGGACTGAGCGTCCGATGATGGCTGGCTTGATGATCTGGTCAACGTTTCTGACTGCATTCAGGACTCCTTTTCCAAGGTATCTGTTCTTGTCGCCATCTCTCATTTCGAGGGCTTCGTAGATTCCAGTGGAAGCACCGCTTGGTACAGCTGCTCTGAAGGTTCCCAAAGAGGTAGTAACATCAACTTCGACTGTTGGGTTGCCTCTTGAGTCAAGGATTTCACGAGCTTTGACGTCTTGAATTTCTGCCATTGATTTATTATAAGAGATTAGATTAATGGATTCAATAAATAATTTGTGTACTTACGTGTAATCTTAAATAAATGGACTATAAAATGGATACTCGATATTCAAATTTGATAAAGCGAAGCTTCTTTTCGAAAACTACTAAGGAGGTGCTCACTTTTTGCCCCTTTTTATATTTTTGATTTTATAAATTGAAATTTGCCCTTTAAAATCACTAAGGTTTATAATAGCTACCAACCAGATATACTATTTATCATGAATTTTTCTATAAATTTTAAATTGTAATCTTATATAAATATATCATTTAAATATATAAAAAATATTCCATATAATATATTTTGACAGAACTAGAATCAAATGGCAATAAGCTAGCAAGAGATGAATTCGCTATAATCCTATAATTACTTAATTATTGATATCATGCATATCTCCTTTGAATCTGCTTAAAAAAGAATTGATCATCTTAAAATGTTTAAATCAGATTTTATTTTATTATTGGCATAATATGAGTTAGATAAATTTACATTTCTACTTTAAATAATATTTATCTGTATCTGCTCAATTTTAAGAAAAATTATGAAGTCATCAATACAAAGGTTTTCGATGGGCCAATCCTTCGGCATACTTCTCTATATTCCTGTGTTGCTGCACAAATAGGGCAAAAAAGGTGAGCTAAACAATCAGTAATGAAATGTCCGTCAATTAAGAAAGCGTCTCGAATTTTTCTCCTGTTTAGTGCTGCTCCAAGACACATTCCTAACTCTTCCCTCTGTAAGCGAACAAAACAATTTTGTTTAAATTTATAATAAATTTATATAATTTTTTTTTTCAAAATTTAAAAATATCAATATTTAATTTGCGTTTTAAAACGCAATTTGTTTAAAATAAAACAGAACTACCTAGAGATTTTTTTCATTATATTGGGTTTTTAGGCAAAAAATAGGGATTTTTCTAATGATTTTGCTCGCTCGCGGAGGGGAGAGTAAGCAAACATTTAACAAAGGCCCAAAGAAATGCCCACCATTTACAATTGAAGTAGTTTTTGATTGAAGTCAACAATATCCACCTGGGATAAGACAAGCAATAGCACAAGGCCAACGATCTCTGCATATTCCAAAAAAAGGTTCTTGGAAGTCTACCATTATAGTTTCTTTATTTTATATTTTTAAATTGATAAGTTTTTTGGTTTGAGGTAAAGGGGTTTTGGAGATTTTAATTCGAATTTTACATATTAAGTACTCAAATGCTAAGCACGCTGAATAAGTAATTAAATAAAGATTGCAGCTATCCCCCAAATTATATATGAAAGTTTGCAGATCAAGATCTAGAAGCCCTTCTTTTGAAACCCCGCTGTTTCCTCTTATTTTAGCGTTTCCAAAAAACAAATTCACAAGAGAACTCTATAAAATCTTTGAAAATGCAGTCTCGAAATACAGAATTGATAGAATTCATGTTTCATCAGAAACAGGCCTGGAAAGCTATGAAGATGGTATTGTTTATATTTATGGTCCTTCATCAAGTGAAAAATACTCAGTTGTCAAACTTATATTCAATTTATTTCTTAAACACCCTTAAAAGCGGGGAGAACTATTGGAAACAATCCATATTTTTGGAAATCCCCTTTGAGAGCGAGCAAAAAATATTTGCTGTTTTATATAAATATTTGATATATAATTAATAATTGTTATATATAAATAATAATTTTTATAACAGATCTCTAACTAATTCTATTAAAAATTGACATAAATTGCATTCTTAAATTAAATTAGATTTTTCTTTTCAAATACTTTAAATTTGCATTTTATGATTCGAAAAAAATTATATCTATTTTAATATAAATTTTAAACATTTAATCTCCTTTAAAACATAAGATTTTTCTGGCCGCTCTTAAAGGGGAGGATCTAGCAGCCAAGAACAGCCTATTTTATCTTTGAAAATTCTTGTCCCGGATAATATCGTTGGGATTTTGACAACTAAATATGGCAAACATCTTCATGGTCTGCAATCTTATTCTCATGCGACTGTTATCATATACAAACAAATCCCAAATCTAAGGGAACGGCAAATAAAGCTTGAAGGCAGATCATCAGATTTAGGCCTCGCAATAAAGTGCATTTACTCTTTAATAGTAGAAAGTAGCCATTTTTCTAGCTCCCCTCCTCCATGAACGAACAAAAAAATTTTGCTACCTCACGGAGGGGGTTAAAAAAAATTATATTTAAATTTTATAGTAATTTTTTAAAAATCCCAATTCGAAATAATTTTAAAAAACAAATATTGCAAGCTGTTTAAAATTAAGCAGAATTAGCAAGAGATTTCTTTATAATCGTTCTCACTTTTATATAAAAAATATTTTTTTCATAATAAATTTTTATATTAAAAAAAATATTTGTTTGCTCACGGAGGGAGGGGTTTTACCCAAAAAATAGTAATTTTTCCAATGGTTTGTTTGCTAATGGAGGGGGAGGAGCAAGCCAAAATCTCCAGCTGATCATAGAAGTGTACAATTTGTTATTCCAGAAGAATGCGCTAAATATATCATAGGCAAGCATGGAACGTTTATCAAATGAATAAAAACAGAGTTCAATGTAAAAATTAAAGTTATAAAAAATGAAGAAAAATTTTCTAAGGGCAATGAACAAGTTGTGGTAAATACTATGTATTCTAAATTATATAAATTGCTTAATAAATATTGCATAACATAAACCGTGATCTATTTTTAATATCTATAAAATATAGAATTAGCCTATATCGCAAAAAAAAATGCTGACCTAATATGGCATAGATTCTCCTCGGTGAATCATCTCAGGTTAAAAAATCATTGAATGTTATAATAGATAGAATAATTCAAGGAATCAAATCAATTTACAGTTCTAGTGATTTAGATTTAAAAATGCTAATTCACAAAGACACAATTAAGGATTTTAATCGTATTTTTAAAGATGCTGCTAGGAAATCTGGAACTAGAATAAATGCAATTAATGAAGCAGATGGTGATGCTTGAAAATTAATTGCTATTAATGGAATACTAGAAGCAAAAATAGACGCTGCAGAAAAAATTTTGGATTATATTACCAATGGTAATTCTTAGGTATAGCCTAAGCATCTTTATGGCTCGGGCTTCCCGATATTTCCAGAAGGAGATAGCTAAGTTGGTCTAACAAACTAATGCAGTTGTGGTTTGACCAACTCTCCAAATGACAGAAACTCTGCATCATGCAGTTCTATCATTTGGGTAGTTAGTTTTGGCCAACTGCCCTCTTTCCTATCTTGAAAGACCGAGAATCAAGCCAAAAAGGTACTCTGGCTATATATATTTTTAAAAACTTTTTTAATTAAAAAATTCTGTTAATCTGCACTGGCCATCCCAATTACAATTACCAGCTATTAAAAAGATATTAATAAGCAAGGATTTATAAATTAATGGTCGCTTTATACTTATGCAAGATGAACTCCCTCAATCCGCTGGAACTTAAAATCCTCGAAACTTCTCCATGCTCACTGAAAGCAGTTTCTAGTTCCTTGATTCCTAAATCTTCACTATTTCCCAATAAAACTTTATAAGTTTCTTCGATATATTTGTCTTCTTCTTGGCTCAAAGATTCCCCATATTGAGAAATCTCCTCTGAGCTAAGTTTATCTGGGCCTTCTCCAATAGCCAGCAATGGTGTATGATGTAGACTCACCACAAATAAATCCAAAACCATTTTTCTCAAATTGCCTGGCTTCAGGAGACGATCATTATTATCTTTGTATTCCTCAAACAAGACTTTTAATTTCTTGTCAATTTCACTCGTAGATAAAAGAACTGCTGATGTAATGATTTTTGTTAAATCCAATAATTTTCCATCCTCAAAGGAAGTAAAGTACTTAAATAAAGGATTATCTGGCTCTTCCATTGCAGAACGATTTAACCCGAGCTCATGCAGCGCTCTTTTGAGCTGGGGTATGCTTAATTGTTTTTGGAGGCCTTCTCTTTTGAAGCTTTCCACTATTTTCTGCAATGGTTTTTTAGCGAAAAGGGATTCTCGCTCATTCTTCCTGATAGTCAGTTCTTGGGTGGGTAACTGAAGCAATTGTTGAGGAGGCTGGACGATATTTAAGGATGAACAGCAACCCATTTATCTTATAACTGAGAAGACATTTAATTCATTCAATTTTAATTAGACTTTATCATCTAACTGGGATAAATACAATTTAAATAAATTAATTATGATACAGGAACTTGTGGGCCATTTGGACTTGAAAGCTGAAACCTGCAGATAGGACAGGTGTTGTGCATCCTGAGCCATGTTGAAAGACAACTATCGTGGAAATCATGCTTGCAAGGCATTTGTCGGATTTTATCTTCTTCTCTATAGTTATCTTGGCAAATTGGGCATACTGATTTTGCGATTGTACAATTAATTAAGGGCAAAGAGTTAATGGCCTCTTCAGATGCAGGTGGAGAGCCTTGCTGATTTTGTTGGGCTTGATTTAGTATATCTAGAAGTGATACAAAATTCATAAATGATGAAAAATTTGCAAAGTCTTGAGGATTTGTATTCCTTAAAGATACCGGGATATAGAGGTTTGTTTGTGTCACAATCACAGAGCCATCTGGCATTAGATTAAAAACTCGATGTATATGTAGATCATAGAGAGGTTGATTTGTGCTCTGTGAAGGGTTTTCTTCTCGTCCGGATGTGGACGGGAAAGATTGTGATTGAGGATTCGGAGTCTTATCGTGAACTGATTGAGATGAACATCTTGAGCATCTCATGGGCTGGTTTAAGTCTTGTAAATAATCGCTTTGGCATGCGTCGCAGTGGAAGCTTTTCATATGATAGTCTGTATTCATTTTTTATAGATACCATAATTGAGAATTAAGTCAAATTAATTTGTAAATAATAAACTTTTTTTTATAAAAATTTTGATAGTGACTGTCTCTTCTTATTGCCCATTTCAATTTGTGAGAATATTTGATAGAGGTATTTTCTTTAAAGACAATAGATGTTTCTAGAAATAGATGCCATTAGCAATATAAAAATGAAGTCGAATATGATATCAGAAAGTCTTTAGAAGTGAAAATATCAAGTTTTGCCAATACTGAAATGGTAAAAATCTTTTTTAATTGAAGATTTATTTATCCAGTTATGATTATGAATATAAAATTTATTAAATTAATAGTTCTTTTCTTTTAGCTGCTTTGTGAGCAGCCATGAGCTTTTTAGATCAAATTTAATTGAGACTTAATCAGAAGAAGTAAATTCATTATAGATTAACTGGGTTTGATTTTTACTAAAATTTACATGTATTGAAATAGCTTAATTTTATATCCTTCTCATGATAAAATCCTATTACTATAAGAATGACTTAATTATTAATATATTAAATACATGTCAAAAGTCATGTAATTTTATAATTTACAAACTTAAATGATTTCTAAATCTTCCTTCAATGGAGTAATCGTCAGATCAACCTTTACTATAACAGAAGAAGACCCAAAAATCAGCGAATCAAAAGCTCCTGCTTCAGAACTTTCCCCAGGAGTCGACTCTATAAAGTTGACAATTAAAGAATCATCCAAAAGTGAGCGTCGAAATTTAATGAGAGGCACATTTGCTGGCTCAGCTTCCCCTAAAGTCAACCAAAGCAAAAATTGCCACATTTGTGGGAAAAAATTCAAGTTAGGCTTAAAATATACCTGCAAAATCTGCCTGCAAGCTGTATGTGGTGAAGATTCTCAGAAAAAGCCTTTTGGAGACAACCCCAAAAAGAGAAGAATATGCAACCAATGTGATGAAGCTGAGACCAGACAAATTGTCAGGGAAGAGCTAAAAGAAAATTTAGAAAGGGTTCATGAAGAATTAAGATCAGCTAAAGGCTGTTATGACAGATTAAACAGGGAAAGGTTCGATAAAACAGCAAAAATCAATGAATTTGAATTTATCAAAAAATCAATGAAAGCCCAGCACGAACAAAAAATGCAAAAACTGCAAAATCAGCTTGATGAAGAAAAACAAAGGTCATCTGACCAAAGAATTTCTATTGAAAATTTAGAAAAAACAATTTCTAATTTAAATTTATCAAAGCGAGAGTGATCAGAAAAGTGTGAAGCTAAAAAAAACGAAACAGAAGAGTGATCCAAAAGGCTGGATTTATTATTAGAAAGGAGAAATCTTTTAGCGAATCAGGCTGAGCATTTAGAGCATATTATGGATGGGAAAGTTGCAATTGAGGAACTAGAGAAGAGGCTTTGTAGTAAATGCAAAAAGAAAGTTTTCCATAATAACCAGGAGTGCAGAAGCGATCTGTCAATGGTGCATTATCAAAGCAGCGATACCCAAAAGATTGTATAATTTGAAAATTTAAAATTTCATTATGAGTCACACATCTGAATTCGAGATTCAAATTGAAAATTAATCAAATAATTAGTAGAAATTAATTTCTATTGCAAGAGCATGATATAGATGAAACTTATAATTAATCCAAAAATAAATTAATAATTATTTCTGTCTTGAAAAATTGAAAAATATTGAGATGGGCTAGCCGCTTCTATTTCCATCAATACTTTTAGGGAGCGATAAATTTCTTTTGATACTTTCATCACGTGATTTTGATATGTCTTTAAGTTTAAAGCTTACTACACTTTTTCTTTGACTTTTTAATGGAGAATTGGGAAGGATTCTTTTAGAGTTTGCACGTTTGATGCTTTCCCTTTCAGTTATAAAAAAGCTTACTGCTTTAAGAGAGGAGAAAAATCTTGCTTGCTATTAAAGGGATTAATTTTTTTTTAAGTTTTATATCCAAAGAAAATTTACTTTAATAATGCAAAAGCTAAAATTTAATAGAATTTACTAGAATCCCAATAGTTAATTATATATAAAATGTTTATATTAAAAATGTTTTGCTAGCTCTTAAAAGGAGTCAATTCCCCCAAAATAAGCATTTTTTCAATGGTTTTCTGGCTATTAAAGCGCAGAGAGTTAGATTATCATCAATTCTTGCCCTGGAAGTATTAATTTGTTTAGGACTAGATTTTCTTTTTCCAATAATTTCTCTAATCCTTTTGATTTCTTCATTTTTCTTTTCTTTATTTCTAATCATTTCGTAAGTATATCTCTGAGATCTCAATTCACCCTTCATTTTCGAAATTAAATCCCTTTCCTTTATCAGTTCCCTTTGGCTTTTAACTCTTTCTTGAAGCTCTTTTAGCTTATTTTCTCTTTCCTTTTTTTCTTCAGTCCTCAAATTATAAGGATACAGTAAATTTAAATCAAATTTGGGTTTTTCTTTTTTTATAGTATTTTGGCTATTTTGCTATAGTTTTGACATGCTATATTAATTTATGGATTATAAAACTATTGAAAAATGGTTTTGGTCTAAAAAGAATCCCAGGTTCCTGATCATTTACTAAGTTGTCAATAACTATAGGATTAAGTGATAAAACATCAACTCGTTCATGCTGTCTTGAGTAGCTATCAAAAGAATGATTCACAAAATAATGTTGGAATGGTCTCCACATTTATAAGCATTTTAAATGGAGTTTCTATTTGTAAGGGTTTTATTTCCCTATTTGATAAACTATAAATTAACAATTAGTGCATTTATTTACGCCATTACTTTGTGGCTCTATAAATATGGATTCTGAAAGTCTTACCCTTTTAATCCATCAAAATTTTCAGATTTTTTAAAATTAAACCCTTTAAAAGCTTCCTATAATATTTTTTTCTGGGAGGTAGAGAAAGATTGGAAGCAGGTGTTGACAATGGCATCATCCCAACTTTGATGGATTATATCAGAGTCCCAAGTCTTTCCCCAGCATTTGATAAAGATTGGGAGACTAATGGCAAGATGGAACAAGCAATGGAAATTCTTGTGAATTATGTAAAATCCTTAAACATTACTGGGTTTACCCACGAAATCTTATACTTGCTCCTAGAGAAATATAAACATTCTCTATTGGCTGCCTTTATCCTATATTCTTATATAAATACGAAAACTGTAGAATTGTTTCCATTCATTGCAAATAGGTATAAAGGAACCAGGCATCCCTTGGCTTTTCTTTGCCGAATTCCCTGCAACAGCTCCAGGCCTCGGAACAGTACTCATGTACGGCCATATGGACAAGCAGCCACACTTTTCAGGATGGATTGAAGGAGCAGACAACACCAGCCCAGCTATCATAGACGGCAAGCTCTATGGAAGAGGAGGTGCAGATGATGGCTATGCCTTACCAAGTGCAGCCCTCATCATAAAAACAATGGACGACCTCGGAATCCCTCGTGGAAGAATTGTTTACATTGGTGAAAATGAAGAAGAAAGTGGAAGTGACCATTTAATGGACTATGTAAAGAAGCTTAAACATAAAATTGGCGAACCTGACATCATTGTCTGCTTGGACTCAGGAATTGGAGATTACGAACATTTCTGGCTGACTGGCAGCTTAAGAGGATTCACAGCTCTAGATGTAACTGTAAAAGTCTTGACTGTAGGACAACACTCAGGAGATGTGTCAGGTGTTGTGCCTTCTAGCTTCAGAGTCTTTAGGCAGATTTTGGACAGAATTGAAGACCCAAGAAGCGGAGAAATTTTGATCCCTGAACTTTATACCCCAATTACCCCAGAAATTTATGAGCATGCTGCTGGGTGTGCAAGAGCGCTTGGACCTAATCTGCTTGGGAAGATTAACTGGCAGCCTGGAATGCAGCCTGTAACTCATGATCCAGTCCAACTAGTTTTGAATAGAACTTATAGACCTACACTATGTGTTACTGGAGCACAAGGACTCCCAGACCTTGCTAATGCTGGAAACTTGTTAAGACCAAGCACAACATTTAGACTGTCTGTCAGACTCCCTCCAGGTGTTGATTCTGAAGTTGCTGCTGCCAAGTTGCACGAAGTTATAACTAAAGATCCTCCTTATGGAGCTACAATTGAAGTAAAAATCCCATTCAAAGGGAATGGATTTGCTCCAAATCCTTTGGAGCCATGGCTAAGTGATGCTCTTAATGTTGCAGGCCATAAGTATTTTGGAAATGAATTTTTAGTGATGGGAGAAGGCGGAAGCATACCATTTATGGGCATGCTTGGAAAAGAATTCCCACAGGCGCAATTCATGATCATTGGAATTTTAAGCTCTGACAGCAACGCTCACTCAGCAAATGAAAACTTCAGCATTGCTTACTTAAAGAAACTTTTATGCTGCCTTTCAGAAGTCCTTGCTCAACATGGTAGGAGAACCAAAGCTTAATAATTTAGAGTTCTTTTATCAATATATTATTTTAAATCCAAAATGACACTATCAATACAGTGAAATAATTAGCTTATAAATTTAATTATATTTGAGATAGTAATGGCTTATTGTTAGTTAGACGAGAAACTTTCTAAATCAACTATTTCATCTGTTAACCGAACATCATAAGTAATCGCTGCAATAAGCTCTTCAAGGCTAAAAAAGGTTGATTCAGCTCTTACATAAGCAATCAGCGTGACTTCGAGCTCTTTATTATATAAATTATTTTCAAATGTATGCAATATATATGCCTCGATGCTTTTTTGAGTGTTTCCATAGTAAGGATTTCACCCAATTGACACAGCTGTTTTATAAAGAGTGCTGTAATCGTCTGCAAATCTTGCAACTCCTGCATACACGCCTGGGACTAAATCATTTGCATTATTAAGGTTAATAAGGTCTAAATTTGCAGTCGGAAACCCAAGCTCTTTGCTGCCTCTTCCAAAACCTGGAATAATATTCCCTCTAACAGTAGAAGCGTTTGGGAGTCTATAATAAGCTTTTCACTATTGATAATCATCATAAGGATCAGGCTGGCTTGGTAAAATTGCTCTCAGGCTATTTAAACTTTCTTCATTTCCAGGCTCGTTGGGGAATTTTACATGTGAGACTTGAAATCCGTTCTGTTTTAGCATCTGGGCTGAATCGAAGTGTGCTACAATAATTTGATGCTCATGCTGCTTGATGTGGAAGAGATCCTCTAAAATAGTGCTGGCAGAAGTATAGATGATCTGTTCAGATAAGTCGCCTAGCAATTCTTTAAAAGGCTTTAAAGACTCAATTGTGGTTTCCAGAACGTCTTTTTCAAAGAAACTAACTCCCCCCAGCGAACAAAAATTTTTTATGGAAAAAAAATTTGATATATAAGTGATAATTAGTATAATGAAATCTCTAGCTAACTCTATTTAATTTTAACAAATTGCGTTCTAAAACAATATTTTTTTTACAAATTAAATTAATATTTGCTTTCCAATTTTTCGAATAAAGCTTTTTAAATTTTGGACTATAAAATTTATATATAACTTTTTTAAAAAAAAATTCAACACCTCTATGAGCGAACAAGATTTTTTTATTCGCTCACGGAGGGGGGGAGTAAGCAACTTAATTTGTGAAGAAGAATCTGATAGCGCTTTTAACGTCTGATAAGAATTTATAGTGGGCCTAATAGTATTTAAGTAGGATAGCAGCATTTCTCTAGGGACATCTGCATTTAAAAGTCTAAGTCCTTCTATCAGCGTTTTATGATGTATCTCAGACTTTAGCTCATACGCAATTCCTTCACTTGATCTCGCCAGACAAAACTGAAGACCCCTTATATTGAAAATTAATTCAGCGTCGAAAATTACAATTTTCTTCGCAAAGGCCATCATATTTGAAGTATTGATAGCAAAACTCTATGAATTCTTGTAATCATTAATCTTTATTAAACTTATTATAAGGCAGAATAGCTAAAAATAATCTTTAGATTAGGCTAAAACGGGGTGTTTTATGTTTGGGTCATGAAGTTGGGTAAAGCGTCTATTCTTTCTGTACTTCAAATCGCAGCCTCTCAGTGACTCGTGGAGCTGCTTTTTAGGTTTTTTGATCCCATTGCGATGGTTCTTGTGTCCTTGATTGTGACTGGAATGCACCTTCTCCTTCGCCATTTACTTTATAACGAGTGATGCTAATTTATAAATAAACTTAACTAAATTTCTAAAAGATCAACAATTGCAGGCTTAGGGGGTTGCTGAGGAATCTGGGCAGCTGGAGCCATATTAGGCTTGATTTCTACAGGTTTCTCAGTTTTGGCAGCTTCTGTGTGGTGGTCCATGTGCACCATTCTTCTAATAAGCATATTTTGGTTTTTTATGTCTTCGCTAAAGGTAGGCATGACGTCTAGGACTTCATTTCTGATAGCCTCATAAGTGTCTTTGCAGAGGTTATAATACTCAATAGCTCTTTGTTGGAGGTCTGGGTCTATATGCATAGTATGGTGCTCGAAGACTGGGATTGCGGACATTAGAAGGTCAGGATAGTTGTGGCTGAGCTTCATATAAGCAGTAAGGACCATACATTTGGTCTCAGATGAACATACAGGGAAATGCCTGTTTAAAATTTCAAATAAAGCTTGAGGGTTCATGTCAGGCTTGTTGACGATGTATTGGCTGAACTCACTTATCAAGTATGAGCCCATTTTCACCATTTTTTCATGGGCGTGAGAGTTATTTAAAGCGTTATACGCTTGAGTGGCTGCATATTCTTGCAGCTCTGTATCAATGCTGCTACCAAAACCAGTGACTACTTGAATTACGCGGTGCCATATATCATTTGACACATAATCCCCTGCAAAAGTAATTAGCCTTATTATTACGTCAATATACCACTTCAAATTCTGGCCAAATCTTTCTGCCAATAGTGCAGTTTTAAGCACTAGATCTTCTTTTATATTAAACTGTGCTTCAGGAAGGCTATCTAATAATTCTCCCACGATTTCATTAGCATTGCTTTGCTTACACATCCCAAAAAGTACGTCTAAAGCTCTTTTTCTGATAGAAATGTCAGGGTCTTTTAAAGAAATCATCACAGTGCTTTGGTGCCTTTCTATCATATACTGGCCATCAGGATGTTCAGCAAGCTTTGCCATCGTTTCAAGTCCTATATATCGGATATTTGGCTCTTTTACAGAAATAAACCTCCCAAGCAAGGCTGAGCATTGGGTTCTTAAGCTTTCTGGGATATTGTCTTTATAATGGATCATTAAATTGATGGCTTCAAAGAGGATTCCGTGATCAGTGTTGTTTTTATTCACATTTTTGGTGACTTCGGTCTGTGAAGTAATTTTTTCTAGAACTTCGTTGATATCTGAACAAATTCTTGGCTCTGTTGGGTAAGGGAACATCTGTAAAAGCTTGAGAAGCTTTATTTGGAGCCACGGACAAGGGGTTTGATAGTATAGATAATCAGCAGAAACTTCTTTAAGCATCACAAGTCTATAAAGATGCTGGAGAATTTTAGTAAAGCATGATATAAAATTTTCATAGCCATTTTGCCTCATCATTTCCAATAATAAGCTGCTTGTTGCCAAAAGCATCCCAACTGACCTTGTATCCATCAAATCAGATATCTTCCCACCCCATTCTGCCGGATTTATAATGGTTTTATCTTGTTTATATAGCCTTGTTAAGCAAGTAAGTGCCTTTTTGTTAACTTCGAAGTCAAGCCCAAAGCCTTCTCCTCTGATAATACGAATTACATCTTGTGAAAGCTCAGCTGTAAGCAGCTGTCCGCCTAGGTTTGCTACAGTAGATAATGCGAGGGACTGGTGAGCTATATCATAAGAAACTATATCATTTCTAATAGCGTTGACAACTTGTTCAAGATATGGAGAATTGGCATGCAAAAGGAGAGAGGCAGCCATGTAGCCAGTGAACTTTTCACTGTATCTTGGAGAGCAGATCATGTTTATTGCTTCCATATGTCCGAAATCAACGTCATAGCCAAGCATAAAACAGTAAAGAAGCTTTCACACATATTTCTTCCTATCATAAGCACTCAAGGTTTTTCTTGTATTGGAAAATAGCTCTCTTATCTTGGACATTTCTTTCAGAACTCTTTTCTCCTCTAGATCTTTACTCTGGCAGTTCCTTATGTCAGAGATAAACATAGTCAAGCCTCTCATACTAGACATTTTATAAATATTGATTATTATATTGCAAGTATAAAGCAATGTTTCTTTTCTCTAAGGAATTGATATAAATTCTATTGAGCTTTTTAAATAATTTTTTATATATAATAAAATAGTTATTTCCATCCCTAATAATTATTTTACCAGCGAAAATAAATTTATAAAAAATTCAGATGGATGAAGAAGTAAATTATAAATCACTCTATGAAGAAAAATATGAAGAATTAGAATCATTCAAAAAAGACTTCGAAGAATACCAAGGTAATTTATAAACAGAAAGCAATAAGCGCTTTGAGCTAGAAGTTGAAGAAGAAATAGAACAATTGATGGTCGCAAAACTTGAGCTGGAAAGAGAAAATAAAGCTTTGCAAGAAAAGCTAGAAAAAGCTAAAGGCTCTTTAGCTAAAAAAACTAAAGAGCTTGAAGCCATGTCTCAAAGATTGAAGACTACATCATCAACGACATCAGGAGAAATTGATGCATTAAAGCAAAGACTGAAAGAAGTGGAAACAGAAAATGAAGTTTTAAGAGGAAGAGTTAGGGAAAAAGACCAAAATATTGGCGATTTAACTAAATTTTATCATAAAACGCTAGAAGAGTTGTCATTGGCTGGGTCAGAGCTAGAGAGGATTAAAACGACAAAAGAAAAAGAGTCCCAAAAGCTGAAAGAGCATGTAAGCGAACTTACACAGGAACTGCAAATAATTAGAAGACCTAATTTGCAAGCAGCTGAACTAGAGCAGCCACCTCCAGAAAAAGATTTTAAAATTAAATTTGATACAAACGTGCAGAATAAAGATCCATTGGATATGATAGATTCCTTAATCTGACAAGAAATAAAATGGTGATGTTGATGGAAATTGAAATCTGAGGCGCAGTTCTTATGAGCAGGTAGGACAGATCCTGATGAAGCTGAAAGTAGGGCCACTGTCTTTTTTTGAAGTAGGCTTTCATGCTTTGGTGATTTATTGCCGAAGAGGGAAGTTTATTTCTCCAGTGAAACTTTCTTGTCCCTGCCAGAAGTGCTAGACGAGTTTTACCTACCAAATGGTCCTTGTCAGGACCAGCGGGGCACTTTTCAGATGGCAGCTCTGCCCAAGGGAGCTAATCTCCTGGACATGTGTTTCAGGTCGGAAATTCAAGATGGTGGCCTTCCATTTCCTCATTTGTACTATGAGGTTTGTAGAGGCCACTCTTTTGGAGCCGAGACGAGGCAAAGACTAGTGGGCTGCTCGCTTATAGCTAGATAACCTTTTAATTCAATATTTTAATCCTGACAATTTCTAACAGCTTAGACGAGTATAAATCTTCGTATGCATTGAAATAACGCAGTCTTTAACTAAGCGCTGATTATTTTTCATTAAAATTTGACAATAATAAAGCAAATAATTAAATTAAGAAAGCTTTTGCTCAATTAACCGTAAACCGAAAGGATTGTAGGTTTGAAACGCTAAAAAATCTTCATACTGATTTTCTTACTTACTTACTTACATAGTCTTTAAGGTGTCTAGTGCCCACACCCTTAATAAAAAAGGGTCAAAGCGACAACTAGTGACGTCACCAAGCCATCTTGGAATATGTGGCCAGCCCACACCCAAGCCTTCTATAAGGCTAGTCGCCAGATAAATCGCCGCACATCTCACCCGGCGGGCTCGCTCCGACTCAGCTCCTGCGCGTGTTCCGCCTAAGGGTCATCCTCCCGTGGGGACGTGCTGAGAGGTAAAACTCCGAGTGTCTTGAATGCACTGAGGAGCCGTGCCTTTGGCTATCTCCAAAGTTAAACGGCTGTTGCTGTGCAGAAGTTCTCAAGAGAAAACCCAACCCCATAAATAAAATTCCATGAGGGAGAGAAAATTGGCAGAGCCAATTTTCTCTCGAACCGAATGCCATTTTATTTATTCATACTGATTTTCAATCTTTATATTACCATTATCTCTGTTTTTATTATAAGGCATAGGACTATGATAGGAGAAATGCAGGCTAAGGAATTGCTGAATATATTTAGCACAATCTTCAATTTCCTCTATGTTTTTCAAACATAAAGTTTTGCATAAAAAGTAGCTTAAAGTGTCATGAACAATTTTTTTCTCTTCAATTTCTCCAGGTTTTTTAAGTTTAATTCCATCTCATCGTAGCAGAAGATATTCAGAGTCACTGAAAGCTTTGCTGGCCATGACATAAATTAAAGCGCCACTGGCAGTTGATGGTTTATAATTTAAAAAGGATATGTCCATAGATGCAGTGTCTAAGATTTGCATGAGTTCTCGGTATCTTTTATAGGAATATTGGTTTAGTTGCTTATAAGTTATCATTCTGAAATCTAATAGGTCTTGTTCTCTTTTCCTTGCACTTTCATTAAGTCCTTTGAAATATATTCTAAATTGTATTCGCATAAAGGTAAGCATATTTTAATGAAAAAAAATTATTATAACAAATTATAGGATACATAGGAATTGCAAGGGAAAATTCCATATTGGCTTGTTAAAAACTCATCTCACTCCCCAAGAATACAATTTAAATAAGTCACATGTGTCGGAGGGAATATTTTTCAGCCTACCAAGTACAATATTTCCCTCTCCATCGCTAATATCTCTCCTTGTGGAACCTCATATTCCGCCACTTTTACCAATTTTTTCAAACATATAGGTTTTTCTTCCTCCTTTGCTGCAATTCAAATTGCTAATAATGCAATTTTTTGTATATTATCTTTATTGATATTTGTCATTTTCATAACTGCTCGGTTCAGATGAGAAAGTGCTGTGTGGAAAGTTTCGCGATGAAGCAGCAAATCTGAACACACTTCCATCATTCAGTCTATTAAAATTGCTCTCATTAGAACAGTTAAACTGCCTAATGGGTTTTGAATTGATAAGCTATTTACTTTATATTCCTCTTCAATTAACTTAAGCTGCATTATATAATCGTCTGATTTTGGTTTTCACATCCCTTCTGTATCTTTGATTTCTCCTATCATGTCATCTAATATATTTTCTTCAATGCTCTCGAAGTCTCCAAAGCATACACATGAAGATGAGGTAATTTCAAGGTATTGTGATCCTTCTGTTGAAGATTTGCTCTCTGTTTCAATGTCCATTTCAGAGCACTCGTAGTCCATTTTTAAATTTAAATTTTAAATTATAAATAAAATAGGACTTAGTGAAATTTAGCCTTGAGGAAAAAAAGATTAGAATAAATTTTGAAGATAATTAAATGACATAGGATTAGTTAATATAAATCTTTAGATAGAGAAAAAATAAATGGCATCAAGCAATATTACTTTAGTAACAGGAAATTTGTTTAATGCATCAGAAACTTACTCGCTAGCTCACTGCGTCTCAAAAGATTTAGAAATGAGCAAAGGGATTGCATTAGAATTTAGAAATCGCTTTGGAAAAATTGATGATCTCCAATCTCAATCCCCTGAAATCGGGAAAACTCTTGTTTTACATATAGGGAATGGTAGATTTGCTTTTTATTTGATCACTAAGGATAAATATTTTCAAAAGCCGACTTATTCAAATTTGCAGAGGTCACTTGTAGATCTTCGGAATAAATGCCTAGATATGAGCATAAATAAACTAGCCATGCCAAAAATTGGGTGTGGCCTGGATAAGTTGAAATGAGATAAAGTATACCAGACAATTAATCAAGTATTTTGCGAGACAAATATTGAAATCTTGATTTACTCTTTTAAAGATATAAATTCCTTAAATAATATGGGGGAAAAGTCTAAGCTACCTGTAACAAAACTCCAACTCGCCAAAATATTTTCCCTCGGGGCTGCTTTCTTTGGTGAGGCTTCTAAAGCTTTAAAAAACAAGCCAACAAAAAAAATATCAATCAAAGAAGATAAACCTGCAAGAGAAAAATCAGAAAGCCCATCCAAGCCAAAGCAAAAAAAGCCAAAAATAGACTTATCCCCAACCCCAGGCACAGGCTTATGGGCATATATGGAAGAGAGGCTAAAAATATTAAAAAGAGAGCCATTGCACATAGGAACTCAAGAAAGTGTGCTTAAAAAGATTATTGTAAATGAGTGAAGGGGTATGGATAAAATTGACAAAGATCGCTGGAATGAAAATGGTCTAAATGAACTGCAAAAAAGAAACAAAGAGGCCAGCAAGACCCCAGTCACAAGCCCAGCAAAAGAGCAAGGATTATCGGCACCATCAAAGCCAGAAGAAGTAAAGCAGCAAACACCATTGAAAACTCCTTCGAAAGAAGAAAAAAAGAGCCACCACAAAGATGAACATCGCTCAGAGCATAAAAGCAAGAAGAAAAGCGAAAAGAAGAGATCAAGGTCAAGGTCAAGATCAAGCTCAAGCTCAGAATCTGAAGAAGAGAGATCACATAAGAAAAAACACAGGCGTAAGAAATATATAGATAAGCGTAGATCAGACTCAGAAAGCGAAAGCAGTGGTAACGAGAAATCAAAGAAAAAACATAAGAGGTCTAAGTAATTTAGCCATAATTCTAGCAATGGGGATATTTAGGATTTTAATAATTTTTTAAATAAGCGCATCATCAATCTGCATAAGCAAATTCTAATGCCAGAAAATTACATTAGGATTTTAATAATTAGCATTTATTTGTTGAAATCTATATAGAAGCATTCTCAGAATTTAAATTATAACTTAAACCTAACGTTTATAAGTTATTATTTGAAATGAATAATCCATTATTTTGCAAAAACCTAGCTCAAGCTTTTCAATTTATACCTAGAAAAAGAATTATTTCAGCCAAATCTCCTCGAGATTCCGGAGAATCTAATGCAGATCCTTTACTCCCCCCCTCCGTGAGTGAGCAAAACCATTAGAAAAATCGCTATTTTTTGCCCAAAAACCCACCCTCCTGAGCGAACATTGATATATAAGTGATATAGAGGTTTCCTCTATATAGCGCTGAAAGCGCAGACATTTTCCCAGGAGCTTTCCAAGTTCGTCGGACCAAATCGCTTTTTGGTCCGACCAAGGCATTGATTTGGTGCAACTAACCGATAAATTCCGATCAGAATTTATCGGCCTTACAGCGCCAAACATAGGAAACTTCTATAACTAGTATCATGAAATCTCGAGCTAATTCTGTTTAATTTAAACAAACTGCGTTTTTAAAACATAAAATTTTACAAATTAAATTAATATTTGCCTTCCAATTTTCAAGAAGTGGGATTTTTTTAAAATTTCGAAAAAAAAAAATTTCTATAAAATTTATATATAAACTTTTTTGTTCAATCATGGAGGGGGGGTTAGCAATCCATAACAGCTCTTTGTTTCAGTTCATCAAACCAAATGCTCGTTTATCTCCCAAGCAAATAATTCACCAAAATAGAGAAAGAATAGAAGATGTATTATTGAGAAAAGGAAAGGAATCCAAAGAAAAAAAAGAAATAGAGAAAACCAAATGGATTGCTGAAAGAATGTCGCATTTTACTTATTCCCCAAAAATTAACAAGCAGTCAAAGAAATTGATAGAAAAAAAAGACCAAATAGCCTTTTGCAGCACAGAACTAGCTAGCTCAGCAAGAAGAAGGTCGAACTCTTTATCTGTGATTTCAAATTCTGTTAGTACAAATATTAATAAAAATGAAAGAGCCGCTAAAGGGCACCATATTGCAAGCAATTCATGCTCTAATTTCGATGATTCAATAAAAGCAAAGAAAATAATTCCTCAGTCAGCCAAAGAAAATCCTTGCCATTCTAGGGCGAAAAATAAAAGTCAACCAATATGCTTGATGATACCTTCTAAAAATGACCCAAATTACCCTCATGATGATGGCTTCGATCAATCAAGTAATTGGCATGCAAGTGATTTAGTAGAAAAAGATAAGGAAAACTGCTCAAAACATAGTGTTAATAAAAAACTGAGGAATTGCAAAAAAGTTATAAAATCCCAACCAAATAGCTGCAATAACAGTAAAGTTTTAAAAAATTCATTTTTGACAGAAGCTTCTATTGATTCTGCCCATGCAAAAGATATTGCTCGAAACTGCTCTATAGAAATTAAAACAGCCAGAATATATAAAAAAATAATCGAAGACCGTAAAAAGATGTGCAGTCTAATAAATAATTAATGTAAATCTCTTAAAGAACTGCTCCGGGGCGCCTTCCTCTTACATTATGGCATTGGCATTCTTGCTCAGGCTTCATGCATGCTGTACAATAGCTTTGCCCGCACCTACATTTGTAATTTTGATTTAAATTTTCCACCTTGTTCATGGCATTACAATTTTTGCATTTCAAACTTACATATGCTGGCGGGGCATTAATAGCTGGCTTATTCCCTGGATCAGTCCTTATACAAGCGCAAACATCAAGCAATCTTTTGCAGACTCCACAAATTTTTTTCCTGCAGGATGGACATATAAATTCTTCTTGATTTTGGGGTTTTTCGAACTTTTCTTTACATTGGCCATTTGGACAAGTCATTAACTCTCCTTCTATTAATTTCATTACACCGTTTTCTTCGTATTTCTCTAAGTCTTCTCTTGATAAAAGCATAGTCAAATCATTCATGCTGATATCTTTTTTACAGCTGCTGTTTGGACATTTAATCTCAGTTATTCCATTTAATACTTGCATGTGAAAGTAATCTTCAATACAGGCTTTATGAAACATATGTGGACAGTTTTCCAAAACGGAGCATTCGTTGTATGACATATCATTTGTGCATAAAGAGCACTCCAAAGCAGATTGATTTCTTATTAAATCAGTTTCAGGAACTGAATCAAGTGCTCTCATCATATCAAGAAGATCCAAAGCTTCTTTTTCTACACTTTTGTATTGAGCTTCAGCTTGTTCTTGTACGCTTCTCTTGGTTTCTTGATTTTTTCTTTTAGGGAAAGGAATATCTGACGTAAGAAAGCTGTTAAAGATTTTCATTGCGGTTTCGACTTCTCCAATATATAAATTTTCTTCTATTCTCTCGCGCAAATCTAAAGAGATTTCGTGCGTTTCTGATTTTTGGTAAAGGATTCTAAGAAAATTGAAAATTTCAGATAGAGAAAGGCTAGCTTTATTGTGAACTATCCCCGCAAGGTAAATTGCTTGTGGAGGTAGCCCTTTGGAAAATCCTATAACAGCTTTAAGGTCATTTCGGCAGTCACCAGTAAGCATTGGGTTATAAAAATCCAATATTAATAAAATAAAAATGACTAGCTTTTCTAACTCCCCTACCGTTAATAAGCAAGCTATTGTATATTAAAGAGGATTTTTGCAAAATATTTTCAAATAGTGAATTTTTATATGAATAAATAGAATTTTGCTTATTATTGGGCAAATTTTGGGCATTTAACCAATAATAAGCAAATTTCAGTCTATTATATAAAATTTACAATTTGAAAATTTGTGCAAAATCCCCTTGAATAACAAGAATTTGCTTATTACTGTGAGTAAACACATAAAGAAACTTAATATATTTAGAAAGGATTTACAATTATATGTATTTTTAAGCGTCTGCCTATTTAACCTTCAGCCTCTTTCCAATCTTCAAGCTTCTGCTTCATAGTAGCTATATTATTTTCTAATCCTTCAAGCACAAAATCAATACTAGGCTGAACCAGCAAATTCAAGCACTTCCAAACAGGCACCACAACATAATTCAAAAAGCCGATTTCATTTGAATAATAAACTTGAGGCCTATCCAAATCTTTCATAAAAACACTTAAAGGCAGGCCATTTCTTTCTTCATCAGCATATTGGTCCGAAAATTCTTGACAAACCAGCATTGATCACATTTCATAAATCCTAAATGGCTTGGTCGGGTGAGCTAAATCAGCACAATGCAAAATTAATTGCCCTAATTTTTCTTTATCTTTCGCCACTTTTCCTATAGGATTTATTAATAAATCATTAAATCTCGCAGTCATATTTGAAATCATAGAAATGTGTTTTGACATATCAGTTCCTAATATTGCCATAATTATCATTTTTCTAATATTCATATAATTTTCTCTTGATACTGCTTTTAGTATATTATTTTTGTCATCTTGAAGCGTTTGGAATGCAACAGCTGCATGATGCTGTTCTAATACACTTTTATCATGATATAATATAGAAAACTCTGATCTGGAATTTACTTCATACATATTCGTTCTTCCTGTGTGGTCTAAATCATGGCAAATTCCTGCAACTAGTAGAGCGAGGATGTCGTTTACTTCAAAATAGCCTCCTGCAGGGGTTATAGAAAGCAGCATATAACTGGCATGCATGACATTAAAACAATGATAAAAATTATGAAAAGGGTTTTTCCTTTGCTCGCATATATTTTTGAGACTAGAAATGAAGCTAAATAGAGTGTTTTCTTCAATCTTAAAGGTAGCTATTAAACTGAAATCATGAAACATCGTATAAATCCAGTTAAACTCGTTATCTACTTGAAAAGCGTTCAGATTCCAATTGCGCAGGACTTCTAAAGGTACTATTTTGTCTTGTGTAGGCATTGTAAACGTAAATTCATGCAGTGGGGAACTGTCTTTTTCAAACTGATCAGCTGTGGTCATATTCAGAATCGATCGCAGTTTATCATTTAAATTTGGAGCCTTTGGCTTGGTAAGTCCACCTGCTTTTAGTCTTCCTATGATTTCTTGGATTTGTTCACTGATATGCTCATTCCCTACATTTGAAGATATAAAATTCAGCTCACTGATGCAAACTTGAAGCTGAGTTTCAGTATTAAACGGAACAGCCATAGACCTTAAATGGTTTTGAACTTCTTTGAACTCAGACTGAAGCGCTTCTAAAGCACTTGCATCTTCTAATATCACAACAACTCCAGTCAAATAGTCTGTGTTAGAGCTTTGTAGCTGCATAATTCTATAATTAAAAGTTTTATTTGCGTTTTTCCCATCAATTTCTGTTTGGAACGACGAAATTTTTCTGCCTGCTTTTTTTATTTTTTGTGATGTTTTTCTTATTTTTTGCTCAGGATTATGCATGACAGTCCCAATATCCTCTATCAGCTGCCTATTTCCATGCAGCCAAGCAAAGTATGATAATTTAGCAACTTCTCCTTCAGAAACACCAAATATCGGCTCAATTGGCTTATTAGTATAATAAAGCTTCTCTTCATTATTGATTACTAATATATAATCAGCTATAGAATTTGATATTTCTAATAAAGTCGATTTTTCTTCAATTATTTTCCTTATAAGTTCCCCATTCTGTATAAAAGCGATCATAATTTCTGCAAAATCTTCTAATGCAGGGATTTCTTTTTCTGTAAAAAAGCCATTTCGCTTGTTTATCAGCTGAAGAACCCCAATGACTTTACCATATGAGTCAACCAATGGCATACACATCATATTAGAAGTTTTATACCCTGATAGCTTGTCAATTTTAGGGTCGAACCGTTTATCAGAATACACAGACTCAATTATTTCGGTCTTTCGATTCAAAGCTACAAATCCAGCTATTCCTTGGCCGATTTCGAGTGAGTGTCCTTCAGGGGCTTCATGTTCTAGTCCTTGAGGCCTTATTGTTAATTTAGATCCTTTAAGTGAATAAATTACTGATAGCTCGCAGTCAAATAAATGCTGAGCAGCTGTCCTAATAGTAATCAAAGTTGAGTTATTTTTATAGTTAGCTGCAGCTTGGCAAATAGTTTGTGTTAGCTGCTTTAAAGATTCGCTTGAAGGTGTTGGGTTGTCTTTTATAGGATTTGCTAATGATTTTACAAACTCTAATAAAAATTGTTCATCTTGTGAGGTAAAATCTATATATGATCTTAATGTTGCATCTTTTTTATTGATAACTCTAAGCATTGCTATACATTCTGCGTTAAAAAATATTGGGACATAAATAATTGAATAAGAATTCGAATTTGGCTGTGAAGTCACTGTAATCCCATCTTTGAAGATTTTATTATAAAAAGAAATTTCTTGATCTGCATATTGAGTTGCAACAAAAATCTGCTCTTTCGAAAACTCATAATATCCATCATAGTCTTTATAAATAATCGTACATTTCTCTGCATTAGTTACTGCATTAATCACATCAAAGGCTGTTTGCAATAGATTTTCAAATTTTTCTTGTGTGACAACCTTAAAAGCTACTTCCTTACAAAACGCCAATTTTTGAAAAGTGCTGTTAGATACTGAATAAATTTGCTTATATCACTGCTTAAACATAGTCATTTTCCTATAGTCTTCAACAACGCTTTTTCAGTTATTAGAATCTTTGTCAGTGCACAGAGAAATTTCTCATAAAATAAAAGCTAATGATTTTATGCTTGATATTTCCTCTTCTGATAATTCATGGTCGAAATTGACAAAAATGATGACTCCTAGAATATTCCCAGAAATATGCATGACTGGGACAAGTAAAATTGAGTCTACTGGGGAAGTGCTGTGAAAAGCATCAATATCAAGAGAAAAATCAAGGTTTAAAAAAGCTTTGGAAGGGATGTAAATTGTGTTGCGATCGTCTATGCATTTTTTAACGAGCCCTTTTGGGGGTAAAGGGAATTTTCTGTAAAAATCTATATCTATTTATGTAGACTTAATATTTATAAATTTATTTTCTATGAGGAATAGGCGCATCATTTAATCTGTCCTAATGAGAATAATATTTGATTTCTAAAATTATCATACAAATAAAGTGATGATTTTTTACAATTAACAATTTTTGAAAGACTCTCTGTAAAATCTTTAAGAGGCTCTTCTGAATATTGTATTGAAAAAAGGCTGCTTTTTAATCCTTCTAGTTTCTCAAATGGCATGCTAATAACTGTTGTGATGTTTTTGACAAATCGTTCTTTTTTACTATTTTTTGATCTAAGCTCTATCATATCAAAAGATTCCAATCTTCCTCTAGATAGTGGAATTGATCCTGAGCGATGAAAATTTCCTCTGATTTTTAATTTTGATTCCTCAAAAAAGGTAGGAGGACTTTTCATTAAAATATCAGCAGATTTTGGCTCACTCCCCCCGTTTAATTTGGAACAAAAAATAACTTTCCAATTTAAAGGGTTTATTTTTTAAAAAACAAATTATATTAAATTTTCCCTATATAAAAAAATTAAAATTGAATGCAATACTTTAGATTTTATCTATTTTTATGAAGAATTAATTAAAAATTAAATTGCTTCAGTGTGAAAACTGTTTAGATATTATTCTACTTGAACTTTTCCCACTAATTAAATCAAAAAAACTTATAAAAGTAAGTATTTTCGCTTATAAAATTTTTGTATTGAAAAAATTTGATGCAATTGAAAGGACCCAAAATTGAAAATTTACCTATATTTTGTACAAATTTTAAAAGGGGGAGATTCAGTAACTATATATGGTCAATCAGGCAGGAATTGCATAAATAAAGAATCAAAAATCCTACCTAACCCCATAGTGAATTTTTCAAGCATCCAAATCTCATCTTTAGAAAACGGAGGAGACTCCCTTGTAATAAGAATCACTCCTGTAACTGGATCTTTTAATTTTTCTCCCAGAATTGCAGTGCATAATACATCTTTGTCTTTATAAATATCAATATCTCCTAAATCATCAAATTCTTCATTAGGAAGATGCACAGTGCTTCTCAAATCATATGCATTTCATAATAAAGTTTCTTGAGACCTCGGCACCACAGTGATATCAGAAAACTCCGAAGTGGTTCACAGGCTTTTTTCATGCTGATCTGCAATATAAACACTACATGAATCCACTTGTATTATTTTGCAGATTTTTCGCTTAATTTCTCTGATCATTTCTCCGTAATCAAATAACTTTCCAGACTTTTTTAAGGTATAGTGATAGAAGCTGTTAATAATTCCTTTAACTTCTTCAGATGTTATTGAGTTTTCAATGAATTTAGTCTTATCGACGAAGTTTTGTATAGAAATATTGCCAAGCATCTTGCAGATTTCTTCACCAAGCAACTCGTCTATTTTTTTGAATTCTTGGATTTCTCTGAAGAAAAATAAGGCACCAATTTTTTCATTTTGAGGAGATTTTATTGGACAAATTAAGCAGTTTTTATATAAGGAGGAAACTGTTTTGGAACATAGAGGCTCACTTTGTAAATCACGGATGTTTATGATTTCATTATAAGAGATCACTCGATATTCAGAGAATTTTTCGACTGCTTCTAAATCTAGTTTTTCGCCTGCAGATATAAAAGTATGAAGGCTTCCATGGTTGTTTAGCAGGAGTACTGTAGATACGCTGTCCATAATATCATTCATAACCTTTATTATGCTGCAATTTACAGTAGGATTTGCTTCTAAAATATATTGGATTTCAGTTAATAATCTTTTTCTTCTAGTAATGTGATTCACAGTTTTGAAAAGATCAATTTGGTCTGACAGAAAGCTGGCGCTTTGTGAATAATCGAATTTCACATCAAAATATTTATTCCTAGAATGCAAAATTTCTAGAATTCTATAAAATTTCAAAAAAATAAAATATTTATAAAAAATCATTGAAATTATTTTTTCCCAAAATTTCCCCAAAAAGTCTTCCAATACTTTGAACAGTATTGACATCCTCATTTGTAAACATATTAGCTGAGTTCGTTCTTTCCTGCTTGTTAAACAGCTGCACCACGCCATACAGTTTCTGATCAATGTCCTAAATATTAATTACAAATAATGGAATGCATGCAGTCGATGTAGGCTTGGTAGCTGTTTTTGTAAGTGTTGAATAAGCAGACAATTTAATAGAAAATTGTGCATAAAATACTGATGTGTGTGAATTGGTTATAGGAGTTTCCTATGTTTGGCGCTGTAAGGCCGATAAATTCTGATCGGAATTTATCGGTTGGTTGCACCAAATCAATGCCTTGGTCGGACCAAAAAGCGATTTGGTCCGACGAACTAGGAAAGCTCATGGGAAAATGTCTGCGCTTTCAGCGTTATATAGAGGAAACCTCTATATAAGTATCGGCTCTTGCTTGGACGCAGTCAATCCTGGTAAAGATGTTGTTTCATCAATTATTAATGTTTGTATTGATTGTTTTCTTCCGCATACCCGGAGTGCATTGTCCTCAAGTAATAACAATTCAACTCAATTAGAATGAGTGAAGGATTTATGCTGATTAAATATGAGTTTTTATTAAATATTTATATGACTAAATTATATATATTTATATATAAAATAGGTATAATTAAATTTACAAATGTGTCTTGGATGCTTTCAATTGAGGCTTTTTCTGGATCAATTATTTGTGACAGCTTTTCGAATAAACTCGTCGACAGTAAATTTTCTTCTTCCTTTATTGAAACATGTCGAGGAGTGTAAAGAGTGGTTGATCGAGCCCCACAAAAAAATTCTGATTTCCTTCTTGTATTTTTTCTGGTAGAACTTCGGGTGAATTGCTCCATTATTTGATGATATAATATTTTAAATTTCAGCCTTTTATGATCTAAATATGTCACAGAATTAAACTATCTTTAAATTTAATAGCGAATAAAAAAATCTAAATAGTGAGGTAAATCAGCAATAATAAGCACTTTCTCAAAATAATGATGAGGTGCAATACGAAATTAAAAAAAAGGATGGAAATTATTACTGAGAATTATGACTTTTTTAGGAATGTCATAATTAATCCTATAAGAATTTATGGAAATAATGAGCTTTTGCTAATTTAAAAATACGCCATTTAGATTATTATTTTAGCGTATAATTGCATTATATATGCATGAAAGTGAGCAATCAGTATAAATATATTAAAAATTAATTAAACAGCCTATTTAATCAAGATATAAATTAGTAACCTCATATAATATAAATTGTTAATACTTATATAAAATATCTATTTATGTTATGTATAGAAAGTGATTCACTGCAAATTATTATTTTTAATCTGTTTTATCTTTTTCTGGCAAATCATCCAGATAATGTCTGTTTGGATCAACTCTATAACTCCATTTTTGATATAAGTAAATCACAAATATAATATCATCTCTAAAGCAAGCTAATCTGTGCATTATTGGCATAGCTATTATAAACGCAAACATATCATCAATAAACGTATTCAGCGCTTTATAAGTAAGAACTTTCCAAGGCATATGGGCAACAGACTTCAGCTTATAATTAATATAAAGCTGAGGTGTCATCATAATAAACCCAGCCGTATATATAAAAGTCGCCAAAGTCCCTATAAACCAAGACCACCAACTTTTATATTCATAAGCATACAATGAATAAATGCTAAATATCAGTATTAAAGGCATCAAAATATACGACAAATACTTTGCAGCGACATTATCAAGCAGATCGGTTCCGCCTTCTTTGTGTGCTTCTTTTCCTTTAACTGACAGAAAAGGAAAAGTATTTTTTATAGAAATATCAAACCCTTTTGTAAGCTTTCATAGCTCAATAACAATCCCAACTGTCATAGGTAGCCAAACAGCCCATGAGGTTTCTCCAGTGTCTAAAAGATACAGTAAAATGATAATACTTGAGACAAAATTATAAAGCAGCATATTTGTAGAGAGCCCTTTTAAGTTTTGGCGACCTTTCCAAAACTCAATTTCACTTTTAAATGCCATGAACTCAAAAATCATGTGTACAAATGACACAACTAAGGTGAGTCCAAGAAAGTATGGGTTGGTTTCTAGAAACATACGCTTCATTAAGTCGTATTCATGCTCGCTCTGAAGGCCATAAGTGCTTCCGATTGTTTGACTAAGCTCAAACTGCTTCATCATGAAATATTTGTAAACCCAGTAGGAGTCGTATGTAAGTTTTAATTTTACTTCTGAAAGAGTTGAGTTTAGAGGGATCAATTTGTCTTTGAGAACCCAAAAATCAGAAAGAAGAATTATTGGATAGTAATGGGTGTTTTGGTAAATTTGGATTACATCAGCTATTTGGGGTGGGAAATCAGAATAAACATTGACGTCGTGAACAGCATGAATTTCTATTTCAGGGATAAAGTGCATAGCTTTTTTTTCGTCTTCAGCACTTTTTACCACTGGTTCTCCACTCATTAGATTTACTGTTGTTTCTTTTGCAAAAGTCACGTATTTTGTTAATTTTTTCTTAGCAGAATATAAAACCGGATTTTGAAATCTTGATGTATGTAAAATAAACTCTGCATTTAAACTTGCTGTCCCATTTGTTTGTAGATAAGATGTTAATGGGATTGATACATCAAGCTCTCTATGGTTTTCTGGTGCGAAATCATATGTCAGCCCATACTGTTCCCAAATCAATTCTGGATTAGAACCAGGCTCATCAGAAGAAAAAAATATCTTAAAGTCTATTTTGTCCCCATCTTGAAGTATATTTGGATATGTTATTTTTGGAGGTTTAGGCAAAGAGCTCGATGATTTTGATGTTGACGATGAAGTAAAAAACATCTCTGCTAATTTAGAAAAAACAAAGTAAAGTATCACAAAGTTTAATATTGTAGACAAAAAACCTCTCCCGCCTGCTTGATTACCTTCTTGTGGAGCTTGCTGAGCTGGCTGATTCCCTGGCTGCATATTTATCTAATTAAAATGGAAGCTTGCTTTTCATCCTCATGAGAAATTAAATTAATTTAAGCATTTATGTAAGTGATGATTTACGCTCAAAATAGAAGTAAATAGAAAAATAGTATGATATTTGTGTAGAAAAGTAATCCTTTGAAGAGATTTATTTCAGAAATAAATTTAAAACATTTTGACTTTATGTATTTATTATTTTACTTATTCAAAATTTAAGCTTGAAATTTCTTATTATTAAATCTAGCTTTACTACACTGGACTTATCAATTACTTAATAAGCTAATTATCGTAAATTTTAAAATGGAAGTTAGCGAATACTCTCTAAACTCACTAGTCAATAAAAGATTCGAAGAATTTCTACAAGAATCACACGATGAAATGCACCAATTTTTTGAAGCCCACAGAGCAGCTAATGTAGAGGTATTCACTAACTCCCTCCATAAGTGAGGAAATTTTTAATAGTGTGAATTTTTTTAAATCAACTTTAATTTATAAAATTATCTTTTAGAATGCAAATTAGTTAGAGTTTCATTTTAATAATTATTGTTTATGTATAAAAAACAATTTTTGCTCCCAGAAGTGAGTTTTCTACCTAAAAATCAGATTTTTTAAAGAGTTTGCTCGCTCATAAGAGTAACGAAAAAAAAGTGCTCCAAGAAAAAATCGAATCTCAAATAAATGAAATTAACCAACTCAAAGCTACTACACTTTGCCTCTTCAACCTGTAGATTTGACAAGTGAAAACCATAGTGACACTTTTCAACTTGTGGGTTGACTTGACAATTAATGTTACCCGAGTTACCCCACAGATTGAGGCAGCAAAGTATAGTCCAGGCCATCCAAAGTAGGCTCTGGGCTATACTATTTAACCATTATAAAGCAGAAAAATCAAAATCCAAGTTTCATGCATATCTTGTATGTAAAAATGTGAATGGAAAAAGAGTAAAGAAAAAGGTTATGGACTCATGAAAAGACTTTTTAGTTGATAGTTTAAAGAAGAAAAAGATGAATGAATATTTAGCCACTTTTTATAAGCGTGGGCTGCTTAAAAGATCGTGCAGAGGCTGAAAAAATGAGCTGCAAGTAAATCAGCGGAAAAATATAGATCAAGCCACTGAAAGAAAAATTAGAGAAGCTGTAGAGAAAGCTGTTAAGGAAAGGAACCAAGAGCTAGAAATTTTAAGGAAAATGGTTACTGAAATATCTGATGATCTGAAAAATGAAAATCTGGCAAAAAATCATCTTCAGTACCAATGTGATCAAGCACTATTAAGAAGCATGTCTGCATTGCATCTTGAAAATATGACAATAAGGCAAGTAAGTATCGAGAATAATAAAGCTTTAACACAAACTAGCAGAAATTTATTGTTTACACCAGATAAAGCAGCAGTTTTTAGATAAATGCTTATTAGTTAACTATTTAAATAGAGTTATATTTTAATTTACTTCTTTAAAATCATAAGTTACTGCTTATGACTAATTTTTTATTGAATTAATTTTGAAGTATTTTATTACTGTCCACAAATATGGGGTTTCCTTTTTAGTTAAAACAGTTCTGACTCCCCCCCTTTAAATTGGAACAAAAAATTTTTGTTCCAGATTAAAGGGGGTAAGAAATTTTTTTGTTATAAAAAATCAATATAAAATTTATATAAAAAGATTTATAGTTCAATTTTGTGTTTGAATTTTTTTTAATTTCTTCAAAGTGTTAATTTCTTGGAAAATTAATTCCTAAATTTCTCATTCTCAAAGTGTAAATTTGCCGAAATAATATTCTTTTAACTCTCCCCCTTTAAAATTGAAACAAAATAATGTTTAATTTTTGATTCTGCATATTAAATTGAATATTAAGATAAGTATATATAAATTATGATTTTTGCCTATAAAATTTTTTATTATAAAATTGAATTTGTTCCAATTTAAAAGGCTTAACTCCCCAAAAAAATGGAAATTTTTACCTATATTTTGTTCCAATTTAAAGGGGGGAGTGAGTCAAATAAGAATAAATTTTCGAAAAAAGCAATAATATTTTATTATTTAGCTTCTCTGTAAAAAATTAACTTTTGAAAACTAAATTCTTTTATTAATAAGCAAATAAAAGTAATATAATGGCAGAATTTATAAATTTTTTAGAATAAATATGATCTTTTTATTAAACAAAAATCTATCTTTTCCATTTAAAATGTGAATTGACTGATGAAAATAAAGAAAAATATTTCGATAATTAAATAATAGATTTACAGTGCAATGTCAGAGGCTAACAAAAAAATTAAGAGAAATTCTTTAATTTATCCTTTATTTCCCATAGCATCCCCATCACCACAAAAGCTTATCAGCCCAAAATCTTTAAAAAAACTGATAAAACCGCTTCATAAGCGAGCACAATCAGATATAGTCAATCCCTATCTAGACCATCGAGATCTTATTAACTTAAAAGCTTCCACAAAACTATCACGACAAAATATCCAGGAAACCAAAAATTCGCCACAAATCCCAAAAAAATCAAAATTATCCTCAATTATTCAACCAAAAATTATTTCAAAGCCCAACTTAATTATAAAAAAATCTGAAAAAATGCCTAACCCTGATATTATGCTGACTGAGCTACAAGGTGAACCTGTATTTAAAGCCCCAAAGCGGTTTTCTAACCAATTTTTTACTGATGTTTATGACATTGATGGAAATCACGACAGAATTGAAGTAGAAGACTCTATGGAGTTATTCAGTGAGCTTGAATCAAATAAAATTATGCTAGATCCCTGCACAACTTTTTATATTTCTGATCTTGAAAAGGAAGCATCGCCTACAAAAAAATCAATAAAAGTGCAAGATAGCAGTTACATAGAAAAATCAAGAGAAATCCCTGATGATTCAGTAAAAAAACTTTCAGTTGGACAAGAATTCTTTTGCAAACTTAATAAAATGCTGAATGAGCAGGACCAAGATTATCAAAGTGAAGAAACGGCTCCATGTCAAATGACTATGGATTTTTGATATTGTACATTTCATCTAAATGCATTTGGTCGAAAATTTTTTGATAGTCCGACGTTTGGCCGAAAAATTAACGTTTTTTTCTGGTCAAATGTCTCACTATCAAAAATTTTTCTACCATTTTTCGGCCAAAAATTTTCGGTGTGAAATGGGCGTTATCAAAAAGGCAGTGCCATTTGGCCTGCACCCGAAGAAACAACCAGCATAAGTGGTGGAAAATCAAGGGTGTAGCATAAAATATTAATTAATTAATATTTTTCAATAGAATTTTGCAGAGTAAATAAATTGATTTTATTTAATAAATGATGATAAAAAATGTATAAATAACTGTAGACTTGCTTAATTATCTTAAAAGTCCTGATCCCAATTTTCTGGACAGTGTCTTGGACGTCTGCTTTTTCCTGGTGGGATTTCTTCTGAGTTTTCTTCTCTAGTTATGACATCGTCTAGTGGCCTATTTTGTTTAAGAGCAGATTGGATATCTCTAGACAGATCATTTACCCTTGGAATATAAGGTGGCCTAATTTCTCTTGTCAAAAGATGTTCCTATATAATCCCCACTTCCTGAAGCGCCGTGCATTATGCAGGCGAACCCCTGAGAGATGCTCCCTTAAGGCAGATCGAGCCCTGACCGAAACCTCCAGCTTCTCGGTAAAGGCATTTTCTCCTGGCCTGGTCAAAGCCAGCTTTTGCCAATCTCTATTTCCAACCCAAGTGCCAAAATTGCCCAACACTTTTTCTCCCGGATCATCTCCGAAGAAAAAACTCAATGGGTTTGCGCAGATTCGGGACAGGCCATAAAAGCAGCTTAGGTGGGTAAGTTCGCCCTGCCTCTATGGATACCCACTGCTGGCAAAAAGATGCAAAACTGCCGCTCAAGCCAGGCCACTAATCAGCGGAAATAGTACTGGGGCTCTCACTTCAAGGTGAACCAACCCTTAGGCAGTTCTTTGCACAAAAAACCAGTCCAGATAAGACACACGCCATGGCAAGGACAGGTCGTTCATCACCAGCATTTTATGTATACTACAAGATATTCCTATATATTTTTTTACCCAATTAAATCCTTGGAACCACTGATGGTTCTTCAAATTATCAATGCTTCCTCCAGTTCTCATCGCTGGCTGTTTACTTAACAACTGCTCTATAATTGGCTTAGCTGGCATATTCCTGCTACAAAATGAAGGATAAGATAGCTTACGTTCAAGTACCTTTTCATAAATGGCGTATGGGTCGTCTAAGTCTTCTCCAAATGGTACACCTCCACATAAGAACTCATACAGCATAATCCCTACGCTCCAAAAATCAGCTGAGTGGCCGTATCCTTTTCCAATGATAATTTCAGGAGCCATATAATGAGGAGTCCCTACAATGGTATAAGTTCTTCCATGGACAATTTTCGATATACCAAAATCAATTAGTTTAGGGTAGCCTTCGTCATCTACCATTACATTTTCTGGCTTGAGATCTCTATAAATGATGTCACGCTCATGCAAATGCTCTAAAATCACTATTAAACAGCCTATGAAAAATTTTGACTCTTGGTCAGAAACTTCGTTCATTTGTCGGAGGACGTCGAATAGGTCCATTCCTCTTACAAATTCCATTAAAAAGTAAATTCTTTTAGGATCTTTAAAGCTTCTCACAAGTTTCACGATCAAAGAGTGGTCGAGCTGGTTTAAAATAGCGCGCTCCAGAATTAAATTTTCTTGGATTTCATAGCGTTCAATTTTTCGTCTATCCACAGTTTTAAGTGCATACAAGCGGTTTTGCTGCTTGTGGACAACCAAAAATACGTTCCCAAACATCCCTTTTCCTAGTACTTTTACAATAGCAAGGTCATTTAGTGTTATATTATCGTCTTGCAGCTCAATTCTCTTAATCAGCTGTGTTCTAATATTTTCGTCTATAGCTTGTAAAAAGTCTTGCTGATGTAAAATCCAGCAAGACACATTTCCTTTGGCAACAACAGTGGCTGTCCTATGGTCTCCAAACAGTACACTTCTTTCTCCAAAATAGTCGTGTTTTGTTATTGTTCTCACTCCTACCCCATCTTTTAAGACATCGACTTTTCCTGATTTTATGATAAAAAATGAATCTCCAGGGTCATTTTGACGTACAATTACAGATCCATCTTCAAATTCGACTACTCTTAAAGCTCTATGCAAGGCACTGAATCTTTCTGAAGATAGGCCTCTTAATACCTGAACCCTTCTGAGTACAGTAATAGCTTCGTTATCAGTGGCGATTTGCTCATAATGCCCACCAATACACTCTTCAAACTCACTTCTATTAATTTCAGCTATATCTGAGTCTCCATCAGAAACAATATCTTCTATATAAAGCCCATTTTCAAACTGCGTTATTTCGACATCTCCTAAACATTGGAAAACTTCAGCGGCAGGTCTCTCACTTCTATATTTCAGCTGTCCTCTGAGGACAATTAATAGCACAGCTCCTTTATTTGTGTTTCTTGGAATGGCGACTTCATTTTTCCTTAAGGACCTGACTCTGAGAGAATTGAGAAGTTTTGCTTTCTGCTCATGGGTTAATCGGCTTAAAATTTGGCTTCCGTCCATAGCAATTCTTTTGGTATTTTGATAAATAACCTGCTGTAGGTGGTTTCCTAAGGCTTTAGTCAGTTTTTCTCGTCCTATAGCTACACATTTTACGTCAGTTACTGCAACTATGCTGGCTGTTCTTACACAGTTATAAAGAAGGGCTTGTTCACCGAAATAATCTCCTCTTGCCATTTGTCTGATTTCTCTGCCTTCTTGTAGACAAGAAACTAAGCCTTCTTTTATTAAAAAGAATAAATCGCCTGGGTCACCTTCGTTTACTATTCTTTCACTTGGGCGGAATTTTAGTGTAGATAAAGAACTTACTAAAGAGTCTTTTTGTGCGGTCGTTAATATATGGAATAAAGGCACACTTTCAATAAATTGTTTATTTTCTTGGTAATTTTGAGCGTTGAGACTTTCTACTGCATTTCTGAACGTCCTTCTGTCAAGTCCCCACATTGTGACCCTTTCTGCTGTTTTTATTGTTGCAGATCTTGGTGAATCGTGAAGTAAAGCGAGCTCTCCAAAGCTATCATTTGCGCTCAAAGTATTTATCTCTATTTGCTTAAATTTGGCATAAAAATGTATAAATAATTATAAATTGTCAAATTTTTTAGTTAAAAGCATACTTTTTTACCGTTAACATACACATCAAGTTTTCCTGATGCCACAATGAAGAAATTAATCCCAGGCTGATCTTGTTCAAACACAATTTCATTTGGTCCTAGTGTAAAATGCTTCATGTGGTCAATAAGCACAGCTCGGTTTTCATCAGTGAGGCTGGTGAAAATGAAATTTCTGTTCAAAGCGTTTGTAATCACTTCTAAGTCCCTACCAGATTTTGGCTTATCAACCACTAATGCATTTGGAGCATCAATTGACACTCGACTAGTCAAGCGGGCATCAATAACAGGGGCTTTTTTCTTGATAGGGTTTCTTGGAGCTTCTCTTCTGATTACTGACTTCTTTTCTTCTTCAAAAGAGGACATATGGCTGGAAGCATCGAGTTTAGCCTTCATTTCCATAGTTATTTTCAAATACTTTAAATGGAGTAATGCGAAGTATGAATGGCTCCATGGCTAATCTTATATAAAGATATCAAGGTTGTTGAAATTTTATACTTCGAGAAATAATTAACATGCCTGAATGCTGCTTTGGTTATTGTATTAGTGGAGCCCGTTGGTATATTATTTGAAATTTAGATATTAATATTATGAATGAGAATGCTTTTTCAGCAAATAATGAATATTATAAGTGAGCTATTAATTTTTACGGCAGAATGCTTTATTCTGGCTGAAATTATACTGTGTTATGACTAATATGGTTTAAATTGAATATTTTGATATATATATGATATTGAGATAAATAAGTATAAATTTAAAAAATAGACCAGATTATTGGAGAATAAATTTTAATACAAAACTAACATAGAATGCAAGCAATTTTGCTCCTTTTATAAGCAATTTTTTGATTTTTAAAGTGAAAATAATTAGATCAAATTTGATGCTTATAATAAAAATAATTATATTTGCCATCTAAACTTTTGGTCCGGGCGGGCATAGTCTCCCAGTTATAGCATAAACTGCATATTTAATTTGTCCAGCATGGTTTATGCGACCCAAAAATGGACAGCTATTCTAGGCAAGCAGTTTGGTAATGTTTGAGCCTAGCTCCTATCCGCTTTCAGAATAGGATTTTTACTATAGGGTTTTACCCTGTGCAGCCTTATATGCGACTTTAAATGGAATTTCTCAAGGATCATCTAAAAGATAAATCTTGGATGAGTAAGGGTTATGCTCTGGGCTAAAGCTATCATTTCTCAATTATACTGAGTCTACTTTAATTTACCTTGAAAATTGTATCTTGAGTTTGAAAGGGGGATCCAACAAAGCCTAAAGTAATGCCTAAGCTATCTGGCGATTCTCCTACGTGAAACCGAGAGCCAAGCCTCTGACTTTTAAGTTTGCCCTTTTTGCCGAGAGTCGATCAGAAATTCCATAATCTGTCTACTCAAAGTTGGAGCCCACATGACAAGGAGTAAATAGAGACATAGAGCTCTACTTATGAATCCTATGGTATCAGACAAAGATGGTGCTCGAGCTAACTTTTTAAGCGAATTCATCATCTCAATTAGGGCAAGCTCTCCAGGTGAAGTCATAAAGCGTGGATTTCTTTAGGTGGTCCTTATTAATGCTTGGCAGCAGCCAAGCCTATAATATATTTAAGCTAATTTGAGTTTAAGCCATCTAATCTGTTGAGATAAGCCAGTATTAATTATTCTAAAATTATTTAATATGAAGATAATCAGAAATGAAAATATTAAAAGCAACTTCTCATCAAAAATAAATTATAACTTATCAACATTTTATTTGAATCAGAAAATGATGGATAAATTTGAAATTAAAATCTGTTTTCATGTCTATTACATATATCATTACTTTTAATTTATTTTTAAATCAAGAATTATAGATTCAATAAAAAAAGCAATAATTATAGAATTGTTTTTGGCTTTAATGCAGCACTTAATAATAAACTATGCAAGAATAAATCAATTAATTGAAGTATACTAGTTAATTCAGCTATATCATTTCTTAAAGACCATAAAAAATCTTTAAAGCCTCATTCCATTTACAGTCGTCCTTATATATCTTTCCAAAAACAGCCTATTTCTCTATTTATAAAGAATGTTTTTGCAAAACTAAATCATTTCTATTTATTTTTAAAATATAACAGCTCTTGCTATTAAGCCAGCAAGATTATTTATCCTTATAGAAAATCTTCATAATTTCCAGCTTTACAAATTCATATAATATTTAAATGAGCCAACAAAGGATCAGAAAAAAGCCCAAAGAAGAAGATTTTGTAAGCGAAGAAGAATACGAAGGTTTCGAAACTCCCCCTTCCGAAAAACAGCGCAAAAGCCGTCAAAGTTCCGCAGTAAAATCCGACGACAGCTACAATATTGGCAGAAATGATAACTCACTCGGCGTTCTCACAAAAAAATTTGTTTCACTAATTCAAAAAGCTGAAAACCAATGCATTGACTTAAATGAAGCCGTCCAGATCCTCAACGTCCAAAAGCGTCGAATTTATGACATCACGAATGTGCTAGAAGGAATCGGCCTGATTCAAAAAAGGCACAAAAATAAAATCCAATGAATCGGAGGCAGTGGAGCAAGTGAGCATACCCAGTTTGAAGAGATGAATATTTTGAATAAAGAGCTGGAAATGCTGAATAAAGAAGAAGATCGGCTGGATTATTGGACTAATCAAATCCAAGAATCGCTTAATCAGCTTACTAATGATCCAAGCTATGCTGAGTTTGCATATGTCACATATGATGATATTAAGAGCCTGCCAAATTTGACTGAGTATCCTAATGAGACGCTGCTGGCTATAAGAGCACCTCCAGGAACGTCACTTGAAGTACCAGACCCAGAGCAGTTTCCACCTGAGGAAAAGGAAAAATATCAGATCTATCTGCACTCAAAAAGTGGGGAGATTTTGGTATATGTTGTGTCGAGTGATAAACCGATTGAAAATGAAGAGCCGAAGATTTTAAGCACAAATACGTTTAAAGTATCATCAGCGATGGCGGAAGAGCTGAGAAAAAATACTGTTTATAATAACGCAATGAAAAATGAAGGAATTTCAGATTTGTGGTCAGTTTAAGTTAGATAACATTACTTCTGGATTGATGAAATAAAATATTTAATTAAATCTCACAATAATTATTGTGCTATTATTTGTCTTTGAGATTAAAATAATTAAATTGCGTTTCAATATAAATTAAGGTTGAATTTTTGGATAAATTTAAAATTTAGCATTATTTAGTAGTATTATCTACAAATTTCTAATAAAAATCGAATAATCGTCTCATTCTTTATTTTTATGACCTTCTAGTTTCTTTTATTTCTTTTTATAAATGGGTAGTTGTAATTTCAAAGAAGACAGTACAGATACAACGGTCAGCATCTCCAAAACGCATTTTCAATTCCAATATGTGATCGGCAAAGGTGGCTTTGGGAAGGTTTGGAAGGTTGAATTGAAGAAATCTCATGAAAATTTTGCTATGAAAGAAATGCTGAAAGCAAGAGTTCTAGCAAAGAAAAGTGTAAATTCAGTGATGAATGAGAGAAGACTCTTGTCAATGCTTCATCATACTTTTATAGTAAACATGCACTATGCATTCCAAGATAGAGAGAATCTTTATTTAGTAATGGACCTGATGCCAGGAGGAGACTTAAGATATCATTTAGGACGTTGAAAAACATTTACGGAAGAACAGACTAAATTTTTTATCGCGTGTATTGTGCTAGGTCTTGAATATTTACATAAAAACGGGATCCTTCATAGAGATATCAAACCTGAAAACTTAGTGATTGACGGTCAAGGATATGTAAGAATCACAGACTTTGGTATCGCTAGGGTCTGAAATCCAGAAAACGCTAAAGACACAAGTGGTACACCTGGCTATATGGCCCCTGAAGTAATGTGTCGGCAAAATCATGGAGTTGCTGCTGACTATTTTGCACTTGGGATTATTGGCTATGAATTTATGAACGGAAAGCGGCCTTATCTAGGAAAGTCAAGGAAAGAAATCCGTGACCAAATTTTAGCTAAGCAAATCCAAATCAAAAAAAATGAAATTCCTGAAGGATGATCAGTAGAAGCTGCTGATTTTATAAACAGAGTAAAACTTATTTAGATGATTCAAAGAAAACCTGGGAATAGGCTAGGGTTAAATGGTCCTGATGAGGTAAAAAACCATCCTTGACTCAAGGATTTTGAATGGGATAAGCTTTTGGAGCACTCTTTAGTGTCTCCTTTTATACCTGACAAAAATGAAGATAACTTCGATATGAGGCTGCATCTTTCTAATGACCCTTGAAAAGATGCGGATAATAGTGAGCTTCAGGAAAGTGCAGAACTACTGAGAAATAATTCAACTCAAAATTTATTTGCAGGCTATTTCTATGATATAAATCAGCAACAGCCAAATAATTCTGATTCGGCAACAACAAAATAATATCTGATACAATACTTTTAGTAATTAATTTAAGGTCAAGCATTCATTTCCTATGAATGAATATAAAGCATTCTATATGAATTCATGTATTTTAATTTCCTTCTAAAATTAATAGAAATTAATGCCATCATGGCATGCCTAGTAGCGACAGATGAACTCAGAATTTTTGCCAGAAAATAAAAAAGCTGGCGGAAAGGCTACGAGGTCGCAGGTGGCTTAATTCCGGGGTGGGTGTGGTCTGGACTAACTGGGCTCCCCCTCGACCCACAGACGAGAAGACCGACGGCGCAATACCAATCGAGGACTTCTGGAGGAGCATTATGTTGCCTGCAAATGGCAGAGGTAGTTCCAGAAGGAGGCATCGGACGGTCCCCTCATACTCTGAGCACTACCAGGGGTTAAGAGAGTCCTTTGCTGAAGCATTTTGGTCCAAGCAGGTTCGGGTGAGTCTCCCCGAAAGATGCTGACGTCACCATTTTTGATGACGTCATCAGAAAAGGGCGGCAGGTGGCTTTAGTGACTAGCGCCACACGAGCGTGAAGCTGAAGCTCGACTGGATCAGGGGCTGAAATAATCCCCGCTTTAACCCTCTCTAATCTAAAAATCTCAATCTCAATCTAAAATTAATAATTAGAGCCTGCATATTTATATATAAAGCTCTATTTTATTATTGTATAACCGCATAAGTAAACTAATTAACGCAATAAAAATAAAACTTAAAAAAAATTTAAATAATTTACTAGTAATTTTAATTCTTATCAAAATATTGCAAAACGCCTAGCTATAAGCTTTATGAAGCTAGTCTATATGATATGGTTAATTCTTGAAGCTTTCTTTGTTACATCCTTAGAGCTTCCTCATTTCTACCATAAAACTGAAGAAATTCAAAGATATATTTCATCACTTTCATGCCCAGCCTTAAAATTAAAATCATCAGACACAATACACTCCTATTATATTTCAGCCTCAACCCCTCACGCACTCAAGGTATTTTTGCTATTTGGCGAGCACCCTAGGGAATTAATATCAACTGAGCTAGGCCTTGAATTTATAAAAGAAGCCTGCAACGGATCACTTTCATCTGTTCTCTCAGTTGCTGAAGTAATGATTGTGCTCAATGCAAACCCAAAAGCAAGGAAAAAAGTGGAAAACGGAGACTTTTGTATTAGAACTAATGATAATGGAGTTGATATCAATAGAAACTGAGGCTCTCACTGGGAATCTATTAACTGTAATACGCATCCTGATACATGCCCTGGAAATAAAGCATTCAGCGAAGCTGAGACTTTGGCGATAAAAAAGCTGCTTGAAGACTTCGACCCAGATCTTTTTATTTCAATACATTCAGGAAAAAAGGCACTTTTCATGCCATATGCTTATAAAAAATCCTCTGGAAATCGATATCATGAAAAAATGCTTGATGTACTCAATCAAGTAAATACAAAGCATTGCCACTGTGCAGTAGGCCCAGCAGCTGAAATTCTTGACTATGTATGTCCAGGAAATTGCATGGACTATGCATATGATCGCACAAAAGTCCCTTTTTCTTTTGCTTTTGAAATTTATGAGCAAACTTCTGCATTTAAGAGTTTTCTTCAAAAGCCTTATTCGTGTTTTATACAAACGACTCAGCATATGAGCAACTCAGAGTGCTTTTATTTTTTCAATCCTAAGAGTGAGGATGATTATAAGTACACATTAGATACTTGGATGGGAATTTTGAAAGATACAATTTTACTTGTTGCTGATGAAATTTAGAATTAATAAACTAATATAATTTTTAGCCCATAATTTTGAGGATTTATGATTGGTAATTATTTTAAAATAATATATTGTTGAGAGCATATCTGATGAATAATTTTTACGAAATTAGAGAAATAACTGGAGTTTCATATGAGTTTATTCTTTGAGGATAAACCTATAGCTAATCAGACTTTTGTTAAGATTTGCTTGTACCAGAACAGAAAAAAATGTCTGATTAATTAATCATAATATTAATATAATTATTAAAATTAAATTTATTCCCTTGCTTCCATTCTGCACTGCTCAATTTCCAATTTTCTTTCTTCTTCATTTAATTGGTTTCCATCATAATATTGGTTCATTTCCTTTCCTACCCATAATTTTTCAAATTCTCCAACAAGGTTCATTGCTTCTTTTTTCATCTGTTGAGTATTCAGATCAGAATCAGCTTTATCAAAAGAAATTTTCAGAGATGCAACTCCACCTTTAAATTCGCCCTTATCAGCAGAACTGTATGGATTTAAATTGAGATCTGCAATGTTCACCATTTGGCTTCCTTGTAATTTTTCATGTATTTGAGGTAATTTTAATATCTGTTTAGCGCTGCTCACAGGAATAGAGCTTGTCATCATATTAATTGGCTTCATCGGATGCTTCACCATTTCTTTGGCCATTGTGCTTCCTGATTTAACGACATTTTCTGTAGTAATTCCTCCAAGTTTGATCATAGAAGCTGCTATTTTTTTGGCAACTCCAAGAGTAGAAAGCCCTGTACGAATTGTTTTGCCAGCTACATTATAAACTGCAGACTCTGCAGACTCCACAACATACCATATCGTATTTTCAGCAGTTTTTAATACAGGTTTTACTAACCCAAACGCAAAAGACCCAGTATCCATAGTTAAATCCATAGTAAAATCATATATTCCCCTTATTCCAGTATGCTTTACTTTTTCAACCTTTTTTCCTTCAAAGTCCATATTTTCGTCAATAATTTTTTTTCCTTCCTCAACCTCCAAAACCCCAGGCTCGAAATTTTTGCCTTGAGAAATGACGCATAATCTTTTTCTATAATAATGAGCTGCTTTGCTATTATATTTGATTTCTATTCGTGTCAAATGATTAAAACCATATATGTTGAAATAATCTTTGAGGGTTGAATTTCCTCCTGCAGTCATGTGCTTTAAATGCTGGGGTGTCCAGGTTTTATCACGCAGCAATTTTATTATTTCGGTAAATGGGTGAATGGAGCTGTGAGCTTGAGCACACTTAGAGCATATAAAAATCCCATAAGTTATGGAAGCATATTCGGGGTCAGGACTTATGCAATCGAAACAGTAGTTGTTTTCGTCGTCTTCTTTGAGTTTTTTGAATACTTTTTGGGGAATATCAGATCCTTCCATCTTTATTATTTATGATGGGAAAATTTTGAGATTGCTAATGACGTAATCAGATCATTTTGTTAACTCCTCCCTCCCTATTTTACCCTCCGTGAGCGAACAAATTTTATTTAATATAAAAAAATATTTTAAAAAAAATGTTATAGTAATCGCCCGAGGATGGCGCAAGATAGCGCCATCCTCGGGCAATTACAATATAATGATTCGGCTAATTCTAAACAGCTTGCGTTTTAAAACATAAATTTTGCATATAAAATTATGTTTGCTTTGAATTGGTTTTTTTAATTTTGAAAATATTATAAAATCTTTTTTAAAAAAATTTAACCCCTTCTTTGTGAGGAACAAAATTTGTGATTCATTAAGGAGGGGCGGGGCAGTAAGCAAAACTAGAATAGGATATTTTTTGGCAATTAAGGTTAAAAACGAGAGATTTATTAATTTCTTATCGGGAAATAATCATGAGAAAAGTCTATTCTTATAGAATAGGATTTGATGAAGAATATGCAGAATTAAGGAGTTCATCAATATAAATAAAAGATTATCGATAAATAGCTTATAAATCTAACATAAATTGAATTCAATCTATGAAGATGCTAAATCCAAGCTTATTTATTACAGAATTAGGATCTTTTAAGTTAACCTGATTTTTCTTCAAAAAAATAATTTATATTGTGATTAAACTGATTAGATTTTAGATATCAAACCAAAGCTAAAAATTAAAAATTGAGCATTAATATTATATAAAACTCACTCCCCCCTCCGTGAGCGAACAAAACCATTTGAAAATCCCTATTTTTTGCCCAAAAACCACCCATCGTTAGAGAACAAAAATTTTTTTAATGGAAAAGCTAATTCTAGTTAATTTTAAATAGCTTGCATTTTTAAAATATTAACTTACAAATTAAATTAATATTTGCTTTCCAATTTTTACAAATTATTTTTTTTTTAAATTTTTAAAAAAAAAATTTATCCCTCCGTGAGCGAACAAAGCTTTTTGCTCGCTCATAGATGGGGGAAGTTAACAAATAATTATGAATGATCTCTTAAGATTTAAATTAATTAATTAATTAATTAGATGAAAATTTTAATTTATTAAGTTATGTGCTGTATGCATTTTTACCTCCCAAATTAAATTTGATGCCAGCTATTTATATATATTATTTAAATAGAAACGTTAACTCTAATGATTCGTACAGTAATTATGATAAGATTAAAATTTTACAAAATATTCAAGCATAAATTCATATTTTTACTCGGTATAAGACATTTGAAAAACTAATCTGATTAATTATCTAAATAACTTTTAATAATAATTTCTTTATTTATTCTATAAAACAGATTTATCCAAGATTTTGCTTTTTCCTCACTCCCCCCTTTAAATTGGAACAAAATATAGGTAAAATTTTAACTCCTTTAAATGAGAACACATTTTAAAAATACGAATTTTTTAAAACTTTTTTTTTTGTCTGAATTTAATCGATAGAATTATTATTTAATCAGATTCCAAACTGAATTGATTATAAAAAGAAAACCCTTCTGTAAATTGGAACAGGATTTTCAAAGCAGGGATTTAGCACACTTTACTGTTTATTTTAGCCATATAGCGCGTGCTGTTAAAAATAATAATACTAAATATATTAATCCCCAGAAATCTCCCTTTTTAAATTCAATTCCCTATGACCATTAATTCAGTCATATTTAATCTTATCCAAATAGTACCGGAATGTTGATTTGTTAAATGGTGCATTTTATCTCAAATAATAATTCTGATGAAGTATGCAATTTTGTTCATGCTTTGCGCAGCTGCATTTGCAACAGGCATAGATGATATAAAAGGTAGATCTACAAGGGAACTTGGAGGATGGTGTTATGATTGGGACGACGTAAATGATAGCAATGGAGGGGCTGACATTGATGAAGCTATGAATCAAACTTTGCCAGTTCAGCTGACAAACACAACAACCAACACAACTGGGCTTGGCAGCTGTGACTGCAATTGTACATGTGATTGCTTTTCCTGTAATTGCTCGTGCAACTGCACTACACCATTAGGAAACCAAACAGTGCCACCACCTGGCAACGACACAAATCAGACTAATACGACAAATTGTACTTGCCATCGCCCTCGTCGTCCTAGATGTCACCAAAGATGTAGGCCATTTGACTGTGATGGCGATGACTACTGGATCACTGAAGAGCTAACAAGGAATGCTGAATTTTTAGAATATGAAGATTTAAGCGATACTATTGATTTTATGGCTGAGCGCCAAGTGGATCCTTAATTAATTTGTAGTATTTTATTAATAAATTTTCAATAATTTAAATTAAAACTCCATAGACTCCTTTGTGGGTACAAGCGAGTCTGCAGGAGGAAGGCTCAAGCTTTCTACCGCTATATGCCTTCTATCCAATTTAATTCCAAATGCCAAAGCGTCGAAATCTATATTTTTGAGTGAATGAATCCTAGGACACTTAATGATCCTTAACAACCCAGAATAATCCCCAAAAGAATCTCCTGAAATTGCAAAATTTTCAGTTGAAAGGACAATATCACAGCTTTGGTTGAGTAAAGTCACTAATTCAGTTTCCAAACCTGACGTAAGGGAAGTAATCATGCATATTGCATTCAGAGATTTCACCAATAGCTTCAAAGACTGCAAAAACTGAAAAATTTCTGATATAGGTGCCTTCGGCCATGACGGCCCTAAAAATGATTTTATAAAAATTCGTCTAATTCCAGTATCATTAGCTGATTCTAACGAATTTTGTATGTCACTAAATATTTGGCTTCATAATTTCCTATACAAATCTTGTTCTGTTACATCAATTGTGTATTGGTTTATTTTTTCATTTCCCATCGATTTCAATAAATCAAACGCATAAGGCTCTTTAACTGAGCTCGTCTGTGGATAATGCTCATATCGCCACGCAATTCTTAACTCAGCTGACTCTTGCTTCTTTATTTTTCTGATATCAGGGACCAGGTTTTCTTCATATGCATCAGAATAAACAAATATTTTTTCTGAATTTATTACGCCTTCTCCTAAGAAGCATCTTGCTATTTGTAATGATTGATAATTAAGAGAGTCTTCTTGGATTAAAACAATTGAAGAGAGTGGTAAGCCTCCTTGGAATATATGGTCAAGTGAAGGGATTCCTGTGCGCACCAGAGGCAGACTGCTTGGAGCTGCTTTTTTTTTGGCTGCTTTAGAATGTCTTATGAAAATGCCTGACTCAGCCATATAATAATGATCAATTTAGAAAGGCCAGGGGAAGAGGTTAAAGATAAAAACACCAAACAAAACTTAAAAAGGAGAATTTCAAGGCTGATTTTAGATATAAACCCTTCTTTAACAGAACAAGAAACTTTTGAAAGGTTTCCGGGATCGCATCCTGTTTCTTTTACAAGAGATCTATTGGGCGCAACATGCCAATATCTGATTTGTGAAAAGACTGATGGGGTGAGGTATCTTTTGTTTATCCCTGCTATACCAAAACTTAGAGGGATTGTAGAGGTTTTTGCTTATCTTGTTGATAGGAAGTTTGCGTTTTGGAAGGTGGCTATTTATAAGAAAAATGCCATGCTCAGAATGAGTCCACTTCTAATAACTCTTCTTCATCACGAATTTTATTATCATAGGGCACAGCTTTCCTAGTGCACCTTTATTTGGAATACCAAATATGGCTTAAATCATAGGATTAGAATTTGGCCCATGAAAACAGAGGCATAAGGTTTTACTCCTCCTGGCATTTATGAGGATGGAGACTCTTAGGCTGAGCGCATAAAGCAGTTAAGTCCGGCGAGGCAATCCATCCCATGATTTTTTTTAGTGAGCTTGCGGCTCATTGTATATGGATAGCTCCCGCTTAATAAAATGGGTTACGTAGGAATGCCTATCAATGCCGCTAGTGGGAGTCAAAAGGTGGTCTTTACCGATATTAAGACTGCGAGTTATAAATATTAATTATTATAATGTAATGGAAGGTGGTTCTTTATATCCCAGGGAATATGCTGACTGGGGATAGTTTATTCGATGTTGAGCTTGTCATAGATTATGCTGCTATAAAATAATTTTGATATTGTATGTATATTCTATAGAGATTATTGCCTGCTAATAATTATGAAAATAAAAAAAATATTTCTTCCCAATTAAATAGCAATTATATATAACACTGATATCAGATTATTAGTTTTCGATACTCTTTATGCAAGAGGGATGTGCTACATGCTTAATAATTACTATGAAAGGCTGAGAGCGGCATGGCTTGAGCTAATATATCCAATTCGTGAAAGTGGGACTAAATCAAAAAACGCAATTGAGCTATTTTTGAAAGATTTTTATAGGACTGATGATATAGATTTCCTCGTGAACTCTATACAAACCAGGCTCCCACATGCAACTGATGGGATAATTTTTACTAGAGTTGATGCTCCTTATATTGTTGGAACAAACAGCAATATAGTTAAATGAAAACCAAATAACTTGAATTCAGTAGATTTTATTATAAAGCCAAGCCAAAATGATGGAATTTACAATCTTTTTACCAAAAATTTGAAAATTATTGAAAAATTTGGGGAAATTGAAATATTTGACGAAGAGCAAAGAGAAATAATTAAATATAACCAAAATCTTATTGCGGAGTGCTGCTATTTAGATGGAAAATGGAAGATTCATAAGATTAGGACAGATAAAGATACCCCAAATACAACTCTTGTCGCGCAAAGGGTTTTTAAGAGTATATCTGATAATGTGACCGTTGAAGAGTTAATAGCTGCTTTCAAAGCAAAATCGTTAAAAGCGCATAAATCTCAATAAATGACCACACAAATAATGCTTATTAATAACTAATAAATATTATTTAGAGGAAAATCATATAATTAGTATAATAGTTTCCATTAATAAAATATTATTCATTTTTATATAAAATAATTACCTAGAGTCCTTAAACCAATACCTTCTTGGTCAAATACTCTTTTAACTCCTCTAAACTAATATTTCCATCCCCATCCTTATCTGCTTCATTCAAAAACTCAGCCCACTCACTATCTTTAATCCCAGGTATTCCATTTTTCAGCTCATCCAAAGACAACTGTCCATCCCCACTAGTATCATACATTTTAAAGGCAGATATAAGCTGCTCTTTTTGCAAAATCTGATTCCAATTTGTAGCAGCTGTGATAAACTCAGTGAAATCAATAAACCCGCTTCCATCAGTGTCGCATTTTTTCATGATTTCTTTAACTTCTTCAGGAGAGCTTCATTTCAATTGATGATATCCATTTACTTCCTCATTTAAATTTGAAAAGATATAAGTAAAATTTTTTTTTGGTGAAATAATCCCTATTTAATTGAGAAATAAAAATTTTTTGATAGTTAAAAATAACAATTTATATGTAAATCCCCTTGATACCTAAAATAAGGTCTCCAAAGCCAAATATTACATATAAATTGCTTTATTTTTAATGGGAAGTGCGAAAAAGAGCATTATTAATCAAAGCACTTTGAACAAATAAAGTTCATAAATATGAAAAATTTCAAAATTATGCATTTTATTTTTCAAAACCTTCTAAATTGATACAGATTTTGGGTTTAAATTAAAAGTGAGTGAGAAGTTCTTCTTGGCTTAGTTTTCCATCACCGTTGGCATCTAAAGCTTTAAAAAGTTCAGCAAGTTCAGCTTCTTCTTTTTCCCCGAACACTTGTGAAGTAATAAAGGTAAGAATTGATTTTTCTAGCTTATTTCCCGCTCTAAAGGTTCCCAGATTTGATAAGGCATCCAGGGAGATTTTGGTATCTACTATAGTATTGTTTATATAGCTACTCATCCATGGATGAGCTAGGACATCAGCTGCACTGAGACGATCTGCAGGCTCTACTGCAAGCATTTTGTGGATAAGGTCTTTTACTTCTGCAGATATAGAGTTTCATATTTTATCTGTCATTTTTGGACCTTTTTTTATGCATTTAATCAGCTCGAGGTTAGAATTGCCATAGAATGGAGGTCTGCCGCAGAGCATTATGTATAAAATCACGCCTGCGCTCCAAACATCGCATTTTTGATCATATTCCCCTTTAACTACTTCTGGAGCCATATAATAAAGCTATATAATTTTTACAGTTCCAATCGTTTCCCTAAGTTTGGCATCAGATTTTAGTCTTTCTGAGATCCCAAAATCAATGATTTTTATGTTTGCGTTCTCATCTTTTGAATCTAAAAGCAAGTTTTCTGGCTTAAGATCTCTATGAACTATTCCTCGGCTGTGGCAATAATTTATAGCTCCCATAATATCATGCAAATACTTACTTCTCCCAGTTTATAATGAACAAAATTTTCAAAATTTTGTTTAGTAGGAAAAAAGAATTTAGGATTTTTCTAAAAATTTTAATTATAAACAAATTTTTTAGCGATTTTTGATGCGATTATTGCTGCTCCTCATAGAAGTATTCGTATGCAAATCCAAAAATTATTTAATGAATATTCAAAAACTAAAATTCTATTAATTGAGAGATAGCAGCTAATTTTTCACTAATATACTTAGCTGCAATAATCTTATCAAAAAGCTCCCCGCCAGAAATGAACTCACTTATTATGTAATAGCTTTTTGAGGATTCATAAACTTCATATATTTTCATGATATTTGGATGATCCTATATAGTTTTTTACCAGTTCTTTTAGTATATCGATTTCTTCATCAACTTTTTTGTTGTTATCTATATTATTTATATAAATTAAAATGCCGTAGAGAGCCAGCCTCCTTAACCATTTTGCACTCATTCCAATTTATTCTTATATATAAATGCAAGGTATATAAACGAAATAAGTAAGCCACTTAAAGGTAGGCATATATAATTAAGCCAGCGGTGAGTCTAAGAAGTGTGGATAAAGAATCTTTTAAAGTGCCTACAAAAACCCACTCAACAATTTTAAGTTATATCTACATTAATTTTTGGTATTTCTTTCATAGCCTTAATTGCTGAAGTTCTTTTGTCTTTAACCACATAAACTTTACCGAAGCCTCCTTCTCCGACTGTTCTAATCATCTCATAATTTTTATGAACAGAAGATTTGCTGCTTTTTACAAATGAGCCTTTATTGAGTCCTTTTGTGGATGAATTTCTTTGAAGGCGAGTTTCTTTCGTGTTTTTTCTTTTATCGTCGCTCGCTTTGGTCTTTTTGTTTTTATCATCAAGAGATCTATCAGATAGACAGCATCCCATATTTAATATTATACTGCCGTTTTTTGAAGGATTAATTAAGGTCAAAAAATATTTATATCAATTTTCCTTATTTTCTGAGATCTTTTGCAAAAATGAGATAGAACAAAAATTTATCTTGTTTCATTAATTATATAACAAAATTATCTAATAAGTTGTCTTGCTAACATATATTCAATTTCTGCTAATTTAGAGTAATAAAAAAGCCTTATATTGGACTTTTAAGCATCGAGCTTCTATGAGAAATTACATTAATGCATTATCTAAACTTGACTTCGCCAAGTATATAATAATTCAAGGGGTAATCTATTTGCCACTTCGCACCTTAAAGCGCTTTTCAAAACACCAAAAATTCCCAAATATAATTGGTTTCGCAAAATAAAGTTTTTTGCATGAATTCTTATTATAAATAATTCATATAATTTAAGTTCGAATTAACGATAATCACTTCAATTTGAATTGATATATTTTTGATAAGAAATACTAAAGAATAATTTTAAATAAAAGCTGTTTGATTATATTGAATAATTTTGAAATATAAGCCACTTTATAAAAATGGATAGTTTGACAGAGAAAACAATAATCCTCTATTATGTGAAGGCTGAATTTACTGAAAAAAGAAATATCTTGCTCTCCTCATTTAATTTGGAGTAAAATGCATGCAAATTTTATATTTATTTTGGTAGATTGACCCCATTTAAAATTGATCAAAAATTTTTATTTTTTTATAAAAAATAGTACTTTCATATAAATAGCTTGATGATATATTTAATGCTGTAAAATCAAAATTTACTTTATTTTAAAAGGGAAAGTATTAGTAGGATACTTTTTAAATAAATCTAGCGCTTTGAATCTAATTTTATAAATTATTTTTAAAAAGAAAACCTATAAGCTATAGCGTGAGCACGGTTATAGGTCGATCTTGACTCCCTTGCCCCGCTCCTCCCCCTCACAGTTTCAGTTTAGATGAAATATGAAAAATCAATTTGAGTCGTTATATAATGATGAACTTGCCCATTTCTTTTTACTATTTTATTTAAAATGAAACTGTCATAGTTGGGAGAGGTCAGCTATAGATGCTTGTGAAGTATAATCATGGAGAAATTAGGGTAATGCAAAGGTAGTAATGAAGTAAAGCTAAAATTTTTGATGCTACCAATAGCAATATCTATATCCCGCGCTTTATAGACCATGGCAATCCAAGTTATTTTAGGACATCATATACATTATTCAAAAAATGAATTACTATTTTCAACTTAATTCTTGGCTTATTATCCAGGCCATATTTTCTTTTTCGTTAAATCTATAATTCTCTGTGTTCCACATCTTCTTATTTCATCTTCTTTTTGGATTATTGAATTTTTACTACTATTATCTGTGTTATATGAAAGTGTCTTGATTTTATTTCGATTCATCTCATACTCCCAAGATGCTAAGTTTGCTTTTAGCTGCTCTAACGCATTCAGCTAATAGCCAACACTTTTGAAAAAATAATTATAGGACTTTTTGATGATTTAAAAAATAATAAAATATATTAAAAAAATATAAAAAATATTGTAATGAAAGTTTTGATTAAATCAATTATTAAAATATTATTTAAATTAAAAAATTGTATTAACTAGGGAATTAAGCAATTTTCCTCCACTTGAGCAGAGCCTAAATAATTCGACAGAGCCTCATATAATGGCAACACAATCATCCTTATAAACCCAGCTTGTGACTTCGATATGTCTGTAGTTTCTCTATCGCAGTACATAGATACAGGCTGTTTCATACTTTTCTCCATATCTCCTTGTCTGAAAAATTCTTCAATGACAAGTTTGCTCCATTTATGATGAAGGTCAATGCTTTTGGCAGCGTGGCCCACATCTGCAGCTTTGATGCTCATTTTCAAAATGTCGATCCTCTGATCTACTGTTTCGAATTGATTAGGAGGTTTTAAAGCTTTTGCTTTGAACTGTGCTAATAAATCCCAATGCTTGCTCATATCTGTGGCTAATATCATTTCTATGATGAGTTTTCTAACACTCGTATAGTGCTCAGTATCAAGAGATGCAAGAATATTTGCATCTTGGCCTTTTAGCAATTGAAAAGTCGTGGAACAATGCATCATTTCGAGAACAGAATAGTCATTATCTATATAAAAATTACACATATTAGCAAGATCGTCTTTGTTGACTATTAAAAACCGATTTGTCAGGCCTGGATGTCCAACGTCATGACCTAAAGCTGCTAAAATAACAGCTAGCATATCATACTCTGAAAATAGCTCTGATAGGACTGATTGATTAATAAAAAACAGAAAGGATGACAGCACATCTGCTGCGTGGGTCGAATTGTGATACGGGTTTTCTGTCTTATACCCTTGTTCCATATCTTGGAAAAAGTTGACATAAACCATTTCATTAATATTAAGAATTTCATCCAGCCTAAACTTTTTCATAGAATACTTCCCTACTGTAACAAGTGGCTTACCTCTTGTGCATTCCTTTAAAAAAAACATGTCGAAATTTCAGTTCTTCCCTATGTGCTTTAAAACTCCTATCAATTCTTCGACGTCGTAAACTTTATAAGTTAAAGCAATTTCGTCAGTTTTTCTGACTCTTAGCTTATTTCTTGGCTTTATTGGGAGGGTTTTTACTTGTTCATTTTGGGTTTGTTTAATAAACAGCTTGTCGTCTTCATCAAGACCTTTTGTGATCGTTTCTATATCAGTTGAATAGATATTGGTCTGAGACCTTATTTTTCCGACTACTTTATTTACAAGTTCATGGATCCTCATGACTCGGCTTTTGTTGTCGTCTGCTGAAATATCAGCAATAATTTGTTTTGCGTTTGTAAGGGTTTCTAATAAGCAGTCTATGATTTCTTCTAACTCTGTTTTTGGCTCGAAACTTCCATGGTTAGCGGCATCGTCAAAACCTTCAGTAGCATTTACGGTCATTTGAAATTTTTTTCTGGTCACTACTTCATGTGTATAAAAAGTCTTAGTTTCTACTAAAACTCGATAATAGAAAAATCCGACCTCAAATAGTGTCGTCGCCAAGTGCTGGTTTCCAAGAATGTGTGAAATAAGGAATACTACAGCAATCAGAGTATTTCATAGGAAATAATTCAAAAAATTGGTATGGAGAATAAACTTTGATGTGCTTAATAGAACAAGCAAGCCTGGAAGACAGGACATATAAGTTACTGAGTCTTCATCAAACATTGCTGCTTGAACCGGACCATTGTTTAAAATAAGCATAACTGCTGTCAAAAAATAGCTGATCTGAAGCAGCTCAGGACGAATGCTATTGAGAGCCATCGTGTAAAATCCTAGCAGGTATATTGAAGAATTCGCCAAAAATTGCCCCAAAAACAGTCCTATTTGGCATCCAAAAACTCTTGATGTGCTTTCCTTTAAAGAGACAGCAATGATATAAATAAGCAAATAAACCGCAAGCAGAAAATAATAGCTGAATAAAAAGATTTTAAGTCGGTATCGCAACTCAGTTATAATATTTGTAGCACTTGAGTCATTGCTTGTTATCACGTTTTGATAGTGACGCTCAAGAGATCGGCTTGGAAACTTTAAAATTTTGCCAAGTGGGCTGAGGAAGTGGGTGTTGGAGTGAGCTGAAAAGCCGGATAGAGTGAAAGGATTCTCTTCTGGGTTATTTGATTGTCTTGTTCTCATTGATTATTATGACTCCATGATAATATGATAGTGCAATTGATAGTGTGCGTTTTTATCGAAGTATGTTTTGGTTGAAATTTTTAAATAATGTGAGTGATTTGGTAGAAATTTAACAGTTTTTTGCGGTCAAATATCACTATCAAAAGTGAACGATCATTGGACCTGCACCGATTATTATATTTTAAAATCAATTTATTACCAATTAAGATGAGCTTAGTGACTAAATTAGTCTCTCAAAAATGAAAGGTTTCTTTTGAAAGAGAAAAACAAAATAAATTGATAAAAACATAATCTTGAGTTTGTGCTCCAATTAATGATGCTATGCTTTTTTGACAAGAAATTTAAATAATATTATAATTTTCATAAATTCTATACCTTTTCTAATGAAAACTTTTTACTAAACTGCAGGCTATAATAACTTTAGGAATAAATAAGAATTGCAATTTATATGTTTATTGATAATTGCAGATATATACAGATCTATAGGTTATTATGAAATAACAGCGGCTTTATTATCAAAAGACGAGGTTGGTAATAATAATCTAAGGCAAGCAGTATTATTAAAAGTTCTCTGATTAATAAGGATGCTTATGGAACTTAAAAATATCTTCAACTTGTTTCATCACGCCTAAAACAACTTCATCATGATATGGTTTTCCAGCTATTTGAATACCGATAGGCATCCCAGCAGACACAGCCATAATTTTTTTCGCGGATCTCGTAAACAAATCATTAATTTCACTTTCAAAATTCGTCTCATTTTCTTCAACAAGGCGAACAGGGACAATTCCACTTGGGTATTCCACTACATTCCAAAACATACAATAGTCAAGTGCATCAAAGATTTCAACTGTTTTTGTATGAGGAGGAGCTACAGTTGCATATGCAGGGCATATAACAGCATCTAAGCCTAAGGAATTCCAGTATTTTGAAAAAGTAGTCTTATAAGAATTAATGGCTCTGAATAAATCAATATATTCAGCTGGAGTAGCGTTATCTTTTAATTCCAAAGCTCTAAGAACTCTTGGACTGTTGAATAGTTTTAAAAGAAGTCGGAAAAACGGCTTAAGGTAATATTTATCATTTAAAAACTCAACTATTCTGTAATAATACTGTGGGGTTTCTCCTTGAAGCATTTCTCTTAAAACTTTGTTGCCATGACAGTTGAAGCCATCTTTATAAAGCTTGACTGCCTGTATAGAGTTAGGAATTTTTATTTCAATTAAAGTATGTCCTAATTTTTCTAATGCTTCTTTGCACTCCCTAATTGCGTTCTTTATGCATGGAGCACTTTCAAACTGCTCTAAATCATAGAAATATCCAATTTTCAAGTTTTTCGAAGCTGCAGCTTCATTGTACATATTATGATTAAATGGAATTGGGGCTAACGATAAATCTCTTTTATATTGTTTTTCGACACAGAAGCATTCCATTACTGCTTTTAAGTCATCCACACATCTTCCTATTGGGCCAGATGTTATTCCTATAAGATATGCAAGTGGTTCAATATCTCCAGGGTGCGCAGCTCTTACTCCGATATTTGAAACTCTGCCAGGTGTTGGCTTTAGCCCATAAACCCCACAAAATGTAGAAGGGATTCTAATTGACCCTCCAATGTCACTGCCTAGCCCAAGAGGTGAAGCTCTACAAGCGACTAATCCAGCTTCTCCACCTGAGCTTCCCCCAGTAGTGTGATTTTTATTCCAAGGGTTTTTAGCAGTCCCATATATGTCATTTGAAGACTCAATCCAAAGCATCCCTTGTGGAACGTTACTTCTAATGAAAGGAATTGCTCCAGCGTCTTTTAATAGCTCAAGCAATAAACAGTCAACTTCATCAGGCAAATCAAGCCTCCAAGCACATCCTGAACTAGATGTGCAGCCGATTTGGGAAAAATGATCCTTGATACTGACAGGGACACCGTGAAGTGGTCCACAGTTTTCAGGGTTTTGTAGGAGCATTTCATCATGAGCTTTCGCTAAGTCAAGAGCTTCTTCAAAAGGCTCTTCAGCTGTGAGTTCTAATTTTCTTCCTAAATCATAGGCCCTTCCAATATATGTTGCTACAGCTTCCAAACAAGTAAATTTTTTTTCTTTAATTGCAGCTGCAAGCTCTAGGGCGGTCAATGAAAGTATATATTCTTGCTTTTCCTTGTCAACTGGAGGTATTTCAATTTTTTTGGCATCTCTTTGAGCTCTTTTTGCTTTCGCTTTATGTCTAAGTCTGCAAGCCACAACTTGTTTTTTAACGCGCGAATAAAGGAATAAGCTGGCACAGACACCAACCCCATAGAGAATTCTTTTGTCGACTTTAGAGAGACGTTCACGAATGGTTTCGATAAAATTCATATTATATCAGATTAATACTTATGGGTATGTTTTCTTTAATTGTATTAGATATATCGCTTATACAATTAAGCTATAATGCTTTAATTGTGATATTTCAAGATCATTTTTAAATAAAACAGCGAAATTTATTATGAGTAATCTTATACTCAAAAAAATGTGATAATAAATATTCTCCAGTTGATTTAATAAAGAAAAGCTATTGTAAAGTATAGAAAATTCCCTTTAATATCTCTCTTGAGAACATTAAAAAAATAGTTTTTGCTATTCTCTGGTTTTATAGCTCAGTTTATTTTGTATATAATTTGTTTAACATTATTAGCACCTTGCTCATAAAGTCTCTCAACTCTCTGATCAAAAGCGTTTTAATTTCTCTGCTCATGCATCTCAAAATTATAATTGACTACTTACTTCCCTCCCATTTTATTAATGTTTTTTCTATTCCATAATAAAATTATTTAACTTAATTTCGACAAATGAAAAGTGCTTCTCCTATTCCCAGTAAACTAGAAAAGAGAGGACTAATTTCAACCTTAACACTAGGTCACTCGCCTATCGTCCATTTAGAAAAAGAAAAAGAAAAGCCAACTAAGCCTATTTCGAAAAGAAGAATTGACGAAGAAAGCCTAACCTGGAGAACTCTAAACCCGGCCTACCCAGAAAAACCTTCTCGATGCGTATACGGAAAAAGGAGAGTAACCCCTAACTATGCTGACGATTCTCAAGATAGCAGAAGCACGAGTGCAGATCTTGCGGTTAAATCACCAAATCCTCAATGCAAGACAAGCAGAGAGCATCCTTTTAGTGGGGAAGCCGTAAAAATCGAAGAAGACTACAAGTCCATAAGGTCACAAAAGTACCTTGAAAGCCAAGTAATTGGACTCCCTGGATCGAGAGTTAAATGCTATACACCTCCTCCCTCAAACAAAATGCCCAGAACAATCTCATCAATAGAAAATTTGCCAGGGTCATTCTTAGTTCCTCCAGAAGATCCTCAAAAAACCCAAAAAAAGCTTAGTCCTTTGAAGCATGAGACAACAATGTTTAATCCAGTTATTGAAAAGCCTCTAAAACAAAGCATTACTTTAGAGCAAAGTTTTGATATCTCAGGCCGGTTTTAGAGAACTAGAAGATAGTTTAAATTAATTTCATATTTAATATTATGAAGCTCAGCATTGCCTTATTTGTCAGCTGTGCTTTGGCTTTAAGTATTCCAGATCCTATTAATGATCAAGAACGAAATGACGAAATCGCTCAATCACAAGTTAGGGCCCGCTATCTATCTTGTTTACTGATTTATAGAAATCTGAAGAAAGAACTTAAGGACTTTGAAGAAATAATGGCAGCCACTAAGCATGATAAAGATCTGACCCGCAAAAAGATTTTTGGAGATTTACTATATAGATGTGAAAATACAATGACTCCTAAGCTTGCAGAAGAGCTTTTGACCGCTGACGAAATGGATCTCGGTAAAGAAGAGCTTAAAGACATTGTTTTAATCAATAAAGAGCAGCTTTTGGATTCTGGAAAAGACATTAAATTGACACAGCAGCAAGAAGAATTAATTAAAAAAATCACAGATGTAACTTTTAAGTAGGAAGCAAACAGATCTGATGACGGGTTTGACCAAGAACCCCAGGTTTTGAGCGATTTTGACATAAATTCATACATGCAGGCAAAAGAGCTTCTCCATCCAGTTTTGCATTATTTCGGGCTTGCAGGAGGGATTTCTCTGCTCTTACTTTTAGCATTCATCAGTATTTTTTATTTAGTGATCAAAAAAATCCTAGCTTTAAGTAACAAAGATAAGGCTAAAAAGAAGTCTAAGAAGGCATCTAAAAAGACTAACTAAGACTTTTAACCCAATTTGTGCTGCTTATCCTTAGATTTAATTCTTAATTTATATTAAAAATTGGCTATTTTCTGAACAAACACAGTAGATTTCTTTCATAATTTAAATTATTTTATATCAAAACAATAAATATGTTGAAGAATTTATCTTTAGCACTCATCCTTGTTATTTCCTCTGCAAGGCGAATTGACATAAGGGAAGACGAAGATATGCTTTCAGCTGTTTCCTGTAAAGCTTATACCTGCAAGACTTCAAATGTTACCATCCCTTCTGGATCTTGTGGGGTTGTTGTGAACTCCAACGTTTACTTAAAACCTTGCTCCACCGTTGACCCAACTACATCATACTGTAATTATACAAACTTCAATTTCACATGCACAGCAACACCCACAAGTAGCTCCCTGCAGAATTACCCTGGAGAGCCATGCTCGACGCAGTCAGACTGCAAGTTTGGGACATGCACAAAATCAGTATGCACAGGAGTATTCATATTTATCATATATATACAAATTAAATAATCTTTTTAAATTATTTTTCTATAGAAAACTGCATCAGCTATAATTAGCAAATGCAAAAATCTCTTTATTAGGCTATAAGTAAAGGCAGCAGCTGTGTTATTCATGAACAATGCAGCCCTGGACTCAGATGCTCATCTGGAGGAGTCTGTGTGGATCAACTAGCTATTGGTGTTTCGGGATGTCGAAGCTATGCTGATTGCGTCAATTATGCAAGCTGCAATGCCACTTATTCTTCATCTAATGGGGTTTGCACTCAATATCACTCTGTTGCAAATGGATTAGTTGTCACTGATTGTGAAAATGGGTTTTCTGAAATGTGTGCTACAGGTTATAGGATTTTGCTTATATAGAAACCCTGGCTTTTTTAGTATTTAATATGGAGAAATTTAAACGAAATAATATATTGTATTAAAACAGGAAGCTGGTTTGGGCAACTAGGGATTAGGATTATTAAAGTCAGGCGTTAGCCATATTGGTGACGCAGTCACCAAAGACCTCCCGTACGGGAGGTTCATCCGCTTTTCGACTCCAGCCCAGAGGGTCTATCCCTCTTGCGAGTGCCCTTCCGGTACCTTCTGTCTCCTCCTTGCCTTGAGGCTTCAGTCTTGAGTGGGCGGCTTATGGATTTCTGTCTGCTACGGGCGATTGGAGTAGCTTGATTCCAGGGATCAACTCCTTGGAGTCTATCGGGTGTCGAAGTGCCTTTCTTCGACAGCTACAGGAAAAAGACCGTTCCCCTGTGGCCTGGGCCGAAACCCCCAGTTTCTCGGTAGAGGAATGCCCATGGGTCCTCGGATCCAAAAGACACTGTTGAGCACCTCCATTTCCAACCACAGGAAAGCAGCCAAAACCTACCGGATACACACCTCTGGAGCCTGCACTAGATTCTCGGCTCGGAGTCCATCCCAGTTCGCCGTAGCCATAAGGTCTGGACTGCTGCGCCAAGAGAGCAGGTTGACACGTGTCGCCATTTTAATGTATTTGGGCAGCTAGGGACTTGTGCAATTGCTCCGACAAGTACTAAAACAATGCCAGTCAGCTGTGCACAAAATACAGATTGCTTGGGAACTGATGGCACAAATATGATGCTAAGCAGCTGTCAATGTGGCTATAATTCTGGTGCAAAATCCTATTGCAGCGCATTCATTGGAGACACGCCAGGCCAAAATCTTCTCAGTATGTGGCTAAAAGCCTTAAAAGCTTCAGCTTCAATATGCAATACAGTCAGACGAGATGCAGATCCATGTCTATCTCTTATAGGCTACTTAGACTACATAACCGCAGCGGATTTCTACTGAAATTACTATTCCCAAGTCCAAGGAAACGATTTGTGTGTCCAAAACATCTTAACCAAGGCTTATTGGGCATATGCAACCGATTCTGCATATCTGATCACATTTGGAGTCCTCTTAATTTCCCTTTGGATTTAAAAATAATTCATTCTTATTTTTATTAGATTATTCAAAGCTAAGATCTTTTTGTCTTAAATATTTGATATCCAAAGAAACAGATTCCTAATGCTGACGCAATAAGAGTCCCTACTATTATATACTTTTCTCTTCAGGTTATGTCAAAGCCTATTTCATAGTCTCCGTTCACCCATTCTGGATAAGGTCCTTTATCGTAATCATACTTTGCCCACTTTCCCATAATTTTTATTAGTAAATTATTTTAATTTACATTTTACGAGCAAAAAATAGCTATAATTATATTGCAATTGATCTGAAAAAACTCGTAAAGGCTTATTAAATTATTGTTAAGTAATCCATTTATAAACTAATTCAAGATGACGATGACTTGTACCAAAGCAATTCAAGAATGGGAAGCGCGCACAGGGCAGCGTGCAGCAGAAGCATCAGAAGTCAAACTAATCTGCTGGAACCCGCCAATCAACAAGATGGACCAAGGTTTATCTCAACTTATTAACTGCCGCAAGTTATCATTATCAACTAATTCAATCGAAAAAATAATGAACTTGTCCAACCTAAGAAGCCTTGAAATTTTATCAATAGGTAGAAACCAAATATTCTCTATATAATATTCAGCAAACTTAAAATAAATTAATATAATTTCGCTTATAGAAATAGAGAATTGGCTACTATATTGATATAAATATTTATTATTAGAAATTATAAGAAAAATATCTGGGCTTGATGAAGTCGGAGGGACACTTAAAGAGCTTTGAATTTCTTACAATATGATTGAAAAACTAGATGGACTTCAAAACTGTGTAAGGCTTGCTACACTTTTTATATCAAACAATAAAATCAAAAACTGGGAAGAAATTAATAGGCTTAACCAGCTACAAGAGCTGAGAAACGTCCTTTTGTCTGGAAATCCTATTTATGATAGCTTCCAAAATAAAGATGATGCGCGACCTATGGTAATTAAAAGGTGTCCTCATATAGAAGTCCTAGATGGAGCAATAGTTTCAGACCAAGTCAGAAGACAAGCAGAAGAGCTAAGAGATTAGCCTAAATCACTGATATTATATATTAAAAAGAATGGCTTTTAATCAATGAATAAATGATTCTTAAATAATATTTTAAATAATTAAAATTCTTTATAACTTCACCTCATTATTTATACAGAAAGCCTTTAAGGCTACTACAGAGGAATTAATTTTAGATTTTGAATTCCAATTGTAAATATATGTAAAGGAGATCTAATATAATTTATAAATTTATTTTTTAAAACCTAATTGTCTATTTAATAAAATTTGCTTAAAGCAGTTAGTTATTAATTATATATTAAATTATAACATAAAATTATGCTAAAAACTATTTTTGTTTGTTCAAGAAAGGGGTCTCTGACAGAGGGAGAGTAAGAGAAGTAAGTTAGCTTAACAATAAAATATGAATAATAAATAATCCTTATTTAAATAGTTTAACTTAATAGCTCCACGATCTATTTTATAGTCAGCAGTTAAATTTCCAATACATCAGTATCTAATTACTAATGATATAAATTATGATAGGAAGTGTAACTCCAGAAGAGGTTCTTTCTCATACCCAAGCAACAACTGAGTTTTTATGCTCACTGAGCGCCAACATCTTTGATATAAGATTTGGAAGCTTCAGACTCAGAGATATGGACTCCAACACAATTCTCCTAGACCTAGAAAGAGATTTTGAGCCTCAGACTGAAGAATCAAGATTTATTAGCTATAATTTCCCTCCTGAGTTCTTGAATCTGCGCACAGTAGGCTCTTTGATTTATTTTTCTGTAGGAGAATACCCTGTCTCTAACTTTAGAATGATAGAAAGGCACTACTTTAAGGACAGACTGGTGCAGAATTATGATTTCACTATTGATTTTATGATACCAAGAACCATCAACTCTAGAGAGTTTATCTATACACTTCCAGAGCTTACTGAGGAGCAAAAAGAAGATATTATGCTGAGTCCAAGAGAAATGAAGTCAGATAGCTTCTTTTTTGCTGATGGTCAGCTTATCATGCATGTCAGGGCAGAATATGATTATTCAGGCTAGTTTCCCAATAATTAAAGTTAAATCGAATTTCTAATAAAAATAAGCCATTGAGAGGTTGATTACAAGGCTGCTTTATAAAGTTTTTTTGGAAAGCATGAAAGGCTTTTAAGTTGAGACTAAAATGCCATTTCTGTAATCTGAGTTTCGTATTTTAGCGATTTTCGGAGCATAAGAATTTATGATAAATAAAATTATTCGTTTCTACATAATAAAACTTTTTTAAAAAATGTTTGAATTTAAGCTTACTGCTTATATCCTTGAATCCTATATTGAAGAGCTTCTAAATAATGGCTGAAGTCAACTTTATAGTTGTCTATAACTGTACCTCTAACTTCCCTTTACTCCATGAGTGACTAAACCCATTGAAAAATTTTTTTTAGAAAAATTTACCAACGAAATGTTTTTTTTAAAAAAAAAAAATAATAGCCCATTAAGTGAGCTAAAAATTTTACTCATTGAAGAGGGGGAGGATTAAGTATAGCTGCAGCCCATTTTCTTTCAGCATCTTCACATACAGCTTTTATATCTCTCCCTGAAAGCCCTTCGCTCATATCTGCTAACTGGTTTAGCTGTGCCTGTGTTAAATGCCTTGCATATCTCATAAAAATTGCAGATCTGCTATGCTTATCTGGATATGGGAATGAAATCACTTTAGAAAATCTGCTCTGCAAAGCAAGATCTAAATCTTCTTTTCTATTAGTTGCACATATCACGATTACGTCATCGCTGCTTTCAAACCCATCTAGATATCTTAAAAATACACTTAAAATCCTTCTTGTGGCTTCATGCATCTCTTTTTCTCTGCTTTGTGCTAAGCTGTCTATTTCATCAATAAATATTACACATTTTCCAAGCCTTTGACAATTTTCAAAAACTTTGCCCAGATTTTTTTCTGCTTCTCCGTATAATGAAGAAATTATAGTTTCCAATCTGACATAAACCATTGGGATTTTTACCTGATGTGATATAATTTTTGCACTTGTTGTTTTTCCAGTTCCAGGAGGTCCCTCAAATAGCACCGCTCTAGGCCTATTTTTCTCATCTTTCACTCTTGTAACTTGTGTAATTTTATCAAAAATCTCCGGCCTTTCAAGCGTCAGCAGAATTGTGTCTTCAATTTCTCTTTTCGCTTCTTCAGATCCCGCTAAATAATCCCAATCATAATAAGGATCATCTGGCAGAAACACAAGCGCTCCTAAATTTTGTAAATTCTCAATAGGATCCCCTCCTCTCTGTCCTCTCCCATCATATCTTGGATGATTTATCCTTTGGACATGTGAAATAATAGGGTTAATCGGCTGATTTGCTTTTTGGTAAATATCGCTAACTCCCCCCTCCGTGAGAAACAAAAAAATTTTGTTCACTCACAGAGGGGGGTTAATTAATTTTATAGAAAATATTTGCAAAAATTGGAAAGCAAATATTAATTTAATTTATAAAATTTATGTTTTAAAAAGCAATTTGTTTTAAAAATTAAACAGAATTAGCTCGAGATTTCATTATAATAATTATCACTTTATATATCAAAATTGTTTTCCATAAAAAATTTTTCTATTAAAAAAATTTTTGTTCACTCACGGAGGGGTGGGTTTTTTGGCAAAAAATGGCGATTTTTCTAATGGTTTTGTTCACTCACGGAGGGGAGAGTAAGCCTTTTCAAGTCTTCAGTAAACCCATCTTCTTCTTTAGTATACTCAAACATATAGAAATAATTATTGATTGGGCCTGACAGAGTAATGGAATATTCTTTATTGTTTTCATCTAGAAAATCATATCGAAGACTTTCAATTCCTCGAATATTGGTTTGTTTTTTATGTTTTAATTTGCAGTTTTTCATATTACCCTCAATATACTCTGCTATTAATGGGACGGTTCCTCGTCTTTTATCGATATGGAAAGAGATGGAGTATTGATCCCCTTTTTGCTGATATTTGACTTCAGGAAAAGACATCATTTGTGTGCCGAATTCTCGCTTCATTTCTTCGATTTTTTGGTTGAATTGGGATTGAATGTGGTCAAGGCCTTTAGCGCTGCAGTACGCAAGACTGACTAATCCTCTGAATAAAAACATAAATTTATTATTAAAAATATTGGCTTAAATTGCAAAATTAATAAGCAAAATGTTTTCAATTGTAATTTTTCTAATTGAGATATGCAATAAAGCTATTTTAATTTAAATTCTTAATTAAATAGCGGAAAAATATTTATTTTTAAGCTTTATTCTGGCTCTTGGATGAGTAGAATACCATATGTGCATAGCCAAGAGCATAATAGCCATAAATGAATATCCTGAATAATTTAGGCCCGAAGCATATAGTTTGAGACTATTTTTAAAGCGTCGCCAAGCGTTTGCAATTCACATCACCTTGTTCTGTCAATTATTGCAGGATTTCCATGAATCATATATTGCACAAATAATCCTAACTCCCCCACTCCTGATCAATAAAAAAAAATTGGTTCGCTCATGGAGAGTGATTAATTTATTTTTTTTTAAAAATATATATGTAAACTTTATAGTCAATTTTTTTTCTTCAAAATTTTAAAAAAAATACTACTTGTAAAAATTAATTTAATTTGCAAATTTTATGCTTTAAAAATGCAAGCTGTTTAAAATTAACCAGATTTAGCTATATTCATTATACTAATTATCACTTATATATCATATTTTTTTTCATAAACAAAAATTTTTGTTCGCTCACAGAGGGTGGGTTTTTGGTCTAAAAATAGTGATTTTCCAATGTTTTGTTCGCTTATGGAAGAGTAAAGAAAAATTTAATCCAGCCTCATCAAAAGCTTCTTGTTTTAAATGATCTGATTTTCATTCTTCACCAATCAAATTTTCTGCTTTTAATCTTAACTTCACTTTTTCATCTCCTGGAAGCATCACCATTTCAGGATCAAATGCAAAAATAGGAATCTTTTTGCTTTTAATCAGCAATAAAGCTTTTATCAGCTCTCTCAAATATGTTTGCGCTGCATCTTTTGAGAGTTTTTTGTTTTGTAAATTATATTTTGAGAAGTAATCAAGTGCATTGGTTTTATAGCTTTCATAAACTAGGGATACAGAATCTCCATTGTCAATAGTACCATAAAATCTGCAAATGCTGTCACTTGATAAAATGCTATTGTATTTCCACAGATTTAATAACATAAGATTAATTATCGGAGAGCCATTAACCATTGCCTTACATTGGCTCCAAAAAGACAGAATAGGATAGATCCTGGGGTAAATGAAAAACTAGAAGTCAGCCCTTTTGGATTTTCGATCGGAATCACCTGCTAAAAAGGATTATTAGTTCTCTGGGAAAATGAACCAAAAGACTGATTAGGAAAGACTATGTTGTAGGAAAAACCTATCTTGCCTAAGCGGGAAAAGGAAAACATTCGGGAAGAAGTAAACTTCCCTTATCAGCGGGCATCCCAAAATCTAATGGTCTGCAAGCGGTAATGCAGCATCTAATGCTCAGCGCAAGGGGATGGGTGCTGCCTGCTCCACAGGAGTGGGCTTCGGAGCCCATTTCCATAAAATTGCCATTTTATTTTTCAGTTTAATAAGTTAAGTTAGGCAAGGTTAATTATGCATAAGCGGGCAACCCCATTAGCGATTGCCTGTATTAGCTCCTAAGAAAGCAGTCTCTATATGCCTCGAGTTTGAATGAGGAAAACTGCCCTTTTGGATTTCCGAATTAAACCACCTGCCCAAGAAATCAGCTTCCTAGGGCAGAAACAACCATCTGAGATATGTTCTAATGGTCTCAAAAGAAGAAAACATGTGAGAGGCAAACCCCATTTAGCCCATCTGCAGTGACAGGAAAGCCTTCAAGGGAGAAACAAAACTTCCCTCTTCGTCAGGCATCCCCAAGATAGAAGGCCGACTTCAAAAAGAGACAGAGGTCTCGTTTCAGCTTCATTAGGATGGTCTTGCCTTCTCCATATGAGCGCCGTAAGGAGTCCTTCTTCTATCAGCATAACCATTTTATTTTTTCAGATTTAATATGGAATCTTGAGTTTTCCCATCTATTGGAATATTATCATAGTGTATTTTTGAGTTTTTTATACCATTACACAAGAATTTTTCCAAATAACTTGTATATTTGCTTTCTCCATCAATATCCATTGCATCAGGCTCGAAATTGTTATGATGGTTAAATTCCCTATAGTTTGAGTATTTTTTGGAAGAATTAATATGGGTAAATATATATCTCCTTATATCTCTATGCAATTTGACTAACAACTCTTTTTCATTAGCGAAATTGCAGCTAAAATTAAAATTCAAATTTTGGTTGAATTTCACTTTTAGCTGATTTTCTCTAAAATAAAAATTATCAATTGGCAAATCGCTTATAGATAGTCCAGCTCTAGATAGTTCTAAATATAGTAATTCAATCTGATTTATATAAGAAGACTTCCCTTCCAACAAATAATTTATAAATTTTTTGCTAGGGGGCAAAACTTGTCTAATTCTAAAATTCTGTTTTTCTTTTATAATTGATATTGATTGTGTCTCAAAAGCTTGGCTTAGAAAAGCATTATTTTTTAGTTTTTCTATAATTTCATAGGATTTAGGGTCACTTACCTCAAAGGATTCTTCAATTGGATTTGCATTTTTTCCTTTGCTATCAATTGAATTAGTATCTAAATGAAAAGGCTCTACCTTAGAATTTTGAATTTTACTCTGGCAAAACTTAAATAGCTTTTCTACTCCCTCTATTTCATAGTTTGAATGCTCTTCATATAGCTTAAAAATTCCAAAGCTGAAAATTTTATAATAAAAAATGGCCATTGATATCATTTCTTGTGGATATTTTTCTATGCTTTTGTTTTCAATTCCTTCGAAATAGTGAGAAACTTTGAAATAGACCTGAGACTTATTCATGTCAAGGTTAAAAAATCCATATTCACATTGAGAGTTAGCTAAATTTAAGAAGTGGCTTATCTTGCTATAGGAGCCTATTTCAAACTTTGCTACTTTTGAGTTCACAGCTACAATAAGCTTCAGCGCTATAAAATTATTTTTTGATTCAAAAACAACTGGAAAAGTGCTTAATTTTTTGTCTAATTGGTCATTTTCATAAGTAATTGCAATTAAATCTATATAAGTTTCATTTGAGACACTTTGCTTTATATTTGCAAATCCAAGTTTTTTAATTGCACTAATAACAATATCATTCAATTCGCTCGCGTTTTTATGGATAATATAGCTTGGGGAGTTTATTTTTCTTTTTTTCTGACACTGCCCTTTTGAATCAAATTCATTATTTCGTGAATAAACATTTAGAAAATTCTGGTATTTTTTAATGATTTCTATAATAAAGCTCCACCAAACTCCTGCATTAATATTGGAGTTTTTATAAAAAATTCTTTGAATAAATACCAAATTGTGTGTATTCGCATCTTTTGATATTTTAGTCACTGGTTTTTTGATCTCCTCTTTAGTTTCTTCATTTAAAGTTGAAGATTTGATAATAGGAGCTATATGGGCTGAAAATCTAAAATCTTCAGCGTTCATTTGGTTAATGAGATTTATCAGTTTGACATCATCTTTGTCGAATTTGAATTCTTTAGAAAGAATTGAGACATAAGCGACATTTTCTGTGAAAGTTAAGAAAATAGCGGAGTTTGATTTTTCTTTTGAGGTGTAGGTGAAGAAAAAGTGGGCACAGCTGGACTGGTCAACAAATAGTGGAAGGACTGCTAGCTTTTTTGAGGTGAAGGTGTACTTTTTGTCGTGTTCTGTTAGGTAATGCTTGAAGGATTCGACGACTTTGTTGTTGAGCATATTATTCGGGAATTCTGGAGGATGAAGGTTTTGGGCTGGTAAGGCGCAATCAGGCCTACTAGGAGCTGCACCTTGGATAGCAATCTGGTCTGCCTTAGTAGGCCTTCCTCTGCCCCTTTTAGTAGGTAAAGTTCTTGGTAAGCTTTCATGCATCATTTTAATAATTATAAGCATTGAATTCTATAAAAGTTAAACAATTTATCTATATACGCTAATATGGAAATTATGTCATTTAATCTTTTTAATTTACGTATTCTGGTTAAATCTTTTTACTAAGCTCAAATTTTTATTGTAAGCAAAATTCTCAAATATTTGAGGCTGAACTAAAATAAATAAAGCGAATAGAGTGCAAAAAATGTAGAATTTTAATTTTCTGTAAAGGGTTTAAATATTTAATTCCTATTTATATAAGGAAAAGAATAGATTTCTATAATTTTTTTTATAAGCATCAAATTTATCAAAAATATATATTGGTTTTTAAGAATTATATAAAATCAAAAATTATTATAAGGAATGATTATATAAAACTAAAAAATTTTAAACTCAGAGGAGATTATAGGAATGATACTAAATAAAAATGGATGACTAAGATAAACTAAATGATTTACAAACTTAATATTATGGCTTTGCTGCTTATTTATTTATAAAATCACTAATCTCAAATAAATTTCTTATTGGCATGCTTTGTTTATCTAATTATTATTCCTCATCACTTTAAAAATTTTTCTTTCACAATAACAATTAAGACTTTTATTTATCCAGTAATTTTATCTCTATAATATATTTTCATTATTTTTAAAATTGTTGAAATTTTCATTGCAATCACTCTTTAATATCCAATATGTTATATATGAGTGAATCTACTCCCAAGACTATTAAGCCACGACAACGTCGATATACGTTTGACATGCAAGAAGCCGACGGCAGCCCTAACAACTCCACTGTAAATAATGCCAAAAATAACACCAAAGTGATGATCCCGCAAGCGCTGATTTCTCTTTCAGGTTTGGTAAATGTTCACCATGTCCCACTTGGAGACATAGCAAAAATTTCAGGAAAGCTTATTTCTGAGCTGACCAGTTCTTCATGAGTAGAAGTCCTGCTCAAAGAAGACAATAAGCTGAAAATTTTTAACCCTTCTCAGCCTTTTACAGAACTAGAAATTAATGATGAGTCCCTGCCAGGATATGTAGCCCAGACACAGCAGCCAGAACTTATCACGAACCCTCACACGTCCACTTTTTATTCCACTTTTCAGCTGAAAATCAACCCTTTTTCCCCTGCCACCAATAAAGTGATCCAGCCGACTACTACAGCCTGTATCCCGTTAGTTGTAGAAGAATGAAAAGTGATTGGTGTTGTACAGTTATTTAATAAAGTTAACGAAGACCTTTCCCAAGGGTACTATACTGACATCGATATAGATATTGTAAGTAGCTTTGGTCACATTATGAACCAAGCCTTAAAGCAGAGGTCAGAATATTTATCATTGATAAATAAAAATGAAGGCCATCATGCAGTAAATAAAGAAAAAGACAGGCTTTATAATGAAGTCAATATGATTTGTAAGAAAAAAGAGTATTGTAAAAAACTTGATTCTGTAATAAAACCTTGGTATAGGATCTCAAAGGCACTGATGGACGCTGTTTCAGATATCATGAAAACTGATGGATTAATCCTTTACAGCTTGCGAGATGGGATGCTAAAATGTGAATACGCTCACAAAATCGACGTAGATATATGCAATTATGAATCAAGAATTTCAGAATATGTAGGATTCACTCATAAAGACATCTTGAATATCAAGGATCTCTCTATAGAGCCACTATGGCCTCAAGATGTAAACTATGGATATAAATCCTGCCTTGTACTGCCAATTATGTCTTATACCAACACTGTACAAGGAGTTGTCGAATTTTTCAGGTCAAGCTCCGTTTTCACTGAAATTGACGAAAATTTTGCCTTGTATATAACGGGAACCCTAGGCAAACTTACCAATCTGTCAGTAGAAACTAATAATTCGACAAGTTTTGAGCAGGATGACTTAAGAAAATGGATAAACGGGATGTACTCTTATACGCTTGACAGAAAAGACAAGCTTTTTGACTATGTGAAGCTCACTGACGTGATTACCCAGTCCTTGCACAATATTTTACCTCACGATTCTTCTTCAGTTTTCATAGCAAATCAGCACAAAAAGTTTATATGGACTAAAAAATCAGACTCTTGTGGAACAATGGCCTTTCCTTTGTCTCCTGATACAGTTTTTGGGTATGCTTATTCACTACAGAAAACCTTGGTCCTTCCAAACAGAAGTCTTCCAGTTTTACAAGATATTGAGCTGTATGCAGGAAAATCTGTAGTAATTGTGCCAATTTTGGCGAAGGAATTTAAAGACCCGACTATTGGGCTGATAGTGATAAGCAGAGAAAAAACATTTAGTAATGACGATTTACTGATTTTGGAAACGTTTTCTAGTTCTTTGCAGCCGATTTTTATGAGGCTTTTCGTTGAAAACTTGCCTGAAACGATGCTTGAAGACTGCAAAATTGAAAATTCTTCTCCTGATAGAGCCAAAGAAAGCTCTGAATCTGAGTTCAAAACTGTAAATGTTTTTAGAAAAAATTCAGAACTGGCAGCTCAATCAAGCTTCTTTTTAAGCCAAGATCTTACAAGAAATAGAGAAAAAAATAAAAAAGAGCCTCCTTTCCTACTAAAAAGCTTAAATAACATTCTCAGCATGCCACGACAAACTCTAGAAAGCCTCTACGATCTTCTTGACGATCTAACAAAAACCCCTTATGACCCTTACATCAAAATTGCAAGAAAATTACCCGAAATAGTAAAATGTCAGGTCGCCAAGCTGTTTTTATATGACAAATCTCAAGTAAACCTAATCGAGCAAACCACTTTTTCAAGCTACACCCCTGCAGGACTTATTAAAAAATCAATCCAAATAAAAGATATCGTAAAAATCGACCACGATGCTGAAAATGATTTAAATTTTGAGTTTGATTTAGACTCACTTGACTGTGAAGATCAAGTAGACTCTTACCTTTGTGTGCCTATTATTGATAGCAAAACCTCAGTAATTGGTGTTATTGCGTTCGTCAATTTAGAAAATCTTGAAGAAAACACGCTGCAAGTGGCTTCATTTTTGTCGATTCTGCCTAAAGAGTTTGCTGAACTGGCCTCAGCTCAAGATGACTCTGCGACGCAATGGAAAAAAATATTGGAAACTGGGAGGAAGCATAAGATGCTGCAGCATTGGTGCAAGCAGGTGTTTTTAGTAGCCAATCAATTTCAAAAGAAGTGCACTTATTATAGAGATATGCTGTACAAAATATCGTGCTATAATGATTTAGAAAATTTATATAATATAGGACTGATTTTAAAGGACTTTGGCTAGGCATGAATTTTAATATATTTAAGTCAAAATTAGCTTAAGTCAGTATAATGAAATTCAGCATTGATTTGGTGCAATCTCATACTAATACGAAAAGAGCTTATATATATTTATATAAAGACTCAGAGTTCGAAGAGCTTACAATTCATGACGGTGAGCCTCATAACCCACACGAATGGGAGCTTGATTTCTTTAAAGAATGCTACGATAAGAACTCCACAATTGCGTCCTTAAATCCTAATCAGTCATACCACCTGCTTGCAGTCCCTATAATTAATGAAAATGATTTCATAGGGCTTCTTTATTTCAAAAATAAAAAAGAGCCTACTTTATTACAATCAGTTCCTTTTACCGCTGAAGATATATAGTTTTTTCCTATAAATATCCTTTATTTGCCTCTCTCTGCACCTAAATAATATTTACAGATAATCCTATAGACATTTTTGAATGTTTAGCCAAAATAATTTCAGTCTCCCTGAAAAAAGGGTCTGATTCTGAAGAAAAAAGAAACAACGACGACTTTAAAAATTTTATAAAGGAAATTGCATGCGAAAGAGACTCCTATGCACTTATAACGACTATAAGAAAAGCAGCTGAACAGCTCTGTGACTGTGATCGAGCAGTTATTTTTATTCACGAAGAAAATGTGCTAGTTGCCAAACCTCAAGGACTAGAGCAGCAGCTGCCAGCTAATTACAGCTTTTATGTAGGATATGGGATCCCAGGGACAGTTGCCTCTAAAAAGACTACAGAAAATATTAAAGACGCTTATAATGACCCTAGGTTCACCCCTGACGTCGACAGGCTAACTGGGTACCGAACTACAAGTATCCTGTGTATGCCTATTTTAGACTCAGAAAAACAAGTCCTTGCAGTAATAGAATTAATTAATAAGAGACACGCCACTTTTGATGCTAATGATGAAGAAACGATGGACTTATTCTGCGAAATGGTTTCAGCTGTATTAGAGAACTGTGGGCTTTTCGAAAAAACTATTGAGGAGAGAGCTAGCTTGTTAGGGATTCTCAATAGCATTGGGAGCTATGCTTTGGCTCTGAATAGTGAAGGAAAATTAAGCTATGTTAATAAGCCGATAGAAGGGGTGTTCGGGGTAAATGAATTTGTGGTTAAAAAATTCCATTATACAGACTGGCTTAAGAATAATCCATCATTGGTCAGTGATATCCAAAAAGTGTTTAACGATCCAAGCTTAAAACCTTACAAAACTTCTAAATTCATATACACCGAGTCCTTTAGGAGTTCTTCATTCCTCTCGATTCTGCCTATAAATGACCAAGTTAAAAGCCAAAAATTCAACTACAGGATCCTCGGGCTAAAAGGAATCAACAAAGGCCAATTCGAAGGCGTGGTCATCATCTTAGAAGACTGCAGCAGCTTAGAAGAAATCCATATGAAATTCAAAGAAGTCAAATCCCAAATCAAAGCCTTAACAACTCCTTTACAAACAGAAACCGAGCTGCAGCGCTGCATAGGAGACTTAGAAGCAATAACTGAAAACGGCAACATCCAGCAGGAAATCAAAGACAACCTGCAAGACATAATGTCAAGGCTGAAATCTGGAAACCTCAACAGGCCTAAATATCGACTTGATGGCCCAGTTGACCAAATTGAGCAAGGCGTCGAAGCTTTAAAGTCTTTATTAGAAATTGACATGCCAGTGGAGCATGCAAGAACTCGTAGATATTCATCAATCTCTGAAAGCTCGCCTGACAGCCTTGAATCTTATCAACAAAACGTATCTCTTGATGACATAAGAAATTGGAACTTTAACGCATTCAGCATAGAAGACCCAATAAGTTTTGCATTTTCCCTTATGAATGATTTTGATTTATTTAAGAGATTTAAGATAAGGGCTCACATTTTTGTGAATTTTGTAGAGGAGGTGAAACATATTTGTGACCAGAAAGGAAACCCGTTCCATAACTTTGAGCATAATTTAAGCGTGATGCATGGGACTTATATGCTTCTGGCCAGTACTTCGGCTGGGTCTTATTTTAAGCCTGCTGATATTTTGGCTCTGCTGGTAGGGTCGATTTGTCATGATTTAGACCATACAGGAAGAAATAACCCATTTGAGTGTGCAAAATCGTCAAGGTTAGCTGTTTTGTATCATGATAAATCAGTGCTAGAGCAGCATCATGCTGCAACTGCGTTCTTTACAATGCAAAACGAAAATTGCAACATTTTCAAACATTTGAAGCCTAAGAAATTTAAATATATAAGGAAACTAATGATTGCAGCAATTCTACAAACTGATATGAGCAAGCATCTAGGCATGATTTCTCATATGACGAGAAGATTTAATGATACAACTGAAAATCCATTAGGGACACTTGAAAAAGATACAGAAAAATTGGCAGGGCTGCTGCTGCATTCTTCAGATTTAGCTCATGGGACAAAAGATTTCTCGATTTATGAGATATGGTCTAGAAGGGTATGTGAAGAATTTTCTGAACAGTATAAAGAAGAAGTCGCTCTTGGGCTTACGCCGACTGGGTTTATGAAAGATTTGGATAAGCCGAAGGTGTATTATTCTAATGAAATCAATTTTATGAAGTTCGTGGTGAAGCCCCTGTGGGAGTGCTTGAATTTGTGGCTGAAGCCGAATTTAGGCAATTTCTTGCAAAATATTGAGAAAAATATTGAGGAGATGCAAGCGAGGTTGGAGAACGAAGATGAGACGTCATAAATACTGTATATATTAAATATAGTTCCTGAATTTTAATAGATCATTATTGACTATTATTTTAATTTTAAAATAAATTTGTGCTTGCTAATTTTTTTAAAAAGTATATACGAAATGATAAATCTCCGTTTATGGGTTTCGAGGTGCCTAATCAGACTTATACAGGAGAAGACAAGTGCCCTGGACCATATTTTTCTGGTCTTATATGCTGCCTGGCCATAGCGATCTATTAATGTGCATTGGCTATATATTCGAATTATAAATGAGTTAAAATTGCTATTAAATATATTTGTTTGCGTATCTATGCTTATAGCTAGCTATATTTAATATTTCTCAAAATTATATTGAGCAATATTAAATTATTTGAAGAGACTATTAATTATATTAATTAACTCATACAATATAAATCTGATTATTTCCATTATTTTTTGCTATTTTATTTCAATATATCATTTCACAAATCAGAAAATATCTATTTTCTTTATTTAAATTGAAATTTTACACTACCTACAGCTATTTTCATTTGCTCTACCTCCCATAAAGTCCCAGATATAAGCTTATGCTCTACACCTTCAGAATTATGTATAATTATTGGAAGCTTATCTTGACGCTTCATACTATGCTTAATCTCTTTATGAGTATTTAAATTACCAGCTTGTGTGAACGATTTGATGCATCCAGGGTATGGGCACTTATAAGGCTTTTCCCCAGTATGGATCCGAATATGAGTTTTGAGATTAAAATCAACTGAGAAGCATTTTTCACAATATGGACATTTAAATGGTTTTTCACCTGTGTGGACCAAATTGTGCCTTCTGAGCTTGGAGTTGTCTTTAAAAGCTTTTTTGCAGACTTTACACTGGTAGTTTCTTATCACGGAGTCAAAGCTATCATCCTCCATTTTTATGACTTGTGTGGAGATTTGGCTAAATATTAAAAGCACAAATAATATAAAGAATAGGCCACAATTATAATAAAATAATAATAATGTTTTAGTAGAATATAATTATTTTGATATAAATAAAATATGATATATTTAAGGTTCCATGCACAATTAAAAATGGAGCGCATGAATTAGGGTCCTTGTCCCCTAAGGTCATCCTAGTGAGGGAAGTTCAGTCTTTCTGAAGGATATTGGCGCTGGAACTGCTTCGGCAGTTCCTGGTGTGCTTGAATCAAGTTCAAGGAAGGAAGAGAGACTCGTCTAGGTCATAGGCTACTGTAACGGTTCGACGGTTAGGCCGATTCCACCTACCGTTGTTCAGAGCTGTTAGCCAGTGATGGAATTCAGGAAGGATGAGCTTGCATTGTCAGATCCTAAGCTAAGTGGGGGTCGACGAAGTGCTATCGTAATCTTAAATCTTAAAGGTTCCATGTCAAATGATCGCGCATTTTTGATAGTTTATATTTCATCGAAGTACATTTGTTTTGAAATTTTTTTAATAGTGAGGCATTTGGGTGAAATTTAACGGCTTTTCAGTCAAGTGTCTCACTATCAAAAATTTTCAACCTATTTTCGACTATATGCGCTTCGGTGAAATGTACACTATAAAAAGTACACGATCATTGGACCTGCACCAATATTTAGAATAAACAAAAAAATGGGTAAAATTTCACATTTATCCTTTTTGAGATTTTTCGATTAAATATTAGACTAATAATTTAGTGATTTTAAATTCATTAAAAGGTGTAAGATTGAAATATAACTTTTATGCAAGATTTATAAAATTTATAATAGTAAATTTTAAGTCTTGAGCGGTGTTGTAATATTTAAAAAGGCAAATTTTAGTTAAAATTTCTAATAGTAAGTTAACAAAAAAATCTCACCAGGGAAATAAATTAAAAATCTGTATCTCTGATATTCAAACTTTGCCTTAAGCTGAATTACAATAGCTCACATAATCTACAAATCACCTACCTTAATTATACATAATACGCAAATTAATTTGTGTTTACAAACATGAAATGGTGAATAAAATGGCTTGGTAGCCAAGATCAGTATTATTCAAGTAGCCTTTACCTTCTTGTTTAAAATTCCATAAAATAAATCCCATTTTTTTAAGCTTTAATCAGCATTGCCCATATTCCGCTTTTCCAAAGATTCCCACAATTTTTCATACAAAAAAAATTATACCAAATTTTCTATATTTCCCTAATACCAAATCAAGCCATTTTTATTCTCAATACACCCTCAATCATCATAAATTTAATGATTTCCTACAAGGCTCATAAGGCTCTAATAAATATTTCTCCAATCCTCGTTCCTTCATAAAATCCAAAATGTCGCATAAAAATAACACTAATCTAATATAATCCATAGAAATATCATTTCCCGCACGTCTATTTTTTTATTTTATAAATAAATCCTAAAATATTGTACCGTTATTTGCAGATTTTTGAACTTTACCACCTAAGTGTGGAATTTTTTTCCGCGTGTGAAAAGAGGGTTCCACATGTGAAATCAAAAGGGCTCCACACGCGGAAAAAATTCCACACTTAAGTGGTAAAGTTCAAAAATCTGCAAATAACGATATCTATAAACCTGCAAATAAAATATATAGATATACATCTTACCTTAAGAAGCAATAACTTGCCATTAGTTGTCGAATAATAATAGTGGTGATGGCAAGCTACGAGAAGATTAAAGACGAAGTCAATGAAGAGCCAAAAGAGAAAGCAACTAACTCTACCCCCGCTCCAGAGGGGGTTATTATTTTTTTTTTAAAAAAAATTATATAGAAATTTTATAGATATTTTTTTCAAAAACTAAAAAATTTTGAATTTGTAAAAATTGAGGAGCAAAAATTATATTTTAAGTGCAAGCTGTTTAAAATTAACAGAATTAGTTAGACTTCATTATAATAATTATCATCTATATATCAAGTTTTTTTCATAAAAAATTTTTGTTCGCTCACGGAGGGGGGAGTAAGTTAACCCCAGAGCAGATGGCAGATATGAACACACCTGAATCTGGGCTCACAAGTGCAGAAGCCGCCAGAAGACTAGCAAGGGACGGGTAAAGCTTATATAGGCCAAACATGCTGCCGGAGAAAAGGGTGAACCCTTTTTTGAAGTTCTTAAGCTACTTCTGGGGCCCAATGCCAGGGATGATTTGGGCAGCCATTTTGATAGAACTGATTAGGCTGTCGTGACTGGACTTCGGAGTCCTGATGATTTTGCAGTTCGTGAATGGCTTTGTAGGCTGGTATGAAGAAAAAAATGCAGGAAACGCAATTGAAGCTCTCAAGAAGAACATGGCTCCAAAGGCAAAATGTAAAAGAAATGGGCAATATGACACAATCAATGCTAAAGATCTAGTTATAGGAGATAGAATTAACTTAAAGCTGGGAGATATAATTCCCGCTGACGCAGTCTTAGGACCAGGCTTTGCTGAGATCGACCAATCAGCTTTAACTGGTGAGTCTTTAGCGGTCATGAAATATGAAGGCGATACTGTCTATCAAGGCTCTGTCTGCAAAAGAGGCGACCTAGAAGCTATAGTTATGGCTACAGGAGCCAGGACATTTTTTGGGAGGACTTCAGCACTTGTAGGCTCTGTAAACCAGCGTGGGAACTTCCAAAAGGTCCTATTAAAAGTAGCCTTTTCGTTACTTATAGTTTCTGTCGTTCTGGTCATCGTAATTCTTATAGTGAACTTGGCAAAAGGTAACAATTTCCTTGAAACTTTATCAATTTGTGTTGTTTTACTTGTCGCCTCAATCCCAATCGCTATGCAAGTGGTATGTACAGCCACCATGGCTGTGGGTGCCCACGCATTAGCAACCCGAAAAGCCATTGTCAGTCGTCTAACTGCTATAGAAGAGCTCGCAGGCATGAAAATCCTGTGTAGTGACAAGACTGGGACACTCACAAAAAATGAACTGACGATCCAAAATCCAGTCCTTCTTAAGGATTATAAAGCAGAAGACTTATTTTTAGTTGCAGGACTTGCAGCTAAAAGGGAAGTTGGCTCACAAGACGCTATCGACAAATGCATCACTGAGTATGCCTATGAAAAATGCAAGATCAGCTATGATGGCTACGAAGAAGAAGAATTCGTCCCATTTGACCCAAAAATTAAAAGAACTGAAGCAACAGTTAGGAACAGAAAAGGAGAAATTTTCAGATGCACAAAAGGAGCGCCACAAGTGGTTTTAGCTATGGCAGCTGACCCAAGCATTGAAGAAGAAGTCTCTGGACATGTGATGGACTTAGCTTCAAGAGGCTACAGGACACTTGGAGTTGCCAAAATGGACCCTGGCCAAACCAAATGGAGCATGATAGGCTTGATTTCTTTATACGATCCTCCTAGAGATGACACCAAAGAAACCATTCAAAAAGCTTTACAAATGGAAGTCAAGGTAAAAATGATCACTGGCGACCAGCTTGCAATTGCAAAAGAAACTGCAAGACTGTTAAACATGGGCGATAAAATTTATAACTCAGAAATGCTCCAAGCTGAAACAAGCGTGGTAAGTAAAGAAATTTTGGACTCCATGGTAGAAGAAGCTGACGGATTCGCTGAAGTCTTCCCTGAGCATAAGTTTGCTATTGTAAAAATGCTTCAGGAAAGAGGTTTTCGATGTGGAATGACTGGAGATGGAGTAAATGATGCCCCAGCATTAAAAAAAGCTGACGTAGGGATTGCAGTGGATGGGGCTACTGACGCTGCCAGAGCAGCTGCTGATATTGTCCTGACTAGTCCAGGGCTTAGTGTGATTATAGAAGCTATATATAGAGCTAGAAAGACTTTCCAAAGGATGAATAATTACTGCGGGCGAGATATGCGGCGGCTAGGGGCGAAGCGTCGATAGAAGGCTTGGCCGGTTGGGCTGACCACCGCGATTCCAAGATGGCTCCGTGACGTCACTAGTTAGCTAAAAGTTTCATTTTGGGATGCGGCACTAGACACCTTAAACACCGAATAATTAAGTTAAGTTAAGAATAATTACTGCACCTATAGAATTGCTTGTACCTTCCAGATCATTATTTTCTTCTTCATCACTATGGTCGCTGTCGACCCCTCTGATGATTTCACCTGCAAAGGCCACGGCTGCAGCAATGTTCCCAATACATTTGCGTTACCTGTGATATGCCTTGTCATTATGGTAATTTTAAATGATGGGCTGATCATTTCAATTGCTTATGATAAAGTGACGGTAAATAAAAAGCCTGAGGCGTGGAATATGATCCTTATTTTTTCAAACTCGACTGTTCTAGGCTTTATTGCTTTTATTTCGTCACTGATTTTGCTATTGTTGTGCTTAGACAATATGAACGGTGATGACAGAAATGTTTTCCTCAAGGCTTTTGGAATTGAAGCTATGAGATATGGAGAAATTCTGACCATTATTTTTATGAAGGTCTCTATTTCGAATTTTTTAACGGTATTTTCAGCCAGAACTATGAGCTGGTTCTGGACGAGAGCGCCTGGGAAACTGCTGTTCAGTGCTGATATGTTTGGAATAATTGTGTGCTTGTTCCTGTCCTGCTATTGGTTTTTAAATATTAGTGTAGGAGAAAGTAGCAATATTCCTGATATGAAGCCGATCAGTTGGGGAGTCACTATGTGGATCTTAGGCTATGACGTAATTTTCTTTATTTTGCAAGATTAAATTAATTTTTTTTTTTAATTTTCAGGACAAATTGTGCTTGTTTATGTGCCATTTTTATATTAAAATTGTCAATTTGCATTGGCTTAGAAATTATTTGTATTGCAAGATATAGCCAAAATTTTGATGATAAGAGTTTTTGATGCTTATTATAAATCCCAAGGAAAAGAAGGTGGTTACTCAGGAAACACGCTTGGTGAATCATTTTTGCTATTCTCAGATTCAAGAGATCCTAAAAATTATAGGAAGTCAATTGTCACTAGAAGATCTATGGTCGCTGCTCAAGATGTCCATGGAGGTCGTTAAGATAATCTAATACTTATTCCCCCATTAAAATTGGAACAAAAAAACTGTTACAATTAAATGGGGCGTTTATTTTTTTAAAAAAAAAATTAATTATGCAATATTTTTGAATTTTAATTTATTTATATGAAGAATTAATTAAAAAAATAATCGATTCAGTGTGAAAGCTTTTTAAATAATATTCTACTTGCATTTTACCCATTAAATTAGACAGAATTACTTTTAGAAAATAAGTTTAATTATAAAATTATCCTATTGAAAACAATTTTACTACAATTTAAAGGAGGTTAAAATACCCAAATAGTAAAAATTTAATTTAGAGACCACTTTTAGGTTTTTTTTGCTCCCACAGCTATCTTAAACGCCGCACTGGGTCGAGTCGCGCCATCTTCCTTCGCTGATAAAGAGTACCTTGGCTTTTTCACGACGAGGACATCATTATTGAAGTTGGGCTTTGAAAACTCTTCTTTGAGCTTGAATCCATAAGGCACCCTAAAGGTCCCAGCCTAAATTCGATTTCTTAGGTCAGGAGTCCGTAGGAAAACCGCAAGACTCATGCTTCCCTGATATAGCTGAGATAATTTCACTAGGAGAAACCAAGCCATAATTAAAACCCGCAAGAGAAGTTTTTGATAAAATTCAAACGACACCATATTTTTAATTTCTGTTAAAGTACCAAAAAATGGAAATTTTACCTATATTTTATTCCAATTTAACGAGGGTGAGTCAAGATAGTTTAAATAATGTCATAACTATCCTGCACAAACAACACAAACAATAATCCTGAAAAGCAATTATTTAATTTTTATAAAAAATTAAAATCTATTTTTCCTCTAATTCTACATATTTTTATCATTACCTATATTATTTTCTTATTAATGGAGCCACTCTTAGATCCACTACGTGACAGGGCGGTTCAAGATCTTACGCCACCTCCTCATAGAGCTCTGGACAGAGTAAAGCTTTATCCTAGAGGAATTGCGAACCCTCCTGATTGGATAGTCCTGAGAGACCACTTGCAAGCTGAAGGTAGAATTGCAAAGCAAGATTGTTTATTACTGATAAGACAAGCCTCTGACCTATTAAGGAGGGAGAGAAATTTATTAGAGTTGAAAGACCCAGTATCTGTAGTAGGGGATATTCATGGCCAGTATTATGACTTATTAAGGCTGCTTGAGCTGGGTGGAGATCCGAATCGAACAAAGTATTTATTATTTTTCTCTTAAATTAATTAAAGCTTTTTATATCTAAATAGCCATTTTAACTATAAAATAAACCAATTTTAATGGTAAATTTATCAGTATTAGTATATTTTTAGGAGATTATGTAGATAGAGGCTCTTTTTCTATAGAAGTCACCCTCCTCTTATACGCAGTCAAGCTTAACTTTCCTCAAACAGTTTTTATGCTGCGAGGAAACCACGAATGCCGACAGATGACATCTTTTTTTAACTTCCGTGAAGAAACGCTTTATAAATACGATACAGAGGTATATGACGCTATAATGGAGAGCTTTGACGCCTTACCTTTAGCTTGTATAGTGAATAATAAGTTTATCGCTCTTCACGGAGGCATTTCCCCTGAACTGTTGACCTTAGAAGACATTTCCAGGCTCAGCCGCTTCCAAGAGCCTCCACGGCAAGGCCTTTTTTGCGATATTTTATGAAGTGACCCAGTAGACAGTGAAACAGGAAGCTGCCCAGAAAAATACAGAGTCAACACAGTCAGAGGCTGTAGCTTTTATTTCGGGCTATCAGCCGCAAATGGATTTCTAAAAAAAAATCGGCTGCTTTCAATCCTAAGAGCCCACGAAGCACAGCTAGATGGGTACAAAATGCACAGATGAAGCGGGACTTCAGAGTTCCCTTGTGTGATTACAGTATTTTCAGCACCAAATTACTGCGACGTTTACAACAATAAAGGCGCAATTTTGAAGTTCGATAACAATACCCTCAATATCCAGCAGTTTAATTATACAGCGCACCCTTATATTTTGCCGAATTTCATGGGACTTTTTGAATGGAGCATTCCATTTGTGATAGAAAAAGTGCTTGAAATGATAAAAACTGTAATTAAGCCAGCAAATGAAATTGAAGCAAAAAGAGGAGCTGATGTAGGCGAACAGGTAAAAAAACTGCAAGAGGATGTCAGAGAGGCGAAAGTATATCCAAAAAAATTTTTTTCTATTTAAAACACATTTCAAAAGGGATTTTCTATAAAATTTATAATATAAAAATCCTTTATGATACCAAAATTTCTTATTTTGTATAGAAATTTTCAGGAACAAAGTTAAAGCGGTTACAAAGATGATCAAGATGTTTAAGACTCTCAGAGAAGAAAAAGAAATCATTATGCAATTGAAAGGGCTGTGCCCTGATAATAAAGTACCGAGAGGGCTGCTGCTACAAGGAAGAGAAGCGATTCTAGGAGCAGTTGACTCGTTTTCACAAGCCAAAACTTGGGATATAATAAATGAAAAAAGACCAGACTAATTGAGTGTTAGAAAAGAATTTTAAATTTAAATTAAAATTCAGTATTTTGAGGTAACATTAAAGGGAGACTAAAGCACTCTCTGAGCTGCGAAGTCGGAGATTTCGCTTGCAGTTTGGGCAGTTGCTTTGCCGCATAAGCCAAATGTCAATGCAGCGCAGATGGAAACGGTGACCACATGGCATGATTCTAACCTTTTCTCTGACTTGTAGGTCTTCTAGGCAGACTGAGCATATAAAAGCTCCTCGTTCTGGGCTATTTATTTCGCTGACATTAAATTTTAGAATAGACCCAGGGGAAAGTCCTCTTGCACTTGAGGTAAAGCTAGGGGCATCTTCGTTTCCATATTGCTCTATTAGCTGCGTGTATTCGCCTTCTATAACCCTATTCCTTAAATAGCTTAAAATTGATATAGCAGTATATAAAGAATAAGAGAAAGGATGCACAAAAGGAAAATATATTTATAAATAAATATATAAATAAATAATAAGCAGCGGGAAAAAAATTTCAATATAAAGAATATCATAATTGAAGTTGTATAAGCAATAATCCAGCTATAAAATACAACAAGTCATAGAGCAAAATATCATTTTTCCTGAGGATTTTTGAAGCATTCTGATCCGACATATTTAGCTTGCGACTGAACTTCTGCAAATCAGAAAGTTCCAATTATGATTCAAGCTAAGAAAATAGGGTATATAACGCCTACAGAAATGATTGAACTTAATGAAAAAGATCTAGAAAATGCTTGGAAACATCAAGGCTCATTGGGTTCATTTTCAGCAAAATTTTCTAATATGTGGGTAAATCTGATTAGCGCTAATAATGCACAGGACACTAAAAGTCATATTTCTATAGGTTTTACGCATGACCTTCATAATTTTTACGTAAAATCTTGCCATGTGACCATCAGTTCTGCTGCTGCATAAAAGATTGCTAAGCCAATAAAAACATCGTGACTTTATAAATCATACCATGATAATCGTACAGGCATATTTTAATTATTTTTAGATTTCATTATTATTTTCTATGACTATTATATACTAGTAAGCATATAAAACTAAAATTGTAATTAAAAAACTCAATAATTTACATGCTAGAATATGAATTTATAATAGGAAACTGAGTTAAATAATCTTTGATTTTCTGGGGGTATAATAATTTATAACATGGTCGACAAAGGAAAAACGTAATTTTTATTTAGAAAATCTTCTCTGAATCAAAGCAGCATTAGTCTTGGTTTAGATTTAATGAGGTACTTACCCCATCGAAAAATAAAAATCAATTAATAATAATATATAATGTTTTTTTATATAAAATTATTTTTATCCAAAAAAGATTTAGAAGCCTTACCAGAGTCGTACCCATTTTTAGAACCAGTTGATTATGTAGGCTTACAATTAACTAACTACCCGCTCATCATCAAGCAGCCAATGGACCTTTCAACTGCCAGAAGAAAGCTTATCACTGGAAAATATTCTTCTCTTGAAGACTACATCTCAGACTTAAACCTAATTTGGGCTAATTGCAAGACCTACAACCTAGAAGGTTCTGATATCTATGTTATGGCGCAAAAGATGGAATCAAGCATGCATCATTATTATAAAAAGCTTTTAAATAAGCAGCAGGAGCACTCACAAAGCAACACAGTCTCTTTTGCAGAAAAAGTTGAATTTGCAGAGAGAGTTAGAAAGGTTGCCCCAAGTGTCTTAAAAGAAATAGTAGAAATTGTACAAAAACAGTGCAGCAATGCGTATTCTGAGCCAAGAGAAGACAAACTACAGATTAAAGTGGATTTATTAGATAAGAACACGTTTACAAGGATTTCAGAGCTTGCCGAAAATTATATCGCAAGCAGGCCTAAAAAGATCCGGAAAGTGTCTAAAGCATAATGAAATTTTATTTATTTCAAAATTTATCCAATTAAAAATTTTTAAGTAAATATGCTCATAAAATCTCAAACACCGATATATCAGCCTTCAGGGATTGTTACAAATATTAATAGAATTCGTTATCGCTCTCCTTCTTATCGTGCGAATATATCTCCTAAATCCCGAAGAAGATCAAGTCCTAAAATTAATCGCTCATTTGCTGTATATGAAGAATCATCACCTTCTGCTCTTAAATTTAGGAGTACTTCAGTGGACCGCCCAAGGCATAATTCGACAGGAGAAATGAAATCAATAAGATCAAGGCACACAACTCTTAGATCTGTGACTAAAATTTCTGATATTTTGGAACATCAAGAAGTTCAAATTGAACTTGGCAGGCAGTTTATTTATTTATTTATATATAACGTTTAACGTCCACTGCGGGGTAGCCGTTTCCAGAGCTGCCACCATATTTATCGTGTCGGGCCCATGGATCTCTGGATCGATCCACTTCGTTGCACCAAGATACGGGTCCATACAGCGTTCCGGCTTCGATGGGCTGCGTGGCAGGCAGCTTATTAAAGATACCAACTTTTCACAGGCCATTGAGGTTTTTGAAGGGGTTTTGGAAAAAGATAAAGCAAATATTGATGCCTTGTATGGAAGAGCTGTCTGTTATATGCATTTGGGAAATCATAAATTAGCAGTCACTGATTTGCTTGCGGTTGCAAAAGAAAACCCTGTATATGACAAACAGCTGTATGCAGCACTAAGTATATGTTTTATGTCTATGAATGATATTTCTACAGCATTAAGGCTAATATCTAAAGGCTTGTCAAGATTTCCTAAGTTTTCTGAAGGATATGTTATAAGAGGACAAATTTATTTAAAACAAGAAAAAATAGAAAAAGCATTAAGCGATTTTAAAAAAGCTGCTGCTTATAATCCAAAAGATGGATCAGCATATCTTGGAATCGCTGATTGCTTGATTTACACAGAAAATAAAGAAAGCTGCTTAGAAGCTTTAAACAAAGCTATTTCATTTCCAGAAACTTCTGTGCTAGCCCTTCTGAAGCGTGCAAAATTTTTTGCTTCAATAAATAAAAATGACCAAGCTTTTGAAGACTTAAACAAATATATTTCTTATAAGTCAGAAGATCCTGAAGCTTATTTTACCAAGGCTCTGCTTCTGCTTAAAACTTCTCAGTTTCATGAATCAGCTTTATGCTTTGAGCAAACTATCAAATATGACTATCAAAACTCTTTCTTAAATCAAGCCGTTTTTCATTTGGGGGCTTTAAAAATCAGGGAAAGAGACTTCTATGGGGCTTTACACACTTTTAAAAGAATCAATGGGCAAAAAGAAATAAAGGACCAAAAAACCTTGAGACACTATGCAGAAGCTGTTATAAGTCTTATGAAACGAAAATACAAAGAAGGAATTACTTATTTTTCAAAGCTTATCAAAAATGGGGACAGCATAATACAAGAGTATTTACTCTCTCCCTTGAATTAGAGCAATCTATTCTGATTTAAAAGGGTTAATTTTTTTTTGAAAAAAAATAAAAAATATAAATTGAATAATGTATTTATGAATGCCTATTTACTGTTTTAAAGAATAAATTAATCAATTGAGTGATTCAGATCTTTAAATAACTTTTACTTGCATTTTACTCCATCAAATTAGTTCAAAGCTATTTATATAAAAATTAATATTTTCATCTATAAAATTCTGTTCCAATTTAATGAGGCTTTAATTTTATACAAAAAAAGGGGAATACAGATATTTTATTCTAATTTATAGGAAAGTTAGGAAATTGCTATGCATATAGAGCATACGGATATTGTGCACTTAATAAATTTGATAAAGCTTTACAGGATTTTAAAAAAGCATCATTGATATCAACTTTGAATAAAGCTTCACTTTATAATCAATGTTTAGCACATGGTCTAAAAGATGCGAAAAAAGGAGATTTTCAATCTGCGCTTAATTATTTAAGCAAATCTCATAAGCACTTCAACAAAAATCCTGACCCTTTGGTTTATCATGCAGCTATATTACTTCACATAGCATATGAAGCTTCCCCGCCTAACGATATTTTTATTATAGAATCCGAAAATTTATTACAAAAAGCTTCCCAGCTCAGAGATCCAGAAAGTGATATTTATTATTATCAGGCAATAGTGAAATATCTGAGAAATAAATTTTCTGAAGCTTTAGAAGATGTTAAGCTTACTATTGATAAAGCAGAAGACAACATTGCTGAGCATTATGTGCTTAGAGGGCTGTGCCATGCTGGACTTAAAAAATATCAAGATGCCTTGCAAGATTTTACTATAGCTATTCAATTGAATGAAGAACTATATTATGCTTATTCCTATAGAGGAAGGGTTGCTTATTTAGAAGACGATACAGATCTTGCTTATAGCGATTTTCAAAAGCATATAGCTGGCTGTCCAAATGATCCTTTAGCTCATATGCTGGCTGGAAATCTCCTGATGTCAACTGGATCTTATGACGATGCAATTAGTGCTTATAATAATGCTTTAGCGTTAAAATTCAGCTGTGAGGCTACTTATCAGAAGGCAAAATGTTATGTGCTGCTTCATAAGCTTGACGATGCAATTATTGAATTAAATAAAATTTTGCAATCAAAACCAAATTTTTTAAGCGTTATCAAAGATAAAGAAATTTTGACTTATTTGAGAAATTTAGCTTCAGAGGAAAAAAATGTTAATATACTAAATTAAATCAATAAGTATTTATATTGCAAAGCTATTACTTAATTAATTTTAAAATTAAGAATTTCTTTACAAGTATTGGATAATTTTATTTTAATGGAAATATTTTTCAAAAATCAATTGAAAATTGTTATAAATGACTCAATTCCCCTCGTGAGGGAACAAAACCAATAGAAAGTCCCCTTTTTTGTAGTAAAAAATCACCTCCAAGAGCAAAAAAATTGTTTTTAATATAAATTATGTTTATGAAAAATATTTTTGATATATAAGTGATAAGTAGTATAATTAAATCTCTAGCAGATTCTGTTGAGTTTTAAACAGCTTACATTTAAAACATAAATTTTATAAATTAATTAATTGAGACATTTTAAATTCGAATTATAAATTTATTAAAAATAATTTAACCCTCCTTGAACGAAAAAATTTTTTGTACGCTCAAGGATGTGGAAGTCAGTGAAACGTGCGGGGAAATTTTTGAGAGGAAACATATTTATTGAATGAAAGCGATTTTTCTAATGTACACTGAAGAATATGAACTTGCTTTAGATGATTTTCAAGAAGTTCTTGAAATTATTCATTCAAAAGACAATGAATTGATGACTTCTGATGAAGCACTTGCAGCAGAAGAAGAAAATTGTGAGGCTCTCTATAATATTGGCTTATGTCATTTACATGTAATTTCCTATTTAGTCTAACAAAGAGCAATCTTTAGTGATATTCCAAGACCTTGCTGAAGTTCTCAATGACAAGCATAAAGGCCAAATGATTTTTCTGTCAGCGCTTTCAGAACTTTCATTAGGAAATAATGAAACTGCTGAAAAATTAATGAAAGAAGCTTTCAAATGTGACCCAGAAACCATCAGTCCATTTCTCTCTGATAATCCCACCACTTTATTACCTTTAAATACCAAAAGTGAATTTTCATCAAATTTTCCTTTAATTACATTACCATTTTCTAATATCCCAAAACTCCAAGCAAGACCAGCAATTTCTTTGCCAAGAGTTAGAGCTCCTTCATTAGAATTAAACGTTGAAGAAAAAGTCAAAGATTTCTTTGATTTTTCCAAAATTTCTCCAAAACCTGAAGCTCCTTGATTAAATAGAATTCGAGGGTCTATACAGTTTACTGAAAATATTGTAGAATTTGACGTAGACCCTTCAGATACTGAAGATGAAAAAGAAAAAATTGAAGAAAAAAGCACAAATGATATCAGTGAAAATTTTGAGCGAAAAGTAAAATCACTAATTCCTATACGGCATAAGACCCCAAGTCCAATTGACAGCTCAAAAGAGATCCTTAAGCATATTGATGAATATAGCCTTTTTAAGCAAAACGGAAATCAAGATCCAGACCCTGAGCATGCTATTATAAAAAAAATCAAAAATGTCTGCAAAGGAGACTAATGTAAACTTATTTAAAATAATTTTCTATTAATTCACTTTGTATTAATTCTGGCTTGCCCTGCCTTTCCATATAGAAGGTGTCTTATAGCTGCTTTCCATAATTTCGTCTTCTTCATGCAGCACATCTAGCCTAGGCTTATAAAGTTCTTGAATTACTTCTCTATTTACCTGCAAGCTTGTCTGCATATTTACTTCATTCTCTAATGGTGAAGTCAGCGCCATTTCTTCTAAATGAATGCTTGGGATTCTTTTTCGATGTTTATTTTTGAAATATAATAGCACTCGTAAAAGGAGAACTAAATTTCGGACGATAAGTACAAAAATGCCGACTATGCCTCCTAAGTCGTCAAATAAGGTATCTTGTGTGCAGGCAAAAATGATCCCGTAGATGCATAGAATAATTATGAAAATATCAAATATATTACTCAATGCAGTTCAAAATCGGCGAAGACCGATTAAATACATTCTAACTCCCCCTCCTCCGTAAGCAAACACAAATATTAGAAAAATCCTTATTTTTTGCCAAAAAAAAAACACCCTCCGTGGGCGAACAAAAATTTTGGTGAAAAAAAATTGATATATAAATGATAACTATAGAACGAAATCTCTAGCTAATTCTGATTAATTTTAAACAGCTTACGTTTTTAAATATATAAATTCGCAAATTAAATTAAACTTTTGCTTCTCATTTTTAAAAATTTTTGGAATTTGAAAAAAAAATTTTATAAAATTTATATAAATGTTTAAAAAAAAAAATTATGTAAGCGAACAAAAAATTTTTTTGTTCGCTCACGGAGGGGGAGTAAGCAAAATTTCAGATAAAATTGTTACACAGATTATGACTTCTAATGCGATAAACCATCCTTGATCTGTTTAGAAATTACTTGGATATCTCTTGATATGATTTAAAACCCAAATCATGCTAAAGAGACTTAAAATAATCTGAGTGATGTAAAAATAGCGAGCAAATCCTGAAAAATATAATTGGTTTAGACGTTCCTTGCAGGTGCTATGACGATTGAGATATGTTGATGTTGGAGAGTAAGCTATAGGAAAATAATCAGAGCTGTAGTCCATTTTTAATATTAATATTTTTAGAAACTCATTTATGCAACTCTCTGATTGATAATTTCTTCATACTGAGCAGGAAAAATTCTAATTTTTAATTTAAATGGAATTTGAGTTGAAAAATTAGGAATTAAATAATAGTCAAATATTTGAATATAAATAAAATGTGAACTTGGATTTATTTACAGTTTTATTAAGAATAAATTAATATGTAGCTTAAATAAAATAGTTGATTAAAAGAATCTTTAATATGGCAATAGCATTTTTGAGGCATGAGCAAACTCATTGCAGCTATATCTTTGAGCATGTTTGAAACTATATATATTATCGGTAAAAGTTGAAATAAAAATTATTTAATTAGGTTTTTTGTTTCTTTATAATTTTTAAGATTTATTATGATTTTATATAATTGTACTTATCTTTTAGTTTGAGTTTTAATATTTCTGATATATGTCCATATGATTTCATAAAGATGCTGAGTGTTCTAAAATGTATCTATATCTAAATTAGATTTTCAAAATTGACCAATCATATGCCATTTTTAGGATAAAACTCATCTATAAATGGGCCGAAATTAGCCTTTATTTATAAAATGGTAAAAACCCCAAAGAAAGGAGAAGACAAGCCAAAAGTTGAATCAGCAGGAAAGAAAGGAAAGAAGAGATCTGAAACTTTTGCTCTTTATATCTACCGTGTCCTTAAACAAGTCCACCCAGATATTGGTATCTCAAAAAGATCGATGAGTATAATGAACTCATTCATCAATGATATTTTTGGTCCTTTTATTTTATATAAAATTCGTCTTTTCCTGAATTATTTTCCTTTTTAATAGAATTTTTTGATAGAGGTCGCTTTGGAAATGAGAAATTTGCTGACACCAATTTTTGAAAGAGTCTGTTTTGAATCCAGCAAATTAGTTAGGTATCAAAAGAGAAGAACCTTAAGCAGCAGAGAAGTTCAAACCTCAGTCAGACTTATTCTTCCAGGAGAACTCGCAAAGCACGCTGTCAGTGAAGGAACTAAAGCTGTTACTAAATTCACAAGTTAAGTTAAATGTTTTGCAATTAGAATTTTGTGTTTTAATTTAAATATTAAAAATAAATGAACTTAAAAATATTTACGCAAAAGTTTTATATATTCAGAAAATATATATTTAATTGGTTTAATTGGTGATATTATATATAATTATTTTTAAAAATAATAGGATTAATTAGTTTTATGCATTATATGACTTCAGTTGATTAAATTTTATATAAGAAAAGAAAAAAGGACAAATCTGATTTATCTGTATGCTTTATACATATAATTATAAAAATGAAATAGAATAAGGATCAAAAAGCTGAATTTATGATTTTCTTAAATAGGATTAGGATTATTAAAGTCAGGCGTTAGCCATATTGGTGACGCAGTCACCAAAGACCTCCCGTACGGGAGGTTCATCCGCTTTTCGACTCCAGCCCAGAGGGTCTATCCCTCTTGCGAGTGCCCTTCGGTACCTTCTGTCTCCTCCTGGCCTTGAGGCTTCAGTCTTGAGTGGGCGGCTTATGGATTTCTGCCTGCTACGGGCGATTGGAGTAGCTTGATTCCAGAGATCAACTCCTTGGAGTCTATCGGGTGTCGAAGTGCCTTTCTTCGACAGCTACAGGAAAAAGACTACCCCCAGTTTCTCGGTAGAGAGGAATGCCCATGGGTCCTCGGATCCAAAGGATGCTGTTGGGCACCTCCATTTCCAACCACAGGAAAGCAGCCAAAACCTACCCGGATACACACCTCTAGAGCCTGCACTAGATTCTCGGCTCGAAGTCCGTCCCAGTTCGCCGTAGCCATAAGGTCTGGACTACTGCGCCAAGAGGGCAGGTTGGCACGTGTCGCCATTTAATGTATATGATTTCTTAAATAACATCAAAATGTGTTCCTTTATCAAAAAGAAATCAAACACAATTGAATTAAAATACCAAAGCATTTTTAGTAGTTAAGAAAGCCTAATTTTTATAATAGATTTTCTTATCATATATAATCATGATATCAGGTATACACGAAAAAACCTACTGTAGATTTATTACACATTAAAAATTCTAATCCGCGTTTATAATTTTCCGGGCTTTTATTTTTCGATATTCTTAATAAAATTTTCTCTTCCAAAATTCACCTCCAAATTTTTTATAATAATTTTTTACCCAACTTTTCTACTTTTCTAGTTATTTTGATACAATTCTGATCGTGATTTCCTATAAATTCATTGCCATCATAACTGTTGATATCTTGATTTAAATTCCTAACGGTCATTAAAAAATGAATTACAAGTTTGCTGTTATAGCTCTCTGTATCTCTCTGTCAATTGCAGGTAAAGCTGACTTTCCATATGGTCTTCAATTAGAATGGAACATCGAAGGTGATTCTATAACTTTTAACTTCATTGTCCCTAACATACAAATAGGTCCTTTCGGCTGGGCAGGAATTGGTTTTAAAACACTCGAAGCAGGACGAACCATGGCAAATGGTGACTTTGTAGCTGCTATATTTGATTCAGGGAAAATCGAAGATAGGTTTGGAAACCCAAGAAACTCAAATCCTCCACTTGACGAAGAAAAAGGAGGAATGGACGATCTTCAAGATAAAATGAAAGATGTTCAGGACAATTACACAGTTTTCAGCTGGACAAGATGGCTTGATACTAAAGATGCAAAAGATTCACCATTAGTAGAAGGGAAGGAATATTATTTATTGTGGGCTGTTGGGAAGAACGAAGGAGAATTTATTAAACACCATGATGACGCTGGAGCTATCCAAATTGTATTATCCAATGATTTCTCTACAACTGAAGAAGCACATGCAAGCTTCATTAATATTAATTAATTTTTTTTCATAAGCCATATCCCCTTATATAACTGCAAATCTTTTATTACTATCCAATATGGGAAATCCCTTTAACTAGACTTAATTTATCATAACATTATCACTTAATTAATAAAAAATTTACCCTTGACCCTTCATTTTCTCACAATTAAATAATGGTCCTCAATAAAAACACCAAAAATATATATAAAATAAAAAATCCAATGTCAGAAAAAAGCAGTTTAGACTCCTTTGTAGTTTTACACACAATAAGTAAAGGTGAGCACGCAGTTGTAAAATTAATAGAAGATAGTTATGGTAAAAAGTTCGCTGCCAAAATTTTCAAAGCTAAATCTCTAGCTTTGAGGGCTCTACACATGTCACTGTGGGAATCCGAGCTTAAAGCTTACCGAAATATCAACACCCTCTGAACTCTTCGAGTTCTAGCGTCAAGCAGCACAGGAATCTACAAAAAAAAGTCCCAAAAAGGAGAATATTCCTGCTTTTATATGCTTTTTGAATACTGCCCTTATGGGTCACTTTGGGATGTTGTAAAACTTTCACCAGACGAAAAAATCCTCAGATTTTACTTCAAACAAATCATTGAAGGGGTTGAAGGGCTGCATTCTCATGGTCTGACGCATCTGAATTTTAAACTAGAAAATGTACTTATAGACGAAAATTTCGGGCTAAGAATTTGTGGATTTTCACATAGCTCATTTGATACCCAAGAAGCCCCAACTTATAATGGAAGACTAGATTATTATAAAAGCCCTGAAATAGTCAAAAGGAAGCCTTATATGAAAAATAAAGCAGATTTATTTGCCATTGGGGTCATGTTTTTTATATTGTTGCTTCAAAAACCTCCATTTATGCGGGCTGATTTGATAGACCCTTATTTCAAGATGATGAAGGCGAAAAATAATGAATATTGGATAAGAATGAAGCCAAAAAATTTGGCTGTGTCAAGCGAGTATCAGAAAATTATTAATTCAATGCTGGGAGAGCTGGAAAATGAAAGATTAAGCATTGAAGAAATTAAGAAGCATGCGTGATATAATTTAGAAGATCCAACTAGAGAAGAACTAAGGGAGTTTTTCCAGAAAGTTAGGGAAAAAGCAAAAATATTGTAAATGGTGAGTTTTTGAATATTACATAATACATAAATATTTAGAATTAAGATAATTGGAGAAAATAATATATTTAAAATGGCAGTTAGGGATGGGTCCATAGTCCTGATCCACCAGGCGGACCCATATACCTAGCTCAGTGAGAGAAGTCAAGCTTCTTGAGAGTATCGGCTTGAAGAGCACAAGTCGGTGCTTAGGCTGGCACTGACTAGAGAAGTCTGAAAAGGCTTGATAGCTTTAACGGTTCGACGGTTAGGCCGGTTCAGAACCGTTGTTCAGAGCTGTTATCGTAGCTGAACCTCAAGTAAAGAAGTCTTAGAAGACACTAAATGTGCGAGAGAATTTCATTAAACTTAAATTGGAGAAATAAAAATTGTATAAAATTATTGCTGAAAATAGATTAAGAAAAGAAAATAAAGCTGAGTTGTAATTTTTAAGATTTTCTTAAATTTTTTACAAGTGTTGCCACGGATTTGTCTAATAAAATATGGGGTTGGACGAAGATGAAGTGTTGAAACATAATAAACCTAATGACGCTTGGGTAACCTATAAAGGAAGAGTCCTTAACATAACTTCATTTCTTAGCGATCACCCTGGTGGCTCTGAAATCATAGAGCCTTATTTAGGAAAAGACATCACAAAGCAATTCGACGAAAATGACCACTCTGAAAACGCAATCAAAATGACAAAAAACATGGAAGTTGGAAACCTCACGAAACCTTCAAAACCAGAAGAAAATTTAACTATTGACCCAACCCGAGGTCTTGTTTACCAAGTCTTCACCAAACTAAATCTTAAGGCATACCAAGACTTTGTCAATGATCCAAAGCACACAAAAACAAATGTTAGAGTTTTTGATTCGCCGATTTTAGAACCTTTTTCTAAAACCCCTTGGTACGCAATTCCAATTTTTTGGATTCCTGTCATGCTATTTTATGCCTATTGTGGTTTAAAACTTGGAATTATTTCTTTTGTTTGTCTATTTTTATTAGGAGTGGTGTGGTGGACCATATTTGAATATTCACTTCATCGATTTGTATTTCACAGTGAAAAATACTTACCGGACAACCCTTATTGGATTGTATTTCATTTCTTATCACATGGGATACATCATGCTTATCCTATGGATAATCTAAGATTAGTTTTTCCAATAGCCTTAGGTGTTATATAGAAATTTCCCATAGATGGCGCAGTTTGCCCTTGATTTGCCCACTGGGAAAATTTTTTGGTTCGGCCAGTACCATATTGTTTGGTCAAACCAAAAAATTTTTTCAGTGGGTAAACAAGGGCAAACAGCGCCATCTATGGGAAAATTCCTTACTAGTAATTGTGCTTAAAGCAGGAATATACAACAATTTAATGCCAGTTGCAGTTGCAGATGCATTTGCTGCAGGGAAATTAATGGGGTATATGTATTATGACCTATTTCATTATTATTCACATCACAGCCGACCGCATATTAAATATTTTAGCTTTATGAAGACTTATCATATGGCACACCATTATAAAGACCCATTAAAAGGCTTTGGAGTTTCTAATCATTTTTGGGATATTGTTTTTGGGACTTTACTTCCAGTTACTTATAGGCCGACATCACTGGATTAAAATAACCTATATTTAATAAAAAATTTCTCTTTTTCAAAAATTAGGCAATTTACTTTAATTTGGAAAATATCGAATTTTTAATAATATAAAATACATGGATAGTTAGATTTGAAATAAAATAGTAAACTACTTAATAAATAAAATAAAGATGAGCTAAATTATTAAATTTGAATTATTTTATGTGACGTCGTTGCCAAGGATATTTATGTCTAATAAAATATGGGGTTGGACGAAGATGAAGTGTTGAAACATAATAAACCTAATGACGCTTGGGTAATCTATAAAGGAAGAGTTCTTAACATAACTTCATTTCTTAATGACCACCCTGGTGGTTCTGAAATCATAGAGCCTTATTTAGGAAAAGACATCACAAAGCAATTCGACGAAAATGACCACTCTGAAAACGCAATCAAAATGACAAAGAACATGGAAGTTGGAGACCTCACGAAACCTTCAAAACCAGAAGAAAATTTAACTATTGACCCGACTCGAGGTCTTGTTTACCAAGTCTTCACCAAACTAAATCTTAAGGCATACCAAGACTTTGTCAATGACCCAAAGCACACAAAAACTAATATTAGAGTGTTTGATTCTCCAATTCTAGAGCCCTTCTCTAAAACCCCTTGGTACGCAATTCCAATTTTTTGGATTCCTTTCATGCTATTTTATTCCTATTGTGGTTTAGAGCTCGGATTTATTCCTTTTATTTGCCTTTTTCTTTTAGGAATTGCATGGTGGACACTGTTCGAATATTCGCTTCATCGTTTTATATTTCATAGTGAGCCATACCTACCAGACAACCCATACTGAATTGTATTTCATTTCTTATCACATGGGATACATCATGCTTATCCTATGGATAATCTAAGACTGGTATTCCCAATAGCCTTATCTTTACTGTTATGGCTAGTATTTAAACCTGGCTTATACAATCACATAATGCCAATTGCAGTAGCCGATGCCTTCTTTGCAGGCAAATTAGTGGGGTATATGTATTATGACTTATTTCATTATTATTCACATCACAGCCGCCCTCATGGGAAATACTTTAGCTTTATGAAGACTTATCATATGGCACACCATTATAAAGATCCATTTAAAGGCTTTGGAGTTTCTAATCATTTTTGGGGCTTCATGCCAAATGACCGTGGATTTTTGACAGTGTACATTTCATCGAAATCTATTTGGTCAAAAATTTTTGATAATGCGACATTTGGCCGAAAAATTAAAGGTTTTTTTCAGTCAAATGTCTCACTATCAAAATTTTCGACCAATTTTCGGTGAAATGCACATTATCAAAAACGCAAAGTCATTTGACCTGCACCCCATTTTTGGGATATTGTTTTTGGAACTCTACTTCCAGTTACTTATAGACCGACATCGTTGGATTAAAATTAACTAATCTTTTTCTAATAAATTATTCTAATTTTTTATATTTAAAGAAATTAGAATATAAATAAAGTATTCCTACTATATTAAAAAGCAAGTAAATATGAAAATTTTTTAATTATTATTTAATCATCTCCCAAAAACTCGACTCTGTCCAATTCTTCTTGTGGAGGCTCAACAACTACTTTTTCAACAATCTTTTCAGGCAGTTTACTCTTTGGCATTGGCTGCCTTCCAACTTTTCTAATCTTTGGATTTGCTGATCTTTCCATATATTTTTGCAGCTTATCTTGATTTTTCTTCTTTTCTTTAATAAGAGTTTCATTCCTTGATTTTTCTCTTCTATTTTTTTCTAAGTCAATAGCTTTTTTAGTAACATATTCTTCATCAATTTGATCAAATTCTTTAAAAATCCTTAAATAAACATCAAGCCTGTGCTCAACTTCAGTCAGCAGCCCTAAACAATCTTGTTGTCCTTCATCTGCTTCTAGCCTCAGTACATCTCTTGTGGTTTGTTCTAATCTCATAAGTACTGGATGCCCAGTTTGTTCATTGCCTATAGTTTTCTGTAACCTCCCTTCTAGCTGTATACATCTTTTATCTTTTTCTTCAATAGCTTTTCCCAGCTCCCCTCTCCCTCCGTTTAGTTCAGACAACTTATGCCCAGTCAATCTCTCAATATTTTCATATTCATGTTTAGTCTGCTCCAAATTTTGTTCCAATTCTTGTATATTTTGTATCAAAATTAAATTATGCTCTATATACCCATGAAAAATGTCAGTCAGCTGCTCTGAATTCTGAAAATGATTCCCTGCATCCTTTTCATGTGGCTCCACCTTATCTAAAAATTCTTTATATTTCGTGTACTCTTCCAAGCTTTCTTCATGTTTCTGTATTTGTGTCTGCAGCTGCTGGATTTCTTCATTTAAATGATTGATGTCATGAGTTATATCAATTTTTATTTTATTCAATTTTTTTGCTTCTTTCATGGCGTCATGGCTTTGGCGTTTGCATTCGTCTCAGTATTCATTAAACCGGGTTGTGTCCTCTATGAGCATATCTTCAGAATTTTTTAAGCCGTATTCTCTTAATAAGGCGAATTGTTCAAGTTTTTTGATTTCTTCTTTTTTAATGTCAATCATCATTTGAAGGAGAAACATTTCACGTTTCTTGTCAATTGTTTTGTGGATGTTTTCACGAGCTCGCACACGGTCAGCGACAAGGGCAGCATGTGCAGCTTCAGCAACAGTTACTTTTTCTTCAGCTGGGGTCGTGCTGATTTCAATTTCTTCGATTTTTCGTAATGCACCTGCTCGGTTATATTTGAGCCCTTTATCCCAAATTTTCATGTTTCGAGTTTTTGAACGGTCTTCTTTTTCTCTGGCTTTGATTTCACGGATGTTGAGGATTTCTTCGTCAGGAGGGACTTTGAAAGGATTTTCATGACTTGTGTCGAACATAGTTGGCTTGAGAGGAGGTAAAAGACTTTTAGAGTCTTGTGAAGAGTCCATTTTATTCATTTTCCAATATAAATATTTAATTTTGCAGCTTTAAATTTATTTTCTTATAATTTTTATCAATAAAAATACAGCTGATAATAAATAATTTTCTCTTGCTCCCGCCCTCCGTGAGTGAACAAAAAAATTTTGTTCACTCATGGAGGGGGGTTTTTAAAAAAATATATATCTTATCGAAGACAATTACACCCAAAAAATGCCCAAAAATTTATTTTTATCTCTGTCCCTGAGCTTTCCCTTGCCGATTAGAAACTGCCCAAAAGTTACTATTATCAATTATAAGATAATACATATTTATCTATTACATTTATGATTAATGAAACAGCCATGATGTATTGGCTCGCTGCAATCAGAACATTTATAGTAGGTTTTGCTATCTTTATTCAACTGTTTACAATAAGTACATCTTCTATTCATTTCTCCCTTTATTGCCGCCTTTGTAATTTGATTACTATTGTAATTATATTCTATCAATCCTAAAGCCACTTCCATTCTAAATTCTCCATGACTAAGCAGTCCATCACTGCTTTTACTATGGTTTTTATAAATTATATGAAGAAGTTATCAAAGCGAATTGAATGAAGTAGTAGAAACATGATTTTCATCATTTATTTGACCTTTCCAACTGTATAACTTTGAAGAAGCTGATCAAAGTGATCAGCACCTGACATGTATGCAGAAAAATTAGCTACGATATCAGGTTTTATTTTTGCAATTTCTGACGAGTATCTGGCTGAAGTTCCTTTTGCATTTGTTGATTTAATATTCGAGATAAAAAAGACTGCTCTTTTATCAAACCAACACAAAATAGCAAAGGATTACTGAAATAAAACACCGTTTCATTTTATTTGAAACTTTGGTAATCCTTTCCTATTTTTTCTCACTGTTCCAGTTACTCCGAATCCTTGATTTGCTAAAATTCTGAATAATTTAGGATTTGAATATCAATCGCCGCAATACAAGTGATACCAGTTTGATCTTAATTCTCCAATCAGTTTCAGCGTCACAGCCATTACGATATTATTTTCTATTTTTGCTGATTTCAGGGTAAATTTCATAATCTCATAAATAGCCTGTTTTTGAACCGCACAATGCAAATACCTTGAATCCTCATTTTATTGGCTTTGTTGATATATACTGCTTGGTATTTTATTATGCTTTCATCAATTGAAATTTCTCTGCCTAATTCATAATTTCTTTTGCAATTTAGACAAAATTTCAGCGATTGGACTAAGTTTAGATAATCGTCCAGCCCATTGAGATGATGAAGGAGGTGATAAGTGAATTATTTTGGAAATACCTTCATATCTGTATCTGCTCATTGTACTGGATATAACGCTATTATAATAGAGAAGATTGCTCGATCAATAGCTTCTGATCTGACTTATGTGAACTAAACCAAATAATATGCTCAATCGATGTATTTTTTAATTTCTTCTTCAGTCGACTTTTATTAAAATGGGAAGTTCTGATAGTGAAGGTTCTTTTCTTCTTGGTTTATTGAGGAAGACAGACCTTCAGATGAAGAACTTCTCGAACTTTTATTACTTGACAATAGTGACTTAGAAATTTTTACTGATGATGAAGATGAAGATGAAGATGAAGCTGAAGATGCTGAGTATAGCGAAGAAATTTTATCAAATCTGGACGAGCATGACACAGAAGAGCATTATGAAGAGCTTTTACTTGAAGTATTCAATACACTGGTGACTTCTAAGGGTGATGTTATCATGGATGATAATGAAATCATAACATGTATCGAAAAATGTAGTAGTGTGGAGCAGGACATTCTCTGTGCCAAAAAGACATTTGTAAAGAAAGAACTTGAAGAGGACCTTGAAGATGAGCGTAAAGACGAGCTTAGAAGATCGAAATTTATCAGAAAATTTAAAATTGAAATCAGATTCAAATCTTATCAGAAATAAGGAAATCATGAACACCAGAAAATTAAAATTTAGATCAGATTCAAATTTCATCAGAAATAGAAAATTCATATCAGACTCAAAAATAAAATCAAAATCAGACCCAGGAAATTCAGAATTAAGAATTATGGAGAACATAAAATTTAGATCAGACTCAGAAATCAAAAAAATCGCGGATTACGTGGGTTCAGAAAATTTTACTAAAATTTTTTAATCGGGGCATGGTCCTGAAATAAAGACCTAATGCAATAAAATAATTTCTCTCTCTCTCTTCAGTCGCATCATATATATAATTGAAAAGCAATGATTCTCTCTTCATTATGCTTCTTATTCATCCAGCGTAAAGATTTGTATTTTTAACGATTAGAGTTATCATTTCACTATTGAAAAAGTTGTAAAATAATTCTAACGGAGGTTTTATTTCAATGTTTTACCTTGGGTCATGAGATGGCACTGCGCTTTCTCTAAGAAGATCTCTGGTTTCTTCTTAATCATCAATAAAATCTCCTTCAGTTGAAGATGCAGAAGAATCACTATCAATTGATCCACGACTGCTATCACTTGATGAATTAGGTTCTTGTTCAGTGTCTAATGACATTTAACAATTAATAATTAATTCATATTTTAATACTTCACCATCAATTATTATGTTTTGGTAGAATTCTGGGTAGTTTTTGTCATAAAGGGTAAAGCCTATTCTTATGGGAAAATTTGATGTTGTCGTCAAAGAGATATAAATTTTATAGAAAATTTTTTTTTTTTCGAAATTTAAAAAATCCTAGTACGCAAAAATTGAAAAGCAAATATTAATTTAATTTATAAAATTTATGTTTTTAAAAAGCAATTTGTTTAAATTAAACAGAATTAGCTCTAGATCATCATTATAATAATTATCACTTATATGTCAAATTGTTTTTCCATAAAACATTTTTCTATTAAAAAAATTTTTGTTCACTCACGGACTCACGGAGAGGGAGGGGGGAATTAAACTATATCAGGATAATCTTTATTGAAATATGTGACTATATCTTCTAATAAATCTAAATAAATTCTCTATAAAAGGCTTATACTTTAAACTGATTATAAAATATGAATTTCTCCTTATCTATCTAATAAAACCAATTACCATTTTAATATTCCATATCTAATATAAAATAATTATGGCCATTCTAAGCTATAGGGTTTTCTCCTATATAGCCCTGTGAATTCTGATAGAAATCCTTTGGCTGGTGGAACCAACAAGTGAGTTGGCCTGACCTACGTGCTGAGTTGATTCCACCAACCAAAGGAATCAGGACAAAATCCACAGCCCTTACAGGACTATATAGGGGAAAACCCTATATATCATAAAGAAAATTAAAATCTTGCTTAACTTGCCTAATCTTCTAGCTAAGAAATAAATCTTGAAATAATTGCTCAATGAAAGGGAATTTTTGTCCAGTCTTTCACCCCACAAAGGAAGATATGAATGATTTCCAAGCTTATATAGAAAAAGTTGAAGGGCTGTCTGAAGGTTTCGGAATGGCAAAAATAATACCTCCTGAAGGCTGGAAGGCCAGAAAAAGAGGGTACAAAGATATACAAGTCCAACTAACGAACCCTATCAGCCAGCATGTTCAAGGCTATGCAGGTATTTATAACGTGATTCTCATCACAGAAAAGCCGATGGACTTAAAAACGTACCGTAATTATGCCACTTCGCGAGAAATAAAAAATAAACTTAACGACGAAGAAATAGAATCACTCGTAATTTTTATATAGTTTTGGAAACAAATCCGATATAATTCTCCAATATATGGCGCTGACAGTAACACAGAGACATTATTCGACGAAGATAACGAATGGAATTTATCCAAACTTGACACTACATTATCGTAAATTATATATAGAAAAGGATTATACCCTTATAAGTTAGCTGGGATTAATATGCCATTTATTTATGTAGGCTGCTGGAAAAGCATGTTTTGCTGGCACAAAGAAGACTTAGACCTTTATTCTATTAATTATCTGCATTTTGGAAAGCCGAAATTCTGGTATTGTATCCCATTGTCTGAGTCTGAAAAATTCGAGCGTTTCTGTAAATTCCATTTTCATACTGATTATGCTGCGTGTCCAGAATTCTTTACCTTTTTATAATGAATTTGCATTTTTTTATGGTTAATTAATAGAAAAATTTTCCTTTTATTATAAATAGGTATAAGGCATAAATCTACCCAGGTTTCTCCTAGTATTCTGAGAAAAGCTGGGATAAACGTCCAAAAGATAGTGCATAATGCAGGGGAGTTTGTAGTAATTTTTGCTGGGGCTTATCATATGGGGTTTAACTCAGGTTTCAATTGTGCTGAAGCAGTGAATTTTGCGACACCGAAGTGGATTGATATAGCTGAAAAAGTATCAAGATGCTGCTGCGACCCTGAGACTGTGAAAATTGATATGGAGGAATTTAAGGCAAAATTGGAAGGAGATACTCAAAGTATGCCAAAGAAAAAGTCAGGACCAAGGAAAAAGCAAAAAGTTGCAGAAAAATAAAGATATAATAAATGTTTTTATTTTTTAAAAGTCTTTTCAAAGGATTTAAAATTTAAACGAATAATAAATATTGGTGAAGAAATAATGTACAAACTATTAAAATCTATGAGCAATCAGTATCTGTGTGCTTAAACAAAAGAATAAATCTGTATAATAGTAATTTTTATTAAAATCTAAATATAAATGTATTGTTGCATTCCATCGCCAATACCAGAAAATCCTTCTCCACAAGCAATCAAGTTATTTCGAATTATTAGAACCCTTGTAATTATCCAGGTGATGCTTGGGATATTTAGCATGTTTGTAGATATATGGTCAGGTTTTCTTTTACTTATAGGAGCAAGCGTTCTTTATATGATAATTTGTTCAAGAAATTGATGCACATGTGTATTTTACATTGTTCTCTGTATGATGGACATAATGACTTGTATAATGCTTGTTGGGGAATATTTTACTGCTCACAGCACGATTGAAGGAGATTATGGAATTCTTGTCTTCGTCTCGATGGTCAAATTTCCCAGCTCCATGCCAAATAACCGCGGAAATTTGATAGTACGACACCTCATAGGGGAAATTTTGTTCGAATCATTTTTTGATAGTGAGACATTTGACCGAAAAAACCGTCAAATTTCGGCCAAATGGATATACTATTTAAAAATTTTCGACCAAAAGTACTTCGGTGAAATGGACACTATCAAAAAGGCAAGGTCATTTGACCTGCACCCAAATTCCCATTCTACACTCTCTCAATATATTATACCTTCTTGTGTTATAGAGAACTCAAAGGTCAGGGATATTTAGGATTATTTATTGAAGTCGTAGAAGGCGGAGGGGCAGGAATTATAGGATCTCAAGCACCTGCACAAGCATGGCAAAACGCCAGAGATCCTCCGAGGGCACCAGAACCACAGCCATTCCAAGGACAAGGATATAGGCTTGGCTAAATTCACAATGTAATAGAAATACATATGATTTTACTTTAATTTCTAATATGGATCATGAACAATTAAAAGCAAAACTCGAACTAAGGGAAAACCAGCTAAGAGAAATGGCTTCACATTTAGCTGAACAAATGCACTCAATAAACGTAAAAAGGAGCTATATTTCAGAAATGCAGACAAATATACAGAGATTAGAAAAGAAATTGAATAAAAAAAATAAACAATTGGAACAGGAATTAAAAGATAAAGAAATTATTATTGCGAGGATTAAAGGGCTGGAGGAAATAGCAGATATTTCAAAGGATGCAGCGTATTATAAAAGATCCAAAATTCTTACAAAAGAAGAAAAAGATGACACTGCAGATTATTTGGAATATTATGCTAAATTAAGAGACTCCTTGGAAGCTAAAGAAAGTTTTGATGATAGAATCAAAGATTTAGTCGAATCTGGGGTTGTTGTTAAAAAAGAAGAATTGGCGAATGAAAAAGAAAATGGTCGGACAGCTTAAAATCGAAAAATTAATGAGGTGTAAGCACTCAAATTGATTTTCTTTTAATAATTTTGTAGTTATCAGCAAGGAATTGGGATTCTTAAAAGATGATTTATTTATTTATTTTTCGAATAAGTTAAAAGAATAGAAAACGATTAATATAATTCTGATAGGAAATAGGAAAAGAAAAGTTTATATTATAATACCCAAGCAAGTAATCGGACTTATATATCGCTATACTTTTATTTAAAGTCACATAAACCATTGAAATTAATATCATATTTGCTATTAGGCTGATTAACCCATTACCAAATTATTGGTTATAATAATTTATTATGGAAAGTGGTTGGGTTGGTACAGTTGGACCTATTCTGGTCAGAGCTCTTGAAGAAATAAAGCAGTTCGCATCCAGGAATGACTGGACAGCTAAAGATCCAGCTGACGGAGTCCAATATTCTTCCCGTCCTCACGACGACTGGCCTATGATAAAAGCTGTCGCTGAAATCCATGCCCCACCTGAAGCCATTGTCCAGTTCTTCAGAAACGTAAATAACATCGGCCAATGGAATGACAAGCTCAAGAACGTCCACATTGTCCACGAAAGCGGACCTCTCAAGCTAATTAAGTCCCAAATGAAGGCAAAATGGCCAATGGATGATCGTGAAACCCTTTACGCCCAAACAGAGTTCGTTGAAAATGATGGGAACACTGTTTTCCTTATTGAAAAAAGCGTAGAATTGCCTGATGTCCCAGTTGAGAAAAAACATGTGAGAGCTCACTTGATTTACAGCGGGTACATTTTGGAAAGATTGGAGCCGAGTAGAACGAGAGTTACTTATATTGTACTTTTCAATCCAGAAGCAAGCGTTCCTGGAGCAGCAAAGGAAAAAATGCAAATGCAAAATGCAGCCAGAATTGGAGTTGCCAAGAGAACCTTAGGGTAGTTATTACTAAATAACATTCATTCCAATTAATTTTTATTTTAATTATATGGAAGATATTATGCGTATCAGGTCAAGATTTGTGTAAATAACACATAAGTTCTTATTTTAATTAGATTTTGTATATCCTGCTTAACAATTTTCTTTGGAAGCAGAAGTTTAATTTTTATAGCTTCTCGCAAAATAGAGATTTTGTATATAAAATGAAGAAGTTAATTTTCTTTGCAAAGCAATAAGGAGACATATCTAAATTATTCTAACTCTGAGTTTCTTTAAGGGTTGGGAAAAAATTTTGATAAAACAAGTACTTTTGGAAAATTTGACCCCTCTTTAAGAGTGAGCAAATTAATTCTAATATAATATTATTATATAAAATATTTTAATATATAGTGAAATACACTATGTAGTACAGTTTTTTTTGGCTGGAACTTGAGCCCCGTGCTACATAGTGTATTTATCAATATAATTATACATTGTTATAATAAGATTTATTGCTATTTCTATTATATTTTAGATATTGCATTGAAGTTTTTAAATATACATTTTATAAGAATTTTTAAAATCTGATAAATTTTTTAAAAATCAAATCTCTTAAGGGCGTACAAAAAACTTGCTCCCTTTTAAAGGAATTAGTAAAGGAAATTTTGAGGATTTTTCATATAAAAAATTCTAATATTTAAAATAAAAATAATTCAAAATCATAACGAAAAAGACTTCTCAAAGGTTTTTATTTTTTCACCAATTTTCATATTATAAAATTAACTTCAGATGTAAATTAACACAAGTTAATTCAATAGAAAATCTAGTATGGTAAACTCTCTTTTAAAAAGCCTTTCAATTCTACAAGTTTCATGTTCCAAAAATGAATTCAGCCATTCCTCACTTATTTCACTTATTGAGAATGTAGAAACAGAACCAATCGCTGAAAACCCTTTCAAAGTTGCAATAAATTTATCATTTCTTGAAGAAATTGCCAATATTGCGAATAAGTTGGCATCAGAAGATGCAGTTCTCTATAACCACTTGGTGATCATTGAATGTGGCATCCAAGAGTTTTTAAGGCATTGAAAAGGAGTCTCAAATATTCAAAATGACTTATCCTATTTCTATAAAAATCATTAGAAATAATAAATATTTAATTATTTTTTTTATAGAAATCAAGGTTTAGCTTGTTAATTTTTTTTTAAAAAATAATGAAAAATAGCATAAAATCGATCCGACAAAATATCGTTGAAAAATCTTCAGATTAAATTGCAGGTCTTGGCTTGCTTGCCTATTGGCAACGAAGTCACCAGGATTCTTGCAGGGATGCACCCTCTTTGCAGCGTCGGCAGATAGAACACTTTGAGTTAGGATGATTAACCTGGCGAGAATGGTGGTCATGCTCCACCTTTCCTTCTTCACCGCCTGACGCCATGGAATCTGTGAATAGGGTTCTGTGTCCTATCTCCTCCTTGTCTTGTGGGCTCCGATGTTGAGTGGGAAGGCTGTGGACTTCTGCGGCTTGCTACTTGGGTGTATGAAGGTTCTCCACACAAAAATCAAAAAAATTGAATTTCTGGTTGACTCTAGGCAAAAAGGAAAAGTTCAATGCTTTTTTTCACACTAGGGAGTTATCCAAATGGTTTAGGCATTACCTGCAGATGCTGCTGAACTTCTCCTTTCCAACTCTGAACCCTCCTCTTCCTTCGAGGTAAAATCCAATCCTGAAAGAGACTAAGGCTAGGCTGCATTGCCTCTGTCAATGCCCTAGCTGAGACACCATTTTACTTATATCATGAAAACTCAAAAATAATCAACTCTCAAATGAAAAGAGTCTCCAGAATTCTCAAAGATTACAGAGACCGCTGCAGGAATTCTTTTTTAGAATACCTCAAATCCCTTGATTTAGATGTTCGAAGAATCCTCAAACCTTTAGTCCCTACAAGTGTCGTTCTCGAGCAAGTCAAATTTCCTCTGATAAATGAAAATCCAAGCTTAAGAAGCTCAGTAGCAGCGTCTCAGCCTGAGTCTGCTAGAGAAAGTGTATCCCAGCAGAGCCCAAGGGAAGATTTAGAAACTTTGCCAAGCAGCAACCCAGCAGAAAATACAATAGACAAATTAAATAACCATATACAGATGCTGGTTGGGACACTTGAAAAAGTGGCTAAAGAACTAATCCAGATTGTGGCGGAGTCTGATAGACAATATTATGAAATTTTAAATAAAGTTGAGGTATATTCGAGACCTCCTACACCATTAGCTGCACCTTTGCCTGAGTATTTTTGCTTTGATACTGAAGAATCTAAAGAAAACTTATGCTGTTTCCCTTCAATTGCTAATAAAAAATAGTAGAAAAATAAATTAAGGCCTAGCTATTTTACATAAGCAAGAATAAAACCAGAAAAGCACGTTTTTCCTAAAAAAACTAAGGCTAAATGGAGAGAAAGGTTAAAATTGCTATACACACAGAATAACATTAATGAAAGCACATATGTAAAACTGCTGAAAAAAGTAAACTTAGCAGACGATAATGATGGAAAAATCGATTTAGAAGAGCTGTTTAAAGACACTGATATCTCAATGGATGTTAAAGAAAACGCTGCATTTTGTTTACTCCCCCCCCCATCCTTGATCGAACGATTGACTGTAAAAATTCCTAAAAATTGGGGAAATTAACCCCATCCTTGATCGAACGATTTTCATATCATGCAAATTTTTATATATATAAAAATATAATAGTTATCAAAAGCTGGGAAGATGTACCTAATGAAGTTGTTTTCAGAGACTTTGAGACGATAGAAAGCTTCGGAATCAACCATTAAAAGTAATTTAGTCATCAGCATGGGCTTAAAAACTCAATAATCTAATAAAATAGAGATTTTTTAAAATTTAAAAAAAACAAATTTTAATTTAATAAGTAACAAATTAAAATTTATACAGTTTAAAGGGGTAACTAATAAATTAAAATATAAAAAATTGGTATTTTTATGAAATTAATTCAATTTTTTGCTGTAAAAATAATTATTAAATACTCTTAACCCTCTTATTTAAAAGTAAATAAAAAAAAATTTATATATATATTTTATTTTTATATATAAAATTTTTTCCCAAAAAAATTTTTTTTAACCCCCATCCTTGATCGAACGATGGCGAGTCGTTCGATCAAGGATGGGGGGGGGAGTTAGTAAATACTTCAAAAATCCCACAACAAGACGTCTCTCTAATTGATTTAATGCTTATAGAAGAAGACGCAGCTAAATCTATTGGTAATGGCATTTTATCAGAAAACGTAAAACCAGAGCCTCCAAAAGAGCCAAAACCCAAAAACCGGCCAATTCATAAAATTGAAAAACAAGTCATAGAATCAAAACCGAAGTCTCCAAACCCTTCATTCCTTGATTTTTCTCCTCAAAAAGTAGATAAGGACAGGCTATCGCCTGTCCCAAGAATAAACCAAGTCAGAAAATCCATCCCATCGACCAAGCCATATTCAAAATTTATAGCCCAGAAGCAGCAAAATGAAAGCTCCTTTAATATTGAGCGTAAAGACGTCAGAGTGCGATCAATAACTCCTGTAGGAAAACCTAAATTTAAGTTCGACCGGAAAAAGAGAACGAAGACGCCATCAGGCTTTATGCCTTATTCAAATTTGAATAGTTTCAGTATTATACATTAATATTAATGTTTTTATAATATAAAATGCAGCCTGATTTTTGTGTAAAAATAAATTATAATTTTGACATGATTCTACATGTTTTGAAAAATTTTGGGCTTTGGGAATTTCGATAGAATAAATGAGTGAAGAGGGCAGGGACTCAGGAATTAGGGGTAGATTGATGTTATAAGGGGCCTATGTGGAAATTTTGGGATAGACCGTTAATTTTAATAACTAAAAGCTGAGGGCTTTCTATAAATTTTTATCAAAATTTATTGACCATATTTATTTGTTCTATGGGATTCTGCAAATTTCTAGCGTTATTAATAAATATATGGAGCACAAAAGAAGAAATTGAACAAAGCAACTTAGCGCTCAAGCACAAGAGAAACCCTCGTTCTGGCATCAAAAAATTTCTTTATAAGCCCTATTTCATCAAATCCTGACAAAATCAAAAGGTTAATTGTCACAAAAAATTTTCGAGTTAAAGCCTAGGCACTCCTCTGTCCTATCTCAAAGCCTAAAAAGCTCGTTATCTTCCTATACAGATTTGAAAAATGCCTAACTCCCCCCCCCCCCTCCGTGAGCGAACAAAAAAATTTTGTTCGCTCACGGAGGGGGGTTAATTTTTTTTTTTAAAAAAAAATTTATATATAAATTTTATAAAAAATATTTTTTTCGAAATTTAAAAAAATCCTAATTTGCAAAAATTGGGAAGCAAATATTAATTTAATTTGCAAAATTTATGTTTTAAAACGCAATTTGTTTAAAATTAAACAGAATTAGCTCTAGATTTCATTATACTAATTATCACTTATATATCAAATTTTTTTCCATTAAAATTTTTTCTATTAAAAAAAAATTTTTGTTCACTCACGGAGGGTGGGTTTTTGGTCAAAAAATGGCGATTTTTCTAATGGTTTTGTTCGCTCACGGAGGGGGGGGGGGAGTAAGCAATACCATATTTTTTGTAGATTCCTAATGTTAAATCAATTGATTTTCATCAAACCCAATTAACTACCAAAGATCTAATGCTTAGACAATCTGATTAATCATTAACAAAAAACAAAATATGAAGCATGGAAAAATCGTCTCAAAGCTGCTGCTAAGTGACCCGTCAATTGAAAAATTGCCAGCAAAAAACCAATACGACACCACAGTCAGGTCACTATTCATATGCAAGCGAGGATTCCCCAAAAAAGAATACATTAGGTGTAAGCTCATCAGAGGACAGAAAAGGATCATGAGGCAGCTGAAGCAAGGCAAAATTCCTGAAAAGACTTTAAATAGGTTCGACTCTTCCAAACAAATTTGTAGAGATTTGTGAAGCAAGCTCGAGCAGTGTATGAGGGAAGCTATTTCTGAAATTGAAGAAAGGATAAGGACAGAGGCTGGCCCGTTGACTGATGGTAAATGTAAGAGAAAAACAAAAAGCGATGACGATTGTAAGTCTTTCAATGGGAAATTTTGTAAGTGGTACTTCAGCCACCCTGTGATACGAAAACTGTACTTCTATTATATAGAGCTATTGTTTTCAGAATTTCAGCCTGAAATATTGAATGATAAATTTGATTTTAAGTGCTGTGAGGAAGAGCAGCATCAATTTTTATGCTACCAGAAATGAATGCTGATGAAAAAGTACATTGATACCTTCCTTATTGAAGATTTAGGCCTTGAACCTTGGGCTCCAGAAAATTTCCAAATTCCAAACCTCCCAAATATTTTACTTCCCTACCTTAAAAACAATATTAGTTTTTTTATTTAAAATAGACGCATTGTTAATGAGAGGCTTTATTTGAGAAATGCATTTTTATATAAATAGCTTTGACCTAATATAATAATAGGGAGTGCAAGTACAATGTTATTCAATAATTTGGAGCATTGATTTAATAATTTTTTAATTAATCTTCATAAAAACAAATAATTAAAAAATATTGCATTTATTTATTTTTTTTTAAAAAAGAGCCAGGAAATAATTTTTTTTTAATTAAAAGGGAAAGTTAGAAGAGAATTTGTTTGAGTCAATTTCAAAATCTATTGAACTACCAGATAAAAATGATGGGCTTGAGGACTTAAATTCTTTTGAGAAGTACAGTGAGCAGGAAACGTCCGAAAATGAGCAAGAGCTGCAAGCACGCCAGGAGTCTGCGTTTAAACTTTTCAAGCAGTCATAGCTTATTCTTCATGAATAATGTTAGTGTTAAGATGGAAGAGCTTAAAAGTAAAATATTATTCTATTTTAATTAATTTCCATTTTAATTTAGAAAAAATAATAGCTCTTTTTTCCTAATTAAGCTTAGTTCAGCAGGAATAATCTTTTTTAAGTTTAATTGATAACTTTCCTGTCATCATTCTGACTAGTTCAGGCGACCTCAAGATATCAATCAGCTCATAATACAGTTCTTCTTCTCTTATCAAATCTCCTCTCATACGACTCACATAAATCCCAGAGCATAGAGTTATAAGTGGCCCAGCGTTTTTCATGTCAGTGACGTAAATATTTTTTGAGCCTCCTGTTACAAAATATCTTAAAAATCTGGCTACTAACTTCTAATTTTTTTAAAAAATCTTTCTAGCTGCTGCTATTAGCTGGAATATTTAAGAATTTATTTAAATTAATTATTTTTTAAAATTTTTACCTATGAATTTTTGATTTTAGCAGATAAAACAACAGATTTAATTATTAAATTCTTAAGAAGTATAATAAAAAGTGAATTTAATGATTTTTAATAGATTTTGTTTATTGGTAAACAATCGGATTAAGTAGACTACAGATATATAGAAGGTCAAGACTGAAAAATTAAATGTCGCAGGACTGTAATGATCAGAGATCATGAAAAACTTCAACCCAATAGTTTTAAAATCTTGCCCTGTGCTCCCTACTTCTCAATATGAGAGATCAGCTTTATATGTGTGAAGCCTTATAATTAAGTCTGACGTAAATCCTTTTACTGCTATTGGCTCTGGGGTTATGAAAGTTCCAGCACTCGGAAGCCTAATAATTTTCCCATAAAAATTATCATAAGTAAATTCCGTCGCGTTATAAGCCTCGTTACAAATCATATCATAAAATATCCTCGTTTTCCTGAATAAAGGCGCCCGAATGGTTTGTGAGACCCTGGTTTGTCCATATGGGTACCTTCTATAAAAAACTAGCGTCATTTCTATAGACGAGCCCTGATAGTTTGCTGTATCATTAAGTGACTTGCAAAGCCTTTCCTTGCTGGGTGGTGTAATTTGCCAATAAGTTTCTTGAAATAACGGTAAAGAAATGATCTGCATTCTATCTATATCACTGGATTGGACCTCTTTTACATCATTAAATTCATAACTTGTCCATTCTTCTTCAGTAATAAAATGTGACTCGTCAAGTGTTTTTGTATTATAAAGCAAATAAGTCCTATCGTCTGTATTTATGCTGATTTCCATATTCATATATCTCACTTGGTTGCTTTCTACTATAGGATTTAGGGTACTAAATATGATTAAGGGTGCTAAAATGACGAGACAAATCACGATAATCACAAAAGCCCCATTAAAAACTTTCCATGTCCAATGAATAGGTTGATCCTTTTGAGGGACTTCGTACCACTTATAAACGCATTGGGTTATATAAAGCTGATTGTAAATGTCTTCAAATTTAAACCATTGATATATGTCTAGGGTAGTTTTTGTAAAAGTCCAGTCCATTAACGTCCTTAGTTCAAACAAAAATGGCAATGCGAGATAAGTTTTGAACATCCTGTATGACCAAATATTGGTGCTTCTCATAAATTCTCACCTTTAAATTAGAACAAAAATCCTCCTCCAATTTAAAGAGGATTAATTTTATTTTAAATAAAATTTTTTCTCGAAAAATAAATTACATATAAAATTTAATGTAATATTTTTGATCTTTAATTTATTTTTATTAAGAACTAATTTAAAATATTAATCGATTCAGAGTAAAAACTGGCTAAAAAAAATTCTATTGTCACTTTTTCCATTAAATTAGGTCAAAAAAATTTTATAAAATTATTATCTTCACCAAATACATAAAATGGCGTGTCGAACAAATCGAACTTCCTAAAACCTGTAATCTGGGAGACCCAGGGACCTTGTGGAAGGGAGTTTTGGCGTTCGGTATGTGTATCCAGCTATTTTTGCTTGATTTGGTGGAGCGTATATATCCGAGTTGGAGGAGAGAAAATCTAAAATTCAAGTCAAGGTTTCACTGTGGAGGAAGATGATACGGAGTTGGAAAGGGCTATCACAACAATATCAGTCAGGTTCCTCCTTTTGATCGGGATTCCCCAGCGCTATACCGGACATTGGGTCTTGGACAACGAATTTCATCTTTGCCGACAGGTGACTAGAAAATTTGTTTTTTCGAATTTCTAGAAGCCAAACCCCGTTGGCGTGAGGAACAGTGATCCAAACTTCCGATATCTGGGAGCATGTGCAGACCCATATCCGGTAGGAGCAAGACTTTAAAGATCATTAGATGATTATTTGCGAAGCAGACGAATAGAGTCTTATTGAAGGGAATAAATATCTTCTTATTACGACGGGGAGTTTTTCTATAATTTAAGTATTTTCACTTATAAAATTTTATCATTGAAAAAAAAAAAATTTCCAATTCAAAATTAAAGTAGCCTAAAAATTGAAATTTTACCTATATTTTGTTCAAATTTAAATGGTTAGAGTAAGAGGAAATGAGACTTTTCTAAAGGTCGGGAGTCCATGCCTAATTTGCAGAGAAACGATCATAAAATAGACAGCATAAATGATATAAAACCACTCAATAAAATCATTGACTTGAAAATCATTGCAATTAGCTGAATTATTATCAGGACAATACACTTTTCCAGTCAAACTATATGTGCCACTAATAGGGAAATACCAAAATACCAGCACATGGACTAGCAGCATAATTAAAAAATGTAAAAGTACTTTTAGCAGCAAATCTTTATTCCATTTTCTCCTATGTCTTTTTTCTACAGAGGTAGGCTGCTGAGGTTCATCCAAGCTTCTTTCAAAATCTTCTAATTCATCGTCAGAGTCCAATTGTTCTCTCGTCAAAAAGGAAAGTCTCTTTTTAAGCTCAGTTCTATGAGTAGCTGAATCAGTTGGAAAAACAGTGGCTGACCGAGACTTTTGAAAAAATGGGTCTTCAGGATCAAGGGATTCTTTATCAGAGTCTTCACTTGCTTCTAAATTTTCTTTTAACGCTTGCGAGGTTTTCCTTACGTATAAATATCTATCCAATAAAATTAATGAAAATTGCACGATTAAAGCTATCACCATTCTCCCTTGAAACTGATTAGCTCTTATTGACTGAGAAATATCTTGAGAATACCCCTCCATTTTGGTGAAAGTAAAGAAAATATAAATCAAAATCACAAGCTGAGTAAAAATAATTGGGAAATAAAAATCCTTGCCTGGCTTTTCTTCTTTATTGCTAGGGATAAGTCTTGCGAAAAATCTTTCAATGGTTTTAAAGAATCGTTTAATGCAGGAAGGGTGGGGTTCTAAAAAGGAGTCTTGTGGTTCCATTACAAGATTTTCTAGCTTCCCTCGGTAAGCAAGAAATAAATAGGTAAATTCCTATTTTTGTAAAAATCACCCTCTATGGAGATCAAAGTGTTTTATAGATATATAAATAATAGCTATTATAATTAATTCTATAGCTAGTTCTTTTATATAAATTGTATTCTAAAACATAAATTTTCCTTTTATTTTTAAAATTTTTATTTTAAATTTCAAAAAATATTAACCCTCACCATAAGCAAAAAAGTTTTGCTTGCTTATCGACAATGCATTAAGGTGTTTCTAGACAAGGATTTTTCTTTTTCTTTTCTATCTTTAGCTTGCTCAAAAGTTTCTATATCATACTCTGACTGGGAAAATAAGCCAACTCTTCTGAGATAATATAAATGGAATAAAATCATAATCATTAATAAAGTATCCCAAATTGTATAGTAAAATAAATTTTCGCTATGAGTATTGCTGGCTAAGTTAAAGCCCGTCTTAAATGGGTCGTGATATTCCTTCGGGAATTTATTCTGTGTGATATAAGGCCAAATTTCTAACTGTATACAGTACTTTATTAAGAAAACCCCACTGCAGTAGTACTGCAAAGTTTTGAAATAAAGAGGAGGGGGCCTTGGGTATTCAAACATAGCATACCCTACAACTGATAATGGCAAAATCACTGATTCTAGGCTTGCATAATTATAGTGGTTTATAAAGCACAAAATAAATACCAGATTTTGAGTGTTACTGCTGGGAATATACATAAAAAGCAGCCTTAAATAGTCCCCTAAAATCAGCCTGTAGTCTTTTATGGCAGGGTTATTTTCTTCGAATAATTTAATTTCGCCTATTATGGGCTGATGCATTTCAGTTTTGCTTCTTTTATATACTCTTCTATTTATTTCTTCATCAAGATTTGTTAATTCTAAATTTGGAGGCTGCACTTTATCTCTTTTTTCAATTTCTTGTAAATAATCTTTAAATAGTATTGGATCGACAAGTCTTATCAACAAATTATCAATGTGGACTTTTAAAGGTTTATCTTGCTTTTCATCGGTAGATTTAGGGATTAGTTTTGGGGTATTTAAAAATTCTTTATAGTCTTTTCCTTTTTTTTGGCCTAATTCTTTGTCTTTTAGCCTTAGCATTTCTAAATCCTCCCTTGGTTAATTTGGCTAATAAGATAAAATTACTTTAAGAATTTAAAAAATCTAAAATGAAAAAATATCTATTTTATTATATTTGAGGGTGAAAGCTGAGGGAGTAAATGTTTTTCTAGCTCGTTCAGCTCATTTTTAAATGTAAACCTGCTTCTTTCATAATCTTTGAACCTATCAATCCTATCGTCATTAAATTTTTTTGCTTTAAGTATCCCTAGCTCTTTAGATTGGCTGTTCTGCTCTTTTAGTTGTTCGTCGAAATATTTATTAAATTCTTCGCTTTTTATCATTCTGTAGATGAGGCAAATTACAGCAAAGACTGAAATTTTCAAATTTATGTAGGTTCAGGCACGATGACTAGGGTCAAAAGAGTTAGAGCCTGCTCTTCATAGTTTTAGGACTCCCACTACTTGGAAAAGATTATTTTCTCCATATTCTTGGAAAATTTTAAATGGCATTTGGAAAACAAATTGCACAATTAAATCTAATAAAACAAATAAGAGGAAATAGGCGAGTAGCTTGATATATTTTTTTAGATTTTCTATGCTTTCGATAAGATCAATTTCCTTTAAAATAAAAAGTAAAGCAAAAATACAGTAAATCAGAGAAATTAGCCCTGACTCTCCCTTTAATTATTATCAAGATTTTTCTTCTTGAAAAGGAAATTATTTTTTTTAAAATTCATTCCCAATAATATATATTAAAAAATAAATTATCAATAACATTTAAATGCAAGCTGTCTTAATTAATATAATCAGCCAGAAATTTCATTTTAAAAATTATATATAAAAATATTTCATAATAAAAAAATGTAAAGTAGAAAGCTCGATCTTAATTTTTTATGGCTCTATCTTAAATGTAGGAGTAAGCTTTGAGATGTGAACAATAGGACAAAGAATAAGAATAAGTAGCGTGAAAATTTGTAAACTTGTCTCTTAATAAAACCCCATGTTTTTTGAAGCGTGTTTCCTTCATTCTCATGAGAATCTTCTGGCTTTTTAAGTTTTTCATATTTCTCAGAATCTTCTAGTTTTTCTGATTTTTCATTATTTTCTTGATTTTGCTGGAGATTTGAGTCATATAATTTTCTATCAGATTTATAAGTAACTAACAGTATAAAATGCAACATGCAAAGCAAAATACAAATTTGATCTAAAAGGATGCTGTGCAGTTGAGATATATCAGACCCAAGATTTAAAAAGAAAGGATCGTCCATTGTTATCCAATCTTGTTTTAGGTATCAAGGCTCGTCAAATTGAACTATACTTGGAGGAGTCTGAGGCGAATTCTTTTTATTTATATTGCTCAAAATCAATATATACTGTACTAGCACCATAATTGATAAAGTCATGCAAAATACCAATTTTTGGTTATCTTTGCTGAAGGCTGAGATAAAAAATAAAGTCAGTAAATAAATTCCACTTATTATAGTCAGCTTATCGAATGCTATAAACAAAAGCATCATAGGTATAACTGATTCTGAAATGATAATAATAAGATTAAGAGTCACAATAAACACAGCATTGACTTTTTTCTTAACCCCTTCTTCAGCGAGTTCTTGTTCTTTTGCTTTTAATAAGTGCTCTTCTTCAGTTTTTGGAGTTAAGTACTCTAGACAATGCTTTTCCATGATCAAAAATATGCAGATAATAAAATAACCATAGTTGTCTAAAATACTTCAGTTAGTTGTTTTTGTGAAGCCTATAATAAAAAATGTCCATTCTAAATACAGATTGATATCTGGCTGGAAAAATGGTTTAAAGAAATTAAGTTTTTTTCTAAAAAATTAGTGATAAAAAAATTAGACTAACTCCCCCCCCCCCTCCGTGAGCGAAACAAAACCATTAGAAAAATCGCCATTTTTTGACCAAAAACCCACCCTCCGTGAGTGAACAAAAATTTTTTTAATAGAAAAAATTTTAAATGGAAAAAAATTTTGATATATAAGTGATAATTAGTATAATGAAATCTAGAGCTAATTCTGTTTAATTTTAAACAAATTGCGTTTTAAAACATAAAATTTTGCAAATTGAATTAATATTTGCTTCCCAATTTTTGCAAATTAGGATTTTTTTTAAATTTCGAAAAAAATATTTTTTATAAAATTTATATATATTTTTTTTTAAAAAAAAAAATTAACCCCCCTCCGTGAGCGAACAAAATTTTTTTGTTCGCTCACGGAGGGGGGGGGGGAGTAAGAAAAATTTAAATAATAAATAAATAAAAATGGCTGGAAAAACGTAGGCTCTAATAGCACATTTATGTATGAAACTATAAAAGATGAAATTGTTATAGTAAAAAGTGCTCGTCACAATCTTCGTCGATATCTTAACTCTACCTCATAGTCACGATCTGTTACATTATTGAAATAAATGCAGATTGAAATAAAGTAAATAATCGCTATAAATAAATACAAAAACATTGAAAGTGAGAGCTTCCAATACACAGAGAGCACAAAAATTACTAAAAGCAGAAAGAAGTGATGAGACTCAAAAATTACTCACTCCCTCTTTAAATTGAAACAGGATATCGGTAAAATTTCCATTTTTCGGGTACATTGACCCTTCTTTAAATCATAGCAAAATTTTATAAAATTAGTTTTTTTGGCCTAGTTTAATGAAAAAAGTTCAATTAATACCATTTAAATAGTTTTCATACGGAATTAACATTAACTTTTTTTAATTCTTCATAAAAATAAAGGTATTTGATTACAAAATAAGAAGAAGTAGGGTAAATAGCCATGATGATTTTTGTCAAATTCAACCAATTGAAAAAGAACTTAAAAAAACCAAATCACAAAAACAGATTGAAATTATTGAAAATTTAGGAAAAGTTTAAAGAATTAATTAGTTAGGGCCACCCCTAGAGGGCATCGTAAGATAATAACTAGTCACTAATCATAAACATTAATTAAATTTATTTTTAAAATCCTTATTTAAAAAAAAAATTAACCCTCTTTAAATTAGAGCAGTTCTATTTAAAAGGGGAGAATCAGTATTTGTAGTATTTGGAATAATCAAAAAGATAGTGTATTACTTTTGCCTTTTGAACTTTGAGTAATCTATACGAGTACCTTGAAGCAATATATAAGCACGAGTCAAGTATCGCTGTGGTATACAAGTCTGTAGTATCATAAATTTCTATTCCTATAAATAAACTATTTGTAGTTGGAAGCGAAAATAATGGGAAATATTGATATAAGTATCTCCCTATCAGAATAATCCCACTTAAAATTTTGAATACAAATGTTATGTAGAGCACCCCTGTAAAATCTTTTGTATAGCTCATGCACCTTAATAGATCTCTATACCCCAGCAGAATACCGACCAGAAAAAATATGGTAAAGGGCACCTGCCTTATACAGTATAAGTCTGATTAGGCACCTTAAAACCATAAACAGAGACTTGTCATTTCCGTTTTTACTTTTCAAAAAAGCTGACAAGTACAAATTAATTTTGAAAATTAAAATGGATGGTCAATAATGATCTAAATAATTTTAGGGGCTATATAATATTTCACTGGCTTTTTCAAATGATCAATAACGAGTACGCAAGCTAAAATAAACCTGACAAAATTAATGAAATTTTTGGCTGACATTAAAATAAATGCAAAAATTAGCACAAAAATAAATCAAAGCTCAACTCCCTTATACCATACATAAAGTGCATGTTTTTTTTGATCATTTAAAGATTGTGTAAACAGTCTTGTTCTGTAAAGTAATTTTTGTCTAGTTTTATTTATCCATAGCTGAATTCCTTGAAAAATCACAAGTGCTCACATAAGGACTTCATTCCAATAAATAGTCCTATTAAATTCTTCTGTTAAAATACCTATAGTACTTGCATCAGTTGTGCTTGATACAAAACTTGACATTAAAATTTCTGGAAAAACATTTAGCGTTTTTATTAGAAATAAATACCCCATACTATAAACTGTTAAGTAAATTCAGTATTTCGGTATTAAAGCATCCATCATTAAGAATACAAAATATGACAGAACAATTAGCCCATGGGCTATATCTACTTGGGAAAGTCCTACTAGGAGAATACATAAAAGAGATATAGAATACCATCATTTTAAAAGAAAACTAAGTCGGCTAGGCCGAAATTTTTTCCTGTGTTTTCTGTATTCTAATCTTACTAACTCCCCCCCCCCCTCCGTGAGCGAACAAAAAAATTTTGTTCGCTCACGGAGGGGGGTTAATTTTTTTTTTTAAAAAAAAATTTATATATAAATTTTATAAAAAATATTTTTTTCGAAATTTAAAAAAAATCCTAATTTGCAAAAATTGGGAAGCAAATATTAATTTAATTTGCAAAATTTATGTTTTTAAAACGCAATTTGTTTAAAATTAAACAGAATTAGCTCTAGATTTCATTATACTAATTATCACTTATATATCAAAATTTTTTTTTCCATTAAAAATTTTTTCTATTAAAAAAAATTTTTGTTCACTCACGGAGGGTGGGTTTTTGGTCAAAAAAATGGCGATTTTTCTAATGGTTTTGTTCGCTCACGGGGGGGGGGGGGGGGGAGTAAGATAATAAAGCACATAAGAGTAATTATTAAAAATGCAATTTCTCCCTTTCTTAAATAAGAATTGTCATTCATATATAAATTTTTGACATAGCTAAATGAAAACCCTCCAAATAGCAAAGGGATCAAAATAACCCGGTACAAGGCTAATATAATTTTTTTGTGTGAGATAATAATTGATAAAAATAAAGGAATCATAATTGTCATGCTCAGGACGTTTTTAAAATAAATTGTTCATAATATAGCAAATAGTCTTGCTATTAGGTGTAGGCCAGTTTCTTTTCATGTATAATCTAAAAATGCACTCCCATGGCTTTGGCTTATGATGCCATCATTTACAAGAATCAAAGGAGCCCGCATCATTTTTTTCATTTGGAATTTATTCATTTTTACAAATCCTAAATAAGTATAAAGCCACTGTAAAGCAAAAGCTGTCACGTAGACAGTAAGCATTTTTTGGTCCCATGTAATTAATCCTAATCCCCATACAATGTCATCTCCAATTCATTGATATTCCTTTTTCTATAAATAATTATTTAAAATGAATTTATTTTTAAAACAATAATATTTATTGCAAAATATATGCAAAATAACCTTGTAAAGATAAGAAAAAATTATCTGGATTAAAGAAAACGATGATACTAAAATGCAGATAATTTTTCCAGCTGTATTGGATTTATATCGTAGGTTTATTCCTATTGTTATAGCCAAAAGCGAATAAATAAAGCTGATGACTGAGAAATAAATTACGCATTCTACACATAAAAGTGCAAGCCCAACCCATTCAAAAATTTGCATTACTTGATATCGAAAGCCATATAGGCCTAATTTTCTTGAAAATTTAGAATGATAACCGTATTTTGAGCCGATAATTGATATACTCCATAATATAATTATAAATTAAATATTTTTTATAAATAAAAATATTGCTGAGACTATATCAGAAAATTAATTCTTATAGCTAGGCATATAATAAGTGCAAAAATATCAAATCCAAAATTCTTAAATAGCCAAAGCTCCATAGCAGCTTCATCCAGAAATAAACCTCGCGTGAGAAAAGTGTTTTCATTCACTTGAATTATATTGAATTCTTTATAATAAATGACAAATATCAGAGAAGATTTTAGCAAAATGACAAGCAGGCTGATGAGCATTAAAAATTTAAAGATCGCTTTTGGGGCATTGTAACCTAATATTAAGCTCACTCAAATGTATAAGGCAAACGCTATGTAGACCCCAGAGAAGCAGGTCGCATAAAATGATCCGCAAAGCAATAATAGGGTACAAAATATTTCCTGCAGCATTTTATTATGGATTTGTAGTTAAAGGATTTTTATTAGAAAATAAAAAAAAGCTAGAGAATTGATGCAGATATTGTAAGATATAACTAAAATAAGAAGAATAAATTACGAATATTGGAAATTTTTGATAGCTAGGCGTTTATTTTAGAAATTGATGATAAAATATAAATTTTAAAATAATTATTTTATTCTGAAAATAATAATATCATCTGCTGTCACTCTACAATAGTCTAAATATTAATTTAATATAAATTGGTATTTTTAATATTTCAGAAAAATTATTTCTTCATTTGTAAATATAAATATCACAGAAGTGTCTCAATAAATCTCTAATTGCAATCAATTTATTGAATTAATAAATATGCACATCTTAAAATTATGGACTAAATTGCATGCCTTAATTTCAAAATCCTTAACTATAAGATGAGCATTCTATATTTCTTTTTTATTTTCAGCCAAAATAAATCAACTTTTCAATACTCACCAATGAAAAAGAACGATTATTTTAAATTATACCATATAAACTAATAAAAACAGCTAAGCTTTCCTTACTAAAGAACCGGAATGGTATATTCTATCATAGAATCATATTTAAATCGAAAATAAACTGTTGGAAATAACAAATTTTTTATAATGGAAGGCTATATCAGAGTTGGAGGAAAATATATTCTACGCAAAAAAATTGGTGGTGGCTCCTTTGGGGAAATTTTTATGGGTAGTCACATAGAAACTCAGGAAGAAGTTGCGGTAAAAATTGAAAATGCGAACTGTTCAGTTCCACAAGTTATTAATGAAGCAAAGCTTATGAGATCAATCGCAGGCGTAGGAATACCAAAAGTTTATTGATATGGTACTGAAGGGTCTTATAATATAATGATCCAAGAGCTTTTAGGCAAATCTTTGGAGGACAATTTTGCTGAAATAGACCGAAGAATGTCATTGAAATCAGCAACAAATCTTTGCTTACAAATGATTCAAAGAATTGAAACTGTAGGCTCCATGTCAAATGACAGTGCATTCTTGAGAGTGTAATTTCATTGAAAACATTTGGTCGAAAATTTTTAAATATTGTGAGATTTGGTCGAAGCTCAATTTTTTTTTTCGGTCAAATGTCTCACTATCAAAAAGTTTCAGCCAATTTTCGACCAAATGCACTTCGGTAAAATAATCCCTATCAAAATGCACGATCATTAGATCTACACCCATAACAAAACTGTACATAATCATGACTATATTCATAGAGATATAAAACCTGATAATTTTTTATTTGGCTTAGGTAAGAAACAATCACTTGTATATATAATAGATTTTGGACTATCAAAAAAATACAGAGACAACAAAACAAAACAGCATATCCAATACAGAGACAACAGAACTCTAACAGGAACAGCTAGATATGCCTCCATAAATTCTCATATGGGAATAGAACAAAGCCGAAGGGACGATTTAGAAGGAATTATATACGTTTACCTTTATTTTTTAAAAGGCTCATTGCCTTGGCAAGGACTTAAAGGTGCAAATAAGCAAGACAAATATTTAAAAATAATGAACATGAAGGCCAACACATCTTTAGACCATCTGTTCAGAGGCTGCCCTTCAGAGCTGATTCCTCTTATGAGCTACATTAAAGGCTTAAGATTTGAGGAGACTCCTAATTATGACAGAATCAAAGAAATGATCCAATCTATCGGTGAAAGGAACGATTTTGCATTTGATAATGTTTTTGAATGGAGAAAAAAGAAAAGCGAGTCAAGCTCTCCAAGAAGAAGTTCAGACAGTGCAATTCAGGTAAAAAAAGGCAAAAAAATAAAAAAAAGACAGTCAAAAGAAGAAATCAAGACAAATATAATAGAGCAGAGGAAGTCGCTGCAATATAATGAAGATATAGCTTCAACAACTGTAGAACATAGATGGCCTGAATTTGCGGATAGAAGACAGGTAATGGAAGGAAGAAATAAAATAAAAGATGAGCCTACATGTGATGCCTGTAATGAGAAAAAAGAATGTTTGATTTTTTAATAAAATATTACACTATTATAAAAAATAAAAAATCATGGCAGAATTTTACCTATTTTTTAATAATAAATAGTATATGCTTGTCTGATATAAAATTTTAATTTTTATAATAAGTATATTTACTGTTTACTTTGGATGTGGATGATTTTTTTTAAGAACTCGCTTAAATTTGGTAATGCCTTTAAATACAGTTGCGGCGACATTTATATCCCTTCTAGCTTTCCACATTCTTTGGATTCTTCTAATAGCAACTCTGGTAGACAGCTTGTGGATTGAGAATAAATTCAATGTTTCGATAAAACCTTCACAAGCTCTAGGCAATGCAAATATTTCTAAATTTTTTATATTTTCTGGGATATTAAAAGAAAACGCTTTTCTATTGCATTCTTCAAAAGCCAACTGAGCTTGTGTACAAAGCACCCAGAAATGCTTGAAAACATCTATTAGAGTCAACCCTCTATAGTTTTCTAGTGGCTCTTGGACTTTGTTTTTAATGAGTTCCTCAAATTTTATTAAACTTTCTAATACATCAGTCAACCCCATTCCTCTTACAGCGTCTTTGATTAAAGCAACAGGCTGTTTTAAATGGGAAAATGCGTCATACGCTTCTTTCATTTTGGCTACATATTCTGAGCTTTCTTCATTTATTTCATTATAATTATTGAGGGGCAGAGGAACTGCATCTGCTTTTAGCCTTAAACATCTATAGAAAAATCCGTTTTCGTTGGCCAAAATAAAAAATCGATCGTGGGTGATTACGCCGTTTCCCATTATTCAGGCATCTCTGTACATTTTTATAATTAAAGAGTCAGGAGCTTCTGGGTCTAAATTATTGCATATTGATTTGAAGGATTTTAAGGATAAAGTCCCGTTTTGGTTTTTTGGGGCTAAGTTAAAAAGTCCTCTGACAGCTAAATATCTGCATTTTTTTTCTCTGATAAAGTATTCGAGTATTACTCTTAAAGCTAGCCCTGCATCTAAAGTCATTAGACCGTTTTTATTTCTGGCTTTAGACTGCAGTTGGAGCTTTAAATCACTCCTATCATTGGGATTAATTTTCGGTGGATTTTTTTTCTTTAAGCTAAATGTGCTTTGAGAGATTATTTTCTGGTCTAAAAATAATAAAAAAAATTAAATAAATTTGAGGAAAAATAATTTTTATCAGTGGAAAAGCTCATTTTCGCCATTACTTTGTCAATAATTTCGAAAATTTTGGTCAAAACCACAAAATGTACAGCAGAAAATCTCCCAGGAGTCAAAAACAGCTGAGGACCTTTAAAAAGCTCATGCCTGCAATGCAAAAAAAAAGCAAGCTCATCAACCATTAATTCTTCATTTAAAAATTCTATAAAAGTGTGGATTTCCCACACTTTTTTGCTTTTTTCGTTTTTCAAAGCCAGAAGTAGCTGAAGCCGAAATTGGTCAGCTTGCTCTCTTCTCCATCATTCGACTTCTTTGACTTGTCTAGTTATTTCGTCAACGAAAAAATGCCCCATTCAATTATATACGAATTCTGGGAAGGAGGTCGGGATTCTGCCAGTTTCAAAAGACGCCATTAGGTGCTCATTATATTTAGAGTCATATATACCTCTTATAGTGATCTCTAGTCAGTTTGTATACAATTTTTAATAAATCTTTCTGAGATCATAAAAATATGTATTAACTTCTATATAAAATAGGCCATAAATCCTTTGGATAAGCATCAGTTTTTTAAAATTATAATAAAAGGGACTTCAAAAGATTTTTTCTTTTCATTTTGATCAATACCTAGTAATCCTGCATAAGTTGGCCTATTGAACTTAAAAGCAGAAAGGTCAATAAGATTTGGGTCAACTGATACATCAGGAGGGTTATAAGCTGCAGAAGGGTTTCTTCTCTGCCCTACAGTGCTATAGTCATGTTTAGCGCCAATTTTTGATTTTTCTTTCTCAAACTCTACTTTTTCACTTATCGCCATCATTTTATTGTTTTCTATCTGTGCTGGAATATTTCTGACAATAGCAAATAAAGGGTCGTCTAATGGAATCCAAATAATTCCATCTTTATTTAGCGGAACACTCCCAGCAGCGATATTGAGTTCTAATTGATTATATTTATATCTCATTGTGTTTAATTGGTCTAACTCCACCCCCCTCCGTGAGTGAACAAAACCATTAGAAAAATCGCTATTTTTTGCCCAAAAACCCACCCTCCGTGAGTGAACAAAAATTTTTTTAATAGAAAAAACATTTATGGAAAAAAAAATTGATATATAAATGATAATTATTATATTGAAATCTAGAGCTAATTCTGTTTAATTTTAAACGAATTGCGCTTTTTAAAAAATATAAATTTTATAAATTAAATAAATATTTGCTTTCCAAATTTTGCGAATTAGGATTTTTTTTAAATTTCGAAAAAAATATTTTTTATAAAATTTATATATAAATTTTTTTAAAAAATAAAAATTAACCCCCCTCCGTGAGTGAAACAAATTTTTTTTGTTCACTCACGGAGGGGGGGGGGAGTAACGATTTTTCATACATTTCTTTAAAAATCAAATACCTTGTCATATCTTCTGAAAACATTTTCATACTTTCCCTAAGACTGCTTGATTCTTCTGTTAATTGTTGGACTCATAAATAAAATAGCATTCGGTTCGAGAGAAATTGGCTCTGCCAATTTTCTCTCCCTCATGGAATTTTATTTATGGAGTTGGGTTTTCTCTTGAGAACTTCTGTACAGCAACAGCCGTTTAACTTTGGGGATAACCAAAGGCACGGCTCCTCAGTGCATTCAAGACACTCGGAGTTTTACCTCTCTGCACATCCCCACGGGAGGATGACCCTTAGGCGGAACACGCGCAGGAGCTGAGTCGGAGCGAGCGACGGCAACGCGCCGGGTGAGATGTGCGGCAATTTATCTGGCGACTAGCCTTATAGAAGGCTTGGGTGTGGGCTGGCCACATATTCCAAGATGGCTTGGTGACGTCACTAGTTGTCGCTTTGACCCTTTTTTATTAAGGGGTTTGGGCACTAGAGACCTTAAAGACTATGTAAGTAAGTAAGTAAGTTAATTGTTGGACTCTCAGCTGCAGGTTATGGTTTTTCAATTCAAAACTTTCTTTGATTTCATTGAAATCTTTCATGAAAATTGAATTTGAAGCGATTTTTTCACGAAGCTCGCCTATTTGGAGCTCCATTGAATAAATTATTTTTTCTTTTTCAAGCTTGTAGACTTTAAACCCTTTGGACATTTTTGAATGCTTATCTCTATAGTCTATTAGTTCTTGCTCCAAATTTTCTACTTTTGTAAAATCTTTTAGGTCTGCAACGTATTTTTCTAACTGTTCTACTTTTTCAGCAAGTTTTTCTTTTTCTAGCTCCACTTTGCGATGGACACTGTCTGCAACGACCCCTATTTCTTGTGAATTTTTGCTTTCTTTTGATTTATGAGCTTTTTTACCTGTAATTTTTATATCATTAAGGGTTTTTTCTTTTTCTAAATTTCTTAAAAGGCTAAATTTTTCTCCGGCTAAGTTTTCTATTTCTTTTTCAAAATTGTTTTTTACAAAAATAATCTGCTCAATAGATTTTTGGAATAATTCTAAAGAGTAATACAAGCTTTTCAGGCACGTCAACCTTGCGTCTCCATTGAATTTTTTCATTTCAGAAACCTATATAAAACATACAAGTTTCCCTGTAGTTTCAAAATTAAATACAAAATCGTCTAAATATGTGTATTCTTTGAGATCTTTTATTTGTTTCTATTTGAATTTTACTTTTAAGGAATCTAGTTTGGGCTTTCAGGTTTTGAATTCTTGTTTGGATGACTCGAGTTCTAGTTCTTCTTGGACTGGAAGTAACGGATTTGGGTCAGGGGTTATATTTGTAGGGATAAATTCAGAAGTATTTTAGAACAGACTAAGTACGACCTAAGAAAATTTTATTAAAAAAATAGATTTTAGTTATTATAATTTAAATCAATATATTATATATGATTCTATACTCGCTTTTGGTTGTGTTGAAAGTCTTCTAGGGGTCATCCTTTGCTTAAGGCTACTCAAAGGCACATAAGCCTTTTCCCCTATTTCTTTGAGAGCGGATATGTAAACATTTGCAGGCTCAAAATCTGAATATGTTTTTAATTGTGGGTTTGAATTTCTTGGAGAAATTGTGGGAAAATATTGATATAAAGATTCTCGAGCACTTCTAGTTGAGGGTTCTGTAATGCTTATTGGAAATGTGGAACAAATCGGATCAACACTTTTTCCTATTCGTTTCTTTGACATTATTGCTCTTAATTTTTTATAACTCATTTATTTCATTTTTAATTTTAGAAATTATATTTGAAAAATCTAGAAATGCATTTGAGAACTATTTATATTTGGGGAATTAAATAAATTTTGTAGTATATTTGCCCTGGCGTAAATTACAGTTTTTATTCAAAAATATAAAAATTTGCATCGAATTAAAATTTAAAAGCTGAGAAATTCAAAAAAATTAATTTAAATATTTTTTTGAATAAGATATAGGACTTTTACAGCTGATTATTAAGCTGATTATTAAATAAAATGCTTAATAATTTGTTTTTAAATACTCTATTGATCTTTTTTATCTTTTCTTGATTTCTTTTTAGCAGGGGCAACTTTATCTTCTTTCTGGTTTTTAAGAGAGAGAGAGAGAAATCTTTATTACTTTAAAGGCCTTTATTTCAGGGCCATGTCCCGATTAAAAATTTTTTAACTTTCTTCTTTTCCTAAAATCTTTGGATAAAATTTTAGTAAAATTTTCTGAAACCCACGTAATCCGCGATTTTTTCGATTTCTGAGTCTGATATGAATTTTCTATATCTGATGAAATTTGAATCTGATCTAAATTTTATTTTCCTGATAATGTTTGATTCTGATATCAATTTTATTTTTCTGATAAAATTTGAATCTGATCTAATTTTTATTTTTCTGGTGTTCAGGATTTTCTTATCGATTGTCTTCTTATCATCAATGATCACCTCAGTCTTCCTATATTTGAAGGTTTCCTGAATAGGATCTATTTCATCTAGTATTTTTTTCCATCTAAACGACTTAAAAACTCCAATATTTTGTCATCTGTATCAACATTTTCTGCATCACTATCATTTCATTCATACTCTGATTCAGAATTATCAAGTAATCCTGTATCAATAAGTTCATTTAATAGTAAAAGTTCGAAAAATTCATCCTGTAAAGCTCCGTTTTCTTCACAAAAGGAAGAAGAATAGGAAACATTACTTTCCGAATCTTCCATTAAAATAAAAGTTTTTTTAAGAGAAGACACTCTTTTAATAACTAAATATTTCTTACTGAAAAACCCAAGCCCTATCAATAAGAACACACCTCCAATAAGTCCTGGGTAATACAAGCCAGTTGGCAATAGATCTTTATTCTGTGAATAAACACTAGGATCAAAATCATCCACTATTGGCGCTTCAACCTCAATTTCTTCATCAACTTTATTTGCTTCCTAATTCACTCTTACAATAAGAATTTTCTTTACTAACTCTTCTTGTTGCTGAGTCAATCTTATATCACTTTTTTCATTCAAATAAAACTCTTTGTCAATTATCGTCAATTCTTTGATTCCTGGTGCCTCTAAATTTATATCCTCAGCTACCAATAGTTCTTCAGCTTGTTTTGAGGTCAAAACTTTATCACATTTATAAAGAATGTCCGCTATAATTCTTCGCTGGATGAATTCCTTTTTGAAGCTGGATTCTGTATAAATTTCTGAAATAGAGTCAAAATCTTTGATTAATTTTGTGCGGGAAATAAGTAAACAAGCAACCCAGCGGGTGCGGGTTTCTGACTGTGCCACTTCGTCGTTTCTTTCTTGGTCATTGATAGGCTCAGGTTCTTCTGAAGCAATAGCGAGGGCTACGACAGCGAAAAACCAGATTTTCATTATAAAATGGCAATTAGAGGGAAATTATAGTTAAATAAAGAATTTATTTGGCATCATACCAGTTTTGGGCAATTTTTGCATCAGTTTCTAAGTTTATTCTAAGTGGTTCGTCCAGAGGCATTGACATGCATTCTTTTACAATCTCGAAGGCTCGGTCTGCTGAGCTTGAAGGGCCTTCTAATATAACTTCATCATGTATTTGGACTATCCCATATTATATAAAATTTTTCCCAAAAATTCATTATAATACTGTATCATCATATTTACCTTAAAATGTATAGTAACTTCCAGCCCATCTGTTTAAGCTCATCATTATAATTAATCCTTATCATTGCGCCGGTCACAATATCTGCTGCTCCTCCTTGTATAGGCGTATTTATAGCTGCCCTCAGAGCATGCTGCTTTTTTGAGGGAAGTTTATTATTAACTTCAGTCAATTTTCTATATCTCCCTAGCAGTGTCCTTGTATAGCCTTTACTTCTTACAAGTTTTCTTACTTGATCTTGCCAATCTTCTACTTCTTTTCGCTCAGCGTACCATCTTTTTAACGCTTCACTAGCTTCTTCTAAGCTGCAGCCCCAATCTTTTGCGAAACCATGAGCTGTTTTGCCATACGCAATTGAAAAATTCATGGTTTTAGCTGTTTTTCTTTGTGCAGCATATAAAGATTTTAGTAAAGGTGCTGGGGGCTCGCCTTGAGATTTGTCCCATTCTAATAGAACTTTGCCTTCATCTACAGCTTGTTTTATTTCTGGGTACATAGATATAGCTGTACGAGAGTGAAAATCGCCGCCTGCATGAAAAGCATTTATCATTGACTGACAATTTGTCATGTGAGCTAAAACTCTAAGCTCAAGCTGGCCATAGTCAGCGACAATTAAGCAGTTTCCTGTAGATGCGATAAAAGCTTTGCGAATTTTATATATATCTTTATCTAGAGCTGGCTGATTCTGAGCGTTTGGCTTTTTGGCTGAAAGTCTCCCAGTTTCTGTGTTAATATTTAAAGAATAATGGATTCTTTCTTCTTTATCACACAAAGTTTGTAGAGGCTCAATATAAGTGTGAAGCAGAGTATCAATCCCTTTATATTTCGATGATTAATATGGTGGTGACGACGAAATATGCCCTTATGGAGGTCGTGCCACTTTGGGCGCCAAAATGGTTTTATAGCCTAAGACAAGGTTCAGGCCCTTTAGTCCTAACCCTTAGTATGTGTAACCGCTGCAGTATGGGGTGGGTAAACCTTGAGAGTCAGCTGGTGACAATTCCAGCCCAGGTATTAGTTATCCGGACGGTTTCCTGGGTGTACCTCCCCGAAGGTGGCCGACAGGAGGTATTGGGATAACCTATACTTCCATAGCGTCCGATGGCGTACTGGCAGGGTGTCTTTCTAACCTGTCAACACTCTTGGAGGTCATAGTGCAAGCCCTGCTCCTAGAGAAGATCACTGTTCCAAATACCCGCTGAATTTCCGCTCGGCACGCAGGTTGGTGTCGATCAAGCGTGAGGAGGCATGAAATCTGGTAGACGTTAAGACTCTCAATTTAATTTAATTTATATTTCAATAAAGAATCCAGTGCATAACATATAGAAATTCCAGCTTTCTCATCTCCTTGATTTTTGAAAAATTCATAAGCGATTCCATGCTTACCATTGCTCGGGTCTCCAGCTAACAACCTTAACGCTTTTCCATCCACCGATGGCATTCCAGATATGGTCCTAAAAGGCACTGGAAGTCCTAGCCCTTTAATTGTCATATGGGTCATTTTTTTCTCACCGTCTTTTCTATCTAAATTTTCTACTAAAAATGTCCTTTCTTTACTCCCCCCCATCCTTGATCGAACGGCTCGCCATCGTTCTATCAAGGATGGGTTTAAAATAAATTTTTTATATATAAAATAAAAAATATATATATATATATATTTTTATTTACTTTTAAATAAGAGGGTTAAGAGTATTTAATAATTATTTTTACAGCAAAAAATTGAATTAATTTCATAAAAATAAACTGTATAAATTTTAATTTACTCCTTATTAAATTAAAATTTTTTTTTTAAATTTTAAAGAATCTCTATTTTATTAGATGATTGAGTTTTTAAGCCTAAGTTGATGATTAAATCACTTCAGATGGTTGATCTCGTAGCTTTATCGTCTCAAAGCTTCTGAAAACAACTTCATTATGTATATCTTCCCAAGCTTTTGATAGCTAATATATTTTTATATATATAAAAATTTATATGATATGAAATCGTTCGATCCAGGATAGGGGTTAATTTTCCCAATTTTTAGTAATTTTTACAGTCAATCGTTCGATCAAGGATTGGGGGAGTTAGGAAAATACATTTGGTTTTTTAAAGACATATTTGAGGTCTTTCTTACCTCCTCTTCTTCTCCTTCACTATCAGAATTCGCTTCTCCTTGTTCTTTATTAAAAGGAGCATATAAAAATTGCTGCATATGGGCATTAGAATCTGGATTAAAATAAAGCAGATCTGGATCCACACTGTTGACCCAGCTCAAAAACTCGTTTTTATATTTAAATTTGTCATTATTCGCTTGGTCGTTGATTTTTTTCATATGTTGGAGGTCTAATTTCATGCCATTTCTTTCCATATCTGTCAATGTTTCTCCTAGAGGCAGCCAATATTTTAAATAAAAATCCCACAAGGTAGTCATATCTTCAGATTTTAAAGGAAAACTTGATAATTCAGTAACCAAGGCTTCTCGTAAATAAAAGGTTAATTCCTATATAAAACCTACCGCATCAAGTGTGGAATAATCTACCCATTTTTCTATATATTGTGGGGTCGTATGAAGCTCTTCTACTTCAGGAGTTACTAGAAGCTTGCTTAATCCTCCTGATTTTAAGGGTTTTTGGTAGGCAAAAAGCTCATCCATTGTCTTTTTTACCCTCATTTTTGTGTTTGCAGTGTATTCTTTGATGGTTTTTAAGACTTCTGGGTCTTTTGTGTTGAAATTTATAAGGTCTTTGATAAGCTTGTTTTTTACTTTAGTCATAAGCTGGGAATAATTGTGTGTACATCTGGCTAGGCTGTATTCTTTTGGACCTCGCGAAGGGTTTGCAAGCCTTGCCATGTGCATTGTGTCGCCTCCAAAGCCAAGGACGTTAATTCCATGGTTATAAAAAATGTGACGATCAAAGCCATAGTTATGCCAAACTTTGTAATAATCAGGATTCTCAAAATAAGGCTTAAATTCTTCAATTATACCATTTGCCTCTGCGTAATTGTCAATAAAAAGCTTTGAGCCTGAACCAAAATTTACTTCTGGACCTATAAATGCAGTAGCACAAATTATTTGACCATTTCCTACAGGAGATTGCTCTTTAACATCGAAGCCTATTGTTTCAGTATCTCAAGCATGAATTCTTTCAGGATGACTCATAAGAATTTCCACAACTCTTTTTGCTTGGTCTTTGGTTCGGACTATTGTAATTCCAGGAATTTTGAGGTTTTCAAAGGCAGGATTGTGGGCAATTGAACGAAAAATTCTTGTTGCTGCCATTTTATAAATAAAATTTTTGGTATATTGAGAGGCTGAATTTTTGATGCAAGAAACTCAGGAATTTTTAGGAATAAAAATTAATGAGAAGCAGAAATAATAAAGTGTGTATAAAGCAAATAGAGAATGAGAAATTAGTAAATAATGAAATTTAAATAAGAGATTTCATAAAATAAGCAAGAATAATTCAGAAGAAGCTATTAATATTTCTGGTTCTCGCTAAATATTTACATTTAAGACTATAAAATTAAATATAAAATAAAATTCTTTATTTCCTCAAAATCTTAAAATAAGCTACCAAATTCATTGAGCTCTTGCATATAATTTATATTAATTATTACTCCCCCCTCCATGAGCGAGCAAAATCATTAGAAATATCCCTTTTTTTGCCCTAAAACCCACCCTCAGTTAGCGATCAAACATTTTTTATGGGAAAAAAAAAAATTGATATATAAGTTATATCTAGTATCATGAAATCTCGAGCTAATTCTGTTTAATTTTAAACAAATTGAGTTTTTTAAAACATAAATTTTGCTAATTAAATTAATATTGGCTTCCAATTTTTGAGAAGTGGGGATTTTTTTAAATTTCGAAAAATTTTTTTAAAAATAAAAATTAACACCCCTCTGTTAGAAAACAAGATTTTTTTTGTTCGCTCACGGAGGGGGGGAGATAGTAATTTTTTATTTGCATTTCCATATCAATAGCCTTAAGATTCATATCGAATTTAAAATTTTCCCTTTCTAAATCCAATAAAAAAACCAAAAGATACAAATCTCCATATCTCAAGTAAAAAAAAAAATTCAATTCCAGCCACCTCGCTAAGCGTTTTTCTGAAAATTTCCCTTTAAAAATCTTTATTTAAGCCAAACTGTAACTGTCTATAAAATCTGTAACGCAAGTAAAAATTTAAAATTCCCTTATTAAAGCTCAATTATGGGATATAAAAGCCACTTGATAAAGTAAATACACATTCAAGCTCTTATGAAATCCAATAGAATTAAATAATAAAAATTAATAATCCTAATAAGGCATAAGCTTATGCTTCAGACAGCCTTTTTTCTTCCTCTAAATCTTCGATTAACTTGCAAGCTATTATATCACTGGAGCAGCAGCTAAAGCCCTGGTCACGCTTTGCTTTCTTCATAAGGCTATTCCACCTATTTTTGACCCCATTCTCAGTTCTACCTGGAAGTTCTTTAGCTATTATGCTCCATTTGTTGCCGATTTTTTGCTTTAGACATAGAAGTTTTATGTCTTCTTCGTAGCTTCATTCGCCCTCTACAATAAAATTTACTGTTTAAGTCAGGATTTAAGTGATTATGCCATCGTTCTCTGCAATGTTTCCCTTTACGGATACAGTGAGAGTCATGCAAGGCTTCATTTAGATTTCGAGAAATGAAAGCCCAGTTTTTGGTCCCATACTGAGTGACCAAATCTCTAAATTTGCCTCAATTAATAGTGAAAAAAACCTATAGATTTTTTTTTATTTTTTTTTTTTATTTTAATTACGATTTATCATCCGTTTGATTAGGACCAATTTTATTCCTAATAAAATATTGTTTTTTATTAGGAGAAGTAAGGAACTTGTCTTCGTGTTCTTTCCAAGGCTTGGTTTTTAGACCGCCTCGGCTAATTTTTGCTTTTAAGTTGTTTTTTACTGGCGCTGCCGGTGAAGGAGTCCAAGCCGGGTAAGAATATAAGTTATAAATAGGGATGTACGTATTGGTACTGAAGTCAGGGATGCATGGAACCCATACACATCCTTGAGGAATTTGTTCCACTTTTGGAATCGGAATGTGGAGTGGAGCTTCGTTCCACTGGTAAGCGTTCAATTCACTGGCCATAATTTTTCTTATCCAAACTTACTATTAAGTCGAAATAACTTGAAATTACCTAAGATTTTACTAAAATTTTTTGAGAAAAATGATTATGCCTTTGATATAAGATTTAATGTTCTAAGTATTATAAAAAAAAAAATATATATGCCTAATTAGAATAATATACATTGAAATGTCGGCACGTGCCAATCTAACCTCTTGGTGCGACAGTCCAGACCTTATGTCAACAGCGAAGTGAGACGGACTCTGAGCCAAGAATCAAGTGCAGATTCAAGAAATGTGTACCTGGGGGGAAGGTTGGGTGTTTTCCTGTGGTTGGAAATGGAGGTGCTCAATAAAATCCTTTTGGATCTGAGGGTCCATGAGCATTCCTCTATCGAGAAACTGAGGTTTCGATCCGGACCAAAGGAGAGCAGTCTTTTTCCTGTAGCTATCGAAGGAAGGCAATTCGGTACCTGTCAGACTCCAAGAATCCTTAAAATCAAGTTACTCAATAGCCTGTAGCAGGGCCGCAAAAATCCATAAGCCGCCCACTTAAGACTGAAACCGCAACGCAAGAGGTGCAGAAGGTACCGGAAGTGGCACCCATTTATGGGGATAGACCCTCTGGCTGGAGTCAAAAAAGGTAGAACCTCCTTATGGGATGTCTTTGGTGCTTGCATCACCAATACGACTAGCGCCTGTCTTAATAACTAACCTAACCTAATTAGAATAAATAAAAATTTTCTTAACTCCCCATCCTTGATCGAACGATTTCGATTTCGTTGAAAAATTCCTAAAAATTAACCCATTCTTGATCGAACAACTTTAATATATCGCAAATTTTTATATTCAAATCAATAGATAGTTAATATTTATTATAATTTACGGAAATAATAGTTTTCATTGGCAAATAAAAAGTAATTTACGTGTTTTCCTGAATAAACTTCACGCAATTAATCATTTGAAGTGTTTTAGGCGTCAGCCTACCTCAAAAGCTTAATATTCTAAAAAATTTAGAATTCTGAAATATTTATAAAGTGGAAAGGGGTAGCTAGAATTTTTAAATTAACACAATTTTTTTCATTTTATATATTTACTATCTTTAACACTCTTATTTAAAAAGTACAACAACAAAATAAAAAAATAATATATATTATTTTTATATAATTTTTTTCCAAAAAATGTTTTTAAAATCCCTGATTAATCATGAGTCGCACGATTAAGGTTAGGGGAGTAAGCTATACTATTTATTATATGAAAATATAATATGATTACCAGTGAAGTATTTTATTCATTATAATTTGGTATATCATGTCTGAGGTATTTAAGTGTTAATGGCATATATAACTCCAAATAAAATCTCCATATTATAGGTTTAATTACGTTATTTTAATTTACTGGACAAATTTCCTTCAGGTGATGTGAGTAAAAATGAATTTTATATATTTTGTTTCAATTATATTGAAAACATTTTAAAATTTACTTGAGAATAGATTTTAAAAATTCATCGTAGATTTATAATAAAAAATTTAAGGTGCTAAAAGAATGAGGAAATATTTTTATTTATAGTAAAATGATTTCACAATCGATTATTGTGAAAATTAAAATAGCCAATAATTTTAAATTATAGAGTGTAACAGATTATCAAACATATTTAATCAAATATTTTATAATTTTCAATCTTTTATATTAATTGTAAATTGTTTATTGACTTATTGTGATTAGAATTTTAATATCAAACAAATGAAATCAATATATACTCATTTAGAAATTTAGAGTTATTATAGAATTAGCAATGCTATTGTTTAAATTTCAATGCGTCTTTAGAAATGATTTGCAATTTATATCATTCATGCTTAAATAAATATACTTTAAGCTTTTATATCAAAAAAAATTAAATAAACATTTGCTTTTTGTTCCTTTATTTTGATCTCACTTTTTGCAAACCAAGCTTCATTGCTAGCTTTAAATAATGCTAAAAGCGAAAAAGAGAATTTCTGTTTAAAACATCTCTATATATAAACATTATTTTATTTAAAATTATTTTGATATCAAAAATTTTCATTTTAATTTGATCATAGCCAATATTTCTTTGGCCAGAAATTCGAAAACAATGAAAATTTTTAGCATTTCTAATCTCATTATTAAATTTTTGAAACTTTCATTAAGACTTTTTAGCAAATTTAAATTAGTTTGCTCTTTAATATTTGATTCTTATAATAAAGCTTGGTTAAATATAAATATAGTAATTCGCTAATTGCAGCAAAGCAGATTATGATAATTGATCTATCAAAAAAACTCGTAGCATTTGAAAAATCCCTATTCTAATAATGGATATAATTTCGTCAGTTTATTACACAATTCAAAATGGAATGGCCAATTTACTGGAGTAAAAATGAGTGACTATAATCGAAAAATATGGGTTGCTGCATTTCAAGAAACAGTGATAAAATAATCACAAATAAAAATTATAATCAAAGTGAAAATTCCACCCTATCAGAAAAACTTCATATAGTTTTAAGAAACAAAACCAAAAAATTATTTTTCAAATTTTCAATCTTAAAAACATATAAAAAGAAATCAGGCTTTGCCAAGCTAAGAAAATATTTTTCTCTTTTTATCATAATTGATTAGAAAGAAAGATCAATTCTTAAATGCAAATAGAATCAAAAATGAACAGAAATTTCTATTAAAAAAGGTGAATACTGTGCTTATCCTCTTGCAATAAAGAATTGCGAACTATTCTCTTGATCATTTCTTCTATAATCCCCTTCTGCAAAATAATAATTAGCAAATTCCGAAAAATCAATTCCTTTTGAAATCACATAGCAATTATTATATCTTAACATTTATAAATATTCTAAAATAGCATATATAATAAATGTTTCAATTTATTATAATTTTTTATCAACCTTGAATATAAATATTTATGAGCTTGCTTTTTAACAATTAAATTTCATAATAGCTTTTTACACAAAAAAATTATAAGCAACCATATTCAATTAAGCTTAATTCTGCATCAAAACAATTAATAGAGTTTAAATAATTACTAGCTTATTGACGGTTATAATTTTGCAATTATAGCAGGGATAAAAAAACGGCATATTTACTGAAATGCCCAAATAAGAGATTATAATAAAAATATATGGGCTGCTGCTTTTCAAGAAATAGCAATAAACTCGCCCCAGCTGAAGCTACTGATTCTAATTTAACAGAACCCTCCACTAGTCCAGAAAAACTTCCTATAATTTTAAGAAACAAAAATCAAAAGAAATTCCTATCCAAATTTTCAATCCTAAAGACCTATAAAAAGAAATCCAATGGATCAATTTATCTTGTAAAAGAAAAAAAGACTAAGAAGTGTAAAATAATAGAAGAGTACCACAAAAACAATAAAAACCGATCAGATATAATTAATGACCATCTAGAAAACTTTCAAAGCCTTGATCATCCAAATATCATTAAAATATTCCAAATTGTAGAAACCAAATTAAAGGTTTACTTCGTAAGAGAATATTGCTCAGGAGGCGGACTTCTTGAGAAAATCATCAAAACTAAACAAATAAGCAAAAATCAAGTGGCAAAGTATATTCGTGACATTTTAAATGTAGTGAGCCATTGCCATAGCCAAGATATAGCGATTCAAGATTTGAATCCAGGGCATATTTTACTCGACTCAAAAAATGAAAATGCAAATATAAAGGTCGTTGTGGGAAAAGTAAAGGAAAATAATTTATCCAAAAAAAGCATCACAGACGTAATTTTAAAGTAGATTTGCTATATGGCACCAGAAATGTTTAAAGGAGAATATAGAAAAGAAGCTGATGTATGAAGCTGTGGACTAATTTTATGGACTTTAATATTCGGAAGGCCTCCCTTTCATGGCAAAACTCGTAAAAAAGTAATTGAGTCTATAAATAAAGGCCTAAACCTTACAGATAAGGCTTGGGCTGAGATTTCTGATGAGCTCAAAGATCTCATCTCAAAAATGCTCGAAAAAAATCCTGAAATCAGGATTTCAGCCAAAGATGCTTTAGAGCACCCTTGAATTCAGGCTAGGTCTAATAATCAAGTCCCTGATAGAGCATGTGCTATAGACGTATTATCTCGCTTATCAAAATTTAATGTATTTTTTATTTAGGCAAAATCACATGTCCAGAAGGCTATATTAGATTTTATATCTTACAATACAGCTTTAGCAAGAGAAGAAAAAGAATTAAAAGAAACAGTTAAATCGATTGACGAAGATGGAGATGGCAAGCTCAGTCCTGATGAAATTTATAAAGCTTTCAAAATCTTGCTGCTTGGCTCTAAAGAAGAAGCAAATTCTGTGATGGTAGCATGCGATAATGATGAAAGCGGACATATTAAATATTCTGAATTTATTACTGGGGTTTTACAATGGGACAAAAAAATCCATGAAAATCAGTTAAGAGAAATTTTTACAAATTATGATGCAAATGGAGATGGGATTTTGACGATTGAAGAGCTTAAAGAATGTGTGATTGGAGAAAAAGGAAAAGAATGGGAGCATTTCTTAGATGATATGAAAGTTGAAAATAATCATTTAATTACCGCTGATGAATTGGGAACTTATTTTCAATCCAAGTTTTAATGAAAACTAAGAGGATTAATGATAGTTTCAATTAATTTTATTTCTTATATGATTTCATGATTATAGTTAATGTTAAAAACAATTGCTACTATGCTTTGATGATGCTATATATAAATATGGAAAAAATTGTTAATTGTGCATTGAATTTTATTCACTGCTTATATAAGAAGATATCAGTCTATAAGCAGCATTTTAAGGTCATTTGTGTATAACAATTAATTATATTCTACCCTCCTGTCGTAATCTTTCATTTAATGGTTCAGAAAAAGATATATGGCTTAAAACCTACATATTAAAATAACATATTCAATAATTAAAAATTCTCTGAAATATCAATTATTGGGCAATTAAGCTTTTTTAAGGCTAAATATGGGTTAAATATTTTTTAAATTATAAGGCATAAAGGCTTAGAAAGAAATTATAATATCATAAACTCTTTCAATATTTTGATCCTTTTAATTAGCGATTCAATTAATATAAATCGCTTATTTTAGTGAAACATAGTCAAATTTATTTATATTGAAGAGATATATTTATACTATTAAAATGCTTTAATCATATTAGGGTTGTTATAAGCTTAATTATTAAAAAATCACTATATAAAAACAGAAGACAGAAATTTAGAATTTGAGGGGTAGAAAGTAGCATTTATTTTTAACATCAAAGTTATTTTATAATCATTTAAAAATATTAAAATAATAAGAATTAACGCTAAAAATGATTATAATATAAAATGTTAATAAAAAAAACTATTATGGGGTTTTTCATTCAAAATACTTGTTTTAGATTATCATTCTAAACACTTATTTGTAAATATGAACTTTTTCAATTCGCACAATTTTCAATTAATATTTGTCTCTAATTTAGATTTCATACCTCAAATTTTGTTTCTAAGCTTAAAATCAGATGTATAAACAAAAATTAAAATTAACTTATTAATATATAGCGTTTTTCTACTGTTTTGCAGTTATCTAAGAGTATATATTATAAACCTATAAAAAGAAATCCAATGGGTCTATTTACCTCGCAAAAGAAAAAAGAACAATGAAGTATAAGATAATAGAAGAGTATCACAAATACCAAGAGCATTGAACCACAAAAGTAAGTGAGCAGCTAAAAACTCTGCAAAGTCTTGATCATCCAAATATCGTCAAAATATTCCAAATTGTTGAAACAAGCTCAAAGGTTTATTTTATAAAAGAATTTTGTTCAGGAGGTGGACTGCTAGAAAAAGTTATAGAAACAAAGCAAATAAGCGAAAATCAAGCAGCAAAATATATTCGCGATATTTTAGATGTAATAAACTACTGTCATAGCAAAGATATAGCGATTCAAGATTTGAACCCAGGGCATATTTTACTCGACTCAAAAAATGAAAATGCAAATATAAAGGTTGCTGTTGGAAAGCTAAAAGAAGATAATTTTTTAAAAAAAAGCATTGCTAATGTAAGCTTAAAGTAGACTTGCTATTTGGCTCCAGAGATGTTTAGGGGAGAATATGGAAACGAAGTTGATATATGAAGCTGCGGAGTGATTTTGTATACTTTAATATTTGGAAGACCTCCATTCCATGGGAAAACTCGTGAAAAAATAATTGAGTCGATAAATAAAGGTCTAAATTTTACAGATGAGACTTGGGATAACGCTTCTGATGAGCTTAAAGATCTCATCTCAAAAATGCTAGAGAAAAATACAGAAAATAGAATTTCGGCGAGAGATGCTTTAGAGCACCCTTGGATTAAGTCGAGGTCAGCTAATCTAGTTCCAGATAGAGCTGCTGCTACAGATGTATTATCTCGTTTATCAAAATTTAATGTATTTTTCACTTAGGCAAAATCACAAATCCAGAAGTCTATATTAAATTTTATATCTTACCATACTACATCAGCTAGAGAAGAAAAAGAGCTGAAAGAAACATTTAAATCGATCGACGAAAATGGTGATGGAAAGCTTAGCTCTGACGAAATTTATAAAGCCTTTAAAAGCATGCGGCTTGGCTCTAAAGAAGAAACTAATTCTGTAATGATAAAATGTGATAGAGATGGGAACGGATATATTGAGTATTCTGAATTTATTACTGGGGTTTTACAATGGGACAAAAAAATCCATGAAAAGCAGCTAAGAGAAATTTTTAAAAACTATGATACAAATGGAGATGGACTTTTGTCGATCGAAGAACTTAAAGAATGTGTAGTAGGTGTAAAAGGAAAAGAATGGGAAAATTTCTTAGATGATATGAATATAGGAGAAAAACATTTGATCAGTGTTTCTGAATTGGAGTCTTATTTTCAGTCGAAATTCTTAATAAGTAAAGAGGATTAGAGATATTAATGGTTGATTTAATTGTAGCTTTTAAAAATTAAAATTTTTATTTATTAATTGCATTTATGTAAAATGCATCAGCTGGTTTAATGATTTTATCATATCATTTTGTTAATCGCTCATTAAGCTTATATTGCTCTTTATTACTTATACCTAAACTTAAATTTAATTTTTATCTTAATAATCCTATTTATTAGATCCTTCTATAATTATTTTTAGCTTTAAAATTTTTAAATTTTTTTAGATGCATTAAATATAATTATATTTTTCAGTACAAAAAATTATTCAACATGGCTTAATTCATAAAACAGATAATCTAATAATTATAAAAAATGGCTTACACATGTCCATATACAGAATGCAAGAAGCGCTTAAGCTCAAAATATAACCTAAAAAGACACATAGAATGCTGTCATAGGAAAATTAGAAAATTTGAGTGCGATATCTGCTATAAAAAATTTTCATCTGCACAAAACTTAAAAGAGCATTTGTTCTTACATGAAAATTCCAATCTAAAACCACTAGAAAAGCCTAAAAATTTTGTCCCTGAGAGAGATATTAATATCCCAATGCTCACTGATATGATTTTTTGGTCTTACGATCCAGATTTAAGGCCAATGATGAAGGTGCTGCGTTTGTATCCTTATCCGCCTTTAGCGACGGAAGTGACAAATTATGAAAAGTAGAAAACGTAATTTAATATTTTTGCAATAAATTACCTATTATGATGCAATTTCTTGTGTTTTGGCACATTTTGAATTTATTTTAATTATAAAGTTCATTTTACAGAAATAATTCAATTTAATTTTAAAATGGCGAATTGGCATTTTAACCTTTATATAAAAATTTAATTAATTTATGACAATTAATTAGTGAAAAAGTCAACATATAAAATTCTTTGATATTGAAATTTGTATTAAGTGACTTATTTAAAGTACTTATTTGGATATAAAATCATTATGATAATGAACTGAAAGAAATTAAAATATAAATCTAAAGAGCAAAACAAGAAAAATAAGTGTTCTATGCATAAGCTATTACACTCTCTATAAATCATTTAATTTATTATAATTTTTAAAGCCCTATGTAATTAATAAAAGCAGGAAATGGAAGCCTGGGCTCTTTTAAAACTAGAAGTATTGGATATACTTCCAATTTTCAATTACTCGATCATGGATAAACAATCTGGTATTAAAAGTATATATTTAATTGCTGTTTTATAATATGATCTATTCTTATTGATAAAATAATTCAATATTTATTCATTGTAATTAAAAAATTCAATTCTTCTCTGTTAAAAACAACTTTTTAAAAAATAAAAATTTATTTTCATATTGAAATTCGTCTAATTTTTTAGATTCTCCATCTTAGAATTTATTAAGTAATGACTGTATTTACTAACCCATTTAAAGCAAGTTTCCACAAGGAAATTAAATTTTATGCATTTTATAATAAAATTGATGGAAAAAACCCGAAACCTACTTATTTTTTTAATTTATTCAGCCTTTGCTTTTGATGATGTTCTTAGTGTAGGACAGAGCGACTGCATCTCACAAGAAAGTTTATGACGTATTTTCAAATTAAATACTTCAAATATCAAGCAACGATATATAAGGATTGATTTAATACTAACCGAATTTGGGTTCAAAACTATGCCTATACTAGCCCTCCGTTTCAATAATTATCCACTGTTTTTGGATCAAAATGACGCTTCTAGTTTGATTTCCAATTACGCCGATTTATATTCATATGAAAATCAGCTGAAAGAGCATTCACTAATTTTCGATTACAAAAGTTTACCTCAGAACTCAATTTATTATTTAAAACTTATAAAAATAAATTGATTTAAAAAAAATTATAAATAATTATTTCTATAATTCAATGGCTCAGGATATAGGAATTGCAAACCCTAATTACGAAAACAGTAAAATATCATATATATTAGAGTTTAGTCAATATGATGACTATATTTGTGCATCAGATTGCTCAAATAATGGCTATTGCTCTAAGCTAGATTCATGCAGCTGTGGCTCTTGCTATATAGGGAAAAATTGTGGGATTCACGCTTCCAAGCTTACTTTTAAAAACCCCACACAAATGGAAGTAAAAAACAACGAAATCGGCTATTTTGAAGCAATTTTAACCTCCAAAAATTTCTCATCTGATAATTGGAAATTTTATATTAACTGCGAATGGTCTGGGGAAATTGGAATACTTTATGTAGGGAACCCTGGAAATAGGTAAGCTATAAATAGTGTTGACGAACTTCCCAATAGTGATGATTATTTTTCTCGATTAAATTTAGGCAATTTTTCTCGATCAGGATCCATAATGGTCGATACCTCAAATTTCAGCCAAAAAATCGTTTTAGTATCAGTTTGAAACACTTTAGTAAATTCAAATAATAGCTTATTGGTGACTTGCCAATTATCTAAGCCAAGTTCTTCGTCAGATTCCTACACAATAATCACTATTATATGGATTTCTATCATTTGTATTGTCCTTTCATTAGTCATTGCAATTCTTATTTTCTTTCTGTTTAGACATCAAGCCAGGGTCCAAGTCTACGATTCTAATGCTTTTAGGGTGTCTGGAATAAATCAAGAATCAATAGAAAAGATGTACCCAAGTAAGCCTATAAAAAATGTGGCTTCTCATTTGGGTAATATTTGTGTGATTTGTATGGAAGACTTTAAGGGAGATTCTAATGTAAGAAAATTGAACTGTGGTCATATTTTTCATGTCGAATGTATTGATGAATGATTTAAACATCATAAAGCTTGCCCTATGTGTAAAAGAGATTGCGAAGTGCCTGACATAGTAGTAAAAGAACTTATTTTCGATGAATTAGGAGAAGGAACAAGAATGGTGTCATCAGATAGAGGAGGTGAAGCGGAATTTTTGGAAATTCGGGTTACTTACTCCCTCCTACGTCCCCTCAGTGAGCGAACGAAAAAATCTTACTCCCCCCTCCGTAAGTGAACAAAAATATTTTGTTCATTCACGGAGGTGGTTTAATTTTTTTTTTTTAAAAAAATTTATATATAAATTTTATACAAAACAATTTTTTTTTTAAAATTACAAAAAAATCCTAATTTGCAAAAATTGGAAAGCAAATATTAATTTAATTTATAAAATTATGTTTTAAAACGCGATTTAAACAGAATTAGCAAAGAGATTTCATTATACTAATTATCACTTATATATCAAATTTTTTTTATAAAATATTTTTTCAATTAAAAAAATTTTTGCTCACTCAAGGAGGGTGGGTTTTTGGGCAAAAAATAGGGATTTTTCTAATGGTTTTGTTCACTCACAGAGGGGGAGTTAGTTTTTTTAAAAAAAATTTATATATAACATTTATAAAAATTTTTTTTTTTCTTCAAAATTTAAAAAATCCCACTTCGCAAAATTGGAAAGCAAATATTTATTAATTTTGAAAAATTTATGTTTTTAAACGCATTTGTTTAAAATTAAACAGAATTAGCTACAGATTTCATTATACTAATTATCACTTATATTTTTGTTCGCTAATGGAGGGTTGGCTTTTAAGCAAAAAATAGGGATTTATCTAATGGTTTTGTTTGCTCACTGATTAGGGGAGTTAGTGAGTATTTTTGTAAGTAAATTTGTTTAATTATATGAATAAGTATTGATTGGGATTGTCCGCTATATATTGCTACTAGAATATATAATTTAGACTAGAAATAAGAATTTGATAGCTCTCCATCCATGAGCGAACAAAACCATTGTAAAAAATTTCTATTTTTTCCGAAAAACGAGCCTCCGTAGGTGAACAAAAATTTTTTTATGAAAAAAATTTGATGAAATCTCTATCTAATTCTGTCTAATTTTAACAGCTTGCATTTTAAAAAATTAGTTTACAAATTAAAATAATATTTGCTTTCAATTTTTTTTAAAAAAAATTAAGCATCTATATGAACAAGGGGGAAGGAGTAAGCTAAAAAGTGAATGATTTTTATAAATTTAAATAAGTGATATAGGTATCACAAATAATAAGAGCTAATACTTAAATTAACAAAGACAAGCATATCAGAATCAGTTAGCTAGTATTTTATTTTGCTTTAAAATATTACAGATATGCCTATAAATTATTTAGCTTTCGAATTTTACTTTTCATCTTTTTTAAATGAAAATAATTCAAATTCATTAAAAATAGTTCGCAAAATCAGCTCGCACGGCTATATCTATTTTAATGAAAATATAATAATTTCACGCATCTAATTTATTGAGCTTTTTTCATCTTCAAATTTTAAATTTAAATTAATAGATTGAGCAATTCAACCATTTATTTTCAATGATCCAAAATCATTATATTAAAAGGCATCTTATTATTTTTCTTTCTATGATGCTTATCTTTCAGCCTATACTTTCTCAACATTGATCAATCTCTTGAAGTCTTTCAAAATAATTTATAAAATTATATAAAACAGTTCACAGGAAATTCAAGATCAATATATTCTATTAGTCTTCTCAACCGATATGGGCCAAAGTGAATCAATTTTATCCAGATCATGTTTCTGAATCTTCAAAATCTCAATAAAACTCCATGAACTCTGAAGTAACTCAACGAATTCGGACGCAATGCTACTCAATATCATTTCTTGAAGCTCCGCACTTCCCTCTCTTTGCTACTTTTGGGGCAAAGTCCCTAAAATGATTTTAAAGCAGTATATAAAAGACCCAAAATCTCTATAGCACGCAGATAAATTTAGAATAAACTTAACAACTTATCTTGATCGAGCGATTTTATTAAAAGTTTTCGTAAAATAAAAATTAATCTCCACTCTTAGTCGAATAGTTTTCTTATATAAACCGAGTTAGACTATATTACAAATTTTAATAAATTAGGTTTTTATAAAAATGGCTTTTCAAGAAAAAGCTGAGAAATTATTTATTAGTTAGCATAGGATATAGACTTGATACAAATAATCAATAGAAATTTTTTCAATAAAAGCTAAATAATCTTATATCATGCCTTTAGTTTCGTATGATTTCCAGATTTTAGATTACTCAATACTAAAATAGCCGACTCAACAATTCACCATTTATTTTTCAATAACCAATATAATTAATGCTAAAAGGCATCTTATTATTTTTCTTTCTATATCATTTTTCCTTCTCCCTATACTCTCTCAGCATTGATCAATCTCTTGAAGTCTCTCAAGATACTTTATGAAACTATGTAGAGCTAAACACCACAAATATTCAAAAGCAATACATTTCTATTAATCTTCTTATAAAGCGCAGGCAATTTCAATCTTTTCCTCTGCTAACTTTAAATTTCGACCATTTTCCTGAATTTTCGAATGAGAATATTTCTAGTGTAAATTCAAATTACAGTGATTTTTATTCTTATGAAAACCAGATATCACAGCATTCAATTATTTTAAAGGCAGAATCATTAATGTATGGCCAAAATGCTTATGTAGGAGTTGCTTACCCTAACAATCAAAATGGATTAATTAACTCCCCGCCTTGCTTAGTAAGAAGAATTTTTTTCTCATTTATCAGTGGGATAAATTTCTAGATTTGTAAACATTTGAAATAAGAAATCTAATTTAATTATAAAAAAATTTTAGGGTGAAAAAATTGTTTAAAATTATAGAATTTTTTAAAAGAAAATTGATAATAAAAATAATTTGCTTGACAGCCAAGAATAGTTAATTACCTAAAAATAGGGATTTTTCTCGCTTGCCGGGAGGAGTAAGTATAAATTGACATTTACACAATCAGATGATTATATATGCAGCTCCGATTGCTCAGGCTTTGGGAAATGTGGAGACCTGGACTCGTGTTTATGTCAAGAAAATTATGCTTCTAGGAACTGCGGAATACGTCCTTCATTACTGTATTTGAATAAAGGCACTGCAATGCAAGTAGACAATGACAAAATTGGATATTTTGAAGCTGATTTAAATGATTGTATTATTAATTTAGGAAAAGAAAATACAATCACTATTAACTGTACATACATTGGAGAAAGAGGCATGATTTATATAGGAAAACCCACAAATAAGTAACAAATAAGCAGCATATATGATCTTCCTAATAGTCAAAATTATGTATCTTGAATTTCCTTAAATAGTACTTCATCAGCAAATATTTTATCTTTTGATATTGATATATCTGATCAAAGGCTATTATTTTTGGCAGTCTTTAATAATTTAGTTGACTCAGGTAGAAGGATATCAATTGTCTGCCAATTATCAAAAAAATCTTCAAATTCGGAATCATCTTCAATTTCGACTGTAGTCATAATAACGATTATATGCTCGATTGTATCAGTTTCTCTTGCTATTACAATTTTATGTATAAACAGAAGGCTTTCAAGGACTCAAGTAGCTAATGAAACTCAGTTTGCTGTATCTGGGATTAATATAACAACTGTACAGCATTCATATCCAGCGAAACATTTAAAGGACTTAAAAAATAAGTCGGAAGATATAAAATTATGCGTCATTTGTATGGAAGACATGACACCAATGACAGAGGTAAGAAAAATGATGTGTGGGCATATTTTTCATGCTACGTGCATAGACGAGTGATTTGGACATCATAAATATTGCTGTATTTGCAAAAGAAACTGTGAGTCGCCTGATTTGATGATGTATGGAGGATGCAATCATGAAATGGGTGAGGATGCAAGATTTATTAGTGAACATAATAGTATTGAGCCTGGGTCTCGTGAAATAAATTCTAATGCGTGGAGTGCTAGCTAAATTCAAACAAATTTATAAATAATTTATATAAGATATAGTTAGATTTAAATCAAATTTAACAAAAATATACCTATCAAAGTTAAAGGGAGCCAATAAGTCTGTTAAGTAAACTGTCAAAATAAAATGCCAGAGCATTTTTTGCATTAAAATTTGTTAAATTTAGATATTTCTAGTGCTCTAATATTCCCTAAATACCAATTATGAATAAGCAAGGACTTTCGAAACGATTTTTCTTGTAAAATCAAATGAATAAATTCCATCATTATTTACAAAATAACTCTTTTCTTCATAATTAATCGTATAACTTGTCATAATTTCACTTAAAATAGAATATCTACCAACATTATTTCATGTAATTAAATTATCATTGCTTTCAAATATATAAGTTGGTAATTGAAAGAAAAAAACAGTCTCATTTTTCACTAAAAATAATTTAGGTGATGGATAAACATATAGTGACAAAATTTCTGAGTACGAATCTAAAATTGTATCATAATAAAAAAAATTTCCTGAATTAGAAGCGGCTAGTAAGATATATTGTTTAAATAATGCACAAATAGCATAATTTGCATCAGAAAATTGTGCAGGTTTAAATGATACTCATCTGCTGTCATTAATGTTGTATTTTTCTGAATTATTATGAACTCCACCAAATAAATAAATCCATCCATCTGTATAAACTGAGCATGCATTTAAGCTAGGTTTATATTGAGATATATAATGAGACCCACCAATTTGGTCAATGACAATAGAAATATCACCGTTATAATAAAATAAACTCCCATTAGGAAGAATACATTTTGCTCCGTACTGGTCAAGTTTATGATTATTTTTCGTTATAATGTTTATTTTAGAAACTTTGCCATTTTCTGGATTAAAAACTCCTAAAGTATTGGCAGAGCTACAAAGTATAAATTTCATGCAGTTTGAATTTACCTTAAGGTATTCATAATAGTCAATATTTTGATCTGGTAAAACGAATTCATACATTTGACAAAGGTTATCTGTTTTGAGCCTATTTATATACAGCTTTGGTGATTGAATTTTTTTTATTTTTGAAATATTGATAAAAGGCAAATTTAGCAAATGCTCAACAAAAGTTAAAGGCTTTGAGTTATCAATTTCTTTTAAACAAGATATTTGCAATAGTGCTTGGTTTAATTTTTTATCATAATTTTTTAAATCTAATAAAGCTTTTTGAGCAGTTTTATTAAGTTGTTTGATTAGAAAGAGATCTTCACAGATAATTTTTGCTTGAATTGATTTTATTTCTGATTTTATAGAAGAAAATAATTGGAAAACTTTTTTTCTTGTATTTTCTTCAATTTTTGAAAACATTTTCGAATGTTTGCTGTCTATTTCAAGTTTATTGGGGCATTCTATATTGTCTTTGCAAGTTAACTCTGGATTTTTTTCAAAATAGCAAGCACTGTCTGAGCTTGAAGAGCATCCTCTCATATAATTTTCCATAGTTTATTATTACTTATTGCTAATTTTCTTCCTAGGCAGTACTTCAGAATCAATATGCCAAAATAATTTTAATATAAAATTACTGACTCCCCCCATCCTTGATCGAACGACTCGCCATCGTTCGATCAAGGATGGGGGTTAAAAACAAATTGTTTTGAAAAAAAAAATTATATATAAAATGAAATATATATATATATTTTTTTTGGATTAATACAGTGCATGAACTATCACTTTCAATAAGCATTGATAAGATTTATTAGTTAATAATCCCTAGCTATATATAAAATTAATTTTAATAGTGCACTGTCGCCTACTGCAATATTGCATTCTAAAAAACTTTCCATAATCTATTTATTAAATAAATTTCACAATGGGTGCTAAAATTTCAAGTCTTTTTAGCAGATTTTCTAAACGTAAAAATCTACGTATACTAATGATAGGACTTGAGGGTGCAGGAAAAACAACTATTCTTTATCAAATGAAACTTCATGAGCATATGGAATCAATTCCTACAATTGGCTTTAATGTAGAAACATTTTATTATAAAAACATAGCAATTACATGCTGAGATATTTCTGGAGGAGAAAGAATAAGACCTCTATGACATCATTATTTTGAAAATACTGATGGTGTAATTTTTGTTGTGGATTCTAATGATAGGCAGAGAATTGAAGAGGCTAAAGAAGAGCTCCATAGAGCATCGAATGATACTAATCTTGAAAATGTTTCATTTCTTATACTTAGCAATAAAAATGATTTACCAAATGCGATGAGCAATTCTGAATTAATTGATAAGCTAGACCTTTATATGATTCGAGGGAAAAATTGATACATTCAAAATTCATGTGCCTTAACTGGAGAAGGGCTTTGTGAGGGATTTAATTGGCTTTCAGATGAAATTTTGAGCCAAATTTATTAATTTAGGAAATTAATTAAAATCTGATAATCTAGTTCTTAGTATAGATTCGATAAAACTTAATGAATTGAAAATTTGGGTAACCATTGAGTCAATTTTTCTCTAAGTTTTTATTTCCAATTTTGCTCTTGACTCTGTTTATCACAATTGACTTATTCACTTAATTTAATGCCAGCAATTTAAAAATATTTACGGATATTTTGCACCCAAGCTTTAGCTCTATAATATAAATAGATTGATTAATAAAAGAGTTAAGAGCTAAAAGCTAAAGATTTTTATTTAATAATGCTATTTATTACCAAATTATTTTAGTCAAGCTTTAATATTTTTGCCTCTAAATTGAACTTGAAGTAGCTAGTAGTATTTAATTAATTTTAAATTAATAAAAAAATTAAAAATCTCACTTATATAGGCATTTAGCTTGCTTCCCTGGCAATGAATGTCAAAGTGCTTCAACCATCTATGCAGCCTTGGCCCATAGAGAAATCCATAGAGGTGCATGAGATATAATATCATTTCAATCCAAATATCATCGGCTGCCCTTTCATCAGCTTGCAGTACAATTTTTAGCTCTGAAGCAGCTATTTGCTTCTGGTCAAACATATAAAAGCCGCTTTTAAACTTTCAGCTGAAACCAGAGTGTTATAGTCTATTGCCGCTTTTATAAACTCTTTATAGAGATGCAACAAAAGTTTTCAGCTTCCACAATTCTAATGATATTTTCAGCTTCGTTAGCTCCTATAATTTTTTTGCCTAAGAACTTTTTAAGTCTTTCAACAAGATCTTCCTTGTCTATTTTCCCATCATTATTCGCATTTAAAATTAAAAAAAATCGAAAATGCTGCTTATGTCACTTTGATAAACCAGCTGAGATGAAAAATTGTGTCTCAGCCAGGTTAGTTTTTTTCTTGGATATGTCATTAAGTTATTCAAAGCAGCTTGAACAGGCTCTGCAGTCTGGCTGCGGTTGTATTTAGCCTTTTGAATGAAAGGATTCCTCAGTGTTTCTTTAGCTAAAGGGTCTTTTATTTTCTTTTTTGAAGCACTGACGAAGCACTTCGGTCTAACTTTGCATCAGGGGCCGAAGAAGGAATAGGGTGGTACTTATCCGACTCGCTGGAGGAGCCATTTGTTCCTGAACCCAGCTTAGGTATAATAGATTTAACAATAAAAAATTTTAAGAGTTAATAGCAAAAGATTATTAAATGAGACCTATTTATTAGCAAATTATTTTAATCCAGCTTGAGTTAATATTTTTGCCTCTAAATTAAACTTGAAGTAACGAGTAATATCTGTATCAAAGATGTGCAATGTTTATTCCTCCTTTATTATATGACAAATAAACTTGATCAAAATCATTTATTATTGAGTCTCCAATTCGTCTCCAGGCAGTGTCATTTGACAATTCGCTTTCATAGATTGATCCATTTTACATTCAATTAAATACAGTCTCTCTGCACTTATAAGAATCTTGCTGTTATCAGCTTGAAAATCATAAGGAATTGTTGCGAAAGTGTTGCTACCAATTGAATACCTCAAAAGATTTTTATTTTACATCCAGAAATCACAATATTCCCGTTAAATATTACACTAGTGCAACGCTAATCAGCTTGTGGCAGTGGCTTCTAATTTAATTCATCGGTTTTCATTTAAATCAAATCTCTCTGATAGAGTTAAAGTCTCATTCTATCTCTTCCTCCAAAGCAATAAACACTATTATTGAAATAGATAGCTGATGAACTATAGCAAGGAGTTCCAGATGGCAGCTCCCGAACTCTATAATTCTCATCAATTATCAATGAAATCCAGAAACTGGGTTTCTATTACCAAAGCAAAATAAATTACCATTAGGAAGCTGAGCAATGCAAGTGCCGCAATCCAGTGGTAGAGGAGTCTCTACTATCCTGACTTCTTTACTATCATTTTCTGTATCATAAATAATCAAATTAGTTCTGTTGTTATCTCTTATAATTGTATAAAGAGATGCTTTTTGGCGATAAGCATTAGTATAATCTTGATAAGCTTGCTGGAGAGTTGGATCATCAAGATAGATATCTCTTCTGTGACTTGAGCAGGTTCTCCTAAAGTCTTGCTCTAATTCTGGGTCATTTGGTCTATTTAAAATTTCAGATCTCTTCTCTCTTAGCTCTCTTGAGACTTTTGGGCTTTTTCTGATTTCATTGATTTTGCTGAGATCTTGATTTATGTTAATTATTTGAGAATTAAGCAGATCTATTTCGTTTTTTGATTTAAGCATTATTTCTTCTTTCCAGTCTTTGAGGTCTCTCTCGCTTTTTTTATTCTCATTTATCAGCTTGGAAATAGAGTCTTTGAGGTCTCTCTCGTTTTTATTATTCTTATCTATCAGCTTAGAAATAGAGTCTTTGAGGTCTCTCTCGTTTTTTTTATTCTCATTTATCAGCTCAGAAATAGAGTCTTTGAGATCTCTCTCGTTTTTTTTATTCTCATTTATCAGCTTCGAAATAATGTCATTGATGTTTGCTAGCTGATCATCCGTTGAATCAATGATATTTTTATGCTCTTCATTGGCTGATTTAATGTGCTCTTGAAGACTGTTTTCTATATTAGACAGTCTTTTATCTAAATAAGCTTCAAATTTATCCCCAATAAAACACTCAATCATTTTTTCAATTTTTTCACTGAGCACACAAAATAATTTTGCACTTTTGGACGATTCTTGATTGGCTGGAATAATCCGCTTTAGTTTATCAATAGCTTCATCAGGCTGTAAAGTCAATAGTCCTAAAATCGGGTCTTGCTCTGATTTTGATAATTTTTGAGCTTGAGAAATTTTTGTAAAATAATTGCTTATTTCAACTGAGCTTGAATCCAGATTTTTTAAGAGTTCCATCATGTCACTTTCTGATTCAAGTAAGCGCTTGCTAAAGGATGCTAAGATCTTTCCTCTTAGCTTACTATTTTTTGAGTTTTCACTTGTAAGAAACTTAAGAATTTCTTCTTTTGTCTCTTTACATGACTCTACAAAAATGGAGTTGCGATTATGAGCTCTATTAGGGATTTTCATATGCTTACCAACATGCACTTCACAAGATAGACTTTCAGGAGAGGTGCATGGGCATGAGTATTCAACCTCATTCTTGCACCCTGGCTCGAAACAATGCATAAGCTCCATTAATTATTATAATGCAAGCTAAATTTTATAAATATCTGCTATATAGTTAATAACACAAGAGCATTAGATGAGTTTTTTGAGCCTCTTAATAAGGCAGTGAAGATATTGATTTTTCTTTCAAGTTAAACTGACAGCGTCTAATGTGACTACCATTATAAAGGGCTGCAATATTCTCTTCTTTTTCTTATAACAGAGCTTAAAGTTTTAATACATTCAAAATGCATGTGCCTTAACTGGAGAAGGGCTTTGTAAAGGATTTAATTGACTTTCAGATGAAATTTTGAGCCAAATTTATTAATTTAGGAATTAATTAAAATCTGATAATCTAGTTCTTAGTATAGATTCGATAAAACTTAATGAATTGGAAATTTGGGTAACCATTGAGTCATTTTTGTCTAAGATTTTAGCATTATAGTCTATTCTGTGTAAGTCTTATATATGCTGAATTAGGATGAAATCTTCATTGATAATGCGCAATGTATTGGAGATAAAATAGCTGGAAAGCAAGCTCTCTAGAATTTTTGAAGGAAATTTCAAAAACAGTTATCCTATTTTTAAGGAAGAGAAAAATCAGGCCACTATGAAGGATTATAACAGTAATATGACATATAATAGAAAATTATCTTAAAGGTATAATATTCATTATGGGAACTTCAGCGTCCTGTCTTTGGAGCAGAAACACTGGGCATAAAGAAACATGTATAATTATGATTGGGCTTGATGGCGCAGGGAAAACAACGATTCTTTATCAAATCAAGCTTGGAGAAACTTCAACATATATCCCAACAATTGGATTCAATGTTGAAAGTATCAACTATAAAAATATACAATTTTTAGTGTGAGATATTGGAGGACAAGAGAGAATCAGAGTTTTTTGGCCTAATTATTATGAAACCACTGATGCTGTCATTTTTGTTGTAGATTCGAGTGACATAGAAAGAATTGAAGAAGCTAAATACGAACTCCACAAAGCAGCGAATAATAGTATCCTTAGAAATGCAGCATTCCTCATTCTTAGCAACAAAAATGATTTGCCCGGGGCATTAGGAGTCTCAGAGTTAATTGATAAGTTAGATCTATATCTGATTAGAGGCAGAAATTGGTATATTCAAAGTACTTGTGCAACGACTGGAGATGGGCTTTATGAAGGGTTAGAATGGCTTTGAAATGCAGTTCTTAGTAGAAGGGCATAAGAATAAAATTGTATCTCTGTGAAAATACCTTAATTTTCTAATATGCAATGCTTAAAGCAGATTTTTAAATAAAATTTTTAACCTATTAAATAATACTTAAATATGCCTGATAATATATTTTATTTCTTTCTAATTAAATATTCACAGATAGCAGCAAAAATAATAATTAGTTAGAAAATTTGCCAAATTATAAAAATTAAAAGTATTAAACTGAACTATACAAGTTTTATAAACCCATTGGCAAATAATTTTAGAATTATTAATTATCTTCTATAAAATTATTAATTATATCAAATTTATATGTTAAATTTTTTTTTGTACTTAATTTTCCTAAAGGTAGCATCATTATAATGGTTTTGACGACTCTTAAAGCGGGGAGGTTATGTTATTTAAAATCAGGCATTAGTCATATTGGTGGCACAGTCACCAAAGACCTCTTGTATGAAAAGGTTCTACCGCTTTTCGACTAGAGCCTAGAGGGTTTATCCCCCGAAAACGTGTGCCCACTATTAGTACCTTCTGTCTCCTTCTTTCATTGCGACTTCAGTCTTGAGTTTATGGATTTCTGCGGCTCCGCCACGGTTGATTGGAGTAGCTTGATTCCAAAAATCCTAGGAGTCTGTCGGGTGCTGAAGTGCCTCCCTTCTATAGCTGCAGCAAAAAGACTACTCCCTGCGGCCTGGGACAAAACCAGTTTCTTGGTAGAGGAATCCTCGGGTTAAAAGGACATTGCTGAGCACCTCCATTTCCAACCACAGGAAAGCAGCCAAAAGCTACCCGGACACATCTCTTCCTGCACTTGATTCTCGATTTGGAGTCTGTCCCAGTTCGTTTTGGCCATAAATTCTATACTGTTGCGCCAAGAGGGAATTTGGCACGTATCGCTATTTTAATGTATCCTTATAGAGGGGAGTTTTAATTTCTAATAAAACGCAAATCAATAGTTATTTTTATTACTGCTTATTAGGATAAGTACTTAAATGTCTAAGATCTCAGTATTATTTATTCTATGCTTACTATTGCACACGAATGTAGGAGGATCTTTACATGCATTTATAAAATAATTTTTGCTAGCCTTTGCTCTCAAATATTATTATAAAGCTGGCTATTAATTCATTTAATGATATGTTCAAAAATTATGAGATGAGTCTAAAAAGTAAGTTAACCTTCTTTGCATACCCAATAAAATATTTTATATTTAAATAATAAAATTTAAGTCAAGAAAACTAGGCTTAGTATTTTAAAATAATTAATTTAGCCATTATATCAAAATGAATGGTGGTCCATTAGTGATTTTTCAAAGATTTTTGCCTCTTTCAGCTTCTTTTCTCTTAAATTAAATGAATAAGCACATTGATAAGTTGCAATATAAATTGTTTCTTTATAGCAAATGGGGTATCCACAAACGGCTGCACAATCACTAATTAATGAGCATTCTCCAATATTATTTCAAGTCATTAAATCATCGTCACTCTCATATATAAATTTCGAAAATTCAAATAAAAATACCTTTTCGCCTATAGCAAAAAATTGTTTATGAACTTTAGGTGCTAACTTTATTGTTAAAATTTCTGAATAAGAGTCTGTAATAGTATCATAAAAGATAGGATTCTCGCTATCAGATGCTATTAAAATTTTGGTTTTGAATAATGTGCACAAGGCTCGATTTTCAATAGGAAAAGTATATTTACTAAGTGAAAACCATCTATTTTTATCCATGTCGAATTTTACTGCAACTTCATGAGATCCGCCAAAAATATAGATTCTTCCATCAACATAAATTGCTCCTGCATAGTAGCATATACAATAAGGTGCAATATTTCTTGAATTTCCCAATGGGTCAATAATTATTCAAGTATCATTTCAAGCATAAAACAAGCTACCATGTGGAATTAAGCATCCAAATCCATCACAGTTAAGCTCTTTATTGTAATTATAACTAAATTTTTTTATCTTTAAGTTTTCCGCATCAAAAATTGCGAATTTGTTTGGAAATCCTCTACATACAAATTTAATTACTCGAGTAATAGGAGAATAGCGCTCACGGTAATCGAAACTGTTTTCCGATCGCTCTAATTTAAATAATTCAGCTATTTTATGTTCCCCGATACTTTTTATCTCAAGTTTTGGAGACCTGATTTTTTCAGTCACAAGTTTGCAGCCAGACAGTAATGTTTCGAGAAAAGAGAGTGGCTTTGAATTATCAATTTCTCTTAAAGTGCAAATTTCTGAAATAATTTCGTTTATTTTTTGATCATAAATTTTAAGCTTTTCTAAAGTATTTTCAGATGCTTTATGGATTTGCTGAACAAGAGAGCGTTCTTCATTGATTATTCTTATTTTGTCAGCTTTTATATCTGATTTTATTTTAGAATATAGCTGAATAGCAGATAAAACTGTTTCTTGCTTGATGTCTGACGAATTATTTTGACTCCCCTTTAAAGCATAAGTAAAACCATTGGAAAAATCTTGCCCGCTCTAAAAGGAAAATCAGCTTTTGGCAGTTGAGAATAATCAGATTTATGTTTCCTAAATAAAAGAATAGGTTTTGCTTCAGACATGCCAAAAAAGATTAAATATTAGTATGTCTTTGATTAAGCTTAAATTAAAATGCAGATAACTAGAAGTGATAAAGTTTTATTCTTGGATCTAAATAAAAATAAAATTCTTTCCTTATGGATAAGTTTACTTGAAAAAAAAATTTTCGCTTAAATCTAGCATAAATGCAAAAACACTTCTTTCAGAATTAGCACACTATATTGCTTTCTCCTTCTACATAAAAAATTATTGAAACTTATATTTCGAAAATAGAAGAGAAAATCTGTTACACAAATAATGAACAGGCAATTTTAATGATTTTAAAATATAAACATTATTCTTTAAATGGCATAGGCTAAGAATTAAATTAAGCAAGACTTATGTTAATTAGATTTTAATTATGTTGCTTTACTATAAAATTAAGACTAAAATAATAATTTTAGTGCCAAAATTAAAATTCTTTAGGGAATTTTAAAGGTTTTTAATTTGTCTACTGTATTTTCTTTTAAGTTAAATGAATAAGCAAAATGTGAAGTTTCGATATAAATTGATTCTTGATAAAGCACAGGGTAACCAAGTACAGTCTCATTATTTGATATTATTCAGCAGTGTCCAATATTATTTCACGTTATTAAGCTATCTTCACTTTCATATATAAATTGCGAAAATTCTATTAAGAATAGTTTTTCGCTTTTAGAGCAAAACAATTCAGATGTGCCAGAACATAGCTGTATAGATAAAATTTTTGAGTAAAAGTCTGCAATTGTATCATAATAAATAGGAGTAGCACTTAAGGACGCTATTAAAATTTTGCCCTTAAATAGACAGCATATAATGCGATTCCCAATAGAAATTGAGCATTTACTAACTACGCCTGTCTGCTTATAAAAAGGTTTATTTTATAGGTTTATAAGGGTTTAGCTGAATTTACCCGGCTGAAGTAAATTCCGCCGCCCTTAAAACCGTTCAGGGTAAAATCCGCCATACAAATTGCAACGGTTTTTTCACAAACTGGCCGAATTTACCCTTGAAATTCAACAAGAGTTTAAAATAAACAAATTGAATTAGTGGAACTTTTGCTCCTCCAAAATTAAATTTAGTCTTTGTTGAAATTTTGAGAAGGCTCCCGGCTTTGAGATTAATGTCTCAAGGTAAATACAAATTATCACTATGTCTTAGAAGTATCAAGTCTATAAATTTTTCGAAGTCTCGATTGTAATTTTCTTTAATGGTGATGTCTGGAATAAAAGAGGTTGGATTAAAAGACTTCAATGAAGCTGCCATTCAACTTATTTTCCCCAATTGCAGGGTCATCTTCAAAATTTTCAATGCTTGAGCCTACTCAATCATTTTTCTCAAATTCCAGTAATTTGTTTGTGCTGCTATATATTCAAAAATGCTTTGCTTTCAATTTTTCACACCTCATTAAAGCTAAGCTCTGCTAAGAAAGAGAAGAGAATATTGCAGCCCTTTATGATGTTAGTCATATTAGACGCTGCCAGCTTAACTTGAAAGAAAAATCATTATCTTTACTGCCTTATTAAGAGGCTTAAAAAACTTATTTAATGCTCTTGTGCTAGCTATATAGCAGATATTTATAAAATTTAGCTTGCATTATAATAATTAATGGAGCTTATGCATTGTTTCGAGCCAGGGTGCAAGAATGAGGTTGAATACTCATGCCCATGCACCTCTCCTGAAAGTCTATCTTGTGAAGTGCATGTTGGTAAGCATATGAAGATCCCTAACAGAGCTCATGCTTGCAACTCCATTATTGTAGAGCCATGTCAAGAGACAAAAGAAGAAATTCTTAAGTTTCTTACAAGAGAAAACTCAAAAAATAGCAAGCTAATGGGAAAGATCTTAGCATCCTTTAGCCAGCGTTTACTTGAATCAGAAAGTGATATTAGAGAACTCTTAAAAAATTTGGATTCAAGCTCAGCTGAAATAAGCAATTATTTTACAAAAATTTCTCAAGCTCAAAAATTATCAAAATCAGAGCAAGACCCGATTTTAGGACTATTGACTTTACAGCCTGATGAAGCTATTGAGAAATTAAAAAAGATTATTCCAGCCAATCAAGAATCGTCCAAAAGTGCAAAACTATTTTGTGTGCTCAGTGAAAAAATTGAAAAAATGATTGAGTGTTTTATTGGGGATAAATTTGAAGCTTATTTAGATAAAAGACTGTCTAATATAGAAAACAGTCTTCAAGAGCACATTAAATCAGCCAATGAAGAGCATAAAAAGATCATTGATTCAACGGATGATCAGCTAGCAAACATCAAAGACTCTATTTCTAAGCTGATATAAATGAGAATAAAAAAAACGAGAGAGATCTCAAAGACTCTATTTCTGAGCTGATAAATGAAAATAAAAAAAACGAGAGAGACCTCAAAGACTCTATTTCTAAGCTGACAAATGAGAATAAAAAAAGCGAGAGAGACCTCAAAGACTGGAAAGAAGAATTAATGCTTAAAACAAAAAACGAAATAGATCTGCTTAATTCTCAAATAATTACAATAAATCAAGATCTCAGCAAAATTAATTAAGAATGCTCAAATGCCTCAAGAGCTAAGAGAGAAGAGATCTGACATTTTAAACAGACCAAATGACCCAGAATTAGAGCAAGACTTTAGGAGAACCTGCTCAAGTCAGTAGCGATCTCTATCTTGATGATCCAACTCTTCAGCAAGCTTATCAAGATTATACTAATGCTTATCGCCAAAAAACATCTCTTTATACAATTGATAGAGTATAACAACAGAACTAATTTGATTATTTATGATACAGAAAATGATAGTAAAGAAGTCAGGATAGTAGAGACTCCTGAACCACTGATTATTTCACTTGCATTGCTCAGCTTCCTAATGGTAATTTATTTTGCTTTGGTAATTGCCCAGATTCTGGGATTTCATTGATAATTGATGAGAATTATAGAGTTCGGGAGCTGCCATCTGGAATTCCTTGCTATGTCATCAGCTATCTATTTCAATAATAGTGTTTATTGCTTTGGAGGACAAAATAAAATTAGATCCTTTAACTCTATCAGAGAGATTTGATTTAAATGAAAACCGATGAATTAAATTAAAGCCACTGCCACAAGCTGATTACTGTTGCACTAGTGTAATATTTAACGGGAATATTGTGATTTCTGGTAAAGATAAATAAAAATCTTTTGAGGTATTCAATTGGTAGCAACACTTTCGCAACAATTCCTTATGATTTTCAAGCTGAAAAATACAAGATTCTTATAAGTGCAGAGAGACTGTATTTAATTGAATGTCGTTGGATCAATCTATGAAAGCGAATTGTCAAATGACACTGCCTGGAGACGAATTGGAGACTCAATAATAAATATCTTTTCTCAAGTTTATTTGTCATATAATAAAGGAGGAATAAACATTGCACATCTTAATGATACTATTAGTTACTTCAAGTTTAATTTAGAGGCAAAAATATTAATCAAGCTGGATTAAAATAATTTCCTAATAAATAGGTCTCATTTAATAATCTTTTGCTATTAACTCTTAAAATTTTTTATTGTTTAATCTAGTATTTAAAGTACTTTTAAATCTAAAGTTTGTGAAAAATATCTCGAAAAACTGTTAAAAAGAGAAAAAGGGCTGAATTTATAGCTCCTCAATGGTTTTTCTTCAATGGAAAAACTGATGATTTGTCTTTGCTAAGGCTTCTTGATGAAAACAAAGAAAATTTATCCCCAGAAGATTTTATCTTTCAGAAACTTCTCAATGAAAATGTCTTAATAGAAGCTGAAGAAAGTTTCAAAACAATGAAAAAATCTACAAGCCCACAATATCAGACTTCACGGATGAGATCCTCAACACAGTGAGAGTTCCTCTTACCCCGCTTCTTCCAAAAAGCTTAAAGCAGTTACACCCCCCAAAAGAAATTTCAATAAGAAGTCCCAAAAGCTTCTGTGCTCAGACTCATCTTTTTCAATAAAAAATCTCAAATTTTCAGCAATCATCTCACAAGAGAAAGTCCATACTCTGCCTTCTTTACATAAACTCAGCACAAATAATAGTAGCACTTGACCGGCATGCATCTCATGAGCGTATAAAATTAGAAGAAATCGAGAGAAAGCTGCCTCAACATTTAGAATCTGAAGAATGGATCAAGTTTCAAACTATGAGAAGTCAGCTTTGATTCAGCAAAGCAAAAGACTGTAAAAATGAAAATTCAAAATAACGGCAATTGGGGATGCTCAAGCTTTAACACAGGTCCCAAAGCTTTTTGGAAAGGTTTTATGACAGCCAGAGCTGCTGTAAGTGTTCATACCCAATCGTTAATCCCTAATTCAATTTTGACTATCATGAAATCTAAAGCATGCAGAAGCTCAATAAATTTCGGAAACGAAATGACAGTAGAAGAATGCGAAAAAATCTGCAAAGACTTAGAGAACTGAGTTTTTTCTACACATTGCGCACACGGCAGGCCTACAGTTTACCCTTTAATGAAGCTTCCTCCTTATATCTCTGAGCTCCCATCTATAAACTTTAGTTTGTAATAATAACGCATACTTTTAAAAATGCATTCTCATCAGAAAAAAGCACTTCTCAGCTGCTCTGGGAATAATGCAGCTGCTTTGGATTTATGGGCACCTTTACATATGAGGCAAAAGCACAACTAGTGTCGAAGAAGCCCCTCTATCCCTTACATGTGAATCTGCAGCATCAGCCAAGGTTAGAACGTTTTACCTCCCAGCTCGGTTTCAGTGACCGTGAAATGACCTACATAGAATTACCTATCCCGCTTAAGCTAAAACACTACGTTTACCACATTCTTGCTGATCAAGTCGCCTGTGGGCTCAATTTTACTTGCATTATTGGAAATGAAAAAGTGACTTTTGGCATTTTCAAGACTGATGAGGAGGAAGAAGAAGGAAAAGAAGAAGCCCAAGAGGAAGCTAAAGACAAAGTAGAAGACCCTTTTGACTATGAAATAGCAGATGATGACTGCAAGCCTACAAAGGCAGCTCTTGATAATTTGAGATCTCCTAAAACAAGCGTATCTTTAGAAGAAATCATAATTGTTGGAAAGCATCTGAAGTGTGAAATAGCCGGGCATTTGAGTGAACACAAACATATGTGAATGAAAATGATGTGGATATCGGCCCAATCTTTGAGCTTTAGTAGCCGGCGCCTTATTTGGCAGAGGACATTGACAAAAAATCATGGACCCGGATCGAGGTTTTACTGACGCAGGTTGAGTTGCGATGCTTATCTGATCAGCCAAAGTCTAATCCTGAGGTAAGTTTTTCCTCATGGGCAAATGGGAAATGAAGTTGGAAGGAGCTATTGCAAAGGTCCTGAGGAGGTTCTTTGGCCAACTGGCCACAGAACAATGCATGGCAACATCTTGTGTTTAACTTTTTTATTTTGTAAATAGCTGACAAGAAATGTAACCTTTTGAATTTTCTGTTGAGGCTGCTATAGCTCATGAACCTTTATGGATCGACCTCATTGAAAATGTAACCGCTCTAATGGACTTCATATCTTGTACACCTTAAACCAGACTCCTCACTATTTAAAAAAATATTAAGATTATAATAAAAAACCCCTAATTTTAAACTAGTTCAATATATTTTTATATATAATTTTTTTAAAATAATTTTTTAAAAAAAATTTTAATAATTCGACAAAATGAAGCCAATGCATATTTTTACGTTTAAAATGGCTCTTCTCTTTATATGTTTTAAAAAATGGTAATTTCGCGGTTAAACGGCTTTGTCCAAATTTGGAAATTAAAAATGGCAAGCCATAAAATATTTGACAAGTTTCGCCAATTTTCAAAAATGGGCCTAATATAAAAATTGAATGTTAATATAAATAAACTCTTGAAATAGCAGCAATTATTTGTTGATTAATTTCCGCTTTTTGGACAAGTGCTCATTTTTAGCATTTTTGTTCGCTATAAGGCCATCTTGATTTTTAAAAGCCACAACAAACTTCCACCTCACGCGGTTTCATTCAGAGCTTAATATTTTAGGTGTTTATAAAGAATATTTGTAGATTCAATTTCCACTTTCTGGACAAGAGCACAAATTTATTTATGTTAATTTTTTGTTCGTTATATCGCCATCTTAATTTTACAAGGCTATGGAAAAACTTTAAATTCTTAATCCACCTCACGCGGTTTCATTCAGAGCTTGATATTTTAAGCGATAATAGTGATTCATTGTAGCTTCAATTTCCGCTATCTGGACAAGAGCACAACTTTATTTTTTTAATTTTTTTTTGTTATATCGTCATCTTGATTTTTCAAAGCCATATTAAAAATTAAATTTCTTAACTTACCTCACGCGGCGTCATCCATAACTTAATAGTTAAAGTATAAGTTGAGCTATTTGGTACCTTTATTTTCTGCTTTCTGGACAAGAGCACAAATTCATTTTTAAACTTTTTTGTTCGTTATGATTTTATAAAGCTTGTTAAAAATTAAAATTCTTAATTCACCTCATGCGGTTTCATCCAGAACTTGATTTTTTATGTATAAGTTAAGCTATTTGGTACCTTTATTTTCCATTTTCTGGACAAGCACAAATGCATTTTTTAAAATTTTTTTTTTTTCGTTATATAGCCATATTGATTTTTAAAAGTTATATTAATAATTAAAATTCTTAATTCACCTCACGCAGTTTTATCCAGAACTTGATATTTAAAGTATTTAATAAGCTATTTGATACCTTTATTTTCCGCTTTATGGACAAGAGCACAAATTCATTTTAGACTTTTTTTATTCGTTATATATCGCCATCTTGATTATTCATAGCAATATTAAAAATTCAATTTCTTAATTCACCTCACACGGTTTCATCCAGAACTTGGTATTTAAAGTATATATTAAGCTAGTTGGTAGCTTCATTTTTTCTTTTTGGATAGAGCACAAATTTATTTTTTGATTTTTTTGTCACAATTTTTTAAAAAGTATCTTAAATTAATTATATTGTAAGCCCGAGGATGGCGCTATCTTGCGCCATCCTCGGGCAATTTAAAAAATGGCCTCACACCGGGAATAGAACCCACGTGTGGGGCCATTTTTGGTTCGTGGAAGTCAACATGCTCCACTTACCAAAAATGGCCCCACACGTGGGTTCGATTCCCAGTGTGGGGCCATTTTTGAATTGCCCGAGGATGGCGCAAGATAGCGCCATCCTCGGGCAATCACTATAATTTTTATATTAACCCCATTTTTAAAAATTGGCTCAACTGCCAAAAAGGGCACACTTGTCAAAAAATATTTTGACTAGCCATTTTAATTTCCAAAATTTGGCCAAACTATTTTACCGCGAAATTGCCATTTTTTAAACATAAAGAGAAAAGAGCAATTTTAAACGTAAAAAAAGCCTTGGCTTCATTTTGTAGAAGAACCTTATGCAAATTATTAGAAATATTCAAAAATTATTTAAAAAAATTATATAAAACTATATTGCATTAGTTTAAAATTAGGATTTTTTTATTATAATCTTAATATTTCTCTAAATAGTGAGGGGTCTGGTCTAAGGTGAACAAGATATGAAGTCCCTAGAGCAGTTACATTTTCAATGAGGTCGATCCATAAAGGCTCATTAGCTATATGCTGACTCTCTGCAGTAACGCAAACTTTTCTACTTTTACTTTCATATGCAGGCCCTAATCGGAAGGAGCAACACTGCGCAAAACTGTTTGCAGATGGTGAGCAAAAGGTGGAGCGGTATGAAGTTTCATGCTACAGTGGGCTACTCTATAATCTTGCGTAATGATCACTGGGTATAATAGTGAATACAAACTTGAAATAATGACGCCTTTTAAGTCGAGCAGGCTAAAAGAAGCAAGCTTTATTAATATCTTGAAAAATCAGATCAAGACTGTGATTCATAAACCTCTATTGGCATTTTTACTTTGCTCAATTGAATGAAAACTTTCTAAAAAGACATAAATTTTATTAACGACGTATTAGGCCGAGACCGTAATGAACTACTCCAAAAAATGCAGATTTTCATAAAATTTGGTAATAATAAGTAGTCATTATAATAATTATATATACCCCGAGCCTCCATTTGGGCAATAGAGCATATGCAACGTATTAGGTTAGGGCACACCTTGAAGTTAATTGAATATGCATACCCGTGTGCTTCTCCTTTAACTTTATGCTGTGAACTGTACTTCGGGAAGCATTTAAAGCTTCATGATTGGCTCATGCCATTGAAAGAATTTATTTAGAGCCGGTTAAAGGGACAAAAAAGCAATTCTTAGATGTTTTACAAAAGAGTAGTCAAAACATAGCAAAAGTCCTAGCATCCTTTTGCTAACGTTTAGTTGAATCAAGAAATGGCTCTGAAGAGCTTTTGGAATCAGTTTCAGATGAGCTAAGCAATTGTTTGACAAAAATTCTCATACGCCTCCTTTAAGAGATTGATTTTTTTTCATGGATTTTGTTTATTTCTTGGATATTAACTAAGCCTTCTTGCGTTGCAGAAAAGTTAATTCAGCTTTAGCTTTGAATTTTCTTAATTTTTCAATATATTCTTAATAATTTATTTCTTTTTCAGTAAATCTTTTCTCTTTCCAATAAATCTTGAGCAAGTCTGGGCGGATCTCGATTCATTAATCTCATAAGTGTGAGTTGGGAGTACCTACTATTTAAATGCACTTCTACAAGTATTATCAAGTACTCCAGATTTTGACCAAAAATTACCTTCAAATTTTAAAAATATTTGCTTCAATGTCAAGAGCTATATCATGAGTCTAACAGAAAGGCAGACTTTCAATTTTTCGCTGAAATAAAAAGCTTCAGCTCTGCTTATTTCATGAATTCTGCATGGTAATAAATACATAGTTTAATGATTACTCAGAAAATGACCCAAAAGAGCTTTATTTATCATTAATAAACCTTTTGTCAGATTACAAGAAAATTATATGCAAACTATGTCACGGTTTTTCGAATCTAGAAGGGCCATCTCTCTTTTGTATTTTGAATAATCTGTTAAAACAAGAAATTGACGAAAATTAAAAGCCATGAAGAAGAAAAAGAGTATAAAGGGGGAATTTTGTTGCATTGTGAAACTTTTGGGATAAATATATCAAACATTTTTGTATAGAAGTTTCCTATGTTTGGCGCTGTAAGGCCGATAAATTCTGATCGGAATTTATCGGTTGGTTGCACCAAATCAATGCCTTGGTCGGACCAAAAAGCGATTTGGTCCGACGAACTTGGAAAGCTCCTGGGAAAATGTCTGCGCTTTCAGCGCTATATAGAGGAAACCTCTATATTTTATATTTGCGAATATGCTCGGCAAAAAAGCTCAAGAAACTTATAATTTCTTTTATTGTAGTGATAAATTTGAGCTGTATGTAGTAATAAGCTATTATAGTAGTTGGTGTAAGCATTATTTACATATAGTTATATAATGCAAAGCGAATAAAATATTGACCATATTAGCTGCTCATCACCTGATTTCGAGCATGCCTATATCTTGTTTTAAAAAATGCTTTTTATGAAGCAATTTTTATCTTTTTAAAAATTTGATGCTTTACCAAGACCCATAAATCATATTTGCATTAACATCGCTGACAAAGAAGACAATTGGGGTACCATGGCGCCCAAAAGTCAATTTATTTGCCTCATCAAAGTTTTTTTTAAAGGCATAAAGGTTTCTGAATAAATAATTTTGGGAAGTCTATTGCATTTTGTTGCAATTTTTCACTTCATTTTCTCTCTTAATGGAAATAGAGCTATAAAACTCATCAAGTAAGCTTGCACGGATTTCATTAAGGATGCATAAATTTTATTAAAAATGAGAAGCAACGCAGTCTCTATGCTTACTCTTCAAACTTAAGCTGAGGGCGTTTCGTTTTGGGTAGTGTAAATGCTCTCTGTCAAGTCTCTGTGAGCATAGACATGTGAATATTTATATCGTATTTTGCTATAAAAAAGTTATCATCTCTACATATAATAAATGCCCGATGATGGCACTCAATGTGCCATCATCGGGCAACCTGTATATGCTCTGGAGTGCTTAGCTGTAAGCTGAGTAAATGCATTTTATGAATTTTCTTATTTTGCCTCGTTCCCCAAACATTAAAACTTTTTTAGTCGAAACAGAATTTGCTAAAATAATGATTTTCTTTCTAGCTACAACCGCAAGGATAGAGTTGTTTGACAAAGAAACTACAGAGCTGCATTTTCATCAAATTCAAGCTTAAACAAAGAGAAAAATCTGATATTGAGACTTTCCCATCAATTATCAAACTTGCAACTCTTTCTTGATGGTAAGAAATTTGTTTAATTTTGCAAGGCTAAGCTCTTTACAGTCATCTGAGCAAGAAATAAGCAAAGAGCAGTCCTCGGTGACCTTCAAGTCATTTATATATTTAGAATGATATTTCGCATATCAGTTTCGTCTATTCTGTGCCCTATCATAGTGCACTTCCCACCCGAAAATAAAATTTTAGCATGTCTAGGCTTGACTTCTAAGGAGGATTTCTCCACAAGCCAGTGCAATACATCTCACACGAGAAGTATGAACTTTAGTCTTTGCAATCGGAGTCTTTAAATAATTTATTTTCCATTGCCGAATCCAATGCCCTTTATGCTGTGTGATTCATAATATTCTCCATTATCTTCATAAGAATCATTGAGATCACTGCGTCTTCAATTTGAGTTTCTTCAACCACTCTACTAGAAGGCAAATCTGCTTTTATTAGCTTCCCACCAGTAAAATAAAGAAGATGGCCTCCATCAGGGCTGATGCTCATTGGCTTTACAGGCACATCTCCGCTTGTTTCAGTCTAGAGTTAGCAATAGTGAAACTATAGTTTCCGCATTCCTCTTTAATATTTTTTTAGTATTTTAATTTCTTTATCTTTAGCAAAAGAAATCAAATTAGATTCATAAGAGCAAAGATAATAGATTTCTTCATTGTGCTCTTCCAGACATGTTTCGGAGCCTATATATTCAGATGAAAGATACTTAAAAACGTTCCCACTTCTTATAGCAATTGCAATTTCAGGATTGATGCCATTAGAAAAAGAAATTTATTGACTTGAAGTGTTTTTATTCCCCTTTCGAGAAGAATTGTGGAGATATGTCTCTTTCATGCAGTCTTTATGGATTTTTTAAAGCTTAATTGTTGCATCTCTGCTTGCAGTAAAAATGTAGTTACTGAAAGGGTTTGGAATGATAAACCTCAGACATTGTCATGCACCTTAAATAATGGCTTTATTATTTCAGCTTCGGTTTAGTCATCTATACTGACTCATTCATTGTCGTCGCCAGCTATTATATATGCTTATTAATAGCAAATTGCTAATATTAGTCTGCTACCAGCACAGTTAATTGGCAAAAGCCCATGATTATCTAGCCACAATCAATGGAATCATCCTTCTGAATTTATGAGACAATTATGTTTTCAAAAGATGAAATCGCTGCAGAATTATTGACTGAGTAAGAATTTAGCTTGTCAAAATCATACAAGTTCTTGGTATTTGTATAGGCTAATTTTTTGACTTTATCATGATTGTTATGAAAAATTGCTATATCCTTTGTGATTTCTAAAGCTGGCGAGCCGACTACAACCCTATCCTCCTTTATTTTGGTTAAGCTGCCTTCTGAGTTCAAATATAGTTATGGCATTAATTCCAGAAAAAGCAAATTATATAAACATTGGTCTTTGGATCTTGCCTTATCTTCATGAAATCTAATCTCCTGTCAAGCGAGCAAGGCGTTATTTGCTGACTTTGAATGATAGATGGACTTATAATGCTTGCATTTCTGCCTATTTCTTTGCTTCTTGCAATCTCAGCTGTCCAAAATTGTTCTTCGACAATTGCTATCACATATAAAAAATTCTTATCAGTTGTAAAACCCAGATATTTTCCATCTGGGCTGAAAGCACTAGAATTCAAGAGCTCACCTATAATGAATTTTAAGTCCAGATGCTTTAGATGTCATTTGACACGTCTTTCTTCTCTAGGTTCTCTTGCTATCCTGCATGATCTACATCATCATAAAAACTTGTAGCGAGTAGTGGAGCTGTTAGAGATATTTTATTATGAAATTGTATAAATCCATAACTTCTACCTATAATAATTATTATCTAATTATTGGCTATTTCTATGATTGCTTATTATATAAAGTTCAACAGGAATTTAAAATAAACAAATTGAATTAGTGGAACTTGTGCTACATCAAAAATTAAATTTAACCTTTGTAGCTAATATAGAAGGTAGCTTTCTGGAGTCGAAATTTTGAGAAGGTTTCGGCTTTGAGATAAATGTCTCTCATATAAGGCCAAAAAAAATTATCACTAATTCTTAGAAGCTTCAAGTCTATAAATTTTTGGAAGTCTCGACTGTAATTTTCTTTAATGGTGATGTCTGGAATAAAAGAGGTTGGATTAAAAGACTTCAATGAAGCTGCCATTCAAATTGTTTTCACAATGACAGGGTCATCTTCAAAATTTTCAATGCTTGAGCCTAGACAGTCATTTTTCTCAAACTCCAGTAATTTGTTTGTGCAGCTATTTATCCAAAAATGCTTTGCTTTCAATTTTTCACATGTCATTAAAGCTAAGCTCTGTTAAGAAAGAGAAGAGAATATTGCATCCCTTTATGATGGTAGTCACATTAGACGCTGCCAGTTTAACTTGAAAGAAAAATCATTATCTTCACTGCCTTATTAAGAGGCTTAAAAAACTTATTTAATGCTCTTGTGTTAACTATATAGCAGATATTTATAAAATTTAGCTTTCATTATAATAATTAATGGAGCTTATGCATTGCTTCGAGCCAGGGTGCAAGAATGAGGCTGAATACTCGTGCCCATGCACCTCTCCTGAAACTCTATTCTGTGAACTGCATCGGTTAAAGCATATGAAAATCCCTAACAGAGCTCATGCTTGCAACTCGATTTTTGTAGAGCCATGCCAAGGGACAAAAGAAGAAATTCTTAAGTTTCTTACAAGAGAAAACTCAAAAAATAGCAAGCTAAGGGGAAAGATCCTAGCATCCTTTAGCAAGCGCTTACTTGAATCAGAAAATGATATTGAAGAACTCTTAAAAAATCTTGGATTCAGGCTCAGCTGAAATAAGCAATTATTTTACAAAAATTTCTCAAGCTCAAAAATTATTAAAATCAGAGCAAGACCCGATTTTAGGACTATTGAGTTTACAACCTGATGAAGCTATTGAGAAACTAAAAAAGATTATTCCAGCCAATCAAGAATGGTCCAAAAGTGCAAAGCTATTTTGTGTGCTCAGTGAAAAAATTGAAAAAATGATTGAGTGTTTTATTGGGGATAAATTTGAAGCTTATTTAGATAAAAGACTGTCTAATATAGAAAACAGTCTTCAAGAGCACATTAAATCAGCCAATGAAGAGCATAAAAATATCATTGATTCAACGAATGATCAGCTAGCAAACATCAAAGACTCTATTTCTAAGCTGATAAATGAGAATAATAAATACGAGAGAGACCTCAAAGACTCTATTTCTAAGCTGATAAATGAGAATAAACAAAACGAGAGAGACCTCAAAGACTCTATTTCTAAGCTGATAAAATGAGAATAAAAAAAAACGAGAGAGACCTCAAAGACTGGAAAGAAGAAATAATGCTATAAAACAAAAAACGAAATAGACCTGCTAGATTCTCAAATCAATTACACTAAATCAAGATCTCTATCAAAAATTAATTGAAGTTTCAGATAAAACCTCAAATGCTTCAAGAGCTAAGAGAGAAGAGATCTGAAATTTTAAATAGACCAAATGACCCAGAATTAGAGCAAGACTTTAGGAGAACCTGCTCAAGCTACAGTAGCAGATGTCTGTGCTTGATGATCCAACTCTTCAGCAAGCTTATCAAGATTATACTAATGCTTATCGCCAAAAAACATCTCTTTATACAATTATAAAGGATTAATGACAGAACTAATTTGATTATTTACGATACAGAAAATGATAGTAAAGAAGTCAGGATAGTAGAGACTCCTAAAGCACTAAATTCTAGCACTTGTATTGCTCAGCTTCCTAATGGTAATTTATTTTGCTTTGGTAATAGACCCATTTCTGGGATTTCATTGATAATTGATGAGAATATATAGTGTTCGGCAGCTGCCATCTGGAACTCCTTGCACATACTCATCAGCTATCTATTTCAATAATAGTGTTTATTGCTTTGGAGGAAATGATGATTATGATCCTTTAACCCTATCAGAGAGATTTGATTTAAATGAAAACCGATGAATTAAATTAAAGCGACTGCCAAAAGCTGATTCAAGTTGCACTAGTGTAATATTTAACGGGAATATTGTGATTTCTGGAAGGAATAATAAAAATCTTTTGAGATATTCAATTGGTAGCAACACTTTCGCAACAATTCCTTATGATTTTCAAGCTGAAAAAGACAAGATTCTTATAAGTGCAGAGAGACTGTATTTAATTGAATGTGAAAATGGATCAATCTATGAAAGCGAATTGTCAAATGACACTGCCTGGAGATGAATTGGAGACTCAATAATAAATGATGATTTTGCTCAAGTTTATTTGTCATATAATAAAGGATGAATAAACATTGCACTTGATGCTAGTTACTTCAAGTTTAATTTAGAGGCAAAAATATTAATCGAGCTGAATTAAAATAATTTCCTAATAAATAGGTCTCATTTAATAATCTTTTTAAAATTTTTTATTATTTAATCTATTATGCAAGTTGACACGTGCTGCCATTTTAATGTATTCTTAAAGGGGGAGAGTTTTAATTCTAATAAACGAAATCAACAGTTATTTTTATTACTGCTTATTAGGATAAGTACTTAAATTTCTAAGATCTCAGCATTATTTATTTTATGCTCACAATTGTACACAAATGTAGGAGGATCTTACATGTATTTATTAATTAATTTTGCTAGCCATTACTCTCAAATATTATTATAAACTCGCTATAATTCATTAATGATATATTCAAAAATTATGAGGTGTGTCTAAAAAGTAATATATTAAACGTCTTTGCATGCCCAATAAAATATTTTATATTTAAATAATAAAATTTAAGTCAAGAAAACTAGGCTTAGTATTTTAAAATAATTAATTTAGCCATTATATCAAAATGAATGGTGGTCCATTAGTGATTTTTCAAAGATTTTTGCCTCTTTCAGCTTCTTTTCTTTTAAATCAAATGAATAAGCACATTGATAAGTTGCAATGTAAATTATTTCTTTATAGCAAATGGGGTATCCACAAACAACTGCATAATCTTTAATTAATGAGCATTCTCCAATATTATTTCAAGTCATTAAATCATCGTCACTCTCATATATAAATTTGGAAAATTCAAATAAAAATACCTTTTCACCTACAGCAAAAAATTGTTTATGAACTTTAGGTGATAACTTTATTGGTAAAATTTCTGAATAAGAGTCTGTAATAGTATCATAAAAGATAGGATTCTCACTAGAAGATGCTATTAAAATTTTGGTTTTGAATAAAGTGCAAAAGGCTCGATTCTCAATAGAAAAAGAATATTTGCTAAGTGAAAACCATCTATTTTTATCCATGTCGAATTTTACTGCAACTTCATGAGATCCTCCAAAAATATATATTTTTCCATCAAAATAAATTGCTCCTGCATGGTAGCATATAGCATAAGGTGTAATATTTCTTGAATTTCCCAATGGGTCAATAATTATTCAAGTATCATTTCAAGCATAAAACAAGCTACCATGTGGAATTAAGCATCCAAATCCATCACAGTTAAGCTCTTTATTGTAATTATAACTAAATTTCTTTATATTTAAGGTTTCCGCATCAAAAATAGCGAATTTGTTTGGAAATCCTCTACATACAAATTTAATTACTCGAGTAATGGGAGAATAGCGCTCACAGTAATCGAAACTGTTTTCCAATGGTTCTAATTTAAATAATTCAGCTATTTTATGTTCCTTAATACTGTTTATCTCAAATTTTGGAGACCTGATTTTTTCAGTCACCATTTTGCAGCCAGACAGCACTGTTTCGAGAAAAGAGAGTGGCTTTGAATTATCAATTTCTCTTAAAGTGCAAATTTCTGAAATAATTTCGTTGATTTTTTGTTCATAAATTTTGAGCTTTTCCAAAGTATTTTCAGATGCTTTATGGATTTGCTGGACAAGAGAGCGTTCTTCATTGATTATTCTTATTTTGTCAGCTTTTATATCTGATTTTATTTTAGAATATAGCTGAATAGCAGATAAATTGTTTCTTGCTTGATTTCTGAAGAATTATTTTGAGCTTTTGTCAGTTGAGAATAATCAGATATATGGTTCTTAAATAAAAGAATAGGATTTGCTTCAGACATGCCAAAAAAGATTAAATATTAACATGTCTTTGATTAAGCTTAGATGAAAATGCAGATTACTAGAAATAATAAAGTTTTATTCTTACAATCCCCAAATGAAAACAAAATTCTTTCCTTATGAATAAATTTACTTGCAAAAGATATTTCGCTTAAATCTAGCAGAAAATTTAAAAACACTTCCTTTCAGAATTAGCACGCTATATTGCTTTCTCCTTCTGCATCACAAAAGTATTGAAACTTATATTTCGACAAAAATAGAAGAGAAAATATGTCTCACAAATAATGAACAGGCAATTTAATGATTTTAAATATAAACACTATTCTTTAAATGGCATAGGTTAGAAATTAAATTAAGCAAGAATGATGTCAATTAGTTATTTCTAATAACTAAGATTTTAACTAAAATAATAATTTTAGTGCCAAAATTTGGTCTTCTAAAACTCGTTAGGAAATTTTTAAAGGTTTTTGATTTGTCTACTTTATTTTCTTTTAAGTTAAATGAATAAGCAAAATGTGAAGTCTTGATAAAGCGCGGGATAGCCAAGCATAGTTTCATGATCTGATATTATTCTGCAGTGTCCAAATTTATTTCACGCTATTAAGCTATCATCACTTTTATATATAAATTGCGAAAATTCTATTAAAAATACTTTTTCGCTTTTAACGCAAAACAATTTAGATGTGTCAGAACATAGCTGTATTGATAAAGGAGTAGCACTTAAGGACGCTATTAAAATTTTGCTCTTAAATAGACAACATATGTGCGATTCCCAATAGAATTTCTAAGCTTATAAAAATTGCACATTAGAAAATTAAGATTATGAGAAAATTAAGGGTATTTCACATAAATAAAAACTTATATTATGTGCTTCTACTAATAATTGCATTTGAAAGTCATTCTAACCCTTCATTAAGCCCATCTCCAGTAATTGCACAAGTACTTTGAATATATGCTATTATTAATTAAATTCAAAAAAGATATATAGAATCATTTATATCATAATTCTTTAAAAAACTGATTAAAATTTTATTTTTGATATATATTATAATATAATTAATTTGCCATGCTATACCAATTTTTGCCTCTAATCGGATATAGATCTAACTTATCAATTAACTCTGAGACTCCTAACGCCCCGGGCAAATCATTTTTGTTGCTGACTCTTCACTCTTTTCTTATTGGGATTTGCAATTTATACATCTCCAATTTTTATGAGTTTTTCTTATAAAATTTATAGTTTTTAATAATTTTTTATTTACATTGCAATCTGGGAGGATAAGAATAAGGATGTTGAGTTTCTAAGGCTACTATTATTCGCTGCTTTATGTAGTTCGTCTTTAGCTTCTTCGATTCTTTCCATGTCACTCGAATTTAAAACAAAAATAATAGCATCGGTGTCGTCATAATAATAATAATAATGATACCACAGAACTCTGCTTTTCTCTTCTCCTCCTATATCTCACACTAAAAATTGTATTCCACTATATAGCTTCAGAAATAATTTAATGGATATTTTCTCTATTTTTTACCAAAAATTCAAATTATTAAAAAAATTCTTGTCCTAATCATTCTAACTTAGATTATATTTTTATATCTAAGATTTTCCTCATTGGGCCCATTTGTTGAGACTAATACTAAAGTTTCTCCAATCTTTAATTTATAAAAAATCGTTGTTTTCCCTGCGCCATCAAGCCCAATCATAACTATACGTAAATCTTCGTGCCTGGTAAATCTACTCCAAAGATGCGATACTGAAGTTTCCATAATGAATATTATACCTTGTAAGATAATTTTCTAAAAACGCATCATATTATAATTATCATCCTTCATATTGGGTCAATTTTTCCATTCCTTAGCATCATTATACTCCCCCTCGTGAGCGAACAAAAAAATTTTGTTCACTCACAGAGTGAATTATTTTTTAATAAATTTTTTTTCGAAACTTAAAAAATCCCAATTCTCAAAAATTGGAAATAAAAAAAATATTTAAATTTATGTTTTAAAATTTAAGCTAAGCTATTTAAAATTAAACAGAATTGGCTCAATTTTCGATGTAATAATTATCACTTATATATCAATTATTTTTCATAAAAATTTTTGTTCACTCACGGAGGGTTTTTGGGAAAAAATATTCAACTAAATTTTGCCCAATTTCGCTTTAGATAATTCTTTTTCTAAAATTTTTAATAAATTCAGTAATTTTCATGCACTTTTTGCATTTAAGTATCTCATTGTTTTGACAGATATGAATTATTCCTTTTAGTTCAAGCATCAAAGTCATGCAGCCTATTGAGTTTTCACTATTAAAATTCAATTTATTTTATTTAAAACAAATTATAACTTATATAATTTCACACAATCGCAAATATTTATTGGGCTATTTTATTAAGCAATACTTCTCAGACATTTCGCTTTAGTGTTCTCATAAAATTAAATGATCTTCATTATTTTTAATTTTTAAATGGCTTCTAAAATGATCATAGATCGTCATAAAAATACAAAAGAGGCACTTCTTGAATTTCTTATTGATGAAAAATCCAGACAAGAAAAATCAAAATCAATACTACTTAAAATTTTCAAAGAAAATCAACACTCTTCTAAAAGCAGCCTTAAAGAATTATTAAATAAATTGAATTCCAACATTTTAGTGCTGGATTATTATTTTACTAAATTCCTCAATAAAAAAAGAAATAAAAAGTAGCGTTGACAGAATTGGTCTACGAGTCGCACTACCTAAGGAGCAGGCAGAACCTATACTGATAAAGCTGAAAAAGAGGCATCTATCCCTTTATAAGTATGACTTCAGGTATGGGAAGCCTTGCCGAAGAGGGAAGCTTTGCTTCTCCCCCTAAGATTTCCTGTATCTGTCATGCGGAGCCAGGCTTTGCCTCTTCATCTATACGGACTATCGGAGTAGAGGGTGGCTCAATCTAGAGTGCTCTAAGCCTTATCAGTAAAAAGAGGGTGGAATTTTGGTTGGAACTTATATCATTTGCACTTAGGTGTGCACGCTTACAGCGTAGGCCATCTTGTCTGAAGTCAAATAGTCTGGGTAATGGAGCCGTACTTATGGCCGCATAAATTGTAATCCTAATCTAATCAATTTAAAATAAAGATAAAGGTATTAGGATTAGTTAGCTAATAAGCCAAATGCTCAAACCATATTGGCCACTAAAAATGGTGATGTAGTGGGTCCGACACCACGCCGGTGAAGTTCTGGTCGTAGCTTCCTAATAAGCTAGTTCAGGGCCTGTGTGTTTTTTCTTTACTTTCCCTTCAGCAGAGTTTCACTACCTGTCCTCCTCCGAGAGCAGGCTTCTGTTGTTGCCCAACGACTCATGATGCGGCCTATAGCCGTCCCTGCAACGCATCCCGGAGAAAAAGCCGAAGCAGAAAAAACTCCTGGGGAAGCCTTCCAGCACAAGTGCGACCTAAATCTCGTGCTCAGGCGCTTGCAGTACCACCTTCCTGGAGAGAGTCCTGTGTAATATCTTTAAGCTTACACCATTTTTAATGCTCTCCAATTTAAAATATGAAGATATTTTTATATAAAAATTAAAAAAAATTATTTTTAGATAAGAGAGTAAGATTTTTGAAGACCAAAAAATAGTAAAATTAGAGGATGGCTCAGAATTGAACTTTTTAAGCTTAGACCCTCAAGAAGCTACAGAGATAATGAAGACGAAGGTTCTTGCAAATTCTTATGGCGATATTGAGATATTTTGTGGCTTAGACGTGGAAATAGAGAAAATTATTGGGAACTTTGTAGAAAATAAACTTTTAGATTTAAAAACTTCGATAAAGGAGGAGCTTAGAAATGATTTTGAAAATGAAAAGAAAAAAGCTGATGAAGAGATTGCCAATCTGAATAAAGAAATAGGCAAACAAACTGAGCTTATAAATGAACTATATACAAAAATTAATAGTCTTCCTATGACTCATCAAAATAAAAAATCATATAATTGGCCATGATACTTTACAGTCAGCATTTTGCTTCTCCTTGTTTTGGTTTGCTTTAGTCCATTTAAAAATACAAATCCTACTTTAGTAGGCATAAAAACCAATTTTAGTAGTTCTTCAAGCAACTCTGGCAGCCTATCACAAGATCTAACTAGCCCTTCAGCAAAAACTGACTCTTTAAATGTTTCAGGTACTCCAGGAATTTATGATACTTCAACAAAAGCTGATTCTTCAAGTATTTCAGATCAATCAGATGGTCGCTCAAATAACCACATTGATGATCTGAGTAATGCTCCTGCAAAATCAGCTGATGACTCAGAAAATCTTCCTTATAGCTCTGTAATTGAAACTAATGAATTGATAATTTGCTCTCAAAGATCTAGACAAATATAATAAATTCCATATTTTTTAAAACCCCTAAAAATAGAAAGCTATTTTTTAATATCAACGTGTTAAAATTTGACAATTTATCAAGGAAAATCTCTAAAATATATATGAAACTATATATTCAGTTGACGTAAAGACCTTTAAAGCGATTAGTTTGAGCTTAGGCCCATGCTATGGGCTATATAGCAATGTATTTATCCCTACTACTAATTCAACTTTATTTTATGGCGAGTTCATGCATAAAAATTTAGATATAAATGCATTTATTCTTGACGCAGAAAAGAAAATAACGAAACTTATTTGGGCGCAAGAAAAATTGTTTCCTAGCTTGGCTTATTATGAAAATTATGTATTCTTTTACACCTAAACGGGGTAAGTAATTTAAAGCCTTAATGAATTAATAGGGTTTGCTCTATTAATTATAAGCTATTCATCATAAAAATGTATATATGCATTTGGTAACTCAGTATCAGCGAAATACAACTGCTTACAAAATAAATGGGAAAATCTCGCTCATCTTGGACTTGACCTTTATGGTCGCCAAAGCTCTTCTGTTGGATTTAAAGGACATATTTTGATAGTTGAGCGCACTCTTTCATCACTTATAAGCTATGATATTGAACAAAATAGCTTTCAAAAAGTTGCAGGCTTATCTTTAGATTGGAGAGCAAATAAAATTATATTTTCAGCAGATAATAGAGTCTATATAATTGAATTTCCTGGGCGCATTCATCAAAGTGTGATAATTTACAGAAAATGGACGTGAATCCGCTCTATTAGTAGCTGGTGTCTTGGCATGGTTTTTAAAATATGGCATAGAGGATTTTTGAGAGGAATGAGCTCAGGCGTACTGATTTGAGCTTTAATTCCTCGTTCCCTTTAAAAGTAGTACCTAGTGAGTTCAATTATAGAGAGAATTATATTAGTTTGTAGAGCTCACCCAAATAGTGGAAACTGTTGAGCATTTTCTTCGAATTCTCAAATAAGAAAATCATTGTGAGGGCTTTCACATTCAAAAGGCCTCAAAGCAGTCTGGCTCAGCTTGGATTAGAAATGGAGCCAGTTATTGGCTCCAGGTCAGAATTAAAAAATTATTTCATCTACAAGGTAATTGTTAATGACTGCAAAATACTATTGGAGAACAGAAAGAGAGAGCTTTAAATGCTTATTAATGCTAGTTAATATAGTGAATTAAAGTGCGATAAATGATTTTACGGAATGGGAAATCATAGCTACTAGAACAATGGATTGCAGTGGAGAGTTATGGTCTTATGTTATAAGATTTAATGAGAAATTTTATTTCGAATGCATAAGCAGCTATAACTCAATACTTGTAGAATTTGATCTGAAGGAAAACAAGCTGAAGACAATATCTATAAATATTTAATTTATATATTCAAGTGATAAACTATTATTTAATTAATAAATTTTTCAGTTTCAATCCTCAGTTTGATAATGGGTAGATATGTGATTTTTACGCAATGGAATAGGGATTTGCTTCACAATTGCAAAATAAAATAGATAATTTTTTAATTTTTCTAATTTATGGGAAAATTGGCTTCATAGTATAAGATTATTCTATATTAGAAACCTATTATCCAAAATTCAGAGCAGACCTCTTTCGGCTTATTCTATATAGTGACTTACACTATGTGGCACGGGGGCTTTTTTGGCTGGAATTTGAGCCAAAAAAAGCCCTGTGCCACATAGTGCAAGTCACTATATATAGGAATTGCCCGAGGATGGCGGAAGATAGCGCCATCCTCGGGCAATTGCTATAATTAAATTATTCAAGTCTATACCTATCAATTGCAAATCACTATAGAATCATCTGTTAAAGCATCTATAATGTAGTGCTATGCCATACTTCCTTTGTATAATAATCCTTATTAATAGAAGCTTTCGAAGATTTTGCAGGCTTCAATAAGCTTTTCTTCAGCTTCTTAATCCTTAATCTTCCTAGCCATAAGGTTTAAGAATTTAGGGAAGTCAATGGTCGCATTTGCATTAGGATCAACACTGTTGACCATGTCTCGAAGTTCAGCCTTAGTTGGGCTTTTTCAAATAGATTTCATAGCAGTGCCAAGCTCTCTTCATGTGATTCCCCCATCACCGTCTCTGCCGAAAAAAGAGAAAGCTTCCTTGAATTCTACAATCTACCCTTCGGTTAGTTGTTCTTCCATTTTATCATTATTATAAAAACTAATATAAAATTGTGTTAAATTTATAATTTTAGAGACAAATTAAGCAGAGTTAGGAATGATTATTGATTATTTGCATATTTTTATATATAGCTTTAATACTAAATCTTTATATTATTAATAAAATTATATTTGTCCATCAACATAATAATAATTAACGATATGTATTTAAGGTGCCTTCTTCCATGCGTGGCATTCCTCCGCGCTCCGTGAGGAGCCGTGCTGGCACGAGCAAAAAGGATGGACTTCCATCACTGGTTATCTGAGCCCAGGCCGAAACCCCTGGTTTCTCAATAGTGGTTGCCCTATTGGGTCGTCAGCCGACCGTCGCCGAGTACCCACCATTTCCAACTCAGCCTTTCGCCCCGAGTTACGCCAGTCTTTGTCTCCGTTTGGCCAAATCGTCCATTTAAGGACCCTTTTAACTGGAGAGACCGCCTTCTTAGTCGTCTAATCTGCCTCCCCTTTTCCCAGCTTATCCGCTTGAGAAAATCCTCAATCGCTTCCGCGATTTGGGGCAGACCACAGTAGCAGCTTGAGCAGGTAAGTCGCCCTGCTCCATTTTGGGCACCCACTGGCTTGGGCGCTGCTGGAAAAAGGAGATGCTACTAACTTCCCTAGGATCTGGCCACGATCAGCGGGTCTGTGTTCGTCCCCGGTCGCCACCAGGGTCCAGATACTGCTGGGCTAAGTCGCCTCTCCTGAAAACCATGCCCGGATATACACGGGTTACCGTCACTGGGAGGACGGGTCGGTCGCCATACGCCATTTTATGTATATTGTCTATCAACATAAACTCTTCCTCTCCTAAACTTATCTATATAATGAGAATCTCACCATTCTACTGCTTGGACTTATAATTATTAATTTATGCTCTGAAAAAAATAGTCTCCCCCATTTAAAACTATTTGAAATTTCTACATCAAAAATAACAAATTTAGTATATTTAAAATTATTTTTATCAAATTAATGAAGCATAAATTTTTGAACACAAAAATTCACTTCCTCTTCGTAAAATTTGTAAAATCCCATACATGTTTAACAAAAAGCATGATTATAAAGAAAAATTTCTATTAATCTAATTCTTCTCTCACAATTGTTACAAATATGCCATATTTCATGATGAAAATCTTTAAAATATATAACGTTAGGGATTTTGGTAATAGATAATGATCTATTCTGAGCCATAAAAGTCCTAAAGTTTGGATCCAGCTTATGATAGCTTAAGTTTAGATATAATTATCAAATCATTAATAGTAAAATAATACTCTAAGTGAAAAATATAATGAAAAATCGAATTTTTTATATTAATTATGTGCACTAGACTCTGCTCTTTCGAAAAATGCTCTAGTAATCCTGCAGTCGTATGCAATTGTGAAGCAATTCCTGTATTAATTTGCCAAGAGCACATTAAAAATCATTCCCAGCTTCAAAGATCTCATACTTATACCAAAGTTTTTTCTGAAATTCGAGAAGAAGCAAGGAAATCTGCAATTAAATTATTTTCAAAAATCAAGCCAGAACTAATAAAACTTAAATCAAATATCATACAAGAAGAGCTATCAATGATTAAAGAAATCAACAAAATCTCCAAAAATGCTTTAGAAAAGCTAAAAACTTGTGAAGAAAACTTAAATCAAATTATATTAGAAATCAGCAGCTTAAGATTTATTGATAACTCAAAATCATCGACTTTTGTAGAATCATTACTCAAAATGCAACAACAAGATATTGAAAAAATCAAAAAAATTAGAGGGCCTAAGCTTAGCATAAATAGCATTGATTCTAATTTTAAAGTTATCATAAATCGATTATTGGTAAAGGGTTATTTAAAGAGAGAAATAAAAAGGCCTCGCAAACCTATTAATAATATTTAATTTTTCTAATTTTTTTTCTAAAATTTTCAAACTTGAGACCTCATCAGAATGTTTCGATTATCGGCAAAATTGTTGTGATAATTCCAGAGTAATTAAATTTGTATGAGGAAATTTCCAAAATATTATTGGTACTTTTGACGCCGAAACTGTAAAAGTTTATCAACATAAGCATGCATGAGATTATCATTTTGATGCATATGGGATAAAGTGTTTGCTGCCCGATGGTAACATCTTTTATGCTAAATATAGAAATCTGATCATAATTGACTCATTCGGTAATATAAAACCAATATCTCCTTATAAAATTAAGTCAATATTCTCAGCCATTTATGTTGGTGGATGCATTTTTGCGTGCTGTTCTGGTTCTCAAAGCTGGGCAAAATACATTATTCAAAGAAATGAATGAAACTTTTTAACTCCTCTTCCTCAGAGTCAAAGTATTTTTACTGATTGCGCTTTGTTTCAAAATTATATTTTATTCGGATCAAATAGCGAATCAAAAATTATTTACTACGATATGCTAATAGACTCTTTTTCAGAAATATCATCATTAAATTTAAAAACATTAGCAGCAAAGACTATTATTGCACAAGATCGAAGGGTATTTATCATAGAATTTTCGCAATTCATATATGAAAGCACTGATAATTTAATAACATGAAATATTATAGGAGAATGTTCCGAACTAATGCCATTTTTTCCTGTAACAAGCTATCCAATCCTTTATAAAGAAAATATATATTTTTCAAGTATATATGGGATCTATGCATTTGATATAAAAGAAAAGGTTACCAAATCTGTGGTTTATTTTGATTTTTCTAATTAATTCTACTATCTTTAATTTATAAAATTATTTAATCAGCACGATAATATGATTTTTAGCTTACACTCTGCAAATATAATGAATGAGCCTATATTTTATTGAAATATATAGCATTTTTCAGCTTCTTTTTCTTTAAATTAAATATAAAATGCCTGATAAGTTTGTATAATAAACTTTTTCTTCATATAATTCTTTGCCATTTTTGTTCTACTTCAATTAAGGAAAGATTATTTTTATTAAAGAGTCTTTAGCTTTCATATGCTATATCGAATTATCCTTTTGGAATGCAGGAATTAAAATGACAGCGCATAATAATAAATTCGTAAACTCTTCATCTCAAAACTGAATCTCTAACATATAATTGCTCAAGGATTTTTGAGTCACCTAAATCTCCATTATTTTCATATAGATATTCTTCATTGCCAATTGCATAATGATTTTCCCTACCAATAATAAATATAATTTATATTGCGCTTCTGATGGAATTGATAAATTTGAAAAAGAGTCTATATCAATATCATAGATATACACTTTATTTGTGACAAGGCTCCATAAAAATGCGTAATTCTTAAATAAAGGGCAGACCTGTGAAGACACGAGTTCTAAGATATTCTGCTATAAGCTTAATTTTATGGATAATTATCAAATCATTAATAGTAAATCATCTCTAAGTGAAAAATATAATGAAAAATCGAATTTTTTATATTAATTATGTGCAGTAGACTCTGCTCTTTCGAAAAATGCTCTAGTAATCCTGCAGTTGTATGCGATTGCGAAGCAATTCTGTATTAATTTGCGAAGAGCACATTAAAAATCATTCCCAGCTTCAAAGATCCCATACTTATACCAAAGTTTTTTCTGAAATTCGAGAAGAAGCAAGGGAATCTGCAATTAAATTATTTCAAAAATCAAGCCAAAACTCAGAAATCTTAGATCAATTATCATACAAGAAGAGCTATCAATGATTAAAGAAATCAACAAAATCTCCAAAAATGCTTTAGAAAAGCTAAAAACTTGTGAAGAAAACTTAAATCAAATTATATTAGAAATCAGCAGCTTAAGATTTATTGATAACTCAAAATCATCGACTTTTGTAGAATCATTACTCAAAATGAAACAACAAGATATTGAAAAAATCAAAAAAATTAGAGGTCCTAAGCTTAGCATAAATAGCATTGATTCTAATTTTAAAGTTATCATAAATCGATTATTGGTAAAAGGGTTATTTAAAGAGAGAAATAAAAAGGCCTCGCAAACCTATTAATAATAATTTAATTTTTCTAAATTTTTTTTCTAAGATTTTCAACCTTGAGCCCTCATCAGAATGTTTCGATTATCGGCAAAATTATTATGATAATTCCAAAGTAATTAAATTTGTATGAAGAAATTGAAAAAATATTATTGGTACTTTTGATATCGAAACTTTACAAATTTATCATTATAAGCATTCATGAAATCATTATCTTGATGCATATGGGATAAAATGTTTGCTACCTGATAGTAGCGTTTTTTGTTCTCAATATGAAAATTGCTTCATAATTGACTCATTAGGTAATATAAAATCAATATCTACTTATAAAAATAAGTCAATATTGTCTGCCATTTATGTTGGTGGATGCATTTTTGCATGCTGCAATGGTTTTAAAAGCTGAGCGAAATACATTATTCAAAGAAATGAATGAAGCGAATTAACTCCTCTTCCTCAAAGTCTTTTTACTGAAAGCGCTTTATTTCAAAATTATATTTTATTAGGGTCAAATAGCTCATCAAAAATTATTTACTACGATATGCTAATAGACTGTTTTTCAGAAATATCATTAAATTTAAAACAATCAACAACAAAGACTATTGTTGTACAAGATCGAAGGATATTTATCATAGAATTTTCTCAATATATATATGAAAGCACTGATAATTTAATAACATGGAACACTATAGGAGAATGCTCTGAACTAATAGCGCGTTTATCTAGAACAAGCTATCCCATCTTTTATAAAGAAAAAATATATAGAAAATTCCTGGGGATAGCGCGGAATACGCTATCCCCAGGACCAACCGGGATCGGATCCCACATGGAACGAGGGTTCCATGTGTGGATCCATTTTTCACACGTGAAAGTAAATATCTCACATGTGAATCCGATCCGGGTTGGTCCTGGGGATAGCGTATTCCGCGCTATCCCCAGGAATTATCTATATTTTTTAACTGATCATGAGATCTATGCATTTGATATAAACGAAAGGGTGACCAAATCTGTGGCTAAGATTGATTTTTCTCATAAATTCTTATATAATTAATGCATAAAATTATTTAATCAGCACGCATAATATGATTTTTAACTTACATTCTGCAAAGATAAATAGAATTTACCTTAAAACTACCTATTTAAACGAATTTTCGCAATATTTGCAACGAAGCGAACACAGAATTCTTCACAAGGTTTATCAGTCTCGCAGTCAGGCTGCTGCGAAAGATCTAGTTTGGCATTTTCCTTGCTTTTAGGCTGCATTCTTTATTATCTAGCTTATGGATTTCTGTGCCACAGCAATGGCCGTGGGCATCTTGTGATTTCAAAAATTACTACTTTTGGCTTCAAGGTAAAAGACTGTTTTCTATCATCGATGCGTAAATTACCGGCTTCTAAGCTAATTCAATACAACATTGCCACATATCTCAACTTCCTATTACAATAATATAGCAAAAACTCTTTGGCGCTTTTTTTAAGCTTTTTCGATTTTGAATTGTCGATCTGAGCTCGCATTAGGCTTAAGGTTTGGACTGTTTCGAGTTAAATATAATTATACCTACTTTTTTAAACTTGATCTCATAAGATTTCCGTTAAATTTTCGCCCTAATAATGCCACTCAATAGCAGAATTAGGGGAAATCAGACCTCTTGCACAAATATTTAGCCAAGAGGCTCTTGCCTTTACCAGTTTTTATTTATCTAGTTGGATTATTTCTATCTTTTTACGGGATTTACAATAAACAAGCACACACCCAAGATTTCCTTTGGCTGGCATAAAATCTAAGACTTATATATCCCTTAAAAATATCATTGGATTATTGTTGATTTAAATATCAAGTTTATTGCTTTTTTAAGGTTGATGTAAGATTATGTAATTCGGTTTTTAGCAGGTCGAGGCTTAAAGAAAGAGGAGTTATCAGAAATCTTTGCAATTGAGGAAAATCCAGCAGCTGATAAATACTTAGGCACATATAAACATTGGCAAATTTATTTCGAATGAGTCAATTTTCAAGCAATTTGTGTGGTAAAACATTTTGTTTATTTTTTATGCCGCATAAAAGAATTTTCTTGGGAATTTTCATTGATATCAGAGTAAGATAATTTGGATTTCTCATAAAAAAAATTAGTATAATTATCAGACATTTTTATCAATATTTATAAGCATTTAAACGAAAATTTAAACTGAATTAATCTTTAAAGATAATTTGTATGAAAATCTTCTTGAAAGTAGAAAACGAAAATAGCAAACTATCACTTATACTTGAGATTCTAATCAGGGTTAAACTGCATAGCGCAGTATATTTTTTGGTTAGTATATTGCTTGATCGTAGTGATCTCTTACGTCAAGCGATTAATATTCATTCAAAGCTATTAATAATTATTTATATTTAGACTCAAGCTATACTACCTTATATGAACAACTTTTAATGTGCTCTCTATAGTATCAATCTTTATTGCCCTGTTGATATTTTTCCAATTCTTAACATACGGCAAATGAATATAGCATTTCAAGTCCAAGGACTGCTTTTAGCTGCTTCAAAGGCAAAATTTTATCAATCCCGAATAATTCATCTTATAATTTTACTATTTGTTATATTTTGCAATTAAATAATTAAATCTATATTTAATTTAGTCATTATTCTAATGAGCATGATAATTTATAATAATAAATTGGTGAACTCTTCATCTCAAAGCTGCATCCTCTAACACATAAATGCCCAAGGATTTTTCAGTCACCTAAATCTCCATTATTTTCATATAGATATTCTTCATTGCCAATTGCATAAATATTTTCCCTACCAAAATAAAATAATTTATATTGCGCTTCTGGTGGGATTGATAAATTTGAAAAACAGTCTATATCAATATCATAGATATACACTTTATTTGTGACAAGGCTCCATAAAAATGCGTAATTCTTAAATAAAGGACAGACTTGTGAAGACACAACTTCTAAGTTATTCTGCTATAAGCTTAAGTTTATAGATAATTATCAAATAATTAATAGTAAAATCATGCTCTAAGTGAAACCTATAATGAAACATCGAATTTTTATATTAATTATGTGCAGTAGACTCTGCTCTTTCGAAAAATGCTCTAGTAATCCTGCAGTTGTATGCAATTGCGAGGCAATTCCTGTATTAATTTGCCAAGAGCACATTAAAAATCATTCCCAGCTTCAAAGATCCCATACTTATACCAAAGTTTTTTCTGAAATTCGAGAAGAAGCAAGGAAATCTGCAATTAAATTATTTTCAAAAATCAAGCCAGAATTAAGAAAACTTAGATCAAATATCATACAAGAAGAGCTATCAATGATTAAAGAAATCAACAAAACTTCCAAAAATGCTTTAGTAGAGCTTAAAATTTGTGAAGAAAACTTAAATCAAATTATATTAGAAATCAGCAGCTTAAGATTTATTGATAACTCAAAATCATCGACTTTTGTAGAATCATTACTCAAAATGCAACAACAAGATATTGAAAAAATCAAAAAAATTAGAGGGCCTAAGCTTAGCATAAATAGCATTGATTCTAATTTTAAAGTTATCATCAATCCGATTATTGATAATGGGATATTTAAAGAGAGAAATAAAAAGGCCTACAAATCTATTAATAATAAATTTAATTTTTCTAATTTTTTTTCTAAAATTTTCGAGCTTGAGACCTCACCAGAATGTTTCGATTATCGGCAAAATTATTGTGATAATCCCAGAGTAATTAAATTTATATGAGGAAATTCAAACAAATATATTATTGGTACTTTTGATGCCGAAACTTTAAAAGTTTATCAGCATAAGCTTGAGGGTGATTATTTTTATCAACATGGGATAAAGTGTTTGCTGCCTGATGGTAGCATTCTTTATGCTCTATATGAAAATTTGATGATAATTGACTCGTTGGGTAATATAAAACCAATATCTACTTATTCTCTCTAACTCCTCTCCCCGTTATCATCAAGCCAAAGTTTTTTTTTCAGAAAAAATGTTTGAAGTAATAGTTCATTTAATATAATTAAAAATTATTTAATAGATAATTATAATGAATTTATTTTTACTAAGCAGGTTTTGCCTACCACATGACCTTTTCTTATAAGGACCAGCAGAAGGTGGCTCTATCCTAGGTATCTAATACTTTGGACAGATGACTCAGATAAGTAATCAAAAAGAGGGACTGGTTAAAACATTGTCTTATTTTAAATTCACGGTGCATGGTGGCTGCTTATCCTGGTGGAGCCTAAGAAAAGTCGAAATTTTTTGTGAGTTTACCTGCTTATGACAGATTACCTTTTAACTTTTAAATTACTTCAAATTGAAGCATTTTAAATATTATACCTAACATATTTTAATTAACTCTTATACAAATTGCAAAGGATGGCGCTATTTTGCGCCAATCTCGAGCAATTTGTATATCATTAATGAGCAGCAATATTATTCGCTGGGAGGAGTGAGAAAGAATACGCATAATTTTAAATAAAGCTTTTAATGAAATTATATTACCTGAAACAATATATAAAATTAAGTCAATGATTTCTCCCATCTATGTTGGTGGATGCATTTTCGCATGTACTGGCTATCCGAAGATGGGCGAAATACATTATTCAAAGAAACGAATGAAGCGAATTAACTCCTCTTCCTCAAAGTCATGAGCTTTTCCATTTTTGCGCTTTGTTTCAAAATTATATATTCAATTTTTGTTTTTACTTTCGTTATCTTTGAGGGAAATTATCAGATTACTATTAAAACAATTTCAACTCTAAATCAATAATTTTTTATAGATTTTAAGCATGAATATTGGTTTTGGGATTCCCAAAAGAGTGTTTGAATCAATTAAGCTTAAAAATTAACCTTGGCTTATATTTTATTAGGATCAAATAGCGAATCAAAAATTATTTATACTGCTAAAAGCAAACTTCGTCTACAATAATAGGTATCATATAGTTTATTTTGTATAAAATTACACTCATTTTGAGCATATATTTCCAAATTAATTAGAATTTGATTACTATGATATGCTAATAGATTCTTTTTCAGAAATATCATCATTAAATTTAAAAAAATCAGTAACAAAGACTATTGTTGTGCAAGATCGAAGGGTATTTATTATAGAATTTTCTCAATTTATATATGAAAGCACTGATAATTTAATAGCATGAAACATTATAGGAGAATGCTCTGGACTAACAGCACGTTTTTCTATCACAAGCTATCCCATCTTTTATAAAGAAAAAATATTCTTTAATAAGGTGTAAAGAAATCTTAACTCCCCTCTCCATGAACTAACAAAACTATTGGAAAAATCCCTATTTTTTACCCACCCTGCGTGAGCGAATAAAAATTTTTTTATGAAAAAAAAATTTTGATATATAAGTGATAATTAGTATAATGAAATCTCTAGCTAATTCTGATTAAATTTTAAACAACTTGCATTTAAAACATAAATTTCGCAAATTAAATTAATTTTGCCTCTCAATTTTTTCACATTGGAATTTTTTTAATTCTGAAAAAAATAATTCTGTAAATTTATATATAAATTTTTTACAAAACAAAAATTAACCAGAGGGCAAAATTTTTTGTTACTCACGGAGGGGGTGTAAGAAATTTAGCCAATCAAAATTTGCGAAGAGATCTTAATTCTATTAATGGAATATATTTTGCACATACATATAAGATCTATGCATTTGATATAAAAGAAAAGGTTATCAAATTTATGGTTAACCTTGATTTTTCTCATTAATTCTAATATCTTTAACGCATAAAATTATTTAATCAGCACGCATAATATGATTTTAACTAACGCCCTGCATATATAAATAGAATTTACCTTAAAACTACGTTAGGCTATTAAAACGAATTTTGAAGCTAACACTGACTTCCTTTGCAAGATTTATCAGTTTTGCAGTCAGGCTGCTGTGAAAGATCTAGGGTTGGCCTTTCCTTACTTTAAGACTTCACTATTAATTAGTCAGCTTATGGATTTTTTGACCCAGAAATGGCGATGGGAATCGTTTGATTTCAAAAATTAATTCTTGGGGCTTAGCAGGTGCTAAAGTGCCTTTCTTCAGAAATTACAGGAAAAAGACTGTTTCAATAGTCGATATGTAAATTGACGGTTTTAGGCAAGTGCAATACTTAAGAGTCGAAGGGCATTGTCACATACCTCAATTTCCTATTACAAAAATATAGAAAAACCTCTTTGATGCATATTTACTGGGCTTTTTAGATTATTTAAGAGCTCGCCTTAGCTTAAGGTCTGGGCTGTAGCGTCCAAGTCACTAGAAAACGCACATGTCTTGGGTTTATTAAATATAAATATAACACTTTGACTAAATAATTCCAACAAATTATAAATTTTTTATACAGCCTTTCATCTTTCCTAGTTCGAGTCAAATATAATTATATCACCATTTTTAATCTTCACCTCACATGGTATTTCCATTAAGCTTTCACCATAATAATGCCATTCAATGGCTGAATTAGAAGAAATCAGACCCTGCCAATCTTTTGCGTAATATTTGGCAAGAGGCTATTCTCTTTACCAATTCTTATTCATACAGTTGACTTATAGATATCGATTTACAGGATATTGCCTTATAATTTTTGTCTATTTTGCTTAAAATGTTTTCACAAGCCTTTTTCTTCTTTCTCTGGTATAAGTCTCTTTTGCTTTTTGCAAAGCTTTAAACTGTCTGATTTTTTTTTTCTCAATATTCATATATCAAAATCAAAATAAATGCTTAAATAGATTTTTACTATTCTCCAAGTTTATTTACTATAAGCAAGTACATACCCAAGGTTTCCTTTGGTATGCATAAACTCTAAGGCATGCTATAGATATTTCCTTTTAAGCATATTATTGAATTTGTGATTGCTGAATTTAAATATGGTGATTTACACTATGTGGCACGGGGCATTTTTTGGCTGGAACTTGAGCCAAAAAAGTTCCGTGCCACATATTGTAAGTCACTATATCAACTTTGATAAGTTTATTGATTTTTCTTAGGTTGATGCAAGATTATGTAATTCGATTTTTAACAGGTCGAAGCATAAGGAAAGAGAGTTTATCAAAATATTTTCAATTAGAGAAGTTCCAGTAAAAGCTGATATATACACATTCGCAATTTTAGTTCATCAGATTCAATTTCCAAGCCATTTGTAAAAGGCTTTATTGGTTTTTAATTAGTTTTTATGCCTTATAAAAGAATTTTCTTGGAAATTTCCATGGGTATTAGTGTAAGATAATTTGGATTTCTGATAAAAGAAGTTAGTATAATTGTCAAACATTTTTACTGATATTTTATATGTATTTAAACCAAAATTAAACTGAATAAGTCCATTTTAATTTTTAAGATAATTTGTATGCCAATATTCTTAAAAGTAGAAACGAAAATAGCAAACTATGGCTCATGTCTTAGGATGCTAATCAGGGTTAGACTGTATAAGGCAGTTTATATTTTCTGGTTGTTATATTGCTTGCTCATAGTGATCTATTACGTTAATTAGCTATACTGAACTTTTATTTTCTAAAACAAAGTAAATTTTAGCCAAACAATTAATATTCACTCAAAGTTATTAATAATTATTTATATGCAGACTCAATTTATATACTACCTTATATAAAAGCTTTTAATGTGCTCTATATAGTATCAATCTTTATTGCCCTGCTGATATTTTTCCAATTCTTACCACATGGCAAATGAATATAGCATTTCAAGTCCTAGGACTGGTGTTAGCTGCTTCAGAGGCAAAATTTTATCAATCCCGATTAATTCATCTTATAATTTCACTATTTGTTATATTTTGCAATTAAATAAATTAAATCTATAATTAATTTAGTCATTATTCTGATGAGCATGATATAAAACCACCTGCAGTCCAAAATTATTCTTCAGCTAATTTATTAAAATATATAACATTTTTCAGCTTCTTTTTCTTTAAATTAAATCTGAAAATGCCTGATCAGTTTGCATAATAAACTTTTTCTTCATAATAAATTGGTGAACTCTTCATCTCAAAACTGCATCCTCTAACATATAATTTCCCAAGAATTTTTCAGTCACTTAAATCTCCGTTATTTTCATATAAATATTCTTCATTGCTAATTGCATAAATATTTTCACTACCAATAATAAATAATTTACATTGCGTTATTGATGGGATTGATAGATTTGAAAACGAGTCTATATCAATATCATAGATATACACTTTATTTGTGACAAGGCTCCATAAAAATACGTAATTCTTAAATAAAGGACCGACCTGCCCTGCACTTCATGCATCATAATTAGAGGCAAGTTTATACCATCGACCTTCGCTAATTTTATATCTTCATGACATATGGTGAATCCCACTTACTAAATAAACAAAGCCATCATGATAAAATGAACACCCATACTGAGACTTTTTATTCGTTGTAATATACTTTACGTTATTCAAAGGATCAATGATATATGAGACAGATCCATAATGATAAAATAGGCTTCCATCAGGGAGCAAACACTTTGATGCTTGAAAATGCAACTCTTTATCTATTTTTAGCTCTATATGATCAATTGTTTTAGTTCTTGCATCAAAAATACTTACGGGCAAGTAAAACTTTAGAAAATCCTAATTTTTTTAAAGAAACCTCTCCATAAAAGAGCAAAAAGATTTTCAAATATTTTTTATATATGATTTTTATAACAAAATCTCTTGCAATTTTTAAGACATTGAATTCTCAAATAGAAGATTTAATTCTAAAAATCAATTTTAATATAAAATTAACTCTTTTAACGAGCAATAAAGAAGGTTTGCTCCCTTGCACAGGAGAATTAAAGTTTTTGAGTTATTACTGCTTAATTTGAACTTTAGCTTATCAGATTCAAATTGTTGAGAGCTTTTGTGATATCAATTTTGATCAATTTGAAGAATGCTAGATTTTTCTTCCATATATTACAGAAATGGAAATGAAAGCTAGAAAATGAATAATAAGCAATAATTCTTATAATGACACTATAGTTCAAAGTTCGGATGGGTGTTGGCATTCTTCAGACTGGTGGTGCTCTCTAATATTTAGCTAATTTATTATCGATCTCTTTTAGTGTCCACTATCATATCGCTCCTGTCCTTCCCTCCCTGCTCCAAGGTTCCTTGCCCACACACGAGGCCCTATATAGCGTTATTCAGCTCGCCATTCGACTTCTAGCGTTAGATTTTTAAAGGGATAATCTCTAATATAAATTCTCTTCTGATTCTTGTATTTTTATTCAAATTTTAACAGATCTTTTGAAGCTTGTAAGGTGCTACGTGAACCATTTTTGGAGCTCCAGGCGCGCAAATCTCTTAACCGCTGTTTTAGTTTGAAGATAAGAGTTATATTTTGGTAATAAATAATTTAATATGAGACTAAAATCTTAATGATAGCATATTTAAATGGAATTACAATAAACTTTGATATTTCTTTGACATTTATTATTTATAAGAAAAGACCACGCTTTTTTTTTTTAAGTTACTCTACCTTTATATTCAAAGGGAGGTATTGATAATGAAACAATTCAATTGATTAAGATTTTTTAAATCTCTTTTCTGGCTTTTGTTCTTCAACTACATATCTTTTTCTTTTTCTGTTATTTCTTTCCTCTTCTTGTTCTCGTAACTTATCACGTATGATTTCCAAGCCGGAGTCTTTCTTTTTGATTTTTTGAATTAATCTATCTATATTTTCGTCACCAAACTCAATTCTTTTTTCTTTTGTTAAAGTAACATCATTTTCTCTACACAATATTGAACTCTGAGAAAATATTTCTCCTCTTGCAGTACTAAAATGATTATTTATATCGAATGCAACTTTAATGCTGAATTGTTGCTCGTTTATATGAATTGCTCATTTTCCATCAACAGTATTTCTATAAAATACAATTCCGCGAATTATCATTCGTTGGAGATAGTCATAATTTGGATTTAAAGCAACTTCTATGTACTTTTTAGCGCATATTTGTCAAAGTAAATCATGAGCCTTTTCACAGACCACAGAAATTTCAGCCTCTCCTAGCTTTTTATACTCATGAATTATAGCAACATCCCCTTTTCCACGCCTTGAAATGAAAATCCCATCAAGCTTTTTTTGGAATTTGTTAGATATCTCAAAGCCGATAGAATATTTTGGATCATTTGCTGTTAATAGTGGTATTGCACCTGCTCCGCCTACGATAGTTTGGAAAAACTTTTCACTTTTATATGTTCCATCGTTATTTTATCAAGGATTTCTTCTTGTATCGCTCTTGAAACTTCATCTTTATCCTCTAAATTTTCAACAAATTTTTCTAACCAATCATAAGAATTAATTTGATTTTCTCCTGTTATATTTAGTCATGCATTAAGCATTTTGTGGTAAAAATATCTTCCCACTTCTTTATTAGGAACTACCAAAACATCGATTTTGTGCTTATATTCATATGGAGTCAAGTATCCTGCATGAAGCAGGAGTAAATAAGCATTATTTCTTGCCCAAGGTTGATTAATAATCGGTTCTTTCAATTTAAGAAATCCAGTTTTCATTATATCAAATAATTCATCATCAGGTTTAAGAGCTTCGAATATCGAAGTTAAAAATCTATCGTTATTATTAACATCATTTCAATATTGATTGAGAGGTCATTGGCAATTATTAGCAGCAGAGTTCAAGCAGCTTATTATCGATCGAGAGTTGTATATTTTCTGACCCCTACATTATAACCATTATATCAGTCTTTTATTAACGCTTTCTGATCTATTAGATGACGGTCTGAATATTCTATTAAGTGCTTATTAAGCAGCCATTCAACATCCGCTTCAGTAAATCCAAAAAATTTTGAATATGATTTTATCGAAATATTGTAAGGAAAAAAAGCATCTAAATTAGATATATCAAGCAAAGTGTCATAATAATTTCCAGCTACAATTAATTTTTTTATGCGATAATCGATATGATCGACGAGTAACGTAATGATTTTCCATAAGAGAATCTTTATTTCTTTCTGATTCTTTTGGACGAGTCCTCTATTAAAATTTTTATCATATTCATCAATAATAACAATAACAGCTTGCCCATGAATTAGATGAAGCATATGAGCCAAATTTTTCAGTGCTGTAATTATATTTATTTGTGAGCTGAATTGTCGATAAGTTCTAAATAGCTGAACTTCAGTAGGCAATATTATTTTATTACGATCAATAATATGTTCCAGCATCTCAACATTTCGATTTTTATAATTCATTTTTTCTACTCCGTATTGCTCTATTATTTTCTCTAAGTACAGACAATAGGAGGAAGTGTGCTCTTGATACAGCTTTGAAATTTCTACTTGAATTGCTTCAAAAAGGATTTCCGGAGGTATTGATTCTCAGAAAAACCCAGGAAAAGTAAACAAAATAGTCGGAATACACCCAGCAAATTGTCTATAATGTCCATTATCAGCATTCATTATTTTCAAGCATTTTGTGCTATCCAAATTATTTAAATCAGTGTTATTTTTCCCTCCTGTAAGTAAATACAAATTTGCGAATTGCCCATTTGCATCTTGCTCTGGATTTAAAAATGCCTTTAGCATAGTTAAATTCAATGTTTTACCCCAACCTCTCGGTCTCAAAATAGCAAATTTTAGACACATATCATCTAAAATAGCTTTAATAAACATTGTTTTATCCACATAGACAGCCTTATCATCAATCATACGTTTAAAATCCCTATCACCAGTGCTAAAAAGATAAGAATTTTTGACTCTAATTGCTGATTGTGGCGTTACAGGAGACTTTTTTAGCCTTTTCTTCATGGAAATTGGTGTTTGGAAGATATTGTGGCCGGGCAATGAGCTAATCTTTAAAGATTGGATAAATTTATGCGCCATATCATTTTTGCCTTTTTCTTTAAAATCCCTTAATATGCATAATTGATTTAAGTTCAAATTGCTTAATATAATATCCGTATCATCTTCCGATATTACCCAATCTTCCATTTCTTTTTTAAGCTTGTTTAAAATTGAGTCTTTTATCCTTCCAAGCCAACTCAACTCGAAATTTCATGAGTCTATTTCACAATTTTGTGTCAGGGTTTCAATAATACTTTGGTCTTCAAATAGCGCTGTAATTTTATAAGCTGAGTTCAAATCAAACTGAGAAAATGAATCTAAAAAGACAGATTTGCCTGTTGAAATCAGCATAATTATATTGTACATTGATAATAGGCAGCTTTGGAGGCAATGCTTATACATTTTAATGCTATGATGATCGAATATCCAATAAGAGTTGAAAAAGCCTCCAAAGGTAGCTGATTGTCCATCAGGCCCTTTATAAGAAAATTTTGTACAAAGCAGGTACTTAAGGAGAGGAGGCAACCTATAGTTATTTCCTGATGAATCAATCGAAAAAACTAGCTCAGAAAGGTTATACAGAGGTTCTCCGTTTATATTTATGTAGTCCTTGGGGATAATTGCCATTGTTTGCCATATGTAGTTTTTTTCTATTTGCTCATCTGCAAGATTAGAGTTTTACTTGCATCCCATCCCGCTTTAAAATATAAAAAAAATCCAATTTTTTTTAAAAAAGTCTATTAAATTTTTTTCAATCAAAACAATTTAGCAAATTTTATAAAAAATTAAAAAAATATAAATTTGGTGTAATATTTTTGAATTTTAAATTGCTATTTAATAAATCAATTAAAAAAAATTAACCTATATAGTGTGATTTTGTTAAATGAATATTCTAATTGCACTTTTTCTATTAAACTAGGTCAAAAATTTTTTTTTAAAAATTAGAATTTCATCTATAAAATTATCCTATTGTTCCAATTTAAAGGAGGAATTTTATCGATATTTTATTGCAATTTAAAGGAGCGAGAGGGAGTTGCATCTAATTTTCAATAGGCTACAATAGGCCTCTTAAGTTTTTCACCATCATTTCTAATCGCCTCTTCGATTTTCTTTGTATAAGATAGCACACCATTTACTTCATCATCGATGGCGGGAGAATTATTCAAAATAAGCTCTGAGCCTATTATTTGAATTTTGTCTTGGTAAATATGCTTAAGGGCTTCTTGAATGCCAAAGGCAGATGCATAGCATTTTGCTTTGCTTAAACGATCATAAGTATCAAGATTGTTAAAAACGGTGTAAAGTTCCTGCTTTAAGCTATTCATATTTTTATTTATCAAACTCAATTTATAAGAAAATGTCTTAGCCCCTTTTTCATTTACTCCCCCTTTTAAATTGGAACAAAGCATCGGTAAAATTTTCACTTTTTTGGGTGCTTTAAACTCATAATCTTTATTTTCCAGGCTTGTGGAAACAAATATGGAGCAAGTCGAGAGAGTCAAGCCAAAACTGTGGGACTCATAAAGTCCCCGGGGTATCGGGTTTCGCCATTTAACCCGGAAGAGAAGGCACAGGCCAAGATTATCCGTTGGGAGGAGGAAGTGAAGCCCAACGTACCGTATTTACAATTCTTCCTGTCGAGCTTGGTGAGTTTGGGTTTTTCCCTTCATGGGTTTTTCTCCCACAAAGCTGAAACAAAGGAGAGCTCAGTGTGGCTGATTCCTGTGGAGTAAGGGCTCGTCAAATGAAGCGAAGGCCTCCAGTAGCCGGATAAAGGGGACTGATGATGTCTGGCATGAAAAAATGTAAACCTAGCCAGATGCCATGAATCAAGGCAGAGACTTGGCCTTGCAGTTAAACTTTAATTGATCTAAATCTTAAATCTTAAAAACCCGTAATTAAATATGGCATCTCAGCTTAGACATGGCCTCCCAGCCACATAACCTTCGAGCACATATTTAATTATATCCGATAAAGTTTTACCAAGCTAGAAATAGGCAGCTATGTTAGGTAAGCAATTCCTGTTGTTAGGAGCCTTGCCCTTGTCCAATTTCTAGTTTGGGTTTTAACTTGAAGACAAAGGAACCTTGGAAGTTGGAAAAGGGTGGAGCAGCAACGACCTTACTCCCCCCACTCCGTGAGCGAACAAAACCATTAGAAAAATCCCTGTTTTTTGCCCAAAAAATATTTGATATATAAGTGATGAGATATCATAAAATATCGGGCTAATTTTAAACAAATTGGTTTTAAAACAAAAACATAAATTTTACAAATTAAATTAATATTTGTTTTCCAATTTCCGAGAATTGGGATATTTTTAAATTCAGAAAAAATTTTTTCTTTAAAATTTATATAAAAATAACAAAAAAATTAACCCCCTCCTGAGCGAACAAGTTTTTTTTTTTCGCTCACGGAGGGGGGAGTTTAGGCATCGGGCGCTCCACCACTGCGAAACCAGGGGTTACGGCCTTGGCTACATTTTCCTTTTTGCCAACAGTCAGCCAGAAAATCTTTTTTTTTGAATTTCTGTGCAGGCAACCTCATCATCACTGCAGCCTGAAGCAAGGCCCGGGAACTCGGTGTCTGTCACTCAACACTGCAGCTTTTTCGAAGTAGCAAGGAGGATGTGACGGTCAGGTAGCCCACCTTTCCAGCGATAGGAAGTGAGGTCACCACAAAGCGGATGAATTCCCTGGTGATCCTTGGTAACTGAGTTCTAATCACACTAATTAAGTAAGTAAGGGTACTTTAAGCTCTTAAAATTGTAACTTTTTTCAATAGTAAATTTTTATATATAAAATACTTATTTTTCTAAATTATATTTGACCTAATTTAATCCAAAAAAGCTAGAGGAGAATATTAAACAGTTTTCAAACTTAATCGATTAACTTTTAATTAAAATGCTTAATTTATATGTTTTACTTTTTAAAAATTTTTTGAGGAAAATTAACCCCCCTTTAAATTGGAACAGGATTTTTTTCTTCTAATTTAAAGAGAGGAGATTTAATAGCATTTATTTTACTCTAGATTTCTTTTACACTTTGCCTCAATTCCCTCCTTTTCACTTGAACAAAATCCTTTTCCTGTTTTACGGGGTTAAATTTTTGCTTAAAAACAATTATTTCTTTATAAAAACATATATATTGAGCACAATACTTTGAATTTTAATTTATTTTTATGGGGAATTAACAAAAAAATTAATCGATTTAGTGTGAAAACTGTTTAAAGAACAATTTACTTGCACTTTTTTCCCTTATATTTTTAAAAATTATTTTTACTTTTAATTTCTTTAATAAAATTCTTAAAAAATATAAACTTTTAATTTTATTTATTTTTATAAAGAAATAATTAAAAAAATTAATCAATTCAGTGTAAAAACTGTTTTAAATAGTATTCTACTTACATTTTGTCTATTAATTAGGTCAAACTAATCTTATTAAAATTAGTATTTTCACTGACTCCCCTTGATCGAACGGCTCTCCATCGTTCGATCAAGGATGGGGGGAGTTAGTAATTATTTGTATGCAGACTCAATTTATATACTACCTTATATAAAAGCTTTTAATGTGCTCTCTATAGTATTAACTTTATTGCCCTGCTGATATTTTTCCAATTCTTACAACATCGCAAAATGAATATGGCATGTAAAATCCTAGGACTGGTGTTAGCTGCTTCAGAGGCAAAATTTTATCAATCCCGATTAATTCATCTTATAATTTCACTATTTGTTATATTTTGCAATTAAATAATTAAATCTATGATCAATTTAGTCATTATTCTGATGAGCATGATATAAAACCACCTGCAGTCCAAAATTATTCTTCAGCTAATCTATTAAAATACATAACATTTTTCAGCTTCTTTTTCTTTAAATTAAATCTGAAAATGCCTGATCAGTTTGCATAATAAACTTTTTCTTCATAATAAATTGGTGAACTCTTCATCTCATAACTGCATCCTCTAGCACATAATTTCCCAAGGATTTTTCAGTCACTTAAATCTCCATTATTTTCATATAAATATTCTTCATTGCTAATTGCATAAATATTTTCACTACCAATAATAAATAATTTACATCGCGTTATTGATGGGATTGGTAGATTTGAAAACGAGTCTATATCAATATCATAGATATACACTTTATTTGTGACAAGGCTCCATAAAAATACGTAATTCTTAAATAAAGGACCGACCTGCCCTGCACTTCATGCATCATAATTAGAGGCAAGTTTATACCATCGACCTTCGCTAATTTTATATCTTCATGACATATGGTGAATCCCACTTACTAAATAGACAAAGCCATCATGATAAAATGAACACCCATACTGAGACTTTTTATTCGTTGTAATATACTTTACGTTATTCAAAGGATCAATGATATAAGAGACAGATCCATAATGATAAAATAGGCTTCCATCAGGGAGCAAACACTTTGATCCATGAAAATGCAACTCTTTATCAATTTTTAGCTCTATATGATCAATTGTTTTAGTTCTTGCATCAAAAATACTTACGGGCAAGTAAAACTTTAGAAAATCCTAATTTTTTTCAATTTTTAATTCTCAAATAGAAGATTTAATTCTAAAAATCAATTTTTAATATAGTGAACTACACTGACTGGCACGGGGTGCTTTTGGCTCAGTTTCGAGCCAAAAGCACCCCGTACCAGTAAGCGTAGTTAACTATATAAAATTAACTCTTTAACGAGCAATAAAGAAGGTTTGCTCCCTTGCATAGGAGAATTAAAGTTTTTGAGCTATTACTGCTTACTTTGAACTTTAGCTTATCAGATTCAAAGTGTTGAGAACTTTTGTGATATAAATTTTGATCAATTTGAAGAATGCTAGATTTTTCTTCCATATATTACAGAAATGGAAATGAAAGCTAAAAATGAATAATAAGCAATAATCCTTAAAATGATATTCTTAAAATGACATTATATAGTTCAAAGTTCGGATGGTTGTTTGCATTCTTCAGACTGGGTGGTGCTCTCTAATATTAATTTATTATCGAACTCGTTCAGTGTCCACTATCATATCGCTCCCTGCTCCAAACTTCCTTGCCCACACATGAGGCCCTATATAGCGTTATTCAGCTAATCCTTCAACTTCTGGCGTTAGATTTTTAAAGGGATAATCTCTAATATAAATTCTCTTCTGATTCTTGTATCTTTATTCAAATTTTAAAAGATCTTTTGAAGCTTTGCAAGGTAGTTGGGGAACCAATTTTTGAGCTCCAGGGTGTGCAAATCTCTTGACCGCTTTTTTAGTTGAAGATAAAAGTTGTATTTTGATGGTAAATAATTTAATCTATGACCTAAAATCTTATGATTGCATAGAATAGTGCAGCCCTTTATGATGGTAGTAATATTAGACGCTGCCAGTTTAACTTGAAAGACGCAATATTAAAAATGTCAGTTAGGGATAGGTCCTAGCTCCTGACACAAATAGGATGAACCTATAAACTCAGCTTAGCGAGAGAAGTCAAGCTTCTTGAGAGTCTCGGCTTGAAGAAAAGGGTCGGTGCTGAGGTTGGCACTGACTAGAGAAGTCTTAATGGGCTTATTAACTTTAACGGTTCGACGGTTAGGCCGGTTCACCTACCGTTGTAGAGAGCTGTTAATTTAGCTGAACCTCAAATGAAGGGTACTTTCAGGCATTATGCTAGAGTAATTCTATTAAACTTAAACTTGAAAGAAAAATCATTTTCTTCACTGCCTTATTAAGAGGCTTAAAAAACTTATTTAATGCTCTTGTGTTATCAACTATATAGCAGATATTTATAAAATTTAGCTTGCATTATAGTAATTAATGAAACTTATGCATTTTTTCGAGCCAGAATGCAAGAATGAGGTTGAATACTCGTGCCCATGCACCTCTCCTGAAACTCTATCTTGTGAACTGCATGCTGGTAAGCATATGAAGATCCCTAGCAGAGCTCATTCTTTCAACTCAATTTTTGTAGAGCCACGTAAAGAGACAAAAGAAGAAATTATTAAGTTTCTCACAAGAGAAAACTCAAAAAATAGTAAGTTAAGGGGAGATAATTTGCCACTCAAAGAAATTATAAAATTTGCTCAAAAACCTTCATTCTATATTTCAGATTTAGTTTACAAGGAGCAGATTCATTTGCTAAAAGATGAAATAAGAGAAATATCAACTTCAATTTGAATAGCAGAAAATAACTCCCAAACTGTGGCTGTAAAAAAATATACTTATAGAAAGAAAAAACTTACTCGAAAATACAAAAAAGAAGCAAAATTTCTTGCTATTTTAGATTTGCTTACTCTCATATCTGAGGGCGAGCTATTTTAAATAGCATTGGAATCATTTTCGGATTTTAAAAAAATTAATTTGAATGATATAAAAGTTCATCCTTTAGGAATTCGAACTATTCTAATTTCTTATGGATGGCGCTATTTTGGCATTGATTTTCCCACAGGGAAAATTTTTTGGTTTGGCCAAACCATATGGCACTGGTCGAACCAAAAAATATTTCAAGTGGAAAAATCAAGGCCAAAACAGCGCCATCCACAGAAAATTGCAATATAAAATATAATATGATAAACTAATTATATCAAATTTTATATGCAAAACAATATTATCATAAAAAATTTGCTTGCTCCTCAGCTAAAGGGGAGATTTAATCATCCATTTTTTGTAAAGTTTTATAAATTCGGCAAAAAATCATTAGAAGGACAGTTTGAGTTTTGCGTCGTTATGGAATACTGCCCTAGTAGCTTGCATAGACAAATTATGGAAAAAATTGTCTTTGGTGAAAATTCTAATTCTATCATAGCTAAAATTGTGGATAAATTATTAACTCCCCCCCCTCCGTGAGTGAACAAAACCATTAGAAAAATCCCTATTTTTTGCCCAAAAACCCACCCTCGTGAGAGTGAACAAAAATTTTTTTAATAGAAAAATTTTTTATGGAAAAAACTTTTGATATATAAATGATAATTACTATAATGAAATCTAGAGCTAATTCTGTTTAATTTTGAACAAATTGCTTTTTAAAACATAAATTTTATAAATTAAATTAATATTTGCTTTCCAATACTTGCGAATTAGGATTTTTTTAAATTTCGAAAAAAATATTTTTTATAAAATTTATATATAAATTTTTTTTAAAACAAAAAAATTAACCCCCCTCCGTGAGTGAACAAAATTTTTTTGTTCACTCACGGAGGGGGGGGGAGTAAGCGGATTTGTAAAGTTAAGCAGCTTAAATATTGTGCATAGAGATATAAAGCCTCAAAATATCTTAGTCTCTGAGGATGGTGAGTATAAACTAATTGATTTTGGGATTTCTGAAGTTGTTTCATCAATTTCTGAAGAAAATGAGTACTTAATTAAGGGCACACATGATTATATGTCTCCAGAACTTATTTCAGAGTTAAATAAAAATTCTCAAACGTGTGTGAAGTTTAAATATAACCTGGAAAAAGCAGATGTTTATTCATTAGGACTAGTATTTTGGAAAATTAGCACAGGTAAAAGAGTAAAAGGAATCAATCAAATTATTTATCAAGAGGAAATGTGCGAAATTCTTAATGAAATAAAATTAAACTGACTAAGAAAAGTGCTAGAAAAAATGCTCTTGATGGATCCAGCAAAAAGATTCACATTCAAAGAAGCTTACACATATCTGAAAGAAGATGATGATTTTATCAAAGATCTGAATCTGGCTTAAAGTATTCGAAAGTAACCGGTAACTCTAATTATCATATTAAAAACCATTGCAAATTTAAATTCTATTAAAGATTATTTAAATAAAAATGAAAATCGTATTTTTATTAATTACTGCAATATATGCAAGCAATTTTCCTATGCTTGATCTTCAAGCATCTCTCAAAGTCCCTATATGAACCTCCAATAATTATTGTGGCTGAGCAGGGGTCTACTGTAACAGCAGTAATGAAGTCTATGCAATTTGTTTAACAGGCCTCCCATTTACAGGCGATCTTGCTGAAGGAATTTTTAGCAGGCTTCCAAAACTTTCGATTTTGGCTATCGTGATTGACGACAATTCCCAAGCTCAAGCTTTAACTCTTCCCAGCGATCTTTGCACATTGAATTCTTTGAATCAGCTGGAACTTCACAGATTAAATATAAATACAGCATTTCCTTCACAAATTCTCAGCTGCACAAAGTTAAAAATTCTCCATATGGCTTATTGTGGATTGACAGGAACTTTGCCTGATTTCTCTAATATGAACAACCTGGAGACGCTAGATTTGAATGGAAATAAGTTTACAGGAAGCATTTCTCAATCTATAGCAAATTTACCAAATTTAGTAACTTTGCAATTATTCAGTAATTCACTTAGTGGAAGTCTGCCTAGCTTTGCATCAAACAACTTGGCTTCACTTGATGTAAGGAATAATGCCCTCACAGGATCAGTTCCTTCTGATTTGTTTTCTAAATCAAGCATAGACTATTTTGGGTTTGATGGAAATCAAATGACAGTTCCTGAAATTTGCAAAGATAAGCCATTTTGTATCCCGTTTTCTTAAGTGATTGAATAGATTTTAATTAAAACATATTGCCGAATCATTCTCTTACTTATCAAATTAATCACTCAATTTTCATAGTCCATCATGAATCTCTACAATTTTCTCAATTAAAAAATATAATAATTAAATAATTAGCTTGATATATAATCCTTTCTATTATATCTAAGAGTTTCACGATGGCCAAGAAAGTTTTGAATTGCAGGATGATAATTATCAAAACTATTTCTCAAGGTCTATAATGCCTTGGATGATAAATAATGCTGATCGCATAAAATTATTATTATTACTAAGTTATTATAATGAGATCTCTAATATAAGCCCTAAATTGCTAAGTTAATATAATTCTCTATCTTATCTTCTCCCCACATGCACCTATTATTATTTCTGACAAAAACCCTTTCTCCAAAAAACTATTTTAAAATTAATTTTAAAAGAACTAAGCTAGCTATCACTGACAGAATTAAGATAATTAAGCAGAATTCTTGACAATGTATTTTACAAGATAACTTTCAGGATTTTTATTTGGAAATCCACAATGCAAGGTTGCACTATAGCGAAGAGTTTCTGTGTAAGTCTTATAGTCACTGGATATATATTACCTTTCAAGATGGGTCAACTCTGATAATACTTTGGCAGCTTTATCATCGTTAAATAAGCCACTTGTAAGCTTCTGACTATATTTTACACTGAAGTTTAAATCGTGTTCCATATTTATTATTATCACCAAACTCATTTTGATTATATAATTATTTGTCTAATTTTAAGCGATTTTCTAAATTAGTGCGTTTTTTTGAAAGGAAAGGAAAACTTTCATCGCCAAAGTATTTCTTTGAAATTGGAGATATATCAGGTGTTACTGATTTATATGTGTCTATTTCACCTTTTTGCGGTAAAGAAATTGTCCGTTTCGGAGTAATTGTAGGGGTTTTAGAATACTCAAAAATTGAGAACGATTGGTCAGCAGTTTCTTCGGTTTCTCGAGGAGAATCCCTGCCAAAAGAATTTTCTGAAAATTTTTCTTTGAAAATTCCTTTTAATTTTTCTGAATAAATATTATAGACTTCTCCCATTTTTCGCTTATTTTTGACCGTTTTTTTGATTCGATTAATTTCAGATTTAAAATCGAAATTTGATCGGGCATTCGGATCTTTCGGGCATTTGTGGGGAGAATGTCCATTTTTCTTGCAATTTGAGCAAAAAAGGGATCTTTCAGGGTTTTCTTCTTCATTGTCGCTGTCGATTAAATTTTGATTTTCGTGCTTGCTTCTTTGGCATCCTGAGCTTTCTTTATTTGTATTTCCACAGCACCAATACATTTGGCCATTTCATATATTGCCATGTGTAGAACAAGACCAATTATAATTATTTTTCTCGAAATAAGGTTTTCTGCATTTTTTGCATAGTTTTTCTTCTGTTTCTCTCACAGCTTTATGCTTAGCTTTCAGTGCCTTGAGCCTTTCTTTCATTTTTTCATATTCCATATTAAAATCATTGAATTCTTTTTCTTTCTTTGAAAACTCTTGCTCACTGTCTTTCGTCCTCGCAATTTCTCGTTTGAGCTGATTTTTTTTGTTATTAAAATAATCTGTGATCACAAATCTAAGTTTTTTCACCTCCTCTTTAATATTTTGTCTACTAGAAATATTGTCATAGTTAGAAATGACTAATTTGAAATTTTGCCACATACACTTGCCTGCCTCATAACTTTCTGTTTGCTCTATTTTATTTAGATTTTCATTTAAATTTTTCCATGAAGACAGTGAGGCTGATAAAATATCCTCGAATTGAGAAGACGATAATAAAGATGTGCAGGATTCAAAAAATCCTTTTAGTCTTTCTCCCATAATATCACTTCGCATTCTATATAGATCATTTCAATGAAGCAGGGTTTTTGATTTTTCTTTTAATTCCATATTGAAATTCTTTTCTTTGTAGTAAGAATTTTCCAATTCGATTTTTTCTGTTTGACTTTTTTCATACATAGATTTTGATTCCAGCAGATCTTGCCTTGTCCCAGTTATGCCTAAAACTACAAATTTATTTCTTTTATCTGTCTCTTTAAGCATATATCTTATGCTATTCAAATTTGTTTTATCCCTCAGCAGCTTTTCTTTTAATGCATTAAGCTCAATTTCGACTGTATTTTTCTCAGTCACCACTTTTTCATAATTGTTTTTAATTTTTTCTAAACCAACAAGCTCTTTGCTTAAAATTTCTTTCAGTAAATCACTTAATTTTTCTAATGGCTTTTTATCTTTCAACAGCCTATTCGGCGACATTCCGTAAGCAGATACTCGTTTTCTTGCTGAAGTAGCTCGTTTTTGTGTGTCAAACATCGGCAGCAAGTACTTTTTTACCACTTCTAAAGCCATTTCCCTTGAAATTTTTGGCCTTACATTTGATTTTCTGTTTTTCAGTTTTTCAATATTTGGATACAAAGTCTCAACCATGTGGGATTTGCCAATCGAACTCAAAGACCTATGGTAAAGCCAATTAGATGGAGAGTAATCCATAGGGGAACTTGGACTATGTGACCGTTTTCGAATTATCCTTGATGATCCATATGTAAAAGAATTTTCCATAATAGTTTAAAATTAATGAATAAAACAGATTTTAACAAATTGATATGACGTAAAATTTTCTTTTAGCTGTAAAATTTGAATATTAGAATTGAGGGAGCTTTTATTTAATTTAAAATTCATATATCACGGTCTAATACATTTTATTTATTATTACTAAATAAGTCATAAACTTGAAATTAATATGATCAAACATTAATGAATTTATAGAGCCTTGCCATTGCTTAATTTTCTTGATAATAAATGAAATTGCGACATAAAGAAAATGATATTTAAAGAGGAAGCTTAAAAGATTTGTTGAGTAAATTGCTAATAATATTGCGCTATTATTTCAAATTAGATTACATCTAATTATTTACATAAGTGTCACTATGATAAGTATTTTTATTGATAAAATGGATCAAGTATTTTGTGCGTTAACATTATCCCAGATTATTTCGCTTTCAGCAACAGCCTTAATCGAACCATTTCTCATTGATGAAGCCAAAAATCATGACATTTCTACAGATTTTTTAAAATTTGCAATAATTTTATCATTATCTCTCCCAATAGTCACTTCTCCAATAATTGGGAAAAATTTACAAAGATTTGGCAGACGAAAATTATTTGTAATTAGCTGCATTTTGCAAGGAATTCCTTTTTTATTCTTCAGCTTGCTGTCTCATATAAACAGTGCCTTTTACCTATTTTTGTCTCTAATTGCTTTTATAATTTTCGCACTCGGCCTCTCAATTTCCCTTACAAGTACAATTTCTTTTGTTGCTCTTTATTACCCTACTTTTATGGAATCGAGGCTGGGAAGAGTTCAGATCTTATCTACATTCGGAGCAATGATCGTAGCTTCATTTGGGATTACAATGTATAATGTTTTTGGATTTACAGTATTTTGCCTTGTTTTTGGCATTGGGATTTTTATATATACTCCTATTATCTATCAATTACTTCCAGAAGACAATAAATATGTAGAGCTCGACGAGGTAATCCAATTCAAAAAAATCATCAGACTGCCTTCGATAGAAATCACAGGGATGCTGCAAATTTTTGCTTATGCTTCATATAGCTTTTTAGGGCCAGTTTTAAGCAGCTATTTACTTACTTTTAATCTTACAGCAAAATCTATGACACTTATAGTGTTTTTATTAAACATTTCTTTTGGATTAGGGTTAGCTGGCATCAGGTTTATAAATATTGATAGAAAGTACTTTATGGTGATTGGCATATTCTGTGTTGGCTTAGGAGATTTATTTTTACTTATTCATAATGAATGAGTTTTGGGCTTGTCTTTAACGCTACTTGGGTTTGGGACTTCTTTTAGTACACTTACAGTCTTGCCAGACATGATAGACGAGGGTTTTCCTTGATTTTTACATTAGGATTTTCTTTTCCATAATTAATTTTTTTTTTGTTGAAAAAATATAGTTTCCCTTTTAGCAAATTTTTTTCTCTTGCTCACTTATAAAATCAGGATTTCAATAGTTTTTGCTCACTTGTGGGTGGGAAAAAATTATGGCTAATTTACAGATCAAAAGTAGAAACCATGATAGACACCGCGATGCAAGTGTTTAATTACTATAATGATTCGCATGTATCAGATTTTATATCTGGAATCATTAGTGCCTTATGATGCAGTGGAAATTTAATCGGCTACTTGATTGCAAAATCTTTGTATAAATCTATTGGGTTTAATTTTTGCGAAGCCATCATGGGGGTTGCGACTTTAATATTTTGCTTACTCCCGCATCATGAATAAGCCAAACCATTAAGAAAATCCCTATTTTTTGGCAAAACCCATCCCCTATGAGCAAGCAAAACATTTTTTAGACATAAAAATTCTTTGATATGCTGTAAGATAATTATTATAATGAAATCTCCACAATTTCATTATAAAATATAAAATATAAAAATTTGAATATTAAATAATTAATTCTTTTGGAAAAAAAATTGAAGAGTAAAAATTTTTTGCTCACTTCCTAGGGGGAGTTAGGATTTGCAGGATATTTGAGACTAAACAAGCCAATTAGACGTAAAGCATCTAAAACAATTTTGCTCGGACATGAATTAGACAATATTTCTCAAAACACTGAAATGACATCATTCAACTTAAACTCACAACATTAAATATAATCGATATAGCCAATTATTAAGATTGTTGATAGTTCTTAAAATATTTTGCATTCCAAATCTATAAAATTAAGTTTTTGCTTCTATTATTCACCCCGATATTATTTTTAATTAATGAATTTAATACCAAAAATTGAATCAAATATATTTAGAAATCATTGTGATTTTATTTGTAAGTAAATGGACTGAAGCTTAATCGCTTTACTTTTAGCACAAATCTTATCTTGCTCAGTTTATTCTATTATTGCACCTTTTTTCCCATCAGAAGCGCACAAAAAGAATATAGGAAGTGGCTTAGTAGGAGTTATCTTCAGTGGGTATCCGATTGCAGCAAGCTTATCGTCTTTATTTTTTGCAAAATTCATATCAAAAATAGGAAGGAAAAGGCTTTTATTATTAGGCTGTCTATGTGAAGGCTTTTCTATGCTTGGTTTTGGAACTGCTCCTTTTTTTCCAAGAAATTCATTTATTGTCATCACACTTATATCAAGGTTTTGCCAGGGGCTTGGTGCTGGCGCTATCAGCACGGCAACTTTTGCTATTATCGCTTGCGTATATAGTGAGAAAATTGAACTTGTTTTAGGATTTGTACAATCTGTAACTGGGGTTGGGTTTTTGATGGGCCCTCTCGTAGGGTCCGGGCTTTATGCGCTTGAAGGTTTCTCTTTTCTGTTTTTTACTTATGGGACAATTTTTTTAATTTTTGTGCCAATTATGCATTTTATGCTTCCAAGAGACACGAAATATGCAAAAACAAAAGATGATATAGAATTAAAGAATTTTTTTAGGATTCCTACAGTAGTTTTTGATGGAATTTTGCAGATTTTGTCGATAACCTCTTTTAGCTTTTTAAATCCTACTTTTTCGGACCATTTAGCCACTTATGGGATCAGCACAGCTGAGTCAGGAATTATGTTTACAATTCCTTCAGTAATGTATGCACTGTCAGTTTTTATATTGAATTATATACATTTATACTATGGCGAGTTGATCTAGCCATATATTGATATTTTGGTGGCCTTTTATAAATTTTTAAAAAAAAAAAAAACTAATTTAATATAAGACAATATAGGCAGAAAATCTATTATGATTATTGGACTAGCAATTGTAGGCATAGCTGATTTTCATCTAGGGCCATGAAAATATGCGCTTTTGCCTCACAAATTGTGGGTTGTTATTGTGTCTTTAGCAGTTTTTGGGTTTGGGATGGGACTTTGCCAACTTCCAGCACTGCCTGATATGGTTGAAGACTCTAAAAAGGTTCTAAATCAATATACAGAATTTCAAGTATCAGACTCTCTTTCAGGAATTTTGGCATCTGCATTTTATCTAGGGGAAATGATTGGCCCACCTCTAGCAGGGATTTTAGTTAGTTATACGCATTCGTCCTGACAGCAGCTCTGCATGTCTTGTCCTCAGCGGGACTCGAAAGACGCTCTCCTCGCCGCCTAGGCAAGGGATTCGAAAGACGCTCTTTTCGCCGCCTAGGAAAAGGGATTCGCTAACACCGTCTTGGCTTCCATGACTCGTGGAGCCTAAGAACAAAAAGCTTTAAATTATCCCTACACTAAATTTAGGATTGATTTGAATTGCTGGGCAAGCTGCTCTCAAATCTACCTCTAATTCTGGATTGCTCTGTCTGCTTATTTGAGAATTAAGCAAGCTGGACTCGCTTTCTAGATTTTTTTATTGGCTCGCTTACGTTTTTGGCTCCAAAGCTCCTGGCTCCAAAGAACCTGGGGTCCACAAATCCCCACAGCTCCCCGGATTAGCGGCTCCAAACACCAGAATCAGCATTTTTTCTCCCTTTTTCAGGGTGGAGCCTAAGGGCCCATCACCTAGGTCGAAACACTCAGCTTCTCCTTAAATAGATATCATCTCCTTGAGCCCTATTTGAGGGGAAAAGCATCTCCTCGGGGCTGCTGCGGTCCAATCCTTTCCAATGATGATCTCGAAGAAAAACCCAAGTCCTAGGGATCAGCTCCTAGTGACTCTAATAGACTCAATCCGACATAAATAAAGGATTGCCGACCCTTTTTACTTAAATACATAAAACTGGGCCGTTGCCTGCTGCTGTTGAAGAAATAAGGTCAAGAGGTCGTCACAATTTTTATGTATATTAGCAGGAATTTTAACTGATGAAATTGGCTTTGCGAATTCTGAAGCTGCAATAGGTATGACTCTATTAATTTATGCTATAGTTTACATCACGTTTTGCTATTTGCATCAAAAGAAAAATAAATACAAAGCAAATAGTTTGCTAATTGAGAAAGATATAGAATTAGAAATAAAAATTGATAAATAATTATCGTTTAGCAGTGATTTATACTCATAAAGCTAATGCATATAATAAAATTACTTCTTAAATCTGCTTTAGGGTATTTCATCCTTTTTCTTCTCTCATAAACCATTTAAAAAGATAAAGATATTCCATATTGCTTTATGGAAAATCAGACCGTTAAAAATAAATGATTTTTTATATTTTATTATGTCTAGCAAGTGAAGTCTTCGGAGATGGTGTCAAATATATCAAAAAAGGCCTGATGCTTAAATGAAAATTTTTGCCAGAGGAAGAAATTCAATTCCAATTATATATCCCTCAAGTAATTGCTGATGATCTAGGGTGGGCTGGAATCGGCTTTAAATACCCTGAAGATGATAGATACATGACAAATGCTGATATGGTGAATATTATTTTTGGAGAATCTATTTATGATTGTATAGCCCTGTCTAACGGAAGCCTTACATTGGGAGAAATGGTGTCGTCGACAGAAGATGGACTCTGAGACGCACTCCCTATGGAATAGGTGGACCCGTCGCGATGAAGCTGAAAATAGTGCCTCTGTAACTTTTTAAGCAGGCCTTCGGTTTAGGGATTCCTGGTGAAGAGGGATGTTTAGTTTCTCCCCGAAGGTTTTCCTACCAGATGGGCTAGAAGGTTTTGCCTCTAATTTAGCCTTTTCCTATCGGGACTAACTGGGCACCCGCAAGAGATGGCTCTAACCTAAGAAGCTAATCATTGGGTTAAATGGGATTAGCCAGATAGGCACTTTAGTGGTCTATCCTCTTATGACCCTATAATTTTAACTTAACTTACATTGGATACTGATGTAAATGGGACAAATGATTTGGTAGTAGATCCTACTATTTATGATGATATTCACGTTATTTTTACGTGGAGACGCAAACTCATCACAGATGATCCTAATGATATTATTTTTATCAAAGGTAATGAGTATAATCTTTTGTGGGCAATCGGCATAATGAAAAATGGAAACCAACTCAAGCATTTTAAATCAGGTCGTGGATTTGAATCGATTGTGCTTTCTGATGATTATTTTGATAATTCAGTGATAGGTGTAGAAAATGACTCTTTCCTCTCTGATGATTAATTAAAAATAAAATTTTATGAGAAATATACAAAATTATTGATATAAAAAATTTTAAACATTAATTGATAGTGATATTTGTTTGGGCTGTTGCAGACCTGTCATGCTTTACTTTAGAGCTCCAAAAATTTTTATTTGAAATTGAATGATTTATTTTATTTGCAGTACTGCCTTCACCTAAAGCGAGAATTTCTGCTCCATTTTTTCTGCCAATATATAATCTTGCCAAAATGTCTTTATAAATTTTTTTCAAGACTTCTTCTGAGGTGTCCAAGTTTATTGAAGTCTCTAATTGCAAACTAATTCCCCGTCCTCCTTGAGTGAGCAAAGCCATCGGAAAAAGAGTAATTTCCTTCAGTGAACAAACAATTTTTTAATATATAAATTTTTATAAAAAATATTTTGATATATAAGTGACAATTATTATAATGGAATCTCTGGTTAATTCTGATTAATTTTAAAACAAAATTTTGCAGATTTATATCAATATATACATTCCAATTATTTCGAATTGGATTTTTTTTTTAAATTTTAAAAAAAATGAACCCCTTGAGCGAACAAAATATTTTTGTTAGCTCACGGAGAGGGATTAAGTATACTCAAATATGCTAATTTTTAGCCTAATTTTTGGGTGCAATGCCATTATTTATTACTAGTATAGCGAATTCATAAAATCTTTATATCAAATTTTATATTTTTCAATGTATTTTATTTTTGGAATCAACTGCTTCAACTAGAATTCCTTTGCTATTTTTAAGCAAAGAGACCACATATTGCTTATCTTGAATAGATGTAATTGTTTTTAGTAGAAGTTTTTTAGGCTTAGAACTAAAAAAGCCATTCAAAATTTTCTGGCTTGTAAAGCTTTTTGGTGAAACATTTAAAGATTTAAAAGAAGTGATATTGCTTTCTTCTTTTAATTTTTTTTCTTTTTCAGACTTATGCACATGATGTTTGTGATACTTTTTCCTTTTTAATGCATCACTTGGCTTCTCCAACTTAGAAAGTTCATTTCTTGTTTCATTCAAAGAAATCAGCCTTACTACCTCCATCCTCCCTTACCGAACAAAATAAATTATTTTTGCTAACTGAATAAGATGAATTTTGTTTTTAAAAATTTATATCATTTGCATATTAAATTTTTATTTTCAAAATTTAAAAACATTCCTTCCAATTTGGAAAGCAAAAATAATTAATTTGTAAAATTTATCTGTTTAAAATTCAATGAAATTAGCTAGTGATTTCATTATAATAATTATCTCTTATAATCAAAATATTTTCTCATAAAAAATCTTTCTATTAAAAATTTTTCGTCACACGCGGAGGTTGTGTGGTTTTTACCCGAAAATTAGGGGAGTTAGTAAATTTTTCGACTGGGTATTTGAGGCATTTAATAATGTCGCTGGAGATCTCGTATCGCTAAGGCTTAGATTAATATTTGGTAATAATCTTTTTGTACTAGGCCGAATATTTGGTTGTGGGGTATATCTTTTTTCATAATATAGTTTTCTTATAATCCCTTGATCATGAATACCTAAATTCGGAAGAATTTTTTCTTCCAAAAATTTTTTCCTCGTGGTATCTCCAATCACTTTCAAAATATCACTGCCAAGATACATTGCAATAATTTCCCTCCCATGCTCAGCTTCAATTTTTATCCTTCCACTTTGAGCATATGCATAAATTATATACTTTTTCCCATTAATTTCTTTCATTTTCATTGCAATAAGTCCATGCTCTGAATGCTTATGTATTTTTCCGATGCTTTTTCTAACTCTTCAACCTCTGAAGAATTTTTGTATTTTATTGACTTTTTCATTCAAATTTAATTTTGGGACATCCAAGTTTAAATTTATGCTAAATTCGCCGACTTGCAGACAGTTATCTAGTAAATATATGGACAAAGGAACAATTCATTCTTTCTGGATGCCTGTGCTGCTACATACCATTTTTAGATCAACTGAAAGCTGTTTTCTTGAAAAAGTTGTGACCACAGGCGTTACATCAAAAATGAGAATTTCTGTTTCCTGGCCTTTTGTAATGCTAAAAATGGTATCAAGCCCAATTTTGACGACACATTTTTTAAAATTCAGTACTCTTCTTCTGCTTAATATTAGATTTTCATCAGTAATGCTCACAAAAGAAGACAAAGAATCCCCTGAATATCTCCTTTTAGACCTTACCAAAACTAGCTCATTGTCTATAATCTGAACTTCTCTAAACAGCACTTCACCGTCTATTTTTTTATGCATTTTTTTGAGTTTCGATATAGGGAATGTTTTTGCGTATTTTCATTCCCCAGTTTTTGGCTTATGGACTGAATAAACTTCTATGGTATAATCATTTGGGGCTTCGAAAATACTCACCATGTACTCCTCATCTCCAATTATTTTAGCTCTATGGATGACAAGCTTTCTCTGCGATTCCTTTCGTTTTCTAATTAAAAGCCGTTTTGCGATGACAACTCTGACGAACCGCTGGATGATTAAAGTTGCGGCTTTATAAGAGAGGCCTTCTTCTCGTCCATGCTCAAAAAAAGAATAATCTTTTATTTGGACATCTATATTGGCAGTTCCAGAATAATTTCGTAAAAATGCTGGCTTGCCATTAATTACTTCTAAAGCGTCTACTATAAGTCTTGGGTCTTGCAACTGGGAGTATCCAAAAATATAGAACGATGGGTCTATTAATTTTTCATATAATTCCCGAGTGTTCATATCTTGGATTTTTACTAAAATCCCTTTTTTACTAGAATATACAGAAATCATATAAGGAGTTTTTCCTATATACCTTATAGATCTGCATAAAAGTTTATAGCGAGATTCTCTATACCTTTTTAGAACCAACAGTTTCTTTAATTCTATAGCCATTTTCCGCTTATAAAACTTCTGAATAGTTTCAGCTGCCTTTTTTTCTATTTTTGAGTATTTTCTATCAGATAAAATTATTGCGTGAATTTTATAATGGTTTGGATTTAGCTTAATTTTTATCGGCGATTTTGGTCTCAACGGAGCATTTTCTGAGTCATTATTTTCATTATGTGACTCTGGAGACTCACTAATATTATTTTCAGTTAGGGTTTGAATGTGCTTATATTGATTAATACAAAGCTCATTTGAATTTGATAAATAAATGTAATCAGAAATTTTATCGTAATTTTCAGGGATCACTTCAACCTTAATTCTAAGAATATTAGCAAGCTCTCCTTTAGATAAGCATAAGTAACTATGAATAGGAATTGCTTCTATGGATTCCACTTCAATTAAAATGCTTTCCTTCATATTTTCGCCTTCAACCTCATAGTAGAAGATGTCAAAATTAAATTTTGTATTTAATTTTCCAACAGTATTGTACACTAAAAGTTTTGAAATTTGCTTCGAAACAGACTTTTTAGATATTATGATTTTTTCATCTTGAATATCTAAATGCTTAATTAGTTTATGAATGTGTGTATATACTTCAGAATTTTCTCAAAAATCAAGGATTTCACAAATTTCTGGAATGCTCATTGTGAGGGATTCAGGGTGCTGAAGCTTTTTTAATGGGTAAGCTTCAAATCTTATATGCTCATTTCCTTTTATGATTTCCTTGTACAAACTTATCACATATATACACCTGAAAAAGATTTTTTGAGTGCGTATCAGCAAGTTTCCATTCAGTCACTCACGCTTTGGCTTCAATAATTTTAGCAAATTAAATTTTTTTTTGAATCTTTCAGTTTCCAAAGTCTGAGCGGTAGCTCTTTGAGACATTTCTTCGCTTTTATGTAGAGAGTGTCAGGCTTTTATTTCAGTTTTATCCATTTTCATTTGAAAGTCATTAATTTAAAATCTTTATTTGACTGCTCTCAGTATCACCTAGGAGTAAAACACTTCGAAAATTTTTGGGTCTATTTTGTGCTTAGATATGAAATTAAGAAAGTAAATTTTTTTCTAATAAAATCCTTATAATGCTAAAATATAATAAATATTCTATTGAAAAATTGAATTTTTTACTCTAAAATTTGCTAAGAAATATTGATCAATTATAAAGAGATTATTGTTTATTTTCATTTGAAAAATATTGGGTTTTATAAATATTATTTGTATTTAATCTATATCTCAATTTTTTAATATTATGAAAATATAAATAATATGAAATCGAACAATATGCAAATTTCAAGATGAATCCATATCGAAGACAGGTATAAATAGCTGAATAGAAACAATATTTGCAATAAAAATATGGGAGGAGACCAGCCGAAAAATAAATTAATAAGAAGCCATCATAAAGTTTCAAGAAGTAGAAAGAAATGCGAAAAAGATGAGAATAAGGAGAAGGTGAAAGCAGCAAAAATCCCTTCGGAGATTAAAAAGATTGAAAAATCAACAGAAAAGAGTCCAAAAGTTGTGAAAATCTCTAACTCCCCCCCCTCCGTGAGTGAACAAAAAAATTTTGTTCACTCACGGAGGGGGGGTTAATATTTTTTTTTAGAAAAATTTATATATAAATTTATAAAAAAAATATTTTTTTCGAAATTTAAAAAAAATCCTAATTCGTAAAAATTGGAAAGCAAATATTAATTTAATTTATAAAATTTATGTTTTAAAAAAGCAATTCGTTCAAAATTAAATAGAACTAGCTCTAGATTTCATTATACTAATTATCATTTATATATCAATTTTTTTTTTCCATCAAAAAATATTTCTATTAAAAAAAATTTTTGTTCACTCACGGAGGGTGGGTTTTTGGTCAAAAAATAGCGATTTTTCTAATGGTTTTGTTCACTCACGGAGGGGGGGGGAGTAAGGATAAAATTAAACACAAGCACAAAAATCCTGAGCCATCATTCGATGATCCTTTAAGGGCATTTTATGAAAGTTTATTACAACAAAACCCAAATAGCCAAATGGCAAGAAAATATTGCATTGAGCATGGAATTTTAAAGGAGTAATAGTTAATTAAAATTGCATTAAAAAATACATTACTTGTAGTGGCTATGAGGCTTTTCTTGGCCAAACATTTTTAGGGTGCTCGGAGATATCACTTGAAAATGCTTTGCCGAAGCAAGAAACTTGCTTTTATTCGCTTTCGTTATTAGTCTTTCCATCTTAATCCTATGCTCGATTGCTCTTTCTTGGAAGGTATTAGAAATCGCAGCACTTTCTTTTTGCTCAGCATGCATTGTTTTATGTCCAATTTTTGAATTCATTGTGAAGGTCTTTAATGACTGGCTTCTGTTGATGTTTGAGCTCCAGAGATCTGATCTCGAGGCTTTTTCTCCTAGATCTAGATCTCTGCTTTCGTTTGGCAGCTTGAAGCTTGAAACTGGAGAAATTCCTTGAATGCTTGATTCTTGATTTTTCACCTGCATGTTCACATTTCCAAAATCTCTTTTCTTTAATTCTTCAAATTTTAAAGGTGAGTCGGCTTTGGAGATCGTCAATAGCTTCTGCCTTCTTCTCACTTCGTTTTTTATTTTCGTTTTGCCTTCCATATAGGCTTGATCGGTTTTATGGAAATCTTTCATTGAAATTTTTTCAGCTGGAGGGTTCATGGTTGTCAATAAGTTTTGTAATAGTTTATCAATTTTAGTTTTTTCTTTGTTTTTCGCAGAGCCCAGCTGAGAAGTAGGTGTGCCTTCTATTAAGCTATAGGGGTTTTCTCTATATGAACCGATAAGGGCTGTGGGTTCTCCGTGGAATCCCTCTTTTGGTCAAACCAACTCAGTGCGTTGGTTTGACCAATTCACTGTCTGGTCCGACCAGAAGAGGGATTCCACGGAGAGAATCCACGGCCCTTATCAGGCTATATAGGGAAAACACCTATAATCAAACTTGTAAATCTTTTTGCACGATTCAATTTCAAGCGGCCTTCATGCGGACTTAAGATTTGAGAACGGGTTGATATAGAAATTTGTGAGTTATACGGGGATTTTTCATGAAGCGGAGATATAGTTTTGGTGTGACCTCTATGAATGGACATATTGATTAACTTTATGTGAATTTTCAGCTCTTTAGATAAAATAAAGGCTGCAAAATTTTTTCACTTTATATTTATCTTTACTCTATCAAAAATAGGCATAATATATTTTTAATAAAAATATATAACTGGCCAATTTTCTAGCCTGAAACTCCTAGTAAAATTAGAAATTAAAAAAATTTAAATAATATCGCTTTGATTCTATTCAATTAATTCTCTCATTTGATTTAAAAAATCTGTTTCTCAAATTAATGGTAAATAAATGCTACTTGTTCTTGTATTAATTCAACTCATCTCTGCCTATGATGTTTACATAGTCCCACACTCACACTGCGACCTTGGCTGGCTGGACACCATAGATGGCTATTACAACTCTCATGTTGGCAAAATACTTGACAACATCGTGACTGTTTTGCAAAAAGATGTGAGAAGAAAAATAGTGTGGTCTGAGACCTCATTCCTAAAGCAATGAATCAATAATAGTCCAAAATCGAAAATAGATATTTTCAAAAGACTTGTTAAGGATGGGCAAATCGAATTTGTCGGAGGCGGGTATGTGCAGAATGATGAGGCCAACCCAGATTTCGATATGGTGATCAGGCAAATTAACATGGGTCACGAATACCTGAAGCAAGAGTTCAACGTGTCAAGGGTGCAGGTAGCTTGGCAAATTGACCCTTTTGGATACTCTGCCTTAACCCCGAGTATTTTCTCGAAATTCGGCTATGAGTATTTAGTAACAAATAGAATTGATGTGAATTTCAAAGAGCAGCTGTTTAAAGAAAAAAATATTGAATTCATATGGGAAGGAGTCAATTTTGGTCATAATGAGTCTATTTTGCTTCACAATCTGTATGATCATTATATTTTTCCTGACTTTTTCCATCATGACAACCCAAGACACTGCTTCACTTCAGACGATTTAAACCAAAATCTTCCTGACTGGTAAATTTTATTTAGCACTGGGCGTCTTTATGATTTAATTGAAAGAAGGAAAAAAGCTCATAGACATGATAATTTGATGATTTTGTATGGAGATGATTTTTATTATGTAAAAGAATGGGATTCTGAGATGAAATATAGGAGAATTGAGGCAATCAGAGAATATATGAGCAAAAAATATCAGAATATCAATATAAAAATAGCCACTGCAAGCGAATATTTTGAAGCATTAAAAGCTCAAAAAATTGAGTTTTCCACATATAAAGCTGACCTTTTCCCATATGTGAATCAAAGATCATCAGGAGAGCCTGGAATATGGACAGGATATTACACAACAAGACCTCATTTAAAACAGAAAATTTTTGAGAATAATCAGCTTGCTAGAGCAGCTGAAATAGCACAGTCTTTAAGCCTTGGGACTAATTTTTATGCATGGGAATCAAGCCTTACTTTACATCATGATGCTATCACAGGAACATGTAGGCCTCATGTTGCTGATGATTATAAAAATCGGCTTGCTTTTGAAAGAAAAAATGAAATAAGAGCAATAAAGGATGCGATTAAAGGGAAATTCACTGAAGTCAATGATAGTTTTGCATTGGCTTTACCATATAGAGTAGTTATTGTTTATAACCCGTTAAACTGGGAAAAGGCTAGCCTACTAAGTTTTGAGGTTGATAATGGCAAGTTTATACAAATAAAGGATTGAATGGGGAAAATTGTTGTTTCCCAGTCTGTTAAAAACCAAATGAATGATAAAAAGACAGTCTATATCAAACTAAAATTGCCTGCACTTTCATTTGTTACATTATTTATCAATGACTACACAGAGAAATGCCCTTTTTGTGACAGTGATTCTGAACAATCTACAGATAATTCTATATCTGACAAGTTTTTCACAATAAATTTTGACGATTCTGGACTGGTTGAAAGCATAGTAACGTCAAATATCACTTATCAGCTGAGCCAAACATTTTGAACTTACTCAGGAAGAAGTGCTGGAGCGTATTTATTCCAACCCCCAGATTCTGGGAATCAAATAAAAGATATGAAATTAGAAAAAATTGTGGTTTCCAAAGGAGAAGTATTAGAAACTATTGAAATCATATGAAAAAGATCCCAGAAAGCGCTGAATATAGACCACTACTATCAAAAAATAATTCTATACGGAGAGCCAAGGTTCATTTGGAAATATGGACTTTATGCAACTAACAATGATGAAATACTAGTCAGGTTTTCAAGCAATGATATAAACGGAGACAAATGGTTTCTTACCTCAAACTCAGGAGACTTAAGGGAGAGAAAATACTATCAAGAAAGCTCAAGTCGAAAAGGTTACAATATGTATCCCATCCCAGGAGGTTTTGCTGTGAAAATGAAGCAGAGCTATTTAAAATTTTTCCCAAAATTCTCAGTCGGCGTTGCGATGGTAGACAATAGCTCTTTTGAGCTGCTTCTTCATCGAAAGCTTCAGCAAGACGATGGCTTTGGACTAGGCATGGGGGTGTCTGATGATACTTTTGTTCACTATCATTTTGAGGTAGATTTAGGTGATCTTACACACAAAAGTTATATGAAATCCTATTTAGAAGCTAAAACAGACGTTTATTCTTTTACTCTTGCTAACCATAACGATATCACAATTACTGACGATATTTGGTCTGAAGGCGCAATTTTGAACTTTAATTGGAATAAACAAAGAATTTACTCCTTAGGATTCAACAGCTCTGACTTCTACCTTTCAAGTGTAGGGATGAAAAATGGCAAGCTATTTATGAGGGTTCTAAATCTGAAAGACTCCCATCAGAGTTTGCATGCAAGTGGATGGAAATTTTCAAATAAAAGCTTGTTTAATGGGAATTTGAATTTCAGCACTTACCCTTATCCATACAGAGCAAATAAGGAAATTTCTTTTATAAACAGAGCAGACACAGGAATGAAAAAGCTGCTTCCGAAAGCAGATGAGGAGTCTGATGGAGAAACGATGATGAATCCTTATGAGTTTGCAGCTTATTATGTTGAAAGCGTTGCAGCAGATGAGCAAGAAAACGAAAATAATACTAAAAGTGAATCAGATAATATAGAAGAAAGCGAAAGCGGTATAAAAAGTGAACCAGAAGATAGAAATCAAACTAATGGAAGCATAGAAAATATCGAAGAAAATAGCAATTCTGAAGAAAAAGATCCTGGTGAGGATGATCATAGTGAAAGCACTGGGAGCAAAAATCAAGAAGGAAACAAAAATGAAACTGATAAAAATCAAGAAGAGGATTTTAAAAACAGTCCTGAAGAAGAAAGCCGAAATAGTACTGATGAACACCAATCAGAAAATAAGAACGAAGAAATAAACAACGAAAATAACAAACAAATAAAAGAAAACGAAGAAAGAAATATGGCAGGAAATGAAACTCACTACATTATAGTAAACATCTCAGATGCTGATGAAGAAAAACTAGATGGTTCACAGATAATCGAGTTTTGCATACTCTTTGGCGTATCTATTGTGTTTTTAGCCAGCATCATTATCTATATTAGGAGAAAGAAACCTCGTATTATAAGAGTAATATAAAATTAAACCATAAATATGCATGACAGCGGCTGTATATTGTATAAAGAATCGTTTTCAGGAATATTTTCATAATAATTTTTAAAAGCATAAGGTCTGCGAGCTTAAATGCATATCAAATCTGATATAGTCCCAATCGAAATAACTCAAAACCCTCATTGTATATTAGCAGTCAGTTAATGCCTCATCTAGAGATGGAAATCACCGTCTGGATTTCTCCAAATTTATGATCTTATCTAAAAAATAAAAAAACTGCTTCAAGAACCCACAAATTCTTTTTTAAAATCACTTCCGCATTAAATTAAACTTCTATAGTGGAATAAATAATAAATGTGGGCTTTTCTCCTGCTTCTTACTGTTTGCTCCAGTATTGAAGTATACATTGTCCCACACTCACATTGTGATCCTGGGTGGATTGAAACAGTGAAATGGTATTATGACCGACAAGCTCGAAGCATACTGAATAACATTGTAGTCATCTTGCAAAAAGATCCAAGAAGAAAAATAGTGTGGTCCGAAACATCTTTCTTGAAGATATGGATGGAAGAGATAACAGATGCCAAGAAGGACCTTTTCAGACAGTTCGTGAAAAATGGACAAATCGAGTTTGTGGGAGGCGGGTTTGTCCAAAATGATGAAGCCAACCCAGATTTTGAAATGGTCATAAGGCAATTAGAAACTGGCCATCAATATCTCAACCAGGAATTTGGCATTAACAGAGTTAAGGTCGGCTGGCAAATAGATCCGTTTGGCCACTCTGCCCTGACACCAAGTCTATGGTCGAAATTTGGCTATGAGTACTTGGTGACTAACAGAATCAACATCCTGATGAGAGATGAGCTTGTGAGAGAAGGAAACATTGAATTCTTATGGGAAGGCGTCAATTTTGGGTATAACGAGTCTATTTTCACTCACAATTTATATGACCATTATGACCCTCCTCCAATGCTGCACCCTTACAAAAATCACTGTTTTACTAAGAACAACCTCAGTGACGAGCTTCTCAGCAGATGGTAAGATATATTTAGTATGAAGCTTTTGAATGAACTAGCCAAGACAAGGAGATCAGCCTACAAGCATGATAAACTTATGCTTCTCTATGGAGACGATTTCTATTATATGAACTCTGACGAGGCTGAAAAGCTTTATCAAAGAATTGAGGCATTAAGAGATTATGCAGAAAGGTCAAATGAATACCCAGGACTGAAGATAAAAATCGCTACTGCCAGTGAATATTTCGAAGCAGTCAAATCAACAAGTCCTAAGCTGTCAGTGTACAAAGGAGATTTATTGCCTTATGTGAACTTCAGAGCTGGGAGAGAGCCTGCGCATTGGACTGGTTATTACACAACGAGGCCTCACTTAAAACAGACTATTTATTATACACATAAACTAGTTAGGGCTACAGAAATAGTTTTGGCACTGAGCAAAGGAGCTTCTTTTTTCGCTGGAGAATCCAGTTTAGCTTTGCATCATGATGCTATCACAGGGACTTGCAGACCACAAGTGGTTGAGGACTATACAGAGCGTTGTATAGAAGAGCAGAAAAAAGCTATCAGTGCCATTAATGACGCTATACAAGACCGATTTTCAAGTGCAGAGACAAGTTTTGAATTAGCGATTCCTTATAGAGTTCTGATTGTTTATAACCCACTTAACTGGGCAAAAACAAATCTCTTTAGCCTGGAAGCTGATGAGAATGTTTTTATCCAAATAAAAAATTGGCAAGGAGAATACGTTTCTTCTCAGTCAGTAAAAAGCATCCTTGGGAATAAGAAAACAGTCTATGCAAAGATCGAAGTCCCAGCGCTTTCATTTGTCACGCTATTTGTCAACGAATATACAGAAAGCTGTGAACATTGTGACAAGAGTTCAGAACAGCAAGAAAATGGCAAGACTATAAGTGACAAGCATTTCATAATAAACCTTAATGACTTTGGAATGGTCCAAAACATCAAAAAATCAGGCAAAAAATACGACTTAAAGCAGACCTTCTGGACTTACTACGGGTCTCGAGGAGGAGCTTACATTTTCCACCCCACGAATAATGGTAATGAAATCAATGATCTCAGCCTAGACAAAATCATAGTCTCCAAAGGGCCTTTACTAGAAACTGTAGAGGTGGTATGGAGAAGAGAAAGAAAGACTTGGGATGCTGACTATTACTATCAAAAAATAATTTTATATGGAGAACCCCGATTTATTTGGAAATTTGGGCTTTTCGCTACCAGTAATGAAGAAATTCTTGTAAGGTTTTCAAGTGACAATATAACTGGCGATAAGTGGCTATTGACCTCAAACTCAGGAGACCTGAGAGAAAGGAAGTATTTCCAAGAAACTGCAAGCAAAAAAGGATCGAATATGTACCCAGTCCCAGGTGGCTTTGCTGTCGATATGGGCAAAGAGTATTTAAAAATTTTCCCCAAGTTTTCTAATGGAGTAGCTATGGTCGACAATTCCTCTTTTGAGCTCCTTCTTCACAGACATCTAGGCCAAGACGATAACTTTGGGCTTGCTTATGGGGTTGATGACTATATGTTCCTTCATTACCACTTTGAAGTCGAACTAGGCGAACTCACACACAGAAGCTATTGGAAATCCTACCTAGAAGCCAAAGCTGATATCTATGCTTTTCCCCTCATAAACTTCGATGAGTTCTCGATATCAGGAGAAGCTTGGTCTAGCGGTGTCCAAATTAACCAAACTTGGGACAAAGAAACCATCTACTCTTTAGGCTTCAACCATTCAGATATTTATCTATCAAGCGCTGTAATTAAAAACAGTCAGCTGGTTATGAGAGTGATGAACCTTAAGGACGCAGCCCAAAGCTTGTATGTCAAAGGTTTCCAGTTTATGAAGAAAAAGCTGTTTGATGGCTTTTTAGATGCATCGTCTGTTCAGGTCTCGTGGAAAAGAGGCAAAGAGTTTGAGTACAGCCAGAAGCCAGACACAAGCATGCCGAAATCCTTACCTAGAAGCGATGAAGACTCAAAGAAAGGCAAGGCTATGCTTCATCCTTTTGAGTTTTCAACTTTTAACGTGAAAATTGTGCCAGCTGGAGAAGAGCAAGAAGAGGGTAATGAAGAAGAAGTCATTGAAGAAACAGAGGGCGAGCTTGAGAAGACAGAAGGAGATACTCCATTAGTGACAGAGAGGCCAGGAGTTTCGCAAGCAAGCTTTGATGATATTCAAAGACTAGAATACGCTATCGTGTTTTCGCTGACTGGAATTGCTTTGATCAGCATTATTTTGCATTTTAAATCTAAAGGGAAAAGGAAAGGAATCGATTAATATTAAGCTTTTAGTTAAGAAAATTATAAAAGTCATTCATTTTTTTCTATCCAAGAGAGTCTCTGGGTATCTACGTATCAGAGATAGCTCTATACTTTAAATTATTTAAAGCGCATATAGAATTCTTTTATGGCAAACTTTCTGGTTTTCTTTTATTTTAATAATAAAACTTTAGCATAACTGCTTCCTTTTAAACTCTTTTTATTCTTATTTCTATCTACTAAGTCAAAGATAGATTCAGAATCGAGATAATTAAATAAATTATGTAACACCTAATACCCTTACATTATTTCTACCTGGATTCAAAAATTCTCAGCCAAATTCCTCATTAGTTTTCTTCACTTGCGTTTTCTGTCGCTTCTTCTATCTTGATCAGGTTTGGCGAGCCTATAGTAAAGCCATCTCCGTCCTCAGACTTCAGCCTTTTCTTCCTCTCCAGCAAATAGTTGTCTAGTGGTGACGTCATTTCGTCTAGCATGTTTCTTGGCGGTATATAAACTTCCCCAGGTTTTTGCCTTTGCTTTGCCAGCCTGATGAATTCACTCTGGATTTCCTCGAGATTGGAAGCTGGATCGTGCTTGCTAAGGATCCGCATAATGGCTGGGTCGTTTTTCTCCACCATTTCCTTCAAGATTTCTTCTTCGTGCATGGATATTGCTCTGGAGTTGTAAAGACCAGCTATGACAGAATATGCGTACTCCATAATTTAATATAAAATTATAATCTTATTATTTATGCTCTCATCAGTTTTTCGCATTTTTCTCTTAGTTTCTTTGCTTTTTCTTTTAACTCCCCCCCCTCCGTGAGTGAACAAAACCATTAGAAAAATCGCCATTTCTTGCCAAAAAAAAAACCCACCCTCCGTGAGTTAACAAAAATTTTTTAATAGAAAAAATTTTTTATGGAAAAAAATTTGATATATAAATGATAATTAGTATAATGAAATCTAGAGCTGATTCTGTTTAATTTTAAACGAATTGCTTTTTAAAACATAAATTTTATAAATTAAATTAAGATTTGCTTTCCAATTTTTGCAAATTAGGATTTTTTTAAATTTCGAAAAAAATATATTTTTTATAAAATTTAAATATAAATTATTTTAAAAACAAAAATTAATCCCCCTCCGTGAGTGAACAAAATTTTTTGATCACTCACGGAGGGGGGAGTAAGTATTTATTCTGTTTCTTGTAATTTTTTAAGTCTTCTTCGAGGTGGACGTTATAATTTTTCAAATTTTTGATTTCCCCCTTTGTTTCGTCTACCCTTTCACTTGAAGTCTGTGCTGCATTGTTCTCTGCTTGGAAAACAGCGCACTCATAGAGTTTATCGTATAATTTGGAGTCCAGAAGGCTTGTTATTGTAGCATCGCTGTCGTCTAAAGCGAAGACATTATTATCCCTTTCTTCAAGAAGCAGATAAGCTATAATCTCTGCTTCAATTCTATTGGACTGGTTTAGGTATAATGCGATTTTGGCTTTTTCATTCTTAGACATGCTTATCCATAGCAGCATTCTTTTGTCGCTTTCAAGCCATTCTTGTTTCAATAAATACGCAATAGGATCCCTTGCTGACTTGTAGGCTTTTACAATATATTTGATATCTCCAATCCATTTTTTTGCAAATGCCCTTTTGTCTTTGTCTTCAAGGGATACCCATACATGTCTTTGAATTGTTGGGCTTCATTCTTCTGCATCACTGCTAAACCTCGTCCGATCAAAAACTGCAGCATTCCATACCAGCACACGCTCTTCATTCTGGAAGGACTCTTCTCCCATTCACATGGTCAGCTTATCTCTTGGAGGAGTTATGTCCCACAGCTGCATTTGCCGATTAGAAAGTTCAGAAGACTCTGGAGGTTCGAGACCTTCTTGGATGGCTTTTTCGATTTTTCGCCTTAAATAATCGTTATGCAAAATGGACAACTGTCTCCAGATTTTGAGCTTTCCCAGCGCATCTTCTTGCAGTCATTGATTCTCTTCGACAAACACAACTTCTTGGAGCATGGCTGGCAGAACGACTTTTTCTGCAGATACGTTCTCTTCTTTGAGGTTGGGGAGGTTGATCTTGCCGTTGCTCTTTTCTAATAAACTTTCTTCCAAAACCCTTATTCACGCATTCACAGTATAGTTCACAGGCTTGACTGTTTCTATTTCATAGTCTAGATTCTCAGAAGTCTTTGGTAGCTCTCCTTCAGAAGGGGTGTCTTGGCTGTCCTTTTCTTTGGCTTTATCGTCACCGGCATCCTCCCATTCCATTAGTTCTTTTCTCTGTCACTTAGCTTTGAGTATGAGAATTATTTTTTTGAAAAATCCAATTTGTTGCATTTTTCTGCTATCTTTTCCAGTGTTATAGTGGGCATAAATAATTGCTATAAAAATATTTAGCAGCAACAAATTAAAGATGATGCTAAGTGTGAGAAACCATAGCATCCCTATTTTTCCATCAGCTGATATAATCTGATTAACACTAAACTGTCCTACAAGCACGCTGAATGTAGAAAAAAGGGAATAGTTGAATAAACGGAAATTTGTGATGGCTTGACCGAAAATTAAATACCCCATTATTGTGTAGCCTATGATCACGATGAAGAACATCAATATAAAAAAGATTAGATCAAGCTTGGCAGAACTCAAGATGTCGGTCAAGAGCGATAGCTGCTTGCTGAACTCAAAGTATTCGAGAAATCTGAGAAATATGATCAAGCAGTTGAAGCAAGTAATAATTTCATATTGAGTATACAAATCACTAATCTCGCTAAATTCCCCAATTGAGTTTTCCCAATCATCCCCAATTTTATAATTTCTGACAAAATCATTAGACATCAGTGTTGCAAGAAAGGCTAATTGAATAACTGATAAAATCACAGAGATGAGCTGAAGAAGTTTAAACATGTCCATCTTCAAAAATATTATCAAAGACTGGAAAAGCTGCTTGACTGTAAAAATAATTCACACAAGCCCTCTCCTGATCTTTTTCCCAAAACTTGAAAATATAATCCCCATTCCTGCCTTATTTTCTTCATTATTATTGCCTTTGAGTTTATTTAGCACGTCTCTGACTGCTTTTTTCCCTCTGAGAATCCTTTTTCTTTCTCCAGCTAACTTCCTCATGATTTTAAGTCATTCATAGCCAAACTGGCAAATAAAATAAATTATGAATAAGAGGAAAATGACATCAAGCACAGCTCTGATCTGAAATTGCTGAGTATAAACATCCAGCTCAACAGTTTTTGAAGAAAGGCTTGGTGAGATCTTCCCAGAAACATCAAGAGTAAAAGATATATAAGCATAAACAAACATGTTCATGTTTATGTTGTAAGTGATTCATTCAAGGGCAAATACATTTGTTTCATTTCCTACAAAGCCATCTGCCTTTGAATTTATAAATGCTTGCTGGATATCTTGCGAATTGAAAAGTTCGTAGGTACATCCGCCTTCTTTTTTAAAAGTCTCTTTTGTCCCAGAACTAATATATCTGAATTTAGTTAGAGTCGATAGTCCTTGAAGGTTCTCATGATTATATTCTGGAGGATAGCTTGTGGCATTTTTTATCACAGAGTTTGAAAAAGAATTATCATTTTTATCGAGCTTGTACCGATTCATCGTAACACGAACCTTTGGGCTCGTCAAAAAATGATTTTGGACGGCTACAGTTTGCGATTCTATGTAAGGGACCATTATTTGCTGCAAAAACTCATATGCAGACTCAGCATTATTAATATCATAAAAAGTGACATTGGTGCTACTATATACAAATTTAGGCACTGCTAAAGAGTCAGCAACTAGCGAGTTCAGAGCAAAAGATTCTTCAATCCTCAGCCTATATTTGGCTGCAATCACATAAATTATGATAAAAATTATATACAAAATCATTTCGACAAAGAGTTTGAAATTGTAATTTACTTCATTTTCCCTTACTTTCTTCAAGATTTCGTTTTTCGCCTTTTCTTGCTCCATTGTCCTAATCGTATTTTTTAGCTTGAGTGATAGCTGCTCTCTAGTCAATAAGGAAGAGCCTGCCCCTCTAAGTGCAAGTTGGAGCTGCCCAAAGTTGTATTTTACTATGCTAAAGATATTTTGCTGGCTTTGAAGTAAAATTGTGTTTTCAAGCCTCCTCATGCGATCATTTATTTCTTCTTGTTCCTGGGCGTTTGTGGTAGATTTCACTGAAAGAGTCTGATATTCAATGGCATCTTCTTCTAAGGTGTTTTTTATTCTGAGTAGTAAAAAATTCAGAAGAATCTCAATAAAAGCATTGCTGTCTTCAGTCAGCATGCGAGCTCTGGCTTCAAGGAGCAGCTGAGACCTACTCCTTAGTTCTGTGTACACACTCAGAACAATGGCAAGGAATGTATTTAAAATGATAAAATAAAAAAGCGAAATAAAAACAATATAAAATACCCCTGCAATACTATAGTTGCCTACCGTCATTTCATCAATTATTTCTATCGCAAGCAGCGCTGACCAAAGAGATGACATTGCAGTGCCGAACGTCGAAAAGGAATTTGTCGTTAATCCAAACCCTACAAATGCTGAAAGCGAAAAAGCAATAATAAGGAGGATTGTAATAAACCCAAAATTCATGATATCGTTCTTTGCCATGTTGATGGTATCGAAAAGCACCCCAAAGGATGGGAACTTAGACTTTAAAATGACCAGAACCCTGAAAATGATCAAAAGAGTAGCCACTGCGGTAACTCTTATCAGAATCTTAAAATTTTGGCAATAAACCACGAAGTCGCTGAACTGACTTTCAGAATCTATGGGGATTTGCAATTTACCAATATTCCCGATCACGTTTTGAAGAAATAGGGAGATAGAGGTAATAACTAGCAGTAGTGTAACTATTTCCAAATACTCATGCCAAGCTATATCTAGTTTCAGCTTTGTCCAAAGCGTTGTGCAGATCCTTATAATACTTTGAACGAATTTGTAAATCTGCAAGAGAAAACCAGCAATATAAATAAGTCCTAAAATGACCACAATTTTTGATTCAGGAGTCCAACTTTCATAAGCTTCAGGGAAAATCCCAACGGAGTCGCTGGTGCACGAAAAACTCCCTGAGCTGGTTCGCTCAATTGTTTGATAATAATACAACGTGGTCATCATATTTGAATTTTGAACTAACAGTTCTGCGGTGATGCTCACAAAATAGTCTGGGCTCAGTCAAATCGGCTTCATTACTCTTCATCTCACCAAAGCATCCTGCAAGGTTAGGTTACAAAAAAGCTCGAAATAGGCACCTGCTTCTCTGAAGCCTCCTCCACTGGAATAGTTAAAAATCCCTAAATCATTTTTCTCTTCGCCGTCAGAATTGGAGTCTCCAGCTCCCAAATCAGGGTCTTTTCTGACCCATCTGACAGCTTCTTCATATTCAGAAAAAGGATTCTCTTTTAGGATCGCTCTTTTAAGGGAAAGCCTGAGCCCGACCACATAATTATATTTGTTTATAAATTCGTTAGTAAAGGCACCAGGGAACAGGACTCTCCTGTAATATGTGTCTAAGTCAGTCAGCGACTCAATGTCATTGAAATATTTGTTTGGGTTGCCGGCTCACACGGTATTTTCGAAAAAATCAATAATTGTGAGACTTACTGGGGAGGACTTGTCGACTCTGTTGATAAAGATGCTCAAAACTATGAAAATTAGGGAAACGATAACTGATATGTAAACACCTTTCACGTTTACAGGAGTTGCTTCTAGGGACCTCTCAAGGTCTTTTTCCACGACGGAAAGCTTTTTTTCAATTGCTTCAAGCTCTTGATCAACAAGTTCAATATCGTCAATAGTCAGTTGTCCTTTTTGCCTGCTTATGCTTTCGAGATCTTTTTGCCGCTTTTTTAAGGAAGATGTCATGTTTAGTATGGGCTTTGTGTCTGTTTCGCCAGCTTCGGCATCCTTCTCAATGAAACTTGAACTCTCCATAACCCTGTCTTCCATTTTATTAATTAGCCGTTTAAGCCAAGACTTAAAAATATATTGAATTTTACCTACAAGGCAAATTCTGGAAATGATAAAATCAAGATTCTTACACTCTCGATAGAGTAATTTTTTTTAAAAAATATATATATATATATTTGTAAAAAATCCCAATAAAAACTAACTTAATATTTAAAATTTATGTTTTTAAAATGCAATCTGTTTAAATTTGAGCAGAATTGGAGAGAGATTCATACTAATTCTTACTTATATATTAAAAATATGTTTTAAAATCTTTGCTCAAGCTTTTTTTTAATGCAAAACAAAGATTTTTTCATGATTTTGTTCGCTACAGAAAGATATATATATATAAATTATATATAAAGTAATTTTTTTTCCATAAATATCAATCGTAAAAACTGGAAAGCAAAATTAATTTAATTTGTAAACGTTATATATTTTAAAATGCAAACTGTTAAATTCAACCTATATATCAACATTTTATTCATAAAAATTTGTATATTATAACTATTTTTTACTCACGGAGGTTGGCGTTTTTAAAAAGTAGGGATTCTTCCAATGGTTTTATTCGTTCATTAAGGGGGGAGATAGTAAATTGACTTGATTAAAGAATTTTATATGCTATAATGGCCAGCTAATTCTAAAAAAAAAATTTTTTTAACTTCCAGTGGCTGAATCTCTTCTAAAAATTTTTTTACTATCCTGAACCTTTTAAACTATTTTTCTAACTCCCCCTCCGTGACTGAACAAAACCATTAGAAAAACCACTATTTTTCGGCCAAAAACCCACCCTCCATAATGAACAAAAATTTTTCTGATAGAAAAATTTTTATGGAAAAAAATTTTGATATATTAATGATAATCAGTATAATGAAATCTAGAGCTAATTCTGTTTAATTTTAAAAAATTTGCTTTTTAAAACATAAATTTTATAAATTAAATTAATATTTGTTTTTCCAATTTTTGCGAATTAGGATTTTTTTAAATTTCGAAAAAAATATTTTTTAAAAAAATTTATATATAAATTTTTTAAAAAAAACAAATTAACCCCCTCCGTGAGTGAACAAAATTTTTTTGATCACTCACGGAGGGGGGGGAGTAAGATTCTGAACTTAATTTTGTCATTTTCTGCTGTGTCAGCTAGCGCCTAATGAGTAATTCCCTTGAGCTTATTTCTTGAGCAATACCATTATTTTTTAATTTCACTAATCTTTAAGCTTATAAAAGTCGGCTTCCGCCTTATTGGTAGCACAATCACAAAGGATCCCCGTAGGGAATCAATCGCTTCGTGACGTTATGAATTGAACTATTTCAGTTAAGATTATTCGTTTGACAAGTTAAATAGCCCCACCTTACTCCTTTTTCAGTCCCTGATACCATGGGGCATCATAAGTGTTAAGCTCTTCCTTATCCATCCTTCTTTCTTGTAGGCTCCAGTTTTGAGTAGACCGACTGTGGACTTCTGCTGGCCTTGCTTCAGTTAATGGGTTGAACGAATTGTCCACACAAAATCCCGAAAAATGGAATTTCTGGTCGACTATCGTCAAAAAGGAAAAATCACGCTAGAGAGTTACCCAAATGGTCTAGGCATCAGCTGCAGATTTGCTTTCAACTCCAAACTTCCTTTCCCTTTATGGGTTTGCAAAACCTTGCCAGATATAATTAAATATGTGTTCGAGGCTGCATTACTTAGAGGCAATATCAGGACCAAGACGCCATATTTAGTATTAATATCACTAATCTAGCATACTCATCTAGGGATAATAAATCTGTTGACAATAAAAGCTAAAAACTTATTTACTATTGAATTTAAGTACGATTTTGCTTATAAAGAATTATCTTTATAGCTGCATTTATAAGAATCAATTATTAAAAAATTTTTAAAATGGCCTTATTTGAATTTCATAAGTGCTTATTCTTTCTTTTCCTAAAAAACAAAGTTTTCTTTACTTTTCAAGTTTCTTTGTTTATGGGGATGAAGAAAAAGTTTTAATATGGCCTATATTTCATTGACTTTTTCTTAAATAATCTAACAAAAAATGACGAAAATTTAAATATTCAGCCAATAGCTCAATAAAAATGATAATAGCTTTCTAAATTCATTCTTTATTACTAGCCATTGCTAGAGATATTTTCTAAATTATCTCCAAAACCCTATATATTTCTAGGATTTACGCTACCATAAACCTAAAAAAACTACTTTTAATTACTAATTTCAACAAAACCTGCATGCATGTTCTCATGCCTTTTTATTCAAAAGTTATATTTAGGGCTTATTAAACTTATTTTAAGTTTGAATTGCTTTATATTTTTCATTAAAATTCATCCATAATTTTCAATAATTTTATGAGCTGATAAAAAATCTTCGCTAATAAAAAATTAAATTTTTAGTAATAGCGGTATACTTCATAGAATTGTTCCTGATAATGAAACCGTTTTTAAGTTGATTACAAGTCCAAACAAATATTTGGCATATTCTATCAACCAAGTATCTAAAACTTCTACAGCATCTCAGTATTAATATTTGTTCTGTTAACAAAGCAAGCTTCTAACCACTCGCATCAATATCAATTGAAGTCATATCATGTGCTTATTCGCGCATGAATTGACCACTCATTGCAGGCACAAAGCTCTATAGCATCCATAGTCCAGTTCGATAAACTTTATTTGATTGTATTAACACCCATGCCCGATTTGATCATTAATTCTTGCACACAAATTGAAATTGCAAAAGGGGAAGGTCATTTGTAAAAAGTAATCTAGAAAATGATAGATCTTCTACTGGCCAATTTACTCCGTGCCAAGTACTTATATCGAGTAATTTTCCTAAAAGCAATTTATAGGGGTTTTTGGTGTCAGTGGCTATGCCTGAAGATTCAATTAAAGCTTTGATCCAAATTTGTCGTACAATAATTTGTATTTATTAAACCTTATCTATCGGAACTCTGAAATTTATAAGGTTGAAACTTGACTTTTTTCGCTCGCTACTGCAGTAGTTCAGTCCCTGCTTTGATAAGAATAAGATTGGCTTGATTGCTATTATTTGCATTTTATTAGATATTGACTTAAAACTCTAATTTTAAAGAATTACGGTGAAAAGCTAAGCTTAAATTGATAAAATTAAAAAAATAGTGATTTTAATAATTTATTGATTATAGAAATTCAGCATGTCTATGATAATTAGCAAGATTTGGAACTACGATGTATGGTATAACCCATTCTCTCATGTAAAATCACATATCAGCTGATGGGACGAAATGCTTGAAACTTTCAGCGGAAGAACTTTATTCTTGCTATTTTCTGTCTATTTCTCACAAGGATTCCGCCAATTTGGGTATTTTGCTACAAGTCTCTATTTGAAATTGTCATTCGGGATGGAGTTTTCTGAAAATCAGCTAATACAGACAATGATCCTCTTAGCTTGGAACATAAAACCAATTTATGGGCTTATAAGTGACAATTTTCCTATATTTGGATTCCATAGATGTGGATATTTATTCTTATCTGCTACGATCGGGACGATCTCTTTTATGACCTTCTTCTTCATACAAAACTTGACTGCCTCTATTATTGCTTTAATCATTTCAGAACTCAGCCAAGCGATAGCAGACGTAATGGCTGATGCTATTGTGGTGCAAGAATCAAGAAAAACTCATATAGAGGGATCCGACTACCTTCAGTCGTTCTGCTGGTTTTGGCTTGCATTAGGTGCTATTACTGGTGGGCTTTTAGGTGGGTTTTCCTTGAACTTTTTGTCTCCTAATAATGCTATTGGTGTCCAAGTGATTTGTCCAATTCTGATCATGATAGCTACATTTTTATACCCCGAGCAAAAATCAACTGATCACAGCTCTTGCAGCTCATTTTGCTATAAATTGCGAAGGCTATTTAAGCTTTGGTCCAAGCCAATTGTGTTTAAAGTGATGATTTTCAACTTCCTTAACAGAGCAACTGTCCCTTCCTTTTCTATGCTGATGTTTTATTTCTATTTTGACAAGGTGGGATTTTCAAAAGAATTCACATCAGCGCTTACAACAATTTCGTTTATAGGGCTTGCCTGTGGAAGCTTTGTGTATGCAAAATTTTTTACGAAAATTGCTTTTAAAAAGCTTATGTTCTGGGGGTTGATTTTTATCACTTTTTTCAGCATGATAGATTTTTTATTGATTTTTGGAGTTTATAAAGACATAGGGATAAAGGCAGAATATATAGCTGTTTTTAGCACTTTTATTGGAAATATTGCAGATTTTACAATAAGAATGATGCCAACATTAGTGATTGCTAGCTTATTATGCCCAAATGGCTCTGAAGCAACCCTCTTTACATTATTTAATTCATCAAATAATATTGGAATATCTGTATCATCTTTATTAGGTCCCATGATAGCAAATACCCTAGGGATTTACAATGCAAATAATCCAAATATCTGGATTCTATTTGTAATTGGAAGTCTCTCGAATCTCATATTAGTGCTATTTTTGTTTTTGATCCCAGAAAGTAGAGAAAAGTGTTCAGTTGAAGACGAAAAGCTTGCCCAGCCTCTGCTTAAGAATTAATAATAAAATATATTTAATTATCTTATAAATTGCCAGTATGTTTATAATAAAATTAATAATTATTGTTTAGGTCTAAAAATCATAATTTCCATTATTGAAAAGAATTTTAATTAAATTAGGATTACAAAAATAGACAGATTTCTTTGATAAGATTTGGAGAGAGAGCTCTATAAAAATTAGTCCTTTTTCATACTCATAATAGTTTTTTCCTATCATGCCAAGGCATTGTAGCCCAAGGTCCATGCACTTCTTGATAAGCCAAGAGTGTTACAAGCTCTTTGTTTTGATTAACGATTGCAATTCCTTTCGCTGTCACCCCAGAATCAGTCTTTTTGCTGACGTCTGCTCCTTTTCTGCATAAATAATCAGCAATCCAATTAGATTCCCTTGAGTTTTGAAAGGCACAAATATGAAGAGCAGTGCAGCCATCCGTATTTGTCTCATCCAGCTCAACTCTGTAGCCATCTACTAGCAATTTTACTACTTCTAGCTGATTACTTTGGCAGGCAAGCATTAGAGCATTCCATAGATTATCATTCAATGGCTTCTGTGTAAAATATGGATTCTTGTCTACTAATTCAACAATTTTTGGAATGTCTCCTCTCATGATAAGCTGAGTAAATTCTTTGTTTAGGCTTTTGGGCTTGCTTTGTGTTTTCCCCATAATTAAATTATTGTGTCTTTAGGGATATTTCAAAGAAAATAAGAGTTTATTGGAAGCGTTTTTAATTTAATCATATATTATTCGTCTTCAGAATTCTCACTCCCTCCTCAAAATTGAAACTAAATATAGATAAAATTCCATTTTTTGGTAAATTAACACTTTAAATTTGAAATACATTTTTAATTTTAAAAATAATAATTTTAAAATCAAAAATATTTAAAATTTATTATTTTTAAGTTACACTTCGAATAGATAAATCTGATATAATATTTTTTTAAAAAGATTAATATGTCTTTTTTAATTAGAATATTTTTTTGGTTCGAATTTAAAGGGGGAGCCAGGTTTTCTTTTATGGCTATGACCTTTTGGCTCCTTTCTTTCTTGAGATATTTTTCTAGGTTTTGGCTTTTCTTCTTCTAGTTCAAGCTCCACATTTTGTTTTCTCTGGTTCTTGACCTTTTCAACCGGCTTCATCTCTTCTTTTGTTTCTTCAGTATTTTTCTTTGCTTTTGTGGATTTCGGCAGCCCCACAAACTTTGCAGGTTTTTTTGGCTTTTCTTCTTTCTCTTCAATATTCAAATCTGGTGCTGAAGCCAAATTCCCACTTTTTGTTCTCAAATTCCTTATTGTCCTTTTGAGATCTTTTATCTCAAACTCCTTCATTCTGATTTCCTGCTCTTTTTCCTTTAAAAATCTGTTGGCGCTTTCTTTTGACTCTTCGTAATATCCTTTTTCTTGTTCTATCTCAGCCAATCTTTTCCTCCACCTAGGCTCTACTGAGAGTTTCATTTTTTCGAGCTCAGCAATCTCTTCTTTAAGTGCTTGGATTTCTCTGGACTCAAGAGGGAGTTTTTCAGGCTCTTCTTCATAGCCCGAAGTCTTTGAGCTTTTTTTTCCTGGATATGGCGTTTCTGATGAAATTCCTAGCTCTTCTGCCTGCCTTTCTAATTGAGCTATTTTTGTTAATGCGTTTTCGTTTTGCTTTTTCTGATGGTTGTATTTTGCATCAATTTCTTTCAATTTTTCTTTGCAAACTCTGAGTTCTTCATTTAGAATCCTCATTTCTTTAGCCTCTTCTGGGTCTGTAGACTGGATATTTATTCGGTTGGCCCCATCCTTCAGCTCTCGCTGAATCTCCCTGTTCCTGTTGACAGTTTCCTTGAGCAGTGCTTTTGTGGAAACGATTTCTTCTTCAAGCTTGTGCTTGTTTTCGAATGAATGGGCTTCAAGCTGCTGCCTTAGGATTTCTATTTCTTTTTCTGTTGCAGAAAGAAGCTTCTGTGCACTTTCTATTCTTTTTTCAGTTGCTAAATGGATTTTACATGAACTGCTTGGCTCTGGGGCTGCTTGCTTTGCCAAAAGATCGTCAAGGGTTTGACTGACCTGCCTTAATTCGTTTCTTAGCTCTTCATTTTGGGCCCGCAATTGGTTTAATGCACTGAGTAGTTGTTACATTAATGGATTTGAAGAAATAGCAGTTTCCATTTTATTTTTGTATGAAGGGAAAATCAAGGTGCTTGCTAGAATTTTATAATTGCTATTTAATTTTCAGTGCCAACTCGATCCAAGTTAGCTGCTAATATAAATTTAGCAGCAACTTTACTTTAAGATTTGTCCTAATTAATTAAATCACATTTCGCATTTCTATCTAAGCTGTTTCAACTAAATTTTTATCAAGATCTAAGCCTCTTTCGGTATTTCTAAAGTTTTTATATCATAAAAGTTGATTAATAATAAAAGAAAAATCTATATTAGGCTCTAGATTCCTTGTCTTTATGCTCAGTCTTTTCAGAGATTCCCTCAACGAAGCAATATTTTTGATGCTGTCCAGCAAGACTCTGAGTCGATCTGGTTTGATCACAACATGTGCCTCATTAAGAAAAATCTATTCAAGGTATACTAAAAATTAGTTAGGATTACTTTCTTCAACTTCCATTTTTTCCATCCCTCTCGCAAGCCTCTCCACTCTTGCCCTTTTCCTCTTCAAGCTGAACTGCATTCTTGTGTAAAGGTTTCTAATTTTCTTTGTCATCATTATTTTCCCGAGCTCTTTCTTCTGTGACTCCTCTTCTTGCTGCAACTCAATGTTTTCGCCCTTAAGTTGCATTATTTCTTTAAGCCTGTCAGGAATGTGGCTTTCTTGTTGGTAATCAACGAACGGAGACAAGTGGGGAGGAGCTTGGCATCCAGGTTTGTAAGGGGCAATTGGTAGCAAAATCTTGAAATTCAAGCAGTCATAAACCCACTGTGGCAGCACATACTCTCTGTCTTGCCTAGTTTCGTTGATCGGCCTATCAACAATTTGGTGTGTAACTTGATCGCAATCATCTGGAGCTATTTCTCCAGCACAAGACCTTATAATTAGCTCTAAAGAGTATCTTGGGGTTTCTCTTCCAAGGAAAAAGACAAATCCTTTGAACAGTTTTTTGGATGCTTCTCTATCTTCATGCATTTTTTGAATTTTCTTTACATCAGGGTCAGACTGGAATTCTGGGTCAAAATGGAAATTGTCTTCTGGAACCTGGGCCTGGGAAATGTGCTGAGATGTTGGAACACTAAGATCTGGAGGGTAGCTGAGTCCTACTTCTTGGAAAAGCTTAAAATTAACAAACCTCAGCAGAGTGTGATAAAATTCGAGAAAAGTAAGCATTATAGAGTAGTCGACATCAGTAGGTAAATGCTGTGCAAATTGGTAAGGGACCAGCCAAGTTACTTCTTGGCCTTTAATTTCGGCCTGGTAGTAAATGCCTTTTATTGATAAAAACGATTTCCGGACACTTTTGCTTACGATCAGATATAACTCAAATTCATGCCATAGCCGTTCACTCATCCTTATCATGTCAAATGATATTTTATAGTCTTTGTTGCTTGGACAGCTGGCAAACAGACAAACCATAGATAAAGCATCATCTAGGTCCCTGAGCGCATCTCCAAACCGTGGGTATCTTTCTCGAAGTAGGTGATGAAGGCTATATGATGGTGCATTTTCCTTCAGCTTCTCAGCTTTCATTCCGTCTTTTTTAACCGTAGCTTTGCGTATTTTCTTGACCCAAGAGTCTATTTCTCTGAATTTAGAGAGAAGCTGCTCATGAGCGAGATACTTGACATCTTTTGTGTGATAGTAAGTCTTAGATGAGTCTTTCTTTTTTCTTGGATCTCTGGGGTATACTCCTTTGAGAATGCAGAGCCTATGGAATTGTTTTGTGTTTAGCTGAAGTTTGCGCATCGCTTTGCCTTTTGTGATGTATTGGACTAATTCCCCTTCTTTTCCTTTGGTTTTTTGTTTGCCCATTGACTAATTATTAGCCCATTAATATGCAAATATGGAAATCACAATTGAATTGGAGTCTCGAGCATATTTCTTTTAATTTGGGTCTAGAGTAAAACAATCTTTTTGGGTAACCCTCTTTGCAATCTTGATCTAAAGCTCCTTTTTTATGGAAGTTCTTATGCATTCGAATTTTCTAACTTGACTAGCGAATAGGATTATATGCTTTAAAAGAAAGGGTTAACTTTTTTGTCAAATTTGGTAAAGAAAATATGATAATTTAGAAACTATATAGATCTTTTTATCAATTTAAAGCTTAGCAAAAAGTCAACAGAAGAAACCTTAGAAGTCTTGAATTGGCCACACACTTAGATTGTGAACGAATTACAAGTAATAAACTATGCTCCATGGCAATAGATAATTTTTTATTTCTCAAACTACTGCTGCTATAGACATACTTTAATACAAATTATAGGTTTTATAATTATCTTACTCAATATTTAAGCTCTTATCAGCCCTAGAAAAGATTCTAGTTAAAAGAACATTAAAAATTCTCATAATAAGCAATATAAATAATTAGATAAATTTATTTGAATAAACAAATAATTTTGGAATTAAATTCAGAGTATAACTAGCAAGAAGAAGTTCTTGCCCTTCTTGCACCAAGTTTCCAAGTTGTTGGAACTCTAGAAACAACCTCCAGATCTAATTCACTCTGGTCAGGGCTATTTACTCTCGTGCAGCATTTTCTTTCGTCTAATTTTTCAACAAAGGCTCTATATGCTGAAAAAGCACTATTTAATAGAGGCCTATTTTTAATGTATTTATCGCGCTTTTTTCGAATCTTTGCATCAGAAACTTGTGTCATTGGTTTTAAAACACAGCTTCTGTTTTTGCATTTTTTTAATCCTTTTCATGTCACTAAGTTGTCACTATTTTGGCTTTCTTTAAGAAGCTGCTCTAGATCGTAACTTGAGCTCTTGCAAATTTTGTGAATGTATTTTTGAGTTTCCATGAGAAAAGCCAAGGTGTCTCTTTTCTTATTTTTTTGCTTATTGATAAATTTATCTTCGCCAAGTAGATAGATTCATTTATCTGGAATTGATGATTTTCACATATACTCGATTGATCTTGATTTTGGGGTGCCATATCAAGCTGATCTTTTGCCTTGAGGTGATTCTCAGTTTTGTTCTTCTTCTAGCTTTCTGTTTCTTTCTACCTCTTGATTGAGGACTGACAAACTTGGGTTAAATGATCTCCCTTTCATTAGAAATTATAAAGATAATAAGTTTATAATTATGAACTTAGAATGTTTCGCAAATATTGTTAATTAAATTTTAAACCAAACAGATTGGTTGAATTCAGATATCAGATGGTAAATTATTAAAAATGTTTAAAAATAATTTGAGCTTTCAGTATAAATTAAATTTTAGACATGATTTTTTATATATAAGTTTAACCTAAATTGCCTAATTAAATGCTCACATAGCGTGTCTGAAAAGTTCATTTATAAATTTTATATTATCAAATCGATATCAGATTGGATTGACCAAGCAGTTAAACATAAAAGATGATTTCAAAAATTAATCAAATATAATTAATAAGTTTAAAGCTATTCACCATTGGATTGATTAAATTTATATATTAGGAATTAAAAACTTTAGCTTTGAGGACGTTTGAAAATTGAAAGCAAAGCAATTTTGGATATATAACAGCACAAACAAATTACTGGAGTTTAAGAAGAATGGCTGAGTAGGCTCAAGCATTGAAAATTTTGAAGATGACCCTGCCATTGTGGAAAATAATTTGAATGGCAGCTTCATTGAAGTCTTTTAATCCAACCTCTTTTATTCCAGACATCACCATTAAAGAAAATTACAGTCGAGACTTCTAAAAATTTATAGACTTGATGCTTTTAAGACTTAGTGATAATTTGTATTGGCCTTATATGAGAGACATTAATCTCAAAGCCAGGAAACTTCTCAAAATTTCGGCTCCAGAAAGCTAACTTCTAGATCTTGAGCTAAAAAAACTAGATTTAATTTTGATGGAGCACAAGTTCCACTAATTCAATTTGTTTATTTTAAATTCCTGTTTAACTTCATATAATAAGCAATCATAGAAATAGCCAATAATTAGATAATAATTATTATAGGTAGAAGTTATGGATCTATACAATTTTATCATAAAATGTTTCTAACAGCTTCACTAATCGCTACAAGTTTTTATGATGATGTAGATCAAGCAGGATAGCAAGAGAGCCTAGAGATGAAAGGCATGCCAAATGACACCGACAATATCTGGGCTTAAAATTCACTATAGGTGAGCTCTTGAATTCTAGTGCTTTCAGCCCAGATGGAAAATATCTGTGTTTTACAACTGATAAGAAGTTTCTATATGTGATAGCAATTGTCGAAGAACAATTTTGGACAGCTGAGATTGCAAGAAGTAAGGAAATAGGCAGAAATGCAAGAATTATAAGTCCATCTATCATTCAAAATCAGCAAATAACGCCTTGTTCGCTTGACAGGAGAGTAGATTTCATGAAGATAAGGCAAGACCTGAAGACCAATGTTTATATAATTTTCTGTTCTGGAATTAACACCATAAATATATTTGAACTCAAAAGCAGCTTAATCAAAATTAAGGAGGATAGGGTTGAAGTCGGCTAGCCAGCTTTAGAAACCACAAAGGATATAGCAATTTTTCATAACACTCATGATAAATCAAAAAATTAGCCTATACAAATACCAAGAACTTGTATGATTTTGGCAAACTAATTGCTTACTCAGTCAATAATTTTGCAGCGGTTTCATCTTTTGAAAACATAATTGTCTCAGAAATTCAGAAGGATGATTCCATAGATTGTGACTAGATAATCATGAGCTTTTGCCAATTAACTGAGTTGGTAGCAGACTAATATTAGCAATTTGCTATTATAAAGCATATAATAGCTGGCGATGACAATGGATTAGTCAGCATAGATGATGTAACTGAAGCTGAAATAATAAAGCCATTTAAGGTGTATGACAATGTCTGAGGTTTATCATACTTCTCGTGTGAGATGTATTGCACTGGCTGAGTTTGTGGAGAAATCCTCCTTAGAAGTCAAGCCTAGACGGACTAAAATTTTATTTTCAGGTGGGAAGTGCACTATGATAGGGTACAGAATAGACCAAACTGATATGCGAAAGCTCATTATAAGTATATAAATGATTTGGAGGTCACCAAGGACTGTTTATTACTTATTTCTTGCTCAGATAACTGTTTGGTACTGATATGGAGTATAAACTTCAGCTTTGGCTATAACGAATTTAGCCTTGCAAAATTAAAGCAAATTTCTTACTTCCAAGAAAGAGTTACACATTTGATAATTAATGACAATCATTTTATGGCGTCTTCATTTGATGAAACAGTTTAAATATGAAATATATCAGAATCTTTTTGTTTGAGCTAGAATTTTAATGGAAAATACAGATCTATCGTTTCTTAGTGAAAAAATTCTATCCTTGAAGCTGCAGCTAGAAAGAAAATCATTGTTTTAGGTAAACCTGTTTCCACTTACTCCCCCCCCCCCTCCGTGAGCGAACAAAACCATTAGAAAAATCGCCATTTTTTTGACCCAAAAAACCCACCCTCCGTGAGTGAACAAAAATATTTTAATAGAAAAAATTTTAATAGAAAAAAATTTTGCTATATAAGTGATAATTAGTATAATGAAATCTAGAGCTAATTCTGTTTAATTTTAAACAAATTGCGTTTTAAAACATAAATTTTGCAAATTAAATTAGTATTTGCTTCCCAATTTTTGCAAATTAGGATTTTTTTTAAATTTCGAAAAAAAATATTTTTTATAAAATTTATATATAAATTGTTTTTTAAAAAAAAAAATTAACCCCCCTCCGTGAGTGAACAAAATTTTTTTTGTTCGCTCACGGAGGGGGGGGGGGGGGAGTTAAGAAATTTTAATATTAGGGTAACAAAGCAAAATAAGAAAATTCTTAAAATACATTTACTCAGCTTACAGCTAAGCCCCAGAGCATGATGTAGAGATGGATAACTTTTTTATACCAAAATACGATATAAATATTCTACTTGCCTATACTGACAGAGATTTGGCAGAGCATTTGACACTAAGCTTAAAAAGCTGATGGACCATTTTCAGCTGCTATTCAAAACGAAACACCTTCAGTTTAAGTTTGAAGGGTAAGCATAAAGACTGCGTTGCTTCTTATTTAAAAGAAAATTAGCCATCCTTAATGAAATCGGCATAAGCTCACTTGATGAGTTTATAGTTCTATTTCTATTAAGAGAGAAAATGAAGTTGAAAAATTTGCCACTAAATGAAAAAGACTTCCAAAATTTTTTATTCAGAAACCTTTGTGCTTTTAAAAGAAACTTTGATGAGGCAAATAAATTGACTTTTTGGGGTTATGACATAAGCCAGATTGAAAAAAGATATTGAAAGATTTAATAGCAAAAGATTATTAAATGAGACCTATTTAAATCAATCTTCATTTTTTTCAATTTCATCTAATTCATCCATTAATTCCTCCTCATCAGTTAAGCTTATTGGTAAGTATATTGCATCCTCTCCAAACACCTTAGTTAATCTTTTCGTCTCTAAATTGAACTTAAAGCAATTTAAAATATAACCTGTTGCAATGTTTATTCCTCCTTTATTATATGACAAATAAACTTGATAAAAATAATCTATTATTGAGTCTCCAATTCGTCTCCAGACAGTATCATTTGACAATTCGCTTTCATAGATTGATCCATTTTCACATTCAATTAAATACAGTCTCTCTGCACTTATAAGAATCTTGCATTTTTCAGCTTGAAAATCATAAGGAATTGTTGCGAAAGTGTTGCTACCAATTGAATACCTCAAAAGATTTTTATTTTCCCTTCCAGAAATCACAATATTCCCGTTAAATATTACACTAGTGCAATTGTAATCAGCTTTTGGCAGTGGCTTTAATTTAATTCATCGGTTTTCATTTAAATCAAATCTCTCTGATAGAGTTAAAGCACGATTATTATTTTCTCCTCCAAAGCAATAAAGACTATTATTGAAATAGATAGCTGATGAGCATCTGCAAGGAGTTCCAGATGGCAGCTGCCGAACTCTATAATTCTCATCGATTATCAATGAAATCCCAGAATATGGGTAGTCTTTACCAAAGCAAAATAAATTACCATTAGGAAGCTGAGCAATGCAAGTGCCTCAATCCAGTGGTTCAGGAGTCTCTAATATCCTTACTTCTTTACTATCATTCTCTGTATCATAAATCATCAATTTAGTTCTCGTTATTATCATCATCTCTAATTGTATAAAGAGATGTTTTTTGGCGATAAGCATTAGTATAATCTTGATAAGCTTGCTGATCAACAGAGACATCGCTACTGAACTTTGAGCAGGTTCTCCTAAAGTCTTGCTCTAATTCTGGGTCATTTGGTCTATTTAAAATTTCAGACCTCTTCTCTCTTAGCTCTTGAATGCTTTGGGCTTTTTCTGTTTCATTATTTTTGATAAGATCTTGATTTATTTTAATAGTTTGAGAATTAAGCAGGTCTTCATTACTGTCTTTGAGGCCTTTCTCGCTCTTTTTATTTCCATTTATTATGCTGCTCAAGCGAGCGATTTCTGCTCTAAGCCACTCAATTTCATTTTTCTGGACTATGTTTTCTTTTCTGTATTTAGATAACTCTTTTTCAAGCTGCTCATTTCTTTCCCTTTCTTTCTCAAGTTGAATTTGGCAAATAGCTGCATTCATTGCAGATGCTTGTGGAATTGTAATGCCTAAGCTTAGAGTTTTATTGACTATAAACTCATGAGTTAAGATATCAACTATTTTGGGCCTCTCTATTCGCCGCTTTTTTAGGCACCAATCAACGAAATACCTCAATTCATTAGAGTATTCGCTTCTTATTGGCCTATGAGGTGCATTTTTTATTTTATTCACATTATCGCCAAAAGGATGCTCAAGGTTGCAGAGATAATACAAAATGCAGCCGACTGCCCAAACATCACTTTCTTTAGCCTGAGGATCTCCACTATGAGTCCTAGGAGACTGGTAACTGGCAACACCCTGAATTGTTTTGGTCTGTAAAGAGCGAGAAGTGCCAAAATCAGCTATTTTAATATCTTTATTTTCGTCTAAACTCCCCCCCCCCTCCGTGAGCGAACAAAACCATTAGAAAAATCGCCATTTTTTGACCAAAAACCCACCCTCCGTGAGTGAACAAAAATTTTTTTAATAGAAAAAATTTTAATGGAAAAAAATTTTGATATATAAGTGATAATTAGTATAATGAAATCTAGAGCTAATTCTGTTTAATTTTAAACAAATTGCGTTTTAAAACATAAATTTTGCAAATTAAATTAATATTTGCTTCCCAATTTTTGCAAATTAGGATTTTTTTAAATTTCGAAAAAAAATATTTTTTTATAAAATTTATATATAAATTTTTTTTAAAAAAAAAAATTAACCCCCTCCGTGAGCGAACAAAATTTTTTTGTTCGCTCACGGAGGGGGGGGGGGGAGTAAGAGGATATTTTGTGGATGAAGATCTCGATGAGTAAATCCGTTGTAGTGCAAAGACTCGAGCCCAAAGCAGATCTGGATGAAATATTTTCAGATTTCGTCTTCTTCAAACATTTCATCGGCGCTAATCTTATCAACTATGGCTTTAAGAAGGTCTCCATTTCTACAATAATCTATGACCATATAGAAAGTTTCACCTTTAACAAAAAAGGAGTCTAAACGAAGCTTATATGGATTGGCCCATGAGAGTACTTGCAACTCAGCTCCAATATCCTTCCAGGTTGACCCTGTGCTATTTCTGGCTACAGCCTTTATTGCGTACATTTGTCCATTGCCTGAATAAAAATTACTTCTCTTTATGGCTCTATAGATAATTCCATAACCTCCAAAATTAAAGTGATCCTTAACTTCAAAAGTGTTTGTTAAGTCTTCAGGAAAAAGCTCCATGGTTATCGATCGAAATTACTATATTCCATTAAAGACCACACTTTTGAAATCAATATTTAGCTTTGATATTAATTATTTACCAATTTATATCTAAATCAAAACTTTAAGAAAAGGCTTGGAGTATTTAAATATTTATTAGGGTGTTAGGGTGTTAGGGTGTTAGGGTGTTAGGGTGTTAGGGTGTTAGGGTGTTAGGGTGTTAGGGTGTTAGGGTGTTAGGGTGTTAGGGTGTTAGGGTGTTAGGGTGTTAGGGTGTTAGGGTGTTAGGGTGTTAGGGTGTTAGGGTGTTAGGGTGTTAGGGTGTTAGGGTGTTAGGGTGTTAGGGTGTTAGGGTGTTAGGGTGTTAGGGTGTTAGGGTGTTAGGGTGTTAGGGTGTTAGGGTGTTAGGGTGTTAGGGTGTTAGGGTGTTAGGGTGTTAGGGTGTTAGGGTGTTAGGGTGTTAGGGTGTTAGGGTGTTAGGGTGTTAGGGTGTGTTAGGGTGTTAGGGTGTTAGGGTGTTAGGGTGTTAGGGTGTTAGGGTGTTAGGGTGTTAGGGTGTTAGGGTGTTAGGGTGTTAGGGTGTTAGGGTGTTAGGGTGTTAGGGTGTTAGGGTGTTAGGGTGTTAGGGTGTTAGGGTGTTAGGGTGTTAGGGTGTTAGGGTGTTAGGGTGTTAGGGTGTTAGGGTGTTAGGGTGTTAGGGTGTTAGGGTGTTAGGGTGTTAGGGTGTTAGGGTGTTAGGGTGTTAGGGTGTTAGGGTGTTAGGGTGTTAGGGTGTTAGGGTGTTAGGGTGTTAGGGTGTTAGGGTGTTAGGGTGTTAGGGTGTTAGGGTGTTAGGGTGTAGGGTGTTAGGGTGTTAGGGTGTTAGGGTGTTAGGGTGTTAGGGTGTTAGGGTGTTAGGGTGTTAGGGTGTTAGGGTGTTAGGGTGTTAGGGTGTTAGGGTGTTAGGGTGTTAGGGTGTTAGGGTGTTAGGGTGTTAGGGTGTTAGGGTGTTAGGGTGTTAGGGTGTTAGGGTGTTAGGGTGTTAGGGTGTTAGGGTGTTAGGGTGTTAGGGTGTTAGGGTGTTAGGGTGTTAGGGTGTTAGGGTGTTAGGGTGTTAGGGTGTTAGGGTGTTAGGGTGTTAGGGTGTTAGGGTGTTAGGGTGTTAGGGTGTTAGGGTGTTAGGGTGTTAGGGTGTTAGGGTGTGTAGGGTGTTAGGGTGTTAGGGTGTTAGGGTGTTAGGGTGTTAGGGTGTTAGGGTGTTAGGGTGTTAGGGTGTTAGGGTGTTAGGGTGTTAGGGTGTTAGGGTGTTAGGGTGTTAGGGTGTTAGGGTGTTAGGGTGTTAGGGTGTTAGGGTGTTAGGGTGTTAGGGTGTTAGGGTGTTAGGGTGTTAGGGTGTTAGGGTGTTAGGGTGTTAGGGTGTTAGGGTGTTAGGGTGTTAGGGTGTTAGGGTGTTAGGGTGTTAGGGTGTTAGGGTGTTAGGGTGTTAGGGTGTTAGGGTGTTAGGGTGTTAGGGTGTTAGGGTGTTAGGGTGTTAGGGTGTTAGGGTGTTAGGGTGTTAGGGTGTTAGGGTGTTAGGGTGTTAGGGTGTTAGGGTGTTAGGGTGTTAGGGTGGGTGTAGGGTGTTAGGGTGTTAGGGTGTTAGGGTGTTAGGGTGTTAGGGTGTTAGGGTGTTAGGGTGTTAGGGTGTTAGGGTGTTAGGGTGTTAGGGTGTTAGGGTGTTAGGGTGTTAGGGTGTTAGGGTGGTTAGGGTGTTAGGGTGTTAGGGTGTGGGTGTTAGGGTGTTAGGGTGTTAGGGTGTTAGGGTGTTAGGGTGTTAGGGTGTTAGGGTGTTAGGGTGTTAGGGTGTTAGGGTGTTAGGGTGTTAGGGTGTTAGGGTGTTAGGGTGTTAGGGTGTTAGGGTGTTGGGTGTTAGGGGTTAGGTGTTAGGGTGTAGGGTGTTAGGGTGTTAGGGTGTTAGGGTGTTAGGGTGTTAGGGTGTTAGGGTGTTAGGGTGTTAGGGTGTTAGGGTGTTAGGGTGTTAGGGTGTTAGGGTGTTAGGGTGTTAGGGTGTTAGGGTGTTAGGGTGTTAGGGTGTTAGGGTGTTAGGGTGTTAGGGTGTTAGGGTGTT